GGGAACCCTCGGCAATGAATGGAGGTACGGTATGGGTAATTGCACCACGAATACACAACCACAAAGAACGTCGCAGATCCATGATAGAATTAGGTAGAACAAGGCCTTTTCTTTTTTGATACAGCACGCACATCCCCCCCTCAAATCCCCTATTTGGGCCCCTCGATCAGCACCTTGATGGCCTTGCCGGCCTTGACGTCCTCAAAGGCCTGCTCGGCGTCGTCAAAGTTGACTTTCCGGCTGATCAGCCTCTTGACGTCGATCTTGCCGCTGCTGGCGAGGTCGACGGCCATGGCGTAGTCGCCGGGCCCGTATCTGAAGCTGCCCTTCACGGTGAGTTCCTTGGTGCACGCCGCCATGATCGGGAACGTCATCTCGTCCCGGCCCATGCCGCCTTGCACGTAGCTGCCGCCCATGCGGAGGACGTGGATCGCCGTCTGCACGCTGGGTTCAGCGCCGCTGGCGTCGATGGCCACGTCGGCGCCCGCGGGCAGGTCGTTCTCGTCCTTGAGGCGCTGTGCGTTCTCCGCCGCGGAGACTTTGGAGGGGACAAACGTCGACGTCGCGGCGAACGACTTGGCAAACTCGAGTCGCTCCGTGTTGATGTCCACGGCCACAACCTTGGTTGCACCCAGCGCCTTCGCGACGGCACAGCAGAGAAGTCCGACGGGGCCGGCACCGAAGACAACCACTGAGTCACCCTGCTTGACACCCGACTGCTTGGTGATGTGGACCCCCACGGCCAGGGGCTCCATCAGCGCGCCTTCCTCCAGCGTCATGTTGTCGGGCAATTTATAGCAGAAATCCTCGGGGAGAATGTAGTATTTTGCCAGCGTGCCATCGTACGGCGGGGTCGCCGCAAAGGCCATGTCCGGGCACAAGTTGTATTTCCCTTCCTTACACCGCACGCAGTGGCGGCAGGGGATGCCGGGCTCCATGGCGACGCGATCGCCTTTTTTCAAGCTCTTGACGCCGGACCCGACCTCGAGCACCGTGCCTGCGGACTCATGGCCCAGAACCATGGGCTCGTTGACCACGAAATGTCCGATTCTGCCATGTTGCCAATAGTGGACGTCTGAGCCACAGATGCCGGTGTAGTTGACTTGGAGGAGGACATCCCGGGACCCTGTAAGCTTTGGTACGGGCCTATCTTCAAAGCACACGTCTTTGATTCCGCGGAGGACGAAAGAGTTGTTCTCCTGCGTCTGGTCAATCTTTTGCTACACATACACAACAGGGATGGCCTACCTTCGTTTGCGTTTCTGTGGCCATGTTCTACAGGTATGTGAAATGTAGACAGGGAGCACGGTCAGCTACAAGTAACTGCGGGGGGGCGCGAGATATAGAGAGAAGACTTTCACGGGTGGAAGATCTGGAAATTGTTGCTATGTGAGATCAGCTATAAAGGCGGGGGTTGTTGAACCTGCGGACCGCCTTCCACTGTAAGTAAGAGTCCTCATACCAGCGGCGGTCCATCTCAAATGACACGCAGATAAACACCACCGGAGGGAGCACACGAAGCCGCAATGGCTGAGAGATCGAGAAATTTAGCCTAAAGACGGCGAACTCGAGGAGAGGGCGAGGACGGTGCCACTGTGCGGGGCAGGAATTTTTATGATGATGACGAACTCCGACGCGGGCCATTGCTCGCCGACTTGGAAGGGCATCGGCCTAGAAATATCCCGAGCCACGACACCAACGAGGCTCAATGACCTTCCTCGACCTGGACAATCTTGTCACAGTTGAGCAGTCCTAGAGGGTCGAATGCTTGCTTGAGCTGTATTCCAAGATTAGTTTCGACACATCTGATAAAATCCAGATTGGCTGGGATCTGACCTTGCGCATTGCATCAACAGTTTCCTCTCCTAGCTCTTCGCGGAGATACTCCCGCTTCTTCAGCCCAACACCATGTTCACCCGTCACGGTACCCTCCATGGCGATGGCACGTCGGATCATCTGATGAACCAACTCTTCTGCAATCTTCCTCTCAGAGTCATTATAGAGGAGAATGGCTAGCAAAGGTCAGCTCTTGTAGCAAACGGCGCAGTGCAGTCCTTCTCACTGTGGAAGTTCCCGTCTCCTACATGGCCACAAATACCACCGATCAAGCCGCTCTTGGCTACATCGTCGTGGGTCTCCTGAATGATGTCTGCCAGTCTGCTGATAGGAACAGCCTGGTCCGTGTCAGTCTTACCCCAGAAGTGTGGACAAGCGTATAACTTACCACATCGGTGGTCCAAACATGGTCGCTGCTGTTTTTCCGCATCGCCATGACACTCCACAGGGCCTCTTTCCTTGCACTCCAGAGTTCTGCAGCCTCGTCGTCGTTCTTTGCGAACTCGAAACTCTGGTTGTGGGTTGCTTTGGCAATGTTCCGAACGATCTTGATTTGTTCCTTGACGCCTTCAGTTGTCCCGGCAAACTTGAAGAAGAGAGTGGGAGCTTCCTGCCATGGCCTGCTGGTCATTCCACTTTTGTTGATGCAGCGCATTTGCACATCGTCCAAAATCTCCATCCCGGCAAGCTGGATACCGTCCCCTACAACTCTCGCAACACATTCCGCCGCGGCGTGGATGGTGGGGAAAGTCGCAACGGCAACGGACTGGCTTTTAGGGAGGACCGTGATCTTCAAAGTGGCTTCCGTGACAATACCTAGTGTGCCTTCGCTGCCGATGAACATCTGAGTAAGGTTGTAGCCTGCGCTTGATTTGCGGGGTCTCCTTCGTGTCTTGATGATGGTCCCGTCGGCGAGGACGACGGTCAGAGAGACGACCCAGTCGCGCATCGTGCCATACCTGTAAGCATTTGTTCCTGAGCAGCCCGTGCCTACCATGCCCCCAATCTTGGCTCCTGGGCCTGGGTCCGGTGGGAAAAACATGCCGTGCCCTTTGAGTTCTTCATTCAGGTCTTCCCAGCCAAGAGCGGGTTGTACCACGATATCCAAATCTTGAGGTCGGAAGTCCAATATCTTATCCATTCTTGCCATGTCAATGCATATTCCTCCTCGTGTGGGCGCAAAGTGGCCTTCGAGACTGGTACCGCCAGAGAGTGCCGTAACGGGAATTCTTCGTTCGTGACACACTTTCATGATCTTGGACACTTCTTCGGTGGTGGCAGGGTATACAATAGCAAACGGTCTTTCATTGGGCTTCGTTGTGTAAGAGGACCATTCTGAACCCGAATGCGAATCGAGATCATCGGGAACCGTCGAGACATTATCCTTGCCCACGATTTGGGCAAAATCGACCCAAGCGGCTTGGAGGTTGGAGGCTCTTGTATCGTGTTGAGGCGGCTGTGCTTTGGACAGAGGGGTTGTGGAAGAGGCGTCGAGCGGTCGTTCGCCCCTCTTCCCTAGGTAGAAAGCTGCGGCTGCGACAGACAGAATCACTTGTGCTGTTAGCGAAGAAGAGACGGGCGAGAGGTGAGACAAATACCGAAACTGAGACTGAGTGTCCTGCCCCCAGCACCTCCTCCCCGACCGCTGGCTGCCTTTATATATTGTTCCTCTGAAGCTCTTTCACGTTTCAATCGGTCTGCGGTGCTCTGATACAGCTGTCCTCGAAAGGACAAATTTTCTTTCGCATCACCTGGACCTTTGTCTTCGAACTTTGCAGGCGAGCTGTGGAACGGCCTCGTAGCCCCGGGAGCAAAGCAGGAGGTCCTCTCTCGCTCGGCGCATCGCAGGAGGGAGCCGACTGGACGACTGAGGCGGGCGATTGACTTCATCGTGGGTGCGCAGTCGAAATGAATCAATGGATGTCTGCTGCTGGTTCCTAACGCATTTTCGAAGGCATGTCTACAGATATAAAGACACAACCCAGCTCACCGTCAAGGAGAACGCAGCGATGCAACAATGGAGGGCCGGTATGAATTGCGGAGAAGTTGATGGGAGGGAGGAGAGCGAGGCACCGCTTAGCCACGCTTAGTTGACTTCCGTTTCAATGGATTCAACGATGTTTCCCCGAAGCCACGGCTCCCCAGAATTTGAGAAGTCCGTGCCCCCCTTACCAAGCACCACGAGCGTCACCAGCACCGAATCATAAGCTTCATTCCTAGGTCATACCGTGCCCCTTTGCTGCTTCTGTCTAGGCGGCGGCACGCCTCACTCTAGGTACCATTCGCACACAAGTCCGCTGCTCTGTGCAGTGTGCATCCTCCCAAGTTTCGGAACATTCGCATTCTCCCCGTCCATCATGAGGGTACAACTATAGCTGCACAGTCGCAGATACAACATCGGCACAGTCTCCTGACCAAACATCTCAGGCGAGCGCAGAGATGGTCGATCGGATTCTGTCGTGCTAGGAAAATGCATACCAGTTTGACCACGAAATCCCGCATTCCGCATTCCGTATTCCGAATATCCCAAGCCTTACTCCTCCTACCTGTCATTCTGTACCTCGCTGTGCGATATGGGAGAAGGTCACACCATTTCTGCAAGACTTGGAGCAAGACTTTTGACGCAAATACCAAGTCCACTGACGATACGGGCATGGCTAACGAGGATCCTGCTCATTCTCTGACAGAATATCTTGTGGCGTATAGAAAACCCGGTATGGCTATTGGGTCAGATCAGGTGTCAACAAGTCAGAAGCATGTGCCACAACTCCATTGCGACAGATTGCGACATCGGGTTCGAACAGTCACCAGATGGGACTATTTTATCAGTTCTACAAAGCACTACAAAGCCGGTACATGGTAAGATCGAGCCTATTAACTGATATGACTTGGCCCCTTCTTTGCTTTGATCGATGTATTCGCGGCTAGACATACCGTCTTCAGCAGAGGTGTACAAGTAGTGCTCCAATTGCCCAGACTTATCATCAACAAGGGCCGAGTCGAGCCTCTCCAGGCACTCCCACGCTCTGGAATCTGTTACCAATACGAATCAATCGGGTGCCCCCCGCAATTGTGGCAACTCAGGGAATGGCGTGATCCGATACGCGCCTCCAATATAACAATATTCTCCCGAGGCTCAGCGCTTCTCCGGACCCTGTGCTTCTTTTATCAAATGCTAAATCTGTAACGAAATACCGGGGTTGTTTGAATATCGGCTTTGTAAGATTGGCAGAAGACTCCGCCAGTGCCGCACGATGTCTTTCTCCAGCATTCCGATACTGGATCTCTCGCTGGCGCGGGACCCGGCCACGAAGCCGCAGTTTCTCGTGGATCTCCGCCATGCACTGCTCGAAGTTGGGTTCCTGTACATCAAAAACACGGGAATCCCGCCCGCCCTGATCGACGAGGTCATTAAACTGGGCAAAGCCTTCTTCGATCTCCCCGAGGAGAAGAAGCTGGAGATTGAGATGAAGAATGCGCCCTCGTTTCTCGGTTACAACAAACTCGGCATGGAAATCACGCGGTTCAAGACCGACTGGCGCGAACAGGTCGACTTGTCGACGCCGCATCCGGTCCCGGGCCCCAATGACCCCTTGTACAGGAACTTGTTGGCGCCGAACCAGTGGCCTGACCCCAACGCGCTGCCGCGCTTCAGGGAAGTATACGAAGACTATATGGCGCGCATGGGCGAGATGAGTATGGAATTCACGAGTCTGATAGCCGAAGCCATCGGCTTGTCGCCGGACGCATTCGCGCAGTTCTTCGACGAAGCGCAACAGCACAAGTTGAAAATTGTCAAGTATCCCGATCTGGAGGAGTTGGGTGTTGAAGGGGAGGCGCAGGGTGTGGGGCCGCACAAGGACAGCATGCTCACGAGTTACCTCCTGCAAGCCAGCCATCACCGTGGACTACAGGTGCAGAATGGCGACGGGCAATGGGTCGACTGCCCGCCCATCGACGGGACATTTGTGGTGGCCATTGGACAAGGGATGGAGGCGCTGACACAGGGCGTCTGCCAGTCAACGACACACAGAGTGCAGAGCCCGCCTCGAGGTACCGGTGCACGGTACAGTATCCCCTTCTTCCAGGGCGTCAGCTACGACGCGACATTCGAGAGCATGGACGTGCCCGACTCGGTGAAGCAGCTGAGAGCAGACATCCTGGCGAAGAGGGGCGGGCAGCGCTTGGACGACATCGAGTTTACATTCATCAAGGGCATGTGGAGTCGACTGGGCGAGGCGACCTTGATGAACAGGGTCAAGAGCCACCCTGACGTGGGCGAGAGATGGGTAAGTTTCAAGACTGCCGTTCTGACACCTCGTAGAGGAACCCATTGCTAATCTCTACCGCGAACAGTATCCCGAGCTCCTGAAGAAGATCCGTGCGGACCAGGCGGAGGAAGCAGCCAAATTTGCCGCCGCCGAGGCTGCAGCGAGCAAGCCGACGTCGATTCCAGCGCAGCCGCAATCCATACAGGCCCATTAGGTGGGTGTTTAATGAGGAAAAGACTATCAAGACGACGCTCTGATGTCGAGCCTTCTCTTTCAAGCATTGTAAATCGTTTTTTTCTAGATGTACGACGTAGAACGACACAGGGTGTGAACATTGTAGGGATGTTTTAAGTCACCACTGCTTTGTCACCTACCACAGCACTCTGTCAATCACCCGTCAAACACCCAGACCACATTCACCTGTGGCGAATCACGCCACGTGACGACCATTGAGCCCACAAACCACAACCCACAACCCGCTATCGCAATATATCCGCGCCAGAATGAGACAAAAACAAAAAAAAAAATAGTTTCCAAACATATTATGTATATATCCAAGGGACAAAAAAAAAAAAGGAAAGACACGACCAACATCACGACAAGATGTAGGTAATGACAATAGAGAAACGACCGTGGAAGGATTCGAACCCTCGATCTTTGGTGGGAATGGTGTACGAAATTCATAAGAACCGAAAACCAACGCCTTAACCATTAGGCCACACGGCCGGGGCAAGCTCAACCTCAGAGAAAATTGTGGCAGAGTTTTGTAGCCTCAATTTTGAGAGCTGAACATGATATACCTGATAAAAAAATTGGGTGGGGATGGGTGGAGACTCGGGGAGAAGGCCTGCGGGGTTGAGGCGAGGGCGCTGGCTGGCTGGCTGGCTCGCTAGGTGACTTACGGACAGTATCGAAGTATCGTAGTATCGTAGTATCGTACCGAGTACTTGAAATCTATATACTTGTATGTAGAACATAGTACCAACTATCGTACCTGAGTGGATATTGGTACCTACCTATTTAGCGCCTGGGGTTAAGAAGGACGAGGACAGGTACCTCCTACAAACCGTTTTTTCTTGTTCTACATCCAAGGACCGTGGATCTCTGTAATTCTACCAATTCAACCAGTCCGACATGAAGTCGGTCCAAAAGTCTTCTGCATCTCGTTGCTGCTGTTCGTGTTGATGCTGTTCCATGCGGCTTCTCTCGACAGCGGACGTCCTCTCATCGACATCTCGCACGCGCCCCCTGTCGTCGATGAAGGAGTTGACGAGCTCATAGGCCGATTCGTGCTGGTGGTCATGGCCATGACCATGGCTCCTCTCGCTTTCATGCAGTCGCGGTTCTTGTGCTGCCCGCCCAAAGCTGGCCTGTCGCGTGACCGCGGTCAAAATCTTGTCGAGCCAGTCCAGGAGATGGGGGGTTTTGAGGGTCACGAGTGCTGGCACGGTCAGCGCCGCGAAATCAGCCATAAGGGCTCGGAAGCGACCGACATAGTGGTGCGTAAGTAATGGAGAGTCTGCTCGGCTCGGGTTGCACATATTGTGCCTCTCCAGACGAGCGAGGAGGAACAGAGTGGTGATCAAATGCGCCCATTCGATGATGCCCACCTGAACGAGATAGCAGAGCTCCTGGTTCAGGATGTTGGAGAGGAGTGCTTCAAAGTGCTGGACGCACAGTCGGACATCCTCGGCTGACATGGACTTGGGACTCGAGGATTTCAGGACGCTGTACGCTGCAAGGAAATGGTAGCTCGACTTCATCATCGCAGGGGACTCGGGGCGCAGATATGCGGTTTTCCATTCATCAAGGCCCTGCGACGGCCTTATATAACGTTCCGGCGGATTCCCGTCGCCGCGATGCAGGCTGACGAGGTGCATCAGCTCGATAAACGCTGGTGCCTCCTTGTCGAGAGGCCGTGGCGATATGTCGACCAGCAACTTCGCGGCGTTCCTCAAGCTCTCAATGCACCGCATATTCTCGGGCCTGTCGTACCCCAGCACGCCGCCACCGCAGTTGAGATAGTAGCACAGTAAGAATGCCCGGATGGTATTCACATCTTCGTCCCCTCGGACCGTGAAACTCCTGTCTCTGGCAAATCTCCTAGGAAGCCCAAGGTCGGCGACCATGCCGTTCGCAAGTTGCAGGAGCTGGTAGAATTGGAGTGTCACGAGATCAAAGCGGTGGTGATACCACAGCATGTAGGTCAGCAAACCCTGGAAGAGCTCCATGCTCTTCTGTCCCTTGACAATGACTCGGTCGGCGAGCACGTGGCGAAATAGCTCGCCCGCTTGCTTCTCGAATTCCGGGTCAGCGCTGCTTCCGCTGAGGATGGCGGCGAGGAGCAGCACTGGGGAAGATGACAGAAACCCATCCAGGGTCAAGGGTGGTAAGTGGACGGCGAAGGGCGCCAAATCGACCATTGCTTTATAGCGGTGGAGAAACGTCGCGCATTCGTGAGTCGACGCAGACATAACGGCATCCCAAGCACCAGGCGAAGGCTCCCTGATTGACAATGTGGCGAGCAGCACATGACCGAATGGCTTTGAATCATCACCAAGGGCAGACGGTGTCGATCTCGATGCCGACGCAGACTGCTGTACCGTGCCGGACATCGACGGATCGTCGAAGCGGTGGCGTTGCTCACTTTGCTGTTTGTCTGCCACATCATCCCAGGCTCGCAATGGAAGCACATCACGCCTCCCAGCAAACCGACCTCTCACTCTGGTCCCAGATCAGCCCAATCCCCTACCCTTAACTTGCAGCTTACCTCTTCTGCGGAATCGCGCGCTTGACCGCCTCATGAGGCACGCAGACGACACCGCCATCTTCGCATCTGCGATGTTGTAAGTTCTTGGAGCCACCCCACGTAGTCGCTCACAGCTGTGGAAGAGAAAAACACGATAGGCAACTGGCTGGCGTTCAACCCACCTCTTGCACGCCTCGTCGCTTGAGCCCGGCAGACAGCGCGATTTACGAGCTCGACACGCTTCACATGCTTGCCTACATCGGGCTCTCATCCCAATTATTCTCCGCGGAAATGAAAGGGGACAGTTGCAAAGCACGTTCCCCCACTCACCGGTACGGGTTGGAGTGGGAGTGGGAGAAGGAAGTGAAAAGCAGCGTGTCGCAAAAAAAAGAGCCACTCCGAAAGAAGTGGAGCATCGGAGTCACGGTCGGAAGATCGATTATTGGTTGTTTGGCAATTAGAGTATATGGCCAAGACTCCACTAGTCCCCAATGAGGCAATGGTGGTGAGGCTGGCGGAATATTTGCCATCCCTTCCCGCACCTGGGAGTGGAATAGTACCCTCGCTGGTAGGGAGTGTTGGTGCTGTACGAGGTACATATGCCTCATAGGTCAAGTGAGATCTTCGACTTCTAGCTATGTTCCTGGTGTTACTGTTCCCCTGCTCCTACTTGCTTCCTTATCACCCGAAGCCCCGGAGAGACCATCATGTTGTGTCGGAGACCCTTGCGACCTTCAGTGCTAGACCGTCAATACATACCTGGTAAGTAGTGACAAAGCCGGCTTGCCTTGCAGCACAAGGCATGAGGCCCGTCCATGCGAACCAGATCTGACAGAGGCAGCAGCAACTAGACACATTTGTGGCTTAAGAAACAGAGACGTGGCCCCCTCGCAACATGGCATACAGGCATTGAGCTTGCCGAGACCTCTACGAGCAACCAGGTATACACTGTCCAACCTCCCCGGGCACCATGGAGAGACCAGAGGCTGAACACCCACCTTGATGTAGATATACAAGCACATCCTCCAAAGCCAGTCACACCAAACCCCTAACGCCATCGCAACATGCCGACTACCTAGCCTCGCGCCGCCTCTCACGGCCCATCAGCCCTCACCTCACCATCTACCGGCCCCAAATCACATGGTTCTCGGGCGCGCTGATGCGAAACTGCGCCATCGTCCTCACCGTGCCGATCTACATCTTCGGGGCGGCGTACGTCGTCTCACCCCTGATGGGCTGGCACCTGGACACGGAGAGCATGGTGGCGTGGTTCGGGGCACTCCCCGTCGGTGTGAGGGTGGCGGTGAAAGGTGTGTGGGGATTCGCGTTCTGCTTCCACGTCATGCACGGGCTGAGGCACCTGGTCTGGGACACGGGCATGATGCTGTCGAACAAGCAGGTGACGGTCAGTGGGTGGATCGGACTGGGCATCAGTGTGCTGGGGACCGTCGGGTTGATCTTGTGGTAGGACGGTGAGGAAAGAAAAGGACGAGGAGAATCAAGACGCCATCTAAGGAGAAGAATGCTGGTATTTGAGACAATTATAGCCGACCTTTCATTTTTGATACGCACTTACTATCTTACTCACGGACTAACTCGCTCTTCACTCCTCTCCCACAAGCTTGTCCTCCGCCCCTGGCCGAGGAGTGTCGACCTTGTGCTTCCTTTCCCGGGTATCGCACCCCAACCACAGTAGATCCGGCCGACTGTAATGGCCACAGATATCCAGGAAGCTGCGCGCCATGATCGACATGCTGGGGTCGATGTCCGCAATCACCAGTCCTTCAGATTTGGAGTCGAGGGGCTCTGAAAGAATCCGACCATCGGGTCCAATGACACACGAGTAGCCTCCATCTGGGCTGTTCATGAGCATGGCCTGGCCGGTCGACATGAGTTCGATACCCTTGGTGCCAATCACGGTGGTCGCGTGGAGAACGAAAGTCTGCGTCTCAATGGCGTATGTCTGTGAGAGATTCTGGCAGCCTGCGTCCGTGATGTTTCAGCTCAGTACTCCGCAGCGGAATTGGGGAGTTTTATTGAAAAGAACCTGACATACCTTCCTTCGACAAGGACCACAGCTCCGGCCCACCATGCAGACTGAGGGGCGGCCACCCTGCGACGTGGATGTCCTCCCGCTGCGTCGCGGTGTGATACTTCAACAACGGTTGACAATGCTCCCAGCACGCCAAACTGCCCACTCGCTTCCCAGCCTTGGTGGCCACCACATTCATCAGACTGTTTCCAGATGCGTCGCCGAAGATAGTGCGCTCCATGTGCGTCGGCTTCAACTTTCGCCGGTGCATCAACATCTTGCCGTCGGCGTCGATGATGGCTTGGGCGATGTAGACGGAATTATTGTCGTTCTCGGAAAATCCCAGGGCCACGACAATACCGTTCTTTGCCGCACAGTCCTGGATCGTGCGCATCTCATCCGAGTCCACGGCCAGAGAGTTCTGGATGTACCTTGTCGCCAGGACTGGATCGACGGGCCGATGCCTAGATGCGGTTGCACGGGTTACAAACCATACTGTGACAAAAGCGGTTGCCGAAATATTGCAAGACGGAGACAAGTTCAGACATCCTTACCAGATCCACGCTGGGTAGCCAGGGATGAAAGCCTCTGAGAAACCCACAATCTTTGCACCCTTCTTCGCTGCTTCGGTGATGATGGCACATGTTTTGGCGACTGAGGCTGGCAAGTCGAGCCATTCGGGCTCATACTGGGCCACCGCCACTCGCAACGTCGGAGAAGCTGCACTGCCCATATCTGCGGTTCGAAAGTCGTAGATATTGCAACTTCGTTCTCGAGGAAACGGAGGTCCTAAACCAAAAGTTTGCCAGGACAATGAGCAGAAAAGTTGCGTGGGCGGTATGAAAAGCTCCCAACTCCGTTGCTTTGAGCGGAACACATCCGCTATCAACAAGGTATACCAGGTCGAATTGAGGACAGTGCTGATGGAGGGGAGCCTGAGACACACCGATAGAGTCTCAGACTGGTCCTTTATCTCAACCCGGGCGTCATCTGGGGGCCGTCTAGACAGTGCCCGACCCGAGAAAACGGAGGGGTAACTCGTATTGCTAACTCGTGTTCGTGACTCTGCTTTTCAGCGCTGGTTCCAGTCAAGCGCGGGGTTATCTAGAAAAGCATAAACTATTGGCGGCCTCGCTCTGCTGGGAAGGTGAGCCAGACGGTTCTATTTCCGAACCATGATAAGGAATTAGTGGGTGGCGGCGGAGTCATCGGCAGAGAAATCGTAAATTTGAGGCCGCGGATAAGATTACTGACCAGACAAACAACTAGGAGAGTGCATGACGATGTGACCATTCTCACTGTGACGGGTGTCCTTACTCCTGCTCCAATATCATCAGGCCTGTCCCTTCTCTGCAGCCAACGTACTCGGCGTCCATGTCGTCCGACTTCAAAATACAAAGCTCAACCCAGATCGAGAGTTTGCCGGTTGCACTATGCGGACCTCCGGGGCCGTACATTTCGAACGTCGTCTGTCGTAGCTTGACATGATCCTTGAAAGAGCGGCCAGCCTGTTCGAAATGTGCGAGGTCAAGCAGGTACATCAACTGGTTCGTCTCGGTAATTGCATCGGTATCCACCTCTAGATCTGTGCCCGGGTCAAGGGTAGGCTTCGGATGGAGATGTGCAATGTTGAATGTGAAGGAGACCACTCCGTTCTTGTTGCGCTCCGTGTCCAGATGGGTCATCCAAGCTAGAGCGTGTGGTGCCAGCTTTTCCTTCCACATCTCAAGCTCCTCTGGAGGCAGGTTCGGCTGTCTCTGGCCTTCGCGACAATAGCACAGATTATCGGGGATCTTGTTGATCTTGACCCTTCCATATCTGATCTTGTCGGACAGCGATGATTTCGACAAATCCACCACCTTCTTGCTCGGGTCAGGCTTGACTTTGGAGGTGGTGACGAGCGGCGATGTAAAGCCATCACTTGGGTCCGTGTACTCATCGGGATTTGCCTTGAGGCGATGCCGGTAGACGCCCCAGTATGCCTCGTCAGTGCTGTCTTTGAGACCCAACATTGTGGCCAGTCCGGATGTCTCGTGCTGGTTGGCTGCGAACATGTAACGAGACTTGGGGACAGTCATGACCTCGCGCCAAACGCCCGCATCATCAGGCAAGTTGTCCCAAAATTGTTTCACTTCGTCCGTTTCCTTCCACTTCTGGTAGTCGCCAGACTTGAGCCAGTATGCTACAAACGTTGTGCACCGCGGACCTTCGCGGGGAACACCATGGCTCTCGTCCTGTAGATGATCAACTCGATCGGCAGATTGACTCAGCAAGGTATACAGAGTTGATATTGTCTTCTTCTTTTCGCTTGTGAGTTCGTCGTGCTGCACACCGAAAAGACCATAGGTGAAGACGAGGCCTTGGCCTTCCAAGTTTGCGAGAAACACCATTCTGTTAGAGCTGATTTAAGTGAGGCCGTCTGTGACTGAAACTTGGTGGGATGGTAAGAGGCGAGAAGGGAGGTAGAAGGAGGGGTCAGTTGAGTTTGAGCATAATGTCAGTGCACAGCCCGCGGAAATCTCCTTGCCTCGTATTCACTTGGGCGCCAATTCAAAGCCGTCGGATATCCTGCAACGTGGAGTTCATGACTGGGTCGAAATTGGAACTGGGTGCAAACACTGCATCAAGCTTGCAGGTGGAGCGCCTGTAGAACAAGCTGGCGAACCTCGGATTGACAACTCGATTTCCCAGGCGTGGCGGGGTTTGTGAGCTATTCGTAAAAAAATCTGCGTTATTGGTCACGTCAAGAATGAGGCTGAAATGGGGAGACACTTGGCCTAGTGAGCTTGTGGAACAACAATGCGGAATTGTAGGCAAAGGTTATACCGTAATGCATTGCCAATCCTTCAGCATGTGGATATTGGCCGATTGACCTGCGTTTGGTAAGGTGAAAATGGGTGTTGCTTGTGACAGTCTGTGAAAACAACAACAGCACGTAGCGCAATCTGAAATGGCAGCAGAGAACAAGTCATTCGGGATTACCTTATCTCTCTGAGGGGAAGCGCGATACAACAGAGTATGGGCATTGGGCGAGTTATATAGTAGGAATCTTTGAATCCTATAGTTGGTGTACAGCCCTATGGCTCATGCTTGAAAGGGTGCACCCATCCTTGGGTCGTGGTATTTCCAGTCATCTTGACAGAGCAGAGATAAAGAGCGAGGTGATCAGCTTCGACGTAACGTGGTAGCAGCCACATAACGCAGTAACGTGCGAACCATTGGTCTCAAGAATTGAGGAAACTCACAACAATAGAAGAAGTGAGCGTGCAATGACAAGAACTAGGCAACTTTCTTCAGTCTCGAACCCCTTGTTAGACAACGGGGCCCCAGCAGAAAACCTTCTCCAATCTCATGCTCGGTGAGAACTGTCGGAACCGCATACTCAACCAAGCATAAATCAGCTATCTCATCGAGATGGAGTTCATGCAGTTCATAGAGAAGCCCAAGGAGTGCCTCAAGCATAAAAGAAGTAAGAGATCGCCGATTTCTGCCTGACTGCGGGATGCAGGACTCTTGCAGGACTCCTGCCAAATCGGGGGCTCAACTGCAAGCACAGCCTGACTGAGAGCGTGCTCTGAAACAGCAAGATGTGGAGCCATAGGTCTATGTGCTTCAGTTTCTTTACCGTGGTACGTTCACAAAATGGTAGACGAGTCACAGGCGCAGAGTTTTAAAGCAATCAAACCTCTCGAGGACAATTCAGATGGCAGAAGGAAGGGGATGGATCTTGATAGCAGAAGAGGACTCGGACAGCAGAAGGGTCTTCGGATGCTTGGCACTATGATGCACGTGGCTGGTCGCGGCGAGAATTCCACGTGACCACGTGGCGGACATGAAAGGTGTTCTATCACGTCATTTGAAATCTGCCCCTCAATCGTGCTGTCGCGGCTTCTGTCTCCGATCTATGCCATGTCGCGAGGCAGCTTTCGCTGTACAGATTCAAATATCCTCATGGCCACAATCGGAGCCTTGGACAGCATTTACCACAGGGCGGGCAATCGCCAGCCAAAAGCTTAACAGGTAAACCCATTCTCAGGCCGTCCAGTCGGATCCGTCTTCTTGAGGTCATCGACCAGATGGAAGACGTCAGGACGAGGAACGACGGTTCAGGTTCACATGTGAGTTCGACTTTCAGAACAAGGCCAGTGTTTTGGACAGTTCATAACCCTTTACATCCCCTATCGAGTTTTCCATACCCAGTGGGAGTGGAAGGAGAATATCGAAAGAGCAGCGAACTGTTCTCCTGTCCATCTATCTATACGTCCATCCTCATCCCCATCCGGCTACTTGCATTTTTCGTATCGACTCGTATCAACACGGCCTGCCAGCCTACCCTCCAACGAAAATGGCTCGTGACCCATCTCTCAAAGACGCCGTTAAATCCAATCCCACGGCCCTGGGCGACCCGGTCTCCCTCAAGGCCGAACAATCAGACACCTCGCCCACAGAGCAAAAAGACCAGGGCGGCAGCACCCAGAGCCTCAAGCAGCGTGCGGAGCAGGATCTGAACGAGGCAAAAAAAGGGAATCGCTCAATGTTGGGCGATCCCGTCAGTCTCAAGGCCGAGACGTCGGATAGGGATCCGGTCAGCGATGAGGACGGGAATGAGGACGGGACGGGTAGGATTGGTGCGACGGCAGGGAGGGGGAGGAGGGCGGATTCGAAATTATGAAGTGGCCTCGAGACTCGCTTGTGCCGTGCTGGGAGGTGCAATCAATTGGTAGCACATAATTCATGTCCACTACCCTGCCTAGGTCGACTTCTCAGAATGTCATTCTCCTCCTAATAAACAGAGGTATGAAGCTGCAAGAATGTACGAACGGGAAGCGAGTATTCTGAGCATTTCATTCTGTCATTCTTCGTTGGCCTTTATTTCAGAAGGTAGGTAGGTGTCTATCTGTCCATCTCATTTATAAAAGGCTGTGCTCTTCCCCCTCGGGCATCCCCTACCCTAACTGCTCGTTAAATTTCCTTTTTCTCTGTCGCAACCTACACGTCCTTCGCCGTCGTGATGGCCTTGACGTTGGCGTAGGCCAAAATACCCAAGGTGCCGAACTCGGTGCCGATACCACTCTCCTTGACACCGCCGAACTGAGCCTCAGGCCCGGATCCGGGGGGCGTGTTGATCCAGACGGACCCGGCGTCCAGCTTGTCGGCGACTTCCTGCAGCTTCTTGGGGTCCGTGCCGAAGATGGTAGCCCCCAAACCGACCTTGAACTTGTTGGCGCGCTGGATCACCTCGTCCAGGTCGTCGTACTTCTGCACGGGCACAATGGGGCCAAAGGGCTCTTCCTTCACAATCATGCTGTCATCGGGCGGATTGTCGACGATGGTGGGCTGGATGAAGAAGCCCTGGTTGTCGGGCACGTCGCCGGACCCGAGGGCGAACTTGTAGCCGTGCTCCTTGGTGTCCTTGAAAAAGGTCTTGACCTTTTCGTACTGCATGCCGTTCTGGACGGGGCCCAGCATGACGCCTTCGTCGTTGGAGTTGCCGACTTTGAGGTTCTTGGTCGCCGTGACGAGCGCGGCCAGGAATTCGTCGTACATGGACGAATGCACATAGATGCGTTTTACGGCGATGCAGACTTGGGCAGTGTTCATAAATGCACCCTACACCAAAAAGTCAGTCCGTTGTGAACAAGAATCGAACAAGCGTTTTGGGGAATCATATACCATGGCAACCATGGGAGCCACTTTGGCAATGTTGGCGTCAGGGAGCACGATTGACGGGTCATTGCCGCCCATCTCCAAGGTGACACGCTTGACCGTCTTCGCTGCACCGGCCATGACTTTCTTGCCGGTGGCGATTGAGCCGGTGAAGCTGATCTTGTGGATGTCAGGATGTTCGACGAGGGCCGGGCCGAGTTTGTCGTCGCCGCCCAGCGCCTGGACGAGGCCGGGAGGGAAGACCTGGTTGGCGACTTCAACCATCTTCAGAGCGGTGTACCTGTTGTCCTCAACGTCAGCTCTTGACAAGGCTGGACGGAAAATCGAGACATCTAATGTCGTGGGACCTACGGAGTAAAAGGACTAGGCTTCACGATGACGGCGTTTCCCATCAGCACGGCCGGCAATACCTTGCCCAGACTGAGCACTAGAGGGAAATTCCAGGGGCAAATGGCCGCTGCGACACCCAACGGGACAAACTTGTGGACGACGGTTTTAGTGGGAAGGTCTTCCGTTTCACCCTTGGGCTCCTTCAACTTCATATGCCAGTCGATGTAGGCAGAGCAGGCCTGCACCTCGTAGGCACCAATACCCCGTGGCTTACCCGTCTCCTTGAGGAGCAGGTTGGTGAACTCCTCCTGATAGACCTCGAAGGCTTCCTTGAGGCGGGCAAGGCGTTCGACACGGTATTCCCATGTCGTGTTCTTCCACTCGGCAAACGCCTTGTTGGCGGCGGCAACAGCATCCTCAATGTCCTCGGGGGTAGCCACAGGGACGTCCCAGTTGGGCTGCTTGGTGGTCGGGTCGATACCCTGGTACTTTGTTTTTGAGCTGCGAAGTTGACCGTTGATGACATTGGAGAAGGTGTCGAAGGAGATGGTATCTACTTTAGAGGGAGCCATGGTGGGCGCGAGACTGACAATTGGATCTTGATCTGCTTTGGTCTTTTCCTTGCGGACTGCGAGGCGAGTGGGTAGAGAGAAGAGCGGCAGAAACAGAGGCAGAGCGGGTGGTTTTTCACCTTCCCCTCCTGGCCCAACTCACCTTTTTTTTATTCCTGCAGTCGACCGGTGCTTATCTTGTCCATGTCAGAAATCTTCCCCGTGCCACCTCTTTCAGAGTCCGTTCGCCCCCGTTCACGCCTCCCAAATATCACCCATGCCCCGCACGCGGCCGCTCGATGTTGGGTCCATACTACTGGCACCTACCGAGGCAGGGAAGATGCCCCGGTACCACGGATACCCAAAGGTAGAAATGAAGGCAGAATAATGCACGAGACGAGAGTCTTGCTGGGCGCAGGGCTCGCTATGAGTGGATGGATTGCCGAGGCAGGATCAAGCAGAGTTCGCCGAGTTCGTATTCGACCCTTTCATGTGGGGACAAATTTGGGATGGAGATGGGGATATAATGCACGGCGTTAAGAAATGGGATATGTGCTCGGACGAACAACCTGCTTCATGGTGGCGGGTGTAAGGTGAAGGGTGAAGAGTGAAGGTTGACCAGTGAATGATGGCTGATACTGTGTGTGTAGCATTGTTGTGGCTATGTTCGTGGACCACTTCTACCAAGTATTACAAAACCCACGTGACTGTCTGCGAATTATGAAATCCTATGCACCATTTGCATATCTGCAGCGTAGCCATGCAGCCATGCAGCCATACAGCCAGCTTTAGCCCTCGCTCGTGAATTTTGTTCATGATCCCCAGGTCAGTAATGTCATATCATACACAAAACCTTTCTCGGGCAAATCTCTCCATGGCAGACTGCCTCCAATCGTCACAGTGACCGGAGAGGTGTCGAATATGCCATCGCCGAAAGCTCCAAACGTCGAAAATGCCTTGCCTCGCCTTCCACCAAGAAAATGTGACTGTTGTTAAGACAAGTTTCGAGCAAACAATGTGCAGGGTACCCAGTCGATGTGGAGGAACACCTCTCCATAAGGGAACACCAATCCGGGCTCTAAAATGAGAAAAGTCAAGCTCTCTTGAGCACCACCACAAACATAGCCTTGCGTCCTTGGACATGGTCAAGATACGCCTCTAATTCATCATCTTCCTCAATGAGATAGGAAATCTCCTTGCCTGCGCCATCTTTGTCGATACCATTGATCTGCTCCGCTTTTGCATGGGGATACATTTCTTCGAGCATGGCATGAAGCTCCTGAACAGTTTGACCATTGAAAGACCCGAGCGAGAGTTTCGTGCTCGTGTACATGGTCGAGTTGGGATGTGGACGGATAAATACCGGCGTTCGCCTCGAGACTTGTGGGGTGCCTAGATGGTCCGCCACCTGCAACAAGTTGGGGTCGATTTGCAGGTCGGACAGATCATTCTGCGGTGCCGGGGGCGGTGCTTCACCAAATGGATTTGCAGGCAGGGCGTCTCGATATGCGCTAGTGGCAGAGGCTGGTGCGGGAGCGACTGGTGGCGAGGGTGGTAGAGGTGCAGTGTCTGCAGTGTCTGCTGCTGGCGTCAAGGGTTGAACGGACTTTTTCCTAAAAGTGCCCTTCTTCTTTGCCCGGTCATCTCGCACGCGTTTCATCACATCTCGACACAACAGCTCCATGGCCGCTAGCTTTCGGTTATGCTCGGGGTCGGCGTCGCCCGCTGCGAGGATGCTCTGGAGATATGAATTGTTGGCGACCCAACGATCCTTGAGTTCCTTCCACTTTGCCGGTCCCATCTCGAGCTTACTGGTGTAATACTCCGACTCGAGGATCTCGTAGAACTCGCCACGAATCTGTCGACTTTGATCAGGGTTCAATCCTAGCACCTTCTTAGACTCCAGGATGGTCAATCTACGACCCAGCGTCCGGATGCGCTTCGTAACATCGGTGCAGATGACGTCCAGGGCAAGTTCTTTGGGTTGAAGATTGCTGGTGTCCTGCCACATCACGGCCTGTAACAGGGTATTCTCACGAACCAGGCGATCCTTGACGGCTTGCCACTTCTCCGCCCCAGCAACCGTCTTTTGCATGATTTGCTCCTCCTCACAAATCCCTTGGAATTGATCGCGAATGGCACGGTACTGTCTCGCATCGAGATTCAATATCTTTCGGCTTTCCTCAAGCGTAGTCTCGGAGGGGAAACGTGGTGGCATGCCCGCGGGATCAGGTGGCAGACCTGCATACCCTTTGGTTCGACGACGGCGTTTCTTGTCTCTCCAGCGTTGGTCGCTGATGGCTTGAAGTTCTTGAAGTCTTTCCTTCTGACGCTCCACAAAATCTGGTGGTGGCTCTTCGGCAACAGGTTGGTGGTCTGGTTGGGCCATGTTTTCATCATCCTTCGCAGCCTCTATTAACTGTGCTTCCGGGTCATCGCCAGGTGTCTGCTTGGCACCGTTCGGAATGCGCATGAGCCAGCGATTTTTCGCGCGCAGTCTCATCAGTTCGCGTTCCTTGATATCGTGACCCTCGGCCTGAAGAGTGTGTAGCATATTGCGTTGACTGTAGTTTGCCTCCCATAGTTGCCTCACGCGATCAACCAGATCCTCGTCGCGGAAAGATGGCTTGCGCTTCGACGGAAATCCCCATCTCTTGAATTGTGTCTGAAAGGCGCGCTTGGAGGGAGTGAAGTTGGCAGCGTCGCGCATGTACTGCATAATCTCCTCGAGGGACTGAATCTGGTTAGCCGTGCGCGACTGGGGTTGCGACGACGAGTAACGAGTTGTTTTAACGTACCTTTCTGTCCTCGATGTAGAGCTTGTAGAGTACATCTCTGTGAGGGTCCCAGCTGTAAACCTGTTCGAGAGTCAAAATCGTGCGCCCACTCTGAGACGGTGGTCAATAATACCATGATGGCTTACGCGATTCGAAAAGCGCGGTTGATGCTGCAATGCGGTCGTGTACTGGAACTATGGTGAGGCGGGACATCTCGAAGGTGCAAAACTTGAAAGGAGACGGAAGGGCGGCGGGTGGCTGGTAATATCGGAATATCTATTTTCCGAAACTCCCTGCTCTGGTTGGCTTGGCAGGGAAGCCGCAAGGCTGCCACTCTCTCAAGGCTGCCTCATCCTAGGGATGTGTCTACAATTGGCTGTTAGAACTCGGTTTCATTGGTGCCACCCTTTATTTCACTGGTTACTATGTATCCCTCGGACCAATCATCTTTTTCCATTCCTCGTCAATACCGACTCTCTCATTCCTAGATCTTTGGAGCCAACGCTGCTGCCACTCCTTCGTCATCAGCTCCCACCGAGTCACTTCAGCATCTGCAAACGAGGCTGCAGCATCAGCACACTCGCCGACTTTCAACATAGGGACCAAGTGACCACATTCCGCCAAAACGACCTCTTTGACTCGATCTTCGGCTTGACCTCCACTCCCGCCCACCCCGACACCAGTACTCGCCATCTTCTTCCGCCGAAGCTCTGGCGTTGCGAGCTCAGACTGGTCTCCGAATATGTACAAAACAGGTGGCTTCAGCTCGGGAAGTCGACGGAAGATTTCGGCGGGTTCAGGTCGATAGAAGGGATATCCCTCCTCCACATCCTCCGGATGCATATCCCCATACACCACCCGATCCCTCTCTGGTGGAATTCCGGGAGTACCGTTATATTTTGGTCTTAGATAAGAGAAGACCTCTTGAGATTTGGGTGTAGTTAAAGTCACCTGTGGTTCTTTACTCTCACTTCTCTCTGGGTAGAGTTCCGTGGGTAAGTCCCGCAGACCATATTGCACCCACTTCTCAAAGACCCTGGGATCCCAGCGCTGATAGAATTTGCTGCTCGCGAACTTTTCCCGTGCTTCTTGACGGGATGGCCAGATATCTCGACGGTAAGTGGACGGCTTAGCGAATGTTTTGCTTGGATTCTCCGTTTGTATGACCGGATCGACCAGAATGAGAGCCTGCAACAGCCTGGGGTGAAGAAGTGCAAGTTGTGCCCTACATAACAGTCAATGCCATGCACTTTCAGATTGGCGAGTAGAACATACAATTGCGACGCCCCCATGCTGTGTCCAATCCCTACGAGTGGTTGAGGCAACTCATCTTGCTTCTGGTTTATCAGAAAGAGAAGATCTCTGGCACCATCCCACCAGTTTGCTGTAACACATTAGCAATCTCCGGAGTCTTTCTAAAGAGATCAAGTCCCAGACGTACGATCATTGCCCAGAGCTTCTTCATTGAGCGTGTGACTCTGCCCCTGATGAGCCAGGTCGGCAATCCATATTCCCCGGATACCTCTTCCCAAAGATCTTAGCTTCGTATATAGATCATCAAATAGAGGCTCATATAGCTCCTAATGATAGAATTAGGCATATGAACCCTCGACTAGCACGATGAGCAGTGGAACAAGAGAGCACTAACCTTGGGAAAGCCGTTGGCATGCGCCGCGATGAACGTGATATCGTTGGGCGCCGGGTCCCTCCGCTCATGAGGAACGTATTGCTTGACAGCGAGCCTCAAGCTGTTTTCGTAGCCAACTTCTGTTCCCCTCGGCCAGTGCCGCGTATGTTGGGCCCGCACTTCGTGTTCAATCACACGAAATTGGCTCAAGCTTCGTCGGAAGCTGGAGATATTCGCTTTCAAGCATCGTCCTATGGTGGAGGAGCCACTGCCACCGCGACCAAGGGTCATAATCTCAAGTTGCTTCCGGAGTCAAGTTTCTCGACATGTTGGTTGGACATGGTATCGTCCATGACTGGGAGTCATTCAGGGATAAAGGGATGATGATCATGACCAAATCGGCTTTTCGAATGGTACGTAGCCGAAGTCCACGGCGAATTCTCGGAGAAGAATGTTTGGTCTCTGTCGCCCACAACCTCCAGCTCTCTGAAGTAACCAGCAACTCTCAAGCGTGTATGATAACAGGTTCGATCCCAGTAATCGTGATTGAAGCCTGGCTCATAAGATGATGGGACTCACAGACTTCCTCAACGGGTGATTTGATTCCCCAGTCGGAACGCCTCGTGCGTGCAATGACTCAGATTTCGGGGGCGAGAGCCTCGCTTCGACCATAGACTTCCTTCGCACCGGAAATGAGCATTGCTATCCCACGAGCTTCTATCGGTAAGAGGGACTCAATTTAACAGGGTGAGTCATTGTATGGGAGTCGGCACAAGCGGTGCTACGCCACAGCAAGACTCCTTTGACATCAGCAAGAAAGAACAAATAAAATGAGGATGGCATTACAAGATCCTCGTCCCCTTCCATCAACTACTTGATAGGCTGAGTCAAAATATTGCACCTGATGGCGGGAAGCGACCGCCTAGGGGACGCAACGCCGAGCCAATCTTCAGATTTAATAGGTCGTTTAAGAGGTGTCGCGGAGAAGCACCTCAAAGATATCGAGGAAGAAAGACTGCAAGAGGAAAAGGACCAAGTGAAGAGGACACAAGAGCTGGAGCACTATTCGAAGCACAAGAAGCAGGGGAAGCAGGGACCGCCAAATACGCCCAGCGAGGCGTCAATCCCCAAAATGAGATCAGCCCAAGGTACGGCGCGCACACATCACCCCCCACACGCCCTTCGAGAGGCTGGCATACTGACGAATGCTTCGTAGATGTCCTCAAGCGGCTCCAATGGGATACTGATCTTGACATGTCAAGATACATCATTGGCTATCTGGAACGGTTCGCCGGTATCAAGGAACTCGCCGCGACCCATTGGATCTCCGAGGTCACCGAGGAAGACTGGATTCCCCAACATCGCATCAAATACTTCAAACGGGTCTCTGAAAATGGGGTGGCTGAGATTGTCTGGGACCGCGAAAAGCGAATCGACAAGATCTTCGGCAGTGGCTTGAGAGAGGACGATGAGACGGTGGATATTAATTCCGAGGATGGCGGTGTCAGTCTCCTACCGCAATAGTCGAAGCGATCTTGTATCTGGCTTTCCGGGTGGAAGTCAATGTGTGCGCGATGGGTTGCAAGGAAAAGCGAAGCTCGCATACAGTCACCCATACATTCCGCGGTCAGTGGCAACGGGACCGGGTGCGCGCCGGATAGACCGCAGAGATTTGTCGAGGGCGATTATTCCTCGGGACAGCATGGGGGTGTGCCTTTTCAGAGTATGGTGTTGTCTCGAACAAAGGAATATTGTAGATGCGAGGCTGCAAGCTGCGCATGAGAGACGCTAAAGTGCACCGTAGAAGGCACTACGTCAAAGTATATGACTGTACGGCGCCATTCACTATTTTTTTGGTTTGCCCGTTGCGCAATGCCATATTTATTTTTGTGTCACTCTCTTTCGCCTGCATGGCTCCCTGGGACTACTGATGACCTTCTTCACTGTGTAGTACGATGCTCTCCTAACACACCTTTCGTTAGAGACTGCCCATGTCTAGGCCAGTCCTCCAAGCGGTAGTAGACCTATACCAACAGATCCAGAGACATATTTCTCCATTCAAGGTCATGGCAGAGACGGCGGCCGCTGGCGCAGGCCACATGTCGTCGCCGTCAAAGCTGACAGGCAGGGCCTTCTACGAAAGCATCGGCAGCCCAAAATACATAATGGCTCCCATGGTCGATCGGTCAGAGTTCGTCCGTTCTCCCTCCATGCTCGCCGCTTCACCAGATGTGTTGACTTGTTCTCCAGGCTTGGAGACTCCTCACGCGGTCCTACCTCGATGAAGAGCGATCAAAGTCCTTTCTAGCATATACGCCTATGCTGCACGCGAGATTGTTCCGAGAAACAGCCAGATTTCGAGACGAACACTTCCAGCCCACCAAAAGCAGTCTGGTTTCCAAGGAGAGAGCCTCAGCGTCGCTATGGCTTGATGGCAATCCGACTTTGGACCGACCGTTGTTCGTACAGTTTTGCGCGAATAAGCCCGACGATCTCCTTGAGGCGGCACAATATGTCGCCCCTTACTGTGACGCGGTTGACTTGAACTTGGGATGTCCGCAGGGCATTGCCAGGAATGGGCGCTACGGAGCTTTTCTGCAAGAAGACTGGGACACAATCTACAAGATGATTAACAAATTGCACAATGAGCTCTCAGTTCCTGTGACGGCCAAGATGAGGATACTGGACACCAAGGAGAAGACTTTGGAGTATGCCAAAATGATTCTCTCTGCCGGCGCCAGCATATTGACAGTGCACGGGAGACGGAGAGAACAGAAGGGCCACAATACCGGTCTCGCGGACTGGCAAATGATTCGATACCTCCGGGAACAGCTACCGCCAGAGACGGTCATCTTTGCGAACGGGAACATTCTGAATTCAGGCGACCTAGAATCATGCCTAGCCGCTACTGGGGCTGATGGTGTCATGAGTGCAGAAGGCAACATATGTGATCCCACAATTTTTGCCGACCCACCCAAAGAATACAACCCCCGCGAGTACTGGTACGCGCCAGATGGGAAAGGGGGATACCGTGTGGACGCCGTGTTCAGAAGATATCTTGACATCATCCATCGCCATGTCTTGGGCAGAGAACCACCCGTGCGCAAGCCTCTTTATGTCCCCGGTGATCCTGAAGAGACGCCTCAGAACACCGAAGCGGTCGATGCTGAGCTTCCACCGAGAAAAAGACAAAAACGTTTGCCCAAGCAAAGGTTTGATCCGAGTCTCAGGCCAATGCAAGGACACCTGTTTCAACTCCTTCGTCCCTTGGTTTCGACGCACACCAACATTCGAGATGCGTTGGCACAAACACGATGCGGAGACATGGATAGCTTTGAGGGGGTTCTTGCCATGGTGGAAGCGGCGGTTAAGACGGGCCTCGATGAACATACCGCATCACCAGAGGTCGAACACAGACCTGCGGCTGAAGGCGCAGTAGAGCAGCTACACGAGAAGGAACTGACGCCCACAGAGAAAACCAGAATGAAATATCGGAGGCCGTGGTGGGTCTGTCAGCCTTATGTCCGGCCGCTACCAGACGAAGCTGTCAAGCTGGGTGCCATGCAACCGGTCAAGGGGACATCCAAGGAGGGCTCGAGGGAAGTCGCAGGCAACGAGGTCGATGCGGGCCGGTCAATCGATGTCGTTGAGACACCTGATCTGCCATTGCACAGCACTACGAAAGAAGAACTCGCTAAGCCTACCTTGGTTTTCGGCTGAGCATGATTGTCTTCACAGGATGCGGTGAATTGGCTCACTGCAGCATTAATCATGTGTACAACATCTGAATTGTTCAATTATACTTGTCGACCTGGTTTCGGTACCGACAGCCAGACCTTGTACGAAATGAGCGAGTAAAATTCCAAAGAAACTCCATACAATCGATCCGAAATAAATCCAAAACAGGCAAACATCTGTGACAACAACAGATCGACTTGTCTTTATCATCTCTTACTGCCCCACGCCGGTGTGCTCGTCGATACGCAAACGGCTCTCTCTCTCGTCGTGAAATGAAATCTACACGTCAGCAAACAAGCCACTCTTCCCGTCTCCGCCTCTCAGCTCAGTCTGATAGATCCATAGGAGCATCTTGCCCATCGTCATCTGATTCTTCGGCGTCCTCGCCCGAAGAAATTTCCATGGGAACCTCCTCGCCGCCATCTGACTCTTCTTTGTCCTCGGCGTCTTCCGCGCCATCAGCGACAGCTTTGGTCTTTTTGGATGGGCCTGCGTCTTCTTCGTCAGATACGTCGGAGCGCTTGCGCTTCTTGTCGGCTTTGGTCTTTTTGGATGGGCCTGCGTCTTCGTCATCAGACACGTCGGAGCGCTTGCGCGTCTTGTCGGCCTTCAGCTCTATTTTCGCAAACCACTTCTTGTCTGCTTTGACCTTGAAGCGGTCGACAAGCTCCTTGATGCGGCATCTGCGTTGCATCAGCGCCGCTATTGTCCGGTCAACGCGTGGTTCTGTCGACCCTGCCTGAACCGTGCCAGTGAATTTCTTGTTGAACTTCTCTGCCCACTCCTCCTTCTTCTCGGTAGAGACTATCAATCTCGTCTCTTTGGACGCTTTGGTAGACTTTTTCTTCTTCTCGTTGGCGAGGTCCTCGGACAACTTGATCAGATAATCGTCCTCCTCCTTGGACCATGGTTGACCGGGATCCTGCTTGGAGGCTTTGGTTGTTCTACCAACTGCCTGTCGACGCCAATTGTTCAGCAGCTGGATATGGGACGAGTTGTTCCAGTCAAAATCTACGCGACCCGACTGAGACCGTGTCGCCTTTGGTTTTTCAAGGTCTGGCCATTGGAACTTTCCCAATTGTCTGAAGCGCTTGAAGGTATACTTACCCTTGGAGATGTGCTCGACGAGGAATTTAGCCGGATTCGGACAACCCTTGTACGCTCTTTCGACAGGATCACCATCGACGCTGATGAGGAAGCCTTCAGCACTATTGGGCTTGTTGCCCTTTCTGGGCTTCTTGGCCTTTTTGCCTTTGCCTTTGCCCTTCCCCTTCTTCTCCTCGTCCTCCTGCGTGTCGGAGACTTCTTCTGGCGTATACTGATCTGGCTCTACACCCCACTTGTCGTCCATGAAGATTGCTGCTGGAGCTTCACATTGTTCGGGCTTGGGCCATTTCAACGACATCTCGTTGACGCCAACACGGATGCCGAAGCTGATTTTATTTCCCTTGGGGTCTGCCTTGGTGGATCTTTTGACCTCCTTCTTTGACGGGTGAACTGGAGGTACTCCACGCAAAAACCAAAAGGAAATGGCCTCGATCAAATTCCAGTTCTGCTCCTGCAACAGCACACGAAGGGACCACCAATCAGGTCTCCCCGTGATGTTCATGAACTCGGCCAGCCGTTCATCTTGTTCTCTTGTGATGTCGACCTCTTCAGGGTCAACTTCTGACGGCAGATGCGTGCGCATCCGGTCATAGTCACTCAGTCTAAGGCGAATATCGTCCAACGCTGTGAAGCTGTCGATCGCCTCGCCAAGATCCCACAGATTGACGTGGAGAAGGAGGATTGCTTCTGAAGGACTCAGAGTGGTTCCGTCGTCTACCTCGGATTCAAACTGCAGACGAAGTGCCAGGGCGGCGTCCCGACGCTCTTGTTCCAAGTTGCTGTTGAAACGGGGGCCGATCTGGCTTTCGCGCATAGCCTTAAATGTTCTCTTTTTGTTGGAATTGTCACTTGTCGCCGAAGCATCAGAAGCATGAGAACCGGGAGAAGCAGCAGCAGCAGCAGCAGCAGCAGCAGGTGCGGCTTTAGGAGGAGGAGGAGGAGCTGAAGAGCCAGCAGCAGCAGCATTACTGGCGGGGGGACTTATGTCGCTTGAGCTATCGTCTTCAGAATCTTCGCTGCTGGAGTCTGAACCTTGTGGGTCATCACCCGCAAGCATCCTGGCCCTATCAGCTTGCCACAAGTTATAGGCGGCATCAGAATCCCAATTTGTGGTCTCGAGGTATCTCTCCAGCAAAGAGCGGTCGGTGACGTTGGGTCGGAGCCGGTCTCGCAGGGCGTTAACTGCTTTCCTGCGCTCGATGGATGTCAAGGCACGCGGGCCACCAGATCCGGGCGGACCTCCAGGGGGACCTGCAGGGGCGGACATTTTGTGTCTGTTATATATATCTGGCTGGTGGTAGGTAAGGTCGGGTGAAGAAGCGGTTGGACTATATTGAGATACTCAAGGGAGTGGAAGAAGTCCTTTGCAGGGTTTTAAGCACGTTCTCGCCAACCCGCCGTGTTGAAGCGATCTTTATGTGGCCCGGTACTCGATGGCCTACCCTTTGTCTTCAGACAGCGTCTTTGTGCCATCAGCTTCGCTTCTGTGACAGTGGCTTCCATATCGAAGATGCAGAACCTGACCCATGCGGCCCTTGTAAGTGTGAGTGAAGGACTGTCGATCCGTATTTTGAACTCTTTTGACAGATTCTCAGCAGATTTTCACCTACAAACCAGTCACGCACATTCTGGATGCCTACATGTACAGTCAGTACTTCCTTGACGTGTGAGATGGAACTCTCATCTCATGGCCGGGAAGAGGAGAAACGCATTCGCCGGGTTCAGGCGACGATCAAAGAAAGGGAAAGGACTGTGCTCGCTTCCCATGCACACTCCTCCCCAAGTGCTCTTTCTGCTGCGTCCGAGAGCACGAAACGGCCATTGTCGAAACCTTTTTCCCTTTCCGAAGACGGCTCGAGCTACCGGGGCGGGAGAGGACTATGGCAAGATTTTGCAACAAGAAAAAAATTCTTTGTTCGTCTGTCATCCATCCCCAATGCGGCCAGTGTGGCCAAAGTCTTGTTTCTTGGTTTCTTCTCGTGCAAAACCGCCAAAGTCCATTGTTTCTCGCTATTGTGTACTGGCTGGGAGGGGGGCGGACTCGCCGGATCCGGTCGACTCTGGTCTGCATCTCCTCCAGCTGTGTGCGGACGAGCTGTTGGGTTGAAGTGTCTGTCTGTCTCGAGACGCATCCCCGCCCCATTCCGCTGGCTACCGGGGCGCCAGCAGCATGTAGCCCTGCGCACGAGCGCTCGATTGCACATTTCGTAGATGACCCGACATTGTCCCCCGTCGCGCCACGTAAATAATACGTGTGCGAGCTCAGAGCTTAGTTTTCCTGCCTCTCTCCTTTCCACCCCGGCAGGCGTGGCTGTTGATACTTTTTTTCGAGAGAACCCATTTTTTTTTTTTGGATACTCGTGCAATCCATGTAAGAAGGAGGGCAGTTCTGCAAAATGTATCTCAAAATGAAATAGCTGGTGTCGGGGCTGCGGGGTTAGTGATGCGATGCGATGCGTCAGTCGATGGATCTTATGGACGAGGCTGACTGTGACAAGCCCCCCCTTTTTCCTTCTCAGAAGGTCGAGGCTTTGGAGCTCGCGAGTCAGTCAGTGCCGAGAAAATTTACTCTACACCGTCTTTTCAACCACATGTCCATGCTGGCAACCTGGCCAAATACACACACATACATCCATGCCGCTGGGGTATGTGCTGTACCTCGTACACACTAGGCTGACTAGGTAGATACCTATCTGATAATTAGCATGGCAGAGGGATCTCTTAGTTGATCTATTTCCCATGGTACCACTACAACACAATTTCCTAGGATCCCGCTCCGTCCCTCCCTCCCACTCGCCAGGTGAGTGAATGACCATGAGTGCCCACTATCTACTGCCCACTGCCCACTTATTACGTTCCGTCCGCTGCGAACAGTGGCTCGAAAAGCCGTCTCTGGAATCTAACAAAGTAGATGGGGTACACGATATACCGAGTCTTTGTGCGTTTTTCTCATTGTCCTCGGGTAAGGGCCGCAAACGGCGAGCACGTAGCATTAGCCTGACCGTGATCGTGATCGTGGCCGTGGCCGTGACCGGACGTCCAAGGATCGGCATTTTCTTCAGGACCCGGTTGGGATCGAGGAGCAGCAGGGGCGAGGCCAGGTAGATAGGCATCTGTTTGGTTAATCAGATAGTCAGTCGGTGGGAGACAGACAGTTCAAGGCAATGCTAGTCTCGGGGAAAGTAAAGGTGCGACGGTGCGACGGTGCGATGGAGTTACAGGGACTGGCATCGATAGGAGACAGAAGACAAATGATATGATACGATAAACTACCCAGCACATCTATCCATCCATCCATCCATCTATCTACCTGACTATCTACCAACCTTGACCATCAAGCGCATTCGAGCTCGCAATAGATTGGCAGGTTTCTTCTTTGCTCTCTCTTTTTTCCCCCCACCAAAGTGGTGGTAAGATTTGGCAGAAAACAAGCAAACACAAAGCAAAATGTGCCACGGAAACGATTCACAGGAAGTCGGTATCGTAGTCCCCCATTCGTACCATCATTGGGTAATGAATGACCTCTCACATTCTCTCTTGCGTCAATACTTGGACTTAGACTCCGGGCAGATGTTCCCAGCTCGATTGTCAACCAATTAACCAAAACCCTGTCAGAGATTCGGGGCATGGGGGATGTAACAATAACAAAAACAACAACAAAATCGTCATTGTCATCGTCATTGTCATCGTCATCGCCATCATGCTCCATACAGGTCCGAGTCCTCTTCGTCTCCTTCTTCGTCTTGAGTGTTAGGAGGCTGGTACATGGTGTTGCCCCCGTACATGGTGTTGGCGCTCGGGTCGGCGCCGCTACCACTCCGGGGTTCAGCATTGGCTTCAGCGTTGGCATTAGCGTTGGCTTCAGGTTGAAGAGCAGTCTGGGACCCGCCAGTGCCAATCTGTATTTGATTATCAGCTTGACCTTGGTCGGCGCCACTGTTCGCAGTGCCCCCGGCCCTTTCCAGCTCAAAGTCCGAGTCCGAGTCACTTTTCAAGTAATCCTCGTCGTCGACGTTCGTGAACTTGGCCTTATCGGGCTTCAACATAAAGTGTTTGGCGTAGGCGGCGATTCGGCACCGGTGCTGCCTGATCTCGTGGTGGCTCCGCGGCGGCCGAGGCACGTCGCTCACTCGACTCATGTCCTTTGTTATTGACTGGAAAGTCGCGCTCTTGTATATGGTCTTCGAAAAGAATCGCTTGCCCGAGAAAGCGGCATTGAAACGCTCCACGAGATCCTCACAATCGCCAGAGGTCAACGGGATGGGGAAATTGTTGCCGCTTTCAAACTGCTCTTTGGTCCGTTCGTATGCTTCATTCGGTGGGTTCCCGGTCTGCTTAGGGGAGCTTTCTTCTAGACCTGCTCTTTCATAGAACTTCTTCTCAATCCGCGAGCCTTCTTGTTCCACGAGCCATTGCTCCTCGTACTTGTTGAATGGTCCACCGTTAGGTTCGCCCCTACCGATCCCTGTGATTTGGACAAACCGGTCGTTTCGCCAGCGGTTCAGTTGCGCAATGTGTCGCTTGTTGTGCCAATCAAACTCCACCTCCTCCACCTCGTCATCATCCAGGTCATCCCACCGAAAGGGTACATTCCTTCGTCCCGAGCCCCTGGACTGCCCTTGGAACCGTTCGAACTTGTATTTGCCCTTCTTGATATATTCGACATACAGCTTGGTCCGATCTGGACAGTGGACGACTGCTGGACGGCGATCAAGGTCGATGAGGGCTCCACGAGGATTGCCTGTCGCGCCACGGTTCCCGCTGATATAATCGCGGCCCGGGACATCATCATCCTCATCCTCGTCATCACTGTTACTTTTGCCGACGTCGCCGTCGTCTTCGTATTCTTCACGGATCCAATACCGTGCCGGACCCCGACCTCGGACTCGGATCGTCGGCTTTCTTGGAGTCTCTGATGGATCTTGCCCTGAGTCTTCAGGCCTCGAATTGGATTCGTTCTGGGGGCCTGGTCTGGACTGCACTTCCGACTCCATTTCATCCACGGCGTTCTTCGGTCGCTTTTTCAATGTAGAGGGAGGTGAGCTGAGCACGTTCGAAAGCTCCTCGGGTTGGCCTCCTGAGATGGCAGTCTCTGGGTTACTGGTCTCCAGGTCGCTATGGTTGGCATCGCGCTTGCGCTTCTTGGTCAGCCACTGATTAAATTTATCGCTGTCGTGGTCAAAAAATATAAAGCGGGTCCCTTGGATCTGAGGGGGACGATTGGCATTGACAGCCCGCAGGCCATCATCGGCTTCTTTTTTATCCTCTGGGTCGAAAGGTGGGAATGTCACGTGAACCTTCCCAGCCGTCATCCACGCTTCGATGGCGGCCGCAACATCCCAGTTGTGATTGTTGAGCAGTTGCCGGGCCGAATGAACGCTGTTAGTGGCCGAGATATTCAAGAACAAAGCGAGCCTCTGATCCAAGGCCAACTGACTGTCTGCGGGCTGGCGTAGCCGGGCAGCCTCATCTTCGAAATCGTCGTAGTTTCCGTCGCGTTCGGCAATTGCTTCAGCTATATCCTCCGGGACGAAGTTGTAGGCGTAATGTAACAGCATCATTTCGAGGTTGCCAGTTGTCCGTTTCGGGTCACCTCTCCGCAGCGCACTCTGCATCTCGTGTACCTGGTGAAGTCGCTCTCGTTCAACGGTTGTCCGATTGCGGATGTGTGGCCCAGTCGTCGCAGAGGGTGGGGTAATTGCTCCCTGTTTGAAACCCTTCCACCGATATGCCGCCACGGCACGGTTGACATCCCACCCGTTGTTCTTCAGGCATGTTCGCACAACATCTCGTGACAACATATGAGGATAAGCAGCCTGGTGTCTGAAAGCTGTCATGCGCGCTTCTTCTTGCACCTCGCCTTCCGGTTCGGGAGGAGTGGATGGCTTCTCTTGGAAGGCAAGGCTACGAATGACTGGCAACTGCGCAGGTGGATGTGTCCCAGCTTGACTGGCAGATGGCCCGGACGATGTTCCAGAGCCAAGGCCACTTGGACCCGGGGTACCTTGACTTGGGTTCATGCTTGCAGGTTAGAAATCCCTGTAGAGTTGAGACAGAGAAGACGAGACGAGGGGCCTCTTCAGAAGACCTGAGGAGAGCTCCCTATTTAGGGTCTCCATCATGCAAAATCCTCGTCGCATCAACAGCCGCAAGCGGATGTATCGAGGACGAAACGTATAGCAGGTCTTTGTGCAGGCAAAAGCGGGTTGCAGCTCGTTTGGGACGAGGTCTGCGAGGACAAAGAGCATTGACACAATAGCCGGGTTCGAAGTCGACAGCAATAAGCATGACTCCAGGTAGATCATCGCTATTGATGTTCTAAAATGTACATCGCAACATGGCACTGCAGAGACACTCGCAAAGCTTTGGCCGTTTTGTGCCACGGCGTTGCTGACTTGAGATCAGAGCGTCTAGTTTGACCAGAGAAGACATGGCCCGTTCCGGATCAAGAACTGAAAGTAACCGAGTTTGACGGAATCCATACCAATTGTCTGCGCTTTGACCATTGCAAGATATGTGGGTTCCAACGGTGCCCACACACAGCCGCGTGCGATTCCCCGGTGACGCTGAGGTCATGATGAGCTATGTTGTCTCTTACATTGCGTGACTGGTCGAGACGATATACTGTAAATGCACAGCTCAGAAGTCTTCCGCTTCGGAGAGCGATGTTTCCCGCATTCGTAGAGCTTGCAGAGCCGTCATAGCCATGAGAGAGCGAAAACAATAATTGGAAGAAAGGGGGCACATTATTGGCACAAACGCTGTTTGCGGCTCAACAAAGGTACCCGCATGGCTGGAAGATATCAGGTCGAAAGCGTATCACTGGTCAGTCTAGACATACAGGAGCATGTGATCCGTAGAAAAATCGAGGAGGGACTGCATTGGTGACAATATAACTGTTCTTGAGAAGTGAGAGGCAGAGCGTTCGAAAGGAGATGTTGACTGACAGGTTGAATGTGGTGAATGTGCCAAGAATTCCCCAGCACCAGCCAGTCTCGTGACTCGGCCCCTGGTTTCTTGGCAGCCTTGTGCCCATCAAGTCAGAAACCACGCGGCGGCAAAGGCGGACATCTAGGAACATCAGACAGGGGGGAGGGGACCAATGAAGCAGAGGCGTACAAGGAATGCAGAGCGAACGAATCATTTTATTTTTACGAAGAAAACTGTAATCATCGCAACCTGGCCGTCTCCCCAACTACTTCCTCCTTCGGACAAGGGTTTATCGCTCCCCGCTGTTCAGTCGTTCCCTGGTATCTCTAAGCTGAAGGCTCTCAAGCTCTGGATCTGAGGACTGTGCGTCTAGTGGCATCATACCCAACTTTCTTCATCCACTCTTCGGCACTCTTGACTCTGTCAGGCAAGATGCGGTCCAGCAAAGCGTAGTCTCGCTGGATCACTCCTTTGTTGTCTGCACTATTCCGATACAGGTTCCACCAATTGGTAAAGTTCTCACCAAACGTCATGAGGAGAGCGTTTTCGTCCTTGACCGAGGAAATCCCAACCTTTGTGTCTGCACCTTTCGGCAAATACTTGAAGTACTTTTCAACGGTCTCCGCGACGGGCTCGTCGACATATTCAGCCCGCTTGCCAGTTGCAGCCGTAAAAGCCCGGACAAGTTCAGAACCTGAAACATGTGCAACAGCAATGTCGAGCACCATGCCGTTCGCCTCGTCTTCGTGGGTGTAGATCCATGCTGCATAGCGCCCGAAGTCTTCAAGGTGGACAAAGGGAATGGCGCCTTGACCAAGCGGTAGCTTGAAACTGTAAACATCGTCGCTGCCTCTTTCTGGGAGGAGGAGCTCCCAAAGCATCTCAATATAGGGTCCCGAATTCTACACATGACCTTACGTCAGCTGCCGCAACAATGTCCTCTCCCGAGACAAAATGTTCTTCGTAGAACAGAAACTTACAATAACGGTCCAAGCCATTGGACTAGTCGGTTGAGAGCGCATCCACTCTGGCGCAGGCAGTCAGCGACGGGCGTGCTTGAGGTCAAATAGCAGCTGTTCCATACCTGTGACTCTTGCTTTGCCTTCATAATGCCCCACATAGAACTTTGGATCATATCCAGTCTTCTTGCCATTGTAATCGAGGCCGCTCCAGATCAGATGTTTCACGCCAGCTCTGGCAGACAATTCAAACAGCCGAATTCCCCAATAGGTTTCGGCTTGTTCTCCAAGCGCGAACCCATCGGTGTTGATAAAGGCGTAGTCAGATTGTTGAGCAGCTTCATAGAATGCGTCAACATCATACCCGAATCCTGCATTGTTTTGGACAAGCTCGACATTGGGAAGGCCGGCGATCGCCTGGGCGGCAGGCGATGTAGTGCTACGCGTCAAGGCGAGAATTTTGTATTCGTTTGTGGAAGAGAGGGTCTTTATGATGGCACCCCCTTGGGCGCCGGTTGCGCCAACGAAGACGATAGTCTTCATGTTCATATCAATTGAGAGATGTGAAAGTCCGGGATCAATAAGGTCTGCGGCTCTTGGATAACGAGCTGAAACATTGGGCGGAGTGTTGAACCTTTTATATTTGGACACCGTATTGGGCGGCAATGCTATTGACCCGACCCCGTGCACGAAATCCGGCGATCGACGATGAGTAACTGATCTCGTACCAAAGGCAGACATATTGGAGTGACCAGACGTCAGCACAGTGTACAGACGGGATCTCGGGAAGGTTGTTATCACACAAGCAGAAGCACTGTGACATCGTACCACTCCATTCAAGTTTTCCACCAAGTTGGTTGCGAACAGCAGAAGATCAGAGAACCGTATAGCACCATGACTCGGCCGACGAATGGAAGAATGTCATTTCGTGATTTCACAGCCAGTGGCGCCGAGTAAGTTGGTAATGTATGGCTCAAGTGTTAGATGTGGCTTCATGATTGGTAGTTGTTGCGGCCGGAGCTGTTAAGTAATCAGGTCGATGGCGATGAGTGGAAGAGCCATAAAGATAATCATTTCGCACTTTCGTACTCGAGATGCCTCTGGCCAGGGTGATTATTTGAAGTCACGGAAGTCTGTTCTTGTAATGCCCTGGGTTCAGGGACCTAGGCTCGAGCAGTGCTTTTCTGGCTTCAGGCTTCGGGCTTCAGGTACCAGGATGGATGTTTACTCAGCTTCTCTAATTCAGCTCGAGGCAGGGCTGAAGGAGGCACAATGACGTTGTCAAGCGCCAGGCAATACATCAAAAGAGTCAGCAGTACTATACCTTGGCTTGCGGAAAACGATCACGAAACTGGGAAACATGTTGAACCAGCTGGAGAATTTATCGAAGGGCAAAAAGGGATGGATTGATAAATACAAGTGGAGAGGTACCCAAGAGGACGTGGAGGGGATGCTGACACATCTGTCAGGTGACTTCGCGTTTCTCTCGGAGCGCGTCGCCTACGCACGTCGTGTGTCGTGTTTCGCGGGGCAGAGCCACTTTTGTTGACTGCGGAGGACGATCCATCCCACCCTCCAACATCTACTCGGTACCATCGTCGTGTATCTCGATCCTACACCCCTGAAAGATGGTTTGAGCATATGGTCGGACGCACGTTTGTATAGAACAAAAAGCCGCATTGAACACAAAGCAACCGTCGTGGGTAGGCGTGATGGATGCGTTGGGTGGAAACAGTGAGATCCCCAATCCCAGTATGGCACACAATTCTCAAAATCCACGTTATATTCTACCTGTCAACCCTGTTCCCGCACTGCTGTCTGTCGCTTCCAAGACCTTTCTCGCTCAATATTGCCACTGACGGACGCCATGCTGATTGAAAGTGACGTGAAAGCCCTGCTGCGTCCGATCGTATCGCCCGACGGCAGATCATTGGCAGTCATTGCACCGGACGAACGAATACATCTCATCGATTTATGTGAAGCAGCCAAAGGACGGAGATTCATCCATGGACTCAAGCTTCCCAGACCAGAGCGCACTTTCCTGCGAAGTTGCACCATCCTCCGCTGGTCACCGGAAACCATACTTAGCCCTGAAAGCGAGGCTGCGGAAGAAATCCTATCCGCCACAACATCCGAGTGTGACTATGGAAGATCCTGGCTGCTTTTGTCAGATACCAAACGCCTGATTGCTCTAAGCACAGACATCAGAGCGCCGAGGATGATGTCCGAGATCGACGATGAGACAGGTGCAAAGTCCAATATCCTTGCGGATTACAATCTAGGGGCCCAGCTTGGAAAAGCCAGTCACGTAGACTTCGTCTTTAACCACAGACACGCACTAGTCATGTTTGAGTTTGGCTCAATGGCAGCCGTGCTTTCTCTGACCAGACCTCAACGAAACGAAATTCCCCATGTCAAGTTTCCAGATATGAGAAGTCTGGCAAAGTCGCCGGATTCCAGGTATTTTGCCCTGCTCCGGCGCGACAAAGCACAAGACCGAGTGACGGTGTTTGAACTGGGAGACGACAATCAAGTCATATACAAATCCTTCGATTGCAACACTTCAGATGCCCAGGACGTGACATGGTGCCCGACTGGTCAACCACTTCTGGCTGTACGGGACTCGTCTACCTATGGTGTTAAAGTCTCGTTCATGACCGCAGAGGGCCATACACTCAGACAACTGGAAATCAACCCTTCGGTATTCCAATGGGATCTCAATCTTGCTCTCGTCAATGAAGCCGAGGGTGTGGGTCTCACTTTCTGGAGTTGGACCAGAGCAAACAGACACAACAACGCTCTTACACTCCAAGCGCTGGCAAATGGACAGAAGCAGGTGCTTGTGAGATACCAGTCCTCCAACAGTATGGGTGCTCGTATCCGAACGAAACTCGTGCATCCAGACGTGATCAACGGTGCAACAACATTTGCATGGTTGGAGTCTAGCAGATCCACAACCGAGAATTCTCCAACGTTCGCAAGACAGTCGGGAACTTTCGAGGTAGCGAGCACATTGTCTAGCACCGACTCAACTTTGCAGAACCGTCATGGGTCTCATTCGCAGTCCTCGGCACAAGAAGTCGACCAAGTTGACTTCGTAGAATTGAACTCAACTCATACGCTGCTTGCCACGCGGCTACGGGCCTCTCCACGAACATTGTTCATCTGGAATGCACACAAAACCGCAAATCCCCTCGCCGTCCTGATTTTCGCGCATTCCATCCGTCAAGTCCACTTCCATCCTTACCTTCCGCATGTCCTCATCATCCTGACAGCGGCAAAACTACCAAGACTCTATGCTTGGTATCACCATACCCTGCCTCCCTCGGCCGGTCTGCTGCCGATTGACGTAAGCGGATCACCAGACTTTTGGGGAGCTTGGTTGCCGGGATGCATCACGCATAATGGCAGCAATGACCGGTGTCCATTTCTCTTTACCTCGAGCACCGCATTCGAAGCTGGCTATTTGTCTACCCGCGAGGGACAACTGGTTTTCGAAAGCATCTTGCGTCGTCCCCCACTTTCCGGAGACTTGACCATGAACCTAGGTGATGACGAGTCAACCACGGAGGTGATAGAGACACCGAGTCGACCCAGCAAGCAGAAAGCCAAAGAACCCGAGAATGGAACCACGAAGATGAAGAAGAAGGCCCGCTTTGATGTTCCCCCGAATCCAAAGACTGACTGGGTGGATGATCCAATACATGCACAGGCCGGGTACGCTTACGCCTGGTGATATTCTATTGGTTGTTTTCAGCCCGTTCGTTCGAAAACAATAGAGCCAACCTGACAGAGGCTTCTGTAAATATGCTACTCGGTTTCTGGTACGGTGACTGCGGTTCACGTCGACTCAACCCAATATCGGCGACCGCCTGGTACGCCGACTGCCTCAGTAAGATGGGCATTGGTGAGATGTAAGAGTACAGGCGTCAGGGAGAGGTGATAGAACTCGGAACAAGGAGACAGACAACCAGAAGACTATGGTCAGACTGTGCAGATGGATAGAAAAGGAGAACAGGATTGTGTCTCTATCATCACGACGAAATGATTAGGTGTTCGACAGGCACCTTCAAAATGGGCGAAGATGTTGGAACAGGAAACGGATAAGAAGGAGAGAAGGGAGCGTTCTTTGTTCCTTGGACCCACGAAATGTGCAGAATGCACCAATGTAAAGTAGACACGAGCAGTTCGGATCAGAGTACGACCTCCCAGTTGCGTTATTATCATCCATCTACCCATCCTTTTCGGCTCTTCAGCTCTGCTCTTTCGCTCTGCACATTGAAGCCTTCCTCGCCAGGTCTGATCTAGAGGCGTCGAGACACTCGCCACCTCGAATGATCAGGGAGATACAGATCAGACAGAGGAGAGAGGAGGGAAGAGACAGGAGGGAAGAGAGAAGACCCTAACCCTACTTAGCTGTGTAGGTCCTGTAGTGAGCCACACGATTGAAGAGACAGTCGATCGACGGTGGTATTACCTCCATGGGTAGGGTTTCTATAGTATATAGGTACCTACCGTGCTGTATTTATGAGGTAGGTTATGTTATATTAGTAGAGGGAGAAGCAGAAGGAGACCTCGAATAACAACCTAATATTGATTAGGATTATGTAATTCATTATCCAACGTTTTTCAATCCCAATCTAGGTCTCGTTCTTTGTTGTTGCGTGCGTGCCTTGGGTTTCCGAACAGACACAATTCCCTACATACCCTACATACCTACCTGCCTAGATAGAGGTGTAGGTGTGTCTGGGGATGTATGTGTGTGTGTATAGACGCCTTACACGCCTCATGAACCTTGCTCAATCTGCCCGGCCAACTGGGCCGGCTGGTCGAGACCCGGCGCGCTGACCAAGCCGCCCTTGCCGCCCCCGTCGACGATGTTCTGGCCACACTGGACCTTCCAGTTCTTGGGCACGTAGCCGTCGGCGACGCGCTTAAAGGCCTCGAAGGTGCACAGCGACTCGTCGCCGCGGTAGTTGTTGCCCGGCTGCGCGCAGGCGGGGATCTTCATGACGCGGTCGTTGTACCGGATCCGCACGTAGTAGCCGTCCAGACGGCGCTTCTGGGACTCGGACAGCTCGGCGTGGGGGGTGCGCGCGATCAGGTCCTTGGGTGGCACCGAGGGGGAGAGCGTGGACGAGCGGGACAGGGACGGCGTGGAGAGTGGACTCGCAGACGACGAGGCCGACGAGGTCGACGACGCGTCTCTCGAGCCGGTAAAGCCCCCGTCGCTGGTGGGCGATCGCAGGCCTAGGAAAGAGGCAAAGAATCCCGGTGTCGCGGCCTGGCTCTTGGGTTCGGTGCTCGCCGGCGTGGTGGGCGTGAGGAAGTCTGCGTCAGGCGAATGTCCCTCGGCCTCATCTCCATGGTCCTTCTCCCTAAAAAGCTCAAAGGCGATGTGACTCGTGTAGGGCGGCCATTTCTCCCCGCCAAAAGCCCCCAGACTCGTCAGGACGCCCGCCAACGTCGTGTCGTGACAGCCGCTCAGCGCGAACCTGATGCCCGTCTCACCGCCGCGACCCATGCCCAACCGTCCATTCTCGCCCCCGATCTCGTTGATCGAGAGGCCCGCGCCCTCGATCTTCGAGGTCATCCGCTCGACGATATCGCCAATCAGGCCCCCTATGCCCAACATCCGATACTCGCGGTTCTCGTTGTACCCGGAGAACCACTCCTCCACGCCGATGCGGTCGATGATCTCGCGGGCACGGGTGTCGTAGAACTCCTTGGGGAGACGGGTCTCGGGCCCGTGGGCGAGCGTCGAGTTTATGGTGTCCATGATCCCCGAGAGACGCGGGTGTGAGTCGACCGCGATCTTCTTGTCGCTGGTCTCGGGCATCCATTTCCCCATCAGCTTCGTCAGGTATTTCATGTCGTCCGAGTCGTTCCACCGGTCGGCCGTGCGTTGGGCGAATGCCCGGCTCAACTGCGCAAATCTTCGACAGTTGCCGTCGTTGGGGAAGAGTGTCTCGTCGGCCGGAGTGCGTGTCACGATCGTCGGTGGCGGGAACGCCGCCGTCCGGGACGTCAGAGGGTACATGCCCCAGAAGGTCTGCTGGACCGACTCCAGGGCGCGGGGGAGAGGCGTCGAGCGCAGGTAGATCAGGTCGGCATTGGCGATGAGGGAGGGCATGAACCGGAGCTGGTCCACGTACAGAGTGCGCAGACGCGTGCCGAGCGTGTACGTCGATTGCCGACCGGCGTCGGTGAGTTCGCCTAGTTGACTGTATCCCAGCAGTAAGTCTTGAAGCTCTTATCTTGGGTGCGGGTGTGTTGTATCAACTCCGCAAAGGATTCTTGTCTTCATACCAGACCCCGTCAACCTGTCCCTTGGGTCCCGCCGCAATGACCGGCCCATCATCCTCGCCAAACCGCTCGAGTCTTCTCCGCCACTGTAGAGAGTTCCACTGTGACACGTCTTGCGGGGTCATGGCGACGGAGCGCAGGCGTTGCGCCGCATTACAGTAGGGCCAGTACGCCGGCAATCCTGCCTGTGGTTTTTGTCCCCGCGGCGGTCAGCACATGCCACCACTCCCTAGGTGTCCCGCGAACAGCCCCCTCGAGCAAAGAGGTACGGGGTATTTGCTATGATAGACTCACGTTTCCAAATCTCGCTGAGACGGGAGCGCGTTCTCCATGACGTAGGAGGACTTGGACGAGCCGCAATTCGAGGTCTTTGGGGTAGAGTTTGTCGAGCTCGTCTTGCGTGTACGGTGGGCGGAAATGGATCGAGGTCATGGTTGTAAGGGGGGACTACACTGCGTGTAGAGGAAAATCGAGGGCTATCATGGGCACGAAAGAGAAAAAGGGCATGGTCAAAGACATTTGGGAGTTATCAAAATGTCGGGCACTAGAAGGATTGGGGAAACTAGTTGACTCGGCTGTAATTATCGATCTGGGAGCAGAGTCAGGCGTCCCCATGCACTTTCGGCTGTAGTGCCTGATTGTGATACGCAAGCGAAGATCCAAATAACGTGCTTTCGGCATCAATTGCAGGGCATCATTCTACATAATAAAAGATTCCGTTTCAGCAGGCAAGGGTATCTGTATCCTGATTCTCTAGCCCAAAAGCCATTCGTGTCGTCATCTTTGCAGTCGCTATCAAATGTGTAAATCATTCATCCTCCGGCCTACGCCCTGGGTCTCATCAATGGGGCTCACAGGGTTGCTTCCAAAAGGACCGCTCGTCGGATACGATGAACCCCCATTTGGTGCTGTCGCGCCAGTAGTCGGGCCCCCTCCATGCATCGTGAGATGTTCTGCCGATGATTCTTGTCGGTGTACATAACTCGGTGTTGGTTGGTACCCTGCATTGTAAGGACCAGGACGCTGTTGATCGCTCGGCAACTCTTGTGGATACTGGTTCGTAGCATATTGCTGCGGCAGATGAGGCGAGGGTGTGTTCTGATTTCTGTCAAAAAGCGCATTGGATCTCGCCTGTGGCTGCGGAGATCCATATGCATCGTCGTCAAAAGGGTTGTCGGCTACACCGTAGTCGGCACTGGATGAATAGGCGTGTGATTGTGGACGAACACGGGTCGGCACCGGAGGCGGCTGCTCGGGAGCGGCAAAGGCAGAAGACAAAGCGGCGGCATTGGAGAAGTCATAGGGATTCTGACTTGTCTGTGGCGGTGGAATTTGTGGTGCTCCCATTTTACTTGGGGGAGGCCCCGGAGGCGGCGCATATAGCTCTTCCTCCTCCCTCCGCAGCGGACTCACGGGTGTAGGGATAGTGTTCTGTCGACGAGGAGGCGAGGAAGAGTACGGTCCATGTTCCGGCGGCACCGACTGAGGCTGTGATGTCTGGGAATAGACATTCTGACCTGGAACATGCTGTTGAGGTGTGAACATGGGGTTCTGCTGAGGCTCTGTTTGCGCTTGAGGGCTTGGTGTCGCCAATCCAGTCGCCTTGCGGGCCTGCAGGACCGCTCTTTGATGTTTGGACATGGCTATGTTCAGTAGGTCATTTGTTTCGATCAGAGTCAACATCGTGTCTGGGTCTGGCGCGGGATTCTGGGCGTTCAAATACGACTGAATGCTCCTTTGCATCGTTTTAGCGCGATCTGCAAACTCTTTGACCAGATCATTTGCCAGTAGCTCTGCCTGAGGAGTAGACTGGACGGTCTGGACTAGCAGTCGAGCTGTCGTCTTTGCTTCTTCAATCCGTCCGGCCAGCTCCTCGGCGGGTGGAAGGGTGTCTCGTCGTCGATGCTGTTGCTGGGGATAATGGCCGGCGTAGGCGCCCGGGATTTGAGCCTGCTATTGCGACAATGATCAGTCCTTGTCAAGCACCCAGACGTACAGACGGCGCAGCTTACCGGAGGGCGCAATGCATTTCGCTTTCCCTTCTCCTTCCTCCACATCTCCATGAGTGGCCCCAGGCTGTCATTTCCTGGCGCCTTTTCCACCTCAAAATAGTCCAGCGTTTCCCTGAGTATCTGCTGTACGCTGGTGTCCTTACCTTCCCGCAGGAGCTCTTTGACGGTTGCGACGAATTTGTGATCGAAATTCTGGGTGAAGGCTCTGGCCGGGTTGTCGGTCAGGATGCGGGAGAGCATGACGGCGTTGTACTGGGCATATCCTTTCTGGTAGTTCTCTTTGCTGAGATATCGTCGAATGGTCGCCGCAGCCTCCTTGGCCGCGGTGGGACTGGATTCGGCCGCATCAACAATGGCAGGCAGGTGGAGGTATTCTTCGCCGGCGGCATCGGAATTGGGGGCGCCTGATTCGCAAAATGCTGTCTGGACATGGGCCTCAGCTGACGATCTATGGACAAGATGGAAGTTGTAGTTAGTTACTCACGACTTCGCGGACCACAACCGCCTCGGGGGAGTCGCCTTGTGGCAGAACAAAAGTGCTGCTCCCATTTCGCTCGGGACCTGGCGCAACGCCATTGTCAGCCACCAACAGCACCGAACAAGGTGGGGGGGGGGGGGGGGGTTGTCGCGCGCATACTCGAGCTCTTCTTCTTGATATTTCCCAGAAACTTCTTCATCGCGGCGGTCGAGCTCCAAGTAAAAACCCACCGCCTGATTCTCTGTACTCGTCGAGACTTGACTGCGGTGTGCGAGTATGGGTTGCGACGAAGGTGGAGGACTCGTAGGTCGGGCTGCGGCAATAGGCAGCGTCTGAAATTATTATGCTTTCGTGGCCGCCAGTATGCAGGCTGGTGAGCTGAAATATAGGCACACAGTATGTAAGAAGTCGTTGGGCCGGATCGGCGCAGAAGCAACCACTGCAGCTCCCAGGGTCCTTGCGTTGTTTGTCCGGAGCTCGGGGCGCAAATCGCAGAAACCTGGAGGATGTGTGGAGAAACAAGAGCAAGGGAGCAAGCAGCAGGAGAGGATGGGAGATTCAGAGGGAGATTTTTGGGTTCTGGAGAATGCGATGCATCTTCGTATCTAATTTATTATCTGCCCTTGATGGAAAGTTGTGGTAAGATGGCAAAAAGCTATGGCAGGCCGCGTCTCTCTCTCTTTGTCACTCTCGCCCTTGGGTGTCTACCTCTTCCCCACGACCCGGTCGTTACTCGTAGAACAAACGAAATTGATGGGAGTCCTTTACCCTGGCGCTGGCGTGCACTGGTCAGCTGCGCACTTTTGGCTTCTTGGAAGCTTGGGCGCTTGCACAACCGCTTCGTCAGCCATCTTTGTTCCGCTTCCGAAGGGGACGCCATCTTGAATTCTTCACAGACATTTCTACTTGTATGGCCCGGAACAAGCATTCGACTCGACATCGTTGCGCAGTGTTGTACTCGGCGGGATTCCTCCTACACCCTCGGGGCCTCCTCACCCAATCCCCCTTGCGTGGCATGATACACGTGGAACGAGGCTGTGTCAAGCGCCGCCCCTCCCTAAGAGCCGCCTAGAGAGTTTCAAGTCCGGAGTTCCTCCACCATCTACGAGGTATGCCTTCTATGCGTAAGCATTGCATCGTCACTCTCGCCACCTAGTTGGCCACTCGCAGAAATGATCCACCGAGGGAGGGCGAGTAGCAGGTGACAAAGACATACTGAGGAACATACGAGGTACATTGATATGTTTGCAAGAAGCATTGCAGTTGTAATAATGGCGATTTACAAGTACATAATGTTGTGGAAATCTTCCTCACCACCACCAGCCCTAGGCCGGGGCATTTCGTATGTATGCCTGAAGAGACCACCAAGACACCATCTTTCATCCTTTCATATGTATTCCTATCCTCATCCTGGTCCTTTACAGTTACCACGTAAAACTCTCCTCATTCAACTCCAAATTGCCCTGATGTATCCTGTCCCTCACTGCCGCTCGCACCTCGTCTGCCAACGCACCCGGGCCACAAACACTTACCATGACCGCACCAACTCTTTCCGGAATCATCTCGTCTAGCACGGCTCCAGGATCGGCCCTGCCCTGGACAATCTGCATGGTGGGCTTGCTTTTGCTATGATTGATCGCCCTCGTCGGCTTACTCACATGCACTCTGATCATGAGAACTTCTCGTCGGCCCTCCATATGTAAGATCTCGTTCATCCACGGCTTCACCCACTCCATACACTCGGTGTCGCGGATTGACCAGACAAGCACAATTTTACGTGTCGCCACGGTTTGCGCCCGTGCTCCTGCTAGGAGGTGTCGGATTTGAATGAGATGATGGGTGATGCCACCACCCCCTGCGAACATGACAACCGTGCCGTAACTGACGAGCGAGTCGTGGCCCGCATATGGGCCTTCCAGAAATCCACGGAGTTCAAGCTTACGCCTAGGAGCAGCGCGAGCCTTCTCATAGAGTTGCCTCGTCATGCCAGTGCGTGCAACCGTGATCAGCGAGACGGTCGTGGGTACTTTTGATGGCGAGTTGAAGATAGATTGGCTTTCCAGAGAGCTCGGGGTCGATGGTCTTTGCAATTCAAAATTGTGGCCACAGACCGGGGGTTCCGATTCGACATTCGTCCATGCGACGGAGAAGGGATGTGACATCCACAGGGAGATGGATGGGAGATATGCATATATGTGGCTGCCGGGCCGGATCGTGATACGCCGTGGTAGTTGAAAAGTGACACGACAGGCATCACCCGGTAGAGCTTCCACATAGGCAGTTGTGGTGCCGCCCGACCGAGAGTAGTTGAGATATGCGAGAGTGCCCAAGCGCCAAAGTCTCTCCGTGAAGAAAAGAAGAATTGCCGTTAAGATCGAAGGATAGGCAGGCAGACGCATGATATCCAGATGAACATACACACCGAGCAACGCCATAAATGCCAGGCTCTGGTGAAGGTGAAGGAACGTCTCGTAGAAGGCATGTCGGATGGGTGACAACGAATGCAGCGGCAGCAGGACTATCGCAATTAGTCCTAGAAGTCCATAGTAGAGGAAGGGAGCACCTCGGAAGATTCTGATTGTTGCTTGATCTCCCTTGGCAAGCTTGTACGCAGCCAGCCAGGCGAAGAAATGGATGGCCGATAAAGCGGCCACCAGCCTGCCGATCCATCGATGAAAGAGATTGAATGTGTCAAAGCTGACCCTCAGGAGTGGTATCGCGATGTTGTTTCTGCTGGCGAGCACAATCAGGGGAATGAGGTTGACAGTGGCTAAGATGCCGCTTCGTCCACGTAGTTCGGCGTATAACGCCCCTCTTTGTGGATTCTTCCAGTCGAGTAACAGACAATAAATCAAATTGGTGATGGCATAGGCGATGAGGAGGATGGAGTGGATGCGGCTGGGTAGCGTGCCATAGTTGACTGCACCGGATAGCTGGAACTCGCGATTGTGTCTTTTCTTCCAGAGTGGAGCATAGACAACATGCTTCTTTAGCCAACTCCAAATACTAAAGTGATCCACAGCATAGTAGTTTTGTTGCGAGGACTTTTCTGTGGTCATGCAGTAGATGTTGCGGATGTAAGACACAAATAGCTGTGACAGTCGCAGGGCAAACACAATCGTGAGTGCGACGATGATGGAAAGCCACAGCATCCGGACCAACTGAGCATCCATCTCCAGATTGACTCCGTTCAAGCCGGTGTAGAAAGAAGGAGCGGTCGAAGGTTTTCCGCCAGGTACCACAAAGTTGGAAAAAGTGATATTGGGCTTGGTGATGTTGAAGGAACTGCGGGCAGCTCGCAGACTTATATTGCCATCGGTTAGATCTCGTCTGGAGCGATGGCCCCGATGCTGGCTGATATGGTCATTTGCATGGCTCCGCAGTAATTGCGTAGCTGTGTCGAGCACATTTGAAAGTAAACGGCCGATTTTGTCCATTTTGTTTCTGTCTGATTTGTTTCAGAGTTATGATTGCAGGGTTCGAGATAGATGTCTGTGCCGTGTCAGGGATGAGAAGACGATATGGGCCTTTTGTCTCGAGTCAACGGATCAATGTGAAGGAGCACTATGCATTCGTTTCTCAACTGCTTCAAAGAGAGTTAACAAAGCAGTTCTTTGAAGTTCAACAACTACCTTGTCCTGAAGAATGAAACCAGTGCACCGAAGGTACAAGGAGCAGACAAAAAGAGTCAGCTGCTTTGGTAGACTTGTGATCATGGTGTCTCAATCACTGCCTCCCATTGACGTTGACATCTGAATAACTGGCTCAATAATACTGGCACGCACGTGCTTTGTGCACAGCGCTAGTTGACAGCAGGACAACATCGAAGTACATTGCTCAATAAACGCAGGGCCAATTGAGCGTTATTGAGCAGTATCAGGCAGCTATTCCGAAAACACGCTGTTTCTCACTGTTTTTCACTGTTCAAGCCAAGTTGAGAGGGCATGATTTGGAGGACGGAGGATGGCAAGACAACAAAGGGCACCTTATCGCGGTGAAAGCAGACGACCAAGCCCATCTCTTGGTATTTGACCACCTTTGTACCAGAGACAACGGGCTTGATAGCTCACAAGGGGACTGCTGGAACATGTCTGGGTCGTGACGCGACATGGGTAGGGACCGGTAGAATCCTCTCTTCTCGAAACTGCCATGATAACAAGTGACGGTGTTGCACATAGCTCACACCACAAGGCTCTATGTCGCAGAGCTGGGCAGTGAGACAAGGCGGTATCCATAGAGCTGGATTTCGCCATTTGGCAATCGAATGAACCACCCACGTCGTTTGCAATTTGTTGTAGATGAGGTGAGGGTAGAAGAGGAAACAGGCTTGACAGTGCCGGCAAACCTGCCAAAATATATTTCTAATGACGTACAGACTCTTGTCATTAATGTGTCATTTCAACATTGTTTGCTGCATTGACCCTTCTTCCTCGCCTTGCATCTGAAGTGAATTGAACAAAGCATCTTGGAACCCGGCAGGCCTTGCTTGGGCTGTATAAAGAAGGACAGAATTCTCGAGTGTAACCACTTCTTCTACTCCACCCTTATCACCGTCCCATCCACCCACCGTCAATGGTCAAGACTTCACCACTCACATACCGGCTGGCATCACTGGCCAAAAACACCACCGCTCCCTTGAAATCCTCCGGCGCGCCCCATCGTCCTGCGGGGATCCTTTCGAGAATCTGCCTCGCTCGGGTCTCGTTTGCGATCAATGCCTCATTCATGTCCGTCTCGATATACCCCGGCGCAATGGCGTTGACGTTGATCCCCTCCTTGGCCCACTCGTTGCTGAGCGCTTTCGTTAGCTGAGCAACACCGCCCTTGGACGCCGCGTATGCCGGCACGGTGATTCCGCCCTGGAACGTCAAGAGCGAGGCCACGTTGATGATAGCTCCCCGTGACTGCGACCGTGAGGCAGGCGCAGGTTTTGACAAGAGATAGGCGCCGAAGTCGCGGCATAACGTGAATACCGTCGTAAGGTTGACTTGTAGCACGGCGTTCCAATCCTCCAGGGGAAACTGGTGTGCGGGATGTCGTTTCTGGACCCCCGCGCAAGTGATCAGGATGTGCATATCATGGCCGGCTTTTACCAGGTCCGGTATGATCTTGGACACGGACGTCTGATCGGACAGATCAGCTGTGACGATTGTGGCCTTTCGCCCCAGCTGTTGGATGCTGTTGTATGTGCTCTTGTTGCTTTCGTCACGCTTTTCGAGCATATGTCATAGTCAGCATGTTTTCCACCCACAGGAGCGGCATCTTCTTCAGAACGAAACAGAACGACACTCTCCCATCTCATCCTCGATCACCGACTCCCACTCACCTGGATCAGAATGATGTCTGCGCCGGCTTCAGCCAGGGCGATAGCCATAGCTGCCCCAATGCCTCGGGTCCCGCCTGTGACCACGGCCGTCTTGCCGGCAAGCGAGAACATCCTCGTCAACGCCTCCATTGGTGCGGGCTGTTGATTTAAACAGGTCAAGTATTCAGATGCCTCCTGCCCTCTGGTTTCCCTCAGGATATCTTCCCACGCCTTAATCAGGACGAACTGTGTCTGAGGAAAATGCCACGCTTCTCAAGATGCAAAATCTTTCTCGGTGTAACTTTCCCCTCCCAGAGTCCGGTGTTTGATACAACAAAACTAGTAATGCGCGGCGATGAGATCGGCTTCTCAGATTTACGATTGGTCGGCAAATGAAGCGTTGACGAATCAATTGCCGACGTGAGGGGCAGATGCCGATTTCCCCCTGACATTCCCTCAGCCTTGCAGAATCATCGTCGTTCTCGCCGATGATGATTATGCGCGCGGGGAGAGTGCTGGACCTAACAAAACCAGAAAGATTCATGTTCATGCTGGTCTTATTGAGTAAATCTACTTTCATGACTATTAAGCATGCTTCCTAGTTTTCATCGCCCTCCTAGTCCACTCGCGTCTTGTTCACCTGGCAATCTGTTCGTCTTTCCATACGACACACCCGATCACAACAAGATCGAGACCGCGGTCGCTGAGGGGTCCATCACATCATAAGACTTGGTCTTGTCATCCATATCCTTGCTGTTCATCTTAAATACCTCCGCCAGCTGCATTAGATCCGCATACAGCTGTGCAGCTGCGGCCGCAAGCTGAGTCTGGTTGTTGAGTGATGCAAGCTTGGCTGTGGAGAGGGCAAAGTTGAGCATGTTCTGCTCCTCCGCCACTCTGTAGCTGAGAAGATAAGGGACGTGAGATGCCAGCAGCCATTCACGGGCGTGCTTGATCGGATAAGCGGCTAGTAAGTCTTCTTCCTCATATGTCTTGAGATCGTCGAGGCTCTTTGGCAATGATGAGAATAAAGCCGAGGGCTTACTGATAACGAATGATTGGTAGTAGCTTTGGAGATAGTTGATGGCGGTATGCTGTGGCGAGGCAATATGGATGCACATCGTGACTGCGTCGACGAGGTCTTCGAAAGTCTTGATCGCCGGAAAGGACTTCATTTGTCCTCCATTGTCATCTTGCATCTCCTTGATCCAGCTAGCAATCTGATCGTCCTTTTCCACCTGCTCATCGGAGTGGATGTCAATGGCAAGAACACTTGACACGAACTTGCGCAGAATCTGCCACATGAGAATCATGTTCCGTGCATAAGCATAGTTATGAAATTTTGGGTTGCTGGCCAGTTCCTCAGGTGGGAAGCCTCTCGATGCCAAATCATTTGGCACGTATTTTGCTGTCCAGTCGAAGCGTTTGTACCCATCCCTTAGGAAAGAATAGAGTTGGGGATCTGTGATACCCACTATCTTGACGATGATGTTTGGAACGAGGGTTGCCCGAGCTGCTGCATTGACCGACAACGTCTTGAGCCAGTGAGGTTGGAGAAGGCGATACACTGGGTGATCTGTTGAGAAGGCGCGATGTGCCGCCACAATGGTGACCTCCTCCACCAGATGGGTATTGACCAGATGCACTGTGACTTCGTGTCTCAGCCAGTCCGAGGTTTGGGCGCATGTCTTTGCATACCGCCACGGCCAATCGTCCTTGGACTCAGGGTTAGATGGACTGGACCTCTTGTTGAAGATGACCACAGAGTTTGCAAGGCTGCCTTTGTAGTCAACAGCTATTGCCAGTGGATGAAGAACGCCGGCATCCGTGAGTTGAAAGAGAGTCACCGAAGCGCATAGACGTCTCATTCCATCATTGGAAATCAGATCTGCTTGCTGATCTGCCCCCATGGCGGTTCGGAAGTAACTGCAGTCTTGGACATAGAAGGATTGGGGATTCCCAGTCGACAGGAGATTCTGGATCTCAGTATTTGCCTGGGCGGCATCGGTAAAGCCCTTGAGCCACTCGGGCGAGGCCTGCTCGATGGTGGTGGGATTTGTGCCCACAAATTGTTGTTGGGCAAATACAGCATCGGTCCACCAGTCAGGACGATTGCCAATATTCTCCTCATCGAAGATGTCTTCCTTGTTCTTATGAAGCTCGTTGTTGCGTGCCTCGATGCTGTCAACTGTGAAACCTTCCGGATGGTCGTGGATGAAATCAAGGATTGTGTCCGGGAGGAGCGTGCCGACAAGGGTTCCAGTGTCAAGAAGCCTCATGAAATCGAAAATCTTGAGCAAGTTGACTTGATCTACTTTGGGTATGATGTCCAGATGCGGTGGGTAATTGTCACTGCCTGGCTTCTGGAACGTGTAGAGAGACTTTGGGTCGACAGCGAGTGCCAACGGGACGCTGGTCTCAAACCCGGCCACATCGAAGAAGGATTCAAATCTGTGTCTGCTTAGTATTCCTCCGACTACAGTAGAGAAGACATTTGCCGGGAATACCTTGTTTCGATGCGTTTCATCATCTGCGTCAAGGCCAACTTGGTTCCTTGATAGGTACCAGCCTGAATTGGAGGAGGCTTCCCGACATCTTTGGGAGGGGTGATCTTCTTGTCTGTGTCGGCAGCAGAGATAGCCCGTGGCACAATCGATTTGTTCAGCAACTCTGAAGTAAATGCTCCCTCATCCCAGCCTTGCTTCAGTGGAATGGCAGTGACAGATTTCACCGGTACTTGAGCCGTCCCCATAGTGGATGCCGATAGAGTGTTAGCCGATTGAGTGTTTTTCTTAGGGATGCAGGATAGAGATTGAATGAACTGTTGAATGCCCTGGAGGCTTCTGTGGACGAGGCCTTTAAATGCATCTGGGGTGCAGGTGAAGGGACGTCTGTACCCTTGTTGACGCTCTGTTCTGGCCCTGGTGATGGACAAACAGGATCGTGAGGGTCGAGCAGGAGGAGCACCGGGAGCAGAGGCACTGAGTCCGACCTGGGAGTTGATTGAAGCCACAGACTCTGGGGGGGAAGCGTTCGTGTTGGACGAGTCCAGCCGCAGCTGAGGCTGCACCTGCGATTGGTCCATTGGGCTGTAAGGGACGTGAAGACGACCTCAGCCTAGACCTGGACACGAACTCAACACGAACTCCTTGCTTTGTTTCAGCTCCACAAGGCAATGTCGGTGTGTTGTGCTGCATGGATCGTCAGTTGGAATTACAATGTCAAGAGTGACACCGCCTGTCACTTTCATCTCAGACTCTCCTGTCTGCGCCTTCCACATGTCAAATGATTGCACCTTCCGCAGGCTCTCGACCGTGGATGACCTTCAACTTCTCCCCGGCAGCCACCAAATTACGAGTTGCCTCTCTCTACCCTGTCCTTCCAGACTCTGCGGCTGAAGTGACAGGAAGGTGCTCGGAGGTTTTGGTGTGTAACAACCACAGCCAGGCGCACCCACCCACCAGTCGGAAGGAGTTATCCATCATGCAGGAGGAACCATGCTTTTCGTTGACGCAACACTGCGAAGTCTAGCTCAATTGGACGCCACTTGCCTCCCAGCCTTAACAGCCTCATCCTACCTCTCGATTTGCAGCAAGATCACGACATGGGGACAGGCTTCAAGCTCCAGCCGTGTCCCAAAGCATCACGAAATCACGGCGAGTTTCAATAGTTCCAGTTCAGGACTACCATCGGTTTCAGACATATCTTGGCAAATGTGCTTGGACCGAGTTCATCACACTTCCTTCGAGTTTGACAGGTGGGGATTGGTGTCACTGAGGTGGTACAGATTGCCTTGGCCTGTTCTCCCAGCCTCCAGATCCTCCACCACCAAGACTGCTTCTTAGAGGCACGCAGGGATACTCTCCTATGTGACATCTTGAACAAACAGAATCATGACTATATCCCATCCATAGAATTGGTGACAGCCTCTACGAATGGATGAGAGTACGATACAAGCATATTCTTCAGGCAGAAGGTTGCGAAGGATGCCGCATTCAAGACTTTCACTGTTTCTGTTCCCACCACACCAGAGGTAGGCATCCAAAACATGGCTTCTCGTGTCAGAATCAGGCCTCCTTGGCTACGAGGCAACTCTGTCTCTCAATGGGTCGTGGATACGATGGTGTTGGTGGCACTGAGTATTAGAACCCCAACAGCCTGACGGCTTGTCAGCTCGAGTCTGCAAGCAGCCCCGTGGTTTGAACAGTATAAAGGCTGCATGATCTGGGCTTTTGATTCTATCAGCAACCTATCTTCTGTTCTTTTCTCAAATTCTAGCCGCACATACCATTTATCCAAACAAGACGCCATGCCAATCCCACACTACGGCGTGTGGAAGGGCATTCCTGTTTCCTACCAAGTTGATGGTCCAAATGACCGTACTCCTCACATCAACCTTTCCTTCAAGGATGACAACCACGGAACGATCAAACGGAAGGCAGCAATCAATGTCAAATCCCAGGACCACCCGAACGAACTTGTCTACTGGTTCAACCATAACTTCTCTCACTCGGTGACTCGAGACCTCGAACATCTAGACTACGGCTTCCACCCGATTGATCCCCGTGATCGTGACACACGCGACGTTGCCCTCGATTACATCCGCACTCGTAACCTGCTCCGAATCCCCGATGGGAGAATCTTGCCATTTCGCGAAAGCGGACCAGATAATGACATCCTCGATCAACTCCGACCCATCCTCGACGACGCCATCACACAGCGGGCAGACATCTACCTCTATGGTTCGTCCTTCGGCTCCGGCATTCATGACATACATATGAATCAAGGAAGTGTTGGTTTTCCCAACGGCATTGGACAAGATGGAGCTTTCTTTGTACGATTTCCGGATGGTCATTGGGAAGCAGTGTTTCTGGCCTTTGCATCACAGCGGATTCCCACTGACAACCGGAATGGGCAACCAGTGTCTGATAGCACATCACTAGAGAGAATCATTGGGAGACAAGGACGTCCACGGCTCTGATAAACAGTTGCAGCGATCCTATCCTTGTCATGACTTATCAGGGGACATAATGATTGCTGATGGATGGAGATCTATAGTAACCGAGGGATGTTACGACTGAACGGATGTGAAGGGACTGAGGCTGATTTAGGAGCAGAAATGTGAAAAGTGCTACTGCGTATCGAGACCATTTAATCAACGCTCTCCAATCTGAAACTTCAATTTCCGTACGGTAGTAACTATCGAGTTCCAAGATTCTAACTCGGCGGTTAGTTCTCCCCCGACTGGGTGAGTACTAACCGACACAGGTATTACTTGTTTAATTACTCACTCTTTTTTCTGGCGAGGGAGTCAGACGGACAGATAGGTAGGTCTGGGGACTTGACTACGACCAATCTAGTGACAGAAAGTTTTGTTGATGGATGAACCTGAACGGGAACGAATCGAATCGAATCGAACTGAGTTGAATTGAAACTCGAGATGCGAGTAAGAGAATAGAATAGAAATAATGGGTGAGCAGAGTGGAGTGACCGGTTCGCTGTGCCGTACAAGAAGATCAAGATCAAACGCCCTCCCAGCCAGGCTGTCGGCCAAATCCCGTCCAGTTCCAGGGGTCGAGGTGTCCGAGTTGCCCTGCCATGTTGATATTCGCATCCATCTGTCCACTGAAAAGGGCGAAATCATCCTGTGTCTCGTTGTTGCTGTTGCTGTCGATATTGTTATTGTATGGCATGCCGCGGTCCCAGAACCCCATCCCCATCGGCGTCGGTGTCGGTGTGATGTGCATCGAACTTGGCCTCATTAGACCGCCCTCATCAATGTCGGAATTCCTCGTCAACATGTTCGGCAGGTCGGTATCGACATTCCGGGCATGCAGGGCTATTTGTGAGAGTGCGTGCTTGATGGAGGAGACGACTCTTGGCTCTGTCACCGACACATCTTCCGGTCGCTTGGGAGCTGCCTCGTACGCCTCCCATGCCTGCAGTACCAACTTGGTGAAGAGGCGGAAGAAAGGACTGTCTTCCCGAAAGTGAGGCCCGAACCACGCACTGTAATTGTCACTCATGACTTCCCAGGCGTGACAGGCCTGGCTGCTCAGCGGCCGGCTTCGCAACTCCTGCACGATTTGGATGTAGGCTGGGAATGGGAAGTAGAATTGGTTGAGCCAACGGAACCCCTTGGTGAGCGGTGACGCCATGAGCTTGGTGTTGCATTCGAGCATTGTGAGCGCATAAGAAGTGGCGGTGCGTCGCTGCGCACTTGTCTGTCGTGAGGATGAGCCAAAATACCGAGACTGATGTTCCAGGAGGCGATATTTGGCCAGGTGAGCGCGTGTCGTCCACATCGTCATGAACTGCAGTGGGTGCTCTTGGTCACAGTGCCTGAGGTACCGGTCCTCAACCATCTTCTCCAGCCTGACCAGCTCAGTTTCATCTCCCTCGGCTTCGCTCTGGGAAGGAACGACGTTAACCTTCAGGGCTGGGGTGGTAAAATCGAGATGGGTCGAGGAATGGCGGATCACTTCACCCAGTTCACAACGAACAACAGCAAAAAGGGCTTCGGTGGTATTTCCCTGCGTTACTGGCGGTCTCTTCATATCCGGCTGCAAGTCAGAGTCGTTCACATTGAGGGGAACTCTGCAATCCCATGTCGGATCTAGCGTTGCAGTCCTGGAGTTTGTGGTCTCGCTGACACGAGTATCAAATAGCACCAGCGACCACCACAATCTCCGGCGCATTTCCGCCTCAAATATCGTGTGTCTTGCCAATACTGACTCACTATGGATACCCATGCGTCGGGCAATGCGAATTGCCACAGCCAGCACAGACGACAGGGACTGAGGAAATGAACTGGATCTGACAGAGATCTGGCGCTGTTAGGAGGGTGAAACCAGCTGTTGGTCATACGCACCAGGTAGAGATATAGTGCAGTCAAGCAATCACGGTCGTTGGTTCGTAAGAACGAGCAATTTAACAGCGCCTGCTGACAGGCATAGTGATATCTCATCAAAAGATCTTCTTTCGGGCAATCGAAAAGTCGCTGGCAGTCTTCGGTCGCATGGCTCGAGATCGCGATACAGTAGATACTGAACATCAATGCTTGCAAGGTGGGACTGATTTTGGAGATGTCACTGACGGCTTCAATGAGACGTCCCTGCAGACTGGGAGTGTGTGTAACCTTGAGCAGCGGATTTACGTTGTCCGAGTAGATCTGCCAAAGCCGGAAGATGTGAACTGGGTCGGGATGTAGACTGGAAAGGTCGACTGCTGGGCCGCGGGCACCGAACAAAAGGTTATCATCGCTTACAACTGATTGATCGTAAACGTCTTTCACAGCGCTTTCAAGCTCATTTTCATGAGAGGCGACGCTGTCACTATCAGAGTCTCGGAACTGTGGGAGCAGTCAGAAGAGCTCACAAATAAGGCGACATGGCCGTACCCCTTGACTCATGACATGCCATACATTTCTGGGAGAGTCAGCTACCATGGATCAAGTCCTGGAACACGCATACTTGACTCCGTAACTTCTTCCGGACCTGCTGGTGGTCGAGGGAGTTTGCATCTCCGAGTGCATATGTTCTGGAGGCTCACCGTCAGAGCCGTAGCCACTCCCAGCGACGGATTTCCCCTTCTCCAATCCAATATCGTTGTGGAGTGGTTCGAACTTGACGTTGTTCTGACGGAGCAAATCTTCGTACTTGGCTATGCGCTCCAGGAGCTCTCTCTGTGGGGGCCTTCGCCTTAGTCGTCGCTTAAGTAAAGGGCTGGGAACACATTGAACTTGAGATCTGACACAGTTCGCGCAAGGGAAGATGCGGTCGCACTTCACCTTTCGCTGCTGGCAAAGGACACATGCAAGCACCCGCTTTGGCTTCCCGGGGGAGGACGATGGAGCCGTTGCTGTCGGGATGGGGGTATCCAGGGACTGCGCCGTCATCGACATAGTGGACGATATGTTCTCGAAGAAAGCCCGAGACCAAGAGGTCGGGGATTTCAACTGTCCACGGTGCGACGTCGTTGACATGTCGTTCAACCATTCTGCCTGGAACCTCCACTATCCAATCACAGAACGTGTTGAGTGGGGTCATGTGATTGACCCACCTCGGACTTTCTATTTGTCCGAACCAACATATCAATTCAACTTCACTTCGCAAGTTGAAGAATCACCGTAACCACAAAATATGCTTCCATTGACGTTGAAAGACACCATGAATCAAACCTTCTCTGATCACTGTCATTTGGAGGACAAGCAGATTCTTTCACTTCCTTCTGTATTCTTTGTCCAGCTGCATAAAGGGTAACAAAGAGATGTTTCCAACCATTAACCTCATCGCTTGACCTTCGACGGAAGGCAGCTGAAGGAGTCACTTTGAAAAGGACTATGGATCTGAAGAGCTGCCTTGAGGAGCTCCGAGTTGACGAGGCAATTTCCATAAATATCCAACAACATCTCCAGGTCATGCTCTCGCAATACTACCATCAACGACCATTCCACTGGCAAACACCCAGTAAAATCAACTAAACACTTTCCAGAAGACTCACAGTAAATTATCAAGAACTGACAAAGACAAAAATGTCCGATTCCGCAGTCGACAGCGACCCAGACATACTCAAGAGATTTGCCGAGCTTCTCATCGAAACTACCAATCTCTCGACTGAGGGCTCTCCGGATGGTGCTTCGACCGAGGCTGGCGTTGACCCTGTGGAGCAGATTTCCGAGACGTTTAAGAAGATCAGTATGAGGGCTTCATCTTCTGACCCGACCAAGTCGCAGCCTGTTGCTGGTGATGTTCACGCTACCGGTGTCGAGACTAGTGCCACAACCTCCGCCGACCCAGACGCCACGAACTCTGCTCCTGATTCCCAAGGTGAGTACGATAGGGTGCGTCTCGAACGAGAAGTCATCGGCGTTCTCGAGACTGACTACTTCCAGCGGACTCGATATGGGACCTTGCGTGCCAGTGCTATTCGTCGTAATCGTCGTATCCTTCGATACCGAGTGAACCGCCGGGTGGCCGCCGCACGACCTCGAGTGAATTCTCCAGGGGGGCTGGGATTGGGGATCGGGCACAACGATGGACTGAGAAAACAGATCGGAGGCAGAGGACTCGTGGAGAACTTGTCTAGCGCTCTCGAGGGCCTTGACCTGAAAGGTGTGAAAGATGATAGGGACTAGGATGAGAGAGACTAGGATGAGAGAGACTAGGATGAGAGAGACTAGGATGAGCCGAGATAAGATATTATTATTCGTATCTCCCACTTTTGAATTGTGTAGATGATTTTGTATCTTTTGTCCAGGGTGCTATACCAGAGCCACATCGGACTGCCATAGCCACCATAGCACTACCCTTTCCTCCTGAGATATTATGTACCATGCCCCTCGTTTATCCCAGTGTTTCTGTTTCCGACTCCGATCTGCACAATGCCCACACTCTTTGCTTTTCTCAAGTACGGCACAAAGCCCGTGTTCATTATCTCAGTGGTTTGACTGCTGAAATGCTCCTTTGTCTAGATCTCGAGGCCGCACAAAGCGTCCAACAAAGCCGCAGGGTGTTGGTAGGCCAGGTAGTTTCTTCCACGATACCACTGCCTACCCTCCTCTCAGTGACGAAACACTCTGAGCCACAATCAGATCTGAGACAGTGCTCGGAGGATCTCAATGAGCCAGCCCCCAAACTGTCTTCCACAGACAATGCCTGGTACCACTATGCTATGGGGCAACCAGCCCTTGACCATGGAGCTGCCTCCAACCCGTGCTCGACGGCCTTATATACCTCTCGACACCTGCCCATCTCCTCCAATCTATCATCAAATTACAAGCATCCTGAACAAGCAGACTATTCAACTCGTTCTTACTAACCAACAGCCCACCAAAACCCTCAACCAACCCCCAAAAAGTTGGAAAAAGCTGCAACATGCTATCCCCCCTATCATTCCTCCCGAAGCGCCACTCCAAGTCCAAATCCAGGTCGAAGCACCAGCGTGCCGACGACGACCTGGAAGCAGCGCGCCCGGCGTCTCCGACCCCGTCATCGTCATCGTCATCCTCCGACACCTCCGAGACCCACCCTCTCTTCAAGACCAATCCCACCGCGTGGACGTGGAAGGACAGCGTCAAGTTCTACGTGTGGAGGGCCAAGGCGAGGGTGATGTACGCGGTCGAGTCGTATCGGATCAAGAAGGTCTTTGGGGCCGAGTTTGATCACTGAGATGAAACTCCCCTGCTGATGTTGAGATAGTCAAGTCGACTGGCTGACACGGCAGGCGTCGAATGATAGGGACGAGCGTGAGTTGTATGGGGTTGTTGAGTTGAGTTGAAAAGGTGTAGAGTGGTGGATGAGGAGTCGATAATTCGAAAAAAAAAAAAAAAAAAAAAAGAACATGACTCTGTAGGGGTTTCAGGTGGGGAGGTTGACGTGCTGAACTGGATGCGAGACTGGGTCGTCGTCTTGTAGAACACACTCATTTTAACACCAGGATACTGGACAGGACAGGTAAGCTGTGCAAAACCACAAAAGAAAAAAAGGAAAAGAGAAAAAGAAAACTGATTAATCAATATGGCTTGTTTCCAAGCTGGAACGGAGAAATTCCAAGGTCATTTCCATACACATGCACAATTCCATCCAGCTCTCTTTCCTTTTGATCTCTCCTTTTGGATACCTTTGTAGTCTTGTCAATGCAGGCCAAGGAAGATGCCATGTACACGGTACTCGGAACACATACCTAGGCTAAAACACAGACGGGTGGTCGTTATAGTCTGAGAAATACCTAGGTTAGGCAGGTAAGTACCCCACACTGACCAATCAAGCCCGGCAAGGCTGCCACCTCCTGAGTGGGCCGCCCTGCACTCCTCGTCGACATACTCGTAGTAATCGTGTATCCTGTTTGCTATGACGTTATCTCCTACATAGATATGTGCATCTAGATCTTCAAGAGAACTCTGGTGATGAGAGGACCTGCAAGACACCACAAGGAAGTATATACTTTCTCACACAACATGTTTTTCGTTTCCAAAAAAAACTCCAGCGCTATGTTTTTTTCTATAATGGCCAACTCTTCTAGAAACGAAATCTATTTTCCCCGAGATATCCATTTGCTGTTCGTCGTCTAATCGTCATACCTGGTCAAGCATCTTTTCGTCGTCCGCTTCCCTTGCCACGTCTCCGTTCTCGACCCTCAACTTTTCCTCCCTCTCCTCGGCCTCACTCTCTGCAGCCTCCCGAGCCTTGAGTTCCTTCAACTCCTTGCAAAACTTGCTGTTGTCTCGGATTCGATCACCATATTTGATAAACGCAAAGGGAATAAGACACATTCCCAGACTCAGAAAAGCGAGTAAACTGCACGCCCATGCAATGCCCAGGCGGGAGAACATGGAGTTTGCAGCTAGTGGCAAGACTGCACCAAAAACGCTTCGACTAGTGCTGGTGATGCCCTGTGCACTGGCTGCAAATGTTTCGTAGGCATCAGTGAGGTAGTTGAGCAAAGCCATGAAAATGAGGAGGAATGCCGCCCCAAAGATAAACCCTGAGGCAACAGGTGCAAGCCAGTAGACGCCCGGTTTGGCACTCCACCCAATCCAGAACAGTGAGACCACGTAGAGTGGCCCTCCAATGCAAGCCAGTGGGAGCCGTCTGTACTCCTCATGTTGTGCCCACGGGGCTTGTCGCTTCTGAGCCTTGGCCAGATATGAGTCCCACCAGAGATAGAGTGGTGCCGCGAGAAGAGACCCAAATGCAATCGGAAGAAACGCAAGTCCGGCAAGTCCATATGACCATTTGTATACTGAGTCCGGACCCTGGAAAATGATAGGGTAGGCTTCAAAGTACAGGTAGAAGATTGCGTACGCCAGAGAGCAATATGCTGCCACGCACATGACAATGACCTCTTGAAAAAGCATGCGGTACGGTCGAGTCATGACAACGGTAATGACGTGACGCAACGTTTTCTTCTGAAGATCTGTCTTGGCAACGATCTCGGGATCACCTGTTTCTTTGCGAAGTCTTGCTGCTTTGCGGCTGAGCAGGACTGGGGTGTATGTCTCTGGCATGAAAATAACAAGGGGTAGTGTTGCCACGGCCAATAGAGTGCCCACGGCAAAGACCCATCGCCACGAAGTATTCTCCGCAATGAACCCTGAAATGGCTGGTGCTACAACGGGACCGAATGTCGTCGCAACCATGAACCACGCCATCGCCAAGCCACGTTCCCTTGGGTCGTTATATACGTCAGCATATAATCCTCCCGTGATTGCCACTGGCCCAGAAAATCCAATCCCACACACAAAGCGGAAGAAGAGCAAACAAGGCCAGTTCGGTGCCACGGCGCAGGCCATGCTGAATATGGTGGACAAGACGAAGAATGACAGGATGACTCGTTGACGACCATTATTTTCGGACAGGGGACCACATAGCGTTGGGCCTACCACATAACCGGCCAGAAAACAGGATATTGGCAACGGAAGCTGAATCTCTTGTGTAACGTTGAAATGCCTTGCTATGAAAGTGATGGCTCCGCTCGGCAACGACGAGGAAATGGTGCTGTTCATTACGGTGATCATGCCTGTGAAGAAAATGTATAGCTTCTTCCTCCGCGGCCAGTTGTAAGGATTTTCTGGGTCACTCGAGCTGAACGTTATGATCTTTCTCGAGTCTTTTGTGTTCGTTGGCTCGTCATCCGGCGACACGCTGGGCGCTTGCCCGCTCGTGAGGGTATTCTGAGAAGCATCGCAACGTTGGAGACCAGGACGGTTGGCTTGGGTGACTGCGAAACGTCAGAGCACTGTCTTCACCGACATGTCCGAAAGGGGGAGGTACCTGTCAAGGACTGCGGCGCAACGGTGGTATCGACCGACTTCTGGGTTTCATTGTGAGCACCAAGACCCATGGTCGGGTCTGTCTACCAGTGGTGGTCAAGTAGGACTGCGAAAGAAGAGCACAGTCAACACACAACAGAAAACAAAAAACGAGATGGGGAAAGGAACTATCATGAGAGCGAGCGTCTGCAGACTCCAGCCTTCCGGAGAACGGAAAATGGGCGACATTATTGTAGCGTGCCTCTGCACGAGATGAGGGGAATCAAATAAAAAAGTCGGGAGGATCAGCTTCAACTAGGCCGCGGGCCGCATTTGCGACCAATCCGTGCGGGGGGAAGCAGTATAGATTCATAAGCTTTGATGAGAATGAAGCTGGCGACAAAAAGGACATGACAAGTCGGTTACGACGGCAGTAGAGTGGAAGCAGGAGGATCGGCTACTTGCTGCAATTATTTTCCCTTCGAGTCGATTCTGGAGTATGTGTGTTCCCGGTGGAATGGGGGCCGACAGGAGCAGGGATGTCATTATCAGCATCATGTGATTTCTAGTCCATTTGAGGTAAGGCTCCCGAAGACACCCCGCTAGTGATGCTACGGATCGCGCCCTTTGACCTCCAACACTCGTTGCTCTATCAACCATGTACGAGTCCATCAGCCAACACGATTGGGGTGATAAGGCTATGATATCTTCATTTGTGCTGTCTGCTTGACGACTTTGTCAAAGCATCCGGCAGAATTGTCCTCGCTTCGTCCTCGCTCACCGTCTTCCATACTATTCCGCTCATGGTTGTTTCCGTCAAGAACAACAGAAGGCTCGTCGTGGCGTCCCGCAACTCGCACGCGGTCAACCCCTACCTGGGCGGTTTGGTGGGAATTGGCAATCCTGGCGGCATGGTCCTGTTCCAAGTCGCGATACCGCTGCTCGTACTCCATTCGCTTCTTCTCGCGCTGTAATTCTTTCCGTTCGTGAAGTTTCTGTCGGAGATGGACACCCGCAGCAATGAGGAGGTATGCCATTTGGGTTGTGTCTGGGGCACAAGTATTGGTGCTCTGTAGCAGACAGGATGCGTGTGCCCGTAAGTGGAAGACGGATGGTGATGCTGAGGACACGTTTTTAGAGCTCAGGAACGTGGAGCGGGTAGGGATGAAGCTGCGTGCCGAGTGCTGCACATAGGTTGAACAGCTGAACAAGGGCCAGATGGGAATATCAAGCCAAAGACAACTCTGAAGCCCTCATATTTCTCAACACACCGGACTCGACTTCGAAAGACTTATTGAACGACCAACCCTTGAGCCAGCGGAGGCGTATGGCGTACAAGAGATGGGCAGCTTACGGATTGGGCAGCGTTACCGGATACGCACCGTCTGATTAGAGCAAAGTCTGATACATTTGAAATACCACTGGTCCTGCACGTCGGACTAAATACCACCAGCCAAGACGCCTCTGCTAAGCTGCAAAGTAATTAAAATGCCAATAGTCGTACAAATTCATTAAATCCTGTTGTTGGTTGTTCGCCGTCTTTCACGGTCCTTCTCGTGCCCTCGGGTGGTCGCACCTCTTCAATTTTCAAAGTCAACAAAGAAATCTTCCGACGGCCAAGTAACATCTGCATCTGTCGATCTGGAAGCTCCGCTGGTCAAAATGTGCCCGACCGGCCGGATTTGCAAGCCACGCCCATCCCCTGTTGCTAAGGGTAAGGATGACTGCATCGCATTGAGTCGTGTTGGAATTGTCCATGTATCCCTCCGAAGAGAAGTTATGTTCCACATCAACTGACTCGGTAAGAAACATGAGTAAACCAAAAGTTGCAGGGAATCAGAACCAACGTGAAAACCGTGGTGACTTACCCGAAACACATGAATCTCTTCCAGCCCTTGGCTCCCTCTAGCTTTCGATTCATTCGCAGATCAGCAAACCTCTCACCCCGGGGCCCCATCACGCGGTCGAAATCGTTGGCTGGTGGACTTGTCGACAGTGCGAGAGTTGGCCGTTGTTTAGAGTTGACCACCGCAGCGTATACATGAAGTTTGGCGACGGGATTCTTCTCACTGTCACTGGATAATGGGAGATCGGGTTGTACTGTAGAGCTGTCTTCATCTATGGCACCAAGTAGCCGTGAGGGCGGTGTTGGACGACGGGGGCGAGTACCCAAACTACTGTACATAGAGGATGGAGTTGGAACTGCGGAGGACGGTGAAGGTGGTGCGGACGAGGAATCTGTCGAAGAGATGAGAGTACTTGAAGATGACAGAACGCTCTCGATCGAGTCTGAGGGTGACGGAGACCGAGAGGTTGATCGACCGTCCATCTGGCGCTTGGAGAAAACCATGTTTGTGGTGTAGAGAAGTTGTGACAATGGTGAAGATCCGAGGCTGGGAGATTTGATGGGAACCTCGCTTGGTGGTAGTTTCCCACGAAGCGATGCTGCTACCCGTAGAGCGAAGTAGCGAAGCGGGAGATCGCTCCTCTCACTGTCTTACTGACGTATAACCACGACGGCAGTACGCTGTAGGCTTCGATCAGTCAAATATGCATGTATACAAACAACCATACAAACAACCAGTGGTGTCAGGACGACCGCAGACAGAGAGAAACTCTGTGGAAGGTGACATAAGATGCAGGACGCAGGCCGCGGGCTACAGGCTGCAGGCTGGTTCAAAAAGCCACCGCGAGCTTACCGTACACTCTACAGGGATCGTTGAATGGAGCATGTCATCTCATCATGGATACCATCACCCACCATTGACGACGGTTTGGTCGATCACTTGCTTGGAGGAGGTGTTGGTGCTGCCACATTTCGTCTCTCACCCGCGCCTAAGAGCGCCATCTCGCCGTGTGGGGGTGTCGATTGGGCCCTGCGTTCCTCGCTAAGCCCGGAATCTAGGGGTGACAGGAGCCAAGAGACCCCGGAACTGCAGGTGTGGGTGGTCACCCCTCGCCTCCCCTTGCAACCCCAACAAGTCCTCGGGCCCCAAGCGCCCCAAGAGACCCTCCCAAGCCCCCCGAAGTCCCCGAAATGACCGTTTGTCTGTCTGTGAAGCCCGCTAACCACAACCACCGAACCCTTAATCGGGGGAACAATGGGCACATCTAAACTCTATTCGATCTTGAAACTGCCTGAAAAGGATCCGATCTTTGACAGTGGCTGGCGTCAATGACGCCGATGGCTTGATATGCAGGGTCATTCTCGTATGTACTTTCGAAACCAATGTTCACGCCAGCCCCGTTCAGACAAGCAGTCTCGACCCGCAGCACGCTTCATTTTGGGCATGTGAAGAACTGGATTTCCTCCCTGACTGCGAGTCTGCCTGACCACAGACGTAGGTGTTTCTGATGGTGGTTGATCATGTCTGGTGTATACATTGCTTCTGAATGGTCACGGGAGCATGGTGTGCATGGGCATACATATCGGCTTAAAGTAAATCCGATCCCCGCTGCCGGGATCCCCGTTTCGGAACCATCCATGTCGGCATTTGCACCAAAGTCGTTATCAGCAAATGCTCACCTATATGCGCCCTACTGTTTGCGATGTTGACATTCTTACCCCTATGGAACTGCGAGACCCCAGCATAATAACGCAATTGCCTGGAAGGCTCCTCACAATACCACTGCCGCCAACATGGCGCGCCCACGACGAGCGTCTGCCGCGTCAGATCTCAGTTCCGTGCCAGACCAGAACCAGGTACTTGCGCACTCTACCATAGTCTCCCAGATCATGTTCATAGCTGGGTGGTCTGTAGTAACAAGCTATCTGTAGGAATTAGGAAGCATGTACGACTACCTGGCCAAAATTGTCCTCCTCGGCCCCAGCGGCACCGGCAAATCCTGCCTCCTGCATCGCTTCGTGAAGAACGAATGGCGCGTCCTGTCCTCCCAGACCATCGGCGTTGAGTTTTCGTCGAAGATAATAAAAATCGGCACACCCCCCAACCGTTCGAAGCGAATCAAGTTGCAACTGTGGGACACGGCCGGCACAGAGCGATTCCGAAGCGTGAGTCGGAGTTACTACCGGGGAGCGGCGGGCGCAGTGCTGGTATACGATGTCGCCAGTATGGCCAGTTTCCAGGCACTCCCAACGTTTCTGAGTGACGCAAGGGCTTTGGCTAGCCCACAGTTGACAGTGGTTTTGGCGGGCAACAAGGCGGATCTGGCAGACGAGTCGCTACAAACACAAGGGCATTCGGGTCCAAACCATACGAGAACGCAGGCCGTGCATGTGAAAGGGAGTGCCCACCACCAGCGCATCCAAAAGGAAGATGAAGCCAACAGCGTTACACCTCCGGCATCGAGCGCGTCAAGTCGACAATCATATTTCCCCTACGATTCTGGAGGCGGAAGCGTTACCGACTCGGTCAAGACAACATCCAGTCGCTCGCGCGAGGACAGCATGAACCTCTCAAAATGGACCGCAACCCAATCCACCGAAGGTCGCGAAGTCAGCACCGAAACCGCCTCCCGCTGGGCCTCGAAAGTCCACATCCCCGTCACAATGGAGGTCTCGGCTCTCACGGGTGACAATGTCGATGCAATATTTTACCGCCTGGCCGCCATGATCCTGACCAAGATCGAGCTGGGAGAGATCGACCCGGATGATCCGGCAAGTGGTATCCAGTACGGCGATGGCGCTGTGGGAGTCGACGGGGATAGCATAACCACAGACGGAGGTACCGTGAGACGGCGGAAAGGCGGGAGGGGAGGCACCGTGCGGAACGGAGTGCTCACCAGCCTGGGGGAGTGGGAAGACGTGTTTCGGAGACCGGCCTCAAGAGCGGGGAGAGGACGGTGCTGTTGATCAAGGTGTCGGCGAGCATCGTTTGATGCCCTTCCTGTGACGGAGCGACGATTCCACGAGACACTTCCTCCCTCCCCCTCTTTCCCCTTTACTTTTCTCACCCCTTTCCTTTCACGTCCAGCCAAAAAAAGCGCACTTTTTGAAGAAAAGAACAAAAGCAAGCATTGCCTGATTTCTTGCTTGCTTGCCTGCCATACAACCTCGTTGGATCAATCGACCTTGAGCGAACGTTCGTTTTACACATACATGTACAGCAGTGCTTACAGATTCCTGTCTCTCTGTGTGTCAGCGTGTCATCATGTCAGCTTGTCAGCGACTAGCTTTTGCATTGCGTTGCTTTGCTTTTCCTGCACGGAATTGAGATTGAGATTGCGGCGTCCGCATGTTCTGGATAGAGCATAGGGACTGGAGGCTGAGAGCCGGTGCCTGTGAGGAGTGTGGGATTTCTTCTTCTTCTTGTTGAACCTGCAGTGCAGTGCAGTGCAGTCGAGTCATGGCATGGCCGAGTTAATGTCTAATACACACACACACACATACATACATACATACATACATACATACACATGTTGGATCCCCTTTCCGCCAGCTTGCTATGCGGTGTTCACAATACATAAATCGTCAGGCCTGCGTGAATAAGGACATGCAAGACTTTTAGAGCCAGGGAAACACGACCATGATGATGGATCTTGAACAAGATCATTGTTCCAGTGTCAAGCCTCACGCGCCCTGTCTGTGGATGAGGTGTCGATGAACTACCTAATATCTACATGTCTGATAGCCAGCCCTCCATCAACTTCCCCCGACGTCGACCTCTCGTGGCTCTTCAAACCCTCCTTGATCCCGTATACCTCCTTCATTTGTAGTCTCGAGTTTCGGGCCAATCTTCTCACAGAGCTCCACCAAGTCGACCTGTCCTATAAGGTTCTGAGCCGCACTTAAAGCCTTCATGATCACGAGCTGGTTCCTCTCAGTTGTGGCAGAGCGGAAACTCCTCACCAAGAATTCACTCAGCATCTCCACGGTCCAATCGTCAGGAATATCTCTGAGGATTTGCAGAGGGTCAAAAAAAGTGGCGAATTTCCCGAGAAGATAGGACGTGCGTTCAAGGCGTTCCTCAACGTCGTGAATGGAGAGAAATTCGTGGAAAAGGAAAGTGAAAAGTTCGATCTGGCTCGTTCTGGATGGTAAGCTGGCGGGGTCAATGGGATAGGATGAGGAGAGAGGCGAAGGACGGCCAAAGTAGCAGTATCGTGTGGCTGTATCATAATCACCCAACCCATGTGTCAGAAGGCGAAGGGCTTCTTTGTGACGGCCTTGACGGGCATCAAGGATCACAGATTCCGAAACGAGATAGGAGGAGAAGGGCGCCATGCGCTCGAGGACCATGGAGACCGAGTAAGTCAGATCCTTTCCAGCGTCGTTGGTGCCTGTGGATGCGTATGCGCCACTTCCTAGAAGTTGGAGGAGACGGAGGCGTGATTGCCACCATGGCTCTGGAGGAGCGTTTTGATGAATAAAGTCGAGATAAGTCGGCTTGGGCGACTCAAGAGCTCGATAGGTCGAATAGCTTTCTGCTAGCGACGTGCGAGCGGATTCTGACTTTTCCAGGACAGTCAGAACTGTGTCGAGGTAATAGCCGATGAGGTCGTCGGCGTACTGTCCGAGATTTTTGCCAAAGACAAGGTACTCCAGGTATTGCTGGACCGCTCCTGGTGCTTGTTCTTTGAGAAGTTGGACTACTTCTTGAGGGCTGAACTTCACCCGTGCAGCGTCGTCTGTGAAAACTTGGACGGCGAGCTCCGGATTTCGCTGTGCAAGCAATAGAGTATAACTCTGAACCAGTTCGATATCTCGAATAACTGTCAAGTAGCGGCGTAGTTGGACTTCCACATAGCCAATATTCGAACCATAGTCCACATCTTTCTCTCCATCGATGATCCGTTTCCAAGTCGCCAGGACATCCTGAGCTTGTTTCCTACTCTGATAGAGCCGGCTCAGAATATAAAGTCGATTGTATCTTTCCAGTAGTAATGTCGCACGCTCAAAGTCGCCCTTCCACTGATCGACAACATTATTCAATTTGGCACGTACTGATCTCTGGGCAGGACTGTCTGTGGCCAATGCTTGGTCCAAATAGAGCAAGACATGGAGAAGCGACGCATCAACAGAATCGAATACGTGTTTGTCATCTGCAATACTTCCATAGCCGCGCTTCTCTTGCCACAGCATCAAGAAGTGTCTCATCATCATCCAAAATTCGGTCGGGGCATCCTCAAAATTAGAGATTGGCGATTGATGATCTTGCAAGAGATCTGCCATACCTTGAGGGAGCCAGATGCCTTCTGGACCGAACAAGACCTCCGACGAGAGTGGAGGGAGAAGGAGGAGCACGATGCGCGGATCTAGCCCACCATCATGCAATGTGTTCTCAACAGCTCGGAATATGTCTTGAAGGGTTGAGGCACCTGATAGCTGTGTCTCCAAATACAAAAACAAAATCAAGCTGGCTTTCTGTCTGATGTAGTTCAGGGTAAGGAACTCCGTCTCATCCTTCGGTTCGCGGCCGTGAATACTAGCCAAGAACCCGAATATTTGACCAGGAATCACATTGGCAGGTTGGCTGTCAATCATAAACTGCATCAGGCGATATTCGAGTTGCGAGATCAAGGGATTTTGTAAGATCATGAGAAGATCTTTACCGTGCCAGACCAAATTTCTCGTGAAAGCGCGTCCCAGGCGACCAGCAAGCTTTTCTTCTTCAATAGCACGCTTCTTTACGAGCTCGTTCGACGGCTCGACAGGAGTACTCAAGGATTGACTCTCAAACAGAGCGCGCTCTTGCTCCACCTGTTCCACAGCAGACTTTGTCCTTGGATCACTCTCAGCTTGAGCGATCTCTCGTTGTCTCAAAGACTTGATAGGAAGTGGTACCAGTTGCAACAATTCTCCCGGGGCTTTGAAGAAATGGCTATGCGTGCTCAGCGTGTGGTGCAAGCCGGCGGGAGCATTCTCGAATCCACTTGATGGCAAACTAACGCAGGTGCGAGGGTGCGCGAGCTCGGATGCATTCTCGATCAGTTGGATTTCCAATTTTCTCTCTGTTACGCCTTCTTGAGCACTTCGCAGAAGAGCGAAGATGATTTTACCCTCATCTTCCGAGCGGGGGGCGCCTTCGTTTTCCGGCACGGCGAAGTTGTCCACAAGCAGATCCTCAGGGTAACTTTCGAAGTCGATTGTCCCTCGAACGACGTCACCATCCAGATTCACAAACATACCAACTCCGGGCTCAGATTCCATCGTGCCCGTAGTTAACATGAACTCCGTCGGAAAGGGAGAGAGGATATGCGGTTTGAGACGCTTGGTAGAATGTTTGCTACTGATGCCAGCGGATGATTTGGCGGGAAGTGCCTCGGTCGACGCACGGGGGCGCGCTCTCGGACGTCCACTCCCATCTGCGCCTCCGACGGTGGTTGAGAGGTTAGTAGGTGATGATGAGGGTTGACCTGAGCCAGCGGATGCCGTATCTGGAGGCATTAGATGAGAAGACTCCTGACGTCCGTGGGAACCGTCCTCTGGAGAGCCGATCAGATTCCCCATGCTTGTGCTTCGAGCATGACCAGCTGCTTCTGCCGGTGGAGGAGACTGTGCTGGAGCACGCCCATCATTTTCGGCCAGCATCTCATCATCAGTAGGCTGTGATGAGATGGGAAACAGGGGAATCTTCTGCTGGTGTTCTACCTCCAAGAGCGCATAACTCGTGTCATCAGCCACGCATGCAATCGTTTCTCTTCTGCTCGATTTCAAACAGCCGGGGTATTCGATGTTATTTTTGATCGCCCGCAGCCTCTCCCCCACCCTGACCAAGATGATTCTTCGCGAGTTTGCAATCATCACCACAGGCCCCTCCGGGTTCTCTTTGTCTTCATTCTCGTCAATGCCACCGATCCACTGGACGCCAGTGGGTTCCCTGTTAGGAAATGCTGGACTGAATTCTGGAAGTGAGTAGAACGAGACGACGCCATTGCATAATACGCAGGCTTTGAGAGGACCTGGTAGAACCAGGATCTGTTGGATGCCTGGTGCGTTCGGAGACTCGGCCGATGCGGCGTGGCCGCTGGGTTGAAGTCGCGAGGCAAGAATGAAGGTTGTAGGTGCATTGTCGTCGTCCTGATCAGAAGGGATCGAGACCAAATGCAAGATCTCGGCCGCAGAGGTTCCGACATATAAATTGCTGTCTGGTGCATCGTAAGACGAATGCGGGAAACGCAGGATAAACAGCCTCACCTACTCCAATATTCTACACACGTAATTGACACCTTTGCATCACCGTCATCTGCCGCCAGTGGAATGTCCTCGAGAACAGCACGAAGGACATATGGGCCTGGTTCAGGCGCCGCCAGTCTCTGCCGCTTTGCAGGTCGCTGGCCATCTTGGTTGGGTCCATCCATGGGGAGAAGCGGCCTTCAATGACGTCGGGTGAGAGTATCCATGGTTGCGAGTAGTCCAGCAAGCTTCTCTCAAGACAACATCAAAGTGCTGTCCTTGTTGTACTCGGTAGTATTATGTATTGTGGTTGATGACGGCAAGCGGAGCATTGCAGTGGTCAAAACGCACTACTGCGGGAGATTCGATTTCGGGGCGCAGTCTTGGGTTCAACTCCAACGCCCGTTGCTCGGTCCCGTTGTCAATACAGTTGACGCGTTCAACGTTAATTCGAAGGCTTCTCAAGGCTCATCTCACTCTGTTGCTCTACAAACAGGATTCTGCAAATGCATTAATGCTGATGGAGCCTCCGAGTTGGCGGCACTTTAAAAGGGAGGATCTGTGAACCCCGGCCCCTATTGACGAGATGGACGCAATGGTGGTATCAGAGGTCAATGCCCCTCGGGCGGAAGACGATGACCCTCGTCCTGAATCTTTTCTGGAGAGGCCACCGGTTGAAGCAGAAAACAAGTTTCAAAAGGCAATCGCCGCATGGCGCAGTGAGTTCATGTTCACACCCTTCATCCTCACTGCTGGCTAATTCATCAGACATCGACCTTTCCTCGTTGATGCCCCAGTTAGATTCTACAGCCTCCGAGATTGTCGCTCAGCAGAGAGACGCCTTGCTCGAACGGAAGGAACTCGCTCAGAAGACGAAAGACTTTCGGAAATTGGAAGATGCAGCAAAGTTGACGGAATACAAGACACTCTTGAAATGTTGGTGTACCCTCCCGCAGAACATTAGGCGGAAGTTGACTTCTTGCAGCGTATCAAACTTTCATTGACCTGATTACTGGCCATGGCAAGACTTCCTCGTCCGCCTTCCTCCAACTATACCAATCTTTGTCCGAGGCTCCGGATCCCTTTCCTCTTCTCGAAGCCTCTGTCGATTCCCTGGTCGCGTCAGAGGATACAGTGCCCAAGCTCACTATTGAGAACCAGCAGCTTCTCTCTAGAGTTAGCAAATTGACTGCTCAGCTGGAGGAAACAGAACGAAAACTGCAAGACGAAAGCAAAACCAGAAAAGATGCTGAGGCTGGAACTAGTGCTCTGGTTCAGGAGGTTGAAGACAAATGGGCAAATGTCTTGGAGGAAAAGCAGAACAACTGGGCAGCAAAAGAGCGTTCTCTGGAAGAAAAGGTCGAGAACCAGGACAGGCTACTCAAAGAATTGAAAGCCAGCTACGAAGTGTCTCAAAGACTTCAAGATGGGTCGGCCGAAGCAGCCTCGTCTAAGGCTGCCGCTGCAGAGCTGGAGATGACGACCTACGAACTGGAGAAGACAACTGCCCGTCTTGCGGAGATCGAAGCGAGGAACGAACAGCTTCGAGTCGACCTTGCTAGGGCCACTTCGCAGAGCGTTGAAAATCACAACGTGGAAGACGATCCTTCCTTTCTACGCTTGCAGTCCGAAAACTCTTCTCTTCTTCGGAAAATTGAGTCTACAAGGTTTGAGAGAGAAACGGAGAAGAGAGATTGGGACAACAAGCTACGTCAGGTCGATAGACAGCGATCCCAACTCGCAAGTGAGAACGAGGAGCTTCGTACCAAGGTCAGTAAATGGTCTGATTATGAAGATCTGAAAAGGGAGTTAGACACCCTACGGTCAATCGAATTGTCAATTGGCGACGACGAAGATGGGGGTGAGGCTCCCATTGACCGGGAAGCTGAGACGAAGCAATCCTTGGAGCAGCTGCTACTTGCGCGCAACAAGAAGCTGACGAATGAACTGACACTGCTGCGAGTATCACACCAAGACCTTCAACGTCAGCTTGAAGAGCTCCAAGAAGAGCTGTCGAGGACCAATGCCGAGTTAGAGAAGTCCCAGAAGCTTTCTTCAACCCTGGAGAACGACCTCATGCGTGTGCAGGAGGAGGCTGCAAATGCACTTCCCTCTTCCGGGATGTCTGTCGCGGGAACGTATGTGTCTCGGCATCCCATGGGTTCTTTACGACGAGGAAGGGCATCATCGCCAACATCTTCCATCATTTCTGGCTATGATATGCAGCCGAGAACAAACACATTTGAGACACTACGAGGAGGAGAACCAGTTGGTGGGGGCACTGGCATTTTGCCGATGATCCAGGCTCAAAGAGATCGATTCAAGCAGAAGAACCAGCAACTTGAAGAAGAGCTATCCAAGACTTACGCAACAGTAACTTCCTTGCGTCAAGAAGTGGCCTCGCTGCAGAAGGATAACTTGAATTTGTACGAAAAAACACGATATATCTCAGCGTACAATCGGGGCCCAACGACATCTTCATCCTTTTCTGGACCACCAGGACACACGACGGTTCATGTGGATGACAGCACGACCGGCCGCTGGAAGTCACAATACGAGGCCAATATTTCTCCTTTTGCCGCGTTTCGTGGCCGGGAAGCTACACGTGCTTACAAACGCATGAGCTTCCCGGAAAGGATCATATTTTCCTTGACGAGGGTCGTTCTCGCTACCAGAACTTCGCGCAATGTCTTTGCCGGCTATTGTCTTGCTCTTCACATGCTGGTGTTCGTGATGCTCTACTGGATGGGCACCATGGATGTTGATCGGAACGTTGTCCATCTGGGCGAAGCAGCAGCAGCGGCTGCGGTTGGCGGCGCAGGGCTTCCTTCACCTGAGTTCCACGACCCAGATTGGCATCAGCAGGAATTTGGATAGCTTCTGGTATGTAAAGCCGCATCGCCAGGAGTGCTTACTTGTTGCTGCGGTGGACATCTGATGGTCTACGGCTTCATTTTGCGTCATACAGAGAATCCTCTTGCACCTCACATGTCCTTCTCTTTCTACCGACTCACCGTCTTCCATCAAAGACGAGATTTCTGGCGGGGCCCACGCGGCTCTATTACGCGTTTCCCTTGAAAAGAATTTCGAAGGCCACGGACGGACTCCATGGCTATCCGGCATTGTTTTCTAACACAGAGTGACAACAAATTAGAATCCTCCAAACCTAAATGCGTACGTTCCAGTCATGTGGGCAGGCGACCATCGCGGAAGCGGTAGACGCCGACCATTGTGTATGCGGAATCCGACAGAGTGAGCACTAAACAACAGGGAGAAGACAACCCGCGGATGTTAGATGGACTTGCTACAATTTTCTACAAGTAGTCCGACCAAGTGTCCTGCTTCGTAAGCGTTTGCGGAAAAGGCTCGAAAGAGGCGAAGTCGATGCTGACGTGAATGGTCCATTTGCCATTGTCCCAGTTGGCGCAGACGAGACGGAACGTGGCCTACGCACGCAGCTCCTTTGCAAGCGAAGTTTCGTCCCCTGGCTACTATCTGTACAAGATCTTCAGAAACTATTCTGGCAGCTGGCTCCCATCGTCAGCAGAACGAAATACTCACGGGTTCCAAAAGAGCTGTCTTGCGCTCCGCCGGCATTCCTTTCGGAATTACGACGACGGGAAACCCCAAGACCTGCGTGCGCATAATGCCCAGCCTTGGTAGTGGTACGCAATTAGGTCCGACGGTATGTTTCTGTACTTAGCACCGAAGAACATCATCCGATCTAGGAGAGACATGTGTCTGCCTGGTCACCCACTACGTCCATGTGGTACCCGTTGACAAGGTCCCAGTCTTGGTGTTGGAAGCGCCTTCGAAGTCTTGTATCTTCTGTCAAAGCTGCTTGTGCAGGTTTATAAGTCCTAAGACAGGCGCCGAGCAAGATTCGATTGGATCCCCGTGTCTGAAACCTGAAACGCATACCGAACTGAAGAAAGGCATTTCTTTGGGCGCGGACTAAGGCAAAAGAACGACTCGGGGAGCGACTTCGACAAGGCGTACCCGCTTTGTGCGCTACATCTGCACGTCATACACGAACTGATCTAGGATTGGCCCTTTGAGATGGTGGGCTGGCGGCTGGCCGGCTGGCCGGCGGCAAGGAAATAACCAGACGAACGTCCTAGCACGCCTGAAGAAAGCCGAGAGGTCAGCAAGAGGCTTGCCTTTCGGAGGCCAACAACGCAGCCACCCGACCAGCATCCCGAATCCCCTACTTGCCAACCAGGGGCCCTCTGGATCTCCAGGCTAACCAAGAGGACGCAAGCTGGTCCAAATTCCCAGGTGTTTGCTGCCGCAGGGCGCCAATTACCCCGTCTATTATTACATCCGAACCCTCGTCGATCAGACACGCAGCCGACAAATCTCCCTTGCCGCTTCTCGCAGCACTCATGCGGCCAAGATGGCTCCACCGTGGCTGGCGAGCCAATTACAATGACAAAGCCCTCAAGATAGAAACACGGCCTTTGTCGTGGGAGATCCACCATCAGAATAGCAACCATCCTATCCGTGGCCGGTATACCAGTCCACTTGACAAGTTGATATAATGCGGCGGCTGGTCTCGACAATGGCCTCTAGTTTCGTTCAGTCCTCATATACAGTCTTTGCTCTCGTTCTCAACAGCTCATTCCAACAATTCACTAGTCAGTGAAAATCTTTCCTTGCAGTCAAAAAAAGAATCTGCGGGCCAGACAGTTTCCTTCATTAATACTCATTTTACCACTTTCTTTTTGTCCAAGATGAAGTACACAATGCTTCTCGCCTCGTTGGCGCCAACACTGATGGCCGCACCACTTACTCGAGATGCCTTCGAATGGACGCCGACATTAGCTGGTTACTTTGACGTCGTCTTCCAATATATGCAGCAGGCTAAAACGCCTGGCTCTCCCTCGCCGACGTGTGATGTGTCGAAAGCTGCCATGCCGATCGCACCCACACCACTCCCCAGCCCGTCGGGATTGGTCCTTGAACATGTTGCTGTCGGTAGAGGTGTGCAGGTACGTGGTTTTCTTCCATCCTGGTCGCGGACGTATACTGACATTTGACAGAACTATACGTGTGCCAATGCCACAGCCACTCCTGCCGCAGTCGGGGCCGTTGCAAGATTCTACAATGCTTCGTGTGTGGCGGCTGATTATCCGGATCTCCTGGCCCTCATCCCCAACCTGGCCTTACAATACCCTCTGCCCTCCGACCCTTCTGCTCCCCTTGCACCCTCGGACCTTCAGCTTTCATCTCACCACTTCTTCTCCAATACCACCACTCCGGTCTTCGCTTTTGACGTCCCCGAGTCTCCAGAACTTGGCACCGTCTTTGCACAGAAGGAGCACTCTTCCGATGCCCCAGCCAATGCTGTGCCTGGCGTCAGCGGTACGGGCAATGGCGCGGTTCCCTGGCTGTACCTGACATCGCGATCCACCACTGAAGGCGACATCAAGGCTGTCTACCGCCTGGACACCGCTGGTGGACAGCCACCTGCGACATGTGCAGACATGCCTGCAGCTTTCAGCGTGGAGTACTCGGCAACCTACTGGTTCTACAAATAGTCAATTAATATGCTATTGAAGACCTTGTTTTCGCATCGCGCGGCGTTGGGCTTGCACTGGATTTATGGGATTTACTTGAGATTTTTGCTCCGGCCATTCATGGCCGGATGCTAGGCGGCCTGCATGGGTAATGAGATTTTCCGAAGTGGTCAGGGACTTCATATTATTACAATATATACCCCTAGATATATCTGAGAAAATGACAACACTTTCCAATTGGCCTCTTCCTCAAAAGCTGCGCTTTGACCTTTCCGAGGCATCGAGATGTGGAACGGGAAAGGATAAATATTCTTCCGTGATTGATCCGAAACGCGCCCTGCGCCTCTCGCAAAGCCACAGCGAAGCCACCACCATCTTGTCTTCCTCCCATCTCTCCGCCGACAACAACATTCATCACCTGCTATTGTTGCTGACTTTCGCTCTCATCAGGTAGTTGGCCTCATTCTGTGACGAGTCTCCATGTATGATTTGGACCCATGTTTGAGCGGACTCTGCCACCTTATCCATCTGGAATGCCCTCCACCCTGAAAGTTCCTCCGCACTACAATTCCTGGCAGTCAACCCTTGGGCACGGTGAGGACGAGGAATCGGAAGGTCAACATGCCTCTAAACTGTTCAACATTGGGCTTGCCCCCTAATTGTCCCTCGAACCCCTCAGCACACTCACCTTCTCTAATTTTGCTGAGTTGGCACAGACTTTGCTTCGAGTTTGGTTGAAAGTCAATACATGTGCTCTATGCTCCACTCACAAGATGCCAATTGGCGCTTCCTTATGCTACAAAATGGCTCGGACAATCTACCAAATGACACGATATCAGGTCCAACATTGGTTCAGTCTGCGCATTGACCATGTGGTCACACACGGGGCGAACAGCCTGTAATTCCAGCCACGCAGTCAGCCAGAAAAAGAACGAAGGGACTGGTGTACATTCATAAGTGCTTTGTCAACCAAGGTCTTCCCGCCCAATGCAAAACAGTAATGTCCACTCGCTCTTCAAGTCTACAAGCACCTTCATGCTCCATCCCGGATAGGAGAACCAGGCTGCTCTCCAGATACCCTGCAAGTGTCCCACTGTGTCAAGATCTGAAGGTTAGCGCATTTTCTTCTTTGGTTTTCCCCAGGCAAACCATGGGCCACTATACACCTAGCCACATGCGCTTTTCTGTGCCGGATTTGACTGGAGGCGACTCCGAATGCGCTCAAATCTGTATGCTCCTTTCCTGGATCAGTTTTCGCGAGTTCCCAACAACCGTGATCCCAGGCTGGACCATTCAATCGAAAGTCTGGGTCAGAGAATGCAACCAATGATTGTTTGATTGAGCTGGATGAGGAAGATGGGACGTTTTCCCCTTTTCTCAATCAAAACACTGACCAAAGCCGGTGAGCTGTCGCGCCCATGGGATGTCTTCAAAGAAACTTCCCACTACTTTTACCTTTCCCATCAATATCGTCCCGGTGTACACGTTTCTGAAACATCTCTGTGGCCTCCACACGCCGAGTATAAATCCCAAGATGCCGTCCCTTGCCTGTCTCTACAGTCTGCAGGCTCGAACCGACAATAACCACACGACACACTCTCCAGCTCGTAACGCACTACGCCGCTCAATCAGCCTGCTCTCGCTCTCAGAGCAGCAAATACAGCAACGCACACATTCTCTACAGATCCGGATGCACCAACAGTTCCACATAGCTCGACACACCACTCATTTCGGACAAACCCTTCGAATACACCCTCAATCTTACCGTGACAATCGGCTATCTACACAAATATCTCAGATCTATGCAACATGGCTATCGTCAATCCAGAATATGGCAAGATGTATGGCCGATATAAACAAGCTACAGACAATGTTCTGTCGTGGATCAGGGCTCTCTACAACCGTCCGAGCACAATTCCCCTGAACAAGCATCTCCAATTGGCAGTTTCAGCCGTTCAAGACGGCATCCAGATGCCCGAGAACATATTCGAAAACCTTCAGACCGCCATCAACCTGCGAAGGCAGACAGCCGAGCTCCACAAGCACACGGGAACCTCAGATCACGGGCACGACTATATGATCACAGTTCTTCAAACCATCTCAACCATTTTCGCTCCTTCGAGACCAGCAACTCCGGAACCGGCTTCAGCATGTGTCGCAATCCCAGAACCCTCTCCTTTCTGGCAAGGGCACTTGACACCTCGACCTTTTACTCCTCCTCCTCCTCCTCGGGGGTACTTCCCGCCAGTTCCTTTTCAGCAGGAATGGTGTCCTCCTGCATTTTGTGCATACGATCAGATCTATCAGAATCAGCAACCACCCTACGGGGCCTATTATTCGCCACCTCTCTCTCCTCCACCACCGCCTGGCTTGTATCCGACGTGGCAGCTACCTCAACCTCAATACTCTTACTTCGGCCCAACCACCACCACGGGCACTCACGGCATCGATTTGCAGGATTCTATGTTTGAACGCGCTCCGGGTTATTGAATCAATATTTGCGACAAATAATACAATCAACTCATCACCAATCCAAATCAGTCAGCAACAAATCCAACCATCTTCAAGCATATGTCTATGGATATTATCGAATATGCAACGAATATCAGCAATATATTTCAGCTGCAACAATACAGAGTCGGCATAATTTGCAAGCAAAAAGCCCTGCAGTACCAACAATGAGATGATCAGCACTACATGCACTCATTACAACGATAATATCCAATCAATGACAGCCATCGCTGCAGCACTTACGTCAAAGATTCAAAGACAAAAGGCACAACCATCCAAGATCCTAGCGTCATTATGAATCTCCTGGAAGAATCAGTTGATGTACGAGTCTTTGCCAAACCCTCATTTCTGTACATACTAACCCGTCCCAGTCCACCCTGCAAACGCTTCAATCGGCGCCATACGTGAAATTGCCAGTCGTCGAGGAGGGGGAGGGGTCCATTCCAAAAACGCTGCCCGTCAGCATCAGCGTCGACTGCCTACAAGTCCTCGTGTGGCTTGGGTGATCAAATTTCTCGGATTGGATTCCGCCCATTTGTCTAGAGAGGGCATTAAAGGACTTTGAAAACAAGCCCTGCGGGTTTGATGGTGGTAGATTCACAAGTCCCACGCAATAAGGTATAAAATCGGTCCTGCGGGACTTTGGAAAGAGGAGGGCGCCTTGCAATAGAGAGGCACCTTCTCGCGGTGCAGGGTGTGAGTAGCAGGCTCCTAGCTTCGCTTGAGACTGTGAAACCAAGACCTCTCCTGATGTTCCATTTACATGTCCGGGGACCAACATTACAACGCGGAAGCAGAATGCGATGTGCGTCTGTCCAAAAAGGCGTTGCTCTCATACGAGACTCGCCAGTAAGTTTGCGCAGACAGCATCTTGCCTACTGTTGGTTCTAATGGCTTCTAAGAAACCCCACAACCTGGTTGCCGGACCTGAAAGGTGAGAGAGATACAGATCATCCTAGTCGGTCGAACGCTGCCATGTACGGCTGCAGACCAGAGGCCCGTACAGCACTCTACCCACTGTCGATGAAACGCTTACAAGGATGTTGATTTGTCCGGGTGCAATGAACAACAAGGTTAGGCCACCAACGTCGAAAGAATGACTTGCTGTTAGGTTTCGTTGGCGAAGACAATTCACACTACACTGCCATGTGGGCAACTGAGCGCCTAGCTGACGTCGGAAACTGAGGGTTAGGCCTTGGTGGCCTGGTAGCCTAATCCATGTGACTTCAGGTTGCCCGCTCTGAAGGTATTTAATACTTCATTGTCCGTTCAATCGTGGCGGTCAAGGCTATGAGACGAAAATTTCCCTCTCAATCTTACCGATGTATCTCCAGAGATCGCCTTCCGGGGCTGCCGTGGTGCCTAATGTTATTGGAGGCAAGGTCGTGTCTCTGCCCGAAACTCAGAACTTCCCTGTCATTCAAGGTTCAACTGGGGACACGATCCATTACGCCCAGAGCGCAACCGTCGATGTCGGAGTTCATGCCGTCGAGACTGCTGCTGAGGTCTTTAAGACATGGAGGAAGACTCCACTCTCGCAACGGCGGGCAGTGTTGAACAAAGCGGCTGACATCTTGGAGACAAAGGTCGAAGAGTTGGCCAAAAGAGAGATTCCAGAGACCAGTTGTGATGCGCACTGGCCAGGGTTTGAGGTAATCTTTGCGTCAAAATTTGTGAGAGAGACCTCTGCCAATGTTTCGACCGTGTGCGGGAGCATACCGGACTCTGAGGTTCCGGGAACGACTTCATTGGTGTTTCGAGAGCCCGTTGGTGTCGTTCTTACCATCATACCGTAAGTCGAATCATCCGTTTCTGAGAAGTTGGCATTATCTTACCAGCACGGTGGCAGATGGAATGCTCCAACCATTCTAGCCTTCCGTGGCATCGCTGCTGCTCTCGCAGCAGGCTGCACGGTGGTCTTCAAAGCTTCCGAACTATGCCCGTGGACTCACCAACTGGTTCTTGAAGTCTTCGCGGAAGCAGGACTTCCAGCCGGGGCACTGAACAAGATTCAATGCTCCCGTTCTGAAGGTCCTGCTGTCACCGAAGCCATCATCAGCCATCCGGCTCTGAGAAAGGTCGAATTCATCGGCAGTGCCGCAGTCGGGCGAATTATAGGCACCGTGGCAGCCAAGCATCTGAAGCCTGTCTTGATGGAGCTGGGAGATCAAAGCCCAGTGATTGTCCTGGAGGACGCAGATTTGCAAACTGCTGCAGAGAATTGTGTTCGAGCTAGTAGGTCCTTATCTCCCATCCCAACTGTGTGAATGATACATGTCTCACGGTATTCCAGCCTTTGCCCATCACGGTCAGATCTGTTTCGGTACTGAGCGAATCATTGTCCATGAGAAAGTGGCCCAGGACTTCTCCCGGTTACTTGTCGAAGCCACAAAAGCTCTGCCCTCGGCTGGCCACGCCATCACGGTAGAAGGGGCAGAACGGTCTCAGGACATCATCGAAGAGGCTGTGGCTGATGGTGCCAAGTTCCTCGTCGGTAGCGCCCAATTCACGGGCTGAACGTCTCTCGAGCCTTCTATCTTGATGGATGTGAATCCCAAATCTCGGCTCTCGCGCGAAGAGTCGTTCGCTCCGTCTGCGAGTTTGTATGTGGTCAAGAGTGACGAGGAAGCCTTGGCCCTGGCGAATGACACCCCGTATGGTCTATCTGCATCGGTCTTTACGAGAAACCATGCCAAAGGTCTGGCTCTGGCACGAGACCTAGAGTTTGGACAGGTCCAGATCAACTCGCACACCATGTCTGTCAACGGTAAAGGATACTTCTCTGCATTTGTTGAGATTAGTTACTGACAGTCAACGCAGTCGCCGCGCCACAGACGGGATTCAAGGGAAGTGGATGGGGAAGCAATGGTGCTGCATATGGGATTGGGGAATTCTTGTTTAGCAAGCATGTTTCGCTGACTGCGTGATCTTGGGCCAGCAACTGGTATACCGAACACATGAAGCTTGGCGTAGCTTGGCCTGAAAGGACCTGTTTTGGGGCAGGGCAGATGTGGGGCTTTGTTCCATTCAGAGCCTAGCGTGCCCGACCCGTAGCCATCTCGAGCCTCAGACGCCACAGGTACGCGTAGAAGCTTGTGCACCGCCACCGGATCTCTTCCGCATTCAGCTAATATGACATCATGCTGCATATCTTTCGTCGCCCAACTTACTGGATGTACTCGGTACGCACATACTATCAAGCAGGGTACAAGGCAGGATTTGGAGGTCGATCATCTGGGCACAACGATGATCGGGCAACCAGATCCAAATCGCTAAACCATGTGTGCCATGGTATTCTTCGACAATCCTGCAGTTGAGCAAAGGGAGACGTCTTTGTCCCCTTGCTACCCTCTCACCCTCTCGCTGTCTCGACGCGTGGCCATTTTCCCCCATTCGTCTTTGGTTTCCGATCATTCCAACACGATCCAGCGTGCTGTTTAGGATCGACACTGGACGCCCGGGAGTCCGATCCAAGATTTGGGAAAACCTAGACTGGCGAGTCTGGCAGTTTCTTCTGATATATCTACTTTGGGTGGCGAGAGGTTCCTCTGATCTGGATCGCGACTTCCCTCAGACCATCCCAAGGCTGTCAAACAACACGCACGGCGACAGAGTCCCAGCGTCCTTGTCGTTGACGAAATTGAAAAGACAGGATTTAAGCAGCAATAATCAGCAAACACAAACATCGATATTACCCAGAGCATCGTTAAAACTCCCATCCGCGCATTACACCAACCTACCAGCCCGTCACTAGTATTCGTTTTCGGGAAGCCGAGGAGAAACAATAAGAATAGAAACGCGCTGTCTACTGGACCTGGAGCGGTGTCGAAATATCTGGTATTCTGATATATGCCGAGACAGGAAGGGCCCCGACCTACCAGGAACGTGGGCATCAAGCTCGACCAAGCTCCCGTCTGACTGTCAACGGCTCTTGAAGCAGCAGATAGATACGGAAAGGGACAGAGTGGACAGTGGAATTTCTGACAGTGGTATTGATTTTGGCGCCATTACTCACCAACCAGCATATATCGCCATGGCTGGAGACGGCCTCGCAAAGACGTGTCTGCGTCCTGAGAGGAAGCACCCAAAGAGGCGTCGACCACGACCACGACCACGACAACACCAGCACCAGCACTCCCGTCGGACATCCCATGCCATATCTCCCCTCTCAGCCGCACTCCTTCTCCTCTCCACCATCCCCACCGCAGCCGCCGTGACGATGCTTCCCCTGCGCGTCACCAACAACTGCAAGGAACCCATCTGGCCCGCCATCCTCACGCAGTCCGGCACCGGCCCCGCGAGCTCGGGCTTCCTGCTCGGCTCGGGCGCCACAAAGTCTCAGACCGTCGGGCTCGACTGGAAAGGCCGCGTGTGGGCTCGCACCAACTGCAGTTTCCCCACGACGATGGGCTCGACGTCGGCGTTGCCGCCTCTGCCGCCTTCGAGTGGGCAGGGAGGCAGTCCGTGCCAGACGGGCGATTGTGGCATGTTCTTGGAGTGTCAGGGTGCAGTGAGTCAATTCCCCTCTTTTTTTCCCCCTTGGTGGTTCACATCATGTCCTTCCAAGAGTGAGTAGACGAATCAAATTGACATGAGACTCTCTCTGTGGAACCCATGTAGCTGATATTGAACGTTGGCTGAGCCTTGCGCAGGGACAAGCACCAGCGACACTGGCAGAATTCACAATGTCGTCAGACACCGACCAATGCTTCTACGACATCTCGCTGGTCGACGGCTACAACATCCCCATGGGTATCATCTCCTTGCTCAGCGAGACCGACAACGCAAACCTCACCGACATCCCTCCCAACCTGACCAACCCGGTCTGCATTGGCACCTCGTCTCTTCTCGCGCCCGTGGGTGATGCCCCCGATGTCAACTTTGGCACAAACTCGACCTATCCGCTCCCCCTGGACCAGTCTGTGACTTCTTCCTTCGTACAAGACTGGTGTCCCTGGCCACTGCAACTCACACCGCCCACCAAACCGGGCGACGGCGTCTATCCCTACCCGGACGACAACATCCAGCGGCCCATCTTCAACCCCTGCCTCAGTGCCTGTGCAAAGTGGAACAAAGCTAAGTACTGCTGTACCGGTGACCACGGCACGCCGGCAACCTGCTCGCCGAGCCTCTACTCGCAACAGGCCAAGAAGCTGTGTCCCGACGCATACAGCTATGCATATGACGATCAGACCTCCACTTTCATCATCCCCCAGGGCGGAGGGTTCGAAGTCGTCTTCTGTCCGGCCGGGAGGAGCACCAGGATTCTGGCCACGTTCGGGGACCAGTTGAGGCAGCTGGCACAGACGGGACATGCCACGAGGGATATTGTCTCGTTGGCGCAGAATGTCTCGTATATCAAGGCAAAGAGTGCCGCCGTACAGGTCACGGTGCCGAAGCTGAATACTCTGTGGGCTGTCTTGGTGGGATCGGTGCTCCCTTTGGCTGTTGCTGGGGGATTTGGAATTCCGCTGTGATTGGAGAGAATGGGGCTGTGTTTGCGATCCCCGTCTCGAAGCAGGAATTGGGTCCAGACTTTGGACTGGACGGACGACTCTGTCGCCTGTGTTGATACCCTCTGAAACGAATACCGCACGCAGCATTTTGTTATATTAGGCCACACCACCGCTGTCCCGATCTCAGCCCTTGTCGTCCCCTTTGCTATTATTATTATTATTATTCCAACTCCACCCCAGCGTCTCGTAGTCCATCTCGTAGCTTTTGTTCTGCCACCGCAGAGTCGTCACGCCGGGGATGACGGCCGAGCACGACCCGGGCCAGGGGGCGTCCTCGCCCCCGTAGAGCACGGCCCACAGGAGCCGCATGTCCCGCGTGGGGAGTTTCTGCATGAGCACCTTCGTCGCGGCGACCTGGATCTGTTTCTTGCGGTCCGGGTCGTCCTGCGCAAACACCAGCGCTTGGTGCTCGCTGAGGTAGCTGTCGTGTTTGACCGGTTGCGCGGTCCAGCGTCCAGGGGGTGTGAGCGTCGAGAGGCGTGGGATGCTTTGCTCGGGCGGGGACGGCTGGGTGGGCGCCGCGGGTTGCGTCTGGCCTTCAGCTTGGGCTGGAGCTTGAGCTTGAGCTTTGGTGTCAACAGTTGCTTTGGCCTGGCCTGGGGTTTGAGATCCAGATGGAGCTTGAGCTTGGTTTTGCGATCGCGATTGAGACGGGAGCTCTGATTGAACCTGGGGTTGGACTGGACCTTGGACATCTGACCGATTCTGGGCCAGGACCGTCTCCTCGAGCTGAGCCTTGATCACTGCTGAGCTCTTGTTCCCTTTCTCGAGCTTGTTGGCTAAGTCTGCGGAGTTGCGGGTGTGCTCTGCATGCGAAGGAGCCTGTGTTGAAGGCCCAGAGGCTGCGGTACCGTCCAGTTGCGGTATTGACGGTTTGTCCATGTTTTCCAGCGGCTTCTTAGCAATGGGGCCTGAGCTGGAGCTCGTAGACGACGAGGCTTTGCCATTGACGAGGTCCACTTCACTCTTGCTTGCGCTGGCGTCGGCACCAAAGACTGCGCTGTTGCCACTCGTTTCCCCAGAACCTCCTTGTTTTGCCCGGGCATTGGGACGCTTCGTAGTGAAGTGGTCCTCCAATGCCCTCCAGATATCTGACGCGATCTCGACCGGTTCAGCAACCTTCCATGCTTCGCTCCCCGGTACCAAGGTTGACAAGATCAAAGCTTTCGCACGGGCGTTCTTGATCCAAAAGTCGTCGTTGGCGTCCGGCTTCGGGAGGGTCAGAGGGATGTAGGGGGCCGGTTCTTGGACAGCTGGAGCTGGCGCTGACGTGGTCGCCTTTGCCTGACCAGAGGGTTGAGCAGGACTCTTGCCCTTGGAGGCGTTGGGCTTGGATTTCTTGTTCGGCATGGTTGGAGAGAGCGAGAGGGTGTGTTTGTGCGACAAGTTTTTTTGTTATTTTTATTTTTTGCGGTTCTTCAAGGCAAAGAGGCGGTCTTTGCTTGAATCACCCCAGTGTCCTGGCATAGTTGAAGCCACGGCGACTGACAAAACTATTTACCACAGCGCTGAACAGGGTGTCTTGTCCATTCAATGTCACAACCGCGAGCGAAGTTTGGGAGTTTCTTTGAATATGCGGTTACCGTGTGAAATGCTCGGACGAAGTTCTACAGCGGCGCAGAAAAGCAACAAGTGCATTTCTCATCTTCACGATTGAAATCACCACCACCACCACCACTTCATCTACTCTCCTCTGCCTATGTCTGACTACGGACAGCGTTCTCTTCCACACCTATGACGAAGATATCTCGTGGCAAGTCTCTAGGGCCACATAGTCCACCCTCACACGACGAGCTTGATCGCGCCATTCCTCACCAATCTAGAGAGTGTACTTGAATCCCTCCTGTCCCTCGATCGGCTTCTCCAAAGTCCCGGTATCGACCTGGCCATTCTTCTTCCAGAAATAAACCGATGTGCAGCAGACAGAGCAAATGATGAAGAGCTGCAACCCTGCGGTAGTCCATAGCCCACTTCTATATGTCGGAGCTTCCTTCTGGAGAAAGGTGGTGGAAGCGAGGATGCCACCAATCGCTCCAAACCCGATCTGAAGCGCGCTGCCTACACTTCGCTTTGACTGCATCCGGATGTTGTTGGATTGATAGGCAAGGATGGCTGGGACATTGCCTTGACAGCCGGCAACACCAAGGAAGATTCCGAAATATCGGACGCCGTCAGAACCGTGATAAGCCGTGATCATAAGCCCAATGAGCACGATGAGTGCCTGGGCTAGAATCACGGGAGCACGTTTGTGGTATTTATCGCCAACCCATGCAAATGTCAAAGCGCTGATCACTGCAGCAACGACTGGGGGCGCCGAAAGTAAGTTGGCAACCCCGGCAGTGTATCCCATTCCCTGTCACAGATTAGCATTGCCGTCCATGGACAATTGGTAGCACACGGCGTACCTGGATGATCACTGGCATAAAGTACGCAAAAGCATACGCGGGGTTAGCCGTCGACATAAACATCATCGAACTGGAATCGTCAGTGGCAGACAAGACTAGGGAGGACGATGGACATACAAGACCCAGAGTTTCCAGTCCTTCAGGTGATGGCAGAACTTGGCCCATGTGAGTGGATCAGGGACAGCATCTTTCCGGTCATCCTCGATCCGCCGGATGATGAATGAGGCTTCTTCGCGCGTCAAGAGGCCCTTCTTCTCCGCTTTGTCCGGGAAGTCGATAATGATGAACCATGCAATGACGGCAACGGTTACTGTCAACAGGCCTTCAATGATCTGTTGCGCATCAGCTATGGATATACACGAGGATCTGTCACCTTACAAAGATCCACTGCCACCCGCGCAGGCCGCCCACGCCCTCCATCTGCATCAGGCCATATGCAAGGATATTCGAGAAACCGCCGACGAGAACGGACATGAGATAAAAGAAGGCGAGGCTTGAAGCATTAGGAGCCAATTCTCCAGAAGATTTTCTACAGCATACCGTTTCTGCACCTCGTACCGCTTATACCAGCAGCTGATCAAGTACACGCATCCAGGGAAGAAGCCTTGCAGCATGTCATCAGTTCACTTCCAGAGTCGAGGAGACATTTTTCTTACCTGCCTCAAAGAAACCGAGCAACGTACGGCAGACGGCGAGAGCCTCGTACGACTTGACAAACCCCTATGCTTGCGTCAGTTGTATAAGACACATGGCAGGATCATTGATGCCTGGTACTTGACCGATCATGACACATCCCCACGCGAACGCAATGAATGAGAGCCAGTTGGCACTTCCCACACGACGAAGAACAATATTGGAAGGTAGCTATTGCGGTTTCAGTTCGACAGTTCTGAGACGTCACATGCAAAGTCGTGTACCTCGAACAGGCAGTATGGGGGAAAGAACACCACTAAGACGACAGTATATCGGTTTCCCACATTCAAATCCAGATCCTCTCCCATGCCAGCAATCCGTGCATTGGAGATCTGGTCAAGTCAGCGCTAATGGAATCCAGATGGGAGGGTAGGCTGCTTACATTGACACGATCAATTAGGGCAATGGAATACAGAGCTCCTAAAATTGGAATGAGTCGCCAATCGATTTTCCGAACCAGCTTATTCTCCGCGTGTTGGTCCCAGTCCAGTTGGTCTTCATTCACTCTTTGCGGTTGCTCATGCGCACTTATGTCGGAAAAGTGGCCGGTTGAGTCGTTGTATTTCTGATCTGTCGACGACATGATGGCTTCAGCTATCTGTGGCTCTGGATCTCGAAAGTCCTTTGTTCAAAGTCTGGTGGCCTCCAATCTCATGCTCACACCTTCAACGTAAGCGAAACATTCTTGCAAGGGCTGGAAGTTGTGAGGTCAGGGTCTTTATGCTGCTAGCCTCATCATCTTTGCCCAGGCATGGCAGTCTGGGACAAGGAATGCATCTTCACTTCCAAGGTACTTGGCCATTGTTGCCCAGCGGTCTGAGGTCGTTCCAAACCATATGGTACGTATTTACCCCTCTTCCTGGCACCTTGGCCGTCATCCTTCAGATAAGTTGCCACGTTGGCGCCAAGGTCTCACAATGGCATTTCCATACGAATACCTTTGCACTTCAACAATGGTTCAGGCAGTGCGGGCTGCATTGCAGATCAACGGGCCTTCTCGGCATGCACCTCTGGATGTGACTGGACGAACACGGCATGCCAATGCTAGGCCAGCTTGGCCGTCCCAGCCTCTGACTTCAGGTCTGTTGGTGGAGACTAGCATCGCTGAATCTGGGGAAATCGACCCACCTCCAGTGGTACAACCCATGGTCTGTTCTTGGGCGACGACTATGATGTGGCGAGTCGACACATGGTGCACTGTAGTACTCCTCACACTAAGTTGGATTTTGAGCTACACCCAGAATCTGAGGCTTCGATTGTCACACCACCACAACAATCGATCTATGAGCATACGACAAGGACAAGGATTCCAGATGGGATAGAGAGTCATTCCTTGGCAAGCACGAGATGTGCTCCCCTGCTGGTCCTGGGGACTCTTCGCTTGATCGTCGTTCAGTGGATCAGGAGAAGACCGACAGTGACTCGTCGGCTCGTGAAGTCGACAACCTCGGAGCCACCCCTTGCAGCCTCGCCTAACCCATGTGAGTATCACCGCCGTCCATTTTCTTGCGTGATCATGTCCGCAGCTTGCGCAGCAATGGCATAGGTTGCAGCCTGCAGATGTCCACCAATTGGTATTGGGATGACGCTGGCATCCACAACTCGCAGACCACCGATGCCCTTTACTCGCAGTTGCGTATCCACTACGGAACCCATACTTGCTGTCCCTGCGGCATGGAAGAACGTGCGAGCCTCGGACCGCACCCGAGCGTCGATTGCTGAATCAGAAGATGTATATGACAGGGCTTCGAATGAAGGCGGAGGGTTCTCAGACTCGACCACGTCAGACATGGAGTGCTGAACAGCTTGAAGCAAGCGGCGAATTCCATAACGCATGAGCGCGCGATCGACGTTTGTTGCGTTGTAGTTGGGATCGATGACTGGGGGGTCCAATGCCGACGAGGAAGATAAACCGATTCTGCCTCGGGACGTCGGCGACATAACCCCCACTACGGCACCTATATGTGTTCCATCAAAGGGAACATGCAGGTTGGTGATGGGTAGGCCACCAGGGGCGTATATCATGATTGATTCAAGGTGGACTGACCGGGAGTCGAGAAGCGAGACAGGGTATGTGTCTCCACCCCCAGATGAGTCGCGGACCATATCTTTCTTCACAGCCTCCTCCAAGAAGGACCTCGGCACGTTCTCGGTCACAACCCAGTCCACAGGAAGGCCCAATTGATGTGCTGGCTCTGCCCAGGGTCCGGCTACGCCTCCCATGGCAAGGCCCAGTGAAGGGGTTTTGAGGCGAAAAGCGAATCCGACCAGGAGGTGGTCGTGGAAGTTCAGGCCGACGCCAGGTAAGTCGAGCTGTGTTGGGATGTTCGCTTTCTCCAAGTCTGCAGCTGGACCAATTCCACTAAGCAGGAGGAGTTGTGGCGTGCGAAATGCTCCTGCCGAGAGGATGACCTCTTTGGATGCCAGAAAATGTCTCTCGCCATGGATTTGGACTCCTATAGCGGTAAGTTTTCCCTGTCGTTTTTCGAGAAACACCTTTTGCGCCGCAGTTTCCGTCATGACCTTAACGGCTCTCAGGTCGAATGCTGAGCTCGCTAGCTGCCTGTTCCCTTCCTTCAAATTCTCGACCACTTCGCCTACACCTAGAGGCTCACCGCCGTTGGCGTTCTCGATCTGGCTCAGTCCAAGACCAAGCCACGCCTTCAAGACTTGATCCCTCAAGGGAGACTTGCGGTCAGGGTGGCTCTTTGATATTGCCACAGTTGAGATGTGGTCTTTCTCGATCTTGTCGAAATAAGGCAAGAGGCCGTTATAGGTCCATCTCGCATCGCCTACGAGTTTCCCCCACCGGTCGTAATCGACTTTCGGACCACGAGTCCAGGTGGCATAGTTGGTTGCGCTACCACCCCCCAAAGCCTTCCCACCGGCTTCATACAGCGACCGATCATTGAGGTGTGGTTGTGGTACAGTCTTATAGTTCCAGTCAATATCCGATCCGTGTGCGGCGAAGCAGCCCAAAGGAGACTGGGTCAGTGGGTGACCCGACACATCCGGGCCAGCTTCAATTAACAGAACCGAGGGTGATGATTTCGATTTGGAAAGGAGAGAAGCGAGGACACAGCCGGCGATTCCGCCGCCGACTACTATGTAGTCGAAGATGTCCTCGGCAGCAGCCATTTGAGGCGGCTTGATGGGTTGAATTTGAGTGTCGCTCCTCGACTTTCTGAGAAGAAAGATGCAACAACGGTGAGATGTGCTGTGCGGGTGTTGATTCAAAGTGCGACGTTATAAGGGGATGTCATCCACTCACTAGTGTTTCCTGCATTCCGCCAACTGATGCACAGTCACGCTCGACGTTGGACATGGGATCCGAGGCCATCGAGGCAACCCATAGCCAAGCTGAATAATTACTTTTGTCGTTGCAACTTGTCTTGTCCATCGTCATGCCACGGCTTTCTGGGGGGCCGCGGTGTGACCCAACATTGTTCGGGGAAGTCTGGAAGTCTGGGAGAGAACTGGCTGGCGACTCGTACGATGGCGCAGATGCGACAGGCTGCAAAAGTGCTTCCGAGAAGCGACAAGATTCAATATATCCGGATAGTTCCAGAAGGCAAAACCAGAACTTAATACTGAGTACAGAGTACAGAGTATTCAACTCGTATTACGGTCTCCACCTCACCTATCTATGTATGTATCCAAGGCGTGCCATACCGCGCCAGCAATGCCACTTGTGGTTTGTAATTATCATTGCACCACCAGCACCAGCTTAGCAATTAAGTAACCTTGATCGTTGCTACTCGTATAAGAACAACGACGAGTGCGTGACTTGGCTCAAAGCGTACAAGGTTTGACAAAGGTAATTATGAATACGAACAAGAGAGTTATCGATAGGGCTGAGGCTTAAACCACCCCTCAACCCGAACCCAAACCTTGTAACTCGTAGGTCTGTATTACATGTGTAACTGTATTTTTACCCTTTTCTTGTGGCCCCCTAGACGAGCTTGTGACAAAATAGTACCTTGCCTTGATACCTACCTAGGTACCTGCATATTTAGGTAGGTAGGTAATTAATAATTCATCGTCTGATCTGATCTTGTCTGATCTGATGGCCCCTTCATTATTAACTACTTGTACGAATAAGAGAAAGGGTCTTCTTGCAAAGGGCCTAGAACAGACAGACAGACAGAGACGGGCGAGAGGTGTTGGCTTGCTGCCTTGTTGGCTTACGCACTCAGGCACTCGGGCACGCACGCACGCACTCGCGCACTATTACTTGTAGTGATAAAGGAGTTGGTTTTGGCATTTAGTTGATATCTGATATCTCACATCTCACATCTGACGTTTGACACCGACATCTGACGTCGGTGCTGAGTGCTGTGAGATGTGAGGTGGCGTCGCTAATAGACGTGTAGATACCTTTCTAGGGAAGAAGGTATGAAGGTAAGAGGGTAAGAGAATGAAAGCGGACATTTCAAATCCAGCCATGTGGTGACCCCAGTCCACCTACATACATATGTATCTGGGGGTCTACCCAGGCATCTCCCCTAGCATTAGCAGCGATATAGACATTGACACCGACATCGACATCGATACCGGCACAGTCTTGTCTGTCAGACTACGAGATTATCGAGGAAGTAGTGGCACCAGCGGCAGTGAGACATCGGGCCACATGTGTCCCCGTTCAATTGAGTTCCCTTGACCACCCATGCCATGTTGGTACGGCGACTTGCACCCTCCGCCTCCGTCTCCGTCTCCGCCTCCGCCCGTCATACTACCAGAACCACGTACCAAACTATGCGGCCATGGCCTCCTCCATGCAAATCAATCCCCCTCTCTTCGAGGACGGACAGCAATATCAACGGAAATCCATCAAACTCATGGAACCCTCGCCATCACTCGCTGGATGCACACCTCCTTTGCTTCCTTCCTGATCTCTTCGCTGGCATTGGACTTGAGTTTCATCCCCGTGGCATCGGTCCCGGTGTCCACGGGCGTTTCGGCGAGGAGCTTGAATCCCAGTCGCTCATACGCCCGGATGGCTTGCGTGGTGGTCGTGTCGAGAATGACAGGACGGTCGGGGAACTCGGCGAAATGCTGCTCGACTTGATGCCGCAACAAGGCCGACGCGTAGCGTTTCCCGGCGTACTTGGGGTTGCTGGCAATCATTTGGACGAAAGCGCACTCTTCTTCCTTGAACCCACGGGGCTGCAGCTCCGGTAGCGTGCGCGTCCACATCTTGCGGATGTTCTCCTCAAAGATGAACTCGATGCGGTAGAAGCCCCTTGGGCCGTAGTGCCATGGGAGCATGAGGCCCAAAAATCCCGACTGCCACAGTTTGCCGAGCTCGAATGGTCCCATCCGCTTGTGTGGAGGCAGCCAGAGCAGGATGGCACCTATATCGGTCTGCGTTGTTGATGTTGATGTTGTCGCTTCTGCGACGTTGTCGTCACCATCCGACGTGTTGATCTCAGCGACGAGGACCGAACCACCAATTAGCCTGGTCGCACTTATCAAGCTCCGATAGAAGCGGACTCGAGTCTTCTGCAGACTGGTCATGTGCGGTTTGCTGGTGGGCGTGCCGATCATGACAGGCTCCAACGGTTGCGAAACGCAGTGGAACCAATTGTGATTCCTAAGAAGCGTCAGCTGGTCTGGTCTGGTCCGTACCCATCCCTCCTCCTCATTCCAGAATGACGTACCACAGCGGAAGAAATGCATTGCACAGTATTCGAGATAGCATGTCATCTTCTTCTAGCTTAGCGGGTCGGAAAATAGGAGGCGCTCCTATGGGAGGGTCTCCCGGGGACTCATCAACCCGATTCGCACCCTCGCCATCCATGTTTCGAGCGGTGCGCCAGCGCGATTGACGTCTGAAAGTTTTTCAAGAAGTGAAGAAAGAATAACAGAAAAAAAAGAGGAGAGATGAGAAACGCACGACCTTGAGAGTCGAAAGATTGAGACAACTTAGGCCTAGCTAGGCCTCCAGCTATTGGTACTTACTAGGCCATTTGCGGACGTCGGAGACAAGGCAGCAACGAATCCAATTGGCGGAAACAACCAAATCCAGAAAATACGAGATACGGCCAGACAAGCTTTACTCGTACAGCACAAGCACAGGTTGCAATTCCAAGCCTTTCATGGACGACGTGTTCGATCCTGAAGGACGAGCTGTAAGCACGATGCATGCGAATAGTGCTGACGACAGCAAAGACATGGAATGGACACGTGAGTATGTAGATGGTTCGCGTATGTAGAAAGGAAGGGGGTGTTTGGAGGTTTATATACTCAGTACTAGTTTGGAGTGCTAAAAGAGGCGTGTAGTGGGGCTCTATAATATCGCCCTCATTCAGCCAATGATGCATATTTCATGTAGGGCGGCAACATCCCCTTCCCAAAATAGGCGGAGGCGCGGGCCTAATGACCACCCGGTCTCTCGATCAGGGTTCAACAAGTCGAGGTCGACAAACGCAGGCGGCGAGAAACAAGTTCACAACTCATCAACCCTTCCACCATCTCCCAGATTCAAACCGGTCAGCTGTATAGCGGAGCCCCCTTCACTACTTTTTCAGTTCTCGCCTGTCGTTCAGATATACTTGCTGTTTTGGTCTCTCCTCTGCTCCTATTAGACGTCCACGCGATCTCATCCCATCCCAACCCCATCCCTACCTTTTTGTCATCTCTCCACTCCCTCCGCAACCATGAAAACGCCCGTCTATTCCCTGTTACCGCTTCTCTTGTCATTATCAAATCTCGTCACCTCTGTAACAATAGACTGTCAAAACATCCGGGTCGACGGCAAGAAGTTTGACCTGTCGAAGCTCGCGGGCCGTCATTCCGTCACTGTCCACGACACATCGAGACCGCCTGCGGAATACAACACCACATGGACCATTAACCTTTGCGCGCCGTTGAAGAAGCTGGAGGGTATAAGAGACCAGGATCAATGTCCCGGGGGAACTCGAGGTAAGCTACCCAAGGTCCAGCGAATCGACTGGGGTTGCGCAAGAGTCAAGGTGCCAATGGTCACGAAATGATTTTAACGTTTGCGGATAGTATGCGGTGTCGTCCAATCCTGGAACCCTGCCGATGATCCGGACAAGAAACACGTCCAAGTCGAGAATGTGATTCCCATTGCGGGGAACTTCGAATCCAGCACGGGTGCCGGTCTGGATCCCAAGGTGACCAGGTTGAAAACGCAAGATTCAAACTCGGACGGTCTCCAGATTGAGCTGAATGGCGGCAATTACAACAAAATGAAGCAAAAGGCAGTGGTGCAATTGACGTGTGACAAGGATCGGAGCGGGAACGAAGAGAAGAAGAAGCGCGATGACCAGGACAAGGACAAGGACAAAGACAAGGAAGAGCAGCCGAGCACCTCGAGCTTGACGTTTGTGAGCTACGGGCCGGTCGAGGGAAAGGACAAGATAGAGGTTCTGAGGCTCGACTGGCGGACAAAGTATGCTTGCGAGGACTACGCCGACAGCGACGAAGCGAGGAGGAGCGGATGGGGTTTCTTCACCTGGTTTATCCTGCTGTATGCCATCCCTTCCCCCTTCCAGCCCAATCACTTTTTCTCCTTTTTCCCTTTTGCACTGGACTCCCTCTCCCACCCTTCCCCGAATGTTTTGTGTCCTATCCTATCTTGGATGTATGTAACTAACCAAGTCCTTCGCCACAACTAGTGCCTTCCTCGGCATCGCCGCCTACCTTATCTTCGGCTCCTGGCTGAACTACAACCGCTACGGCGCTCGGGGCTGGGACCTGCTCCCGCACGGCGACACGATCCGCGACATTCCCTACCTCTTCAAGGACTGGTCGAGAAAGGTGATTGATACCGTGTCCGGAGGCGGTTCTAGAGGCGGGTATAGCGCTGTATAAATCAGAACTTTGTTATTTTTTTCCCCTTTCTCTTTCTTCGCCCTCGCGCGCGCTTCCTGCCCTACCCTGTTTTTTTAAAAAAAGACTGACATCGGATTTGGTGGCGTGGAGTTTTTTCGTCTTGTTCCTCTATGGGAGGGAGGGGAGTCATTACCCTGTCTGTTCTGTGGTGTGGTGTGGCGTGGTGTTATTTGCGTTGGTACCTACCACATGGAATGGTATTGTTTTGTTGGTCCCTGGGTCTCTGGGTACATGGATTGGTAGGTAGGTAGGTAGAGGGGTAGGTAGGTAGATAAAGACTCCGTCCACCCACTCATCCATACAAACTACCATCTATCCAAAAGCAAAGAAAGGTTCTTGACCTCAACTTACATGGACCATAAGGGATCGATCTGTGTGCGGACAAGAAAGTAAAGGGAACGAAAGGAAAGGAAAGGAAAAGCGCCCGTGTCTTAATCTCGCATAGTACGGCGCCTTGGGGTTTGAGGGTTTTCCTTTGTTCGATTGTTCGTAAATATCCATTTATCGATTTTTGTTGTATATATTATCCAGTAGTACTGTATTACTGTATCACTGTACTCTGGTCAACGGTTTCATAGCGCATTCGAGATCCCCCTTTCTCTCTAGCCATAGCCTCTGCCAAATAACTCTACGTTGCTCGCGACGCTCTAGCCGCTCTCGATCCTCTGGTGCAGGCGGATATAGATCCAGTGGCCGCAACCAATGGTCCCTCAATGATCCTCTCGGATGCTGTATATGCGTTGTGTATGTGTATGCATATGCGGGGAAGCTTCACAGTAACTGTTCCTCTCCGGGGACTATGTCGCCGAATTTCTTTGCCGAGCCGTGACTTCGGGCGACGATGCCATAGGCCGGGAAGTACTGCGGGAAGTCCAAGTCAGTGTGATTCTTTTTGTTGGAAAAACAACGCGTCCTCTGCATAATGAGAGCAGGCGTATAGTAATATCAAACACACGGACCTTGTCCAAGTACGGAAGCACTTCGGCCGTGCCGGGCGTGTTTCGCCAGTCCTTCATCAGGAACATGGCAATGCCGAACATGCCAGTCTAGAGTGTTTCGGTCAGCCTTCCGAACGACCAAGAGAGCCACCGTGGAGAATTCTCTAGACGTTGATTCCTGGAAATGGCGTCGGGGCTTACCAAGTGCACGCCAGCATTCTCCATCCTCCGGTTCGCATCCTCGGCCAGCTTGGGCGTCGCCGTTCCGCTGGCTTCAGTATTCGCCCACACCGAGTACCCGGCCTCTCTCAGACTGAGTGCCAGGAACATGGTGCACACCTCTGTGACGATGCCGCCCAGGATGACTTGCTTGCGGCCTGTGGCTTCCACGGCGGCGCGGAAGTCAGGGTTGTCCCAGGCGTTGACCTCGCCGTTTCTCCTGATGAAGGGGGCGTTGGGGTACATGTCTGTGATTTCCTTGGGCAGAGGGCCGTTGGGGCCAGTCTCGGCAGAGGTCGTCAGTATGGTCGGTAGGTCGAAGAGCTTCCCCAGCTCGGCGTGGGCGAGGACATTGTTGCGGAACTCGGCAGTGGTGTAGTCCTTGACGAGCTGCAGAAGGCCTAGTTGGTGGTCGACGATCAGCAGGATCGCTTTGTCTTTGTCGAGACGCTCGAACTTGTAGGGTGGTTGTTGGTAGGCCATGACTGCTGTATATCTGGATGTGAGTGAGTCTGGCTGTGTCCTTGAGATGTTAGATATGGTATAGAACTGGACTTCGGCGCGAGTGGGTTTCGATATGATGAAGACAAACCACGAGAGAGGCAATGTATAGCAGTATATATACAGTATTCACCATTTACTTCCTCGTCCTTGACGCCATACACAGTAATCACATTGCGTCCCGAGTGCCTGTCGGATTCTGGATACACATTGGGCGGGTCGAGTTGGCATACACCTAGCAAAACAACCCCAGCCGCATGAGGCTTCACGAAAAGGGCCCTCGACTTCCCGCTTGAGGCTAGATTCGAGGCTTTCATGACTAACGTCTCCCGTGCTTGACACAATGCAGAGCGGAGCTCTGGTGTGGTAATCTTGGAGTAAGGACCCCGTAGTGGATGCCCCTCAAGCAAATGAAGCCCCAAGCAGCGCTTGACCAATGTAGATTTGTGCTCTGTTCCATGGTCTGTACCTTGCGGGCTTCATACGTAAGGACGAGGTGCTGAGTAACTGGGCGTCTGCAGGGGAAAACAATGACATATTCATGACCAGTCATGTGTGTACGGGTCGACATGTTAAGCTGCAATGCATATGAGCATCGTTACAAGGTGCTGAAGTCAACATATGTTCATATTGTGTATTGAGGGAAGAAGGAGAGTAACAGGATTCGGTGGTTTCGATGCTTTTGAGGCGCAGAAATAATCAGTGCGGCTAAGCAGTTAATGCGCAGCCGTACTCTGTTCTGCGGACCATACTGCCACATGGCGCATTATCTGTCGAAATGTCCCATCACAATATCAACCGTACAATGGTCCCCGTTTCCATGAAAACTGTATACGGACCGAATCTAAGGACTAGAAACATCCCAATAAGTCTCTCCAATTTCCCTCTCTCCTGCGTGTCACCAGTCATCCAATCCTGGGTGCCGGCCCGAAACAATAACCGACCACTTCCATCATGCTATCAAGAAGAGTTGTAAGTCCCACCTGTAAACCTATCCCAAGAGTTTCGTCTATAACTACGCCCCTTGGTATATCACTGGATGGGTGAGTCTCTGACTCATTTTGGGTGAAACAGCTCTCAAAAGAGGAAGAATCAGAGTCGATGGACGCCGAAGTCACAAAGGAAGACCAGGAAAAGATCAACACCTTTTCGAGACTGCATAATCGGAGTAAGGCCCTGGAGGAGGAGTTGGGTTTGAAACAGGTAAGTCGGTATCTATCCTTGGCTCTTGGACGGCTGTGGTTGTCGAAGAGGTCTTTAGAGGACGTGAAGAGGCCATGGTTCATGAGGAAAAGCTGGTCACGCAAGAACATCGTGGCTCAAGGCAAGAGATGGAAACATCTTCCAAAATCAATCCACTAATCCATGTCCACTGCAGAAAGACAAAGAAGACCTCGAAGAACTGTCCACCGAACTCGAACTCGCCGACGAGGACTCACTGATCCCGTAAGTCCCCTCTTGCCTCGTTGTTCCCCCCGGACGCCGTCATCATTCTTCTCACAACATTTTTTGTCTTTTTCGCATCCTGCATACTAACGCACCATCATACCCAGATACAAGATCGGCGACTCGTTCATGCACGTCCCGCTGGCCGAGGCGCAGGAGCTGCTGGCGACCCAGACGACCGAGATCGACAGCGAGGTGTCGACGCTCGAGGAGGAACTCGAAACCATCAAGGACCAGATCCGCGGGTTGAAGGCGCACCTCTACGCCCGGTTCGGCAAGGGCATCAACCTCGAAGCCTAAGCACCTTTTTTCTCTCTTTCTTTTGTGTTCCTCTTCGAACAATAAAAAGTAGGGGAGGGCTTGGTGCTGTGGTGGGAAAATACCGTGATGAGAACTACGACATGATCAATCAATTCACGCGACTGGCGACGAGTGAGGCAAGAACTGGGCGGCGTACGTTCATCACAATGTAGGCGCTCCCAGAATGTGGATGCCTAGGGTTCCCACGAGAGCACGGCCGACGGCTGGATACTTCGATCTTAGAGAGAAACGAACCACGAGGGAAGGGTGACGGCGTGAAAGAAGCGAATCATCAATCCTTGCTTGGTTCTGGTATCAAAAGACTACATCGAACGACCGATCGCCTCTCGTTAGTTCCAAAAGTCTATCTATATATACCCACTGGACATTCCAATACCGTGCCGGCGGAGAATGTTACAGGGAGCAAACCACACAAAGACAAGTCATTCCGTCCACCGATCGCACCGATCCGCGCAAAAATCTGTAGGCAATCCTCAATCCAATCCAACACAAAAGCCAAAGCCGGTGCCTCACTCCCCGAACAACATGTAAAATCCTATATCTTACTAGCCGTCGGCTTCTGCTTCAGCCTGACAACGCCCTCTTGCGTACACGTCGCAATCAAAACTCCGTCTTTGCTCCAGATCCTCTGCATGACCAACCCTCTCCCGTCGCCGGCCCATGGACTATCCATCTCGGTCAACATCCACTCGTCCGCGCGGAACGCCCTCGGGTTGTGGAAAAATATCGTGTGGTCCAAGCTGACCATCATCCCGATGCTGCGCGTGTCCTCGTTGTTCAGCGCCATTTCTTCGTGTTCCGTCGTCTCGTCCTTGGCAATGTCTTCGAGGTACTTGCGCATTTGTTTCTTCTCTTCTTCCGAACCCCTGAAGTTGGAGAGACTGCGTTCGATGTTGCCGGGGCTGCCGAAGCGCTGGAGGCCGTGAACCCGCGAAACCGTGCCGATAAAGTACGAATCGCTCATATACGCCAGCGCGCTCAGGTGCGCTTGGTGGTTGTCGCCCGGTAGGTTCGCTCTCTGGCCGGACTGCAGTTCCTCCTCACGGATGTTTGGCGGACAGTCGGAGATGCGGCCGCGAGCGCGGATCCATTGTCGCAACTTGCGCTCCGAAGGCGGGCCGTTTCGGTTCGTGATGGGCACGCGGACTGCCTCGAAGGGCCGGTCGCTGGACCTCACGTTCTGGCGGTCCGTGTCGGCGTTCGGCGGCGGGGTGACGTCCTTGGGCATTTGGAGGGCGTGTTGGACCGTCTCTTTCCCGCCGGAACCCGCCTTCATGAAACTCAGTGTCGTCGTGAAAATACATTTGCCCCTCTGTCGCGCTTGCACCGTCCGTGTGATGAAGCTCTTCCCGTCCCGGACTCGTTCCACGTGGTACAAGATGGGGATCTCGCTGTTGCCGGCAAGCACAAAGTAACAGTGCATGCTATGCACGGTGAAATCGGGTGGGATCGTGGCCTGGGCGGCGGACAGACACTGGGCGATGGCCGCGCCGCCATAGATGCCTCTTGCGCCGGGAGGGTGCCAGAGAGGGCGAGCGTTGGTGTAGATGTCAGGACCGATGTCGATGAGCGGCAGGAGGGACAGGACATTCTCGATGGGGGAGTGATGGGGGAGGGATTTCGGAGGTTTGATGAGCGTTGCGTGCTTGGACATTGTTGCAGCAGAGGAGGAGGTGTGCTGTCGAGGAAATGTTCGTGAGAGGAACACAATCAAATGAGCCTCTGTCTATGCCTCAACTCAACGCGGATGTGAGGGAGAAATGTGATAGGGTCGAGTGAGGCAGACGGGGACGATTGCTCCCATTAATTAAATTTGGCCCCAAGGCTTTTGCTGGGAATTGTAATATTGCCTTCGTCAGAGGACAAGACAAGCCTGAATAGCCGAAGTCGACAAATCATCCAATGTTGAGCCAATTTACATATGATGGCCGTGAGACATCAAGGGCGTTGGTTCGGCGATGGGAATCATTGGTTCAAGTCGCCAAAGAGCCGAGGCTCATCGCCACCAGATTCCGTGAATGCGATTTTAGCACCGAGACGAAGATCAGGACATGGCTCGATGGGATCTGGCCAACACCCCCATGTCATGCACCATTGAAACGACAGAGACGATCTGCACCAAACTACCTTGGAACCTAGTTCAAATAAACAATCCATGTAAAATCCACCGGATTGACCCAAGAGCTGCAAAATATTCCGGCCGGTACCCTGTAGCCTCGTACATTTACATATCAAATCCTGTCAGAAATCCCATGTAAACCAATGGATCCTTCCATCAGTCCGAAACGCCTCGCTAAAGTCCAGATTTCTTTTGGCACAGTTCAATCATAACCTATGCTATGCATACCTCGTCGAACCATTCCAGACCGGATTCGGAGAATAAGAAAATGTTTGAGACTGCGAGGACCCTGGAGTGTGGGGCCACGTCCCCAGATCGGTTCCCGGTGTCAGCAGGATTGAAGATCTCTCAATCTCTTCTCGTCGCCGCTCTCGGACATCCCTCGAGGTGCTGCTCTCAGCGGTAGGGCTTCGCTCCCTAGACAGCTTGTTCAATACCTGCCATTTGCTGCTGCTGGTGGGGAGACTGCCGCTACGGGGTCGAGTGCCAGGCTGGACCACTTCCAATCCATCAGCGGCCGCATCTTCGCCGGGCAAGGTGATGTGGTAAGTGCTCTGAGAGTGTCGGGGGTTGGGTGACTCTGCCGGATCTCGAGTGAGTAACAGTCGTAGGAGCTGTCGACGCTGTGCCTCATCTTCAGGTATGTTATTCGCGGTCCAGTGTGTCATAGGTATTAATTCTGCCGTGGAGGCAGCGTCACCGTAGCTGACGTAGGAACTTCTATCCCATCTTGGAACATGTTGCCTCCTCTGCTTGTCCAACTCCTTAATTTTGCTTATCCTTCTGTATGTAATATAACTGAGGATTCCAGACCCAATCGTTGTAGCACACGCAATGATCAGCGGCACGTAGATGTACACCTGGGTCGGAATAGGGAAATGCTTGTGAAGAGCATGGTTCATGACCGTGACAAAGACACCCATAAAAGAAGAGGTCAATATCGGGAGTAAAACGGCGTCGAAAAGAAAGAGTAGGCTGCGACTGAAATATGCGACGGCCGTGATGGCACTATAGCCGAGTAGGAGGAGCACTGAGGCGAGAGCTGTCAGAAAGGCGCGTGACACTTTAATATTATCTTCGGCAGACGTGAAGACGAGTGAGAATACAATGTATCCGCCTAGAGCGAGCCATGAGGCAGCGATGGCAATGGTTCGAAAGTACCATGGCAGTGCATCACGTTCCGTGTAAAGATCGAAAAGGGTCTCTCGCATTCGCTGGTAGTTGCGTTGCATCCTCCTTATGAGAAGCGGCAGAGCAAGTCTCGAGGCATTCAGAAGAGAATGTTGGAACTGTATGAGATGGGAAGTGTGCAAATGATGGTTCAAAATTCTTCGGCTGGTTGATTGTGTGGCTGCTCAAGCGAGGCTTAGACGCCTAGAAGGCAAAGAAGAGGAGAGAACTGGCCGTTCAACCAAGCATTGCAACAATCTGTTTCATCTAAAAAGCTGCGTGGAGGCCAGCAGCAAGAAGAGGAAGAGAATGGGCTGACGCCGAGAATATAGTGAGAAGAAGGAATGAGACATCATGATTGCGCCTGCGCTCCAAAGCAACGCCATCCAGGTCGCATCGTATGGAGGCGTCAGGGCGCGAAAGTCAATTATTCCTCGAGGCCCCCGTGAGCCGGCAGCACCGGGACAAGCGGTAAGGCTGGGGGGAAGGCAAAGGTGGGTCGAAGCAACTGAAATGGGGGAGTGTTGCGGCGCTCTTATAGGCTGGAACGTATCTGGGATTAAGGATGCAAGGCCCCAACGACGTAACGATAGGCCCTAAAATAAATGTGGTAGGGCTGGTCGGAACCCAGAACATGCCCAGACCGAGGGCGATTTGGGCGACCCAGAGCGACCTTGCCTGGAAGTCACCACACTCAAATTGCGGCTAACACGTGCAAACATGGATGTCCATCCCCAACTCCGCCCAAACAAAACTTCCGCAGGCACACCTTACATCGCAGACGCCACATCTATCTTCCTACATCAACCCCTCATCTTGTCTTCTTTGGGCCGTTATCTTGCGAGGCTCTCTGCAGCAGCTCGTCATTGACATATGCACTATATGTCCCTCGGAGTCCAAGCACAAATGCAATCGCCGATGCCACTCTCAACACCAAATGTGTGACCGCCCAACTAAGCCATCCATTGTCATTTCCAATCAATACCGGCCAGTTGTCCCACGAGTCAAATATGCAAAACAACTGCAATGCCACGATCCAGTGCTCAACCCACTTCGTAACCCATCGAGGGATCATGGCGGGCGATGTGTATAAGGAGCTGGGATGAGCTTCTGTCAGGAACGAGTTGAGCATCCGGAAAAAGATCTCCTTTTGACCGTCTCTAGGCATGGTCCATTCTCGGACCACTAGGTCTTCCCCGTCGTCATCACCTGCAACCCGGTGCCATTCATGGACTGTATATCTCGGTACTTCGATCGCACCGTCCTCCGCTCTATAGACCCCAGATCGAGCCCCGAGTTTGACAAAGGCGCGTCCTTGCAGAATCTGGAGAAATTCGGTGTGAGTCTCGTGCCAGTGTGGACCAGAAGTCCAAGTAGAACCAACAGGCACAGTGATCGTCACACAATCAGCGCTTGAAAGGTCGTAGGTGACGGCCGCGGGACCTGTCCGCCTGAACACCGTGATGTTGGATGTCTGTTGTCTCCTGATTGCCATTGGTATAGCAGTTCGACTCTGTCAATCCCCAAAATCTCGAAATCGCGATGGATCTCTTATAGGTCTTCCTTGCAGACCGTTTAGAGGCTGACAAAGGCACACACGGTCCCAATTCCGCAACGCAACCTACCGAGTTCGGCTACTAGTGAAGATCATGACTGATTTAGCACTCCATGTCTTCGGTGCTGAGAAGTCAAAGGTCACTGACGGAAAGTGGTCCGGACAGATTCTTTCATACTATACATTCTCAGCGAAAGGAAGCCTGCTGAAGCATGTTGCCAGAGTTCAGCCTCACCCACCCCCTTTCGAATGGCCAGGTCTGCCTGCGTCTTGATGTCGCAAGCGACCCCAACTCTTAGCCCATGGGGCCGGCCACGTGAAGGTTTCTGATTCAGTGCGAACCCCTCGCATTGCCAACCCAAGGATGAAGGCAATTGGTGATGGTCAACGGACTAGTACTAGGCAACGCCTCATTGCACGACCGGGACTCAGAGTCCCAAGGTATACGCCTTGCTTCATGCGCCCGATCTCTGCCTAAGAATCACTTGATTGGGTTCCTCAAGCCTCTGTCTCAATGCGTCCGCCATTCCAACCGTCTGCAGGCTTGCCGAAGGACGCCTCGAGACCCTCATGGCCCTGTTTACGGTATTCCCAGATGCCCCCTTGGCGGCTTTCAGGTCAAAATCTCTCTTATCCCAGCGTGATACTCAAACTGATGGCGGTCTTTGATTTTTACTCCCCAACTTCCTGTCCCTGAGTTATCCTGATGAGTTCATCTTGGTCGCCCGATGCTGGCACATAAGTCTGCACGAATTCGCCAACTGTCCGGTGGTCTGTACGTTGAGGAGCCGGCTGCTCAACGGATCAGCCTCCAGCCACGTTTTCGAGTCGAAACCATCAGTCAACATGATAAATCATTCGCTGAATCTGTTTTGAAAAGGGAGGCATCCGCTGTCCGGGGATCTCAACATCTACTTCGCAGGGTAAGATCAAAGTTAAGCCGGCCGGACAAGGCTGTGACTTTGACCGTGCTATATAACCACGTCCAGGCCAATGGCTCGGCCGAAGTTGCTCAAATCTACATTGACAGACTGTTCCTCGATGCCGTACAGTCAAATAAACAGCTACAGGTTCCAGATGTTCTGCTTGGCACCGCTGAGAAGAACGCGAACATCAACCTTGTCCGCCTGCTTGCGCCTTTCACTGCCATCGAGGCTGTCAGTGCCGTCCTTGAATATGCTGTACTCAGCCAAAACCTACAGCTTGTTACTGCCCTGTTGGAGTACGGTGCGGACCCAAACTGTATAAGTCACAGTTCTATACTTCGACTAGCTGAGACCAACTGCCAACTTCTTCATGTCATTCTTCGCGCTCCAAAGCAGCTCCGACACGAGACGTTCGGAGATCTATGTACCACTATTGTTCAAAAGGAACTCTCAAACGCTCTCAGGATCGTTCTTCGCAGCATCAAAGACTATCCCACATTCCACGACTCGGGTCCTCGAGACCGGGACAGCCTTCTGGATGCAGCGATCTGCTGCTCTGATAAGAGCATCTTTTTGAGCATTGCCGCGTCTACCTCTGCATGGCCTTTGAGGGATCCTGGTTTGTTTTTGCATGTGTTAGACTCTCCAGCGATAGATCCCCTGCAGGCTAAGGATATGGTAGAGGCCCTGCTCTGCCTGAGTGATATGTCGTCCGGGTCTCAATCAAGTCCAGAGATCGAATCATTTTACTGCCGTTGTGTACAAGAACGGCATGAAGATATACTTCGGCTGATGGTAGCCTACGGTGTCCCTGTCTCGGCGGAGCCTCTAATGCTCGCATGTCAGAACCATGACGAAAATATCCTCGACATACTCTTGGCTGGTCCTATACAAAAGGAGGAGCAGGTGGCAGCCCGTACCTCGGAACTACAAGGCGCAATACAAAGAGCGATGTGTCGAAAGATCCTCAAGCGTCTGCTTTCTGGAGGTGCTAGAGGAATCTGGAAAAATGAGGAACTCATCGCAGCGGTCTCGCGTGGGGAATTTCAATGGATCGAGACACTGATCAGCGCAAATGCTTCAGTGGACTACCACAACGGCGCGGCCCTTCTCGAAGCTGTTTCACTGGGACATGTTCGAGTTGTACAAACGCTTCTATCTCGTCCTGTCTCTCTCTCGAGCTTACAAGCTGCCTTTCCAAGTATCGCCCAGCTTGAAGCCTTGCCGCGACGACTCCTGACGAAGCTTTTCATCAACCAGGGAGTCTCTGGCGGTTGTGTCGACTATGCTCTCAATACAGAACTTTGCAATTATTCATATCACAGAGATTCTGAGATAGTCGATATATTGATTGGATCAGGAGCTTGCTGCAATGCTGTTGCCCTCACAGTCGCCTTCGAACACAAAGACGCGGCCACGTTCGACAAAATAGCCCTCTCCAGAACAAAACTCCACGAGTCTGTTACGGAATGGTTCAAAAGTTGGCACCGCATGCTGCTCTTTCATGTTCAGCAGGGAGACGAATACTCGAAAGCGGCCTGCTCATGCCTCAAGATGCTCTTCAGGAAACTACAGACCGTTGAATCACTTTGTGATGCTCATGAAGGTGACCGGCAACTCGAATGCTTCCATCAATTCCTGGAACATGGTGCTGCGGATCTTGATCTACTCTCAGCATGGCTAAATTGGACACAACACATGAACAGTATCACACTGACTGAGATTGTGCTGACGGCAGCTTGCTTCTGCGATACCAATAGACTGCACCTGATCATGAGATCCAAACCACTGATTAATGAGTCGCCCTTACATTCGAGTACCTGTATGCAGAACCTCAACCTGGATCCTCAAGCAAAAAAGGCGAATATATTCCCATCCGTCCAAATCCCTCCACTTCGTCAGGACGTTATTGAGTTCTCAGACACAAGAAGTGCCGACAACCTCAAGATCCTTTTTCGCCAGTATTTCCACGGTGGTTGTGAGAGTCACCTTGCAACGAGACTCCTCCAGAGACACCTGGAACACTGTACACAAGCAATCGCCGAAGGTGATGTCTGGCCGCTTCTTACCCTAGAATTTCTTCTGTCTCAACCTGTTGAAACCACCCTGCCAGAATTCAGCTCCTGTTTGTACATGGCCATTGTGTCTCAACAATGGCTCGTTCTTGGACTACTTCTTGATCGGCAACTACCACAGGAGATGGTTGCCCGCTTCTTTCTGGTCGACACATCCCTGCTCGCACCTAGCGCGATCCAAGTTCTTCTTGATTCCAAAGCAATGACATACATGGACGACGACTTTTACTATGGGCCGGTGCAGCAAACTTTCAATCATGCCTGCTTTGCGCAAGACCGAGAAATGGCCATCCTCTTGTGCTCCAAATCTCGCTGCAAAATGCGCCTCAGGGATGTACTACTGCCTGTACTGCAAGCAATTGATGCGTCGGACCTCAGCTATGTTTCTACTTTGATCGGAGCAACATCCTTTTCCAAAGATGATCTTGAGGTACTTTGGAAGCGTGTCAGTCATCATGACCAAAAAGATGACTACCTCGCCTTTGTGGACGTATTGCTCAAAGCCGGTGCTGACGGGGTTTCAGTTGGTGACGCCCTCATAGCAGCCGTGGAAAGAAATAACGAGCCTCTCGTCGTGCTCATCCTGGCGCAATGGCAGGCAAATCGGTCGCTACAGTATCGCGAAGAGTTTGACTACAACGAACGCCGGCCAGCTCCCTCGACGCCAGACCTTGGGCATAACATCCAATACTTCTCAGCACTCGCCCACGCTCTTACGATCGCGGTTTGTCTAGACCGAGCAATCCTTTGTCGGCACCTTTGCAGAGCTGGAGCTCCATTGGTATACCAGGGACAATCACTGATTCAGGTTGCAGTGGCCAAGGGAAGCTACACCGCTCTTGTAGAGATGATCATATCCTCGGAGACACGTCCTGACTTCAATGGAGTTGTCAATTTTGCACTGGTTCAAGTCGTGGTGCATAACCGTGGAACCTGGGTGCAAAGTCTGGTACAACTTGGTGGATCAATCGAAGCATACGACTGCGAGTGCCTGAAATTTGCGGCGCGATCTGATCATCCTGGTATGTTGGCAGTACTTCTGCGGTATATTACAACACTGCCTGCCTTTCACGCAGTCTGCCAGATACTTCAAGGTCGTCTTGCGGCGTACCAAGGCGACCTGGACACTATTTGCGCCATGTTCAAACAACTCCACGAAACAGGATTCCAAGAGAAGGCGTGGTACGATGAGGCACTTTTCTCATTGTTGGCACTCCAATCAGCCAATCTGGATCATGTCAAAGTTTTGCTCGATTGCGGAGCGTCTGTTGAGTATAGAGACGGTGCAGGCATGATACGACTTTGGAGAGAAGGCAATGTGCAGCTCTTCCCGGACCTCGTTGGCCACTGCAGTCGGCAATCTGTCAGAACAAAGCTGTTCACAGAGGCATGGGGCGAATATCTACAACAAGAACAGAATCATCCTGAGGAAGCTGCGAATATGCTGCTCGTCCTAGGAGCTCTTCTTGAGACAGATATACCCCAGGGCGCACGCGATATGGCGCTGGATGCGATCGCTCGGGTCTGTCATGACAAAGTCAACTCTATTGGGATCATTCAACTATTACTGGAGAAAGGGGCTCGCTTTATTGATGGAGCCGGGTTGTCACTCTATCAGGTCTGCCGCTTCGATCACCCACCGGTAACCTCCCTGGTTTACCACAGTCGTCCACACATCCGAACTCGTTTACTGGCTCTCCACCACCTCTTCCGAAATCAAGGACTAGGCTCTTCTATTGTCACAAGAAGAACCGGCCAAGAGCCAAATCCATCAGACCAAGCTTGTATCTACAATATCAACTTCCCTGCGTCAACCGCGCAAAACTTGGACCTAGAAACCTCCGATGTTGTCAACTTGATGGGTTCCATATTGAATCCCAAGGTTAGGACCACGGGGACTAGCTTGATGTTTACTTTTTTCTTCATGCTGGGGGGTCTTCACGTGTTCTCGACTCAAAGTTGTTCAGATCACAATCGCGATGATGTGGAGCAGCTGTTCGTTGCTGCTATATCGAATTCAGAGGTCAAAGAAATGGATGATCGGATCGAATTCCTACTCAGGGTAATGCAAATTGAAGCCCCTGCTCTAGCAGACGCGACTGCAGGTGCCTCCAACCTCACTTTGAAACAGAGCTCACTAGATAAGCTACTCTTATTGTCGCTACAAAACAAGAAATTCAGCCTCGCCAGTACGCTCTTGGATGCTGGTGCCGACCCGAACACAAGAGATGAAGACGAACGATCGGCACTGTTCCTGGCCACATTGGAGAAATCTCTCGATACAATGAGGGATTTGATCGGGAATGGCGCCGAAGAGGACGATGGAAGTCTACACGTCTCGACTTGTTGGCAGCACCATGAAGCAATGCAGCTGCTTCTCGAGGCAGGCCACGAACCAGGCTACTGCTCTGAACACTACTTTGGAGCTACGCCGCTCGAAGCTTTCTTGCGATTCAGCCACTCCGGAGCAGCACATGAGCATTTCGAAACGACGCTCGCGGTGCTGCTGTGCGAAGCCGAGGTGCCGACCAGCTTCTGGGCAACTGAACCTAATCTAATGTCTCTGGCTCTAATGGGACCTTGGCCATATAAAATGTTCAGCGCACTGCTGTGCTATCTGCCTCCGGGGCTGGTTGAGCTGCCGCTCATACGTCAAGACCGCTTCATGTTTTCTCTTCTCAGCTTTGTCGAAAGAGGAGAGGATATCGAGTTATCTGATCTCGAGCGGGTCGAATTGTCCATAGTTTTGGAAACATCAGGATTCGAGCGGACATTTTATGCTGCTGAGGGAGATCAACCCGAAGACGCCTTTAACGTACCAGAACACCTCGAGATTCCGGAAGTGAGAGCACGCCGTCGTGCCTGGAGAGGAAAGGACTGTGCTGTTTGTGGCGACAAGGCTCCTGACGCAAATAGGATCCACGCAGCCTTGTCTCCGCCATGTGAAGAGAAACATGGGTGGGAGAACGACATCATCTGCACCGACTGCTTACGAGGATATCTCGAATCGCAAATGTTTCCACAGGGGGGCGACAAGTTTCCCTCTGCGAAGGTAAAATGCTGGGCTACCAACTGCTCCAAAACCCTCGACCACTCGGTTATCCAATCCCTTGCCCAGTCTGAACGGTTCACCATCTACGATGCCGCTCTGGCTCAAATGCTGCTGAACGACGGGGAAAATATGGCCAAATGTGCGAAACCGAAGTGTATCGGAGCTACTTGGCTCGGGGACGAAGACAAGAACACAACCATCTTCGCCTGCGACGTATGCGGTGAGTTTACTTGTATACAGTGTAATCAGCTGTACGACATGCATCGAGACGAGCCCTGTCCTCAGGGTGATGAGGCCCGAGGCATCGAGAGACGGAGGGAAGAGGAGGCGGCCACGGCAGCCCTGCTGGCCCAGGGAAAGAAATGCCCCAAGTGCAGACTGCCGTTTGAGAGGATCGAAGGGTGTGACCACATTGTTTGTGGCAGAGACGCGCACTCGAGCGCGAGAGGCCGTGAGTGTCTACCCCCTTTTTTCTCAGCTTCCGCCCCGTCTCTTTTGCTGACTTTTGGTTCTTAGTTGGCTGTGCATTTGAATTCTGTTATGTCTGCGGCGCAGACTATAACGCCATTCGCACACAAGGGAACACGGCGCATGCTAGGAGTTGTACCCATTATGCATGATATATGTATTGACGCAGTAGGCAGGAGACGACGTTCTGTTTGTGCAGTGGGACAAGGATATTTAGAGGTTGCCCTGCCCCTTCCCCTGCCCCTGCCCCCATCGTAATTACACCTTATCAAGTCTGATTAGATACATATTTACGGCCTCGAAATATACACATACATACATCACAGGACCACGAGTACGAGGCACTCCCGAGGATCACATACCCACCTGCCACCCTGTGTCTATGTCCCCGTCCCCGTCCCCGTCCTTGTGAGGAAATTACTTACCGCTTTTTTGCTTTTCGTAACAACCTCTCGGGCGAAACTACGAGGGTGTACTCGGTACTTACTGCAAGGTACATACCTAGGTGTCTAGTGCAGGTACCCTGTCACTCCTGTGTAGGTATGGGAAGATGAGATGGATGGATGGAACATCGCCAGCATCGCTAGCACCACCGGCGTCTCTATTTGTTGGGTGGGTTTTTTTGGGTATAATTACTACTTGAGTTCTCGGTACCTCGTACTTGGTTCGAAAGTAGTTTTTTTTTGTTCTGGTCATATCAGTGTTTTTCTCGTTCCTTCCAGCGTAATCATTGGTAATGGAGCTTCCATTCCGGAGGTGCGGAGGGGGACGTCCATCCTTGAACCCGTCCATACAGTAGTCTCGTCTCGTCTCGTCTCGTTTCAGTCATAGAAGCTAGATCAGATCACCCGGTCGATGGTGTCGATTTGCGCCCGAGTCTGCCGAGACAGCTTGGCTTGGGTTACCTGCCGGGCGTGTATGGGGCCACGGTGATACATGGATGGGTGTTGGATCTCGGTGCTCAATATCGCGAGCTCCCATACCCGCCGCCATAGCCACCACCTCCGTATCCCTGGTTCTGGCGTCTGTTATCGTCATCATTATCATCACCACCATGTCGACGTCGACCTTCGCTCTGGCCGTAGCCTTCGCTCTGGCCGTATTCATCTCGTCGTCCGAAGCGGCCGCCGCCACCACCACCGCCTCCGTACCCGCTGTCGCCTCCCCCGCCGTACCCATCGTCGCGACGGCTCGAGGATGAATACTGGTCTTGTCGGCTATCGCCAAAGCCGCCAGGCATGTCTCCGTAGGAGGACTGTTGCTGTTCTTGTTGACGACGACCGTATCCGCCACCACCGCCGCCTCCACCATAGCCGGAACCATAGGTCGACTCTTCCTGGCGACGCCCGCCTCCGTAGCCGCTAGACTCGTATCGTGATTCTTCCTCCCTACGACCATAACCGCTGGAACCACCATACGTCGTCGATTCTTCTTGGCGCCGACCACCATATCCACCTCCACCCCCTCCGGAGGAGTACTCGTCGCGGCGCTGCTCCTGGCGGCCGTAGCCGGAGCCATACTGGTTATTGTCATCGTTACGCCCGCCATATTGGCGCTCTTCGTGGCGTCCATAGCCTTCAGAGCTGCGACCACCGCCGTAACCGGAGCTTTCTGTCTCGTACTGCTGGCGTCTGCCGCTGCCGCTGCTGCCGTAAGCATCTGTAGAGTAAGGCTTGTCGTCTCGATCACGACGCTGTTTGCGGCGATCGTCATCACTGTCATCACTTTTATGTCCGTGGTGCTTTTCACGACGATGCTTGTCACGACGTTCATCTTTGGAGCTGTCGCTGTCGTCATCCTTGTCGCGCTTGTCGCGCTTGTCGCCATAGCGTCTGTCAAATAGCATGTTAGCTCCGAACCATTGTCCTCTCGTGTCGCCTTTACTGAAGCCGTGGCTTGTACATACCTTGTCTCCTCGTGATACCTGCCCTCGCTTGTCCGCTCCTGATGGTGCACCTCGCTCTGCCATCCACCGCTCGCGGTCTCGCGCTGCTCAAAACGATTATACTCCTCATGGCGTCTCTGGCCGCTAGGCTCAGTGGTTCTCGAGTATTGGGCCTGGCCATACCTATCGCCTGAGGATGACTGACCAAACTGCGTCACCGTCTCTGTGCGGGACCCATCCTGACGGTTGTAGGAATCGCGCTTATACGTCTCTTGGCCCTGGCTGAGTCCGCCGCCGAGGATATCGCCACCGATCTGTCCACTGATTTGACTCGTGAGACCGCCAACCAGGGAACCTAGGACGCCACCGCCGACTGCTGCGCCTGCCATTTTTCCGAGCTGGTCGCTTTGTCTAGAGACATTGGGTGGTCGGCCGCCGCTCTGACCTCCACCTCCACCCAAGGCAGAGCTAATGGCCCCAAGAGCACCGCCTGCAACGCCGGACTGATTTGAGTTGAAGTTGAGATTTGCCATGCCAAGAGGCCGGTTGTTTCCATGTCCGTGGTCCTTGACCCCGGGCTTGTGGTTTCGACCCGTCTCGACGCCACGACGATTAAGTTGTTCGCGTAGACCATCCTTTTCAGAGGAAGACTTCCCGCGCCACCATTCCTCAACAACGCCAAACATGAGTCGACGTCCGTCGCTAGCGCCATCCTGCCCATAGTCCCGCAAGGCAGGGTGGTGTAGAACGCCGGATATTATGCGATTCAGGGTTCGTTCGATGTCGATTCGTTCATCGTCCCAGCACGCAACGATCTGTGGGACCACCCACTTCACGGTTTGATGAGCCACCTTCCCCGCGGGTTCGTTGAGAATGTTGGAGAAGTGATCCTTTGAAAGCATAGAGTGGGTTGGGTCCGAGGAGTTGTCGTCGTTAAAGACAATGTGCTGCTGAGCGACACTGGACTGGATGATCTCGTTGGAGCCCGTGTTGAGTTCGTTCTTGACTTGGTTGATGATGGGTACGACGAAAGGAGCCAGAAGGCTGAACACAAATTTGTTGATTTCCTCCTGAATTTGATCGATCAGGTCAGGCAGGATCGGGATCTTCTCAATTGTTTCGGTGATGGACTTCATGATATCATCGTGCCATTCGATGATTGGGTAAATTTGCTTCTGCACGTCTGCCAGGTAACGAGCCCATTGTTCTGGTTGACGCGGAGTAATTCTGGAGTTTTGCATTTGTTGATTCAGAGCATTTTGTTTCAATTCACTGGCTTTGCCTGCTTGGTCTTTTCCACCAAACACCCCAGAAGGCAGCTTATTGAGGAGATCTTGCAGGATGCTATTGTCTTGGTTCCCACTTTGGTACTGTTGCAAGGTATCGTCCAATTCCTGGATTTCAGACTGGGTGGTCTTGTCGTCGAATTCACCGCAGACGGAGTGGAGGAAATCGACGCCGCCGAATGTGCCGGTGACGATTGGATAGACCGGATGACGCACTTCTCGAAGCTGAACGGCAGTACGGCGGCCGACATGAGGGAAAACATCACGTTCACCCATCTCGATGAGAGCAAGTTCAACGTAATTTGAGTGAGCAGCATAGTCTTCCAAGCAGTGGCAGCCCGTTCCGAGAAGCCGGAGCGCTTCGTAGAGGTCATCCTTGTTCTTGTTGCGTGCGTATTGTCGACCTAGCTCAATGCTCCTCCCGAAAAGTTTTCTGACCAGACCAGCAGACGTGTCAATGCCCATGCCCTCGGAAGCAATGTAGTTCTTCAAGCCAGTTTGTGGATTTATGGAGAGCTCTCGGCGTTCATCAACAGGGCCGCGGAGTCGACGGTCATACTGCCTGGCATCCTGGTTGTCCGCATAGTCCTTGGGGTTGCTGAGACAGGTTAGTGAATGTCTTGGCAAAAAATTCATCTATCTCACTCGATATGCTCCTCAGGTCGGTAGCACCCGAGTCTCTGGCTGGTGACTTCGAACTCGCCTGAGCCATATCCGAAGGACATGAATCCCAGGACCCAAAGGACGATGCGGATCGCTTCGGCGCTGACATACTTGACAGTACCTACGTCGACCGCCTGGCTGTAATCGCGCAACCAATTACCGAAGTAGACCTGGAAGCGGTTAATATACCCCGATTTCTATGGAACAACAACTCACTCTCTTGACATCAAGCTTGCCGAACTTCTTGCCGCCCATGGCACGCGAGGCCACGATGGTCAGTAAGGTGTCTTCGAGATCACCATGTCGCCAATTCTGCCCCTCAATTTTCGAAGTTGATCCGATATTGCCCGCACCAAAAGCGTGAGCAGGTCTTGCCAGCAAAATGATGCCGACCACACAGACAAGGATGATGTGTGTCGAGGATAGCGCCATGCTGGACGGCAGCTATGGAGATGATGTTTTTGTGTTTGGTTTCAGGTCAATTGATTCGTCAGGTAAGAACTGAAGCTCACGGCTCAACCGATGATGCCTCGAAAGAAAGAGAAACGACGACAAAGTTTGACAGGGTTTGATAGCCTTGGGGAGAAGCACCTTAGAGTATGAGACAGAGTGTTGCAAACAGCATGCGGGGCTGAAGACGAATTTGATGTCACGCAAGGAGGGGTCGAGGTCAACAACAAGTTGGCAGGTTGGATGTGAGGCTTGGAGGCCAAAGTGAAATTTCCCGCCGAATTTGGCCGGTCAGTGCCGCCGCTTTTGGAGGGGCTTCTGCCTGGGCCAAGACACTCGGCTGCGCTTCAGCCTGATGAAGTCGACTTATTCATGCTTCTACCACGTTGATTCGGGGGTCCCAGCCTGCTTTTGGAATACTCCACGAGATGCAATCCGGTGGGAACTCCTGAATCTACCCAGAAACGCCTCCACATACATTTCTCGACCTAGAGTAACAAGCAGCTTCTCTGTCCGTCCTCTTTGGGCGTAATCTCCGAGCATGGAGATGAAAGCACTATGGAGGTGTTCTACCCAACACGCGAACAAGTTGAAGAGAGCCTGAGGCGGCCTTTTGGGGACAACTAGCGGAAAGAATGCGAGAGTGTCTTTGGCCGGATCATGATGGCAGCGCACAACGTTTGGGGATATCCTCGCGTCAAAGGATCCGGGCTGGAGATCTCGCCCACGAGTATATTTCCAGGACGAATTTTCAGGTGTCTTGGACGAAGAGACGGCTACTAGACCGATAGCTGCAGGTATGAAGAACAATTATAGGACGTGGGACGGCCACTGATGACTTCAAAGCCGTGGGTTGGGCACCTCTTGGGAAAAATGGACCAGTTTTTTGGGCTAATGGGGCATACGTCGAACAAGAGCAGAGCAATTGCTGAGAGCTGAAATTTGGACGCAAGTCGATTCGGGTGGTCTTCGGTCAAGCTTTGCTCGCGGACCCGGACGACGTGTTCCATCAGTGTCGCTGCCTCGTGGAACCGTCCGTTGGCTCGCTACACCATCGCCAGCTGATACCGCGACTCCAGCCGGTGAGGGTTGTCCTCGGCCAAGGTCTGCTCGTTGATCCCGACGACGTGCTCTAGAAGTGCAATAATCGCCTTTTGAAATTGTCGAGGCAGGTGCTCCTGTTTCAGTAGGGTAAGGCCTGATAATGCACGACTAATTTTAGATCTTCGTAGACGCTATATACGGTGAAGCAGCTTTGGGGTGCACGGTCAGTGTGAAGGAGAGGGAGGAGAGTCGATATCAAAGCGGTACACTCGGGTGAGTCGCACGTGAGCTCCGAGCTGTTTTCCCTCTTTACCAGCCAGAGACCGATGTCTATTTAAACCCCCTTTCACGCTAGATGCGAGCTACGTTTCAATGCGCATTGTGATTCAAGCACAATCCCAACCCAAAGTAGCACACTCAGTTGATACACTGCATCATTGCCAACGAAATATCCTATGGGCTGTGAAAGGCGGGGGACTGGCACCTCAATGGTTCCATTTCTACGTTCCATTTCTACGTTCCATGCCAGCCAGGAAGGTAACGATGAGATTCCCGGAAATGCTCTTGGCACGGATGCAAGGCTGGAATGTTATGATGATTCTCCAAGCTGCCTCGGATCCTCACGCCTGGCCGTCATCCAGTCGCCCAGGGGCTTCCAGATGGCAAGCTTCTCTGCCGGCGTCAGCGTAGCTGCCAGTCCACTGGTGGAGGTGGCCACAAATGTCTTTGCCCCAGACCATAGCAACTTTCCGTCTTCCCAGATCCTTCCCAGTTGCATCTCCTCGTCTTGCCATCCCCAGTGGAAACTTGGGTCATTGAACTTCTTCTGGCCTTTCTTTGCCATCCAAATGGCTTCCCAGATGCCTTTCCCGACTATTACCACAGCCTCCGGTCTGTAGACGGCAATCTTTGCGTCGAGGATGGCAGCTCCTTCCTCCATCTCTTGCTTGCTCAAGCCATCGCCACTCCTGGTGGGCCGAGCACATATATTCGTATTTCCAATTTGATACAGGTCCATCAAGTCCCGTGTCTCGGACGGGAGATGCTTCTTGGGTGTAATGCCCGATGTGTGAAGGAGGTGCCAGAACCGATTGGAGGGATGGGCGTACGCATGGCCGGTTGCGGCTGTCATAAGCCCGGGATTGAGACCGATACAGACCAGGGTCAGGCCAGGCCTTAGACTGTCCACCAGGTTGTTGACCGGGCTGTATGGATCTTTTAATGATCGCTCCTTGGTCGTGGTCCTTCGCTTTTTCGATTTGGGCGTCGTAGGTCTCACATCGCCCGTCGAGGGCTTGAACCCAAGATCATTTTTCTCCCGTTTCACAATATTCCCATCGTCTTCCTCGTTCTCATCATCTTGTCGCACGCGGGACCGTTTTCTTGGAGACGGAGAGGCAGAAGCATTCTTCGACTTGAAGAGAATGGATGGACGTGGACTGGATAGTCGAGGGGATCGCCGGACGGTGTCTGACTGTTTCAATGGGGAATATTTGAATTGCTCCATGCGAGCCTTGAAGGTGCTGCCTGCCCGCAAAGTCAACTCTTGAACATCCAGACGAGTGCGGCCCTCATACTTTGATCCATGCTACGGCCGTCCAAATCAGCCTCTCCTGATCGCGTGGAGAGGTCATCCATCTTGGGTGTTGTATGAGCCATTGGCATTTGACGCTGGTGTTAGTGTCACACAACCAGCTGGTTTCGTGGTGTCACAGGCCAAGCCATTGTCGCCCCCTGCGAGACTAGCCAGTCTCTCGTCCTCGCCACAATGTCAAGCTGGCCGAAGACAAGTCCAATATGTTGAACACTGTGAAGGCGCCTCCTGCTACTGGCACGGAGGGACTGCAAAAGGCACTGGATTTCTCGCCAGAATAGCTACGTCGCATGGCACTAGCCTCTTTTGGTGACGAGACTCTTGCTGCTCTGTTGGAGTATCCAACCAGCCGCAAGACTGAAATATCAGGAATTATCCCTTTCAGAATACGATGCATCATGTTGTACAGTCATCTCATGTCGAACAGAATCGGAGTCGGAAGCATTTGATATGATCTCCCAACCACTACCTTCGGTGGCCTCGAACGAAACCTTTGGATCATTGACCATGTCAATGCGCCCGACCCTCAACAGCACTTGAGCGCACAGCATCAGTGTACCGAAGAGCTGTGCCTGAGCCCTGTCAGCCATAGCGGCGTACCTATAGTTTGACATGGACAGCCTTGCACTGTGTCATGTCACGCAATTCTTCAAAGCAGTCATCCCTTCCAATGCCAGATTGCTTGTATCCTCCGAATGGCATGCTGAAGAAGTGTGTCCCAACAGTATTTACCCAGACAGTTCCAGCTTCAATGCGACGTACCGCGGTCTGCATAGTCTTGATATCAGATGTGAAGACTGCGCCTGTCAGACCATAGTCGACAGCATTCACATCCTCGAAGAGCTTTTCTTCGTCGGTCCACTTCAAGATGGACACGATAGGTCCAAATACCTCTTCGTTGGCGATTCGCATTTTCTGAGTGACTCCGGCAAATATGGTGGGCTCGACAAAGTAGCCACCCTGCGTGTCGGTGCTGTCGGGGATTCTACCACCTAATAGGAGACGGGCGCCGTCATTCTTGCCAATTTCGACATATTTCAACACACGGGCCTGTGCTGCCTCACTGACTAATGCGCCCATTGTTGTCTTTGGATCGAGAGGGTTTCCGGGTCGGAACCTCTTCGCTATTTGGTCTTGGATCCGTTCCAAGATCTTGTCGTGGAGCGAATCGTGCAGGAAAACCCTCGAGGTCGAACCACAAGATTGCCCACACCAACCGAAATTCATTCCTGCGATGATAGCGTCCACGAGGCGGTTATGATCCGCGTCAGGATATGCAATCAGGGCATTCTTTCCCCCGAGCTCAAACGAGGTCAATTTCAACGTATCTGCCGCTGCTTTCTGGATCGCTTTGCCGGTAGGCACACTACCGATAAGCGTGACCTTACTAACAAGGCGGTGTGTCGAGAGAGTCTTTCCGCATTCGAGGCCACCGGATAAGACATTGAGGACTCCAGGGGGGAAGACGTCTTCCAGCAGCTCGGCCAAACGGAGTGCGGAAAGGGGTGCTTGTTCTGGGGCCTTGATCACCACTGTGTTGCCCATAGCAATGGGGGCTGCAAGCCGGTTGGCAGCGAACATAAGTGGATGATTAGAGGCGACAATGCGCGTTACCACCCCCAACGGCTCCCGGAGGGTGTAGTTGAAAGTTGAATCATCTAGATGAGTGGTCTCGCCTTGAACGGCTGGGATGAGGCCCGCAAACATGTCGACCGTGTCGGCCGCGAAAAGTGCATCGCCTCTCATCATGATGACGGGATTGCCCGTGTTGTAAGCATCGAGCAAGGCCAGCTCATCTGCATGTGTGCGCAGGATGTCGGCCACCTTCCTGAGCTTCTTGCCCCGTTCCAAAGAAGGGACTGCTCTCCAGGCCGGGAATGCAGCATGTGCCGCCTCTATGGCAGCGGCCGTGTCGTTCTCACCGGCAAAGGCGACTTTCCTGATGACTTTCCCGTCACCGGGACTGAATATCTCTCGATGGTCGCCATCCTGAGGCTCGTGCCATTTCCCGCCATAGAACAAGCCCCAGTGCTTGGGGAGACATTCTTCGAGGTTTGGTAGGGACATGTCGGTCGAGGCCACTGCGCTGGTTCAAGTCTTTCTGAGGTACCTTCTTGTATGTGAGGGCTTTTATAGTCCGGGTCTTATATGGCGCACTCGTTGCTTAATGCTATGGTGTCAGCAATTGAGGGATCTGACGACAGCTTTCCTCACGCATCTGTCCGGTCTTACAACCAGAGAGAGGTTGGACCGTAGAGCCTTTTGCGGTTCCCGGTTCGAATTTGAGTTTCCACTGTGCTTACATGTCCACATGTGATTCTTCATCTCTCAGCTACTTCGAGTAGCAGATGGAGAGGGCAATTGGGGTGATCGACGAGGGGGAAACAAGGCGGGGATGCGGAGACTCTCTGCACGAGGCTCGAATAAGAACGAATCCCCTTTCCCATCCTCCTGATCTGCCGCACCGTCCTTGTGGAAGGGTTCTCTCTAGCAGCTCATCTTTCTGTGGTTGGCCTTCTAATAGGCTCAGGTCTTTCTTTGGACAATCTTGCCCGAGGGGGGAAAAATGTATTTAAGCGGTGTCGAAATGCAGACACATCAGGCTGAGAGCCACCTTCGGCCTCTTCACCAAGTCCAGCGACAACGAAGAGACTCAGGAGATTGTGTCACAGAACACTACGACACATTGAGAGTCGAGGATGCTGTCACTGGAGTCACCACTTGACCTTCAAGGGCATGTTCACGACAGGAGGACATGCGAACCAACAGCGCAAGCCACCAGCTGAAAAACGGCCCCAACCTTATCCCGGACGTCTTGTATCATCACCAAACACTGAAAGAGTGAGTGATGAGGAGGATAGAGATGTGAACCTCCTCTTACTAGTAAGTGAGCGTTTCAATCTCTCTTCTCCCACAGATGCAAAAGTTCCCCCCTTGAGCTGCGCTCCTGAGTACGCCAGCTAAAGCTAAAATATCATGTTGCTTCGTGGCTGTTGACCTCGTCGTCTGGCCCCAATCCAATCAACGGCCAGGACGTATAGCCAAGGCTGTCTATCTCGTGTTGAGCTGTCTGTTCTCCTGAAGTATACGGGACAAGTAGGAGACTTCCAGATGAGTTTGTCGTTTGAAGTGGTTTCTTTCTCCTGCGCCAATGCCGACGACGGTACTTTGGTTTCAATCTTTACCGTCTCCGCGTCGGCGTGCTGTCGTGTTGTCGTTGATGTATGGCTGGAATGTCCGAACAGCCTCGCCCCTCATGACGAGAAGTGCCCACTTCTCCTGCACCTTCTGTCCTCGTCGCGACTGCTGGCTGCAAGATCAAACTTGTACAGGTTGATGGTGAGACGCCTCCCAACTCAGAAGAACACACCTACTATTGTTCGTTGTCAGATCACTGGTCGTCAGAGACGGTGGTCATTTCCCCTTCACGCACATTTAATTTATTGACAAGGCAGACTCGGGCAGAGAGATGGAGTTGGGATGGAAAAGGAGGAATGGGGAGATTCTCGCCTGTCATGGTCCATGAGGTCGATGGGTGTTGTTGAGGTATAAATATGTCTGAGTATCTCTCGGAAAAGGGAATTTATTCTCAGGACAGGAAAAACAACGAAGCATTCAAACACAGGAAGAGACACACCCAAGCAAAGCACAAACACAATCGTTAAAGTCCATCCATTTATTTTACGCATTTTCCCAAGTCATCGACAATCGACGTGGTCATTTCGACACTCAGCATGCCTGCCGTCATATCTAACATCCTTGCCATTCTGGCCGCCTCGGCCGCCGTGTCTATGGCTCTCCCTTCTCCTCAAGCGGCGACAGACGACACCTCGGGCCTTGCGCCATTGCACATGGAAGTGCAGTGCGGGTGCTGGAACCTGTGCACGCTGGAAGCCTTGGGGGACACTTCCATTACCGGCTGTGATTCTACTTGTGGTAAGTCAGCTCCCCTCTCAGGAGACAGATGGGTTCTTTTCCTTCCAAGGACATTGTCTCTCTCTGCTTCTGGCCCAACAAAAACACCGCTGCTAACCAATATATTGTATTTGTGATCAGATCCCCAGTTTCTCTGCGAAACCATCGACGCACTGAGCGGAGGGCCGACCACGATAGCCGCAGCGGCAACCACCCCTTCGGCGTCCGCTTCGGCTTCAGCTTCAACCACAGCTTTAGCCAGACGTGAGAGACCCCGCAACGGCGCACCTCTGCCATTCAACCCCTTCGGACCCGGCGGCGAGTTGGAAACACTCTCAGAGTCGCAGCGATCCAAAGCCAAAGCCAAGCGGGATGTAGTGCAGCGAATGAACCGACCCATCATCGACCCCTGCCCTCAAGGTGTCGTCTGTGAGGCCGTCGCCAAACGCGAGCCCGAGCCCGAGCCCGAGCCAGAGGCACTCCCCCTTCCACCCATCGACCCTTTTGGCTGCCCGCACGGGCCGCTTCACTGCCCTCTCCCCGTGGGCGACGCGTGGAAACGTGCCGCTGCCGCCGCCGCCGCCCGTGACATTGGTGGGTTCGAGTTCGAGAAGCGCCGGATCAATTGGGACTTGACTGTCAAGGGGTCGTGCAATGGGGGCGGATGTGGTGGCGAGGTGAGCGTTACCATACACTTTTGACAGGAAATCCTAGAGGGAGAGGGGAGGAGATGGATGGGAAAGGGACGGGACCATGGGGGACTATTATAGTGCAACGAACAGGTCAATGGGTCATTCGTGGCAGGGAGAGGGACAGTGACAGTGACAGGGTGGTAGAGATGAGAAGGGGTATAGTGAGCGTTGCATCTGAGAGTGTGTATTGTGTCAGTGGACGAAGATGTTGGGAGATACTGGTTTGCTGGTTCAAAGTCGAGGCATCTGTGATATTGTGTTGGTACGTGTGTGTTGGTGCGGTAGCTGGACTACCAGACACCAAATACCAAACACCAGGCACCAGGCACTGGTATAAGGTAGTTTAAGGTAGAAGTCAGGTCAGAGTCGAGTCGAGTCGAGTCGAGTCAAGAATCTTCGTTCTACAAGTCCCTCGGAGACAGACCGTGTTGTCGGAGTCGGAGTCTGAGTCGGAGCCGGTAGACGATGAAGATGTATCGAATGGTACGCGATACATTGGAATTCTTGATTTACCTATTAGGTAGAGGTCCAGACCAAGGGCGATCCGATTTGATCTGATTGTTGTCACTGTCAACAAATACCTACTTCATCTCCGTCTCGTGTCCGTCTCGTCGTGTCGTCTCGTGTCATGACATTGTGAGAGTCGTGACAACTTTGGGTTACAGTTACAGTTACAGTTATAGTTATAGTTATGGTTACGATTAACACTTGGGGATACAGTTTGTGTTTGATGAGGTACCTAACCTAGTAGATTGAGCCGCGCACGCGCGGGCATAGTGCCCAACCATAAAAGAGATTGAAGTGTTAGATATACCTATTTACGGTGGCATGTCGAAAAAATAGTAATATATGATAATATGCAATAAATAATATGACACGTACCTAAAGGAAGAAGGGGAGTGCGGGAACATGGGAATTCAGTACCTTGTACCTGGTACCTGGTACCTGATCAAGTGACAAGGGAGAGTATGAGAGGTATGTACGGTACGAGGCAGTGAGTGTTTGATCCTTCAGCCTCAGCCTTGGCCTTGGCCTTTGGTTGATTTGGTTCGATCCCACATCTCTGAGGTCTGAGGTCTGAGCTCTGGAATCCTGGGATCCTTCCACTCTCGCCTCCACAAAGCACAAACTCCTCCTCATTCCTACTCAAGTACCTAGTACGGAGAAGGAGAAGGAGTAACCGAATATTTAGTCCTTGTACCTACAAGGTCTGTGCCCTGTACTCGGTACTTGTGAAACGAGTTCGTAGGATTGGGGGGGGGGGGGGGGGGAAACCTATTTCCTCATATGGATATGGTACTGCGTACCTCCATACTCCATACTCCATGGGTACTTATACAAGTACCGAGCACTGTACCGAGTAGGCACTGTACCATCAAACCAGAGGTAGGTCTGTCTGTCTCGGTGTGCTTGGTGTGCTTGGCTATTGTGATTCACCAAGCTTTTGCCCAGCATCGCCCAGCATTGCCGAGGACTTGGTCCCGGGCACCAGAGGCAAAACATAGGCTTGGAGGCTTGGAGGAAGCTTGGTCATAACCACATACCACATCACCGCAAAGTCCCTCTTCTGACTACCAGTACCAGTACCGAGAGTGGACGCAAGAAGTGCTCAAAGAACCATTGATCATGGCGCCATGGTAGCGAGAGTGAGAGCGAGAGTGGCCGTGGGGATAGGTCCTAGCCAGGGGCGATAGTGGTGGTGATAGGTACGAGGTAGTGTGACCAAGACCCAACACCAACCAACCCCAACCCAACCCCAAAACCGCGATTTGATTGAGATGGAGAGGAACAAGTACCCTGTACCGCAAGTAGTAGTCGCAGGACTAAGTCGCAGTCCTTGTCCCTAGTACGAGTAGTACCTCATAGTCGGGCCGATCCCCCTTGGACTCGGTCTCGCTACATCTTCCTCATCTCATCTCATCTCGTCTGGTCAGAGACCCGCACGCCCATCGTCTGTCTGTCTGTCTGTCCGGTCCACTGAGTGAGTGGTCCCAAATTTCCGAGGCGCCGTTTCAGCGGGCGAGCTGTTGGCGACTGTTGTTGGATCTGGCAATCTGTTGGTCTATTTGGTTAGTGACTACTCTACTCGGTACCCAGTACTCCGTACTCTACTCCCCTCCCGACTCATATTCGGTCTTCAGACTCTGCGACTCACTCGGCAGTAGAAACTCGTTCTCGTTGGTAGCCTGCCTGGACCAAGTGGCACCAGGGGCAACAACGGCACCAGTGGCACCCAAGTGGTGGTGGTAACAAGTAATTACTCATAGGGACTCACAGACGAGCACGCGAGCAACCCCCTCCCCCCAGCCACAGCCACAATCCAATTTCCCCCGTCGCCCACGAAACCAGGCCAGGTCAAACTTTGGGAAAGCACGCATGTAAGCACAAGCAAAGCACTTCTGCGAGAGGGAGGCATTCTCTAAGTATGTATGTCCTATGTAGGGTAGGGAAGCCATCAGAATACTACTGCGTAGAATATTGTATTCATGTGGTAGATAGATAAATAGATAGATGATTGGGATCAATTTCGTCTGTCACGCCGGGTCCTATGTTATGGGTATGCTTCGCAAGGCCGTTTCTCCCAAGGGCCCAAAAACAAAAAAATAAAATCAAAATCAAAATCCTCTTTCGTCATGTACTGCGGACTGAAAGTGAGGGCTTTTCCCACACATTTTGTATTGCGCACTATATTCCCCCGTGAAAACAAATGCTAGATGACAGACAAAAAATGAAACTCATTACTAAGATATATATATGCTTTCAAGACATTCACAGAGCAAAAGCAAGAGCGAGCAATCCAAGAGCTGCCGTGCCAGATGATACCATCACTGACGAGGCCGCACCAGTAAATGACGACGTAGACACGGCGCTGGTCGTGCTGGAGGATCCCTCGTTCTGCACTTGCGTGCCCGAGTTGTCGCTGCCAGACGTGCTGGTGCCGGAGCCGGGGCAGACCTTGCCCACATCCGATGGCACAGTGGGGAAGTTGTCAACAGCGTCGAGAATAGCAACAGCCATACCACCAGAAAAGTGCGACTGGACGTGGCAGTGGAGGAGCCAGGCACCAGGCGTGTTGACCTCGTACCGGAACACCATCCACGTGTTGTTGCCCTCGGCAGGGATGCTGGTGAAGCCGTCAACATAAGGAGGGTTGACCAGGTTGAAGGGGTAGCCGGCCGTGATGGCATCGGCCACGTTGGTGAAGTTGAAGTCGCCCACACCGGCGCCGATCATGTAGAACTTGTTGGCGTGCTTGTGGATGGGATGCGGCTCAGCCACGGGGCCCGAAACCTTGATGATCAAGTCAACCCACTGGTTGGCCTTGGTCTCCAAGATCAAGTCGCTGGTGGGAATGCTCGACGGGCTCTGGAACAGAAGAGGGGGAGTGTCATCATCGCTGGTCATGTTGTACGAGTCGGTGCCCGACAGGGTCCAGGCCCACGCCTCGGTAGGTTGAACGGGAGACTTCTGGATGTCCAGGATGAAGCTGACATCGGCGCTGGGCGCAGGGGTGTTGGCTGGGTAAGGAGCGGCGAGAGCGTTGTTCAGGGGGACAATGGCAGTAGTATTCTGGCCACCATAGTTCATCGCCGAGACGCCAGCGGGCGCGTTGTTGCCACCCTTGTACGACAGGACACCAAAGCCCGAGATGACCTGGTTGATACCCTCGTTGGCAACACGGATCGTGTAGTCACCGGGGGTTTGGTCGAGCTTGACCAAGAACGAGACACGGTCACCGTTGCTGAGACTGATCTGGTCCACGACTTGAGGGACGATGTAGTTGCCGTTGATTTCGTAGACGTACAGCTTGTGGCTGTCAATGGTGACCTTGACCAACACAACACCGGCAGGGCTGATGAAGCTCATCGCAGCCCATCCATTGCTGGGGTCGACCGAGTAGGTGAAGTTCGAACCACCGTAGCCAATGCAGGTGTCGTAAGCATCGGTAGGCAAAGCAGCCAGGTTCTGGAGCGCAAGGTACTGGCCACCTTGGATGGCAGCATTGTTAGGAGGAACACAGCCCTTGGCGGTCAGAGAGGAGCCGTTCAGCACTTGCGGTTCTTGAGGAGCAGCAGATGCGGTGAGGTCGGCAATAGATGGGCAGTACTGCGAACCGAATCCGTTCAGGGTGATCGAGTCACTGCAGGCCCAGTCGACATTGGCCGTCTGTTCAACCGCAAAGAACTCGTTGAAGGTGTATCGGTTCCAGTCGGTGACAAAGACGGGCTCCACGTTGAGCGCGGCCTTGGTGATGGCATCCACATCAGAGCTGCTGATCTGGCTGAAGGGCGTCTCAGCATCATCCGCTGGAGCAATGAGAATGGCACCGTAGAGACCATCCATCATCTGTCCCTTGTAATGAGCATGGTAGAAGTAGTTGCCCGACTCGGTCGCGGTCCATTGATACATGTAGCTGGTACCAGGTTGGATCGAGTATTGGCTGACACCGGGCACACCGTCGGCCCATGGTGTACCATTTTGACGAATACCGTGGAAGTGAATGCCAGTGGCATTAGGCATGTTGTTGTTGACGACAAAGTCGACGCAGTCCCCGACCTTCATCTTCAAGGGAGGACCGGGCAGGGAGCCGTTGGTCAGGATGGCATTTCTGGAGATGCCTTTGCTGGGGTCTGTGGGCGCCCATGTGAGGTCAATAGTGAATGGAATGCATTTGGACGACGAGGCGCAGACTGAGCTGTCGCCGGAGCCACCATCGGCGGCGACGGATTGGATCGAGGAAACGAGTGTGAGGGCGGCGACAGCCTTGAGAAGGCGTGTGAACGCCATTATTACCTATAGACAAGAGGGCAACGAAGAAAGAAAGACTGCGGCCGGACAGCTATGTAGTATGAGAGGGTTAGTAGAACACAAGAAAACCAAGCGAAGCCCAAGGGAAGACGACCAAGTCTTATGAAGGAACAAGACATCGCAAGCACCAACCCAAGACCACCAAGCACCATGCCACTCACCAGGGCTGATTTCCCCGACGTGGCTTCAGATTGGAAGGACCACAGTAATGCCAGCCATCCTGGAACAGATACGGCGTCGACAAGGTTTGGGTGTCTGGGGCGCAAGAGCCTCCTGGTGCCTTTTTCAGCCATAGACGCTTACCGTATTCACGATGGCGGGATCCTCCCTATCCACTCGGATGGAGTCTGATCAGCCTCTCCCCATTTATCAACAAACATTCCCCCAGCCTCAGGCGCTATTGGGCGGTGACATCCTCCGTGCTAGAGTAAGATGTCAGCTTCGGCGACTGCCTGCTCGGAGAGCATGTGCATTCAGGAATTGCATACGCGAGCGGACAATTGCTGCATGATCGGCCAATGGTCACAAAGTCGGTCAACCAGAGAGCCCTGTCAGAAACCACACCCAGTACCGAGTCGACCATGAGCCATCAGGCGAGCTCATTTGACTGAGATTGCGAACAGGGAAGGTTGCCCCCCCTTCAACCTGTCCATCACTTTGTCAGTTGGCGGCCACATGAATCTGGCCAAGCTCATGCACGAAAGAGGGGACCGTTGAAGTGGTAATTCAATCAGATGTGACCGTGTGATCCATGCGCAGAGACCGAACCCCAGCTGCCACAAGGCCGCAGGGTCCCACCACCCCCGGGGTGCCCACAGGCCCTTGGATTTGGTTCGTGCCCTGTTACGTGACAGTGGACGCATTCAGAAATGGACACTCCACCACCAACCGAGCTAGAGGTCACCATGCCATCTTAGCGCCGTTAAGCATCGGGGGCTAGAAGCTGGATGACCCTTCAGCTACTGCTGCGCCCGCCCATCCCACTTTTGGCCGGGTTTTTGGCTGTCTCTTTGTTTTGGTCGTGCCTAGCCTAATGGAGCCTATCCTTGGGGGTAAACAGACCACTGCGAGAGAAAACCAGGGGGGAAAACTCGTGAGGCGTGGACTGATGAATCGCGCAAACACATCGCGATCATGGCTTGCTTATTCGCTTGTAATCGGCTGCCTTATGTTCGGAAGGATTCATGGATGTTCTTGGGGTCCAGCTCTTGAATCCCGTGGGAGGCAGTCTCGTATGTGAGCAGAGGCCTAAAACCAGGTGGCGAGGAGAATTATTCTCGGGACCAAGCAATAACTGGAACTGTTCTAAAAGAGCTTGCATGCAGTAGAGTATTGCCACCATTTCAGGTACAGCCGTGGTCGGACCGCCTTGCGCTTTTCGAGTGTGAGTGGATTGAAACTGCAAAACTGGGCCACCAGATGGCAGGTGAGCAAAGATTGACCTAAAAATAATCCCATCCGGTTAGTGTTTGAGATTTTTTAAACTTGTATTCGTGCGAAAAGATGGGCTCCAGTAACAGAAACAGGGAATCCCAAAACGCGGGAAGTACCACTTGGTGAGGAACAAGAAGATCCAAGAAGGTTCGCAACCCTTTGTTGGAGCTTGTATTTGACAGACGGTAGAACCAACCTTCTCACTGGGCCAACCACGCCCTGGCGAAAGGCTACAGTAAATTGAAACAAACACACAAATAGCCCTTCTGGGACGCGTTGTTGGTCTGGTGTGGTCCTCGCTCTTTCTGGATCGGAACTTGCGATCATCATGATGTAGCATCTTCCTTTTTGGACGTTATGTGTATCGATATGAGGACGGTGAGAGAGGCTGGGATGCAATGGAGGAGGCCGGGGAGGATTATTGGGGACTGGGTCTGCCGGAAGAGTGGGAGGCTGGGGGCATGCAATGACAGCAATGGCTGATGATAGGCGTCGATGGCTTGCGGAAAATCGTTGTTTCTCACACGTGGCTGCGGTGGTTGACGAGGTTGACGAAGTTCTGGAGCTTCTGGTGGTTTCAGATGCACCTCAGCACCTGCGCAGCTACGTCAGGCTGCCCCCCCGTGTCTAGGCAATTATTGAAAGGGTATTGAACTCTTTTGGTCGGGGTACTACTGTACGAGCACTCGGTACTGACGGGTGAGCCGGAGTGGTGAGTTGACACGAGTGAGAGCTAAGGTGTGAGGCTCTCGCTTGTGCTGGTGATGGGTGGTGCTCCTTTTCCGCAGTCTCGCTACTGCTTCTACTGTTACGCTCCGGAAAACCTCAACTGCGCGCTCTCTGTCAGGCTGTGCATTCGCCCATGCGAGAGATTTTTTTGCCTCCGTACTTCCACAGTTCCACGCTTCCATCCGCTGTTCCGTCGCTCATATTGTCGTTTACTCTTCCTTACGTACAAAGGACAAAATGCCTTTCTCTTCTGTACCCCTTCTCAACAGTCAGACTAACTACGGACCTCGATCCCTTCCTTTACGGTCATGTTCAGGCCCGTCGACTAGCAAAGCGCGCCCGCTTCCTTCCTCCCCCTCCTCCTTTATCCACCGAGCCATCAAGCGAAGCCTCGTGTTTGTGCATGTCCTATCTGCAAAGTTATCGTAAAGAGCCAACCATCTTGGGCATTTTATCTCTTGCGTGATCAACGCCTCGTTTGCGCCCGTGCGCCCGGGCCCAGTAATCGTTTATCACCTCCACCATGCCGGCCCCTTTGATCCAGAATGCCATCACCAGCATCACGGTGTGCCTGACCTTCCTAGCTTCGCTCCAATCGCAGTCCTCGTCACAATCTTTTCGCGCTTCGGTGTCCGCTGCAGCGGTTGGTCCTGCAGTCGCTTCCAACTTTCCTGACCCAGGCCTCGCGTTAGACACCAGCAGTGGCTTTGAGACGTGGTATGCCTTCAGTACTCAGACCGGCAAGATCAACGTGCAACTTGCCTCCTCACCGGACTTTTCGACCTGGAAGCTGCATGAAGGCTATGATGCTCTACCCACGACGCCAGGTTGGGCACGTCGGTCTCCTCATGCTGGTGTCTGGGCCCCTGACGTGAACCAGCGCCTGGACGGATCGTGGGTCATGTATTTTGCGGCCGTGGGGCGGACACATCCACAGAAGCACTGCATTGGTGCTGCCACCTCTCCCAATGTGACAGGGCCTTACATTCCTCTCGACGATCCCATCGTGTGCGATTTGCCTCGAGGCGGTAACATCGATCCAAATCTCTTTATCGATCCCATCAACAACGAGAACTACCTGGTCTACAAAACGGATGGAAACGCCGTTGGACATGGTGGTGCCTGTGGCAATACCGAAAACCCTGTTGTGCCTACTCCACTGTATCTTCAATTGATGGACCCCCAAGACCTTGTCACACCAATCGGCAAGCCTGTCTACTTGTTCTCAAACGCCAACAGTTTCAGCGAAGACGGCCCGAACGTCGAACGGCCATGTATGGTCTACCGAAACTCAACCTACTATCTCCTGTATAACGCCCACTGTTTCACCAGTCTGCAATACCGCATCGACTATGTCAGCTGTAAGGTTGGCGTCGACACGCATACCGGTGTATTGGGTTGTGACTGGGACGCCCTGAAGGCGAAGCAGCAGACCTCCAAGGACCACACGCTGCTCCAGACCGGCGACGTCGTGTCCGGTACCCAACTCTACGCTCCAGGCAGTATGGACGTCAGTCCCGACCAGCGCAGAGTGGTCTTTCACGGTGATGTCAACTTGGACTGGTTCAAGCCTCATCATCCTCAGACCGTCCGTCGTGACCGTGCCATGTTTGCGGGCGAGATTGACTTTGTGAAGTCAGAGCTCCATATCACTGAACTTCTCTGACGGCACGCCCGTGACGAACCCGCAAACGAAGACTTTTTCCTAATGGCCATGTGAGATGACACAAGATGACGCGAGATGAAACGATATGACAGATCCGATGGTAACAACCTTTTAAAGGCCTCCGAGGCACGGCTCATCCTTTCTCCACTTCCTGCAGGAAGGCACCAGTTTCCCTTTCCACGAGTATGCGATGCCCGTTCATCCTTCGCGATCCCACGGTCAACGTCCATGATTACACGACCAAACCACATTCTGCATTTTCATTGCTATATTGGAGTTCGAAATTTTCAGAGAGCGGCCGCACAAACCGCTCTTACCTGCTGCGCTCGAATCGGGTCGAGGCGTCTTCAGGCCACACGCCTCAAAGCCACGCAAACCCAAAAAATCCCTCCACACGGTACATAGAGGGCTGCGCGCTCCCTCAGTCAGTGTCAGATTCATCTTCACGTCCTTGTTTTCCGGTCTACATCGACCCATACGACCACCAATTTACAGCGTCGGCGTCCAGGTTCCCGTTCCATTCTTTGATTATGCGAATATTACTATATGATGACTGACAGTTACTACCTCCTTTCGACTTGTACTACATGATGTGGGATGTTTGAGTGATTAATCTTATTGCTAATGCATTTAGAGTGGAGCGAGGTTTGGATTCAATGGACGAGTGCCAGAGTTGAGTATTGGATTTGTGTTGTTAGAAGATACATCCGGGCCTAGCCAGGACGTTGTAGAATTGTGAGTCTGATAGACATGGACATGGCCTAGACGAAGATTATATGTTTATGTATAGAATCAATCAATTCAAAGAGGTAAAAGGTTCTGAAATACCTGGCAGGAGAGGAAGTCGACGACTGGGGACAAGGGGTCAGGTCGATGAGTGACGCGTAGAGAGTATCCCTTATAACTTGTCTTACCGTCGTATATAGTATATGTCATGGACCATGGACCATGTACCATGTCGCATATGTCTCTCGTCTTGTCATCTTGTCGTCCTGTCACATTGTCGACTGTCTCGGCCTGTCACCTCGTTGATAACGGGACCAGACGAGTGATATGTGTGTGTGTCCCTTTCTCCTTTTCCGTATGTATCAGAGTCGAGGTCGTCCAAGTAAACCTCCAACCAAGCCTTTCTGCTGTGTTCCCTCGTGTTGATCCCTGGTTCCTGGTTCCTGGCTCCTGGTGCATTACACAACATGACCAGGTGACCAGGTGACAAGGTGACAAGGTGGATAGTGGATTGGGAGGTACAGGTCGAGATCGAAATTGCTTCTCCATGCTCCCTGCTCCCTGTCCCGTACCACTTTCCTCTTGTGTTACACCGTGAGCCTTGACCCCTGTGTGCAGCGGCGGCGGCAGCGGCAGCGGCGGTGGCCTGGATTAAGGACGGACCAGAACTAGGGCCCTCCTGTCGTCGTTGTTCTTGTTCTTGTTGCACGACCGGGCCGTCAGGCCGCCAGGCCGCCAGGCTCCCAGTCAGTCAGCCAGCCTCCAGCGGACAAGGGGGCAGAATCAATCTTGTGTAATTCACTCGATCGACTCCCCTCTTTGCCTGTTCGCGCCAGGGAAGGGGATGATTGGGGTTGTGGCTGTTGCTTGAGCTGTTTGTGCGACAATACTCCGCTCCGTGCATATACCCTGCACCCCCTGCAAACCATGGATTCATGGCTTCGTATTTTCACGGATATGGACATGGCTGCCTCAGTCAGTGAATCGATCAACCGGTCAGTCCATCAGTTTGTCAACCCTCTGGTCAATCGATTTTTGTGTACCACGCGACCCCTTGAACCCCTTATTCTTTGTGCAACGGGGACATTTCCCCAGGGAAATTTGACGTCTGCCCTTTTCCGTACCTGAGAATACAATCGCAAAGGGCCAGAGTAAGAATCCGAGGAACACAGGCACTTGTACACTGCACACTGTGCCTTGGACCGCATACGATGAGGGTCATATGTTTTCAGTAAACCCCGGATTGGTTGGGACGATAGTTGGTCAATCAGCTCCGATCACCCCCCTGCCAGCATGCATCGCGGATCTGAACCACAAGAGGGAGGAGGGCATTCTCATATGGGATCCTTGTCGTGTGTGTGTGTGTGTGTGTGTGTGTATGTATGCAGCCGGCGGCGGCGCATGATGGACCTAGGTGCAGAGGGGAGCTCTCGTCGGAGCAGTAGAGAGGGATTCCCGGATCATGGGGTTGCTCTCCCCAAGTCACTTCTTCTGGCGTGATGAGCAGCTGGAGAAGGATGCGGCTCGAGAGATCCATCAAGGGCTGCATGCCACTGACCGCGTCTGATTCCCAGTCGTGGCCATTGCCATTGTCCGTCCGTGAAGCAATTGGTGATATATATCCTCTCCCTCGCGATGGACCTTGTCAAGACAACCCCTTGTCCTGGGATCAATACACAGTACAGTGGCCATGGCTCAGTCAATGCGATCCCCACACAATGTGCCGCGACATTCGTGAATCGACGCCTGTGTTCGGTAGAGAGGTCACAGTCCGGTGTTGGTGGCCTCTCGAATGGAGCATCGCAACCATTACAAAACCCTCTTGGCCAACTCAGACCGTTCCTCGGTTGTCCGCAAAGACGCAAATAGTGGTGGTGGTGGTCAGACCTGAACCTGAAAATGGGCGGCAGGGGAAAGGATTGTCGTCCGGCAGACTTCGACGCGCGCCAGTGACATCCCAGCATGCAATGGACGTAAATATATCGGTATTTTCAAGGTCGCAACCTTGCTTTACCCATTTGCAGTATCGTCTTCTTGCGGCACGTTGGATGACCTGGCCATACTTCGTATTTGAAGAGGTCGCTTGGTAAGGACGATCTGACGAGTAGGTAAATAGTCCTGACAGGGACAGACCTTGTGCCGATAACACGGGGAAGAATCGGAGATTCTAGTCTCATGTTGGGAGCTGCGCCCGGAATATAGGACCTCACAAGAGTAGGAGGTGCAGCGGACAATTGTCTCGCAGTGCGTGGTAATTTCAGCGACGCGACAAGATGACAAGGACGCAATTACGCACTTGAGCCGGTGTATTACTCAAGTTGATCATGGTGGTATTGGGAGATTCTGGCTGTGATCGACGTCGCTCCAGCTTCAGACATTCACTCGGTGAGAAGGTCGATATGAAGTCTCTTCCACGTGGTTCCTGATCTGCGCATCGCCTTTGCTTCGGAGATGGGGTGGCTCCCAGGGCCAACGAGGCCTCAGACGATCAAAACCCAAAGCCTTGCTCTGGGTGTCAAGGGCAGACTTGGATTGATCGTGAATGTCTCGTGTTGGACTCTGCGTCGTTGCCTTGATATTGTCTTGTCAACCACTCCATCCTCCTTGGCCAAGGGTTTACTGCTCCCTCTGTCGTATGACAACGCCGCCAACGAGCGTGAGTCGATCGAGTGTGGTTGTCTGTCGAGCTTAGCATTCATGGTCCGCAAGAGTCAAGACCCAGCTCACGAAGCAAGCAGGACGACAGCGCCAAAGACATACCTCGTTTCGACAAAACCCGTCAAGCGAATCCCGACCAAATATGCTCCAGATCATCCATTATCGTCGCAGCTACGCGCAAGAATATCTGCCTGAAGCAACCCTGGGGTGGTAAATCGTGCCTTGGGTGGACAACACCACGGTCCAGGGTACATACAGACCAGACAAGGAGCGGGCAATGGTTTCTTGATTAACAAGTTCTTAGCCATGATTGCTGCAGGGAGTCGGGTAAAACCCCTCCTCCGAGCCGACGAAGCCAGAAATCCCCCATTGTCTGTTTTATCGCGGCACATTTCCAAGGGGGGAAGTGTCTTTCGCCAATCTGGGCTTTCGGAGAGAGAGAGAGAGAGAGAGAAGGGGGTAGGGGGAAGAATTCAGACATGTCACCATCAAATTGATTTGGGCGTGGAGAAGCGTAGCTCGCCTATCCATTATCCTCCTAAGCGAGAGTCTGGTACATCAACCAAAAGCAGAGAGGACAACTGGACAACTTGATGGAAAAAGGATCAAGGAAACCAAGGCCGGGCTACCTCATCGACATCCAATCCTCGGATACTGTCAAAGGCGGTGGTGTTGGCGTCGGCACCAGCCAGCACATTGCAGATCTGCCATGCAATATCATATATAGTAGTTCGAGGGATGATGTACTCGGTACTCACAGGTACTGTAGCTACTCCGTAGTACTAGTACTAGAGCTAGTCCTGGTAGAATAGTCTCGCCTGCACAATGCACAATGCACAACGCATAACGAAAGGATAGGAGGCAGGAGGGGATGTGCAGCACGGTGCAGGGATCTCGGAACAGGCATATGTTCGTACGAGGTAAAATGTACAATGTACAAACGAATGCATGATATGCGGGTCCCTCCTAGTCTAGTATTCTATTGAGCAAGCAAGGTGACTGTTAAGGGTGGAGGTTGTAGGGAAGAGAAAGGAGTTGAAGCTCCTCTATCAAAAAGGGCCGAGGTATATCTCGTACAAGTAAGTACGTGTCGCCGTCGACGTCAAGTCAGTACCTCCTATCTGGGGTGTCTGTCTATATGGACCATAGAATAGGGTGGCTAGAGGGTCATTGATAGTCATCGCTGTCTTGATTATATGGGCCTAGAACATGGCGACACAAGAGGAGTTCCATCGACGCCCAGCTCACCACGCGCCTCACCCGACCGGCGCCGCTTTTACAACACCACTCACCCGGATCGCGCGCCACTACTTCGGGGTCATCTAACTAATCAGAGCGCGGGACGAAAGTGTACTAAAGTCTGCCACTTCCTGCCATTATTGTTGTGCAAAAAGATTTCATAGAATACCTATAACATTCCAGGCCCTTTTATTTCAGTCTCGTTCCTGTAACTTTCCAAAGTTACTAGGGGAGCTAAGGAGCTAGTTTATTAGCGTTTTCCTAGGAAATTAGCTATGGTCAACCCTTTCGAATTCCTAAGAGCTATAATCGCAGATTCCTAGCTAATAACCCTATAGTCCTAGCGCGCCTGGGATATCAGACCAGTTACCTAACTGGAGGGTGAATGTGTGTACTATAGGATCGATAGTGATAGAATAACTAGCCTATAGATAGAGATGTCAACGCTTGAAGAAGACTTTAAGGTCGACAGGTATGATCTCCCCTACTATGTATATGCGATAAGCCAGCGGCTTGGCTGTCAGCCTGACTCCTTAGCTGGCGGCCTGAGCTGAGTGTATAGTGTCACATGGGTGTTCGTGACAGTTAGTCTCAGGAGACCTCGGACAATCCTCGGAGGTCTTAGCGAACCGTGGGAGGTATGACTTCGCCTATAGCCCCTTAGTCATTCATGATATTCCTATTCCTGTTGTTCCTCCTGGTCCTCCAGTTCCTCCTGGTCCTCCTGTTCCTCCTGGTCCTCCTGTTCCTCCTGTTCCTCCTGTTCCTCCTGTTCCTCCTGTTCCTCCTGTTCCTCCTGTTCCTCCTGTTGTTCCTATGCGATCTCTTTATCGCGATCGTCTCTTGCCATTCCAGTGCGTCGATCGCTGTTCTGTTTCCGTTGATATACGGTCCAAAGTATAGCATTTGACGCGTTATAGGTAGAATCCTATAGCGTAGTAATCTCGTATTGTATAAGGTAAATAAGCTTATTTTAGGGCTATAATAGCGCTATAAACTAACACATCTCTTATGGAAATTACTAGGCACTAGTATTATAGCGTACTTTTTTAGTGGCTTAGTACCTGCGAATATTCGTAACATAAACTAACCTTTCGGTACTAATACTATCGTTCTTACAGAAAAGGTAAATTTCGTGTATTTTAACAACCCTGCCTGCCATAGTCTGCCAGCTGCATGTGGCGTCGGTACGTGCGGCCTCGTGTAGCGTCGTGTAGCGCGGGTCCGTGGCATCATAGGGCGGATTAGGTTGTGCTTGATTAGATCTGGCACGGTTCTTGACAATACCCACCCCTCCGGCGGTGTTGAGCCCCTTCGAATACCCACGCCACCTGTCCCTGACATCAGGTAAACCACCAGATGGCTATGAAGCCTGTTCTTGGATCGGTGACCTGATGAGTGACGTTCGTGCTATTAGGCACTGTATAGTCCTGAAAGCGGATATTTCGACCCTGGACAAAGCCTACAACAGCATGGGACATGAGGGTATCAGTTGTGTGAATGATGCCGAACTCCCGTATATTCGAATTTGAAAGTACTATTTGCTGAACCTGTGGATATCGGCCAAGGGCTCGCTCCGCCGCCTCCATATCTTCGTCAGTGGCATTAGGTGAGAAAACCCTATTCGGCCAAAAAGCATGAAAACCAAATCCTGGAAAGCTTTGGCCCATTTGTTGGATCTGTGGCCACGTCAAACCCTGATTTCCGAATTGAATCGTGGGAAAACGCTGTTGCAGTTGTGGTACCGTCAACCTGAGTAGTACAGCCATAGTTGTGGGAGCACAGAGTGCATTCGCTTCCCTAGTGTTGATTGGAGCGAACATGCCAGGTCGGTTACGCAGGCGGTTGACAGTAGGACTATCCCATTCGGCTGCCTGATTATTTGGGTTGGCTTCGTTATCTGGTGAAAGTCGTCCCCTTGGCACCGGCGATATGGAGAGACGTGAGGTATCCTGTGGGTGACTTTCGTCCGGAGGCTCTGACATCGTCGATCTCTCGGCGGAAGTCGGGAACCGAGAGGCCATGGTAATTTATTGTGGATAACGTAGTATGGTGGTGATTAAAGATTAAGAAGACTTTACTTGTAAATAATAGCAAAATTCTAGCCGTTTAGATACGAACACGGACATTTATATAACTTTCCTTAATGGAAAGGACCACTTTAAGGGGGAAAAAAGGTTCCTCACTAGTGTGGATGTAAATATATTACACTAGAAAGAGTAATACTCCACGGAAGGATTTCTGGTATAGGACTAATAGGCACAGTGGCTATCACGGAATTATTCTAGATAAGCTAATTCTATGCTAGCTTAGCTTATCCACTTCCTTCCGTAGAGCTATTCTAAGCATTTAATAGAGGAGCGTAGGATTTTAGACAGCCATCGGCAATTGCAGCTTAATATTTCCGGCCCTTGACATAGAGTTCTTACAGGTTCAGCAGAGCCAAATCAATAAAGTCGCAAGAATTAAGCGGCAGATCCTATTGTCAGATTTGTCAAGGTGAAGCTTCCAGATAGAGTGTGAGCATATACTGATGTGGGACGAGTCAGGAGTATCTGACGTCAATTACATATACTGAAGAAAATCTATTCAGGGGATCGTTGAAGGCGGAACATATGCGGGCACGCCACCTAGCGCGTATTTCGTACCGTAATATTGGGAACGGCCTATGTAGATAGGTAGAGGGCAGCGACACGTAATAGGTAGGTATAGGTATTCCTAAATGGTATATCTTAACTAAGACTTAAAGCATGAGGTAAGGGAAGCTTCCCTTAGGCGGTGAGCATGCGGTGCTTAGATAATAAGGGGTTGTCACATGCGCAGTGTGCTTAGCGGTTCGTGGCAAGTGGATACTACCCCTTCTCGCTGGTTTATGACAAGACTTCAAGCATCAGAGGGAGAACGAGCTGCTCATGCGAGGAAAAGATACGACCCGTTGCCCCTCTCGACGTTCGTTCACAACACCATTGGCTTATCTGTACTCTGAAGTCTAATCTCTGAGTTGTCAAGTGTACCCAATCTCGGTCAAAGCTTGCATGACTAGCTGTTGGATGACATCTGGATGAGGGTGTTTCCACTGGTTTCCTTCCTGGTTGATATCTGGTTCGGTGTTTTCTCGCTGGTCTCCTTCCTGATTTAAATTTGGGTGGCTAGTGTCGTCGTCATCACCGTCCTTGCTGTATTCCAAATCTTGTCCCAGCGACTCTGAGTCCGCAATTGCGACAACGCAATCCAATTCGTCATGCTCTCCATGCTCGCCGTACTCCTCGTTGGGGTCCCAGTTGTCGGCACCGTCGTCTTGGTCAGGATCGTCATAGTCGCCGTGATCGGAGTACTCCTCGTGACCGGTATCCCAACCATACTCCTCAATGTCGTCTCTCTGATAGTATACGTCTGGGGAGCTGTGGTGGTAGGACATTTCCAAGTAATCGTTGTCTAAGTGCCGTCTATGTGCCAAAGAAAGATAAGATAAATTGTGTACAACCATACTAAGGTCATCCCATGACTAGTAGTTATAGTCATTGAAGGCTATATCCTAAATCTCCTGCGTCGCTTCCTTGCCACAAGTTAGCCGGAAATAAGATATAATATGTACGTCTTACCACACTGTGGATCATGAGGAGCGGCTTCTAATTCAAAGAAATCCATAACTCAAGCCATATTTATTGTAATGGGGAGGTTTACAGGCTGAAACGTGATTAGTGGAATATGCCTGTACAGTGTACAGGATGGCACTCCTGATCATTGATTAGTTGGATCTCTGACATTGGGTCTGAGATTCCCTTTTCCTTCTGGATCCTTCAAGGGGATCCTTCAATAAAAAGGATCAACACAGCGAACAACTTAATCAAGGAGTTGAGGACAGTTATCTATCAAGTTATGGAACCAATTTAATCAGGACCCTCTATGCTGTTTTGTTATTGTTGTGCGATAGCTGTTACCCCTACCACCATGCGCACCGCCGTACGAGTTGATGCCTCTGGCTAAGAAGCCTCGCCCTAGTTCATTATTAATCAACAGTAGGACTATAGACTAGAGTATATAAGCTGACCGACCCTAACCATGAAAAATGAAACTTGGGCGTTGCACTGGATACTACCCAGTTTGTGTAAGACACCCACTTAGACAAGTCCTTGTCCCTTACCTATATTAAAGTCGGCGCTGACATGGGCCGAGTCGGATAAACCCGTCTCTTGGTGGGCCGGGTTCCTCAAGGTAGTGGCCTGACCCGATCAATGTTAACGACTACATAAAAGCTTTGTCCCTTTCAGAAGCGTACCATCGACACCCAACATTATACAAAATATGGATTCACATTACGATTTTGACGCGTCTGACGACATAGATGACCTGGTGAGACGATTGTCTAAGGCAGCGAACCACTATGAGACAGTCCACAACGATAAAGGTAAACGTGGCCAAGCATTGCCCTTAATGACTAGTACTTTACCTAACCGGTGTAGAACAAAGCGAGGAAGACGTACAGCGCCAGCTGCATTACATTTCAAGAGACATAGCCTGGCTGGCCCGAGATCTATCGAAACACTTCCCACACATTCAGGCATTGGAAACACTGCATAGAGACTGTTGGCACGCTTTCCTTGGAGAGTTCGACGGCCATGAGGGCGTTCATCCTGATACGCACAAGAATTATGATGCCAGTCTTATCTATGGGAGACATAGGGAAGATTAAGAAGGGTCCGCTGACGGCATTAATGGTGGAAATTAAGAGGCCTAGAGGGATATTTTAGTCGAATCTAGGTTAGGAGACACGATTCCCTGGGTGAATCCTGTTAACCATCCTCCTTTGAATAGTAAACGCTGCGCACGACTTGTTCGGCGATCCAGCGGGGTTCGGCCAGGCGAAGAACAAATTCTGTTCCCTTCTCCCATTTCCACCTTTCCCTCTTCCATTGGCTGAAAGGTCCAGTCTGGTTCGCGTCTCCCTCTTCACGGTCCTACGTACTTGAGTCTATTCGACTCCTTGCACCTCACGAGCCGAATCCATTTGAAGTTCTATTACCTCTGAATGACCTTTAAGAATTAAAGATTAGAAACGGTTGGCCGTAGGACACGAAAAGAAAGGTCGGAATATATAACTAGACGTCACGAACCGCTAAGTAAACTACGCACGTGACAACCCCTCTATTATTTAAGCACCGCATGCTCACCGCCTAAGGGAAGCTTCCCTTCCCTCATGCTTCCGAGTTTTAGTTAAGATATACTATTAAGGAATACCTATACCTACCTATTACCTATCGCTACCCTCTGCCTATCTATATAGGCCGTTCCTAACAGGCATGTTCCTAGTGTCGGTCCTTCACGAGAAACGTGATGGACGATGAATCTTCTAGCATGGTTTCTCGGGGACATAATTTGAAGGATGAGTCACCCACTAGGATGGTCTCACACGATCCAACAGGTCAAAGTCGAAATGGTTGATCGAGAGAAGGTGCTTCGAAGGTCTTGCAGAGTCTTCCGCCAGGTGTCACCTTCTGATCAAGTGTCCCTGCAAAGGTAAAGTCACACGACAGAAAGGTTAAGCGATGTCGGCAGGGGGCAACAGCGAGCGTCCTTTTATGCCAGACCTTCCCTATTCAGGGCAATAAAGGCCTTTGGTTTATTAGACCTGAAGGACTTGCAGAAAGCTAAAACTGCCGACATGCCATGTAAACTCCCTCACCCCGTTATCGCTATTAAGTGTCCACTGGGGTGTCGACGTATGCAAACCTTTGCAAAATCAGGAGCCTTACAAACAGATTACCTTCGTCCGACTGACCTACGCATACGCCCGCTCTGAAGCATGCAAAGATAATTTTTTGCGGGTTTTCTTCCCACACGCGCAGATTCCGACCGAAGCCCCGGAGAGCGGTCCAACCCCCTTACTCTGTCTATAGACCTCGACTGGCGGCGTTATCAGCTGATGCTCACGTATACCTTTAGTGAAAGCCTCGATGAGAAAAACGCCTCAACCGTCACCTATGATCCTGTCAGACTTATAAAGCCCGCAATCCCTCACCAGAACCACGCGGCGCCTAGCTAGCTTAAGAAGGTATTGTCTCATACGTGACCGTTACTGCTGTGTCATTCCCCGCACGTGATACCGTGCGGAAGCAGCAAGGTGTGTTGCCGGGGATGGCGACGATGACAGTGCATAAGACGAGGGAGATCTATTTGGGGTGGGCATGTTTACCATATTAGTGGTGGCACACGTTATCCCCACCTCGTTGATGACTGTCTTCGGTGGAACGACGGAGCTGGTATGTCGCCTGCCTTCTCATCTAGCGCTGATTGATGATATCTGGGATCCTTTGTCTATATCGAGTGTTGTCTATATCGAGTGTTGTCTATATCGAGTGTTGTCTATATCGAGTGTTGTCTATATCGAGTGTTGTCTATATCGAGTGTTGTCTATATCGAGTGTTGTCTATATCGAGTGGATCTTTCAGGCACCGACTGACCTCCTTCGCAGGACAAATCCAACAAACGTCCACGTCGGAAGGATGGTGGTCACCAACCAGCTCGGGCGCATGGATCGCTGCCTCGGGGTCGTGAGATAGGACGGAAATGGGCCGCATTCGAGATCAGCATAGTGGTCGACATCCTGGAGCGACATCCTCGAGGCTGAAGGTGGAATGCTTGACGAAAGGAAAATCCGGACAGCCTAGCGCAGCAAAAGGCAGACAATCCCGCAGGCGACGAGAAAGAAGGGGCATCAATGAATCATACAAGGACAACGCTCTCCACGCTTGTACTCCTACTAGTGGCCGTGGCGATGACGAATACAGTGACAGTGGCATAGGTTCAGATACACCGGCATCCGGGATGAACTTCCTCTGTTGGAAGGGGATGCGCGGAGTGGCTACCTTGATCCAATCCCATCCACTAGCCCCGATCCAGACCGGGGCGTACGTAGAACAAGGTGATACCAGCCTGAAAGACTAGGTCCAGGTGTATGGACGTCAAGGGAAGCGGCTCCACCGGCCGTCGCAAGCCCGGTCGCGGTATCGGGACGTGTACGCGACATCTGAAGGGTCGGTGGAGGGCATACACGCGAGCGATAGAAAGTCATCGCAAGCCGTGCTGGAGCTGCTGCCGCTATCTATCTCAGCAGCATGGCAGGGCGTGCACCAAATACCGGCCGTACTCTTCGCTAACGAGAATGATCTTCGACCGAACGATATGGCATGTGTCTTATCTGTCCGGCTGATGCAAGCGAGCTAGGATACCAGGCTTTTCGCTCGCAGCGACATGTGTAGTCAACCTGTGTCGGAGTGTCCGAGGTGCAGTCCTCTCCAGGTAATGGCCAGAGTCACCACCGAGTAGAAACGGGCGAGGACCACCACAGCGCTAGGAATGCTCTCATTCAGAACCACGTCCCCACGACGCAGCCTGGATGGAGACAAGCGCGCACGCCCAGAGCGTCACTCTACTTGCGCACAAATAGAGGCAGCTGCCCGGTTTAGAGCGTAAGGCGAGAGGCCCGACACGGGCAGGAGGTGGTTGTGAGCCTGATCTAGCGATTAGGGAGGCCAGCATTCTCTTCGGAAGGTAGAGGGCCGACAGGATTAGTCGAGGGTGGTCGTAGGGAAGGAGGAACGCCATCTTCTTCAGCGGCCACGCATTTGGAGCGGTCGAGAGGGGACCTGCAAGGGGACGGGCGGCAGCGTCGAGCAGCATGGATCGAAGAGAAGGAAACTCGTCGAAGCGGCGAGAGGGATTCTTTGTCAATATATCTTCTGGTCCCTTCAGAGCAGGGCGGCGTCACCCTCGTCCCAAAGAGGGACGAGCTCGCCGTGATTTTATTACCTCCTCTTGGCTAAGAACAGAGAATCTTTCGTATACAATGTATTTCCAATCCCCGAAAATTCCACACGGTAACACATTCGATAGAGTCACTCCGAAGCATCCTTTCAATCCACTGGCCGTGGTCCGCAACGTGCTGTTCAACAGACACTGCCACTCCCAAATCTATTTTACCGTAAACGTCCCCAGCGCCCGCCACACAAAATCCCGGACTCGAGATATTCGCTTCGGTGAGGGTCTGAGATGACTCACTCTATTTCTTATCAAAATACACCGTCTGCTTCTCGCCCTTCTCAGCGTACCTCTGCATCCGCTTCTTCGCCATGCTTCTTTCCAGCAACACGCCCACCACTGCCACGCCCACACTCGCCGCCTCTAGCACCAGCAGCCCCGCAATCAGGCCCTGACTCACCTCACTTTCCATGCACAATCTCTTGAAGCCCGCAGGGATCGGAATCCCGTGGGATACGTACACTGGAATTTGTAGGGAGTGGGCATCGGCCATGAATTGCGAGGCACCGTGGGAGAATTTGCATGTCCATGATTGGATCGAGTCCCGTTGATGATGAGATGCGAAATTGGTGAGAAGGCTGTTGAAAGGGATGACGAAGATGGCGAGGACAATACCTGCCAGGGAAGACGCAAGGAAGAGGAAATTGTACATGAGCGTACGGGAGTAAGGCTGTTCCCCAGATTAGAATAAAGTCATCGAGAAGCGTCCAGAGGGAAATATTTACCGTTGGAACGAGCGATACAACCACATAACTGAGACTGAGGATGATGATGAGGGTGGCTGCAATTAAAATGGCCAAAGTTGGCCTCACATCCACATTCGTCGGCCAAAGCGGTGGTAGATGCCACTTGGAACCCATGTGTGTTTTGTTATAGCTGTGCAAAACATGTCCCTCACAGCCCACAGCAGCTGTGGCAGTGGCAATGGTCAAGATCGCCAGCGTACATCGAATCCATTGGAGCCATTTCGCTTGCCGAAGATAAGCAGATTCCTGGGCCGAAGATGCCGAGTGTCGAGAATGTAAGGACGATGTCAGGAGTGGCGATGGTTGGATCAAGAGAGCGGATGCGTCGTACGCTGGAGTAGGTGGTGGTTCGAGTTTGTTCATGCTGGAATGGGGTCTCGGTGGGCTGTTGCAGCGAGTCCCGGTTTCTGAAGACCAAGTAGGTTGGGAGGTGGTAAAGTGATTCTCCATGATAAACAGAATCAAAAGAAAAAGCAACTCATCAACAACAGAAGACAGAACCTTTGGAAGATGGTGGAATGCGAAACCAGCGCCAAACAGACCAGAACTTGAACACAAGTGCCAGACAAGAGAGCACCGAGAAAAAGACGAGGCTCTGTACTATTATATCCCAGCCGTATGATTCCTTCTTGCACACTCACCTGGCCAAATACAGCTCACCTACAGTAGTGTCTGATCTATTCAAAGATCGTGCTTGTCTCTGACTGACCTCGCCGGCCAGCTCCAGACGAATCATCTTTCGAGTATCACCACCAGCAATACATGTTCGGCGGTTAGAAGGCTTGATCGATGAATGAAACAAACAATGAGCTGAGATGTGGGATTAGGAAGGATGACAGCCAGACGCTGTCCAAGCAAAGATGCAGGGGGGGATGGAGGAGCATCTGGGAGAATGAAATGACGAAGAGAGATTGAACGACCAGTGGGCCTTCAGCGCTTAGCTAATGGCTTGGCTCCTTTAAGAGCATCTATTGGTCAGTCACCAGGCGCATGCAGGGCGCTAAGCATATTTATAGTATGGCCCAAACGAGCAAGGCCCACATTGTGTAGTTCAGTGGCTTCTGACTGGCCAGTCGGGCTTCATCTGCCGATCTTCTGCTTTGGATCAGCGCGCCAGCACACAACTCACCATCCTGATAATCATCAGCCACTCTGGCAAAAAGCCCAGCATCATTTGTTGCCGGCTCTTCTGCTTCAGCTGCCAGTGGACGAGGAGAGAAACCGGCTTCCATGCACATTGGCTCGCATCTGGGACTGTATCCCTGTGCAAATCCCACCCCATCATTGGCCCATCTCCTTCCACCATCATCCCAGGCAAAGGCAGTTCTAGCCTGCGATCCGCGACTTCATGGCATGCTGAAAAGCAGATAGATGAGGAAACTAATTCCTCTATCTTCTGCTCGCTTCCGCATCAATGCCACTCTGCCATGACCCAGACCCTTCTCTTCCACCAGGTAAAACTTCGTCTTCCGCATCTCTCCCCACCGGCCATGCTTGAAACGGTTACACCATGGGCCACCAAATGGGTCTTCGTACCTCCTGGCCCGCCAAAATCTTAAACTCATTCCATCTCACAACCAGTTTTGGCGTTGCTCTGTGCCATGACAAGTCGAGTGCCGACGCACCTCTCCCCACATGACTTGCACTTCATGCATAACATACTGAGATGCTGGTGAATGAACTTGAGTCTTCCTTCCGAAACCAGTATCTTCTTCGCCGGATTCGGGACATCGGAGAATTTCTCAACTTTGACCAGCGCAACCTTATGCACGCTCGGACCTCTTGGTCTTTTAGGTCGATATGACCTGTCACATTCTGCTTCCGCGGGGGGCTGATGTTCTCGATACTCTCGTATCGAGGCTGCTGCTCATGGAGGGGTGAGTTCACGGGTAATTCAAGTACCAGGTCTTCACACCGCGTCGAATATGGAAGCGACATTTTCCAGGGCTTGCACTTCCTCCCGATCCACCCGCTTGCCAGACAATACTGTCGAATCTTCTCCCGAGGCTTCGCCGTGGCGCTCAAGATGTGATCGCGTTCGTTGCTCGATATAACCTCTGCGCTCCTCTTTGAGTTCATCCTTGGCACTCGAGATGTTTTTGTCTGTATCTTTCAGCAAGGCCAGCTTGGGTCGCAATTCGGCGAGCAACGACTTAAGGGCGGGGAGCTGTGAAACGGCGAATTTCGTGTTGGTGGTTAAACGGCGACTGTCAGGGTGCTGGGTTACATTGAGAGTCTGACCAGATGCGCCATTCATGAGGAACGACAGGCTGTTTGCGGAGTCGGGGGAATCGCCAATCAAGCTTCTCAGTTGTTGCAGGATTGCCTCATTGCGCCTATACTCTTCTTTGAGGGCATGTGAGACAGTCCTCGAGGCGGCCAGCTTGCGCCGTAATAGTTGCACATTATCAACCGTGGGCGCGTTCGCTGGAGGGGGAAATGATATGTTCTGCGCACTGTTAGCTGGAATCCCCAAGTCGCTCTTCGCTCTTCGCTCTTCTGCGCAATTGCTCGCCCACCTCGTAATGACTCAATTGGACCCAGTTAACCAGTTCTGTAGGCACAGACAGGATATTCCTCAGCACATATATCTCAAACTTGTCAAAATTCTTATCGACCGTCGAGTTGAGCAGTGTCTCAAGTTTGTGGAGGCCTTCTTCGATCTCTTTCTTTGCCTCAGGGAACTCCAAGTCTTCCACGCCATCATCGCCGACAGTCTTGACGGCCTTGAAGCCCAACTTCTCAGGATGCGTCGACAGGAGTCCGGTTTCCAGGCTACCGACTCCTTGGTAAACGAAGTTATTGACCGAGTTGATTATGTCGTCAATCAGCGACTGCGGCTCGTTAGCACTCGAAAATGCTATTATGTGATCGCAAGTGACTTTACCAAAGGCGTGTACTGTAGATGCTCGGTCAAGAGCGACGTCGCCCCTTGCGAAGAGTCGGCCATGACGCTGCCTTCAATGAAGGGGGAGGGGAAAATGTATTAACTGTGGTAGAGGGTGATGATGTCGTGTTTACTGTATGACACGCGCCACGCCCAATGTTTTGGGTCTTGGGGCTCACGGGCGGCAACTCCGGGCACCCACGGCACCCCGGGACCAGTCGGCGAGTCGGGAAACCACGGCCATCAAATGACAACTGAAATGACATTTCTCTTCGCGCTCACTTGACAACCACTTTCGCTCCCACCCACCTCATCTCCCGCGCATCAGCCCCGTCCATCTCTTTATCACCAGTCAGACCTCCAAAATTACGCAGCTGAGACGATCACGCCCAGTGTCATTCTCGAACCTCGACACTTCTGCCCCAAGTTCACCATGGGTGGTCCAGGCGTAAGTTGCTGCTTGACTTTCACCTTTCATCGACGCATGCTAATCAGCTCCCTTTAGTCAGGAGGGTACAAAAACAAACCAGGTGATACCGAAACTCATTCAGCATGGGACATTATTCCTCAAGATCCAGAGGGCACTCAGGTATGGCCTTGCGCATCATCATCACAATCACGTTCTGCCCTAACACCTCTCACTAATGTCCACCCAGAAGCTGGCGCAGGTGCGATGCAAATACTGCAGCAGAGAAATGGCCCAGCATACCTCCCGACAGCGCGTCCACCTTCTCGGCTGCCGAAACTACCTTGACGCGATGAAAGAACAAGGCATCGAGAACAGTATTACTCGTCAAGCCGCCGATCCTCAAGCATTTTTCAGAAGCTCTGACTGGGCGCAAAGAACCACCGAGGCAAAGGCTCCAAAGGTCCTCAAAATGGGCGATCACACTACCGCTGTGCGCATTCAGGCACTGGCGCTGGCGGAAGCGAGCATTGCATACGATCGCATCCAGGAAATCACTGGAATGGACCCGAAAGTGATGGCTGGCCTGCGACGACTTGCGCGTGAACGTGGATACGACCCAAGTGTCTCGATGCAGCTGAAAGAAGAATACGTCCTTGATCCCCCAAACACCCCTCGCCCTCGTGGCCGACCACCTAAGAAGAGGAAAACTGAGGAAGAGGTCGATCCCGCCTTGACCAACATGCAGCAGGAAGGCTCGCGACCTCAGAGTCCCAGTTACAGTGGCACACCCACCAACCGCAGCAATCTGCCTCCCGGACAGTGGGATTTCATCGCCCCTACACCGCCACCCAGTGGGTACACCATGACCTGAATGCTCAGTGGAAGGCCTCCGCTCGTTGGACGACTGTGACGGTTCAGAGTGAGGCTATCCAAATTCAAGGCGCAAGGGCCCGAGGGCAAGGTACGGTAGTTATTGTTCGAGTTCAGATTCCCGATCCAGGCGCTCAAAATCAATGGTGCCGAGGCACGGAGTTATCGTGGGAGTACTTCTATCGATAATGCTGGAAGATTAATGTATGATTATGAAGGGGGAAAAGTACTCGTGGGAAGTCTGGGTGTGCGACACTTGACGGACTGAATTCATTGTACGCTTCAACCAGGGAGGCGATCCAGAAAGGACTGCTGAGAAGACAAGGTAGCAGAGTGTAACGGACTAGCGAACAGCTAATCAAACCGAAGTTCAAAACTTCATGTAGCGGAGTACCAAGTTATCGGTCCATGCCTAGGAAGAGCTCGTCTGTCCGCATTGAGTAAGAGACTCGCCCAGTTAAGCGTCTTCATCACACGGAGCAGCAAGGGCACTCTCGGTAAGGGACATGCCGACTTAGGGCAAGGTCCTAGCAATGACTCTGTGAAAGTGGCTGAGCGGTGCAGTATCTGATTATTTGTCCCAGTGAAACTCGGAAGGCTGGATCCCGAGGCTGCAACCCCGGAGAATAGAACAAGGGTAGAGCCGGAGACAAGCTTTTTGGGAGTCGAATTCAGGCCCAGATCGAGGTCCTAGGGCTGCAAGATCCACGTGAAGCGAGTAGGATGGCCGGTAAACGAGATAGAAGGGAGATGAATGGCGATGGAAAGGGGAGACGCTGACTCCTCCAGGTGCCAAGAAGAGATATCGTGCTATTCCACAAATGGAAAGGCCCGCTCCGCCAGTCGGAAACGTCCTGTGCCTCAGAATCGCACTCCTTCTCCTGCCCCAAACACGATTCAAAACCACCCAGCGCTTCGGATGGCCCTCTTCCCTCCTACTCTGCGACACTCGACTCCTCCTGTCGCGCGCCTCCGCTGTGACTCTATTCCTAGCTATCGACATTTTGGCGCCCACCCTCCTTGCTTCTTTGCGCTCTCTCCGCAAGGATTTTTCTCGCCTGTCCCCGTCTCAGATATCCCCCGTCCATCTGAGACGGAGATGTGACGACTCGTCCACAATGCCTTGGAAACCTCCTCCAGGGGCAAAAACGACCAGGTGACGAGACTCTGGGAGTCCCATAACCCTGGCCTATCGAGATCCATAATCTCAATTCCAAGATCCGGACTCTCTCCTGTTCCGTCCGTTGCACAGCCTCCTCGTTTTGTCGCTGGCCTACATATGTCTCCTGTGTTGCTGTTTCGAAATGTGTTTCTTTCCTCTCTCCATTCCATCTTTATTTCATACCAAAAGTGGTCTTCGTGTACTTCCTCAGTACCGGTCCTGTTCATTCCTTTCTGCTGCTTGACGCACTGCAGTTTTCTGTTCTTGCGCCGGTCGCTCGTTGTCTCGCACCCATCCCAACTGTCCATCTCCAGTCTCAAGTATTATTCCAGAGTCACTTTTCCCCTTGCAAAGTCTCAGCAGACATGTCTCTCAAGACTCTCCTCATCTCCTCATTTTTCGCGGCATCTGCCCTCGCGCAGAGCTATGGCGGCGGTAGTTACGGTGGCGGCAGCTATGGTGGTGGCGGTGATTCAGGCAGCGGCGGCGGTTGGAGCAGTTGGGGCAGTGGCGGCGACAAGCAAGGACCTCCAGCATTCGCCGCAGCATCCTGCCCATCAGGTTGTCAGCCCATTCAGACCGGCGCTGCACCACCAATGGCGACTCAACCAGGCCAGTTGATCGTCCAGGTTGTCTCTGTCTCAGACGCAAACGGATCTTTGAAATATTTCCCCAACAAGGTCACGGCACCAGTCGGGTCTGTGGTCCAATTCCAGTTCCACCCAAAGGTTTGTCTTCTGCCCCAACTGGGCCTCTCAAGTCTAATCGTTTGCGCAGAACCACACAGTGACAGAGTCATCGTTTGCTGAACCTTGCAAACCGATCGCCTCCAATCTCACCTCCACGACTCGTCCTGGACTGAAATCTGGATTTGTCCCCGTCACCGGCTCGGAGCCATTCACACCAGTCTACAACGTCCTGGTCAACGACACCAAGCCCATCTGGATCTACTGCGGCCAGACCAACCACTGCGCGAAGGGTATGGCCATGGTCATCAACCAGAACGACTCCTCGCCCAACACTATTGACGCCTACATTGCCAACGCGGCCAAGCTACCACTCGTTAACGTCACTGCACCTCCCCCGCCTCCAGCTGGCTCCCCACCACCACCCCCGGCTGCTCCCCCTGCTTCTCCCCCTCCGGCTGAATCCTCGTTCGCTTTTGGTGCACCACCTCCGGAAAGCTCGCCTGTCGCACCACCAGCGCAGACCATTGCGCCGCCACCCTCATCGAGCGCAGTCGTGGCTCCCGCTGTGTTCACCGGTGCAGCTGTTCCGGGATTCGTGCCTCAGTCATCGACAGGTGTGGTCGGTCTCGCTCTCGGCGCCCTGTTGGCGTTGTGGTAATTTACCTTTTCTTTCTTTCTGGATTGACACGGGGCCCAATATCCCCCGCTCATCCACATGAGCAAAACAAAAGCTCTCACAAGAGTCCGGCGCCGAAAAAAAAAAGAAAGAAGGGAGAGAGAACCGACTTTTTGAAGCCCGCCGCACATCCCGGCGTTGTTTGTGAGAGGAGGTTCCAACGAAGGCCATTATTGTCCTCAGAATTCCCCCGGCAAGGTCCCGAGGTCGAGTCGAGTTCAATTATATAAAAACTGGCAGCCACAATTCTTTTGGGAAAGGAAGGGGGAAGAGGAGGTTATATTTTTTCAGAGACTCAACTAAGGAGAACGGACGAACTTGGAAAGTTGGGAGGCCCCAGTTGCCCCAGCACCTAAAGGACGACTATTTTTGTGCAAAGACTTTTTTTTCCACTATTGATCCAGGATTTTACCACCATTTGATACCAAAGCTAGCCTCTGCATATAGATGTACAATGTGTAAGCAGCATGCGACGTGTGTAACAAACAACTATTTACCTATTTACCTTAGATACCTTAGATCTCTGGACATTTTCTGTGCCTCCGGGGTACAGATCAGAAGCTAACAGGAGTATACTCCGTACTTGGGAAAAAGATCTCCACATGTTTAACAACTGCTCAGACAGCAGACAAAGACAATGTGGCTGACCGAGGCCGCGTCAAGTAAGGGAGGGTGTCGTCTACGGTGGTAAGACTTGGAGGGTATGGCCATACGGGTATGGACATACGAGGTACTATGTGTATGTATACCTTTGGAGTCCTTTTTCAGAACAAACACCAGAAAAGAGAAGAGTTCGTTCCGTTTCAGTTCTGGTTGTTGTCATTATATAGGTGTCGTCACTAGGCTTTTATTTGATTCCCATTCCCTTGCCATAGAGGAAGGTATGTATGCGTGTGTGTACATACGTACATACTTGATACGATGTGTATGTGTAGTGTTCAGAAATCCAAACACAGCTGCACCGCGACCCTCTCCAGGTCCTCGACTTCCAACCAGCCCGTGTCTCCCACCACGCCGCCGTCGCCACTCCCCCGCGCGGCGGCGCGCTCCCGCTTGTCGTCCACGCACCGCCTGATGGCCTCCTTGACGAAGATGTCGGCGTATTTCCCCATGAGATGCCTCGCGTCCGAGGACAGGGAGGTGTGGTCGGGCTTTAGGAAGTGGGCGTGCATGATCCGGTGGATGAGCGGGAGGGGTATTGACGGACTCGTCGAGGATGTTGAGTTTCCACCCGTTCCGTTTGTGGTGACTTCAGCGAGGATGAAGTCGGGTTCTGGGGACGATAGATTGAGATCGCGGTCGTGGGACAGGGAGGCTTCTTCCTCTTCTTCTTCCCCGTCCTCTTCGCCTTGTGCGTTGGTGTCGTCGTCATTGTCATCATCATCTTCATGGCCAAGGCTCTCATCCTCCTCGACCCCGGTGTCCATATTCTCGTCCGACCCATCACCATCTCCGTCGTCTTCTTCTTCCGGATCAGAGTCCGAGTCCGCATCCGCCTCTCCCAGTATTGCTCTCATCGTCCCCGCCGCGCCTCTCCGTTTCGTTTTCTGCGGCTTCACCTTCTGTCCGGCTATCTGGCTCCGTTGCTGCTGTTGTTTGCGTACTTTCGAGTTCCCTGTTGCCCCCAGACTGCGTCTGGCTGCTGCGCTCTTTGTGGTCGCCGCACCCTTCTCTTTCGTCGACTTTGTAACCTTTGACTTCCCCGGTCGAGGTGGGGAGAATGCCCTTTTCGGTTTTCTGATCATTGTAGAGGGCGCCATGTTAGCCCGGTCCCTGCGGCTTCAGAGGGTGGAAAGAGGAGGATTGTGGTTTTTCAAAGGGCAAGTGACTTGTAATCGTTTGGCGTGGGAACTGGGTGCAGGTTCGTTCTCTCTCTCTCGCTGTGCGTATGCGTTGGCCGAGTCTGGGAGTCTGAAAGGGCTGTTTCTGTCTGTTGCGTGAGCGTGGCTGTCCGTGGACAACATGATGCCTGTTACAAATATTCGACGCGCTCAGGAAATGACATCATAGGCTAGCGCGTCTTGCACGCGTCAAGGCTCTACCACTTCCACCAGCAGTGCACAAGAGACAATTCAATGGAAAAGATACTTGTTACTACGGATCGAATCTGCAAAGTGATTGTATGATAATTTTATTAAGACCGTGTATCTCTACTACAGGTCTAAGTGTATCATGGCTCATGTTACATAAAGTGCCCATGAAGGATTCCCAACCAAACGCCGTTCGCTTTTTATGCAAAGTCATCACTCATTTCTCCTTCAACGCCTAGCCTTGCTGTGCGCGAGCCTTGACCATTTTACTCGTAAAGGTCCATGTTTCCATTGGCTCCATCCTCCAGCTCCAACATGGCATCCTCGTCATCAAGCATATCTTCATCCTCTTCCATCTCACTGTCGGTGTGGTTGGGCAATACCACGACGCGTCCATCCTCCAAGACGACATTGGCCGTCTCTCCATCTTTGATGGCGCCTCTCAAGATCAACACAGCCAGGCGATTGAGAATCTCCTTCTCGATCAACCTCTGCAGAGGACGGGCGCCATACGCAGGTGAGTATCCAGCAGCGCCGAGGTAGTCTTTGACCTCTTCGCTTGCGTTGATGGTGATCTTCTTGTCGTTGCTTTCGAGTCTCTTTTGGATCTCGCTTAGTCTCAGATCGACAATCTTGCGGATTTCCCTCCTTGTGAGACGGTTGAAGATGACTATTGAGCTGATTCTGTTCAAGAATTCTGGCAGGAAGTAGTTCCGCAGAGCGTTCATCACCAATTCCTTGGTGGTTGGGTCGATCTTCCCATCTGGCGCAGTGTTGCGAGACAGATATTCAGCACCAAGATTGCTCGTCATGACCACGATGCAGTTCTTAGCGTCAACAACACGGCCTTGGCCATCGGTGATTCTGCCGTCGTCCATGAGCTGGAGCAGCACAGTGAGCACCTCTTTGGCAGCTTTCTCCACCTCGTCGAACAACAAGATCGAGAAAGGCCGACGTCGCAACGCCTCGGTAAGCTGTCCACCAGCGTCGTGTCCAACATAACCCGGAGGTGCACCAATCATTCTCGACAGTGAATGTCGTTCCTGATATTCTGACATGTCGAATCTGATCATGGCCTTCGGGTCGTCGAACAAGAACTCGGCAAGCGCTTTGGTCAACAGCGTCTTACCAGTACCAGAAGGACCGCAGAACAAAAAGCTTGGTGGCTGGTTGGGGTTGCCCAGCCCAGAACGTTGGAGTCGGATTGCATTTGAGACGGACTGGACAGCCTCTCTTTGGCCAACCACAATGCGCTGCAGATGCTGTTCCATGTGGAGAATCTTCTCCTTCTCGGAAGCACGCAGCCTCGTGATGGGGATACCGGTCATCTTGGCGACGATGGCGTTGATTTGTTCGGGTCCAACTGCGTCCGTAGGTGAAACCTCACCCATCGCACCCAGTCTGGTATGCTGCTCCGCATCTGCCTGAGCTCTGGCGTTCTCGAGGGCGCGGATCTTGGCAGCCACATCGGGGATGGCGTAGTATGTCAAGTCGGAAGCAGTCTGGAGGTCGTTGGAACGTTCTGCTTCGTCTCTCTTGTTCTTGAGCTGTTCCAATTTGATCTTGGCCTCCTGGATTTCTCGGGAGCGAGCCTTCTCACGTTCGTAGTGCTCCTTCAACGGTTCCAGCTCTTCCTTGACGTTTGCGGCTTCACGCTTGGCCTCTTCCAAACGCTGAACCGACGATGGGTCTGTCTCACGCTGCAGGGCGTGAATCTCGATCTCGAGTTGCCGGAGTCGTCGTTCAAGGTTATCGAGAACTTCGGGTTGAGATTCTCTAATGACACGGACGTCTGCTGCTGCTTCGTCGATAAGATCAACGGCCGAATCGGGTAGACGCCTCGATGTGATGTACCGAGCGGCAAGAGTAGCGGCCGCGACAATGGCGCCATCTAGAATGGTCACACCGTGGTGGACCTCGTATCGCTCTTTCAAGCCACGGAGGATGGAGATTGTCTCTTGCACGGTAGGTTCCTTAACCAAAACCTGTTGGAATCTTCGTTCGAAGGCAGCATCTTTTTCAATGTATTTGCGGTACTCTGCGAGAGTGGTGGCACCGATACAGTGAAGCTGACCACGGGCCAGCATGGGTTTGAGCAGATTCGCGGCGTCCATTCCACCCTCGCCACTGGCACCAGCGCCCATGAGAAGATGGATTTCATCCACAAAGAGAACGATCATCTCGTTAGAAGCCTCGATCTCTTTGAGGACACCCTTCATTCTCTCCTCGAATTCACCACGGTACTTGCTGCCAGCAACAAGAGATCCCACGTCCAGCGAGAGAAGCTTGCAGGCGGCAAGATTGGCAGGCACATCGGCATTGATAATCCGCTGTGCCAGGCCTTCGATGACGGTGGTCTTGCCGACACCGGGCTCACCAATGAGGACGGGGTTGTTCTTCGTTCTTCTGGACAGAATTCGAATCACTCTGCGGATCTCTTCCTCTCGTCCAATCACGGGATCGAGTTTGCCTTCTCTTGCTAGTTGTGTCATGTCAATGGTGAATTTCTTGAGGTTTTCATTCTCCTCCTCTGAATCGGCTTGTTTTGAGTCGACCCGCTTCGTGCCACGTATTTGTTGAATGGCCGAGTCGATGAGTTTGGTATTGGGAACGTTTGCCTCCCGCAGGGCTTCTTGAATCTTCGGATCTTGCGCTAGGGCTGTGATCAAGTGGTCAATGGCCACATAGGTATCTTTTTGCGTCTTTTGCAGTTCCTGGGCGGATCTGATCACTTTCGAGAGGGACGGCGACATGGTGACATGTTCGGGCGGAGGATCTTGACTCGGAAGCCGCACCAGGGCTTTCTTGAGTGCTCTGTCGAGTAATTGGATATCGCCATGTGCTCTTTCGACCACTTGTCTGAAGAGTGGAGCCGAAGCGTGCGACTGTGAGGCATTGACTGTCGTCTGTTGGTCCTTTGATTCGTCCGGAGGAGGGTCAAACAGAGAAACTGCCAGGTGGAGTGGTAGAATCTGTGAATGTGCATATTGTTCAGCGAGGTTTGCGGCATCGCCTAGTGCCTTTGCGGCACGATCAGTGAACTGAGGCACACCCGCCATGGTTCAATGATGTGTATGTGTAGTTAGGATTATGTGTTATTTCGTCTAGGAAGTTTGAGAGAAGTCTAAACAGTCACAAAATGGAGTGAGAAGCATGTTAATAAAGTGATTCTTGTACCCGGGAACTGTGCCCAAAGTGGAGCGAGACGTGTTGGTGGCTATGACATAGGTTGGCTGGCTGGCATCTTCCAGAATACCCTGGCACCGCTTGGCGCCTGCGGGGAGGTTCACCGAGATTCCTGCGCACCAACCCTGGCGCCCGCCCTCAGGAACAAAGTTCTCTCGTACCTCCCGGTGACTTCCAGCAACCTCTCGCCATAGTCACCTCACGTTCCCTCCCGATCCGACAATTCATCAGACCACCACTGTCGAATTGACTCCAGGTGTCTCACCAACACGAACAATGCACACACGACACGAATGCGCTCAGAGACTGCGACTGCAAGAGGAGGTATACTGTGAAAAGGTCGAGACAACGGCAGACTATGTGAAGACCTACGGAGAAAGAGGTCAGTCCTCAGCATAAAGGTAAACATGAATTTCAAAAGAGATATGGACAGAACGGGTAACAAGAACCACTGGTACCGTATGGGCTCCTCCTTGATACCTCCTGTCGTTCAGGTGATTGTTCTGGTATACATACCTATCCACTCTACATACTTTTACCCTCAACCGAACCCGCGAGGCCGGCTAGCTGCGTATTGACTGACCACTGCCTCTTTCGACAAGACATCTTCACCATATCCCAATCGGTAAATATTGAGCCGGTTGCTGGTTTGTCACTTACTCCTCGGTAGTGCATCCGGGGATACCACTGACGTCGTTGTCTGCAGCCTGACGAAGAATTACTCGGCTAGTAGCTAGTCTCTTCAAGTGCTCAAGCAATGAAATTATTTAGTCTGTGGATTGGCTAATCTTAAACACATGAGAAAGAATCAGAGGCATTCTGGGGCTCATTAGAACAGCATCAACCGCGCTGATCTGATATCCGACAATGTCCTGCATCATGGCTTCAAGGCAAACTGCTTCAGGTACAAGTAATCGGCCATATTGTCGTCGACAGTCTTCCGGATCACTCTGGCGGCCTTCTCTCCATACTTCTCCTTCCATTCGGCATCCCACTGTTCTTCGGTTTTTGGTGCTTTCTTCTGTCCATAGTCAGTTCTGCCACATTGGTAAAATGGATAACATGTCACTCACGTGTGTTCTCGGCTTGAGGTCTGTCGAGTCGATCGCATCCTCATGGAACCCCTTCCATTTCTCGAATGCAGCCTTTGCACGCTTCTGATCCTCTTCATTGTCCCAATTCAGCATGTCAGGGTGGAAATCAAGCCCCACGCTCTGACAGTAAGCTCGGAGAATACCCTCCGGATCATCCAACAAATCGTCGGCGTCAACCACACACACTTCAGGTACTTTGGCAGTGCCATTCACAACATGACCATTCTCTACCCCGTTCTTAACTCCGTCTTTTCTGTCTCGGATCAACCCAGCCTCTCGGGCATAATCAAAAAAGCGTCGAAGCTCATCATACCCTGCCTCATTGGGGTAGAACTCGTGGAATCCCGTAATGTCATCCAATGGTGGGATGGTGCAGCGATAATAAGACGGGATGCTGGAATGGGGGTCCCGGATGAGGAATGTGAAATGGAACTTGTCGAGCAAGGCTTTTGGGACAACTGTAGGATTACCTGGCTCGCCTTCCGTCGGAAACGGAAACGGTGCTTTCTTGTGAATGCCATTGGTGCCATTGACGCCGTTACCGTTGACATGATAGGTTCCGTTCACGCCATTGGTGCCATTGACACCGTTGACGCTGTTGACACCGTTGACCCTATTGGCACCGTTGACATGATATGCCCCGTTCACGCCATTGGTACCGTTGACCCCATTCACCCCATGGCTCGGCTTCTCGGTTCCGATGCCGCGCTTGACTGGCTGCAACGAAGGAGCCAATTTTGGTGGCTGCTGGTCGGGAGGAACTAGATAATGAAGGATGTCCTTGATGAAGACGCGTTTGCCCTGTTTCAGAGGTAAGCTCTGGCTTTGAATTGGCTGCTGAAAGCCACACGAGAGGATAGGCTTGAGGGCAATATCACACCTTGGCTCCTTCGTGTTCTAGTCGATCAAATATTGTTTTGTAGGTCGAGTCCTTATACCCCGATGCGTTTCTCGCATCTTCGTCGTTTTCATAGCGAACGCTCATCCTCTCCGGACTGGAGACGGAATTAGATATAATGGCTCGTCGTCCTGCCCTGTACCGACTTACCCATAATAAAAAGCGTCGCCAAATGGTTCATGGACACAGGTCAAGTCTTTCCTGGTCATGAACACCTTGTCAGATGGTCAGCATTGACATCAAGCACCCAGAACAGGCAGTTTGGAGCGAACACGTTCAAAGGCTGTGCTGCATGCACGTGGGTGCGTGGCACAGAATATTGGTTTGGCCATGATGGCAACACCCTCTCGATGACAATGCTACAAGTCAATCGAGAGGACCAAAGTCGATAGAGTCGGCCGACTCCCGGTAGTGAATGTCAAGGTTCTGGGAACCTAGCAAAAATAGCCCCTTTCGGTCAGCTAGGATAGGATTTCAGCTACACAAAGCAGCTTGGAAATCGAGACAGAAGATTCTTCTGATGGCTCCCTACAAAGTCAGGGCAGATCATCAAGTCTGTATTTATAGCAAGACCAGATAACGGTAATCGGTCGCGGCTCTCGGACGGAGATGGCCAAAAGTCACTCAGGACAAGAAGTCTCTTCCTTGCTCACATTGACCTGGCATCCTTTTCCGAGGCGAATCAACGGGCCTTACAAGGTGGTGAAAAATTCGTCATTGCTCCATGTGCCAGTGATGTTGAGGATCTCGAACGACGCCAAGGGGCATGCGATTCGCTTGCCGCCGTCGGAAGGCCCCGCAGTACCAGAGAAAACCCCCAAATGATAATCCACTTTTCCAGGAACATGTGGGAGATGGAGATGATGATTGGCATCTCGATGGGTCAACGGGCCACCCGTGAGACCGAGGAGGCGAACGCCACGCCTGGGATCGATGGCTCAGCTACGGGAAACGTTGAGGAAAGGAAAGACCATAGCCGTCTGGATGGCAAATTGAGAGATGGATCTTTGCGAGACTGGGTGTTTGAAGAGATGGACCGAATCTGGGGCGATCTCGAGCCACCTATGTCAGTGATGGTGGTGATACATCTTGACATGAATAATGTGATCCGCTGGGCATCTCCAAAGAGGCAGAATCGACGGGTGATCACAGAATTTTCTGGCTTTGGCGGGGGACTAAGAACTGCGAAATACGAACGAACTGTGTGTGACGTGGGGAACAAGAAAGAGGAAGAAATTGTAGTTGAAGTTCGAGAGACCTCCAATTAGGGTTGGAAAGGCGTCGAGAGCTAGCGGCACCTGGTGCGGCCACTTGAACTGAAGCAGCTGAGGTGTGTATAAAGTGCATAACCAGTCGTGCCAGAGACTCTGGGGGGCCTGTTATTAGGTCATTAGGGCCACCGCCTGCCCAGTGGGTGCCCAGGTGGTTAAAGCCAGCTAGGCACCCAGTGACACCCTAGCACCCACTCACCTGGGGACGGAATAGGCACTTCCCGAGAGCGGAATAGTCCCCGGCAGTCCTGAAGTGCCCAGTGGTGCCTTAACACGTGCACATGCGTACCCAACGTGCCAGCGCAGGCAGTCGAAGATCGCAGTGGCATCGCGCGACTGAAGATCCTATTGACGCAGCCTGTCAACACCATTGTTCTGGACTGCTAAGTCAAAGCCTTATCACGCATCTATCTTCAATCTCTTTGCTGCGGTTGGGGAGTTTGGCACTTGGAAAGTGTCAAGTTTGATTGATCTTCGTCGCGCATCCCTTTTTTTTGACTTGTGAGAGCTTCCCTCCTCAACCTTTTCCTGCGCCTGAAGCCTGCTGTTGTCCCTCACGTTCGTCAACCGCCAGCATGGATTTCATAAGGAACCTGATCGCATCTCCTCTGCCTGCCTCTACTCCAGAACCACCAATCGTCGTGGCCAAACCGATCCATCCCTACTATCCCACGGAGATCGAAATTGTCAACTTCGCCGCAAACGAAATGACAGTCCCGGAGTTACTAGCCAGCTTTGCGGTTGGCTGTACCGTCATCCTCTCGCTCACCTGGTTTCTCACATCAAGTCTTGCACCACGTCTCAAGACTGGAGATAAAATTACGGCGCTTTGGTTTTGCCTGTGTATGAGAAGAGCCACATACTCGTGATTGGGCGAGGCGGACACTGACATTGAAAAGGCGGCTTCATTCACTTGTTTTTCGAAGGCTACTTTGCCTACAACCATACCCGCATGGGCGGTCTCCAAGATCTCTTCGGTCAACTGTGGAAAGAATACTCGTTATCAGATTCGCGATATTTGACCTCAGATCCGTTTGTCTTGTGTATGGAGACGATCACGGCGGTATGGACTTGTCTGCCCACCTCCAAGGAGCGCAAGTCGCACTGACATGGCTTAGGTATTCTGGGGTCCCCTTTCATTCTTGATGGTGTATTTCATCATCGTCTCCCATCCTCTGCGTTACCCACTGCAGGCAATCGTTTCACTTGGACAGATCTATGGCGACATACTCTACTACGCGACCTCGATGTTTGATCACTACTACAAGAACTTGACATATTGCCGACCTGAGCCATACTATTTCTGGTTTTATTATTTCCTCATGAATATCTTCTGGATTGTCATTCCAGCAAGTAAGTCATTCCTGGCCCCGATCGAGCAATCCAGAGCTTACTTGTACATCCACAGTCCTGCTCGCAAGTAGCCTGCGAATCACAGCCAGAGCTTTCAAGGCGCTTGACCGGATGTCGCACTCGCTGCAAGAGAATGGCAAAGTGACCAGACCGAAAGCCAACGGCCACATCAAGCATGCATGATGGGGGCCATCAAATAGAGTGGTGGCGTCCACTAGAAGTAGTTCGTGGGTCAGGAAGGGTTCATCTGATTTCTGCCAGAACTGCATCCTGCTTCAGGAACTAGTTCAAATCGCAAATGCTGGTCCAGACTACAATAGGCCCTGATTGTAAGCGAGGTATATCTCAGAGTTGAAGCACAGCAGCTGAAGTAATGGGCGATCTACACACCAGATAAAGATTAATCCTTCTGTTTTGAGTATGGGATCTACTAATTGTTTCTATTTGTATTCTTCCGGGTCGTGTTCGGTTATCGATCTTGGTGGTTGCTGTGGGAACCGTTGCGACTTATCCGGCCCGGCAAGCTGGGATCTTTGACGCAACCTGCATGCATGCATATTGACCTGCGCTACCACCGCCTTTCGAACTACACCTTGCATGAAACCCAGTGATGGTTCGGGTATCATTACCGCTGGTATCTGCAGTTATTTTTGCCCACGAGAAGGCGTCCGTACCACAACTCCCTTGACCGTGCACCACTACCAAGAACTTCCTCGTACACCAAACCGAACATCAATATGCTCACGGAATTGTCTTCACCGCTCACGAGAACTTTGTATGGATCGAGCAATAGTCACCACACATTGATGATATAGAAGGCGACCATAACATAGCGCTAGGACGCATATCTGTCAATGCGAGCCCAATCAACTCCAACCGCCGACCGCCGAACTTCCAAGCACAATCGCTCCAACACACGTCCTTCCTCAAACCCGCAAAATGTAGACTCACCTCGTCCGAGTGGACTGTACGAATCGCCTTCTGTCCAGGATCGTATCCGACAATGGCAGGCTCAAGGCGCAGCAAATGCCTTGGCTCCAGACGCAGTGAGCGTCCGATCGATTCCCATTTCTGAATGCCCCTCCACCGTATCGAGACCCGAGTCGGAATGCGGAAATGAGACGAGAAGTCGGATCGGCGGAAGAGCCAGGGCCAAAGCTGAGGAGCAGCAGGAGAGGGAAAGGAGCTCTAGTGCCCCGCGAAAGCGCATTATCAGCGATGGTCACTGGAAGACACAAAAGCAAACTAAAGAGAAACAGGATGGAAAAGTTGGAACCAGCCGACGGCCGGAATCACGATTGTATGACCTCTCCTATACCTCGAATCAAGAAAAGACCAAAGGGCGGCGACGCTCAAAAACAAAACAATACTCGAATGCCGAACAAGGAGCGGAACAAGCAATGCCGCATGACGACGGCATTAGAGTGGCAGCAATTCCAGACAACGACCAAGCACAAGAGGCAATATCGCCGCCAGCTTACGACTTAGGGAGCCAAGCAGACGAAGATCTTGCTCGACACTTGACTACCGAATCTGTCTTGTCCGAAGATTTTGGGAGACATGCCCACGAACCAACAGGGCAGGACGAGGACGTCCCTGGCAATTGGAGACCAAGCAAATATGCCGAGCTATTGGGAAAGCCTCCGGAGGCCTCTTTGGGTGGACAAGCGCCCAAATCCAAGAAGGGTGGATTATTAGGCAAGACCAGAGGCATGTTCGTCAAGTCCGAGACGCTCTCTTCCCCCGGCAACAGGCTACCCAGCATTGAAGCATGGCTTGACGAGCAACCCGATCCCTTTGTCGAAAAGGACGACTTAGAAGAGCAGCCACCAGTCGAAGTGCCCCAGCCGTTGAAGAAACGTACGCACCGGAAGAGATCCTCTACCGAGAAATCTATCACCCCCGATCCCAATCAGATATGGAATTCCATTTCACCTCAGCAGGCTGAATCAAGCCCCAATCATACTCCAAGGCCTGGTTATTCTGTACCCTCGCCCAACGCAAACCAAAAGTCCTCTGCAAACTTTAGCAATGGTGCAAATGAGGCACAAGATGGAAATGATGGCTCGCCCTCAAGCCTACGAAGGCGAGGTGCGAAAGTTCGCCGCCAGCGAGGCTCGAGCAGGAAAGAGATGCCCTCGGCTGAAGCCTCCCCAGAACCCACAGTGTCACGGGCAGACACTTCTCTGGCTGAGAACGCGGATATCAGAGCTCCTAGCCTACCTCAACGACCGTGTCCCCCTACGGGCCCGCACCTACTTTCAACGATTCAGTCTGTGGAGACTCTCAAAGAAATCGATCCAAAGCCTCAGGCTGATGAAGGGACCCCCGGACAAGTTTGCGACCTCAAACGCAGGCTAACCACCCACGAAGATTTGATGTCAGTTCTGTCTTTGCCGAGAGGCAGCCGACCCCGTCGATCGAGACGCAGAGCGAGACCTACCCAGGTGAAACCTCAGTCAAGCTCAGCGCAAGAAATACTCGCCGGGGTGGTGGCTGACGAAGAAAATTATTCACGGGAATTGCGAACCTTGGTCGACGGTGTCATTCCAGTGTTGCTCCAGTGTCTTCTGTCTAAAACAGACGCGGCGGCTGCGGCTGGACTGTTCACTTCGGCATCGCCCCAAGATGGCCAGAGCATCACCAGACCCATCATTGATATGGGGATCGCCCTGGAAAGATTGAAGGCCCTGCATAATCGAATGCCTTCCCAGGATCTGGACAGTCTCCTCAACTGGGCTCAAACAACGGAGAAAGCATACAAAGACTACCTACAAGCGTGGAGACTCGGCTTCCAAGACGTGGTTGTCAACCTTGCACCACTGGAAAATTCATCAGCCCTAGAGCAAGGCATGGCCAGAGACGAGGCTGGCGATATAGTAGACGCTGCAGGCAAGAAGGTCGACGTCGCCTATCTCCTGAAGAGACCGCTTGTGAGAGTCAAGGCTCTAAGCAAGACTTTTGCCCGAATCAAGGATGAATACGACGTGCCTCTTGCCGTACAGATGGCAAACACTTACGCTGAGCTGACAGCATTTGCTAAGAGACGGAACCAAGAAGAACAAGCTAGACTGGAAGATGAGGCTGCTGCCAACATTGATGCAACAAGAGCGCGCGATATTAGGACAATGGCAGCATCAGCTCACATCACGGTCGACAAAACTCGCCGTGTCAGGGCAAGAGACGTTTTCAACCTCACAATCTATCACTCTAGTGGACAAAGGATGGATTGTAGCGTCGAACTGGTCTTTCGAGACAACGCCCGTGGTGATCCAACTGGTGGAGATGTCCTGGTCTGTGAAATCGACGACACAGGGAAGTGGCTTCTCTTTGCTCCCTTGGAGCTGAGCTCGGTATCAGCAAGACGTGGCGAGGACGGATTCGATCTCGTCATCATGATTCGGGGTCGGGCAGGTCTTGGACAGGAATGGCACGAATTGTTGGCCTTGAAGACGGACGATAAAGAGGCCGTGGCAGAATGGATGGATATGCTTGGTTCAAAGCCGCTGCCCCCAAGGTTGAACCGTACACCAAGTTTTGTGAGACGTCCTTCACCTCTGGCCACTACAACTACCGCTGAGGCCGAGTCTTCCTCATCCAAAACCGCGAGTCAGCCAGTCGATGAAAGCCCTGCAACTGCGACCGAATATCTGGACATACCTATTGGCGAGCCTTCTGTCCTGGGGGCAAGGAATGACTCGAGTCGGCCCAAGCCTCCGAATGATCGACCATCACCACGGTTGAACCTGGGGGGTGGACTCGCGTCGAAACCTCTTCCCCCTCCCCAGTTCCAGCAATCCTCGACGGTTCCGCGACGACGCCCAGTGTCGGTCCCATCAGTCGTGTCTTCCGATCGATCGACCATTTCAGACCGTTCCATACGGGATTATGCCACCATATTCACCTCGTCGTCATTGTCGTCGTCGTCGTCGTCGTCTAAGACTACGGTGACTAACCCTAGTGACGTGTCTCATGGCAAAAATCCTGAAGCATTGCGATCCCGTCTGCCCCCAGCTCATAAGGCCTCCGACGAAGCGAAAACCCAGGTTGAGAGCCACAAAGATGCTGTCTTAACAAAGCCCAGCCAACCAGTCAATGTCAGGAATGATTACAATAGTCCTCCGATATTAGACCAGACACAGAAATCAAGAGCAAGCGCAACAGAGCCTCCCATACTGGAGTCACAGACGGCTAACACTGATTTCAACTCATCCAAGCCCTCCCCCAAACCATCACCGCAGAGACCAGAATATCATCGAGGTGTTTCCTCTACCCCATCAAAAGACCTACCAACCGTCAACAAGCTTCGGACCCTTCAAGCCCACGAGAGTCCGGCGTTGTCCCTGCCAGAGAGACAATCCTCAGGGACACAGCAAACAACTCCTGTGCTTGAGCAGTTGCAGCAACGGTCAAAACGGGATCAAAAGAGTTCAACCAAGAGCCAACTATACACCGAAGATATACCAAGTCCGCCAGAGCACAAAACGCGTCAAGATCGCCCCTCTGTCCCCGGCTTAGGATCTTCGTCCCCGCCAGCCACACCGCCTCACAATTCCAGGATTCTGCAGCCGATATCTAGCAATAGACCCAGCCCTGTATTGAAAGCCACCCCGAGTCCAGCAGGCAAGGCGGTAAGACGGCGGACATCCTCGCCCTTGAAGCATGAATATGAACCTTCCACGGACTCCGACAGCTCAGGCTACAATTCGGATAGCGACAGTAGTTCGTCTTCTGACACTTCAGACGACTTCGTGTCGGAGCATGGGGACAGACCAACACCACTTGTGGCCATCAAGCCAGCGGAGGGTCGAATATCAAAACAATATATACCCCCGCCTTCAATCAAATCTACCGGAACCCGAACACTGGCTCCTTCAGACTCTGCTTCCCAGGGACCTTACCGCAAGGTTCCCGCATCGACCACAATCCCAGCGAACAAGAAGGCGAGAACAATTGCTCTGATATGCTCGTGGTCGGACAAGGGTATGTGGGAGCAGATTTATCCCGACGAGTGCTCTATTGTAATCTCACCCGGTTTGATCGAAGCCTTTGAGATGTCAGCGGCCCATTCTGATCCTCAGAACTCCTCGACCAGTCCCTCATTTGACGACCATGGGCCAGGAAAGCACTCCATCTCTCAGCAGCCCTTGGTAGCTTTCGAATTAACGCCCATTGTTCCGCTGCGCAGGGGCACTGCACTGGACATCTCCATACGGTCTCCCCCTACAGCAAACTCCAAGATCAGAACAACCAATAATGTTATGTTCCGTTCGCGGAACCCCGAAGAATGTGAAGCATTGTATGGAATGATCAACTGGGCTCGGTGCAATAACCCAACGTATATCCAGCTGCAAAATGCACGGCCTCGTCGCCAACCTTCAGTGACTTTCAATGTCGGACAAGCTCAACATAGTCGGTCGAGGGCGAGTTCATGGTTTAGTTTCGGGAGTCAGAAGAAATCGAGTTACCGGGCTTCATCCGCTCCAACACCCGCCTCGATCGACATGTCAGTGGAGAGCTCGGGGACGATGACAAGCGCCTTCTCAGCGCTGAAGAGACTCGGCGTTAGTTCCGCCTTCAATCTCAATCGATCTTCGGTTATTCGCAGATATGGTGGAGGTGGCACAGGTGAGTCTCTGTATTCCTCAAGCAGTGGGACTGGAACAGGTTCGGGTTCAGGTACACCCCCGCCCAGTCAGCTTGGTTTCATACCAGGGAAAGATGGACCGAATGTCCCATCGACCAGTGCAGCTGCAGCAGAAGGGGGAGGCATGGTCAACAATATGAAAATCCGACTCTATGTCAGAAAGGGACAGCATTGGGAAAACCTGGGAGCCGCTCGTCTCACAGTTCTTCCAGCACCATCATCCGCCGCGGCAGAAAGCGGCCAATCGACTCCAAATCGAACCGTAACTCCAGGGGCATCTCCCCAAGCAATAGCCGGTCCTCCTCGATCTCCGTCAAACATTGCAGGCGCAGGCCAAGCAGGACAAAGCCGTGGGCCTCGCCTCCCGAGCTCGAGCCATACTCCCCATCGCGTGCACGGCAATGGTCGCGAGAAGCGTATTCTCATCACTCAGAACAAGAACCGCGACGTTGTGCTGTTGGACAGTGTGTTGGGTGAAAGCTGCTTCGAACGCGTCATGCAGACAGGCATTGCGATGAAGACCTGGAGCGAGGACGAGGTCATTGCTGAGACGGGCGGCGTGACCATGGGTAAGGAACGGGTGTACATGATGCAATTCCCAGGTACGAGGGAGGCAGGCTGGGTCTTTGGTCTGTGTGGCACGTATCGGTACGGCGCGGGAGGGATGGAATAAAGCCAGCCAGCCAGCCCACCAGAGCGCTCCTGAAAAAGACTGGGGGCGAAGAATGAATGGGATCAATAGATTTACGAGCAACCTGTGGATTGGCGATTTGACTTATTAGAGCGTGGGAGTTTCAGGAAGACCTTTTATTTCTTTCTCTTTTGTTGTGATATCTGTTGCTTTTGGCGCCAGCCAGTCAACCAGTTCGGTCAGTATTGCTTGTCTTTCCAAAGACAAGAGATAGACGGCATGGCATGGCGAGACGATTCATCAAGGCATGACACGGGGATGAGACGAGGATTGAGGATCTGGGGGCGGCTGAACGGCGGACAGCAAGGATAAGGAGGACAAGGGTTGGCGCATTGAATGAATGTATGTATGTATGTACGTGATTGATTTCTCTGATTCGGATTCGAGATGAGTGGATAACAGCAACAGATGATCTCGGGGGATAGATTCAGGAGAGTCAGAAGAGAGAGAAGAGAGAGAAGAGAGAGAAGAGAGAGAAGAGAGAGAAGAGAGAGAAGAGAGAGAAGAGAGAGAAGAGAGAGAAGGGGGGACGGGGGATGGTTTCGTTCATCCGTTGTTCTTAATCCTTGGAATAGTTGTATAGCAACTTGAGAAACTTGAGCAAGCAAAGCAGTTCTGATAGAGTATTGAGTCCCGCGCACCGAGTATCGAGTATCGAGTATCGAGAACCAAGTCTGACAGATCAAGTGCTTATGAGTACTGACTATCCATCCATTCTACATCTGTACACCTAGAGTAGAATATCTGGAGCATCTAAAGTACCTATGACCATCTCTATCTGTCTGCCCGTGAACCCTCATTCCCTCGACCTACCGGGTTCAAGTCGGGTGGAGAAAGCGCCTTGTGCGACGACGGACATGACGACGATGAATACCTCGTAGAGACAGACAGACCCTCTGTTGGCTAAACGTGGGAACAGAAACAGAGTTGAGAGCAAAATGATGAGTAATCGTTCTTTGAGCCGCTTTACATAAGCAGCCGACAGCCTCACCAGCCTCGCCTTGTTTCCAGCGACATGATGCCTAGGGGGGAAAAAACCAGTTGCAGAGTCCCTTTCGGCTGTTGAAGAACTGCGGCCGTGATAGAAGGCGAAAGACATGGCCAACCCTTCAACTCAAGGTCCAACCAAAGGTCAGGCATGGCAATGCTAGATCTCGCCCCGACAGAGGTGCAAAGCTATACTCACAGCGGCAGGAGTACGAAGAGACCCTCGTCGAGATTAGAAATCTCTCCAGCTAAGTGCGATCGGGACGACAAAAGATACTGTCATTGGATACAATCTGCAAAGCGTTCGACAATATGACACCAACACCAAATTCGAGGTCAAACCCCGAAGTGTCAAATCCTGAAGCCGGCGAGATATCAAGCACACCTCAGCAAGAGACGGACAATGCACCCTCGGAAGGCGGCTTCTTATTCATCGCATCCACGGGCCAAAACACGCAGAAAGACCGCAAGCAGATGAGGACAATGCGCGCACATGTGATGCGCAATTATCTAGAACGAAGCCATGCCGAGCAACAAGATACGGAATCCAAGAATTTCTCTGTCCTGTCGTTTCCAGGTACCAGAATACAGACAGAGAGACATGCGGCTGGTGCAACCGGCGGACAGAAAATGAGGTTCAGGATGCGATCTGGGGAATTGGAGCTCAGAAACTCCCACCGAGAGCGGAAAGGGAAGAGGAGGGCCGACCCGAGGCAAGAGAAGGCTGGTAACCCGGCTGGATTGGAGCTTTCAAGGGACCGGACAGCATCCGCTCTCAACGCGCAGCAGACGGCGGCGGCCGAGTCAGGATTTGTACCTGGAATGCCTGTGACTTGGCTTGGATCGCGACGAATCGATGTTTTCGGTGTGCTGCCCGTCCACTTGGACGAAGGGGACGAGGCAAGGCTGTATCTATTCCGTCACTATGAGAGGTACCCGTGGTGCCCAATCAACGGACAGAGCAACTGGTCGCAATTCGCCATCAGCGACCAGCTGGTTTTCCATGCGACAATGTACAGCTGGGGAGTGCACTTTCGTCACCGTCGACCAGTCCCGGATGCGCAGGAGGAAATGAAAACGCTGCAACACAAACTGGCGGCCATCTCATTAATTAACGACCGTCTATCAGATCCGCAACAAGCGGCCAGCGATGAAACGATCGCGGCAATATCGGCCCTGACCAACATCGCCCTCGTAATGGAATCATATCCGGAGGCAAGCAAACACATGGACGGCATGCGGGCCGTCGTCGAGTTGAGGGGCGGTATGTCGTCCCTGCGGTCGGGTGTTCAGCAACATCTGCAACGCTTGATTAGTTGGAACGATCTCATCTACTCGGAAGTATTTGATGAGAAATTGCGCTTCCCTCCCATTGAGGTGTGGGATGAATCATGGGCGGGCTTTCAACATCACAGCATATCCGGACCACTGCCTGGCTTGAGCCGAGATGAGCTGAGGGCGGCTGGTGCTCCTCGTCATCAAGCTCTGGATTTGCTCAACGACATCCGGGAACTTTGTAACGCAGAGCAACTCAACCCTCTGCGCAGCACTAGTGAAGAGGGGAGGATGCGACGGGGTGATATGTTCCATCGGATCGAGAGGAAGTTGAGACTTATTGTCCAAGGAGACACGGCTTCAGGGAACAACCGTTGGGAGGCCACCGTGTGGCGGGCAGTGTCGTTGGCAGCGTTGCTCTTCACCCATCACCACCTGCGTGGGAACCCTTTGAAATACCGACATTTCAATGTCTTGACAACACAACTTTACGATACGCTCATGACCATGGACGAGGACCTCAGAGAACTTGACTTCGCTCCGACAATGTTGATATGGATGCTCTCGACAGGAGCCGTGACCAGTACGTTAGCAGCCGTCCATGCTGCATTTGTGTTTATGCTGGGGAAGGCTTGCCGCAGATACGGGCTGTTAGACTATGATGGGTTCCGACGGACGTTGGGTCAGTTTCTGTGGACGGGACAGGCGGATCAGTTGAGATATCATGCATTGTGGCTGGAGCTGGGGCCCAGTTTACGGGGGACAACGGGTCCATGGCAACAGCAGGATGTGCTTGAGATATAATCGTGGGTAGGTGACCTGAGGTAGATGAGGCAGATGTCAACGATGTATGTACTCAGCACAGCGTCGGTGAATGTAGAACAAACTGCGGTCCGTTTTGGCTGCGCACAATGGCGCGATTCCTTATCTCCGAGAGTCTCGGGAAGAAACCGGACGAACTGCACTTCATCCCATCACCACTTCAGCTTCACCTCGATTACTTTCACTCTCGGATCCATCTCATCTAGGCCATCATAAACATGACCCAAGGCTGACTTCCCTGTCAACATCCTTGCGCAATCAAGGAGACAGAGAGAGCACAACACCATCAACAAACCTGACTTGGATGTCCACCCCTCCCCGCAATCTTATCCCCGGCTCATCCTCACCGCGCGCTTTGTATCCCTGACCATGGCACGCTACCAGCTTCTTGATCTGGCACCTGAAGTCCTGCACAATATCTTCCAGAATGTGGAACCAACAGACCTAGCATCTCTCGCGAGGACATGTCATCACCTGAACAACTGCATCAGTAGCGATGAATTCCTCTGGAGACTCCACTACCTGTCCCGCTTTGTAAGATCCGAGGCCGGCTTCCGCCATGGTCTGATATCAAAGAGGCTGCTTGCTAACCACATTGTATCATCAGGATCCTCCTCTAGACAAGGATACCAAGTCCTGGCGAGAGAGACTGACCCGTCTAGTGAACCTTCAGAAGATCCTGGAATCAGATCATGACGAGATAAAGGCATGAACTATACCTTTGCTACGTCGAGCCCTCCCCATCCCGCTAACCGTGTTCTTCAGACCGAGTCACTAGAAGAAGTGCTTACACAGACATTGCAACTGGCCCAACAAGCCGACGCCTCGTCCACCAAGATCACCGACTTCCTATCAAACCTCTACAGCAAGGGGCCCAACATCAATACCATACTCTGTAAATCGAGCCTCTTCGCCCGTGCCCGACCTCAGCAATGGCCCGCGGCGCCCACAGAAGATCTGCGTCAACTCTCTGCTCAACTTCACGTTCTGGCAGGCATGAATCTAGACTCTCCTTGGCCAATCCCACATGAACCATCTTGTCCACACATCGCAGTGGCTGGACACCGCGGCCCGTTCGACGATAGCTACGACTCCGACGAATATGATGTCCCGGACATCAACGAGAATGGCCAGAGCGAGGAAGCACGCCATCTGCTTCGAAATAATCCGCGACCGATCCGAGACGCGCATCCGTGGGCGCGCTCCCGAGTCTACGACTTGCGCCGATACAACGTGTCGAACATGTGGGGTCCCTTTACCGACGATGGCACACAACGCATCGATTGGGAGAAGGTCCAGGCCATCATGGTGATCCTTGGTTTCAATCACCGAATGTACACTGAACGACGCGGACTGAGCGACACAGACTTCTTGGGACTCACCAGTTCTTCTCCACGGTCTTCTGGCGAGGGAAGTGCGTCAGTCTCGTCCACCAAATCCAACCTCCTGAAACCCTGGGCAAACCTCTTCTGCGGCATCGCCCCCAACAGCTACGTCTCATCCTCGCTCACTGGAAAAATCAAGCGCGCTCCCAATCCCAGCCTCGATGCTCTGGATCCCTATGGTGTCACAGGGACTTGGATGCGGATCGTCTGTTTCCTGGACTATAACGACCTCTATCGCTTCAATTTCGAGAGAAACGCTGACATTCCCATGACCCAGGAACGAGACCCCATCACGACAAGGGAGGCCTTTCGATTGATCAGACTGCAACTGCATGTCACGAGGATCGAGGAACAAGAGGAGAAAGGAGAGGACGGAGAGGATCTGTTGCCAGTGGTTTATTTTGAAGGCACCAGTCGCAGCACCTTTATGGCGTGGGATCCTAACGCGAATTCCAGGATAAGAGGTGAGTGATCCCCCCCTTTGCCCTAAACTCCACCACATACAGAACCAACCCGCCGTTTCCACCGCTTGCCTCGTAACCTAGCACTTCTGAATCTGGCTGACTCAAACACCACAACCAGGAACGGTCCGCCAAACCCCGACCAAGGCGATCCGCTGGACCTCGTTCTCCATTTTCCACGGCGAAGAACGCTGGCGTTCCGAAGGCGTACAGATCGGTGGCATCCGCAGCGCCCGAGGCGTCCTGGGCAACTGGTTCGACAAGGATTACGATGTGCATGGTCCGGCGGGCCCAACGGCGTTTTGGAAGGTGTCGGACGAAATGGTCGAGGAGAAGAGACACAATCTGCCGCAGATGCTGCAGATTTTCATGGCCGAGTAAGAAGAGAGCTGGCATGGAGCGAGTGTGTGTTACGCATCCCGGAGAACGATGACGAGAGAACAGTCGAAAGAAATACGCGAGAGAAGAAGGCTGGAGAGTGGTGACCTCAGAGGGGAACGATGTCAGTGCTGGAAATTCATGACGAATGATCCTCCGAGCGAGCGCTGCACAGACTTTAGTTGGGGGGGAATTCATCATTCTGTTTTGCTTTCTCTGCTAACACGAGCCGATGCGGGCGAGCTGCGAGAACATGCTTGACAACGGCGGTGGGCTGTGGGACGGGCGAGAATACAAGGTCGAAGCCGGATGATGAACATTGATGACTTGGACACAGAAACGTTCAGGGCCGAATCGGTTGGTGATTGGTGATCGGTTCGTGACTGACATAGATAAATACCTAGGTACGTTCACACTCGGGTCTCTCTACCTGTGTGTGTAGGTGCTCGACATGTATGTACTCTGCACATTGGCAATTAGGCAGGCAGGCAGGTAGTCGTGGCTTGGTGCATAGTAACACTGATTTTCTTTTTCTTTTTCAATACCTACTACATACTCGGTACATAGGTACGTACCGGGCTAATAATAATACCTACTAACCTGGTACCTACCTACCTCCTTATACCTACCTCTCACAGTTCAAGGGCTGTGAATTCCCAAACAGATATACTCGGTATACATAGGTACGTACATATATAACACCTGTCCGCAGGTATAACAGTATGACAGAATGTATGACAGAATGTATTGCATTGTATACATGTATATGGGCCCCTCTGCCCCTGAAGCAGGAACCGGGTCACATGTACTCTGTAACTCTGTAACTCTGTACCTTTGTAACTCTGCGAGTCTGCACTGGTACTCGTCCTCGTCCTCGTACTCATTGTAGAGATCCTAACTGATTGAGACCGCCTCCTACTGCCCTCAATCACCCCAGCCCCAGCCCCCCCTTTTTTCACCAGCCCTCGTTTCCCTCTGGCATATACAGTTACATTCACATACACATGGCCGATTCGTGCCTGGGTTTCCAAGGTATAAAATCCTTCATTCAGCCAATACCAGGCCGTGACTCCTCATCAGATAGGAAAAAGGGGACAGTGAAAACCCTCCCGAGCACGTTGTTGAAAAAGTAGTAACGAGTCATCCATTGAAAAACGCCCGCTACATGGTATCCACTAAGGAAAAGAACACACACCCACACACAGACACAGCTTTTGACATCTCGTTTAGTCAATTTCCATCCGACTGGCAACGGGTCTCGGTGCGGGCAGTTTTCCACTGCCAGATGGTGCCATCTCCGTTGCGAATGGAGCATAAGCACTTCCGCTCATAGGCTTCTCGTCATCCTCGACCGTCTGCGGCTTGTTGACGTAGGGCTTCAGCCCCTTGTTATAGTTGTGTGCACAGATGCAGGCGTACGTGATTGTGACAAGAATCAGAATGATGGTCAAGACAGCGAAGGTGGTGAGCTCCTTTCGAGCTGGGAGATAAGGACCCTCCCATCCAGGCGAGTACATGCGGACCATCTTGAAAATAAAGTAGGCCAGACCGCCAAAGTAAAGGATCTGCATACAAGGTTAGGGAGGAGCCCAAAGCGGCGGGATTGGATGTGTACACTTACAATGACAACAATGGTGCCAAATAGGGACTCTTTGCGGACGAACCACGCAGCTGCTAGAAGAATGAAAATGGTGATAGGCATAGCGGCAATGGTGAGGGCGAACTCGACTTGTCGTTGGGTGACAATGACCACAAACTGGACAGTAAACCCGAGGAAGAAGAAGAAATCAAACTTCAACAGGGCGATGTAGACCTGGTATTGGAGGTAGCGTCGCTTCATCCTTAGGTCGGCCGAAATCCTCTTGTAGATTGTCCATGCAAATTCGTCGTACAGTTTCCAGGCACAGCCGGCCATGAGCACTGTCCCCACGGCTAGAATACAGGGAATGGCGATCAAAAATGGTTCGGTATCTGACCAAATGTTCTTGCGGATGTAGTCATCTTCAGCCAGCGTCAAAATCGCATCCCTGATCTGATCCATCTGGACGGAACCATAGATGAGTAGACCGACGTTGTACATCACCAGGCCAATGACCTGAATGGTATTCTTCATTCGCAGAGCGTCCCAAACAAGGACTAGCTGGTACAAAAACCCGAAGATATACAAGGTTAAAAAGGTTGGAATCGTACGAGACGAGGTCAGGGTGCCGGGAATGCCTTCGAGATGGATTTGGAAATGGGCAAAGACATAGCTGGAAAACCATTAGCACTGACTGATCCGACGTTCAACAGACAATCATCAGCGTACCTCTCAAATGCGAGAATAATCATTGCCTGGACTAGGGCAATAATGGAGAAAGTCCATGTCCACTTTGAATTGGGCCGATACATGATTGATATGGATTTTCTCTTATCAAAATCATTCATCGCATAACCCTCGCGATGGTGATAGCCTCCGGGCAATGGGTGATAATTGTCAGCCTGACCTCCGAGGAGGGAAGCGCGAGACTCGTGAGCGCGAATTTTGACGGCTTGAAGCGCAGCGGAGGTGAAATCCCTTTTGACTGATCTAGGCTACCACAACTCTTGGGGGTTGTGGTCCGGCTCAGCGACGTTTCGACGTCGACCGTCGAAGACTGTCTCGGTGACACAGGTATGGGACTTGAGGAGACTTGAAGGCGGCAGGAGGGTCAGTCGAGAGTAATGGCTTGGGTCAAAGAGCGAAAAGAGTTCTCTCGGTTGGGCTTGCGGCTGAAACTCAGGAGGGGGGCAGTGGCAGGTGAGGATTGGTCCAAGGCGCGTCTGGAGCGGGCGAAGCTGGCGAGCCAAGGCAGTAGTAGGCAGTATCAGGTGGTATAGGCCTGTGTGATGGATGCAACCTGGTTTGGGCGATTGAATTTGATGGGGTGATATGAATTCAACGGAGCGAGAGAAGGAAAAGCGAATGTATACAAACGACAGAATCAAGGAGATGATGAGTTTCGATGATCAGGAGTGTGATAATTGAGACAGCTGAGTTACAGGACTCGGGGATCTCGTCAGCTCTAACTACTGTAGGTCATGTCGAGAGGGATCCAGGCACGCAGGCACTGGAACGGGCAGGACGGGCAGGACGGTTAGGGTATCAGGGCTCTGGCACATTGTTGGAGGGGCGCTGGGGAGGCTTGTTAGTGGGCTGAGCGAATGGTCGCTCAACAAGCCTCGAGGCACTGAGCCACTGGGTAAAGTGGGGGCCGGCAGTGGCTCGACTTCGCCCCCAAAAAGGAATCTGAAGTCGCTCAACTCTGATGACTGGGCAAGCAAGAAAGGGAAACCAACTCTCTGGCAGATGTTGCTGCATTGACGATAAAGTTTTCTCTTATTCAGTCAATCCCAAACACCGACGTTCAGTATGCGAACTTGATGTATGCTGGAGGACTGATTGTACCTAGGTCATGCTCCCTGCAATAGAGTCCAGCCGTTTGAGCCCTGGGAGTGTGACCTCTATTTTTGGGGAAAGGGAGGGGGCCAAGGCCAATGTGCAGACGGGCGCGCCTTCCTTCTCTACAGGCCGTGCTTGCCGTCGCAGAACGCCCAGCAAGGAGACCGGATTAAATATCGGAACAACTCCCTCCCGAGGTTCTTCCTGTTTCTCTAAATGCGGCTAGCGTGCCATGCCATGCTGTGACGCCGTGACAAACTTGCCAACGCGTTCCAACATCCACAACTTCACAGACTCGAGCTCTCACCCCCCCTTTTGTTGTGGTTGAAAGCTGTGTGACCTTGTCTGCCCCCACCAGCACCAAAGACATCGTACTCTCTGTTCTTCCATCTCGATCCATCTCCCAAGCACGCCAATCCCAGGTGGACAACGCAGAAGCCTTTATGTCGATTACAAAGATTCCACTGCAGCACCTGACCGCTCGACTTGTCATCTCCCCAGCTCCAGGCACACTGGGTGAATCAACTGCTGTATTAAAGAAGCTTCAATCTCTCGGCCCTGTACTCTCATTCAGGACGCGTAACACCACTGTCTCCAGCAATGCAGAGCAGCTGGAGGTGGATGTTGTTTTCTCGTCCCATGCCACTCTTGAGAAAGCCCAACACGCAAGCCCCTTTGATGTGAAGGTGAACTATCAGCTTCCCGATCCAAAGCTCCAAGATCCCTACAATGTTCGCAATCTCCAGTCGAGACGACGACCTCAGTCCAAGACTATGACCTGTCGCGTCCAATGCAACGACGGGTTTCAGCCTCCCAGTCAGAACGATCTTTCTACTGGCTTCTCGCCGAGCCTGAAGACCAGGTTATATCAAAGCCTCACCGACTTGAATCCCCCACCTGGTATTGCGGCTGGGCTGGGCGTCTTCGATGTTGACAGGGAGCACCTTTGTTCAACCGCTCAGTTTGTCGACAAGCCTCCAGGACTCGCACAACTGTATCGGTCCTCGATTGCCGACCACCCCACAACCCATCAGGCTTCATCTGCGGCCTCAGTCGTCCAAGATGACTCAGTCGTCCAAGATGATCTCTCAGAAATCCAACGGTGACCAAGCCTTGGCTAGCTTGGGGAAGCGGCCTCCGTGCTTCTCACAAAGCCTTTCCGGCTTCGCGAGACCTGCTGTGATTGCTCCTGAACCCTATTTGACCCCACAAAGCCTTGAATAGATGACCCCTACTGCTCGACAGACATCTGACCCTTTCATGGGATATATCTTCCCACTGTGAAGAGCATGCCATGCGTCCACAATATCTGAGGGGTGCGATCGGACGATCTCCTCGAGGATAACATTCTTTAGTGCGCGCCACCATGCAAAGCATTACTCGGGGTTTCTCTTGACCGAAAGCTCATCGGCTTTCATCGCGAGGGAGAAATGCGGCATCAACCCATCCGCTGAGTACAGGATGGGCAGAAATAAGAAGATCGCCCCTCTTCAGAACCACCGTCTCGTGCGTCTTGGGTCTCATGACCCATATCCAAATACATGTGTTTTCTGCTCTGCGATGGACGGGTACCTTCCAGTGGTGCAGGGTGTAAGTATCCTGATTCCACATCAGGCGAAACCAAATCCCGTTCTATAATATGTTTACACAACCCGCCGGCAGCCTTCGGCTATCGTCTGAGATCTGATATTACTTTCGTCAAGTCTTGCAAGGGTGGTTGGTTCCTCAGTCTGTCCACTCAATTTCACCACTTACATACGACTCAAGGAAACATTGCAAGACAGACCTCTGACGACCATCGCATTCAAGGCAGTTCTAGCCGCGTCGAAGCGCGATGACGATCCCATGATTAGGCTGGATCATCACCGTCCACTCTTATCTTTACACCAACCATTTCGCTTGCGGCACACCACTGTCTCGCTGTCTTGCACTCTTGATCACAGTCGTAAGCCGACCTGGGATCAAGTACACTTGATGACTGTGCTTTTCCCTGCAAATATCAGGGCTCAAATGTCGTCCTTGCAACTACACCAAAGAGTATGAGACTCTGTGCAGAGAAGCTCATCCGCGGGCAAGAGAAAGCGCCACTGATACGCAAAAACCAAAAACCCCGGAGAATGTCAATAAAACAATAATCTCATCCACGATATCAGGATAACTCAGATGAAATTTCCTTATACAGCCGATCATGGCATTGCATCCTGTTCTTTCCCCGATGGCCACCAGGGAAAGCATGTGGATAATCCATATCGACCCCCTGAGCGGCTCCCGTTCTAACAATCGACGAGCGAACGATGAACACTGAGGAGACAGCAAGACTACAAAAAAGCAGGATTTAGGAAACACTCAACCTGCAGAACACTAGCGAACACGCGGCTCGCTTGACAATTGGTTCTGTTCCTGTGTGCGAAATACACACAACCCCAGCATATGTCCATGCCAGTACATGGTTGTCAGTACGCTTACCCATATCACCAAATTACAACTGTCGTATTATATGGATACGCCTGCGTAGCAGCGTGATCCTTATCCAGAGCCCATGAATATTTTATACCTTTCAGGCCAGGTACGGCCAGTCACCTCCAGTGGTTGAGAATGCCGCCCGCAATACTGTAGCGATGCTGAGGCTTGGAAACCCAAGACCGAAAAGAAATCGGGTTACTACCAGTTTCCCCATCTATCCTGTTCAACACAACGAACTGGATCGCACGAAAGCAGCTCTCGCCGAGGTTCAATTAGCTGAACAGTTTGATAAGAATCTCAAGCCACCGGATCGGACCAACAATGAGACGAAACCAGCCAACTACGACAAGATAAAACAAACCCACTGGTACAAGTATGAAAATGCTACATCTCGCCCAGGAACGCCTTCGAATATCGATCCAAGACAATATCTAGTTGTCACTTGGCCCATATCAGTGATCATTTGACCTACTTTGAAGGGATTACAACAGGACAGGGATCTACATTCATCGACAGCGATTCCCTCGTCATGGAAAAATCTCCAGGAATCTTTCTGGAAGAAAAACAAGGATCAAAGCTGTTAGATGGTTACTGATACCTGCATTCCCGGAATATAGACGGCAAGACTCGATCTTAGCCGAACGGATACAGTCCAGTTGCAGAGGTTGAACAATGCGGTCGCACCGGACCAGCGGGCTGACAATCTCAGTGGTCTCTTGTCGAAAAAATCCTGCCTCTCGTGTCCCCCCAGCGTCAAGCTCGACCTCGACTACCAGTAACATCGGTCTGTGGTCTTCGAGTACTTGGTTTTTCGTGTCTTGGGTGTTGGCCACAGAAACTTTCTCCCTTGGTTGATTGACGCTGGATTTGACTTTGCATGGCAACACGACCTTTTTGGCTTTGTTAGTAGCGTTGCTAGAAACGAAAGGGTATACTCTTTGTTCTAGAAGTCAAGACCTTATGGGCTTCGACGAATTGCTTGCTCCCCGCTTGTGCGAAAAAAAGAAAAAAAAATGGAGAAAAAAAGGGAAACAGAAGGAAGAAGCGAGAGACGAGAAACGGGAGAGCAAAGAGGAGATACGAAAGAGGAAGAGATAACTCTCCCGAGAAGGCCGCACAAAGGTCCATTCGAGGCGGAATCGACGACCTACTCGACTTGGAGTCCTGGGTCGTCGCCCAAGCTGTTGCCGCTCCGGTTCTCATTGGAGAAAGTGCCTAAGAGCGAAAGGGAAAAGGAAGACCGTGAGTCGATATAGGCCCCCGGATTAAGGGGGGCAGTTCGGATTCTGGAGAGCTCTCCCAGGAACCGGGATGTGTGGCTCGCACCCCTCCTGGGCATCTGGAGGATGGTCAAGGATACAGACCTCCCCTGGTGAGAGCGCAGACCTGGCGATATTCGTTGAGCTATGAAGCTCCAGGATCGAGAAGAGACGACTATGGAAGACGACCCACTGGTTTGGCTAAGACCAAAAAGAAAACAACAATTAGATGTAAGAGAAGAAGTGAAGACAAGGGTTGTGTCATCCACGGACCTCAATCAACTACCACACGCGACAAGACTAGAGGTGATGCAGTACTTGCAAGGACTGACTCACACGCTGGGAATCGTCCGGCAAAAATGGAGAATAGCCAAGCAGATTATCGAATTCCACAGAGACTTGAGGGATTTGTTGTGGCAGTCGAGGAGTTTGGTCGCTGCGAAAGCGCGCCGGTTGGGAATTGAATTGTATGACCCAAGGACCAGCTTTGGAAGTCGAAAGGTCCCTGAAGAGGAAACACAAGGGAAACGGAAGAGTCGAGCAGGAAAAGAGAACGTAGGTCCCTGTTTTCTCAGCCCAGTCAAGGAGCAGCCATGCTGAATCGAGGTCGACACGCTAATACTCTGACTCCAGCCCAGACTCAAGTGATCTGCTCTGCCCTGCCCTGTCCAACCCAGCCTGCCCCAGAGCACAAAGCGCCAGGCTGAGAAGTGATCAAGCTGGAAAGCGGTATACCACAGCTTATTGATGACAGGCTAGCCAGCCAACAAACCAGCGACGAACACAATGACGCGGGTACACTCTTCCGAAGTCAGAATGGGCTCTCAGACGGGAGACGTAAAAAGAAAATGCGAAGGAAGAGGAGAGAAGAATTATACCAGAAGGAAAAGAAGGTTGACCCTCCTTGTTCGCAAGCGTGGCTCGCGGATTCCTCTTCTCCCCCAGTAGCCCAAGAAATCCAACCTCTCCTTGGGCAAACGATCGCCCGGTACTCACCCTGTGGGAGATGCGCATCTTCCAAAATGCCCAAGGGTGGGCTGGCAGAGCCGTGAAACACCGCGCCGCTGTGGAGGAGGGATCTGGTGCTGTCGCAGACATCAGCGAAGAAGACCTCGACGACATAAGACGCGAGAGATCAGAACTCTACCGACTGATTCGGACATGAAGCTGTGGGAAGACCTGTACCAGCAAGCTGTGGTCATCTCTGGCTGTGCCAAATGAAACCGTCTGCTTAGGGTTGGGGGGCCCGGGCTTGAGTCGGACTCACCGCCGCATGGACCGGTAGGGGGATTGTAAGACTTCCAAACACGACTCCGAAGGCATACGGATCTATCGCCAAAAGGCCTGTGAAGATCGAGGTCGGTCCACTCGTGAACACAAGCAGAATTCGTGGTGTTTCTATCTGTCTATCTGTCTCTCTGTCTGTATGGCTGGATGGATGGCTGGATGGATGGCTGGATGGATGAAGGATCTATCGATTGAAAAGAGCGAAGTTAGGAGATTGACCCCAACAAGAGATGGAGCGCAATGAGCCCCAAATAGAGGTCCCGACCGAGGTGCCGGAGGATTTTGGGGACCAACGGCGAGGTTAAGCATACACCTCCCCAACAGCTAAGGCGATAAATGATGCATACAGCTGGCTGGACCTTAGGCCCGAGGTGTCTCGGAACCGCAGGAAGAGCCTACCCCCCTGACACTCACTCCACCGAACACACCGGCTTTCGAAGACCTCTTTATGCAGTCTCTGTCTCTCGAAGACAGTGTTGTGCCTCTGGCTGCGAGGGCGGAGGTCGTCAAGCGGGGCATGGTCACGAAAAAGCGGGCACGAAGTGGGCGACGGGCAAAACCAGGAAGACAACGCCTCGTTCCAACACACCGTTACCGGCAGGTCGCAACCTTTAATCCACTCGAGCTCATCATCCGTTTCGACGATCAAGCCGGCTAAGCATATGAAAGACGGCGGCGGCTCGGAAGAAGCTGGGACAACCTCCGGAACCGCGGAACAGGAGGAGGATGATATCCTAGTTGGATCCAACATCAGGCCTCTAGCCACCTTCGTGCTACACAGGCCGCTACTTTCCGAATAGAAGGCACTATCACCCTGGAAGCGTTTCGCCAAATGGTGGCGGACCTACTTGTGTTGCGGTCACGATCCTGAGGATCAGGATACTGAGGACATCGAGCCGGGTGTGATCAAGATGGAGGTTTCGGAGACCACGAGAGTGGACATGGTTGAGATACCGTTTGGCTGTCGAAGTCAAGGTCGAGGTCGCGGTCGAGCAGGAAGGGCCACGCACAACAACGAACATCACCAAGCAGCACAATACGATACCTAGCACGGCTAAGGCACACAACAACAAGCCCTCATGGAAGATCCCATGTCCATCATGGAACATGACACCACACAACACCATTCCTCGGGTACATCTAAGTACAATAACCTCGACTACTACTAGATTATTTAAGACCCTTTTAGTAGAAGCACTGCGGCTGACCCTGTACAAGGCCTAGCCACACGACCTTCATCCATACGAAGTCCTTTCTACATAGACGTGACTCCTCCTAGTTCCCCAATATAGAACGGGGAAAGCCGTGCGGGTCCATCCTCGGCCACACGAGGCGAGGGGGACACGAGATGACACCGGACTTATAATAAGAGAAGGAGAAGAACGCCAAAGGGCGACGCGAAGAAGGTCAATATAGCTAGCTAGCTTTATAGTAAGTAGGGGCGCTGGTTTCCCAATACGATTTCAATAGCAGCCTGCGCAATCCGAGACACACAAGACCAAAGCCCCTACCACCAGATCAGAGGCCCCCCCCCGTCCGAAGCCGCAAATATACCGATCCCGGCCGGGTTGTCTGGTACGTATCGCACGGTATCAGAGGACAGCGACAGGGAGAGAAGCGGTTTCTTCGGCTATAGACCGAGATGGCTGCGCGAGCGAGAGTAGCATACACAGATACGACAGATGTAGTAGCTGAGGGGTCGGCAGCGGCAACGCAAGCGGCCTCAGCGGCACGGGGAGACCGACAAAGGACGAGACAGAAGGACGAGACAGATCAGAGACAAACACGAAAGATACAATAGATGATCAATTCAATTCCAGGTATAGAACGAAAGAGACACGCATACGAACTATGAAAAATATAATTCAAATCGAATCAAATCAAACCAATCTCAAGGGTATCTCTTTTGCGCAAAAATTCAATCAGCTTTGGTGCTTCCGTTGGGCCATTCCCACTGCCTCCCCTCCTCTCCAGAGGTCTTATTATGTTCCCAGAAAAACCAAAGCAACCCCTCTGTTCTGTCAAGGGGGTCGGGGAGTTGATCCCTTCTCTTACTCGTTCATTCAGTCATTCGTTCTTCTTTCCAGATTGCAAATATGTCATCCAACCTAAGTCCAAAACGCCAATGCCATGCTCAGATACCCGGGAAAGATCCCATCGGCATCTTAACCCAGATTCCAAACAAACGTAGATCAAAACCCAGAACAGAATAAATAACTCGGCTCGGTCGAGGTACCAGCTCATTCCGCCGGAGTAGTAGTAACTTTTGTGCGTAAATGACAGACGGTTGGTCGACCTCAATAACGTTGCAAGGTACCGCTCTCACAGTGCGAGAATGACCATGGCCGACAGCGATAGCGGAGGTCTTGAATATCTCGAGCCTGGCCGTCTTTGCCACGCCCAGGTATAGTCCTGCAGCGACTTGTGTGAGTCATCTGAAGAGGCAATCAAGCAAGCAAGGAGGAAGAAGCTCGATGCTTAGTGAAAAGAGAGAGAGAGAGAAAGGGAGGGAGGACTCCAGCGTCTCAGGCCAAGCTCCCGTTCTCTGGTGCGCAATGCTCTTCCGTCCATGTCTCCCTGGTGCGGTGTTGGGCCCGTCTCGATGGCGGCTTCTCATCTTCCTTTTCGGTGTCATCATCCCCTTCTTCGTCCAACTGCAACTCCACGTATCTCTCAGCTTCTGTTCACTCTCTTCCACCCCTCTTCGTCACACAAAGAAGGGCATAATGGGGGCGATCTTCGGGAGAAGAAATAGTGAGACTGGGAAAAGCAAGGGATCTATGCTTTGGAAGCAGTGAGACTCACAGCTTGGGTTCTAGGTCCTCCCGGCCTGTCCCTCGCGCTGTATGTGTTGAAAGCAGATCCAGCGCGGTATTCGGGTGGTGCGCCGGCATCGACGCCCGAGTGAAGTACTGGTGCTGTAAACGAAGGCGATGGGATTGCGGCATGGTCCGCAAGACTCAGATGTCGGGTGCCGGGGATAAGCATCGCTGGAGAAGGCTCTTCGTACATTGGACTTTCGAGGCCCAAGCCAGCTTCTTCCAGTTGGCGAGCTTCGTACAGTCCGAATTGCTGTTCGATCTCCGCCGCGATCGCAGCGTCAGTTTCCTGAACTTGAACGGGCGGGGTTCCTCCTTCCGCCGACACCTGTATAGGCGTCTTGAGAGTAATATGGCTGCTTGAGACATTGGCACCTGGAGTACGGAAGGAAATGTTCAGCTCAACAGAGTAAGTCCTTGAAACAATACAAGAATGGAATGTCGGCACAAAAACTCTGGGTCGGCCGCTGCTCGATGGCGTTGGAAGTGCGATCGGAACCGGCAGAGTGGCGGTGTAGAAAGGCGAGCCCATTTCATACGTGCACGTCGGTTCCGGGATCGATGATGTCGATGTCGTAGAATAGCCCGATGGTCGTCTAGAAAGATCCGACGAAGAGAAGCTTCCACGGTCTGAAGGATCGTGGCGGACCCAGGAGACAGTCGATAGACAACGCGACGATAAGGCGACGGTTTCTGGATAGATACCATGCAAAACGGACCAATTGTCATGTTTTCGAACCTCTGGAATGATTTTATACGGGGCAGCGCCGAAAAATGTATAGGCCTTCAATTTGCTGGCGATAGAGTCCAGCTGAGGAGGAACGTCGTCTGGAGAGGTAGGATCGAAGCGCAAATGGATGGTCGCCATTGAAGAAACAGGTTCTGTCTGCCGCTTCTGTGGGTGCGGAAGGCGGAGACTTCTGGGTTGAGTCGTCTCGGCCGTCAAACTGCCCACCTTGCCGATCTTGAAGAGGCCCTTTCTGACACTCTTCTCCTTGCGCATGACATGGTCCGACAGGTTGTCGTCAGTGTTCAGCGGGGGCGCTTCTTCCCTCGCAGGAATAATCCTGACGCGCTCCTCCTTGTCGGCCAGCTCCAACAGCCTGCCGACGGCGTTCCACCTTGTGATTCTGGCGCGGACGCTGTAGGTGATCTTGGACATGTCTGGTGCAAGGTCGTCCATCAGCGTACGACCGTCCCCGGAGACGCTGGGGTCGCCCAGGCTTGGAGGCAGCTGCAAATGCTGTTTCCTTATCTCTTCATGGTCGGCTTTGTGCGAGCAGATGAAGGGGAGTAATCTGTCGGGGACGACAAATGTGAAGGGGATCGAGTAAGTGACGCCCGCCTCGAAGGTGCTGCCTTCCGGCAAGAGGCTTTCGGGGATCGGCTGTTGCACTTTTAGGAACGTATGTCTCCCTGTCGTGCGACCCGTCGTGGGGGCCGTGGTTGCGATCTTCTCGACGTATGTGCAACTCCGACCCTCGAATGTGATGCTGACGTCGTCGAAAGAAGTGTCCTTCTCGAATCTGATGTCCACGCGGCCCTTGATCTCGTCATATGTGGCGTACGAGTGAACGAATTCCGCGTCGCCTTCTAGGACGATGTCGATTTCGCTCTTCTTGCGTAGGCCGATCGCCGTAGCAATCGCTGAGCCTCGCCTCGAGGAGGACGGGAGGGCCAGCGATCGAGACCGAGCCGAGTAAGAAGGGACTGCGGAGGAGAGAAAGGAAGGCATCTCGCCGGAGACAATTTGTCGAGGGGTGCTCATAGTGAAGAAGGAAGAAGAGAAGGAATCAGGAAATGCAAGGATGAATCACTGGGCGGTGATAACAACCGGTGACCTGCTAGCGATTGGGATTTCGGCCAACGGCCAAGCCGTCAATCCTCTGGGAACGAGGGGCTGTCGTCGACGCGATTACCAGATTCGGGCAGTCCAAGACACTGGGATAGGCTCTCGGGTCTCTCGTGGTTGTGTAGAATGCGGGGGTGGGTTGATCAGGTGGAAGGCTGTTCGGCGCAGGGTGATTGGAGAGTGATAAGGAGTAGGACTGGAAACAGGATAGGTTCAGGTACACAGCAAACGATGCCTTTCTCTCATTTATATGTCATGCCATGTTCACCCTATATAGTCAGTCCCATCTACGACCACCACCACTACACAAACCACGGACTCAGCTGACAATTGTCAATCGGGAACCCAAGCCTCGGGTCGTATGATTCGTAAGCTCCACCGCCCAATAATTAATTGTGGGAAGTATCGAAAGGGCGTAAACAAGTACAAGAAGTGGGAAAAAAGGGAAAAACCCCCAAGGGATTTCCCAGGCCCCGTGAAAAGTGAGTCATGGGCGGGTGGAAAAAGGGCAATTGACATGGTCAATTATGTTTTTTTTCCTCTTGTATAGTTTTGCATGCGAATGATGCGATGCGAAGGGCGGACCATAGACAGTAACAATCATTTGGGTAAATAATGGGTCCCCCAACTCCACCACGCGTATACTTTGGGCCCTTAGCTACACCTCGGGCCTCAAGTAAACCAATTGCAACGGAGCATGGGGAGACACCCGCCTATTGACCCGCGCCCTGGGGACAAGTTCCATGTGGGTTTTGGCGACGTCCCTCCCCCAAGCGTGGGCCTATGACTCGGTAACCAGCCTCGGTGAGCGCCCCCTAGTTGTCATTGTAGGCACCCAGTGGGCCTGGAGGAAGTTGCTAAGTAAGCAAAGTGGATGCCTGGCCTTTGGTGCCTTGTCCTCTCAACTCCACCCTTTACGCCCTCCGATGACTTTGTCGCTCAACATCACTCCTATTCTCAGTTTCTCTTTGTCACCGGAATCCACCTTTCCTGGCGTATTCTCAAGTCAAATTGAACGACAACCTTTAGGCCAAGTTCAAAACCAAAAAAAATTTCTTCATGTCATCTCACTTTATGGTACCGACATTTCCTCATGGAGCATGTGGTCAATATCCACCCACGTGCTCACTACTTCCCATCACATTCCAGCTCCAATTCGCACTCATGTCAGCCTGGGCCCTAACATGGAACAGCAGATTTTCCCATGACACATACATATACCGCACCTGATCCTGCAGGGTCTTTCCTGTCGTCCTTGCCAATACCTGACGCACGCCGTGCACGCCCTACTCTGACGATGGGGTGAGACGGTGAAAAAGCTTCTCAACTCATGGTTCTCGTATTAGTCGAATATGGTCGGGATAATTGCTATACAATCTAGACCCTTCCTTATTGCCCGTCTATCATAAGATATCACTTTCCCCCTGGCGAGCCCGTGTGGGAAGAGTAAAAGTCGGAAGAAATCATGAGGACTGAGCATGTTCAGTCCACCTTAACGCCCCCGTATATCCGTCGAACAAAAATGTACGCCGTCAGGAACCCAATGGTGCCCGTTGCCAACGAATACACTGCACACGCAAGGCCGCTGTAGCTGAAAAACAAGAGACTGCTCACAAATCCGTCAATGTGTAGGCGCGTGGCATAGTACCACACCGAGTACACAAAGATCCAAAACCCCGAAGCTCCCCCCACGAAAAACGACTGCCACCACCAGTGGTAATTTTCAGCACAAAGTTGTATGTATGTTGCGATGATGACCGTCTCGGCGATGGTGATGGACAGGAGAGCCGAGATGATGCTCAAAAACCCGAACACGTAGTAGTAGGATGACTTGTCCAGATACAGTGATTTGAAGACAAAGATCAATTCGATAAAGAGCACAGCAAAGGCCACCAGCCCAGCGCCCAGAGCGAGTGTGATTTGCTGTTTCATGTACCACGCCTGTGGCGGGATCTGACGAGGAATCGCATTGGTCTTGGTCGGGTGTTCCCAGCCAGGTGATCGGTAGAAGCCCCAATAGGACCCCAGGTGGACAAGAGGAAGCTGGATCAGCAGCCACAAAGACGCCAACCCCAAGAGAGTGGAAAATGGTAGTGCGGTCGAGGATGCTTGTGCCCAGCAGAAGAGGTTGAGGACAAAGACAAGGGCAAATAAGAGACCTGGGAAGAGGAGCGCAGTCTGGTTCGTTCAGTCAGCACAGGAGAACCAGCAGTCTCAGCCAAATAACAACTCACCATCATTGTGTTCTTGCGCCAGTTCTGACCGCCGAAGGTCTTGTAGACCCGCGCAGAGAAATACCCCGAGAACCCACCGGCGAACACGAAGAGTCCTGCGCCCACGCTCAAGAACCCTCCGCGCCAGCTCGGATTCAGGATGCCAGCGCAGCTGAGACCCAGCAGTCCTACGATCACAAAGACCAGCTGGATTCCAGATCCAACCAAGGGAGCGAGGAGCCCACCGTACGGCGGAGGCCTGAAGACGTCGCCATGCAGAAGTTTCCAGCCGGTGATCTCTTCAAGTGGTTCCTCATCCGAAGACAGCTCATCATCGGGCCCGTTGTCTGAGATCTTCTCCAGCAGCCCGCTGCTTGACTTTTTCTTCTCGCGCTTGCCGATCTTCAATCGGGCTTCTTCCAGGAGTCCGTCACCTCGACCTTTGACATCTCCTTGCATTGTCCGTCCCCAGATGACGATGCAAATTGCGCCCAGAATGCCTGATATGATTAGGGAGTTGACAATGGCCAACCAGTGGGTGAAGGAACTCTCGGCTTGGTCATTGAAATAGAGGTCCCACCGATTCGACCATTCCACCCCGTTTTCCTCGAAGAAGTAGACCGAGTACGTGTATGGGATTGTCATGGTGGCGCCGTCCTCCATGTCAATGGGGCTTTCCGGGATGTATGATGAATCCGCATACTGTTCCATCGAATTGGTGGTGTTGCCAGGAATATAGAGGGCCAATGGCTCCTGTTCACCCGACACATCGAGCGGGCAGCCTGTCTCATTCCGCTGTCCCGCGTGAATGCTTTTGGGGTAGACCTCAAACCCAACAATCACTTTGCCGCCATTATCCCCAGCTTTTCCCGGAGCCCGCCGCCATCGGACCACGAGCGTATGGTGATTGTAGACATAGTACATCTCTTTACCAGTGACGATATCAAAGTCCTTGTAACCCATTTTGAATCCTGATGCATAGTACTTCCGAGTCCGATCGACGGTGACAAACGAGGTAGCTCCGGGGAGATTGTCGAGAATCCATTCGGTGATGTATTCATCCTCAATCAGCTGTTGAGCCCATTTCAACTCTTTCCGGCCCACCACGCGATCGCACAGATACTGACAATCTATGTCCTGGCCCATGATGATCTCCAGATCCGAAGTCTTGATCCTGTCGCCCCGGAGAACCTCGCCCAGATTGAGGGGGACACTATGGCCGCTGGCAAAGGAGGAGCCATGGTGTTTGTTACCGGTGGGAGGGCAGACGAACGGCAAGTCGAAATACGCATACTGAAGCTGACTTTTATCCGAGTAGACCTTGTTCACAAGCAGCGGTACGTTCTCTTCGTCCCGGTAGCTCCGTATTGACACGCCTGTACATTTTGTCAGTGCCTGGTATCTAATTCGTTGGTGGAGCCGAGGGCGGACAGATCAATACCTGGGATATAGAAGGCGTGTGACAGGCAGGAGAACAAAATGACCACGCGGCTCAGCCAGGAGACGTGGAGCCGGACGTCTGGGGACATTGTGAAGATGACAGAATTAAATATTTAGCGAGTGAAATCGGCACCGATGGCCGGCTGGTATGAAGAGAGAGTGAGAACAAAAGAAGACGAGGAGCAGGAAGAAGAGATAAGGTCGTGTGGTGTGAGAGAGCAACTACTCGTACAGTAAGTACGTGCCCATCTAACCTGGGGCTCCGTCGAAGCTTCGGGAGAGCAGAAGATGGGGATTCGCAAGCGCAGTTAGGAACGTCGGTACACCACAATGGGCCTGCAAGACGCCGAATCTGGTGTGTAATATTAAAATCGCAGATGCAGAATGCGGAAGACCAGGATACGTGGTAGAGGTGTGTTGTTCGTCCGCGTCTGGATCTTGATCTCTCTGTCTCTTCTCTCTCTCTTTCTCCTCACTTTCTTTCCACTTCGCCTGCTTGTCTGTTACAGTCCCCTTCTGGGCAGGAGAAAACGTTGGGTGGAACTCCCGGACCACCAGGACCAGCTGGGCCCTTGACAAAATGGTGATTAGTGGATCACGTCAACGCGTGTCCGGATGGCGGATCGCCAGGGTGGGATTGACAAGCTGGTGGGCCTAGTGGCTTCCAGTGCCTCAAGGGCCTCAAGTGCTAGCGACTCAGAATGGGCGGTACAGGTGGCACCTGGCGGCACCTGGCGGCCATCAGGCAAGCGTCCGGGCTAAATGTTTAAGGGGCAGGTGTGCCAAATGCTCCCTTTGGTGCCCTTGAGATCAGCCCGCAATTGAAGCATTGGGGGCATCGAAGATCCAATGCCCTTCCCCCCAGACTCACTCCCAGTGAGTTCCAGCTCGCCCCCTCTGACTCAGCCAGACACCCAGGCAGGCCAGGACACCTTACGGACAAACCCTCACGGTTTCTATTCTTTGCATCTCGTTTGGATTCCTGACTACTCATGCCTCCAACAAAGGTGTGGAGCATTACCTACCCTGTCGTGCCTGTTTGCCTGTCAGAGACAATAGAAGATTCGCCTCTTTTGCCATGGCCGCCATCGCCGAGGGGACCGAGAATCCCAACAGGCCAAGACTCGCCTCTCAATCTAGTCTGAAACATGCCCTGCAAAGCGCAGCTGGACCAGCACGACCAGTCACCGCAGTTGCCTTCTGGACTGGACATCTGCTCAGCATGCGATGCGGCCTACATCTTTACGAGTATACCGAGTACAACGGTACCTCGTACAGTCTCGTTTCACAAGGGGCTTGATTGGTTGGTCCGGCCAAGTGCATCTAATCCGATACGACCAAGTATATAGGGAGCGAGTACCTCGTACCAAAACATTGAGGACAAGGACTTGATACGCGCTGCGAAGCGAGTAGAATATGCTATCCGACGTGATATATCAAAGTTGTGACAAATGTGTGGAAACGTCTTCGGGCCGGACCCTCCAGATATTCCAAGTTCGTCGGTTGCATCTTCCGAACTTGGACGACATCGACGTCCCCTCCCAACACAAGCAGGTGAAAAGTTGAGAACTAACAGAACAGAAGTACCCATATATTCAACGATACCAAGCTAAGGAAAAGGGCCGTGTCTCGATCTCTTGTGGTCCCAGTAAATATCAAAAAGGTTGCCATTGCGAGGAGAAAAGCAAAGAGTCAACACCAGAATCACGAATCAGCGCAAACATCATGCCTTTCGCGACCATCAATGGCCACTCACTCCACTACACAGACATAGCCCCAGCATCGTCGTCGTCGTCGCAGTCATCGTCACCACCCACTCTCATCTTCGTGCACGGCCTCGGCTCGACGCAGAACTACTACTTCCCCATCTTCCCCTTCCTGACCTCGTACCGATGCATCATCTTCGACAACTACGGCGCCGGACGCTCGACCTTTGGGCCGGGGACGGAGACCTCGATCCCCTCCATCGCCAGCGACGTGCTCGGCCTTCTCACCCACCTCGGCGTCGACCGAGCCATCGTCCTGGGCTACTCCATGGGCGGCATGGTCCCGACGTATCTGGCATCCACGTCGCCCGACCGCGTCGTGGCCGGAATCTGCATCGGGCCCGTCCACCCGAGCGAGGCTGTGGCCAACGTCTTCAAGCAGCGCATCCCCACCGTCCAGTCCCAGGGCATGGAGTCCATGGCCAACACCATCCCCAACGCCGCCACGGGACCCGGGGCCACGGCTCTCCAGAAAGCCCTCATCCGGGAAATGCTCCTCTCCCAATCTCCAGAGGGATACTGCGCAAACTGCCGTGCCATCGAACTCGCCGCTCCCCCCGAGTACGCCAAGGTAAAGTGCCCGATGCTGGTTATCGCAGGTGACCAGGACAAGTCCGCCCCACTGGCTGGCTGTGAGATGATTTTCAAGGAACTGGGCACGACCGCGGAGAAGAAGAAGTTGGTCGTGTTAAAAGGGATCGGGCACTGGCACTGCGTCGAGGCACCGGACGAGGTTGGCCGGTACGTGAGGCAGTTTGTCGAGCAACTACAAGTATAAATATAAAACCACTTTCAACGATCCTAACTGTTTCCTACTACAGCATCTGACCAGTGTGCCATGACCGGCCGAAAATATTTGGATTCTCGACATAAACTAATATGTTTTCGAATGGAGAATTCGGTCACCTGTCCGTTGTACTTATAAGTGTCCCACGACGCCGGCCCGCGTGTTCCCCTTTCACCAGGATAGAGAGAGAGCATTTGTTAGACATGAACATCGAACACTCCTTCTTAAGTGCCGCAACGACTCCCTCGCAGTGCTTGTAATTTGGCGTAATTCTTCAAAGGACCCTTCAATGCACCACTGTCTTCGAAAGACGAGCGATTTCCCCCTTTCTCCCATCTACCGACGCTCTTCTCAAAAGCTCTTCAAGTACAAGCCGTCTTGGACTGTACAAGCAATATGTCCTCAGAAACAGCAAACACGTCCCCATGACATTCGGGACGCTCACTCGCCGCGATCAACATATCTCTGTCCCACCTGGGCAGAATCACATGCCTGCCTGCCGATATGCAATTCAATCTCAAAGACACAACAAAGGAAAAAAAGGCCTGTGCCCTACCAAACTGGTATCTCAAATGGCCGTTGCTCACTGGCTTCCAGACCAGACAGTCAGAATCTCGGGGAGCTGAAGAGACGCAAAGACCTTCCCAAAGCGATTAAGAGTCGATATTTTTTCTTGACGGGTTATATTTTTTTGGAACCTTGTTTTCCCCAGGCCTGGCTCCCATATCCACAAGATGTCCATCCGTACTCGGTGATGTCTACCCAGCATCGAGAGCATTAAGTCAATAGACGCCGCGCTAGAAATGCCAAACAGACTTTTTGTCAATCATATACCGTTCTAATACGAACAAACGAAGTGAAGACGGCCGTACTGAACGCTTGATAACAGACTTTTGGAGCTCACAGAGCCACGTCCAGGACCAAGCTTACGTCCTGTACTTGCGGTCCCGCCAGATCTTCGAGAACTGGTATTAGATCCAGCAGCTCGTTGTCGTGCGCATCCGAGAACCAAGAGCTAATTGGAACGGCGTGTTGGGGATGGAAAATGTAGGAGGTGGGAGAGTTGTCGATGATGATGGTTTCCTTCAAATCTCGACCGACTTGTGACAGGTCCTGGGAAAGTGTTAGCTCTGAATATTGGCGTGGGATGAGGCTTGTGAGCAAAACTTACCTTGACATAATTTCCTTGGTGGTTGTAACAGCTCTCCCTGAAGAGCCTGTGATGAACAACGTGGTGGATGTCCAATTGATCCAGCAGAGGGTCTCCATACTTCGAAACAGAAGCAGTAAAGACGACCACCTCGTAAAGTTCGCCAACCCTCTTCATAAAGGTGTCCACACCCGGTCGCTTGATCACGTAGACATTGTGGTACTGACCCTCAATTTCGACGGGAATGGTGAAGTCGGCTTGATTGAGGATCTTGAAGCTGCTGTGCACCAAGGTCTCGTCCAAGTCGAGAATCAAACATTTGCGTCCTTTCAGATGAGGCTGCACAGGAGGCAGCAGCCATGATTGTTTCTCTGGTGAGGCTTCTGGAATGGGGGCAGCCTCTTCGGAAGCAAACTGTTCTTGTCGTTTGGACAACGGTGGTGGAGGAGGTAAGGGCACTTGTGGTTGCAGTTCAGCAGGCTGTGGTGGCTCATCCAAGGGTTCTTCATCAACAACTGGAACAGCAGGAGGGGCATCTGCCATCTCCACGTCAGCAGCTGTCTTCTCGTTGCCCTCGAATCGTTGGGGCTCGGAAGGGTGCTCCGCTTCAGTGGGTGTGGCTGCTATCACGTTGACATCTGGTTTTGCCGAAGGCTCGGGCACAGTAACGGTGGTCGACCGGATCGGGTCTTCATCGCCATGAGATGCCATATTTTGATCAGGGATGTTTGTGGATGGTGTTGTGCCGCTCATGCCAGGAACTGTGACCTTTTCATGATAGATTTCCTCACGCGATATCCTCGGTCGTGACTCGTCAGGCTCCTTCTTCTCCACGACTTCTACGTTACCTTCCTCCCCAGCCTTTCCCTGCGCAGTCGCGTCGTCAACGGGTGTTTTGCCTTCCAAAACCTTCTCGTTCTCCACGACCTCGTTTTGTTCTTGTGGTTTAGCCGTTCTTTGAAGCTGCGGTTGAATCTTGATTTTCTTTGCTGCAACATCGGGGTCGTCTGATTTGGTGTCATCAGCATAATCGGTTGGACTGCAGCAGTTCAGGAAGGCAAGCAACCCGCTACGTGCTTTCTTCTCGATTTTGGGAGCAGCTGTCTGTGGGAGAGGAGGAACAGGTTCTTTCGTGGTCTCGGCCGCCCGAGCTGCTCTAAGCGACCTTCGACTACCTCTGCTATTGTTCCTGCTTCTACTGAGAAGACTTCGCTTCGAACCTCGCCTGGGCGATGGAGGTGGCTCATCAGGGACGGCCGGGGTCGGGACGGTAGTTTGGTCAGAAGACTTCTGGTTCGAGGATGTACGAGAGGGGATTTTGACAAGCGATGGCTGCTGTTTAGGCTTTTCTGTCATGGTCTCTGCGGGTTGGGAAGCTTCAGGAGCAGCTTGAGGTGAGGAGTTGGCAGCAGTGAAAGCGGCGTCATTGGCGGTGGTTTCTTGTCCTTGCAGGGAGGCGCCTAGATGTAGACATGTTAGAAACAAGAGTGCGCCATCGCGGCCCAACAGGTCGCAGGATCAGAGACCCGATTGAGATACTGAAAGTGAAAGGTCGGACCATACCTGGCGAGGGCCGAGTGGCAGCGCTGCCACTCATGTGGGGCGACGGACTGGCCTGCAGAGGCCTGCTCTTCGGTGTGCGCGCAGATGGTGGGAGCCGATAAGTTTAAAATCATGCGAAGAGATGGCGAGCAGCAGTCAAGATGATTCTCGAGATGGAATGGGCGAGCAGTCGCGCGCAAAAGAGCAGCGGGTTGGACAAGCGTGCGAGCGACAAGATTGAAGCGGCTGAACGGGGGCAGTGGATGACGGTCGAAGAGATACGGAGAATTGAAAGCCGGGTGGCTGGTTTCAAACGATCGATAGCAGGCTGTTGGAAACTGGATTCATCTAAAGATGGAGATAGGGAGAGGCGCGTCGAGGTCGCAAGATACAGCACATGCGATACAGTAGCTGGTATGTGAAGAGGCTCACAGGTTTTTGGATGGGATGGTCAGTAGATTATTGAAGATCGAAAGGAAGTTCTGAGTAGTAGCGGGATTAGCAGTGGTAATGGGGGCAATTGGGTGGTACGTACAGGGCAGGCGGGAGGGAAGTTGGTCGTGCTTGGAGGCTCGGAGGGTCAAGAGGGTTGAAATGGCCGGGGTTTTTCGATCAAGATCATCTCTCCAAGGCACCCTGGCACCCCCAAAGGCAAGCAAGCCAAGTTTTTCCATCGTGTCCTCTCTCCGTCCACTGTCTGGTCCTCTAGCCATCTAGCCACTACTCGTAGTGCCCATCCATGCCTCCTCCATCCGCTGAACAAGAAGCTCCGGCGGCTTTGCGCTTGCTGGCCTGGTCGCCTGTTGGAGAGACCAGCTGCGCATGCTGGCGCCCATTTCTTTTCCAGACCTCACTCATCTTCGGCGTACATACACTACTACGGCTTTCAATCCCTGAGGGTGTCCATGTTTCTAACCTCAGCTCCAATGGGATCCTTCGCTGGCTAAGTGTCTGGTCGATCATGTCGCCAGCTGCTGAACTCTTCCCAGGATCCCTTCCCCTTTCAGCCTCGACCGGTACGCCTCCTTTGCCTCCTGCGCCTCTTTGGCCCTCATTTTGCCCTCCCACAGTACGAGTCCAAGCACGAGTCTCGTCGATTTTGCGCCCGGCTGTCACATCCCTGTTCGTCCCGTCGACCTTGTTTTGCCGCCTCGGCACCCCACCGATCGTGGCTGGACTCGAATAACCTTGCACACTCTACTCAGACGCTTTGTGCAAGGTACAACCGTCGCCATGATTGCAATTCCCACAGTCTTGATACTTGCTACAAAAATTCAGGTCTACCGAGTAGTCCACGATACTGCCGGGCATCAATCGCCATTGACCAGGGACTACTGCTCGTTATCCACAGGTCTGCACTCACACGGAAATTGGGCAACAGCAGGGGATTGTCCGCCTCGGTAACCCCACGAATCGCAGCCGCTGGATCGTACGGACGGCTCGGACTCGCTAGCACTCTCTGAGCGTGAAAGTGGTGGGTTGTCAACCGCTAGCCTCCACTCCTGGACAGCGGTTGGGCGGTTGGCCAGCTCTTTCAGCACCTTGGACCTTGGAGCCGCTCCCCACGCTAGCCGAGCAGGCTAGTTTGTGATGGACGAGATCCCCTGTGCTTGTTACCTTGTAGCCGCCAGTCCCTTTTTCCTGCTGTGCTTCCTTCCATTGTGAAGCGTTTCGGAATGGGTTTTTCCAGAAATATGACTGCCAATAGGGAAACGAAACAGGGTTGGAAATACCACATTGGGCACTCGATCTGACTGTTTGTACGGGGCAATCGGAATCGCCGTTGAGTTCACTAGACGACAGAATACGGGGTAGAGTTTTGACAGGCATCTGACACGAGTTCATCATGGCGTTTCTTCTCCTGTCAACCACATGAGCGCCTCAGGAGTCTCGGGGTCTCCATGTTTCTTTTTGTCAGGATCTGTCACCTGAGTGTCGACCACTAGCTTCGTTCAGACGGTGCCTTGTGCGTGTGAATGCTCTGGGTTTCAAAGACAACTACATCAGTGGCGTTCAATGTGGGTTGACCAATCTGTTGTGCTGCGCTATGACAGGATGAAGGCGTTCGAGTACACCGGCATGAGCATACTGATATAATGTTCTTTAACTCGTCGCCTTCGTAGCATCACGACATTACTCTTCTCGAAGCATGACCTTGACCCGGAAATCTACTGGCTTCACGAACCAATAGTTCACAGTGTCCCACTCTCGCTCAGGATGCTCGAGTTCGAAGTTGAACCTCCTGACGAGTTGAGGGATCAACTTGGACATCTCCAAGAAGGAAATGTGTCGTCCTATGCACGTTCTCGACCCGAGACCGAACTGATCTATGTTTAGCACAAGCCTGAAGATGGTCGAGGGCACAACTCACCGGTAGGTAATAAGCATCCATCCTCCTCAACTTTTCTCCACCTTCTTTTTCGGCTTCAATCCATCTTTCTGGTCTGAACTCTTTTGCATCTGGACCCCAGATATCTTCGTTGTAGTGGGCACACCAGCTATTGAGTCCAATAGTGGTACCTTCAGGAAAGAATTGACCACAAATCTCGACGCCGCCTTCAGGGACGACTCTCCACAATGGCAAGCCCGTGGCCGGGTGCATTCTCAGAGCCTCTTTCATGACTGCTTGCAGGTAGGGCATCTCCTGGCTCTCTTTGAACGAGACCGCCGGATTACCACATCGGCCTTGCTTTTCGAATTCCTGAATCTCCTCTCGCAGCTTTCGCATGGTGTCGGGATACCTGAGCAGGTTATACAGGATGGATGACAAGCTCACGGCAGTCTGGGACCGTCGACAACTTCATGTTAGTGTCACCTCCAACCAGGCGGAACTTGGGCAGTCTTACCGTGTCGGAGCCCGCTATGATATTGGACAGGCCCATCATGAATACATGATATGGGGTCACTTTTTCTGGATCATGCTGGTTCGCCACGAGCAACTTTTCCAAAAAGTCCATTGGTGCATTCTCGTCCCTTGCCCCAACCTTCTCGACGTCGACGCCAGATTTTTTCTCGTCCTCGCGCTGTTTGATCTTTTCAGTGACATACTTCATGAGCCACACCCGACCCTCTCCACCACCAACACCGAGACGACTTGAAAGATTGAAGATCAAGGGGTGCCATTTGGCATAGACCCCGACGAGGGCACCGTACTGCAGCACCCCGTGCAGGGCCTTCAACAGTCCCGAAATATCCTCTCCCTTGTCCAAGAATCCAAACCTTTGAGAGTAGGTGATGTCGCCAATGACGTCGAATGCATAGCACTGGAACCAGTGGGCCATGTCAATGGTCTGGCCTTTGGCGGCGAATTCAGACAAGCGCCGGCCAAAGATTTCGGCACACGAGTCTACATAGGCTTCGTAGTTGACCAAGCTCGACATTGAGTACATTGCCTGAAACCTCTTGCGTGTTTCTGCGTGCCGCTTCATATCCCGGTCCGGGAACAAGGTCCAGCGATTCGGGTCGGGATGCTGCCACGCATAGTACCAGTCGCTTTTGGCGAATTTGGAGTTGATGCTGTACACCTTCTTGACCACTTCAGGAGAGTCGATGCTGTACATGTCCTGGGCTACGCGGACAACGGGGCCGTATTTGCGGTGGAGGGCGAGATCATCGCGTTCCCAATGGCCCTGGGCGACGCGCCAAAAGTAATAGAAGCGGCCGAACCGGGCGGCCAAAGGGCCTGGGACACTGCGCAGCGGGGACGTCAGAGTCTGGTAGAAGAAGATGGCGATTCGTGTGGCGAGAAGGATTGGGATCGCCCACAGAGCGTAGCGGAGGAGGATGCTCGAGCTGGCAGAGCCCTCGTTGGCCGCCGCCGCCAGAACGGACATGGTGCCCGGCGGTGAGGATCACTTAGGGGGGTCGATGACGATGGTTGTCGATATTAGCAAGACTTGAAGGTTTACGTGGTTTGGCAGTCTCGTGTCTCTTGCATTCGTGTGGATGTTGGTTTTGAGTTCGAGTCCGCCTGGTTAGTCGTCGGCGACAGACACCAGTCCTTGGGGTCTCAGTGAATGGATATAGAAGAAAAGTTCCCGAGGGCAAAGCTGTCCAGCAGTGCGAGGGCGAGCGTGCGGGAGAGGGGGGAGTACGAGGTATATATGTGTGTATCTGTGCGTGCAGGTGTGGAGGTGTGGAGGTATTGTATATGTACGTCGTAATATATGTACACTCGTTTCGTTTCGTCTCGTCTCGCTTGTTCGTTCGTTATTTAGTCAGTCAGTCAAATCAGACAAAACCAGTCAATCAAATAATCAATCAATCGTTCATTCTGAGGAGAAGAACTGAGGAGTTGCGAGCGGAGGTGGCCCGCTAGGAGTTTATTGAAATTTCATCATAATGGTTCTACCGAAGAAGTAAGAGTAAGATGGGAAATTCCTGGGATCGGGATTGGGCGAGGGTTCTGCGTGCTCTGCCCTCTGTTGTTCAAATGCCGATGGTTTGGACACTTTGGAGTGACGACGGTTTTGGGTTTTTACCAAGTAAGAATCTCCAGGTACCTCCACGGTCCGGCATCCGCGGGGGAATTTGGGGGGGATTGGAGCATCGAACGTATAACATATAACATGATACTACGGTAGCAATGTATCTATATACTACGAATTTGTACGGTTACGTTGTATTTAGATAGCAGCATATGTTGATTGTATATCGTAGATGTATCTTCGCGGACCTGGGATGTGCTAGATAAATGATACATCCATACACATGTACATACTTGGGTATATACGTACTCGGTACCTGCGAGGTACCTATTGAACTCGGAGCAAGATTTATGGAACCATGGCTGCGCTCATTCCTCTTTGGAGGTTGTGCTGTGAACTCTGTAAATGCAGATACATACCGAGTAATCGGTACTGACTGACTGACTGACTGCTGGATGGATGGAAGGGCGGGTTAGTTTGGTCGCCCAGCTGACGCGGATACGTTACCGTGACGAGGCACGAGGGCAACGAGCGAGGGGAAAACGAGCAGGCTCTCTCGATCTGCCGAAGAATATCTCAGCTGGAGACAACACTCGGTAAATGACAGAAATAATAATTATAATAGTAAGATCTCAGCCTCGCATGCGGCATCGGGCCTGGAACAACCCACCCCGAAACCCAAAATTCGGATGTGAGCTCGGCAGTTAGGATTTCTTACCCTCGTCAACATCCTCACCACACGCACACACAGAGAGAGAGATATACACAACACATCAAAATTGAATTACCGACATGGTTGTACAAGTCGCCACAGGTACGATGACAGTAGTTCCACAACCGAGAATGAGACCGAGACCGAGTACGAGTACGAGTGAGTCGTCGACGACGACAGGAAATACTCGGTACTTGAACTGTCTTGACTGTTCCTCTCTGCATCAATTTGATGGATGAACCAAAAGAAGAAAAGGTCGGAGTTTGTCGTCCTTTCAACACCGAGTCCGGAGCCACGTGATCCGAATCATGGCAGCATGTCACGTGTATGTGTTAGGCTAAAGCTTGGCATACGTCGTACCGAGTACAAGCACCTCGCCTCGTACAAGGGTTGTCCAGGGGGGTCAAATTAAGGATGATGGTCAACTCCTCTTCATACCTCGAACAGAGTCCTCCTTTCCCTTGTCAGGACGAGGTATCGAGTACTGTACATTATTTTATACATACACACGTACATTTGTACGTGATCAGAATCAAGGCCAAGGCCATGCCGTATCCTCGCCCTGGTATCCTGGCTATATATCCGCCGCGAGGTCCTTGTTTATTCATACCGCCGGAACGCCGAACCAAAGAAATCTCCCAGAGTCTCCCACCCGGTGACACCAAGTAATCATGTCACGGCTCCAAAAAAGAAAGAAGAAAAAAACAACCAATACATGAGAGAGAGCTAGGTAGGTAAGGAGGTAGGGAGGGTCAATCATCACCCCTCCCTCTCTCCCATCTCAATCTCATACTCAATCTCAACCCGCCGGACCTCATCCTGCATCCTCTCCAGCCGATCTCGAAAGTCGGGCGACAACTGTCTCCACCGAGAGTGGTCGCGCTTGAAGCACGTCGTGTAGTCGCGGGGCCAGTCCATGAAGAGCCACTCGGGCTGCGTGGCCAAGATCTTCTGTTCCACTTCCTCCTGTCGTTTCTTGGCTGCGTCGTCGTCACCCTCATCATCGTTATCATTCCCAGTGCTATCCCCAGAACCGTCAGATTTCGGGTCGGGATATGCCTCGAGCACCGCGTGCACCCGGTCCCCCAGGTACCAGTGTGTCCAGTTGCCAAGGCCGTGGTCTTTGTTTCCCTTGTCATACCACAGCGCCCCGTTGGCCCACAGCGGTTCAATGCCCCAAGCATCCGAATGGGCCATGTGGAGTGTACAAGAGCTGTGTTCTGGCGGAGGCGTTTCACTCTGTTGCTGCAGATCAGATCCGCCGTCATCCCACGCCGTTTCTCCCGAAAGGCCCGGGTGCTGCTTCTTCCATTCATGCTCGTCGTCCATGAGCAATTGGATCCCCGTCTCCTGCGACTGCGACAGACGGGCCGCGTACCACGGTTCGAACGCGTACGGCACGCCCATCAACTCGGTCGCCACCCAGTACGACTCCTTGTCGCCGTGCCACACCCGGAACGTCGACAAGTCCCGCACCTCCTTGGTGTTCATCCAGCACGTAAACAGCACCGCCATGTACAGTCCCACGCGCGACTTGTCGACGCAGACCACGGCCGCGTCGGCCTCTTCGCTCGAGTACCGTCGGTAAAAGAGCGAGCTCTCGTTCAGGTAGGCCGATGGGGGCCGTCCGGCGGCTTCCAGCTGGCGCTCGAGCCAGTCGTGCCGGTCGCTGCCGGAATTGATGTTGCGGTCGTGGAAGAAAAGCGCCCCCGTGTCCCGTAGCCCGGGGTACTCGTCGAACAAGTTGTCCGGATTGGCGAAGAATACGGCATCGGCGTCCATCAGAATCGTCCGCGGGTAAGGGCTGGCCAGCAGCGCGAAAGGTTTGATGGCGTATCCTTCCAGGTGGACGAGGTCCTGGTCAAACACGGCCGTCAGGTCGATGAAGCTGATATCCTTGGCCCGCCTGCGCAGAAACTCGCGCGTGCGAGGCCCGAGGTCGTCGTCGCCCATGTACGCGATCGCGATTGGGAGGCGACACCCGTGGACATTGCGCAGGGACCCGATCAAATGTGCGGCCTCCTTTGCAAACGAGTCCATGACGCTCATCACAATCCCCGTGTGTGGCCCCGTCCCCGTCTTTGAGGATGACTCGATGACGCTGGACACGATCCTCTCCTTCCACGACTGCAGCCTCTTCCAGGGGTAATACTCCATCATCGCGGGATCCCACCAGGGAAACAACTGCGCCACGACGTCGTTGACCTCGCGCGTGTCCAGCGACGGGTTCTCGAGATAATGGCCCGCCAGGTCCGCCAGCGCGGCGACCTTGACGCCCATGAGGCCGTGGTCCTCGGCGCTCGAGCCGTGCGCCAGCGTCTCCCCCAGCGAGTAGTGCTTGGTCAGCGTCGTGCGCTGGATCTGCGCCTGGCTTTTGGCGCTGTGCTGGAACGAGAGGATGTAGACGCTCTGCAGGATAAAGGCCGCCAGGAGGTACTTGGCCGGGTTCCGCGGCAGGAGGCCGCCGAGGAAACCCATCTCGATCTCGACCGCAGCAAAGGGCACGCAGGGGGGAGGGAGGAGGGAGGAGGAAGAGCGGGTCGAAGAGGGAGAGAGAGAGCAAAAGAATCCTACTGGATTCCAGCACCTGAGAAAATGGCTGTGGAGAAAAGGAAGGGCAACTGATATCACTTTGTCATCCAATCGTATATATAGTATAAAATATACAACAATGACAAGGTACAGCAGGGCAGGAAGATGGAAAGACTGTGAACACACAGCAGGTCTGGGCATGGGCAAATGCTAGGTAGGTAGGCAGGCATTTACTGCCTTTCTATTTGGCAAGAAAAACCCTTGCACATGCGATTCCTATCGACACCATGGAACGAGTTCCAGCTTCATCAAACATCCCTGCCTCGCCCACTCCCAAGTGCAAAAGCCACTTCAACCTTGGCCCTGTACCCTCTTTTCCAAGCCTTGTCGCGCCGTCGCAAGGATTGGAGCATTCGACGGCAGGGGAACTCTCTATTCCCACACCTCGCCCACCGATCAGCTCCCTCTACTGCCTCCACACCGTATCCCGTAAATGAAAAGGGGTGTGTTATGGCAGACTAAAGATTTGAGCAAAAAGTCAAAAATGGCTATCGACGAACCTGAATTGGGGGGAGATCTTCGCAGCTGCATACGTACAAACGAGGGAAGACCCACATCTGCTCGTGCGTTGATAAAGGGCGAACCGACTCTCGCAAGGCTGAGAAAGCAGATTCACCCTCGTATGGACTAGAAGTCATTGTCCAAGTGCTGAGGGGAGGAGAGACTTGATAGCAAGAGAGTCGAGTGTAAACACCCGAACAGTGCCTCTATCCGCCACGGATGGCGTGTGGCTATCGTCACATAATCGTGGAACTGATAAGGCGCCTAGGATCCGATCCACGATGGACACGCGGTAAGCTGACCGTTAAATCAGCCAAATTCCCACAAACATTTCGTATACCCCTTTCTCAAACGCTCATTCGATTGTGTTGATATGGATACGACATCAAAAGCGACAGCCAAGCCTTTATTCAGGCTTATCATTCGTTGTCGTGCGGAAGTTCCTCTCCAGGAGCCGAACAAGGAGTGCAGCTTGGAGCCTCTTGTTGGGAAACCAAGAAGGATTCTGCTATCGATCCTCCTTGTTGGGGGCTCTCTATCACCCTTGCAGTCGCTCTTGGTTGTCCACGCGTCAAAGGACGTTCTCAATGCGGGTTTCCAACTCCGCAAACTTCTTGGACGCCCCTTGGTTCCTGTTGCCACGTCGGATGCCGCGTATGCCGTGAAGCTTGGCCGGAACGAAAGGGGAAATGCTGATCCCTCGAGGTTGAGTCGGGAAGTTTTGGTCGATTGAACCTTATGAGGGGCGCCGTGCACCGCTCCAGCGTCTGTCTGTGCCGCTCCGCGGGGTGGTCGAAGGAACCATATCCTCAGTGGACACGTAAGAAATCAGTATCGAGAATTATGGTCCCTGCCATGTTTCAAGGTGCGTCTATTATTCTCAATTGTGCACACAATGCACGAGATGAAGAACAATTCACCGTGCCGAACTTCTTGCTCGGTAATCTTTTGTGGCGCTCTTCGCCTAGGCAAAGTCGACATCCCATTCATTCCCGTGTTCGTTGGTCGCCTCTCCACTTTTCCATCTCCCCCTCTTTCTACCGAGTACTAGGTCGGGAGCCAACCTCTAGAGTTCGAGTCTCGTCGTCCTGCATATGCCGGTCTTTTCGGCTTCTTGGTTGTGTGGAACTTCGATGGCGGCATGGAAATGTAGCTTTGGCTCTCTGACTTCTCTTCAAAAGTGATATCAGTCAATCGCATCTGCTGAGAGGATGAATGACGGACAAGGGTGACCACTGTCTTGTGCCCTGAGACAAACCCAAAGCCTACGCTGCTGGACGTGGCCCGTGAGTCCCCACGCGCCCTTACCCCTGGGAAAGCAGAATGAACCTGGGATGAATGTCGAGGCACCGCTCCGCCGCATCGAGATAAGCGTGGGCTGAGCTAGATTCAGGTGTTCGTAGTGTGAAGGGCAGAAATACGAAAAGGAGATGGGAATGTTGCTGTTGAGAGAGCCTTGTCAGCATTGGCCAGAGAGGATTTTTGCTTCGACCATCAAGTTTTGTCCGTCATTGCTAGTCCACTTGCCACTAAGCACATGTCTTTCTATGGTGTTTTGACTGATCATACATAAGGGCGGGCGCCGTGCTTGTGACTTTGCTCTAGGTTGTATCTGTGCAAGCCGTGGCTGCAGTTGCCTCCAGATGGTCGTCGCCGCCCAAGTTCAGACTGCTGGTGGCTTGTTAAAACATGTCGCAATCATCCATACATGAGAATGCACCTCGATGTCAGGATGTCCTTCGGCCAGATTTCGCAACGGGGCGGTGTCGACCCTTACAACACGATGTCTTGGGGAATTTTTGCTCTGTTGGAGGCATCGTCGGGGCGAGCATGCCTGTCCTTCGCCAACATCTCGACCGAGTCGTTTCGAGACCCGCGAGGCGTTGTGTTTTGAGCTAATCCCAGTTGTGCAATCCGATTTTATTTGACGATGAGCAATGCCACGTTCAGGAATACAGCCGGGTTTTTATACTCGTTCCGCAGGATATGGCAGAAACGGCAACAGAGGGAGAAAGACTTGGCGGGCATCCCTATCTATATGGGGATCAAAAGAGAAACAAGCTATCCATCTCCTTAGGGAGTACAGGGTTTGATTGGTTGCAGCATTCCAAAAGGGCACAGGACTGCACGGCCAAAGTGCAATATTTTATGTTCCCACATTGAATGGTGTTGACGACTGGCGAGGTCGACTACACCTTTCAAGGACGTGTTCTGGTGCTCAATATGGCGTGCCACAAAAAGAAGCGTCTTGCTATAGTGGCCTGGCGACAGCGTCACCTTTTTCCTTTTTGAGGAGCTGTATACCAGCTGTACTAAGTAAAGGCATCCAAGGACCGAGTGTCGCTGCCTCTCGAGTCTGCGCCACGGCGATCGTGTGCCTCATGTGGCTTTCTTTACGAGTGGTTTCGACGTCATCGGAAGGGAAAGCATCAGCATGTTCGACAAAAATGTGGAGGCTCTGCGGTCGCGTCCGCTGCTGGATCGGAGTTGAGACTTGGATTGTGCTGTGTCCCTGGCACCAACTGGTCCTTGTAGATCGAGTTACGTAGTTGGTGGAAGGTTCTGTGGGAACAAGTGCGTTCACTGCAATGGGGGTTGCTTGGTGCACAGATCACGCTACCTCCAGTCCAAGGCAATTTTTCTGCCCCTGACGATTGTCGTGACCCGCACTTGGTCACCCATTCTTGCCATTTGTGCTACCCAAGCATGTTGACGTCATAGCCACAATTGCCTCTGGTGCCTCTTGCTTCCATCTCGTGCCTCTTTCTCTTATTTCACTCGCAGCCTCATACGATCTCACTCCCTGCAGTTAAATTGTACTCTGCTCACTACATACAAGTAGACGAACTTCACTCTCACAATCACTTTGACCTGAACCAAAACTTCAACTCCATCTCAAGGTGAGTTCTCGCAGACACACCTTCCCCGCATCAAGCAAACCAGTCTGACTGTCGACAGCATTCCTCCACCCCACCAATAGCTATCCTCTTAACAAGCCTAGCTACAGACAGTCGTGTGCTCACGCACTCCCAAACCAAACAATATCTCTCATTGTAAAAGCAACTTCACCTAACACCAGACAGCAACATGCCTCGCGGAGTTGGCGAAGTCACCAAAGTCTTTTACAAGGGCAGCACCGATGACTTCATCGTATTTGTCGAATCCCCTCAAGACCTCAAAGCATGGCAAGCCGACCAGTCAATTCCTCTTGCACAAGTGGTGAATAGCTTCAAGATCATGGTCACCCACAAACATGGCGCACAGGGTCAGTTGGATGGGGCAAGCAAGGCCAGTCTGGAGAATGAGTTTGGTACCAGCAATGAAGATGAAGTCATCAAGAAGATTCTCCTAGAGGGACAACCACAAACTGTGACGGTATGTTTGATCAAGTTCTCGGCTTCTGCGTCGCCAACAAGTGTGCTGACTATGTATTCTTCTTAGACCGGTGAACGGGGAGGTGACCGCAACGAGACCAAGGGTCCCAGACAAGGACATCCCACCGCGTAGACCTCAAGTCCAGCCCTGATGTGAAGGCGATCTGCTTGACATGATTTTTATCATAGCGTGAACAATCAAGAGAGCAGTGGAAGTTGGTGAAGATCGAAACAGGCTCCATTGCGGAGCCACTACGAGATCTCCGGAGAGGATACGACAATGCATGGATCATGTCAATATGGCCATGATCATCGACACCGCAGCATGTGCGGTTAAGAGAGCTACTCAAACATCAAGGACCAGATACCCATGACTGGCATTTGTATTAGCTAGCTACCCAAATTAAAAAAAAAATTTGTGAACTTGGGGAGCTCAAGGGCACTCCAACAAGCTCCGAGATCTTTTTCCCTTTTTTCTCACCATGTCTTTAAAACTGTATCGATGGATCCTCTCTCTCTCGCGAGCAATTAGTTGATATACAGACCGTACTCATAGGTGTCATGCAGATGAAGGGACGGGCTGTGACGCACCCACTCACTCGAGTGGGGCGAGGCGGCAAACGGAAAAGATCAAACTGGGGGACAAAGAAGAGAAGTTAGAAAAGGCGAAGAGAGGGGGGGGATTGATCAAAGGGTAAGAAGAACCCGGTAGTGGTCATGGTCATGCTGGAACAGAAATTTTGGAGGGATCCCTCTTCGGTAGATCTAGAACTCGCTATGCAGCTGTCTCTTCCTTCCAGGCTGGTATATTCGTGTATCTTTCCTCCCCAATGATCACCTGTGACTCTCTCTCCCTCTCGCGTGCTCTTTCTGTCTCCCTGTTTCGTGTGAAAGCAGGGGATCTGACGGACGGCTGTAAACCTGATAGTATACATCGATGCAGACATGGATGGGGAGACCCTATCAAACTGTCTGCTTTCACCTGATAGTGATGCCGCCGGTGACCAGGCTAATTCCCCATCCTGCCTGGTTGTTTCTCGCTCTCTCGCACAACTCATTGCATGCTTTGGTATCTCTGGCGTTATCTTGAATCGCTTAAAAAACAACAAACTCTTCGAATAAGAAAATCTGTACATGACATCCCCAAAAACCAAGGACGCAGGAGAATAGATGAGGGAAGTGAGCTTGTCCCTCTTGGTGCCGTCTTGACGTGACTGTCGTCGAGACTTTCTGGTTTTCCTCTTGCTGGCTGAAAACAAGTCACACCGTCTCAAGGTCCTACGCGGTGGATGGGACCGAAAGCCAGAGCCAGTCTGACCTTTCCATACACGGGCGACAAGACTCTAGAAATGTTCCTTCCAAAACCTGAATTTGACGAGGTCGTTGCTCGTCGCTTTACAGGCGGTCTTGATTTCTCTCGCCGCGGCGCTGGGTCCACAAAAGTATACACCCACTGTGGCCTTCATTTGTGCCGTAATGGATGACTCCTTGCCCACATCCAGATACGTCTGGTCCATGAGGCCATCTCTCATGGCGCCAAAGAGACGCTTGAAGTCGGGCCTGCCAAACTGGGTCTTGGTGCGTAATGCAGTCAGAGGATCAACTGCATTGCCCACAGTGTTGAGGTAGATATTTGCTGCCGTGTTGGCGTCGACACGTTGGGTGAGGTAAGTGTGGATACGAAGGAACTCAGGGCCGCCCACACTTTCGGCAGCTTCGGCGGATTGTCGCTCAAGAGAAGTGAGGAGAGTCTGGAACCACTCGAAAGACTCGACAGAGCGGGTGACCCAGAGGAATTCAACACGCTTGAGACGTCTAGGTGGATTGGGTCCAGCGCGGATATTGTAGATGTGCTTGAGTACTGAGGCCCATGGGGTAACACCGATGCCTGTGCCGATGAGAACAGCAATTTCGTTGTCAAAGACGTCTTCGGCGGGGGCACCGTAAGGTCCATCAATCCGAATGGCAGGCATCTCTTGACCCTGTTGCAACGCAATTTCATAGATGCCCTCTTTGTCCAGGTCATCGAACTCCTTTGCTTGGGCAGGACCGCAACCCAATGCATCTCCCACAGCCTTTGTCCAGTCACCCACTTGACGCACATGCACCGAAATATAGGGGTCGAATGGGCACGAAGTGATTGTGAAAGGGTGCCACTGTTGGCTCGACACAGCGGGAATATTAATGAATAGCCACTGACCAGCCTTGTACTTCATGCTGGGTTTCTGGAACTGGATTTCCATGGCATCGTAAGGATGGCGGACCACTTTGGTGATCTTGGTCTCTCGTCTTGCACGGACTTCGCGCCAGAGCCGCTCAAAAAGGTAGAGACCGCCTGACCAAAGCTCCCACCGCCAGCCCTGGTAACCTATGCAGTGCTTCCAAAACAGCTTGCCAGCAAATGGGGAGAATGGGTCGGCTGTGTCTCGAACGAAACAGCCCACGGCGTGCGTATACATGGCGAGGAGAAAAGGGATGAAGAGATGGTGGGTGTACCAAAACGTCTCAAAGGACTGTTGGCGAATCTTCTGGTGGGCGGTAGTGTACATGAATAACATGCACAGCAGCATAATGTGACCGGTAACACCACCGGCCTGGGTGTAATGGATTTGAATAGCTGTCTGAGGTCGGATCTGGGTTCTTTCGACGTTGAAAAAGTTGACATAGTGAGCGGTGACATGGACGGTGGTGAACAAGAGCATGGCATAGGCACACTGTCTGTGGAACCAATGTGTCTCGTCAAGCGGTAGCCACCTAAATTTTGGTCTCAAAAACCGCATGAGGTTGCGGCACATGGGCAGCAGGATGAGCAAGACGTCCACGGAGAGGACAAGACCAGCTCCTCGCGATATCCATACCGAGAAAGTCAGGGTATTGAGACCAGCCAAACGGGGATCCGCTGCTTGCTTGTACCTGGAAAGAATATTAGATATCGAAAATGTCCCTCGAGCTGTTGGCACACGTACCATCCATAGGCGAATATCCCCCAGTGAAACCCCCACCACAGAATGTAAAAGATAATCTTGCTCGGAGCAAAATGAGACTTGAGGGTCGCCATGGTGTTTGAGCTTCGGTGTTGATGATGATATGAAAGGAATGTATATGATCAATCGACCAGGCCGTTGACGGGATTGTTCCTCTGTTCTTCCCAGGCTATCTGGTCTGCATGTCGAAGAAAGAGCCAAGAAAAAAGTAGGTCGTGGCAACGCAATCGATATGCGGTGGATATGATGAGCACAAGAAAAAGAGCGTCGAATGAATTTTGCTGGTTGACAGAAGAATAAGCTCACACCAGAGCTGCGAGCAGAGGCTTATGAGAAGACCGATCAGATGGAGCTATAGAACAAAGATGCCGGCCGGAGACTGGCAATCCGAGATTTTGTGGTGGTTGAACGGGAGATCACACGATAGATCACACGAGGGAGTGGTACTGATGGTAAATTGATCGATGAGATTCGCGGTGGCACGGTGGCCAAGGATCCGCACTGTCGCAGTGAGGGATGATGGTGAAGCAGGAGTTCAAACAAGACAGTCTGGGGAGCAGTGGTGAGGATCGGAGAGGGGGAATACGACTTTGATTTAGTATGGAAGACGAGTTGAAGCACTGAGGGTTGAGGTCGAAACAGGCTGGGAAGTGGAACCCACAAGATCTGGTACAGGAGATGTAACAGGAGTGGAAGGAGGTTTTTAGGAGGTGAGATATACCCGACCCGTTGCTGGGGAAAAGTTCGTAAAGGGTTCTGTCGGGGGATTTTTAGTAGAGAAGTAGAGATAAAGACGCGTGAAAAGGATATTGATTGCACAGGAACTAACGAAGTGGTTTACCGTCCTCGTGGGATAGAGACATACGAATTGCATCCAAGATTGATGATAGAAAAGTGACTTTTTGGCGGGTGGTCGGTGAATTAGTGGAGCACAAGGCACAAGATGGACATCCACCTGCATGAAACCCTGGTCCTTGGTCTCATGGAGTCTTACCTGATTGAGGACCACGGGCGGTTATTGGGTGGCGTGGGTGGGTGAGGAACGAAGAAGGTCAGGGAAACGGCCGCCGGAAACAAGATGAAGCACGAGAGCCAGTCGATGGTGGATGGGGGAGGAGTTGATCTGACAGGATGGGGGAAGAAAGAAACAGGAAACGTGGGCAAGAAGAGCAGCTCTAAGAGGCGTGGCATGACGAATTGCTCAGTGAAGAGGTGACGAGAGGATATAGTCACGCATAAAGACTCAAGACTATCGCATCTGCAAAGTGAAGTGAATGAATTTACTCGTAAATTCTGGCCGGAAAGAGCAACCCAAGCACAGCAATTGCTGCAGGTGCTCAAGAAAAAAGATGAAGCGGACCAGCGTATCAGGAACCGTTTCGAAGCGCCCTGGAAACTGCCCGAGGATGCCTAGAGCAGTTTAGTGACCCGCTAAAGCTCCCGTGGGCGGTGGCAACCGTGGATGCGTCCCTGGGCTAAGGGTTCAAGTCACCCCGGGCACCCATTCTATTGGCTGTTAGGCCCTTCGCCTATCCTTCCCTTAGCGTCCCACGCTCCTTAGCGCCCGCAGCTTCTCCCGCAATCACATCCATGTCGGTGCTTAATTCTGCCCCTCGATTCGCTGCCATCAACTGCGCTTCTCAACCACTCACCACTCATCACCTCACATCGACAAAACTACTACGAATAGTAATGGATTCCAGATCTCGAACTATACCTCGCACCTTGCAGATGGCCCTGTTGTCATTTCTATTTTCAGGCTTTTATACCCACCCGCCCACCAGCGCCATCACCAAGTCACCAAAGTCACTCGTTCCCCTCCACACCAAGCCACTTCTCCACGAATCATACAACCTCATGACGAACAATATCACCAGATCTGGCGGTTACTGGTCTGCTCTATTGTTGATTGATTTTTGTTTCCAATGGCTGCACTGCATCTCACACTAACGCAATGGCTCCATTGATGAGCAACGGTCTTGGTAGGTTGGGCTTGTTCTCGGGTGCTCGGTAGATCATGGGGGAGCTCGAGGTCTGTTGACCAGAAGACAAGCACATCTTCCCACGAGTATATCGTTATTACTTCTTCATCTTTCAACCTCTTGTCAAGTAAGTCCCATTGAAACAGTGTACAAGTAAAGAAATCAACCCAAATCCCAACCCACAGTCCCTGTTGGTGGTTGTGGTCCAAGCTGTCGCAAACTCCACATCTGTAACACTTTCTGTCTCCGAACCGCCTCAACCGCATCAACCACTCGGCGGCGAGACACCACCTGCGACCAATCTCTTACGCGCCAACCCACAGACTTCAAGTACTCGAGCCTTCAGACACTGCCGGACCACCACTTTTCAAACTCCTGATACTGCCCCCTCTGACTGCTGATCCCTCACCAGCGACGACCAGGTCAGACACAGCCAAACACTTGCTGATACCGGCTTAACCCTCACCGAAATCACCCATTCCTCCCTTCCAAAAGGGAGGAAAGCATTGACCAAGCTTTGCCTGTCCAAGTCTCCTCATATACCTCGCCAAACCCTGATGCTTCTGCGGTGATCTCTAGGCGCAGGTCGTCCTTTTCTGTGTGCTCGTATTCTTTTCGATCATTTTGGCTTAGACAACGACTTCCATTCTTTTGGCTATTCGACTCTTTCTTTCCAACCAAACAACGTCAACAAAATTTCCTTGAGCACACACTTCACTTCTCGGCGACATCATGGGGAAACTCATCAAGAACCATTGGGCCCGTCTTATCGTCCTCACTGCCGCCACATACCAAGTCCTGGCCAGCCTCGAAGGCTTCTTCTGGCCCAAGATCTTCTGGGACTTCCTCACCAAGAACCTCGACGGAGCCGTCAAACCCTTTCCCGTCTTACAAATCATCAATCTCATCATGGCATTCATGAGCCTTGCGTGGGAATGGCCGCTCGCTCCGGTCGTCAAGTTGCTGCCGGGTCTCCATAGGAGCATGGAAGCCAGATTGGTGGTGTATCCCTTGGCAGCTCTGGCTGCAGCCATCATGTATCAATCGACCAATGCGGCATTATACTACATTGTTGGCGTGGTTGTATACTTTTGGGCTTACTCAGAAGGCGAGGTAAGTTGATACTCAGTCCCCGTTCACTCGAGGAGCATCTCGCTGACATAATCCCAATTCAGACCGTCTGTCCAGAACCTTGGACTGTACCGAAGAAAGGAGGTGCAAAGCCTGGCCGGGTATGAGGAGCATAAACAGCTGTGCTGGATTTTTTTTATATAAATAAGAGTTGTTCCGCCGCCATACGGAACGATGGCGTTGGTTATGGTCAACAGATCCCTCTGGATGTCAAAGTGGCTATTATGCCAACAAATGTAGATATTATGCCCGATACGGGAAATGAGAAGTCACGTTAACACAGTTTTGTGTTTGAATTCAAGGACTACTCTGAAAAATATAAAGTATCTTGTTCAATTATCGCTTGAAAGAGACGAAAGGGGTCAGGCTAGCCATCTATACCGGAAGTGGCGGTGCTACCCAGACCAGGACAGCCAGCCTCGTTCAGGCCTCCCAAGTTGTGTTGAGAGTTCATTTCGCACCCAGATACGCCACCTGTTGGGGGGAAAATTATGTCGTGCATTAACGATGTAGATAGCTTAGCTAGCCTGTGCTTCGGGGGTGCTTGGCTTTTTCGCTTCATGAGGGAGGCCTTGAGGGATCTTGAGGATCTCGGGATCTTGATGCATTCAAATCGATCCTGTACAGGCTTGGTGTGGACGAACAATCAGGCGAGCAAAGAAGGATCTCGCTTGGTCCGTTCTCTCTCTCCCTCGCTGTCTCTGTACATATTCGTATTCGGAGCCACGATTGACTACTAACTCTCGTTGAGAACGCGTCGCCGGCCGACTTACCAGACAGCAGGAGTGATCTTCTTCTCCTTTTTCAAGCACGCTGTGTTTTACCCAAACTCTCGTAATAGATACTGGATCTCAGTCGTGTTCATTTTCTGGTCTCTTTTCGATTCTTCTGATACGCCGTACACGTGTCACATGTCCCGGGAGATATTGGTCCCTTCTAATCACACACTGATGTGGATGTTGACGGCTTGCAGAGGAAGGAAGAGGACCGTTCCATGGCACGAGGACTTCAAGCTCAGCGCCGCCGAGGACTAGGTAAACTTTCGTTGAGTGCACGGAGGTTCGGGGCGTAGCACGGGGTGGTAGATCAAAGGGGTCAGGGCGCAGGAAGAAGTAGGGGAAGGCATCAGGAGGACGTGACCGCAGCAAGTGTAGGTTCGAACCAACCTCCAGCGAGCCAGTGGCTGTGTCGGGTGCTGGAGCAACCGTAAAGCATTCGTAGGGAAGCGATCAATGCATCGTGAGAGTTGGGAGAAGTCGAGTTGTGGACATGTCGATCAATGTCGGCATGGTACCGGGTATTGTTGGAGTGACTGCGCCCACATGGCAAAATAATGACAAGGATGTTTTCGTCAGCTGCCGCCGCTCATTTCTGCACGTCATTGTCAGGAATGTCAGACATCAACCTTCTCTTTCTAAACACGACCGCAGCCTCGTGTGCTTCTGTCGAAGAGTCGTGGGACAACAGACTACACAATTCAAAGGCATTCTAAGCGTGCAACAAGCGTGTCAAGCTCTCCTATCCGCAGATCCAAGACGCGCCTATCACCTCGATGGCTTTCCTCCTTGGTGGCTGAAACCTCTTGGCGAGGGTTGCGACAGATCAGCGCCAGATTCAACCCTGATGATCAACCTTGATCAATGGGACGCCACCAAGCAGTAAAGAGCAAGCATGATATGATGCCCAGACAACGAAAAGACCTTCCCACTACTACTCTGTTGTTGTCCAACGCCATCCCATGAGATTCACGCTTGCTGCGCAGCCGGTGCCAGACAACTTGCGCACGGCAAGTCCAGGCCGTGCGAAAACTCGTCTTCCTTGAAATTGCGCGCTGGTCTGGTCGACGGTTCGACGGGTTTGCAACACCAATTTCCTGAGACCCCTGTCGAGGACCACTTTTTGGGGGGGTGGAACAAACACCACACCACCAACTCTCGCGATGAGAGATGGGTGAGTGGTGCGAGGCTCTGTAGCTTAGCTCTCGACTCGCCGATCCCAAAGGTTTGTGGCTTCTCCTTTATATCAGGTTTTGTCGCCCGGTTATAGTTTCATGCTTCGCCCTCCCTTTTGTTTGTTTGTCTGTCAACCACTACCACCACCATTTACACCAGTCACTCGTTTGTTCTCCGTGTAAAAAGCTCGCCGTCTTCCGGTACACTCGTCTACTCGTGCCTGTCCTTTGCTTGCAACCGAATCAAATCAATCGCCATTCTCTCGAATTTCAGCTGTTCGTTACCATGAAGTCCTTCATCGCAGTTCCTGCTCTCTTCGCCCTCGGCGCCCTGGCCGACGGATGGGCCTTTACCTGGACGTTCTCCAACGGACACAGCACCTGGACCTCGTGCACGTCTGCCGCTGCGAATGCAACTGTTGCCCCCGTCGAGGTCTCTACGTCCAACGCTCCCTGGTCCGAATGGACATCCACAACCTCTTACACGGCGACTTATAGCTCCGGTGCCTCGACATGGGGCATCCCGACAGCCGTGAGCTACAGTGTGGCGTCCAACTTCACGAGCATGATCCCTGCACCGACGACAAGCACTCAAGCGACCGCCACCGCAGTGGCGCCCACGACTTCTGCGCCAGCTACTTCAGTCGAGGCGTCCAAGACTTCTGCCGCCCCATCTGCATTCACCGGCGCCGCCGCTCCCAACGTCAACGGGAAGATTGCCGGTATTGGTGCTGTCGCCATGGCTGGGTTGGCATTGGTTCTGTAGACGAAGCTGGCCGAGGGAAGGAAATCTGGACGGCAAAGACACGAGGCCAAACACCCGTGAGGCAGGGCACAACCTTGGAAAGGCTTCCTCATGTGTGCGTCATCTCGACGGCCAGCGTCGATTTCGTCAACGAACATTGAGAGTCTAGGGCGTGGGAGGCTATCGTGAGGAACGAGGTTTTTGGTTCCTCATTCGACTACCTCGTCTTCGAGACGAACCTACAAAATACGAATATGGTTCGTCTTGGCCTCGTTTCCCCCGTTCAAAGATGTATTAGCAAAAACGAACCGATTTGTTCTACATACGTACTCGGTACCAAGTACTTGTTGCAGGGCCAATGTAATCAAATCATCAATCTCAGAAAAATCAATCGAATTAATCTCAAGTTATCCAACACTCTCCCTACTACCGAGTAATTCATTAGTTTCGAATCTCACTCACTCACTACCCCGTCCCTTATGCCAAAAAAAAAGGAGATCCCCTTGCTCGCGTAGTTTGTCAATACCAGCGCAAGTACATAATTTCAGGACGATGATGATTGTCTTGTGTACCTGGCAGCCTGGGTAGGCAAGGAGGATCCATATTCCCGTCGTGGACGCGTGGGACTCGTGTGGACTCGTGGATTCGTGACTTGTTCTCGTGGGCAAGTAGTTGTCCCCACTGGGTCGTGGGTCGTGGCTTGGGGGGTTGTGGAGCGCGTGAATTAATAAGCATCAACATCTCCCGTAAACAAGCAATACTGGATGTCTTGTTTGCTTGTGTACTTGTTCGTACAAACCTTGAAATCTTGAAACAGATTTGAGCCGATCCATCGTGCGTGCAGTGCGTTTTCACCGACGAGCCGTACGTACTGCTCACCGGCATTCGCTGTAGCCTGATACTCCTCGGACTGGTGGTACTCGGTCCTCCTACGGGCTCTAGCCCACTCAATTCCCTCAAGAACGGCAGACAAGCCAAGACAGGCCAAGAGAAGAGAATTGTACCTAAAGCTGACACACACGTGGTTGTTTTGTTCCAGTTGTAAGTCAGCTTTATCGGTCAGTCTATCAATCAGGCCAGCACCGCAGCCTTGGTCCCTTTGCCCTTGGCCTTCTTCTTGCGGTGTGTTTCTACGTACGTGCTCGCGTATGATGACTCTTCTTGCACATGCACCTGGCTCATGCCTTCTTGATGCCCGGATGGCCTTGACGGCCTTGTTCAGAGATGACTCCAAGGAATACCCTTTCTCTCACACGCTTCATACAGAGTAAGTGAATAACACCAAGGAAGGAAGAAGTCGATCCCCCGTCGAACAGCGCACTGCCATCAAGAGTTCCCCTATTCCCCCTTGAATGTCACTTTGAATAAATACATACCGCGCGCGATCTGTCGGTGTGAGTGTCGGCGTCAGCGTCCACGAGGAACAAGAAGAGCAGAGACCAAAAAGGAATGGAGGACAACTCGAGTGAACGTCGGGCGAAGGAGCTGTCTGTGCTGGTCGTTGGCGCGGGAATCGCAGGTCTCTGCGCGGCGATCGCCCTCCGTCGAGCCGGGCATAGAGTAAAGGTATGTAAGAAATTTCCTGTTCTTTTCTTTTGGTAATGGCTCCCCATGTGAGAGGAAGAAAGAAAAAGGGCGGAGAGAAAGAGGGCGAGAGATTGAAACGCGAGACTAGTGAGACAGAACAAAGCTGCTCAACCCATTTATTGTATTCGTTCTTCTAGATCCTGGAGCGCTCGCCAATGCTCGATGAGATCGGCGCCGCCATCACGCTCGCACCGCACGCCGTCAAGATCTTCCGGTCATGGGGGCTGGACGACGCCGAAATAGCCCAGGCCAGGCTCATCCCCCGACTGGGCCAGACGTTCATCGACGCCACGACGCTCGAGGAGCTGGCGCCCACGGACCGCACCGACTTCGCTGGCGTGTACGGGGCGCCGTACCTGTTCGCGCACCGCGTCGACCTGCACGCCATGCTGCGGACGATGGCGACGGGTCCCGACGGTCCCGGTCGGCCAGCGGAGGTGCACACGTCGTGCACCGTTGTCGAGTACGACGCGGGAAGGGGTAGCGTCAAGGTCACTGGAGAAACAGACAGTTGGGAACCCCCGGCGGACCTGGTCGTGGCGGCCGATGGGGTGCACTCGCGGGCGGCGTCGCACGTTATGAGCTACGACGTCGACTGTGCCGCGCACGCGACCAACAGCACGGTGATCCGCTTCCTGATCCCGACGCGCGAGATTCTCCAAGACCCGCAGGCGGCGCCGCTGCTGCTGCGGTACGGCGACGGCCACTGCTCGTTCTACCTGCACGCAGACCGCCAGCGGTGGCTGGTGCGGTACCCGTGTCGGGACAACGCGCTGCAGAACTTTGGCATGTACATGTACGTCGACGAGGAGGAGGAGGAGGAGGAGGCAGAGCAGCAGAATCGCCGAGGGTGGACCCAGCAATGCGGCCCTGACGACCTGCGCGCCGCCATGGCGGGATTCCACCCGACGCTCCTCCGCCTCTGCGACAAGACCGACAAGACCATTCTGCCCCTGTGGCGATGTGCAGAACGCGACCCCCTACCCAGGTGCCAGCGCGACAAGCTCGTCTTGATCGGCGACGCGTGCCACCCCATGCTCCCACACCGGGGCTTCGGGGCCATCAACGCGATCGAGGACGCCGCCGCGCTGGGCGTTCTCTTTGAAGACTTTGGTCTCTTCCGCGCGGGTCGAGATCGTGAGTCAGTCCCCACCCCAACACCGTCTACGGTGCCGAAGTCGGTGTCTACACCAGTATCTGGATCTATCTCCACCCTCCTCGAAACCTTTGAGCACATCCGCCTCCCCCGCGCCTCAATCGCCCAGCTGTACTCGCAGGTCGCGACGAACAAGGACCCCACGGCCGAAAGACGACGGGAGGCCGTAAAATTGCTCCCGGAGGACGAGTTGCCCGGTAAGTAAACACATGCACAAGCCATACCATCATACCATCATCACATGGGTCATAAGAAATGAGAATGAGATATCCCATCTTCCTATCCTCAAATCCATATCCTCATATCTCTTCCGACCACCCCTCCCCCATCACCTTTCCTCCCCTATTCCCTCCCCTTTCCATGTATCCCAAATCACATCCATATCCCTCACGTATTCTTCACCCATCTGATCCGTCACTGGTCACTGACGGGACAAACAGAAAACACAGACCAAGTCATCCCCTGGGTCTTTGGCTACGATGTCGTCGAAGCAACTCGCCGAGCCAAACAAAAACTCTTCGAGACACCAGCGACGACGTCTCTCCACGCCTAATCGACTTCCCACCCGGGTCTTGTCGCTCTCTGTGAGAACGACACAGGCACGATAGCCAGAAACCATACGTCTCTTGAACTAGTTGGCGTTACTTTGAGCCCGAATAGTAAACTCAGACGTCTTGAGATAGTGCTGGGATTGAATACAAGTTAACGATGCCATACATGCCATCAATGGTTAACCGTGTGTACACTATTTACTTGAATACAACATGTGGCGAAACCCATCGGCCGACAGAACTTTCAATATCCCAAGTGGATTACTCCATCGCTTCTTCCTGCCAGTGAGCCCTTCCTCCACAAACTCTGGCTTTTCTTCAATCTCCTTGACCTCAGCATAATATATCTCCGCTGGATCCTCTGGCCCTACCTCCGGCCCTCCCGGATCCTGGACAACCTTTTGTCCCCTTGTTCCCTTTGCCAGGCCATGTTGTCCCGGGGATATAGACAGCTTTCTGGTAACACTGCTCCCTATCATGCGACTGACTACATTCTCCATCGTGTCAACCTCTGGTATCTCACGCGACTTCGTTCTCGCTGGTGTCACCTCGTCAAAGCTTTCTTTGCGAACTTCAAAGACATGTGCCGGATACTTCATTCTGCTCCGTCGGCTCTCGTTTGACAGGTCGAACGACTTGCGGCTGGTAAGTGACAAGCTTCCAGGCCGCCTCGAAAACGGAGCATGAATGGAAGCCAGACTCAACTTTCGGACCAACGAACCAGCCGACGCTCTTATGATTTGACCCCCCCGAGAGCCAATCATACCTGGGTACGGCAATTTCTCCTTTGTCCAAACATCACTCAAGGTTGATTCGAGCCTTGCCCGCTCCGACCGTTTTGGTGCTAGGACAACCACCCTGTTGGACGTCATATGTGACTGAGATCTGTTGATGGCTGAAGACGATGGTTGACGAAATTCGTGCAAGTCCTGTGGGTTGTTTGTGTTTCGAATGATAACTTGGCAAATATTGGCCCGGTTTCCTACTGTGGCCGCTCTTTGTACTGAAGGGTTCCTGGACAAGGTCGAACTCTGCTGGATGTAGACCTGCCCGAGAGATCTGAGGCTGAGACTGATGCTCGAGGGAATCTGGTTCAACACTTCATCCATCCCCCTTCCTGGAGCAACCTTGTTTTGTAGGCCCCCTCTCCAAACACCTTCCTCGATGGAAGAGCAGGCACTCAGTATGAATTCATGTAGGTGACCGCCAATCTCGAAACATAGTTTCCACGTGTAAAGGGTCGAGTGGCATTGAAGACCTCGCCCGTCACTGGCCGATTCAATCCTCGTGTCTCGCAGATGCAAGAAAGCAATCACTTCAAATTTCGTCGTGGCTCCTGCAGGCAACGCGATGATGAGACTGGTGTCAAACAACAAGCAGAGCGCGTAACGACCGTCGACTCTGTTATTCCTAGCCTGCCAGACCACATGCAGAACACCACTCAATTGGATATTCCCCAGCATTCGAAATTGTTCGGCCCCTAGAGATACGTGATCGCAGATCAGCCTTGTCTGAAGTGACCATCGTCGTTGAATCTGAGTTCGAGTTTCGTAGTTATCCGTGGCTCTATTGACAGTTTGAACAACTTCTCTCAAGCACGTCAAGACTGCTTCAACCTCGGAATGTGCACTTGGGCAGTCCGCCACGGGTGTTTGCTTTAAAAGATCGCCAAACAGGAGAGGGTATTTTGTCATGCGCTGTATCGGTTTGATCAGAAGATCACTAACCGTGAGGCCTTTTCTTTCGCTTTGGTATTTTTGATTGAGAGCAGTAATGGACCTGGCCAGTGATTCAATTCCTGACTCATAAGTTGACCAAAGTGTGGGAGAATGGCGTTGCAACTCGTGGGCGATGAGGCTGTGATTGGCACAGTATTCCTCGTATACCAGAAAGTCACCCAAGAAATCCCGAAAAATCGCTGCTACGTCAGCAACATCCCTGGGTTCTGTTCCACCCAAGGGACCCCGACCGCGTGACAGTTCGACCGAGTCCATCGAGCTGCGCGTTCGACGATGGCTGCGCCCGATCTTGGCTGCAACACTGGACTCCAGGCTCCTCCAGCGCTTGTGATAAGGTGGTGATCCGAGACGTCGGGGAGAGGTCGTGTCTTCCCACTTTCGTGCTGCCGCCTCGTAGGTAGCCTGGTGCAGCCGCTCCAGGAGTCTCTCGTGCACGGAGAGAAGATCATGGACATTTCTTAGGATAGATGATCTGACCCGGTCTGTAACCGTCATGCTAGTTGCCAGAAGAGTTGAATATAGGTACATTAGAGCCTTTAGATCGGCAACATAGCTCTCTTCAGTGGTGACCAGCTCAACAAGAATTTGTCTCCTTTTAATCGCTCTTCGAAAGGCAGCCTCGTCCACAGATGTTGATGTCTGCGGTCGTTCGCTTTCCACCGAAGGTCTCGCACTTGAGCCAAAGACATAATAACTGTCTGTTGAACGGCCGATACGAAGTGACCGAGGAACAAGGCTGAAGCTTGCGTTGCTGAGACTCGCTGTTTTCATGGTGTGGACGAAGCCGGACGAAGCAGTTGAATTTCTCTTTCGGTGCAGGCTCGAGTGCTGCCCTAGCTTCGGCATGTCTTCCGAGGTATCTGCCAGGAATGATGTCTCGAGGAGGGATTGGAGAGGCTCGTCCACAGCACTGAACAAGTCTCGAGTGTCTTCGGTTGGGAGTGTAGTCTGATCCTCACATTTTTCCTGTTCAACCCAACATACTTCCGTGGACAGCGACGTGCGAAGTCTGTGGTGTCCTCGACCCTTTGAGCCGGTAGCATGCTGCAAGTTTTGTGGGCGCTTCTCCTCATTGCGTACCTCTGCCAGCGGTTCGCGAGCCTGACTTGGACTAGCAAGATACCTATGGGCAGATCCGGTGCTGATGCACACGTCTGGAGGGGTTGGCTGAAATAATGGCGATCTTAGGTCTTCGGCCAGTGACAATGATTCGTGGTATTCCGAGTGTATTCTGAGGCTGTTACTCGACGAAGGTCCCTGGATTCGATCAGATAATGTCGGACCGAGATTCTCGCAGTACCGCAGATTTCGATCTGGTTTTATTACTTGCGCAGGAGCTGATGAAACAGATTGAACCGGCGCTGAGGAATTCCTCAAATTCTGGTTGACGCAAAACGGTTTCAGTGAAGTCGAGGAGATCCGTGGGCGGGCAGGATATGCTGCCCGCGAGCCACAAAAGATGTTCGCTCTGTTATCGAGATGTCTGCTGAAAGGACTCGTTATGACGGACGGCAAGAGCTGAGCCGTCATGGTTTTATCAATAGCACATAAATTAAGCTCGTAAAAAGATAGGATCTCAACAATGGGAGGCAAAATGAGAGCCAACGGTCAAAATTCCCATTTGAGGGACCAAACGGCCAACGTTGAGAGGGTGCCCAAAAGTTGAGTGATACGACATGGCAACAGTGACAGTTGGAAGACGGCCGAAAGCGAAGAGGCTTTCAATCGACCAGTTTCCAATCTGGCGGACAAGGGAAGGTGATGTCTGGTGATGCTTACAGAGAAGGAGCAAGGCTGTGGTGATAGAACGAGTCTCACACATTTTGTCCAGGCTATTGCTGGAAAAGATGAATACATTTCCTACCTAGACACCCGTCTCCTAGATTTGACGAGAGGAGACAGCCTCAGAAAGAGATTGTCTGTGGAACATGGGCGCCGAAGCCACCGAATACATGACAGGTAATCAAAACAAGCTGCCGTTTGAGGTATCAGAGGGGTTTGTCTGCGCTTGGGGGACTAGTCGCTGTAATAAGTAGACAGCACACTCATCAGAAGCCATTGGATTGAATGATTGAGCCACGGCATGACGATGCCTTACAGAGAACAAAGACTGAAAGTCCAACCTACTAGGCAATCAATCGACCAAGCTGGATCTGAAGCATGGCGGCGCATGCGGCGGCGGTGGTGGTTGTGGCAACGGAACCGGATAAACATCGGAAAAACTGCCTTCCCCGCTTACATTTGTCCCTTTTGCACCCACGCATTCAGAGGTTGCCTGCGCTGAACATGTTTGTTACTCAAACATCTGTCTCTGGCTCGCATCTCTTGATCTGCCTGTACATTTGATGAATGACCATGGGACTTCCGATGGACGCTAACCTTGCCGAGATACATGTCCCAAGTGGACCTACCTCGATCCACCAGGCAGAGTCGTTTGACGGTCTCTCTTTACAGCAACTCATTGCACGCAAGGACAATCTTGAGGCAGAACTCAAAGCCTTGGGCGCAGTCCTAGATAGTCATGGCGTCACCATGCAAACAAGCCTGACCACATTTGATGGGTTTCCAAGATCAGATATTGATGTGGCGCAAGTACGAGTTACAAGAGCTCGGATTGTTGTGCTCCGCAACGACTGGAAAGCTCTGATGGACAAAATCGAGAAGGGTCTTCACGAACATCATGCCAAATACCAAGCCTCGGACGAATACAAGAACTCACTAAATCAACCTCAATCCCAACCAGCGCCCTCTCCTGCATCCGAACAGACACCTTCTGCCCCCGAGACCCCATTTGCAAAGGTGAACAGCATTGAGCCCGGGAGTCCTGCACATGAAGCTGGTCTAAAGCCTGGCGATTTGATAAGAAGATTTGGGACCGCAATATGGTCAAACCATGAGAGATTACGCAAAGTTGGGGAAGTTGTGAGCCAAAACTTGGGTCGGCCGATCTTGGTTCGGGTTTCTCGTGGGATGGGACAAGACACACAAGAGCTGGACCTGAGGTTGACTCCCAGACAAAATTGGGGTGGAAGAGGGACGCTGGGATGTCACATTGTTCCCATATGAAGTCCAAGCTCGTGACGCCATGAGACACCCATGAGAGGATCCATTCAGGATTGTGGTGCTAGATGGGCTTTGCGGCTTCTATGGTCACGGCTTGTGCCATTTTGGGCACGACAGACGCAGACGACACGAAGGATCCTGATCAAAGACTACTTGTGCTTGGGCATGCTCCGTTCGTTTTTGTAACAATAATCATGATGGGCCTAACGAATAAAATGGATTTGATATCATCTTAAGTGCCCAAGAGTGCGCACCCAACCTAATGGCCCCACTACTACTGAAATATGCAAGTATCCCTGTTGTAGTCACGTGCTTGGCCATGATGCAAAATCCCCAGTGACGCCGCTGGAATATGCCAAGCGCTACTCTTGAAAACAAACCACCGCCTTTGACTTGCGCCTGCTTTCACTTTCTTCAAGATACCATCAAACCGCCTTCTCGTCATCTTTTTCACCACCTCTCTTTGACACGCCACTGCTTTCAAGGCTGTGGTACTCTCGCAATCGCAACATTTCTTGTTGACCTCCCCTTCCTGAGTTGATATCAGAGATCTCAACAAAAACCACAATCACAATGGCGGAAGCTGCAACGGCCGTGCCAACCTTCAAGCTCGTCTTGGTGGGCGATGGCGGTACTGGAAAGGTGAGCTCTACTGCAATCAGAGCCTTCTTCTGCTCGTTGGGGCAGCTCGACAAGGCAGTTTTTGAAATCAACAATTCTAATGGTTATCATAGACTACATTCGTCAAGCGCCATCTGACAGGAGAGTTCGAAAAGAAATACATTGCCACCCTTGGTGTCGAAGTCCATCCTCTAGGATTCTCAACCGTACGTTAAACAGACGTTCAAAGCGCAGACAATTCTAACCGCGAATCAGAACCTCGGGCCGATCCAGTTCGATGTGTGGGACACCGCAGGTCAAGAGAAGTTTGGCGGTCTTCGTGACGGTTACTACATCAACGGACAATGCGGCATCATCATGTTCGATGTCACTTCCAGAATCACATACAAGAACGTCCCCAACTGGCACCGTACGTCAATAGCACCTTGGGCAATATGATTACAAGAGCATTTGATCTGACCAAATCTCGCAGGTGATCTCGTGCGCGTCTGCGAAAACATTCCTATTGTTCTCTGCGGTAATAAAGTCGATGTGAAGGAACGCAAAGTCAAGGCTAAGACTATCACATTCCACCGCAAGAAGAACCTCCAATACTACGACATTTCGGCCAAATCCAATTACAACTTCGAAAAGCCCTTCCTCTGGCTGGCGCGGAAACTGGTCGGCAACCCTCAACTCGAGTTCGTGGCCGCTCCGGCTCTTGCGCCTCCCGAAGTCCAGATCGACCAGGCACAGCTCGACCAGTATCACAAGGAGATGACTGAGGCTGCGGCAATGCCTCTTCCGGATGAGGAGGACCCTGACTTGTAAATGATGACAGCCAATGCTCTGCGCCTGGGCTGTGATGTTCTCACTCAAAGGGTATCAATGGTCAAGGAATTGGTCTAGCGAGACGACAGAAAGAAGGTCGTGCTGTTGCCATCATATGATTAGAATGACAGGGGACGGGTTAGTGGCGGCGTGTCAAGCATCTCTGGTGGAGCTTCAGACGTGATGGACGTGGCTCTGGATGAGAACAAGTGTGGGAGTGTTGAGGGATTTGATTTCAACACGCTTGGCATGTGGTAAAGGGCCTCAAGAGCGAAAGAGTACCCGACCTTTACCCTCCCCCATGCGAAACGAATGACCCTTGCAATAAATCATCTTGGGTGACTGCTCTTAGCTTTTTTAGACTAGCTTTTAGCATAGCGAGATGAGAAAGATCATTGCTTCAACTGAGACTAACTCTTAACTTTACTTGAACGACATTGGGTGACCAGGATGTACGAGTTTTGAGTTATATGCAGACACGAAGGGATATATAATAGAAACCGTGCTCCGATGCTTTCTTGAAAGAAGATGTCAATCTGAGGGAGACCAGGGACGCTGATGGCTAGATTCCACTCCATGGACTCCTCTGTATCGCCCCAAAAATCCGCTGTGCTCAAAAGACAAAGATCAAGAAGCAAAAGGGTGTCGCTAGCAAAATCCAGTCCAATCCAATCCAAGCCATGCACAAGAAGTTGCAAATTCCCAAGCGTCTAAAAGAAAACAGGTAAATGGGAGATGGGGCGAAGAAATCCATGCCCATGTCGCGCCAAATCGTAATGCATAAGGCCTTCCCTCCCTCATCATGTTCAGAGTTCCGTGTGCCATATTCCGTATCCCGTATCCCATCAAGTAAGCAAGCCAGAAACCAAGGCATGAAAAATCGCAACATATACCAACACAGACAAAAGGGGCAAGTTCTGAAAAGAAACATTCGAGGCAAATCCAAGTCACAGTTCTGTTGTCGTCATTTGGAAACCTCCCTTTTTCTTTCCTGAAACATCCTGACCCAGCACTGCTCCGCGTGTTCGGATCACAAATAACCCAGAAGCAAATTGTAAAGGTAGAACCTAGCCCCACATAGGAGAGCTGTAATCCGTTCTCACGAGACAGAAACATAAGATGAGGAGACATCAATCAGATCAATATATATCGACCCTCAGGAATCTCTCCTCGTTGCACCGCTCCGTGAGAATCGGATCCACTCCGGAGATCTCATCGAAGTCGGAATTGTCGTTTGTTCCTCGCCGAGCGTGGGCTTGGGTCTTTTTCTTCTCGCGAACACAGTAGTCGCGGTACGCCTCAACGTCTAGACCCATGTTTCTCATGACGGCCAACATCGCCCGGACGTTCAGTCTGATTGTCTCAACGGGCGATTCGGCGTTCATGAGATACCTCGTCAGGTTGGGGAAGAGCACGCCGAAATCAGACTGTGACAAGTGGGCGGTGTTGGGAATTAGGTAGAGGTGTGGATCTGAGGGAGAAGGCGTATTGGGGTTCGGAACGACGGACAATTTTGGGAGATCCAGTGGCAGCAGGGAGAAGGGGGAGAAGGAGAGGTCGAACTTGTCGATCTCTTCTTCAGCTGCGCTGGGGGAGCTAGCTGAGGCCTTGACCTCGCTGTCAGAGGCTGAGGTTGTGCTAGAAACACTTTCGCAAGTGGGGGAGGGGGAAGAGGTGCGGCTTAACTGGATTGATGAGGCGGGCGTTGATAGCGAGGACACGGAATCTGACGGCGAGGCTGAAGAAGGAGTGGGTTTGCTAGAGGTAGACGACCTGGAGGGAGAGGTGCTGTCTGAGTCTGCCTCTGCCTCTTGGTCCAATTGAGAGTAATCCAGCTCGATGCTCCCAGGGACATCTTCGTCTTCGTCTTCTGGTTCTGAATCCGGCAGTGGCACCCTGATCGCCTCTCTCAATGATTGTTCATTGATATCTCTTTCCACGTCTAGGTCAACGTCTTGGGCCTCCGACCCTCCTCCTCTCCATGATCCCACCCCGCTACCTCTGTTTGTCATGATCCTGTCGAGCGAAAATTCGTCCCCAGGTGTAGCAAAAGGTGTCACAAAGAGCTCATCCCCGTCATCCGAATCTAGATCTGCAGCCCGATTGACCTCGAAACCTCGACGTGAAGTGACCTCGGTCTCACGCACATCAGGCGCAAGCTTGTCCCCAGGCGTTGCCAGCAGCTGCGATTCCGACTGCTGCTGAGGCTTGGCAGACCGAGCAGCTTCTCGTTTCTCAAGGGTGTACATGGCCTCGGCGGGACTCGCAGACAGTGCGGCCTTCATTCGGTTCAGCAACTCAGGCCACTTGTAGAATTCGGAAGAGATGATGGCCACGACATTAGTAGGCGGATGACGTTCGCCGTCGACCGATCTGCGGTGGTAACATGGCAGAGGCTTTTCCCAGAGCCATTTTGTCAGACCGGCGCGCAGAGGCATGGCCCATAGGTCGAGCAAAGTGAGGGGTGAGTCTGGCGTGATCTGCCTAACCAGCTCGCTATTATCCGCGGGCTTGTAGAGAGGACGCCAGTCCAGGTCATTTTCGAACTCGGTACCTTTGAGTGAGGGTAGGAATTCGTGATAATAAACTGATTTCACGAATTGGACCATGGTACAGGCACCAAAGGAGTGGCCTGCCCATGTTACGTGGCCAGGTCGTAGGTCCAGAGCGTCTTTCAACGACAAGCTTGACTTCGATTTGCTCCGCACTGCAGCGTAGTTGGAGAAAGTCTTGCCTTCATTAAAACTTCTCAAGACGGTGAATAAGTGCTCCAACTCCCACAACCGTATCCTCAGCTGAGCATTGCGAGCGTTAAGAACCTTGGTGGTGGGAGCATGAGGGTGCCTTTGATATGGGATTGCGGTGGATTTGCGGCCGTCAGCTGAGCGTATGGGTGAAATAGGGGCGCTGCCATCGCGATGCTCGGGGGCTGCGCACACGATCCCAAAACTGGCCAGCGCTGCGCATACTGCGCTATAGGCATTGAAATTTCCTCCTAGCCCATGCGAAAAGACCACCAAGGGATACTTGGACGACGTGTCCTTCTGCAACAGAGGCGCATCAGCTACCGCTGGGATATTGGTCATATTGATCAGGAAAGGTATGAGAGAGATCAGGGATGAGACACGGGGACTCGCGCCCAGGAAAGATGCATAAGCCTGGTTCCATTCTCTTTGTGGTGTTGGGAGCCAGGGAACAGAAGTCTTCGACTTTGCCTTTGGCGTTGTAGGATAAAACAGTCGAAATTTTATGGTGGTGATTTGAGGCTCTGGAGTTGGCGATGGCGACGGGATCTCAGAGACAGGAATCTCCCATTCTGTGGTGCCAACTTTGTGTGGGCCAAAGGGTTTGGGAAGAGCTGGGACTGGGCTCAGTTGTTGAATCATGGTGGCCTCTTTTTGTTTGTTTTATTCTTCTCTTGTTCCCTCTTCCCCTGAAGATCGAACTAGGAGAAGTAGCAATAGACAGCGGATCTGGCTGAAAACGAATCTGCATACAGGCCCAAGCGAGGGAAACTCTAGTATTTACAGAGATCTATCGATAACTAGTAAAAAGGTGGACTCCTTTGCGTTCTTGTCAGTTTTCAAGGTACTTGTAGGCGAGGAGGTGGAACTTGGGTGGATAGGAGAAAGGCCTGGGGCTAGTGAAACGCCTCACGATGATGGGAACATGGGGGTTAAAATTGTCATTTTATATCAAGATGGGTTTGTGGTTACCACTCGCGTGCTCACCTGCTTTGTTCTGCGAAAGATTTTCACATCCGGCCCGAAGCTGATAGGCAGGCATAATCCAGGGCGAAGGGTATTGCTGTGCGAATGCTGCGCTGGAAGATCCGAGTCGGAACTTGTTGTAGACTTGATGTCATTGGAAGAGGACGATTGGTCGCATGTGCCAAAGGTCACCATACCACCGGGATGTGTGTGGATGTGTGTAGGATGTGGCGCACTTGTGGCATCCACTCAGAGAGAGCGCTGAACTCGGGGAATTGGATGGAATCGGCCAAAGTCAGGGTGGCGAACCTGCGAAGAAACCAAGGAATAGGAGGGAACGAAGGGAGCCAGCCACACAGACAGGAGGGATTTGGGGCCGGGCTGAGAGAAAAAAAGGGATCTCTAGTGTGTGTTCCAAGGCGAATCCGGATCAGTTGTTACTTGTTTCGTGAGGTGAAGCGTCGGAGTTCGCGGTCATGACGATGATAGGTACGAGGTATACTTTTCGTCTTCTCACTTTTCTCTTCTCGGTCAGCGCTCGTCACCCACCATCGCCCAATAGTCACCTACACCAATGGCTTCTTGTCTTGTTCTGGAGTCTTCTCTACCACTTGTACCTACTCGCGACTTACCTATCATAGGTATTCTCCGTCAGTCACTTCCAGGCCTCCGCACACACCTTCGAATCGACCCGTCACTACGGAAAATGACGCAGTCCGATCCACATTTTCAAGAGGTGGAACTTCTGGCTGGACGTAAAAAACACATGGCTTGCTGGCCACTGCCGGCCACTGCTGGCCAGACCATGCTCCCTGGTGCGGACAGACCGATACGATCAATCAAAATCAGTTATTGGGGGCTGGGAACTAATCATCCCGCCGAGCCGACGCGCTGGTTCATCAACACCCTCAAATTATTATACTCGGAAACACCCAGCTTCCACATGAACATCTGATCGAAGCAGAATTATCGTACGAACCATGTATTCCAGACTCTGAAAAGTCTTCAGCGCCTCGCACGAGTGTGAGTAAACAGGTGCCTTCGCGTCAAGGCCCGCGCCTCAATGGTAACATCGCGATAAAACAGAACACCAACACGGGGTTCTGGCGCGTATCAGTCACGAAATGCAGCTATTTATGCACGAAATATGCACCTCAGGTCCAGCCTCCCGCTACACCGTCTTCTGTAGCCTATGATCACGTCGCTGTCCTGCTTCGCGCCACCAACGTTTTCACGACCGTGCCATAATCGCGATATAGCTCCTGCAAACCAGCTGCACTCGACGCTTTCCTGTCCCTCCACATCCACAATGGAGTGGAATGGTCCTCCTCTACCAAAATTTCCGAACTATATCTCTTTCCATCCTCCGCCTGTTTAGATTCCACGAGGTAAGTTTCTTGTTGGTTTTCGCAACCCCCTCTGTCGTGGGCCACTGTACAATCGAGATCTTGCAGTCACCGTTCTGCTGTTGTTATGGTCCCAACGCATATCCTTCCAGTACTGGCTCCAGAGTAGCTCTCCTGTCTTATCGGTCGGAAGATTGAAATCTCTGCCGCACATGCTGGCGTTGGCGGTGACCGTTGACAATCGCTTGGCCCACTGGTCAGGTATGTTCTATATCAAAAATGTCCTCGACCGCATTCGCCGCATTCTGGCGGACCGACCTCGTTCGCGAATGCTTCTTATCTCATGTCCACAAGGATGATTTACCATCTCTGCGACTTGTGAGCAAAAGCCTTGCCGGCGACGTTGCTCCCACGCTCTTCAAGAATCTGGAGATTCGTTTCAGCACGAACATACTATCGCGCAGGTCGCGCATGTCTGCGTTGAAAAGAATTGGCATCCATGTTCGACGCCTTTCCTTCATCATGCCACACCACTCTGACACCTTCTTACCGCCGCTGCTCGTTCCCGGCACTCTGGAGGAAGTCACCTTTATGTACGAGCCCCGGATCAACACTTCAAGACCGAATTCATCTTCCAGTTGTTCCTCGTCATCCTCATCGGCCTCTAAATACGGCTCATGGGAGATGAACGACCTTCTGGTCAAGCAATATCCTCCTTTATTTCATGCCGCCACCAACGTGGACTCATTCTTTCACGCAGTCAGTTCAATGCCAAGGTTGCAACATCTTCATATCTCTTGTCCAAGTCAACCTGCAGGTCAAAGATACCGAAAGGATATTGTTGACTATGCCCTGATATCGTTGAGAGTGGCCGTGGAGGCCGCCAAACTAAGCCACCTTGAATCATTAACCCTGGCACCAATACATCCTGCAGCTGTATTTTACCTTCGTCCACAATTGAGCATTGGGTCATCCCCAGCATCCTCTCGGGTTTGGAAGGGCATCAAATCCCTGGTCATTGAGATGGACAGCTTCGAATATGGCCGGAACCAGCCGTCAGATCACCTGAAGATCCTCCATAGCTATTTGCAGACATTCCAAGCTCTGGAGCATTTCGAATTCCAATGGATTGGCGGCAAGGGACCTTGTCCGTTGGCTCTTCACACTGAGCCTTGCACCTCACGCCCGACATCTCTCGACTGCTCGAAGGCGTGCCCAGACGCCAGTGCGAGACCACCTTGCAGACCTCTCAAATTCCGGCATCTGAAGTCTATGCGTCTTATCAATGCAAGCTTGGATGCTGCTCAAGCCTCTGGCTTTATCATGAGCCATCGAAAAGTCTTACATGAATTTCAATTTGATCGGTGCCATTTGAGATCTGGGACCTGGGATGACGCCTTGGCTCCATTGACTCGCATCGTCGGCAACGACAGCTGGAAACAGAAACAAGAAGAGGTCATGGATGTACCAATCATGCTCAGCCCAGTCAGTGAAAAAACCGAGATGGAATGTGTCCAGGAGCACTTATGGGACGACGTGCTGCGGAAGAGCAAAGGCTTCCAGACTCTCCGCAAAGTAAGCCTGAAAAGCAAGGAGCTGCTTCCCGAAGTGAGGCGGTTGTTAAGGAGCGCCAGGCTTGCATGGCATTGATAGGGTGAGAGATATCGCTTTTGCCTGATGCGTTGGATTCGGGCCCGACATTTTGTCGTGAACCGTCCAACAATACCTTGATTTAACTTGTGCCGTTGGCTCTGGCTACTGCTCCCAGAGTCGTGTGTAAATAGGGTATTCTTCTGCTGGAGACCGCGGGATTAATATGCCGTTCTTCTTAAGGGAGACCTTATAAGCAATAAGTTCATTACAAGGATTAATTTGTGTTTTTAAGGATGTGCCACTCTGGAAGTATCAAGTGCCGACGCAGAGCCAAGACGGTGCTCATAACTCCTTATAGTAACTTGCCTGCCTATGGATGAAGGGATCCTGCGTAAGGAGAATTAGTGCTGTTCCAAAGCAGTACATGGTACGAGTCCCTGTGGCTGACGTGTTTCTTCCTATCGTTGAATCATGCTGGGTAAATATGCGGGGCCTGGTAACCCGCTGGGGGATTTGTTATGGAGGGTTTGGACCCCCTGAAAATAGGTACCAGTGGTACCCAGGAGCTGGAGAAAGTCTGCCTTGGGGGCATCAGCCTCGATCCCACTAGGGCCGAGAGTTCGCTGGTGCTAGGCAGTGGCTTCGGTGCCCGTTTAGTGGCCCTTGTTTCAAAATTTAGAGGCTCTTTTTGAGGCTAGTTAAGTGATTATGGCACCAAGGGCACATCAAGGGACCGCCGCGCGTTCAGCCTTAGACCGGCATCCCGGTAACCTTCCTACCACATCAGCGCTTGCACTTACGAACACAAGTCCCCAGCACCAGAAAGTTGCACATGCGGTTTACCTTTTTGCAGTCTTGCAGAGTACGAGCCATCTGAACCTCATCTCCCTTCTCCCATTCCATTCTCGCGCGCTGCAAAATATACATCATATTATTCGTTCGTTTGATCATTGACTGCTTGCTTACCGCTGCTTGTATGCAGCTTCCATCGCTCGCCCCAAAGCGTTGCCTCGTCGCAATTGCGCCCGCGCTCATTCGTTTTCCTCTAGACGCAGATTCTTGAGCACCACCAAAATGCTGCGCCTCGTCCTGAGATAGTATGTACCATCAACGCCCTGCTCATTCTAGGGTCATAATACCATCATGTCCTCTCGCGACAGGACCCCCCCTAAGACGACGGGTCCACAGTCGATACCTTTACGAGATCTCTCGAGACCACCCGATTCCGGATCAGATGAACATGATATCTCAACAGGCACGTTCTCAGGCCACAAGCCCCGGCACAGTCGCACCAGATCTCTACTGATCGGACGTCGGACTCCCAATTACGCGCGACTGAACGACGAAGAGTCGCCCGCAAGAGGAGGACCGTCGTCTGAAAGCGTTGGAACTTCTGCACAAGGAGGAAGCGGTTGGGATTCCCCGATTGAAGATGTGGAGGGATTTGCGGCGGCAACAGTGGGCTTGGACCTCCATCTACCTTCGACACCACCCAGTGTCGGATTACGACGACCGAGTATCATCACCACGGCTGCTGATGGGGACCTGCAAGACGCGGAGAGTCCCTTCTCGCCTCCAGACTCCGACACGACACCTTTGACTTCTTCACGTCGCCCACCGTCTTCGCTCAAGACATCTAGCTCCGTATCCAGAGGCCAGAGGCATGATAGACAAGGAAAAAAGTCCAGTGTCCATTGGACGGATGGTGAGTCACCTGCCGCGGTGCGTGGGCGGACTTCGCGCCTCGGAGATGATCTGCCAACGCTCGATACAAGCGCTGGAATGCATCGCAAGTTGAGCACTGCCAGTGGAATCAGCCGTCTGAGTGTCAGTCAAGGCGAAGTTGGCGAAAGGTCAAGGTCTCTATCGCCATCTCCTTCCCCAATGGCCAGGGCAAACTCCATGCTGCGAGAGATCTCACAACGTGTGGTCAACCTGAGTAATGATTCGGACATGGTTGAGCAAAGTATCCGGCGCAAATCATCTATACGACAACACAGGCGCCCCAGTGCTTCTGCACATCCCTTGCACGAGGTTGGAGACGAAGAAGGAGCACAACCGCAGCAAGTTCCTCTCGAAAAGGTCCCATCAGCTGAAGTTGTAGCTGAAACATTCACACCAATGACCCCAGTCTATCACCCTAACCCCCTTGTTGGCAAAACCTGGGGTATTTTTGGGCCAGAGAACGCTCTACGAAAATGGCTCTGTGAAATCCTCGTCCATCCGCTTACTGAGCCCACAATTTTGGCTCTGATCGTCGCCCAGACGGTGTTACTGGCCGTCAATGCAGCGTCTGATGCTGTTTACCTGCAGACGCGGACGAAACGATGGGGGAGCACAGGCTTCGATTATGCCATCTTTGCGTTATTTGTGGTTTACACCTTGGAACTCGTTGCCCGTACTATTGTGTCTGGCTTCGTCTCGAATCCCGTCGAGTTTAGCACCATCAATCGGTCTATTGGCTTGAAACGGGCTGTCCTTCAGAAGGCTCACACTCTGTTCGCCCCCCAAGGTGCCCGAGAGACGTCAATGGTTGTCAATGATGCACCAACGCAACCATCAATTGTTCGCACCTTTACCGGAGTTCCTCATCCTGGGGAGGCTGGAGGGCCTGGCCATACGAAGCAGCAGCAAAGGATACGCCTGGCCCGCCGCGCATTTCTGCGGCATTCTTTCAACCGACTTGACTTCGTTGCTGTTGTTTCCTACTGGATCTCTTTCGTCATGCAGCTCAGCGGCGTCGAGAATTCAAGTCACGTATATGTCTTCAACATGCTGAGTTGCCTTCGAATTCTGCGCCTGTTGGGTCTCACCGCTGGAACATCGATCATTCTGCGGAGTCTGAAGAAAGCTGCTCCTCTTCTGGTTCACGTTGCCTTTCTTATAGGCTTCTTCTGGCTGATCTTTGGCATCGTTGGCGTCCAAAGCTTCAAATCCAGTCTGCGACGTACATGCGTCTGGGTCGGTGACGACGGATCCGGTCAAAACTACACCCTCAATATTGCGCCCGACAACATCCAGTTTTGTGGAGGCTACCTAGATGCTGTAACGGGACAGGCGATGCCGTGGCTCAAAGCCGATGGCTCCAACGGAACGGACAGGTCCAAAGGTTATCTCTGTCCCCAAGGCTCCCTGTGCGTTGAGGGATTCAGTGGTCCATACAATGGTACCGTCAGTTTCGACAACATCGGCCAATCGTTGGAGCTCGTCTTCGTGATAATTAGTTCCAACACCTTTTCTGATCTCCTTTACTATTTGACGGACTCCGATTATCTTGCGGCAGCACTTTTCTTTGCGGCCGGGATTGTCGTCTTGAGTTTGTGGCTCGTCAACTTGTTGGTCGCTGTTATCACCTCTTCATTTCAAATCATCCGCGAAGAGAGCAAGCAGAGCGCATTTACAGCCGAGAAAATCGACGGGCAACTTTTTGAAGATGATCAAACGAAGAAACGGACTCAGTTGAAAAAGATTTACGACAAAACGCATCTATTTTGGGTTCTAATCATCGTATTCGACCTAATTGTCCAGAGTCTGCGAAGTGCAACCATGAGCGACCGCCGCAAGACCTTTATCATGGATTGCGAAACGGTCGTCACATTCCTCCTGCTCCTGGAAATCATCTTGCGCTTCATATGTGACTGGAGACAATTTTTCCACGGCAAAAGGAATTGGGTTGATCTTTTGCTCGCTATCGTTACTACAGTCACGCAAATTCCAGTAATTCGCAACTCGGGTCAGCCATACGCATGGCTCTCAGCATTTCAAATTGCGCGTATCTACCGAGTCGTCCTCGCGGTCCGGGTTACAAGAGAACTGGTCATGGTCGTGTTTGGCAATATTGTCGGACTTTTGAACTTGATCTTGTTTGTATTCCTGTTCACTTTCCTGGCCGCCATTCTTGCCTCGCAACTGTTTAGGGGGGATATTCCATCCGTAGATGCCGATGGTGAAGTGATTGGTGTGTCATTCTTCGACATCTGGAACTCCTTCGTGGGAATGTACCAAGTGTTTTCGAGTGAGAATTGGACTACTCTGATGTACAACGCTACCCAGTTCAACAACATTTGGGATACGGCGTGGCTGAGTGCGATATTTTTCATCCTCTGGTTCGTCGTCTCAAACTTGATTGTGCTGAATATGTTTATTGCTGTCATCCAAGAGAGTTTTGACGTGTCCGAGGATGAGAAACGTCTGCAACAGGTAAAGGCGTTTTTGAAGCAGAAGGAAATGACTGGTTCAGCTTCTGGGAATCTCTCACTCACCGCGGTCTTCAAGATGGGACGAGAATCAATCAGACACCGAGACGCTCTCGAATATGGCTCGGCAACGGTTGAACAGCTCCTCAAAGAGGCCGTCGTGAAGGACTTTCTGGACGAACAAGACGATGTCCTTGCGCGTAGGGCGACATCCATGCACCTCGACGAAGTACCCACCGTCAAACCCGGGATTCTGTCCAAATTCTGGGGCAAAATCACTGGTTTCTACAGCTCGGCAGAGCCCAATCCGTTCTACTCCAGTGCCAAAATCACCCGGGCCAACGAAGAGTTCGATCCCAGAGCTGTGGCCAAAAGGGTGGTCACGACAACTGAGAACCGTCGCCGTGCACAGCGCCAGTATTTGCAAAAGCACCCGAAGTACAACGTGTCGCTATACATCTTCAAGCCAGATAACCCAGTGAGAAAGCTATGCCAATACCTCGTCGGTCCCGGCCGAGGAACTGAGCGAGTGGAGGGCGTCTCGCCCTACAGACCTGCCTGGTATGCATTCTCAGCCTTCACATATGCAGCGATCGTGGCCATGGTCATATTGGCTTGCATCACCACGCCCTTGTATCAACGCGATTACTATTTAAACAACACACTGAGCATCACCAACTGGTTCGTGTGGACCGACTTGGGTTTCGCAATCCTCTTCACGGTTGAAGCCATCATCAAAGTAATTGCGGACGGTCTCTTCTTCACGCCACATGCATACTTTCGAAGTGTCTGGGGGTTTATTGACGGTGTGGTCCTCATCACGCTATGGATCAATGTGGTCACTGCTATGTTCCGCGACGACGGCGTCTCCCGAGCCGTTGGTGCCTTTAAAGCGCTGAGAGCATTGCGCTTGCTCAACATTAGCGACACCGCGCGAGACACCTTTTATTCGGTTATCATTGTTGGTGGCTACAAAGTTCTCGCGGCCGCCTTCGTTTCCATGAGCTTGCTGATTCCCTTCGCCATCCTTGGAGTCAATTTGTTTAGTGGCAAAATGCAAGCTTGTAACGATGGAGATTTTGGCTACAGTGCCTTGAGTAATTGTGTTGGGGAATTCAACTCTACTCCCTTCAACTGGCCTGTACTAGCGCCCAGGCAGGTTGCAAATCCCTGGTTCGACTTCGACGACTTCGGCAGCGCCCTGTTCATCCTGTTCCAGATTGTCTCCCAAGAAGGATGGGTGAACGTGATGTGGTCGGGCACGAGTGTCACTGGCATTGGATTACAACCACAGCCATTTGCGGCACAGGGCAACGCAGTCTATTTCATCATCTTCAACTTGTTGGGTGCTGTCTTTGTCCTGACACTGTTCATCTCGGTGTTCATGCGAAATTACACGGAGCAGACCGGTGTTGCCTTTTTGACAGCAGAACAACGCTCATGGCTGGAGCTGCGGAAGCTCTTGAAGCAGATTTCTCCTTCCAAGAGATCACTAGGTGAACAGTCCGCCAAGTGGAAGAAATGGTGCTATGACCTTTCGATACAGAAACGGGGCAAGTGGCAAAGGTTCATTACCACAATATTGGTCCTCCACCTGATTCTCCTCACGATTGACTTCTATCCCGAGCCAGACTGGTGGGCAACTGTGCGGGAATACATTTTCCTTGCCTTTACGGTTGTGCTTATCGCCAATGTCATTATCAGGATCATTGGCCTCTCGTGGAAACGTTTTCGACGGAGCTCATGGGACATCTATTCGGTTCTTGCGGTGTCAGGAATTTTCGTCACGTCTCTGATCTCGTTGTCCAAGGTCAACAGCGGAGGTTTCCAACAGCTCCATAAGCTTTTCCTGGTTTCCGTCACCTTTCTCCTGATTCCGCGAAACAATCAGCTCGATCAACTGTTCAAGACTGCTGCAGCCTCGCTGCCATTGATCGCTAATTTGCTGGCAACATGGTTTGTTCTGTTCCTGGTGTTCGCAATTGCCCTGACACAGGCTTTTGGCCTCACGCGCTTTGGAGAAAACGAGAGCAACAATGTCAACTTCCGCACCGTTCCAAAGGCTCTCATCCTTTTGTTTCGGACCAGTATTGGAGAAGGTTGGAATCAAATCATGGAAGATTTTGCCGGACTTGAACCGCCCCTGTGCGTGAAAGAAGATAGTTTCTTCGCAAGCGACTGTGGCAGCTCCGGCTGGGCAAGGGCATTGTTCATCTCCTGGAACATTATCAGCATGTACATCTTCGTGTCTCTGTTTGTCTCGATGATCTTTGAGAGCTTTTCGTATGTCTATCAGCAGAGCAGCGGCATGTCCATTGTGAGTCGAGACGAGATTCGACGCTTCAAACAAGCCTGGGCAGAGTTCGATCCAAACGGTACCGGTTTCATTTCAAAGGAGCAGTTCCCTCGCCTCCTAGGGGTAGGTCTGAGTCGATAGGGCTCTTTATTCGGTGTCACTGACAATGAGCAGGAACTTTCCGGTATATGGCAGATGCGGATTTACGACGGTGATTTCACCGTCAGAGCCATCCGAGAGGACTGCTCAGTGCAGCCGGGTGATCCAGTCAAACCAGCAGCAAGAAGAGTGGATGGCATCGATCTCGACAAGTTGGCAGAACGTGTTAGCCAAATTCCTGTGGCCGAAATCCGGCAGCGCCGTGCACGGATCAACATCTTTTACCAGGAAGTCATGTCGACAGCTGATCCAGACCGTGGCATTCCCTTCACTGCGGTTCTTTTCCTTTTGACGCACTACAATGTGATTACGGACTCTCGAAGTCTCCGCTTGGAAGAGTTCCTTCGGCGACGAGCGCGACTACAAAGAGTCCAAGAAAGCATCCGCAGAAATACAGTGGTCGGCTTCTTTGATACGTTACACTGGTCTCGTAAGTTTCGGAAAGCGGTCGAACGACGGAGGAACTCACGCTTGGGTGCACCACCTTCTATTCCTGTCCCTGAAATCTTTATTGAGGATCCCGACGACAACATGGAAGGCAGTAGCAGCACCGAGCCACGCGATTTCACCTCATCTACACCATCATATACGCCGAAGAAACAATCAATCAACCTCCCACCCATCGACACGACCATGCCTCCCCCTTCAGGTGCTTTGCGAAGCACGTCACCGGTGGACTTGGAGAGCTCGCCGCGAAGTAGCCCAGTGCGGGCGAGATTGGGATCAGTGGATACTGCCTACCACGGAGCAACAGGAGCAACGAGATCGTCTCCAACAACGCCGACACTAGCCCATAGTCGACACGGCAGCAGTGCCAGCGGGCTAGATGGGCAGGGTATGATGGAGAGCTTTGACAATTCAGCATGGGGTGAAAGTATCCGCAGGAGCTTCACGACGAGGAGAACACGAAGCGATAGCACGCGAGGGTGAGTGAGTTTGTGCCGAGAGGGTGAGAGAGAAAGAGATGGTAATATGCTTGGCACGATGTTTCACGACGATTCATGACCCAAGTCTTTTGGTTTCATTTCTTGATTTGTGCATATTGAGATGGGAACGAGGTGGATAATGATACCAGGATCCGAGATGAAAATAGATGAGCATAGCGAGGGCGTTTTCACCTTTTGATGTGAGGGAATGAGATTGGGTGGATGACTGAAAAGAAGACGGCGAATATGCACTGGCACCCAGTCATCATGTACATCATGCACACTATATTGATTATGGAATTCGAGCGATATGAAGTTGAAGAGGATAAGAGAGCAAGAGAGCTGCAGTGTCTGTCCAGCGACGATATGGAAATCCCATCCATGCATGTTTGTGGAATCATGGCTTCTGTCCACAATCCGGCTGTCCCGATGCATTCTGCTCCGTACTTGTGCATACAAGGATTTATGACAGGAAATCCAGAAGAAGCTTGTGGCTGTGTCGATCTTCCAGGATGTGTAATTGACGACCCTTGTCTATGCCTGGAATTGTGGTCGATTTCATGTCCCTGTCAACCAATGTATCACTTCATGGGAGGGACTCTTGATGAAGATCATGTGACGGAAAGCAAATGTTGCACTTCCTCTTCCCGCAGCCGGTTTCGTGCTGTGCAGGTTCAACTCACGAGATTTCGTCCAACAAATTATGTATCAGAAAATGCCACCAGACGCGATACCCACGAGACAAGAGAGTTACGAGTACAACATTCCGCGATGATACACCAATAAACAGTGCCTGTTCTTCCGCCCCCATCGCCCCTCCTCCTCTGTCGCTTGTATTAATCTGCCAGTACCGAGTACGAGAGCTCCCTACCTACGACGACGAAACAAAAGACCCCTCCCTCACCTGAGTGACCTGACACCGATAATCCTACAGATCAAGGTTTGGGCTCGCTTGTCGGGCCCCCTGAAACGCCTGCACGACGCTCATCGCGTCTTTGGAAATGAGATGAGCCAAGCGGATCAAACCTTGGCTTGGTCTCGCGATCCTCTTGTACGTGTTTGGCCACAGTCTCAGCCGCGTCAAGCTACGCCAAAACACGCCCCAGTGGTGCTAGTGGCTTCTCGACCCTAGCTCAGGGTCCATCGCTGCCCTGGTCGGTGGGGAGGTACATCAACTTCGGGAACAGACTGTGGATCAGTACAAAAGTTAGGGAGATCGGAAAAGTCATATTGGGGCATATTCACTCTCCGAGGCTTCCTCAGCAACGGTGCAACCAAGCTGGGATCTCTGCCGCAACAGTGGCTCCAGTAGTCTCTGTTCCGTGTCAAGGACCAGTCGCATATCAAAGGGGGAGAAGGATCATCAGACGAGACTAGGGGGTGTTCTCTTGATCGCTTCAGACACTCGCGTACCAGATTCCAAAGCTCCAAGAACACTGATGTTTGACATTAGGTACCACCAAGTCCTGAGCTTGTTTCCCTTCGCATCCTTGATGGCTTCGAATACACTCCTCCACCTTTCCCTTCGCAGAAAGGTATGCAGGAGCCATTACGACGAGGCCCATTATTTTCAAGCCCCAGGGCAGGGAGGGGCGTGACATTTTTGCTCCCTGGATTGCCTCGCCCTGGTTCCCGCAAATGTTTCTGGGCGAAACTATTGCCTGCATGTCTACGAGGTATTAGTTCGCATACGGGGCCGTCACTACAGGGAAGCAGTTGGCCCTTGCGCAGGGTGGCTTGCTACCTACTTTACTGCGTTGATCCGGACGGCTTGTCACATAACTTTAGATCTCAACAATCCTCCTCCAGGAATTAATATTGTGCTGACCTTCTCCAGCTTTTGTCTCCTTTTCTCAGCTCTTCTTGTATATCACTTCTGTTCTCAGCGTCTGCTTGTGCTTTCGATACTCTGGATTGATATTTCCGCAGTTCCCCTGGGACCACTTGGGCAGACCTTGATACACCTGGGCCGCTCTACCCCGTTGACCACATTGCTTAGCTCAAAAAGAGTTCGACCTGCTGGCAAAGGTCTCTCAACTGCTCAAAAAGGAGCTTCTCAGACATTGAGACGTGGGAAGGAATTCCAGAAACTCGACATCTACATTATTCCATTGCCATCCAGAAAGATGGCAGTTGCACAGTTAGTCTCTCTCTTCGAGGCTCTACACGAAGACACATCCATTAAACCCATGCCCAGGAGCTTTCGCAGTCACACCTCGTCCTCGAAAGTCCGTCTCCATCTCCAAACCATCTTTAGCCACAATCCTCGACGCCGAACGTCCGCAAAGAGTCCATCAGGCAATATGTCTTCGTCGTCCTCACCCGCGCCCTCGTCCATACGATCCTCACCGAGTTCCTCCTTCAGCAGCTTCGGAGGTCGACGACACCTACCTACCAATGACCTTGATTCGGCTATTCTGTCCCCGATCTCCCCACTGTCAAGCCATCACATCCGTCGCCAACCCTCTGCCATCGACCTAGCCCTCGAGGCAGAACTGTACGCCGACGAAGTTGAGATCATTGGGCTGGGACTCCTAGAACCCCGCCCTCGAGCGAACACAGCTACTTCGACAACATCTTCCTCCACACAATGCTCAATGATGGAATTCATGAATGAAACCATGCAAACACCGGTGGTGCTGGATGGTATCTTTGAGGTCATGGAACGTGCATGAGCCATACAGCTTCTGGAGGATTTGGGGAAGATAACGAGGAGGTCGGATGGCTCAACTCAGCCAGACCCTTCACACGGAATCAATGGATGTCCGTGGTCAACCCATAACTCATCAACATTTATTACAATTCTTGGGTGGGACTTTTGATGTAAGACGAAAGTTATGATATATGCAAATGAGCAGGGAATCTTTCCCTTCTCTATTTTCTGGTTGGGTTCTTCGGACTTGGGAATTTTGGGCAGCGAGGAACAGGAGGTCATGTATTTTACGATACCACTTTATAGCAAGCTAATACAGAGGCACAGAGAGCGATCTTGGACATGATGAAGAGGGTCTTTCTGTTTGTACATTACATTGAATTCAATGCGACATGATTTCGGCCGCACTTTTTGCAAGGGGGTTGCGCGGGTGGGTTTACGGCCACGCAGCAGGATTCCAGAAGATACAATACATGTCACTGTTATCCAATAATACTACAACTCCGTCATAAGCAGGGGGGTAAAGTAGTCTCCATATCTGCAACTACCCCGTATGTTTAGGGCAAGGAAGAACAATAAATATCTCTGTTATCGATTCATCTCCTCGGTCCCTCCCTTGTACCCAAGCTAGCCTTGAGAACCCGAATACGTCAGTGCGGAGTCTCTGCAAAGGGCGCAGACTACTACCAAATCTGTTGCCACTGCAAGAAACAGGAAAGTAAGAACTACTCTATACGTGGTGAAGAGGGGGAAGAGGGAACCTGTAGCAGGCGGGCAGCGGGTAAAATAATAAGTGACAGAGTTTCATGGCTGAGTCAACTCGTCTATCTAGGCATCCAAGCATCATCGGTATGAGCACAACTAGTAGGGCTGAATCCACCTTACCACCTTACCTAAGAGGAGTAAAACCAGCAAGTTTTTTGGGGGCCGTCTAGGCACTTGTAGGGAGGAATCTGACAAGGAGTGGGGGGCGCCCTTCCTCCTACAGGTCCCAACCACGGCTGTTACGGACGTACCTGCTTCCAAGAGTCCCGCCATCAACCAATGCGACTCACTTGTATGGTGAGAAACGCAGTCCTGTTAGTCTTGTCCTCCATCCACAACCTCGGTCGACAAAGATTGAAGAGGTGATTACTATTCATCACCGTCTGCTCACACCATTTCCAGCCTAGCATCAAATTCCACCCAGCTGCACATGGATGACACCAACTGCCCCATCAAGCAAGAATCGCGCACCTGAGGCATCTGGCCGCATCCCAGGCCCTGCCGGCCATGCCTCGGGCTTCATGAACATGCCATCATCCAAGCCCTTCAAGACCGCCCGCTTGGGTTCGACAAGGTGGTCTTTTCGGCCAGGCTGCTCTCAGCGTTTTATAGGGGGAAAACCTTCGTCTGATTCATCGCCCCCGCAAGATCTTGCCGGTCGTATATGAGGCACATACCTCTAGCAAACCCCGAGGGATTCTGACTAATTTCACGGGCCTTGCGGACAGGTTGTGTTTAAAGCAGCCGTCCATCAGACTGGAAACTGGTATTACAAGTCGCTTTCCGCTGTTTGGCTCCTAGATACCTCTCGAGAGACTCCACGCCCTTGACTGTCGACTGATGCCCACTTGACGGTTCTCTTGACAGGTGGGATTGCGCAGAACCTTGACTTGTGGACAAAAGAGCGGGAGACTGTGTGTATCTGTATTTGAAAAAGACACATCTGAGAAACCCTTGGTAAAGAGCCATCGGGTGGCGGCATTCGACGTTTGATATCTGATCGGAGCAAAACGAAAAGATAGCCCTGCCCTAGGCACCATCTACTCCTTACCTCTATCGGGAAATTTCGACACGACCTTGCTTGGGCCAGAGGGTGAATCCACAGAGATCAAACGCCGTGGTCGACCGTGTGACTTACCCCAGATTGTCTACTGGCACTACCTTTCAGTCAGGTTCAGTAATCAGCCTGGTGTTGGTATTCAGGCAATGTCCGTCACGATGCAAAAATTCGGAACAGCACAGGTCAGCGGCCGAGCATATTCGTCCCTTCAATCAGTGCTAGAAGACCCTTTACAGCTCTTCATGACGCCCGATGCCATCCAACGTCCCGCGCCTGGAGATCTGGACATCTTGTCGGCCTCCCGCTATCCCCAGGGACTCATGCAACCTTACGAGGACTTTGAACAGAATCCGCGTAAGCGAAAGGCAGCTGCCTCACCCAGCCAGCTATACGGGGGCATTGTATTAGCTGCCACCCCGGGCGAAGATAATTCATCGGGGGAACAGGACCAGCCTTCGACTCGAAAGAAATCAAAATCGACCAAGCGTTCATCGGCAAACGATGGTGAGGATGCAGCAACCGAGAAGAAGCAAAGGGGTCGACCTCGACTTGACACCCACGACGAAACGGCGGCTGACCGTCGACGGACGCAGATTCGGCTGGCCCAGAGAGCATACCGGCATCGAAAGGAAACCACCATCTCGGCGCTGAAGCAAAAGGTCTCCGACCTCCAAACCACCGTCGAGCAAATGAACAGGACCTTTTTGGCTTTACACGACAACATGGTCGAGGCCGGCATTCTGACCTCGCACTATTCACTGGGTCGTCAACTCCAGGCTGCCACGGAAGAGTTCGTCGCTCTGTCCAAGGTGGCATCACCTGAATCCGACGAGGAAGAGGAGGCCATTGCCAAATTCACCAAAGGTAGCGATGAGCCGCCCCTATCCGAACCAGGTGAGAGCAATAGAGGGTCTAATGTCAAACCAAGCGCACAGTCCTCATCGCGGCGACCAGCTCATCTCACTAATGCAGGTCGATCGGTCAGTTTGGATCAGGGCTCGACCGACGCCGAGGCAGACGTGGAGGAGTTGCCATTGACAACCAAAGACCAGCATCCCTTGGTCGCCCTTACAGATACCGTGTGGCCAACGGACAATACAAACCTCCAGGGCTTGGATGATCTGATGTCCTTCAGCGCCACCATTCCCGACGTCATGCTGTTCGACGATCCCTATGAGAAACTGATTGTGGAACGGCCTCTCAAGCCCTCCCACCAACCCGAGGGCTCCTACACGTACAGCTTCCAGGAAACGACGTTTGCTCGTCGCCTCCACCGAATGTGCCTAGAACGGGCGTTTCGCAACCTGACGAACCCAAATGTCGACCCAGAGTACATCAAACGGGCTTTCCGCTTCACTTTCTGCTTCTCTAACCGCAAGCGGATGCTGCAGCGCTTCCAAGAAATGCTCAAGCGCAAGGCGGGCGAGTCGCTCGAAAACTGGAACGTGCCATTCTTCCACATTGGTGGGGCGGGAACGCATTTCCCTCGTCGCGACGACAAAGGAAACCCGGTGTATCCACCGAACATGATCAGTCCAGCCAAGGCATTTGGACCTCAACCCTACGTCCAGGCCGAGACCCCGCGGATGGAGACGTCGGTGCAGGAAATGCTCGAGAATATCGGCTTCGGCGGGGTGTGGTTCGACAGCCACGACGTGGAAGAGTACCTCAAGACCAAGGGCATCTACCTGGACGGCCAGAGTAGCTTTATTGAGGTCGATCCAAGCGTCCTGCCACTTGTAAAGGCATCCCTTGCTTCGAGCGATGGGACTTCGAGCTCAGACCGCAGCCCGCTCGACGCCACCCTACGCACCCCAAGTCCTATTATAGGTGCCGAAGGCCTGGCCGATCCGATCACTGACCCTTTTATCGCCCGCGAACTGGGTGAGATGTTTGCCCAACCAAGCACGTTGTTCCCATCTACATCTTCATCTTCATCTTCCTCGTCCTCTTCCTCCATCCCCGTCAGCACTGCTTCCCGGAACAATGGAAAGCCGGTCGACGATCCGTGGGCCGACTTTGCGGCACTCAACCCTACATCCTCACCACTTACCTTTTCCGATCTCCTCAGCAAAAAGCCGAACCCCCTTACGTTCGATGTGGACATGTTCCTCGAGCGCATGATTCTCGGGAGTGCCTGTCTGGGGCGAGCTCCCGGATTTAGAAAGGAAACGATCGATGAGGCTCTGGTGATGAGTCTACAAGAGGGCTTTTGAGAAGGTATCTATCTAGCTGGTGCGGTGCATGTGTGACAGAGAAAGAAACGTACTCTGACGAGAGGTTAAGGGCCCTTTGGGGGAAAGAAACTATTCTTTGAAACTCAATGGCGATTTATTTTGGTTGTTCATCCTCACCCTTCTTCACTCAAATAATGTAAACGTCTATGACATGACATGGTATGTATGGCTGCAGGATGTATGGTAATATATATATATAGCCAGTGATAAACTTGGACTTGCTTTTTCCCCCTTCATCAACCAAGCAGTCATTCGTGCCTTTGTCTAAGGTCTGTCTCAGTGAAATGGCGATGGCGATGGCGATGTAATGAATGAATGAAATGGGCAGCGTGATAGAATGCAGTGCGATGGCGTGTAATACGGTGTGTGATTGGACTGCACCGACCACAACCACTACTGCTAGTACTGTATTTCTTTTCCTCGTTCAGGTCATCTATGCAGTCATACATTCATTCATTCGTTCGTTCGTTCATTCGCTCAAATGCTCAATCGCTCCATCGATCGGATAAACCAACTGACCAACCGACCATGCACCTTTTTTCTTTGATCCCGAGATTGCTCCAAGCCTACCCTAAGCCTGCCACGCTCGCTCGTCGCGCCGAGTATTTCAAGTACGTCCCAATAGACGTCCGCGTGGAAAACGCCAGCCAGCCAGCCTCGCTTGCTTGGCCCCTTCCTTCCTTTCCTCCCTCCTTTCTGTGGTTGGTAAAGGCCATCACTGCGAGTGAGTGGAAGTAGTAGTACATTCCTCCCTGTTGAAACCGTGGGTATTCCGTGTACAAGGTAGACTTCGTCCGCCCTTCCCAAAACAAGCTCTGGTCCTTTCTTTTTGCAGACGCTCCAATCATATCCGTGGTATCATCGTCATTTCATGCCTGCCGAAAACAAGTCACGCATGGCTCTTCAAACTCCCCTTGCCAACAGGAGTCCCAATCAAGAGCCCATCAATACATATGCCCGGCTTGGCCATCTCTCCTCAGTTTCGAATCTTCGACAGGTTGCGTTGCCACGTTGGGCGTACGAATTTTCTTGTTATTCCTTCCTTCTCCTCCGTCGTCTGGTTTTGACTCCCGGTCTCCACAGGATTCCTCGACAATTGTCCTCCCCACATTGACACTTGACCAAATCCTCCGAGATGGTATGCTCGTCGTCGTCGGGTTCGGCGTCGTTCAGGTACGAGATGCGTATCTCCTCGCCGGCCTTGATGTCCTTGATGGCGAAGAAGGCGAGGTCGTACACCCTCTTATCCTTTCTGTGGGTCTGCACAGGGAAAGACCTAGCATTGGGATTGCAGCTGTGATTGACAAATCGCATGGCAGACCCAAAGTCCACGCCATCCACCTGGTAGGGCTCCTTGTTGCCGGCATCGTTGAACCAGTCCAGCGAATAGGCATAGCTAGGTTGGTGCTCCTCCACCGCGTCTTCGCGGAGTTCCAGTTCGGCCGTGGTTATCACCTCGCCCAGGTATCGTTCGATGAATTGTCCTTTGACAATATCTTTCGACGAGCGGACGCCCCAGCCGCACTTTTCAGTCTGGAAGACTTCAAGAGGAACGGTGCGACCCTTGCACACGACCCGATTCCAGCAGTCGTCACCGCACCCACAATGTTCATTACATTCCGTTATTTCATGCCGGTCTGCGCCGTTGTTTCCAAGCACGCTAGCAATATGCTCATCCGAAAGCACAACGATCCCATCGGGTCGGCGGACGTAGATTTCCACCTGGGTTGCGCGTCCCTCAACTTCCTTGGTCATGCATGTACAGGTGGATAGAGCGCAATTCGTGCAATCACAGCCAGAGTTCGTCGAGGGCGGAGCCACCTTGACTTTCGAGCCGATGATATAGTGATCGATGAATTGGAATTTGCCAGCAAGTCGTTTGTCATTGATGTCGTTGGAGAAGGTCAGAGGTGGGCCCAGGCTTTCGTCAAAGCGGCTGGTGAGGATATCACGCGCAGCTCGGGCGGGATGGATCAAGCTTTTACTGAGAGACAACTGATCAAGTGACTTGGAAAGAGGTTCCATCTCCAAGCCGATATTGCTGCGCTTCACCTTTTTCTTCTTCTTCGATGCCGCGTCCCGCATAAACTTGACATGGTCATCGACCTTGAACACGGCCGAAAATCCCGTTGTTCCAAAAAGTTTCTCCACTAGTTCCGGGTTTTCACGAGCTAACGTTGTGGACTGTTGCAACTGTGCGAAGACCTTATTCTTCTCTACTTGAATCTGAGCCTTAGACTTCGGTAAAGGGCCCTGGAATTCCTTGAGAAGGGTTTTGCGTTGATCTTCAATCACCACTTGAATCTTTGCGCCATGGTTGTGGTCTGGCTGCGAAGTGGCCGTTCTAGACCCGGAAATCGGTCGCGGGATATCGATCCGGAACTTTTCCGAGGGGGAACTGTGGCTGGCTCGATCATGACCTGGGTTCATGACCTTTCTTGGGATAGTCGCCGCCGTTCTCTCATGTTTTTCTGACTTGACGAATTCCCCCGGACGGGATGAAGAGGTGCGCTTTGACCAGTCGGTATCATGTCGCCGGGACTGCACGGGACTGAACCGGTGTTTTGAAGAGGAAGACATGTTTTCTGCAGACAGTATGGAAGACTTCATCTGTCCAAAGGTGGAACTGGCACGGCTTTCGGGCCGCACACCAGTCCGTGTCGGTAGGGACGTCGTTTGTGGCTCTTGTCCAGCGGTATTGTGGGCAATGGGTGATCCATTTCCAAGATCTCTGACTTTCTCATTTGACAGTGAATATCTTGAACGGGCCTTCCACGGCGAGCGTTTAGGTGTACTAGTCGTTGGTCCATTCGCGTGATCACGTGCCGAAGCCGACGCTGGAGGAGTCGCGGGTCGGACAGGCTTGGCATTCTTAGAGGGCGGATGAGACCGCGAGAATCCAAGGCGACGCTCGGGGCCATCCGCCACCGCGGGCGTCTGCGATTTTTGCCGCTTAGCGAGAGGTAATACCGGAGATGTCTGTAATAAACAGTCAGTGGTCGTGTAGGCGGCGTAATTTCTAGGTTGGGCGGTGAGGAGGAAACACGTGTCTGCATCCACGGTTCGGGGCTGGGCGAGCGCGAGGCACACAACAAGCAAACTCACTTCATCTTCAGAGTCTGATAATTCAATTATGACCCTTCCTGGGTGTCTCTAGAGAGGGAAACAATACAGTTAGCATTTCTTTGTCATGCAATCTTATTCGCGATCCGCATATGGGGTGACGGATGAGTCAGTCCGCCACCCAACGCGGTGGGCCATAACAACAACTTTCTGTGCTGCTTAAAAGAAAGATAACAAGACTCGGCACGTTTTTAAGGTGTCGCCTTTTAAAAAAAAACCCCCAAGAATAAATATCCATTCAAGAAAAATAAGCATGATCTTATAACAGAAGCCTTACATACCACGTTGCTGTTTGTTGTCTGATCGAAACTGCGTTTATGAGCCGAACCAGCCCCATGCAGTGTAACCGCCATTACCCGCCCGTTAGGCTCCACGCCGGCCTTGGAAGTCGTTAACGTCCGGATTTCGGCATTCATTCGTGGAATAGGTTTAATATCGAGCTTAGAAACGGTCGAATGGGGCTCTCCTCGGGTGGCGGTGGAGAGATAGTCGGGTTGTTAAGAGAGTAGGAAGTTGAATTAAGTCGTAAGCTTGGGAGGCAACGACAAACCGCGATGCCAAGAGGACACCTGTTTAGGCACTATGCCTAATAAGTGAATCTAGTTATCTTACGTAATATAATTTTTATTATAATTCCTTCACTTTTCGTTAGAGCCTTATGTTATTATTTTTTAAACCTCTATAAATTCGTAAAAAACCAAATTCTGAGTGCCTCGAGTCATTATGATACGAGAAATATTGTAGTTGTAATGCTTGGAGTAACATGCCCCAGATATATCCATTCGCGGTCCGTCAATATAAGCCCAGAAGCCACCATTATCGGCCTATGTTAAATCGAGGCTATGTCGCAGTCGGTGCTAGGATTGCTCAGCTCTTGAAAAGTAGTCAAAGCAGAGGCAGGTGTTGGATAGAAACTCTTGGTGGCGAGTTTACATGTATCACGTGGCGGAAGGCGTTTCCCCACAGCTCGCAGCTCTTTCAGTGGCAGGCGTGCGGGGTCCAATATGTACCTTCGCACAGGCTTTAAGTCTTCCTAATCCATCCCTACATTCTAAGTATTAGAAAAATACTTCAACTAATGCAGATGTGAAGACACCTAGACTCGTTATGTAAAGCACGTGAAAGCGAGAAAGTCATGTTTACCTGCATATGTAGATTATCGTTTCCCTGCCATCAGGGAAACACTTGGCCAGACGCCTGAATTCTGGGGCAGTTGGCCTCTTCGGACTTTTGTAGGCCGTAAGGTGATTCCACTCAGTGGGCCACGCGGCCTACGAATTGTTGATTCAGTTACAGTACTGCAGCGTGCTCTCTTCTAACGCATTACAGTCATGGCTCTCCTAGGCTCAGGCCTTCTCCTTCATCCTCCGCGTCCTGTGTGTCATCGTCAAAACCCATCCCCTCTTCGCCCTCCATCTCATCTTCTAAGCCGCCGACTAGATATTTCTCGCCTTTACCTTCAGTAGTATCACCAACCACATTTCCATCCTGCACCTCGCAGTTCGTCAATGAGCACTTATTGCCGATCTTGGCCTTCTTTCCTACAACTGTACCCGTCAAGACACATTTATCCCCGATTGTTGCGCCATCCATAATCACACAGCCTGTGATCCGACTTCCTGTGCCGATCGCGACCGAGGCCCCAATGACGCTGTTCTTGATCACGCACTGCGTCGCGATTGTGCTATTACTGTCGATGAGCGTGTCGGAGCGAGATATCGTCACCCGCGGCGCGATGGTGGCGGTAGCATGGATTTTGGCTGGGTGAGAGAAAGGTGGCACTGCTGATTTGTTGCCCAGGCATTCTTCGATCGACGGCAGCTTGGCGAGGGAGAGTGAAACGGACAGTAAGAGGGGAGTGTTATCCACCCGGCGCACCAAGGGTGCGTCCGAACTTGATGGCAGTATGTATGAGAGGATAGGAGGAACGAGCGGCACATGTCCTGATTCTTCAGAAGCTTGCGATTCGCTGTCTGCGGAGAGGATTCTGTCATCCGAGTCCCTGCGCACCCTTGATGCGAGCCGGGCTGTGCGTGGCGCATCTGTAGACTGGGGCAGGGGATGATTTGTGACATGAGTACTGCTCAGTGATAACAAATCGATTTCCTCCTCAATTGGCCGTTCATGTGAGGGGATCTCATTCTCTTTAGAGCTGAGACGGTGTGTGAATATCTTCCGTGCACCGAATCGTGCACGATAGCTCGGTTTGCGCCATTCAGCTTTTGCCCACGTCCCCACGAGGTCTTCGCTGACGGACTCAAAGTCTTCGTTGAACTTGGCAAATTCCTTCACCCAGTAGGGAAAGAAATAAATGTGTGAGTCGCGGTATCTGGTCATGCACTTGATTGCGCCATATTTGCGGAGGAGTGACTGTCGAATCTTCCAGGACTTGTCCTCCTCGCACTGGTCCCATAGCTCGGACATGGGCATCGTCCAGACCAGTTTGCGAAGTACTCCCTGGGTTTGCATAGTGGCAGTTTTGGAGAGAGGCAGGTCGTGCTCAGGGTCAAGCTTAGAGGTACACATAAAGTCGCATTCTTCGCCTTTGACGCTCTCCTCCCGATCGGCCGTGTTGTACCATATTGAAAGGCCGCCCCGCCGGCCGCGTCGTTCACCTCCAAGTGATAGCAGCTCATTTCGTGACGTGTCAAAGTCTAGGCCTGAGATAGCACCAATCCCGCCAGGGCCGCCTAGCCTGGTAAAATACGTCTCCAAGAAATGGTCCCCTGATATATCGCAGATCAGGTCGCAGGGAAGTACCAAGAAGTCTGATTTGATCACATGCTGCACCTCTGGCAGCCTCAGCAGCTCTGCCGTTGGCGTTGTGTACTCTAGACACTCTGGCGCCAGGAGATCGGCCGAGGGCGACGGAAGAGACGTGAGGTAAGGGTTTTGAGCAAGAGCAGCGGCGATCGTGTCCTTGGATGTTGGCGGGGTTATAAGGGTGATGTCTGTCACGCCCATTCGATAGCACCAATCCAAGACATACCAGACCATGGGCCGGTTTGCGACTTCAACGAGGGCCTTGGGATACTCTGCAGGCACACTGGTGAAGGTGCTGAGCCCGATGCCCGGACCGCACAGTATCAGAGCCTGGAAACCCGTCTGAGGCATCTTGGTGGCTTTGTGGAAAAGCTTTCTTGAGAAACCTCCAATTGCCGGCTGCGTTGTTATATGCCCGGCTCGCCGTGACTCATACCGGACGGGGTAATTCGACAAAGCGAAATTGCGCAAGGGTGAGGGACTGCTCACTTCGCCTTGACCCACGCTCTCGTCCTGATCGAGACTCAGCGCACGGTACAGAGACGGCGGAACTGGCTGATACGGAGGGGTTGCTCCAGGCACACCCACCCGTCCTCGAACGATCGCTGAGAGGCGTAAAAATTGGACGCGCGGATTTAGTGACTGTCGAGTCGGACTCTGGGCAGCGCTATCGGTCTCCTGGGTCTGGCGAAGCTCGTTGGCAAGAGAATCGATGCCGTCAACGTCACGCAGAAGACTGATATGATCTACTGCTTCAGAGGTCAAGCGCGTCTGCATGTAGGTGAGAGACTGTGACATTCTGGCTACAAAATTCCAGGTCTGACCAAAGTGTATTCGGGCTGGACTTGGCAAAGATCCACAGTTGTCGAGGCGGGGAAAAACAAAGTCAACGTCCGCAGGGTGTTTCTACAATACGGACCGCGCGATTCACTTCATGGACGGACCGAAAACATTTGTTACACAGTTCAGTAGCTCAGATTGTGCATGTGGAATGTCCCGTTTGGTTCATCTTCTGTGGCATCTGGCACGAGCCAGCGCCTGCGCCTGTTTGGCTAATTCTCCAGTCCCTCTCATTGTCCAGTCAGTCTGGCATGCTCGCTCTTTTCAATTCTCTTCTTGGGCGGCCTGCTGAGCAGTGCTCTCGCCCTCCTGCTCCGCACCCTCCCCGGTGCCCGCAGCCTTCTCTGCATTCCAAGCCTGTGCCAGGACTTGGTTCAGGGCCTCTTGGAAAATGTGACAGTTGTAATCGATCAACCCCTTCTTGTTCTTGGCGTCGTCGTTCTTGATGACGGTGACGAGGCAGAGATACCTGAGTCGTATGTTAGGACGGAATGGGGTCTGCAGTGAGTTTATCTTACCTATTCATCTCCTTGAGATAGATCATGGTGCCGTCATGGATAGTCATGGAAGACTCTGTTTCCTGCATCTGCTCTCCAAGAACCAAGCCGTGCTTGCGCTCATGCCCGTAAAGGTCGGTGATATCGACAATGACGTCGATGTAGTCGGAACACATTTCGTACACCTCCATGTCAACTGGTCTGGTGTCACTGGCAACGTAGATCTTGCTGAGGATGTCGAAAAGGTAGGCTTTGGCCATACCACTGTTATTCACAAGTGTGTTCATGAGGTTCTCCAAGGTGTCAAGGTGAGGAATCAGCTTTTGAACGACCTTGCTGAAGGCCTCGAAGATGGAGTAGTCGTAGATGGAGGTCATGTGGTAGCTGACGTTGGGGTTGATGTAGCCCGCGTCATTCAAGTCATCACCAACGCGTTGAGCAATGTCTTGGTAGATTTCAGCTCGGAATTCATCATTCAAGCTGTCGATCTTGTGGATGAAGACCTCGACGTTGACATGAGGGAATGTGGTCTGGAGGTTGAGAATGGTGGTGGTCAACCGGTTCAACGACTCGCTGTAGTCGTCTTGCGCGTCGATGACCCAGACGAGCGCTCCAATCTCAGAAAAGATTTCATTGGTGTCAAACGTGGGATCGAAGTAGTCAATTTGTCCAGGAAAGTCCCAGACCTGAAAGTCCATGAAAGAGTGCATTGTGTCTTTCTGGATACGAGTGGTGGATTCGAGGAAAAGGGTCTCTTGTGGAGGCATCTTGTGGAAGACAACGCTGGTGATGGACGACTTGCCGCTTCTGCGAGGTTGTCAGTGAATGGAGATCGAGGGAATTGAAGGGATTGAAGTCAACATACCTGCGCTGACCCATCAGCAACAAGCGTGGCTTGTTCTGGCGGAGTCGGCGATCCATGTCTTCTGATGTGATGGAAGAGTGAGTTTGAGATGTGAGTGGTGGCTGACGCTCTTGTGACGAGGAGGGAGACTCGGGTGGGCGAGAGAAAGGTGGCTTGTCAGTGTTATGCGCACTCAGAGCCTGCTCTTCATCGCTTGGAGTTTTGAGAAAGGGTCTGATGTCAGTTGCGTCAGTCTTGGGAGGTTCAACATAAGTGTAACCCGCAGGAAAGTCAGGAAAGTCAGGAAAGCCAGGAAAGTCAGGAAAGCCAGGAAAGCGGTTGCGCTCAGCGTTGATAGAGGCCATCCTCAGTTGCTCTTCAAGAGTCGCGCCGCTAGTCGTGCTAGTCGCTTTGTCGTCGTCTCGGCGCTCCATCTTGGAAGAGTTCTTGTGGGACATGTGATGTAGGGGAAAGTGAGTCGCCGCGGCGATGGGAAGGAACGAGAAACAATGACCTCCATGTTTGTCTCCCAATTTTCGCGGGTCCGGTACAATCGTCTGAAGGGTTGCCACAAATTCACTGTGCTGGCCTCCTTTGCATCTAAACAAAGCAGCCAAAAAAGGACAGACTCACCACCTAGCACAGTCCCAGAGATCACTTTTTGTATGCCCTGCTGCTTACTCTGACATCTCAACTCGACCTCATTTTGTCCGTGTATGCAACTTTCTCAATTCAAAAGTGTCCCTAGCCTGACGTCCTGGACAAGCCGCCTTGATTCTGCGATCCCAGGGAGGTGCGAGAGTCCCGGTCCAGTCACCAGGAGACAGGACTTCACAACGGCAATAATGTGAGCGGGAAAAATTCAACAGTCTGAAGAGACCAGGAGGAACGTCCAAGAACCTCTGCGGGACAACCAAGCCACTGCTCTACAGCTCCCTTCTCCTGTCTGGTGAACCAAAAGTCATGCCTTTGATCAACATTGTGTCTCCAAACCTTGCTGATGTTGAGCTGATAGTTCGGCATGGAAGTATATTTCTCCGTCAAAGAGAAATACGGGGGCGCACGAGGCACCGATGACGAAAGATGACGAGCGATACGGTCGAGTGTTACCTTCCTATCCTCTCTCTGCTTCAAACCTTTCTTCAGTACCATCACCACTAATACCACCCTGGTTCCCCTTAAGAAATCCCATCTCTGCTCGGGGTTTGGTCATCAACACCCTTATGACGTCAGTACAAGCTTACGAGTACAGCGTGTGTCGAATGCAGATGGTGCTAACGCATGTCGACTGAAAGCGGTAAACGGGAATATCCATTTCAGGTTATATTCGGTGCGCTGATGGTCGAGGGAATAATCGGCCTACTTCATGTCGTTCAAAAATGAGCCAAGGCGTGTCCCGCCCCTTAATCGTCACGGAGGGCATGCAATATGACTATTTCGATGCCCAGACCGCCTATGAGAGATTTTGTTATGTGCAACGTTGACCGCTTACACCCTTGCCTCCACCGCGCAAAGTACCGCCAACGAGGTTCGGGAGGTATTACGGGGAGTACTACGTTTATTGGAAACCCTTCACGCGAGACCCGGAGCGTCAGCAGGACAAACTTAAGGGCATTCTTCGGCCGTAGCGTCCTGGATGATGACAGGAAGTCAGGGAGGGCGCAACCCTAGGAGAACAGAACGCGACAAGTTTTGAGTACCTTAATAACCAAGCCAGCAACAATGGGAATCATTGGTTGAGGTGCCATGGTGGGGTGCCAGGGTCATCTTCCCAAAGGTTCCTTTCATATTTACAATTAATTCGTATATTTTTTCCTAGATCGAGTAGTGGTGTGGTTTTCCAACAGGAGAGAATCCAGGGAAGCAGAGGCACGCAGGCAATAATATCGACATAAACTACTTGTATGAGTAAGAGGAATGTGGCACCCTTGGGCGGCCCATCGTGCCCATGTGGACCACGGGCAGAACTTCCGTTGTGGCTTCGGTGGATTCCTTTGTCATGTGTCATTCTTCAGAACTTGTACCGAGTTACACGCTACTTCGTAGATATTTTCCGGCATGTTCCTGCATCAGGGATTCCTCTTTCGTTCCCCATCGGTAAATAGTCGCAGTTTTCAGATGCTCTTGTTGAGAACTGACCAACAACAACATTCACATGTCAAACACCTGCTGGATCAAACGGAAACATGAGGAGGCATGGAGAGAGCGCAACCAGCTGTCCTCTTATCATACTTCTCACTTCTTCCCACTCCCTATCATACGCCCTAGATCCGATCGTTCTCTTGCACCCCTTGACTCCCCTGTGGAATGTACTATGATTAACATTTACATCTCAATCTGACATAATGCTACTCTGTTCTCCAGTCTAACGCAGGCTTACCGTCCTGGCGTCGTTCCCGATCCCGCCTCGCCTGCGCCTGGCTCTTCCCCCTTTCACGTCGAGGCTGCGCGCGGCCCCAGTATCCGACCCTTCGCCATTTATCATATTTTGAATTCCTGCTTCTTCCTGTTGGCGGAGTTACTGGTGGCATTTAGAGAGACAACCATGAGATTATAAAGCATCTATATTGCATGTTTACCTTGTCGACGTTGAAGTTTTACCCCTTTCCCATCTGTCACTCCTCAATTCCACAACTATGGACCCATCCCTCCATCCACAGCCTTGCCGGCTTCTGAGTCTCCCCAACGAGGTCAAACTCCATGTCGTCGATTATGTGCGTCTCTGAGAAGAGTCCAAGGGAAAGTCATGTAACTGAGCAACTCCCAGATCGATACCCGCAGAGACCTCTACAATCTATCTCTAACATGTCGTGCCCTCGAGGACATTGTCATTAGCCGACTCTATCACAACGTCGACTTCCATCTCCCTCAATTCCCTCTGCCTGGAGCAGTCGCGTTCCGAGATGCCCTCGTTCAATCTGTTCGAGAACTCACAATCAGAAATGGCAGGACGCAGAGAAGGAATTCGGTCTTCAAGCGCAGGAGAATATCAGATGCGGGTTCTGTGGAGGGCCATGTGAACAGCCTACTTGAGAATGTTCCTAGCAGTCGAATGACGAGCTTTGCGTAAGTCAGTTGTACACGAGTAGGGCTGGCTGATACTGATTGTCCCAGACTTTTACATCAGAGCCCCCTAGGTCGCCGAACGTTGACGTCCCTCGCCCAACGACACGAGCGCACCCTCAGGCGCCTCCATTTCTACGACATTTCTTCCTGGAAAGAGGGAACGCTGGTTCCTAGATACCTGACAAGTCTTGAGGCCCGCACCGTCAATGATGGAGAGGCGGTGGAAAACATCCTAGCTGCTAATAGAAAGTCTATCGAAAGGTTGTCATTAGGGCAGGAAAAACAGCTGATCGACTCTTACCAATCGAGCAGGCTGAGTTTTCTCCAACAAATCCAGCAACCGCTAGAGACACTTTTCCCCTCGTTATATCGACTGGACACCTTCCCTCAACTACGCGAGCTGTCTCTGCAAGGCCTGGATCTGACTCCTCTACGGCCATCTTCGATTCCGCATGCCTTGTTCTTCTGTCAGCTGGAACGCTTCACCTTGGAATCCTGCGCTGGCAGCCATGATCTCCTTCAATCCATCGCAGGAACGTTCCACTGGGCGTCGACGTCCCCGGAGGCACCTCAGAACCCACGCGTCAGCCCGTCCTTGAAGCACTTTCTTTTCCGCCACGAAAATCCTACAGCCCCCCTCAAGGAAGCCCTCGTCCGCTTCCTCAGCTCATTCACCGGCCTCCGGACCTTGTCCCTATTATTTGAAAACGGCGCCATACTTGAAAGGCCGAGCACGTTCATCGCCGAACACGGTCCCACCCTTGAAACTCTTGTGTTTGAATCCCGCATCCAGCCTCGTGAACACCTCTCAATTGACACTTCGCGCCCCTTCGGCGTTGGTGGATACAGTCATGATTTGTGGGAGGAGTCGATCAACGACATCGCCCGCCTCTGCCCCAACCTGATAGAACTCGGCATGGGCTTCCCCTGGAATGATGAGATGATCCGACTGCGAAAGACCGCTCTCCCAACGCTCGAGCACCTGCGAACCATCCACATCCGTAATTTCCCTGAGAACCAAGTATTTAGCCAAGTGGGAGACTACACCATCAAAGAGTACGCGACAAAGTTCGTCGAATGGGTCTTTCCCTCCTCGGTCGGAGGAACAACACCACCCCTGACACACCTCGCCATTGGCCCGACACTGTACGAGTCTCGATGGAAGATCATGCCTCCTTCCATTGCCACGGATGTAAACACTTCCACCACCCAGCGCCGTCAGCAAGCGACATCGCGCGCACAGCCACCCGAGTTTCTACGCACGCACCATTTCTGCCTCGACTGGGCCAAGACGCGCTTCAACCGCTGGAGCTGTCTAATCACGCCCGTCTCGGAAAAATACATGGAAGAGATCACCGGCCAGAAACCTCTGGGCGGTGTCTTTGAACAAGTGTGGTTGAGGTGAAACACTTCGATGCCGTTCTGATTGTTTTGCCTGGGGCTAGAAAAGACGAGCCAGGCGCTCACCTCTGTTTCGATCAATTTTCGCCATCTCCCGACATTGGCGTCTCACCTGATCCCTTGCCAGAATCGATGTATCATTTGGGATGGATTGGTTATATCGGGGCCATTATTTTTGGAATCTTCTGTTCTCCCGTGTTGGAGCTGCCATTTTTTCCATCGTTTTCATCTGTTGTTTATTTCTTTGTAGCGAGCGAGCGAAACGATACCCATATAGACCGACCGACTAAAATGTATTTAATCTGGGGTTTGAAGGACGAGTGTAATAAAATAGAACTAGCATTGGTGTCATCCTTTTTGGAGTGAGAATAGAGCCTGCAAAATAGTAATATCGAGGATATCCTCAGACCATCGTCATTACATGCCTGATTCAATTAAAGGGTACGAGTACGGGGGCAGATATAGATATATCGAAAGTCATTCCGAGTGATCAGCTCAATGCATACATATGTTTATATGTACCGAGGACTGAGTACCGAGTACATATCGTCCTCGTTCGGGGCCGTTCTCATGCTTGTCCCTCTGTGCGGTCTGAGTCAAGGTCTCGGTCCTTGTCTGTACCTGTACCTGTACTTGTAGATTCTCCTTGTCCTTGCCCGGCCGTGGCTGGACCCCTGGCGTCGGACTTTCTGGTGGCGTGCAGTTTCCTCAATCTCCTTGTTCTCCAGTCAGCCAGGTCTTCGGCGGAAATCTGTCCCCGCGTGGAGCTCTCTTCGCGTCGCTGGCTGACGGCCTGCTGCGTCCTCTGCTGCTTGAGGAGGCGGTCCTGCTCCGCCACGCCTTGCTCGATTTGTTGGCCCGCCACGTCGCTCGGGATGCCGTTGCTGCCTGTTTCTGGGGAGGCAGAGAGGGAAATGCGTCTGCCGAGTTTGTAGTCCCATTCCCAGTCGCCTGACTTGCCGCCACTCTTGGCCGTGACCCGCGTCGCTGTGAGGACCATTTCCTTGTCTACGCCCTTGAGCATGTCGTACATGGTCAGCCCTGCCATAGACGCCGCGGTGATGGCCTCCATTTCCACCCCGGTTTTGCCCTCGCAGGCCACCGTCGCTGTCACCAATACGCCACCGTAGAGCCGATCCATATCACCGGGAATCCCGACGTCTCCTTTCCCCTCTGATAGAGGATACGGCAGCTTGTCTGTCATGAATGGTTCCAGGCGGACTGTCGCACCCGTGATGTTGAGACCCGGATGAGCAAGAGGGATGAGATCAGATGTCTTCTTCGCAGCCTGGATGCCCGCTATCCGAGCCACGGCCAGCGCATCACCTTTCCGTAGCCGCGATGCAAACAGCACCCCATAGGTCCCGTAGTGAGAGAAAAGTAGCAGAGTTGTTGCCGTCGCGGAGCGGGAGGTAGGTTTCTTGTTTGCGATAGAAACCATGTGCGCTTCGCCATCAGCAGTTAGGTGAGTGAGGGTCGCATCCGCGCTGGCTGCTGCTTGGGACTCTGCTTGTTCCCCTTCAACAGACTGTTTCGATTGATCATTTTCTGTCCACCAACCTGGTGAGCCTCTACTACTGCGACCATTGGGAGGGCTCTGGTGGTGATACACACGCTTCATGATATCTCGAATCAGATACTGGCCGTACGACTGCGATCTATACCTTGCTCTCGAGGCTTTCCCCTGTAAGGATCGTTGTCGGCTCTCGTCCCAACTACGAAAGGAATTTGCAGGAATATTCTCCGGCTTCTTTGTTGGAACACGTCGGTACAAGGACTGACCATGAACATAGCGGAAGGGCTTATGCCTCAATCCGGCCAGCGAGGTTGAGACACTGAACCTTCTGAGCCCAGCGGGGTTTGTCGAAGATAGCGAAGAAAGGTAGCGAACTTGAGACCACGACAGGGAAGGTGTAGGTTGGTGCAGCAGATGCATCGGGAGAGAGGATTGGTGGAAGATATTCATGGCGTTAGCATAGCTGGGGAGGCATGTCCGAGGCGGCGAAGGAGACAAAGATTGTTTGAGAGGAGCATCATCTACAGAAGCACAACAGTCAGCTAAATCACTGACCAGATGAAATGGGCGGAGGAGAAAGAGGAACGCAGACACGAAATAGGTCTATATTCATCATATCGAAACTTTGATATTGTGTACTGTTGTTCCACATGGCCGTTTGTCGTGGCAACTTGAAGATCTGGGATAGAGAGAGGAAGTCAAGGCCTACCCACCTATAAGAATCATTGGTCTGTTTTTCATATTCTCCAGCTCGCCAATGCCAGCATGCTTCTCCTTCTTGCGCTTCACCGCCATGCCAATGACATTGAGCAACTTTGCTTCCTGTTCAGACGTCCCTGGCTCTCCAGTCCCAGACAGTCGCTGGCGGTGATTTAGCTCGAGCTGTCGAATAGCCTTCATGGCTTCGACATCAATTGGGTTGCCGTGATTGGATTCGCGTAGAATATCCCGCAAGGAGATTTCGGCATTTCCAAAGAGGCACACCTTCAGATTACCATCGGAGGTGATTCGAAGTCGATTGCAAGTGCCGCAAAAGTTGTGCGTCATGGACGTGATAAACCCGATTCGACCAGCAAAACCTGGGACTTTGTATGTCTTGCTCGTGTCGTTCTTGTGATCTCGTACCTTTTCGACAGTGGGATATTTTTGGCGGATAAGAGCCAACATTTCCCTGAAGCCCAACATCTTTTTCTCCGACCATTTGTTACCGTCAAATGGCATGTACTCGATAAATCGCACCTCGAGATCTTGGTCCCTGCCAAGTTCCACAAATGGTAGAATCTCCCGTTCATTCAAGCCCCGCATTACCACACAATTGATCTTGAGTTTGATGGCTGCTCCCAGTTTATTCATCTCAAGTATGCGATTGATTGATTTCATGACTGCATCGTGTCCATTTCTCCGCGTCATAATGGTGAACTGGTAAGGATCGAGTGTATCCAAGCTCAAATTGACCCCAGTCAGCCCGGATTCAACCATGGAATCGAGTTTTCGATGTAAAGATATGCCATTTGTTGTTATACACAATTCTTTCAGACCATCGCCTCTCAATTTCCCAATCTGATGCATGAGATCCACAATATCTTTTCGAACCGTGGGTTCACCCCCGGTCAGTCGAATCTTGTCGACGCCTTGTTTAACAAACAATTCCGACAGATATACAATTTCGGGGGTTGTGAGTAACTGCGCGGAAGGAGAAAGCGGAACACCTTCCTCGGGCATGCAATAAAGACATCGTAAATTGCATCGTTCGGTGATTGATATGCGCAGATAGTTATGCTGGCGCGAGTAGTTGTCGGTCAGAAAGGACGAGAAAGGTCGTGGTTCGGACTCGTTTCGTAAGCCTTCGAGTCGTGGCCGCTCGTTCTGAGGCGCGGGAGGGCTCTGGTCTTGGAGTGTATGTGCCTGCCATCGCGGATCTGCTGCTGCAGGTCGCTGGGGTTGGATGTTCGTAGCAGTGGACAACGGGCGCTGAGGATACCGAGGAGGCTTCGTGTGGCGAAAGGTTTGTGGCCTTGTTTGGCGCAATAGAGTGGCAATCATCTGTTTGAAGCTGGCTTCAGCCATGGTCGGAGAGAGTGAAAGGTGGGAAGAAGGTCCAACATGGGGACCGAGGGGAATAGTAGAGGTTTTGTCATTAGAAGAGCTGAACTATTCGGGATAAATAATAAGGCATTGCAGAAGCAATCTTATACGCGGATGACATGCTAGCAATGGGCAAACCATCAATCTCTAGATTGATATTAGTCACTGTGCAGGAATTTAATGGCAAAGAGGAGACGGAGATGTGAGGAGAAACTAATGCAGTTTGCCGAACTTGGAAACCTCGCGCGAGATCCGTACGAACCGGGGACGAAGATGGGTTTGACCACGTGACACAGACATCAGCCACATATATCAGCCACACTCGCCACAGCTCCGGCGTTAAAGTTTGATAAGAACGAACCGATCTCTGCTCGGCCGACGAAATCTGAGAGACCTGTTTCATTCCGCACGAGATTTTGTCGGTTGAGGGATGATAAATCAAGGTGTCAGATCGCTCATGTTGGAATTCTTTACTCAATATAGAACCATCCTCCACGGGCTTGAAGCAAAGCGGTGAATCGACGTCCTACCTGATGAATGAAGCACGGTCAGAAACCTCTTCTAGCCAGTCATTTGCGAGGACCAGAGAAATATGAGGATGGCCGTTGTTGGGTTTGTCCACAGTTGGATCAATGTTTCGCGTGTCCAAAGTGTGTTGGTGGTAGTTGTGAGTGTTTCGGAGCCGCGGTGGATTTTGGCGCCTGAAAATTGAAGCGTCGCAAACCCATAAGTGATCGCCCCAATCAATATAGTCACGTGACTACAAGGAAGAGTGAACAAAGTTGAGTAATAACACCGGAGGCCTTTCTGCGCTTTGGCCAGTGGTGCCAGAAGATCCATAGCCACAGGTTTGTGTTGCTATACGAGTACTCGGTACAAAGAACTCGTACTCGTAGGTCTGCCAATGCTTGCCGGTTCTTGGCCGTGCCTCTGTAAGATTCGTGGCAGCCTGAAGACGGAGGCCAATAGTTCAATGATTGGTGGAAATCACGTAGCAGATGCGCTGATCACGGGGAGACAAAACTGCCGATATGCCGGGCTCTCGCAAGACAACCACCAAAACCGGACCCCTAGCAGCCACACGGGCCAGTCACAGGCGCTGCAAGGGGGGGGACTCTCCGACACAGCCTCAGCACTTGCCCCCAAGTGTTGTGGCTCTTGCGCGCTCTCGTCCGGATGAGCCCTGCGCAACTCTGGCTCTGCCAACTTTCCCTCTCTTGCTGCTTTCCCTCTTCTCCCTTCCTTGTTCCACTCCCCCCTACGATCCTCACTTCACTCTTCAATCATTCCCTCGTTCCATCACCAACACGCCCTCGCTATCTCACGACCGATATACAGACACCTTCACATCGACTTCAGACGAGAAAATTCACATGAAATCTGATTGACGACCTTGTGAACCCTCTGTACCTATTTTTAGGCTGCCTTTAAAGCCGTGTAGGCTCCTAGGCCACGCACCCCTCTAGTAAACCACCCTCAACTCTACCATGAGTTACCCTACTTCACAATCGAGCATGTCTCAACTCAACACCACGTTTGACCCTGACTACGATTCTTTTTTGAACATCGAGAATGAATTCACACCTGCAACAACTTCTCCAGACATCAAGTCAGTCCCGATGCTGACCCCTCAGTCGTCCATCCCAGGCTCTGCAACCTTTGCGTCGAGCTCGACTCCTACCACTTTCCCGGGACCCAGCTTCCAGTACGATCGATATCATCAACAGACTGGCATACCAATTGGCGCTCTTGCAAGCACTTTCAACATCAACAAGGCGACTGGGTTACAATATCATGAGGGGAATGGAGGCTTCATTATGCCAACAGAGACACTGAACATGCCTTTGAGCGACTTGGACGAGTTTGACTTCTCTCGCAACCCTGCTGATATGGATTTCGAGACGGATTCGCCAAACGGTCTTCCAATGTTCTACTCTGAGGCTGGGTCTGGTCCAACTCAGTTCGTCAGCCCAACCACTTTGGTGTCCCAGAATACCACCACTTCCGCTCCGAAACGAATCTATCCTGGAATGCACAGTCAGCAGGCTGCCCAGGCCAAGGCGCAACAGGCTCAGAAACAGGAACAGATTGCACGACAGCAGCAGCCCCATCCTCAAAGCCAGAAACCCCTTCCAGGTTCGGTAACCGTCAAAACTCAGCCGGCCAAGGACCCCCTCGTCGAAGAAAGCATCACTAAGGTCTTGAATCGGATGAGGCAAGCCAGCGCTGTTTCCATGTCTGATGACGACAACTCTCCTGTGACAGGAATGTCAAACATGCCTCGCTTGAAGAAGGACGAAGATGACATGGATGAAGATGAACGTCTCCTGGCCAGCGAAGAAGGCAAAAAGCTGTCCAGTAAGGAACGTCGCCAACTCAGGAACAAAGTATCTGCCCGTGCATTCCGTTCCAGAAGAAAAGGTATACCCCACTATCTGATTTATTTTCGAGACATCTGCTAACTCCGTCCTCAGAATACATTTCTCAATTAGAAGGAGAAGTTGCCGCCAAAGCTCAAGAGGCCAACGACTTGCGTGCTCAAAATCAGCAACTTCGAGAAGAGAACAACCGTCTCACCGACCTCACGCGAATGTTGCTATCGTCTCAAGCCTTTTCAGGCTTTTTGCAAGAGCTCAGCCAGTCTGGCTTGCCAGCACCGAACGTCCAGAGTAACACTCAGCAGCAAAAGGCCGTTACAAGCAAGCCTCAGCCCCAATCTCACGTCGTGAAAAAGGACATCGGCTCAGACGAGGCTGCACATAGCATGCATATTCAGCAGCCTCAAGTTGGGATGGCGCTAATTCCAGACACCCCGGTTGATTTCTCTGTGCTTCAACCATCAAATGGCTGGATGAGCGCTCTCCCAACCAACGACTTCCAAGTCTATGCCGTCACGGCATTACCAGAACCCCCAATCCTGGACCTTGAAAGTCTGTCAGGAAAATCCAAATCAAGCCATGACTCAAGTAAAGGGGCAAAAGACTCACCCCGTATCCCCGAGCTACCCAATCGGGTGCCAACTTTCACGTCACCAGAAACGCCCAAGGTTGACGATTCAGTCTCCCTCGACCGAGAAAACTTTGCGTTGTACTTCGAACCTGCTGTCTCTCATTTGGAAGATACACTGGATTGTACAGAGCAGGATACAGAACTTTCTGATGAAGAAAAGGCGGCTCATTTGCAATCATTGTGCCATGGTCTCGACGAATCTTGTGACAAGCTCGAGCAGTATGTGTCGCATATGAAATGAAATTCTGCTCATCTAGCAATAGTGGGAAGTCAGGAAAGTGATGACGGTGGTTCTCTAAAATTAGGTTGAACACCTGGCTCACGGGTTGAAGGAATTTGGGCTCTTTGATGGCCAATATATAGGGTCTCGGTATCATACTCATTTTCATTATGGTGTCCATATCTCCTTCCGCAAGCTTCTGCAACCCAGTAATACGTAGAAACGGTATCTCACCGCGAATACTGACAGACACCATTTTTTTTTAAAAAAACAACTGAACGACAGAAAAGTCGGATGACTTTGTATTGGCTCATATGTATTGTCGTCATGAAAAGGTTGAAGGTTGTCACAAATTGGGAGCGTGGCGACGCGAGGCAGCGTCGCAGCCTCGTCAACGGGCGCAGTCACTGACACTTTTTTTTGGTGCACAACATCATTCCTCCCATCGCTCAAAATTTGCGGAACACGCTCCAGACACTCATTTACTGTGACTCAACTGTCTACCTGATCCTAGGTGTGCCAGTATATGTACACTGCTTGCGAGGGCTTTGTACTTTGGACTGGACCATGCTCTGACACACATTCCATCCCTACTCAGTCGCCGTGGCTATCCTGAAGCCAGTCTCTGTCTTTCCTTGGGCAGACTCTGCGGGCCAGCTCATCGCCAGGGACCGAAATTCGACGATTCGTTCCTTCTCCCCTTTTCTTGCGAGACCTTACCGCTCGAGTCGACTTCCTGATCTCTTCCGGTACCCAAAATCTTATAGGGCCAGACGACAGCGGCCGCGCCTGGGCCCAGAACGTTGTGTCTCAACAAAAGGAAGACTGATCTGGGATGAAGGAAAGGCAGGAATACAAGAGAGAGATTTTAGTTCCCCTAGAGCCCGCCTGAGCATTTCCCGCCCGCCTGCGCAGAGACTATCTACAGTCTGGTCGTGGCGTAAGGCCTACAGCAAAAGTGGTCCACCGGGACAAGTTGGAATTGAGGAACTGTCGACCACGACACTCCCAGACTCCCACACAATGCGTCCGCAAAAGGAGGGTGCCAAACCGGTCGGGGTGCGCACAAATTTCCACTTTCAATTCATTACAACCCCCACCTCTGATACGCCTGGAACGGCGCTCGTATTGCACTTCGACTCCAAGAGATACATATTTGGGGAGATCACTGAAGGAACTCAAAGAGCAACTGTACAACGTGGGATTGGGCTCCGGAAAGTTCGCGGCCTCTTCCTCTCAGGAAAGACGCTCTGGAACAATGGAGGCGTCATAGGCCTCATCCTGTCAATGGCAGACGTGCAGCAGTCGGAGATTGATGAAGACACCATGAAACGTCCTAGATTGCACATACATGCAGGACCAAAGCAGCTACACTCGTTTGCATGTGCGCGCCGATTTGTTTTCCGTACGGGGATGCCGTTGTCAGTTCACGAGGTCGACGTTTACAAGAACAGGACCAATCCGAAGCCGATACATGTGGATGAGAATATCCGGGTGTGGGCACTGCCTCTTGAGGACCGCTCTACCATAACTACGCTGCCTAAGAGAACTGAAGGGTCTACCATTGATGAGTTTCAGTTGGAAAGGGAACAGACTTTGCGAAACGACGTCGTGAACAACATGTTCGATTCTGATTGGAGGCGTGATCAACTCTTGCAGGCAAAGCTCAAGGACATCAAACTACCAGCAGTGGTGTGGGTGAGGGATCCCGAGACGAAAGCGCTGATCACTTATCCTGTTTTTGACATGGATAAAACCACCCTTGCGCCCGACACGGAAGTCCTCGTTCGCAGTCCCTGGCCTGCTTCGACTGTACAGGAGCTGCCACCGGCAAGAGGCTTGCCAGAAACTGTGGCGATGTCCTATATTGTAAAGGGCCATCCTCAGCGTGGTGAATTTGACGTCGCAAAGGCAAAGGCCTTGGGTCTGCGCCCAGGGCCAAAGTATGCAAAACTAGTAGCCGGGGAGTCCGTCGAGAGTGACGACGGTACACAAGCCACAATCACGCCGGAAATGGTCCTGAATCCCACTCGGCCGGGCAGAGGGTTTGCATTATTCGATATACCCTCAGCTGGCTATCTTGAAGAGCTCGAGCGACAATTGGATTGCCAGGCCGACTGGATTCTGGAGGGAGTCGAGACCGCAGTCTGGATGACCAAAGGTAAAGTACTAGAGGCAGACAAATTTCACCAACTGCTTCATAAGCTCAAAGACCTGAAGCATATCATTTCGGACCCTCACCTATGCAATGACTACATTGCCTATGACTCTTCCGCCATATCCTCTGCCAGATTGTCTCAGATCGCACCAAGCCTCTTCTCCATCCCTAGGTTCGACAATTCGAATGCCTATCGAAGTATGATCGATACATCGGTGGTTGAGCTAGACAATCTCTTCGACAAAGTCCGAGTTATACCAGCAAGAAGAGGTCTGAAAGTGCATGTCGAGCCTCATCCCGCCATAGATGATGGTGAGGTCGTACCCGGCCTTGACTTGGAGGCATTTACAACGCCTCTAGAGCCAGCAGTACAAGAAGTGTTGCCAGACGATTTGTCAACGTACCGTGCTTCAGACTCTGAGTTCAGAACTGGCATGGATTTGGATGAGCCGGAAATCGTAACGCTAGGAACCGGCTCAGCAGCTCCCTCAAAATATCGCAACGTTTCATCTCTGCTTCTTCGAATGCCCAATGGGATGGGGAACTACCTGTTTGATTGCGGTGAAGGTACTCTTGGTCAGTTGAAAAGGCTTTATAACGCCGATCAACTGGACGAAATTCTGTTCAACCTCCGAGGAATTTGGATATCACATCTTCACGCAGACCATCATCTGGGCACAGTGTCCATACTAAAGGCAGTATTCCAGACTGCTCAACGACTGTCCGATTCTGGGCAACGTGATCGGCCCCCACCTCCGTATATGATGTCTGAGATCAACATGATAGACTATTTGGATGACTACGAATCTGTTATGGGCATACCGACCGATATGCTCTGCACCCCGATCGCCTGTGATCCCCACAGAGGCCTTTTTCATCGAGGCAGACACTTTGAGATGCAGAATGACCTTTACATTAGTGAACTGCGCACTGTGAAAGTAAGTCACTGTCATGGTGCACAGGCCGTCTCTGTCACTTTTAAAAATGGGTTCAAATTTTCCTACAGTGGCGATTGTCGTCCCAACGAGGCATTCTGCGAGATTGGCGCCGACTCAGACGTCCTAGTACATGAAGCCACTTTTGACGACGGCATGGAAGGCGATGCTATGGCTAAAAAGCACAGCACAACCGGCGAGGCTGTAGGTGTTGCATTGAGTATGCGCGCCAAAAACCTCATCCTCACACATTTCAGTCAGCGATACCAGAAAATCCCCGTCTTCAGCAGTGTCAAAATGCCAGAGCGTGTCTCCGAAGAGGACTTGCTTGATGACGTTGATGCTGAGGTGATCAACACAAGTGCTCATGCCAATGAAGACAGCTTAGAATCGGAGGATCATTCTGAACCAAAATTGGATCCTTCGTCGTGGGAACAACCTGACTCGGTCGTGCGTGACCTCAACATCGCCGTGGCTTTTGACCTAATGCACATGCGTGTCTCACAAATTCAACACATGAAACGTCTCTTCCCTGCAATTTCCAAGATGTTTGAGATGGAGGAGGAAAAGAGAGCCCAAGTACGGATGGAAGCTGCCGCTCAACAGAAAGCAGACATAGAAAGCAGGAGATTAAAGAGGCTGCAAGCCATGGAAACAAACAAGAACAAGATGGACAAGAGCAAGGAAAAGCACATGAAAAAAAGCAAGAAACAGGGTCTGGTAGAGGGAACTGCGGACGAAGCACAGAGTCAGCGAACACCTGGGAGAGCGCAGGCGAGGAACGGTGATGGAACAGCAGCTCACCACCCTGCTCTTCCCGCCATTCTCGATGGGCCCAAGGCGGAGCACACAACGAGCAATGGAGTTGACATTGGTAAGACACGCCACACAAGGACCAGTGAGGGTGTGAATGCTAAGCGTGCTCAGACCGGTGACGGCTGCGAGGTGCCAATGCTGGACGTGGCGGCGCGAGGCAGCGTCTCAGCAGATCTGACCTCTGCAGAACCGAGGCCTGGCAACGGTGATGGAACCAGCACTGAAAGTCGAACAGCAATGAAGAAGCGCAGGCTTGAATAGTCTCCTCTCTGAGAGTTGACCAGACCTGGAAGCTGGTATTGCTTGCCTTGCGACCTGCTGGGCTGGAATGGAAAGGAAAGACAACGCTGCATCCCAATATCAGGCCACTGGTTTTGGTATTGTTCTTGTTCTTGTTACTTTCTTTCGTATTGATCACTTGTCATCACTCAGATCGGCTCACCGCAAGCACGATGATATCAAATTACCTCCCTACCTACCGCTACATAAATCGATAGATGGACGGACAGATAGATACCTAGGTAGAGCTCTTCTGGGTGCAATTGCCTACCTACCCGACTGAGCCCATCGATCTCATCTTATCTCATCTCTACCTTGTTCAGTTGGTATTTTGACGAGTGAGACGGGTTCTGTATCTAATCAATCGTATGGTGGTGGTGGACGAATCATCTTGTATAGAGGACGAGGTAGTTACAATGTATATATATATACCTGCACAAATACACAGATCAGGCTCGCCAGGTTCACCACCTCGGTACCGAAATCCTAGTGGTCCTGGAACATATTTATCACAATACATATAGACACTTCTGACATTGTGAGAGCCACTTGTTCGATTTCATATTATAAGCATCTGACAACCTTGCAACCTTACCCCTTACCCCTTTCCCTCCTTCTCTCCAATCACCCTAACCCCCATACCTATCGAGGCATAGAAGGAAGACCATCCTTGATGGACCGGACTTCCTAGACTGACTGACTGACTGACTGACTGACTGAGTGGTCAGGTCTATCTCCTCCTGCCTTGGTAATACCAACCGAGATCATTCCTCGAGGCAATCTCCGCCTCGTACGCTCCGCTCCACGTGGATTGGACGTCGTCCTTGCTCTCACTGACCCGGGATCGGCTCTGGCTCTGGATCTGGCTGTGGTGTTTGCTTTCGCTCCGACTGGCTGAGCTTCGCGATACTGGACTGTCCCGCACGTGCACGTCAGTGTGGTTGGCGTGGGTCAAGGTCCTTCTGTCGTGGTTCCGTCTCTCACTCGTGTGCACCCTCACAGATAGGCGCTCGGCGGTCGACTTCTTCCCCGGTGCCGCCCATGCCGATGTCGATGGTGTGGGGGGCGTGTCCGGCGACGAGGAGCTGGGGCTTTTGTCCGGAGGGGTGGAACTGATCGTGTCGTCGTACAGGTCAAGGATCTCTTCTGTTGAAGACGCCAAACGCCGCGAAGGCTTCAACGGGTCCTGCCGCACTACAGGTATAGGAGCCGATCTCGGTGAAAGCGTGGTCGTGCCTACATCTGCTGCAGAGCGGCTGACTTCGTCGTACAGACGGAGGAATAGATCTGATGCCGAGGACGGGGGCGTGAAAGGTGCCAGTCTAGAACCCGGTACGGGTTTCGGTCTCGAGGGTGTTTCAGATGTGGTTGTGAATGGAGATGGGGCGACGAGGTCGATGTATGTTTCTGCTGCACAGTGTCTCGGATTTTCCAATGGCAGATTGTGTCCTGTACCTGACAGGGTCTTGGACACCGTGGTTGCCACAGAGTAAATGCTCGAAGCCGAAGCCAAGACAGGGTCTGTTTCCCAAGAATCTCTTGACGAGCCAAAGGGCCGGTATACCCTGTCGTTGGTGGCCGGTCGTGTTGGTTCTTCTTGTCGTGATGTCTTCCACTGTGACCGCGGCGGTATGTATTCAAGCGGTTCCTCCTGGTGAGTAGGGGTTTTGCGCGTCCGTGAAGAAGCAGATGGTGGGTCTTCGACAACGCCAAAGCGTAATGCTCGTTCAGTGGTCGAGGAAGAACGTCCGTAAGGACTTTGGCCTTTTGTGGATGGGTCACCCGAAACAGAGCTGATATCTGATTCGAATGGAAATTTCGTGTGAGGACGTGGCTGATTTGGAAGGTAGGTCGTGCTGGTCAGCGCCTCATAGGCATCCATGCCCGGGAGATCGTCTTCGTTCGGTTCTCCTGGCAGACCTTCACCGGCATGGTTGTCACAGGCCCCGTCCAGATTTGCTGATCCTGAAGCTTCGTGCTCAGGGGCAACCGGGGGATTGGGAGCAAGGCGAGAGCTGCCGGTGCGCTTGGCTCTTGTTCTTCCGCTTTTCGTTCTGCTCAGCTTCATGTACTTGTATTTCTCCTTCTTCACTGCTTCGATGTTAGCTCTTGTCTTCTTCAGCGCCACTGCTTGCTCCTCATTCTGGAGCATAATGGTGTCGAGGTCGATATCTTGACCCGTCGCCCTCTCCACACATCTCGCCAGCGCGGCAATCCACACCTGCACCCATGATTGGAGTCTCGGGGTTCCATGCGCGGCGACGAAAGTTGACGTTGCCCTCGACCTGATTGTCCACCTCAGGTCCAGGAGAATCTCCAGATCACATGTAATGCGGGACAGGATGCATGCATAGCAGCGGTCACTTTGGTAACTCCACTTCGAGTCCTGGCTTGAGACCAAGAAGGTCTTTGCGTACTCGTCCTGTGTGAGCCACAAGGCGTGCAGTGCCCGAAGTCTCATGACTCGATCGTACTGCTCGGGAGAGAGCAGATCGCAGTGCGCAATGAGATTGTTGAGACGAATTCCCACCTCAAGCTGGACATGATGCAGCACGACATCCACGGCATCGTAGTATAGGGCTTTGTGTTGCTGACAGAGGTGGCCGCGAGGCGGCAAGAGGATATTCTCCAACCGACTCGACCTGAGAAAAGAAGGTATCGACTTTACCCCCTTGGCGATTCGCGATGACAGTGCTTCTGGAGCTTCATTGGGTCGGAATTGTAGGAGTTTTGCGAATGTTGGGATGCACACAGACGGGATCTCTTCAATATACATCTCGTCAGCTCTTCTCTTCTGGCCCTGAGAGTGTCACCGAGAAAGTCTCTCACCTGAGTCGTGCTCGTCGCGTGAGCTTGGTATTGTGAGAACAGTTGTTTCATTGACAGGCTTCAACGAAAAAGGTCTGGATAAAGTCTGGGAGGCTGCTGTCAGGAAATAATTTGGTTAGCTATAAAGGGGATGCGAGGACAAAGTTGACAGACCATGCATGGACCTTGGGAGGTTTGCACTTTCATAGGTCTACCCACTGACAATGGATCAAAGAAAATGGATCAAAGAAAATGTGCCGGACAAAGGAGAACTGTAGTTATTGTCCTTCATCAAGGCATTGCAATGTCAAGCAGACATGGAAAGATTTTTGCTTTGTCGGGATGAGACTTTGACAATGAGAACGAACGTCACCGTGGGCTGCGCTGCCTGCGCCGATCAACCAGGACTTTAGACTTGAGAAAATCAGGTTTGAGTATTGGAATGAGGCGAGGAGACAATTCCTTCTTGTTTATTCAAATATGCAAACCCCAGTACCACCATGACCTTTGGGCACCAGCCCGTATGTTGTACACATTACCTTGATTTGCAAGAACATAGTAAAGGCGCATAGGCTCTTTCCCCCAAAACCCCCTCATCTTGATCACATTCCGGTTCCTTGCCCTGTGCTCCCTAAAAGCAGTGCCGAATATGTACCATGAAAAATCTGGTCGTAACAATAAACATTTTATACACCGCTGTTCAATGCATCCCGTCCGCGTGTAGGATTGCCGGACTTCTGCTATGAATCCCTGCGACGCGATCCGATATTGACTTGGCATCGAAACCACTCTTGCGTCTGGTGCTTCTCCGCAAGGCTTGTTTGACTTCCTGTTCTTCCCTTGCTTCCTCCTCGAGTGCTTGAGGTCCAGCATTTTCTTTGTCGTCAAGGACCTGCCTCTGACTTGACTGAGCTTGATGCTCTGCATGACCCTTGTCAATGATTGGCGAGTTGACAATGTTAGCTGCAGCAGCAGCAGCATCTGCGTCCACTTTCTTCTGGGCCGCAATCCTATCGCGTTGGTAACGGGCTGACACATCACCACCGGTCCATGCGGTATTAAGAAGGCGGTCCCAGAATGTGAAGAATGGTTGTGAAAAGTTAGTCTTGATGCCCCAACTCTGATGGTGCACGTCGTGATAAGCCGCGTTATTCGAGGTAATGTGTTGCAGAGGATCCCATGGAAAAGCATATCCACAATGGTCGTCAACCGTCTTGATTGACGAGATGGTGAAAAACCACATGCCTTGTCTAATGGTCATCCCGGTTGTCAAGTAGGCCACTCCCGTCCCAAGCGTGTCAAGCATGAAGCCTTCCAGAGGATGGTTGTAGAGCGCTCCATACGCGTATGGAACATACAAACGATGGTGCCGAGAATGGAAGGTGGTGTAAAGAAATTTGTTCATGTGCATGGCTCGATGAAGGAAATATTGCCATGTGTCTACGATCAGAGTCGCCACGGCAAATTGGATCAAAGGAATGCCAACCCAATAAATCGACTTCGCGGTCGTCATTTCCCACGATGCGAAAGATGGTGTGGAATAGATCCCTCCCACCAAAGCGCCTGCGAGTTGAGGATAGTCGGGTTGAAGTTTTCGACCAAGAGACATAGCATCTAGACCAATGAAACCGAGCAATGTTGGAATATATCTTTCGGCGAGACGCAGGCGCTGTGCCCAGACAGCAATATCATAATCCTCTTTACCGATCGTCTCAACAGGGTCAAAGGAAGCGATTATCAATCCAAACACCGTCTGGACTATTTGCTGGATAATCACGTCCCGAAGGACTTCGAATCTGGTAACATGATTGCGTTTGAGGACTTCAGCTGGAGTGTGCAACCTGTACTGCGAACACAGGTCATAGGTATCCAAGATGTGGAAGAACAGTGAGACAACCCAATAGGCAATGATAGGAGCGAGGAGCTGAAGGAGTGGATCTGATATGCCCGGGATCATAGAGGGGCGGGGTTTCAGAGTATAGGGAGGGAGACCAGGGAGGTCCGGAAACGTCGCGTTTGCCATGTTATCGGTCATGGAATGGCAAGAGGAGCAGGGACGATGTTCGATGTAGAGGTATCGCAGGGAGATATATTAAGGTGTGCGCGGGAGGCTCGGATGACCGTGCAAGGGTCTAATGGGGGGTGGAAAGGAAGGGCGTGCGTCTGCGTACGTTCAGCCCGGTGAGGGGAGTCGACAAAAGCAAAGTAGAAGACCAGTAGAAAGCGAAAGCAAGAGAAGATTATGAGAAGTGAAGGAAGCGAAGGAGTGAATTAAGACAAGATGAGAACATCAGAAGAGAGGTGGAGAGACCGACCAGAATGAACTGTACGGAGTAGAGGTGATCAGGATCAGGAGTTTCCGGAGAATTAATTTGGTGACGAAGGGAAATTTGCCTCCTCCATGCCTCCTTGCACCGGAGTCATGTGATTATCCTTGAGATTGAATTATCACGTGCGCCAAGCGGCGCATTGTTGAAGTAGACGCAGCAAAATTTTTGGTGGCAGCGCAACCCCACACCGCACTCCCGTTTGTCAAGTGGATGGGCATTCACAGGCCTAGATACCCTTTCGATCTTGAACCCCTCGTCAACCCAGCCAGGCTTGCGCTCATTCATTTTTTTCTTTCGCTCGGTCCTTTCCACCTTTAAGCGCACCCTCTCTCCATTATTTGCGTTTCTCTCTGCTCGCTGCAGCGCTTGATTCAAGATGATCATTTACAGGGTACAAACCATTTCATCCTCGAACACAGGGTCTTTTGACCCTACCCCGCCTGAATTAACTAACAATTTTTATATCAGGACATCATCAGCGGCGATGAGCTCGCGTCTGACACATCGAAAATCATCGACATTGGCAATGGCCTGTGGGAAATTGATGGCAAGATGATCACAAAAGGATCCGAGAACTTTGGTTAGTCTCGTCCTCATCCCTCATCACTCCGTAAACCGACTAAACTCTTTGAATTCAGTTCTCGAAGGCGCCAATCCATCTGCTGAGGGCGAAGACGCCGAAGACGGTGCGGATGACACCAAGGTCACGGTTCTTGATCTTGCCGACCAGTTCCGTCTACAAAAGCTCGAAGGTGGAATGAGCAAGAAATCGTATCAGTCCGAACTCAAGAGTACGTTACATTTCCTGGACTGCGGCTGGTCAAGGTTTTAGAATTGACACTGGCACAGAATACATGAAGGCACTGACGGAAAAATTGAAGGAGAAGGGGAAGAGCGAGGAGGAGATCAAGAAATTCCAGTCAGAAGCACCTGCCGCAGCCAAAAAGATTCTCGGCAACTGGGACAACTACGACATCTATCAGGGCGAGTCAATGACCGAGAACGGCATGTACGTCCTTGTTGACTTCCGTGAGGATGGCATGACACCATATGCGACCGTTTGGAAATGGGGCCTGGAAGAATACAAAGTGTAAGCGAAACAGCCAGATCGATTGGTGCATTCGAGGATACATACGACACGACAATGATGGTGTTCTGAGATGATTGGGGTGGATGGCCTGCGATAGCTCATTATCGTCCAAGCACATGATGAGGAATAGAATCTGCAACTTGCTTGCCGCTTCAGTCATGTTTTGTCCCTGCTGGTCTGTGACTTCGAACTCTCTGCAAGGTTGGCCAATGGACTGGCGAGACTGTGCCGTTGCTGTCTTCTTACATATGACATGCAATGTCGACCCGGGAGCAAAGAATACACCAACCTGGTGCAAAGTACGTCCCTTGAGTAAACCTTAGACATGTGCTCCCCTCTCCATGACCACCAATAGCACAAGGAGGCTGTCACGCTGTCGAACACTTTGCCTTGCTCATGAGTGATTGTTCAAGATGGTATGTTGGAAAGGTGGGAGACCCCGCAGTTGCAGACGAAAGGCTTCCTTCGTTTTAGGCGGTCATTTTAAAGGGACTAGACCCAGGCCCTGTTGTACTGGCACTTATTGGAGGGGAGAAATGGCGCTGCCTGCATGCTCCGCCCCTGCACGTTCAACAGCCCCATCCAAAAACTTCCTTGTTGTCCTACTCCTACGTCCGTGCCTACCTATGATCTCCAGAATCATCGTATGACTGGTTATCTTGGCCGTGCCATTTAGTGACCCATTGCTTGGGAAGAAGCATCTCTATCCGATAAGCATCCAAGGCGCCTTTAACCCTCCCTTCCTCCCTACTCACCGAGCCACCTGCTGTCTCCGCTGCTGGAACCGTGCTCTCGTGCTCAGTTTCCACATCAGAAAATCTACCATCAGGGTCGCCTTTGATCTTCAGGTCCCGGCTCACATGTCACAATAGCAATACTATCTCCAGCCCAGCATGGCTCCTTTTCTCCGCTGCATATTAATCTTTTCAGCTCTTATCACTGCCACCATTTCCGTTCCTACTAGCGAGTCTTTCTCTCATACCTCCCCGCAGAACAAACTCACCCTCACACCCCGAGAAAGACCGAGAGGGTCCTTTCGCAGACTTCGAGACGCTATCATCGAACGAATATGGTCCATTCCGAGTCGATATTCCTACAAGCCCTCATCCATAGCCGGAGCAGCAAGGGCTCCAGACAACTTTCGCGCTCGCTATGGCGGTGACGTTGTCCTCCGCTTCCAAATCAAGACAGAAGATGAGGCGAGGGCGATTTCAGAAGCAGCAGACATCTTATACTTGGACATCTGGGAAGCAACCAACGAATGGGTTGATATACGTGTAGCAAAGGAAGTGGTTCCCTCTTTTGTTGGCCTTCTACCGTCCTCCTTGCACGATTCCTACGTGCCATTGATGCACGATCTTGCGCGTGCCGTCTACGATACCTACCCTGCATCGCCTCTTGCCAACGAGAAAATTTCGGGCTTCACGACCCCACATGACTGGAGGACAAAGGGGAACACGCCGCATGATCTATTTTTCCAAGACTATCAACCGCTGTCGGTGCTATATCCCTGGCTACGGCTGCTTGCCTCGCTCTTCCCTACGCACGCTTCGCTGATGAGTGTTGGTCAATCGGCAGAGGGTCGCGACATCCCTGCCTTGCGCATCGGAGCGCAGCTCGTTGGTAGCTCGACAGACTCGCATGACACGAAGCAGACACTGCTAATAGTGGGCGGGAGCCATGCTCGCGAATGGATCTCAGTCTCGACAGTGGCATACATCGCCTACAGCCTTGTCACGCGTTATGGGCATGATCAGTTTCCGGAAGTCACGAAGATTTTGAACCATTTCGACTTGATTTTCGTTCCCGTGCTGAACCCTGATGGATATGAGTATACCTGGACGTCCGACAGACTGTGGCGCAAGAATAGACAAGCTACGTCTATTCCATTCTGCCCTGGTATCGACCTCGACCGTGCCTTTCAATTCGGATGGGACGGCTACGGGAACACAGATAACGCCTGTAGTGACGATTATGCCGGGCCCGGACCGTTGGCTGCAGTTGAAGCGCAAATATTGACAGAGTGGGCTCAAAACTTGACGGCTAACAATAACGTCACATTTATGTCGTATCTAGACTTCCACTCCTACTCTCAGGAAGTGCTCTACCCTTACAGCTACACTTGCGATACAGAGCCACCAAACCTCGAAGACCTCGAAGAGGTTGCCATTGGGATCGCGAAATCTTTCCGATTGACCAACGGGCATCATTATGGAGTCGAAAGCGCGTGCCAAGGTAGCATGGTCTTCCAGGACCGAGCGAACACACCACGAGTCCAGATAGAGCCACAAGGTGGCTCAGCGTTGGATTTCTTCTACCATGATCTTGATGTCAAGCTTGCATTCCAAATCAAGCTGAGAGACACCGGAACATATGGATTTTTGCTGCCGAGATCTCACATTCTTCCCACGGGTCAAGAAGCTTACGAGGGGGTGGTTGGTCTAGGACGATGGATGTTGGGCAACCACGGCATTGAGCGAGTTGATGATTTGCATTCCGTTTGGGGGAGCGAAGAATTGACGGACCATCACAATGCAGAGATCTCTGAAGAACACGGAGTACCAGTCACAAATGAGGAAGAGGATGACGAACTGGGCGAGAATGATTTTGAACTAAGACGACGGCGGCGTCGGTAATACTGCTATTACGAGCGTGGGCAGTGAATTTGAGGGCGTTTTTGGAGGCATCGTGGGCGGGGGTGGATCCATCCCGATTGACGTTTTCCATGACATGGCATGAAGCCTTGGATGTACAAATACTGGTCATCTTCAGAGGCACTTGCTCCTGGGGTACACGAGCAAAGTACTCGGTATTAGCCCCTGGACGACGTTCTATATCCTCGCCGTATAAAAGTTGAACAAGGACTTTGTGGTGAAATATAGTGCACGAAGTGGCGTGGATCGTCAGAGCCACAATATCGACTCGTTGCTCTCTCTGGTTGGGACTGGACAAGAGATGAAAGGACGAAAATCGTGACCAGCAACGGGCACCATGAAGCCTATTATTCGTAATACGAGGAGGCACCCAGCAAGGGCTAGAAGCAAGGCCCTCGGCATGCAAGGTCAAATTGAGGTTCCTTTTTTCCCTCAGTGGCTGAATCCCCGGTAAATTGAGATGTCGCAAGGAGGGCCGGCGGTTACCCAGAGACGTCAATTTGACAAATGAATAGGGGGTACAAACAAAGCCAGCAGGGAGCGAGGGCTGCTTCTTCAGTTTTGTTGTTGTGAACTTGTCACTTTGTTGTTCCCCATATACACCTTTTGACGGAAGTAGATGCCACAAAGTATGAGTACCGAGTACTCCTGCTAGGTACTGAGAGTACGAGGTACGGTACAGTGTGAGCTGAAAGTGAAAGTCAAAGAGGTACCAAGAACAGAGGTTGGCTGAAGGAAGAGCGGTTTTAGTGGCTCTCCACCTCCACTCAGGGTCCGAGACTCGACAAGTGGCGACATGCAGTTGGCCCGTGAATCCCTAATGGCCCTGGGGAGCCTGGATTGCCGGGGTGCCTTGGCCCCCCTGGTCCGTGATCCCCCAACTAGGCTGCTTGAGGCATGAGCTGACGAACAACGGCCAATCGCCATGCCGAGCCATCGGACTTGCCATGCGTTGTCTATTCTCTTTTGAGTTTCTTCCAATTTGACTGCCACACTGCGCTGGGCAACACGATTCGCTACTGCATGGCCTTTACCTTGTTTCGCTCTGTTTTGATCTATCAACCTGCCCTTTGTACCCTTTTCTGTCCAATCCTTCATGCAGCCCGCCCGCTTCCAGAAATACCCACAAGTCCATCGAATGTCCGTTCCATTACCTTTTGTGCCCCAGCCTCTTCGCTTGACCCAAATTGACACCTCCGATCAACAACCGGCTCTCGATTCGAGCGGGCCCGTTCTCTCGCTTGCTGAGCAAGGGACTCGGAAATAATAGAGATATGGTCATGGACATTGGACTAGAGGTGGACAAGATCGAACCGGGCGGGATTTCATCTGTCAAAGTTCCCAGGCTGCATGATGACAGCCGCATCTTTCAGACATCATATCATGTTGCTGGCAAAACTCTTATAATCTGCATTGGTCCACCAATGTAATAGTTCCCTCGCCCTCTCACCCTCTCACGCTCGTGCTGCAATCTTCTACCCTGTTGCACATCCGAACCACTCATTTGCTCTCATTCCATTGCCAGTCGTTGCTGGCCGAAACACCACTCACTTCCACCTCAGTAACCGCCGGACCCTGAATTGCTCCTGCTCTCCTGCAATCACCATCACCAAGCGCCTGACAAGACTCGACCTTGTACCTTCTTCATCTCTTCTAATTGGACTCAATTCCACGTCGACGTCGCTCGTCTTTGCTCGTCCAATCCTCAAACACGCGCGGTCCATTTCCATCTCGGCCGTCACTCAGTTTCAGCGCTCTCAAACGAGGATCCCCCTCCTTGGCCCCCATCATGCTACCATCACAGACACTGCCGCACATGCTGCACAAGCTGATTTGAGGCCAACCTCAGTTTCACCCTCTGTGCAGGAATAGTGTCCAATCTGGTACTTGCGGAACTTCCCCTCCCGTGGCGTCACCTTCAGGGCCTGGATTCGACTATATTTTGTGCAGCAACGCACATCTAAACACGGACTCAACCAGGAGACGTTGTGTTGTCTTCCCAGTAGCCTGTGGCCTTACATATCAGGCTGTCCAAATATTGTTCTTCTCTCTGTCGGCTGCATTGTTTGATTCTTTTTCCTTTTGTTTCCTTTGTGGTTCTGCCTCCTGTGATACCCAGTACTTTCCTGCTGGACAGAGAGTCTTGTTCGATTACCTTGGGACTGGTGTTGTTTGTGGCCTTCATCTTAAAAATAAAAGCATTCTGGTTCTTATATTTGACCTTTCCCTGATACCTTGAGAGATGGCTCCGACTACGCTCGTGACTTTTCTTGTGTATGTTGAGTCCTGTCCTTCTCTGAATCAAGCTGATGATTATTACAGCCGCAGTCCGCCTTCCACCAGATCGGTTCACCTCTACGGTTCTTGGGATAATTTCAAGACTGCTTATCCTATGCAAAGGGATGCACGCACGGGCCCGGAGCACTGGACAGGTTGCCATAGCTTCTCCAACATCATCTGTGATGGTGACGCAACAGTCAATGGGACACCCAGACAAGGGGGACTCATGATGGGCGGAACGTACTGGTATTACGTGTGTTTGACCTTCCTTCGCTCTACCCCATTGCTGTGCTTACGGGTCCCTCGCAGTACAAATTGGACGACGAAATCGAGTTTCACAACTCGGCAGAACCGTCAACCACTTCCTGTCCTATGCTTCCGGGCCAGCTGGTCAACGTCTTGAATGTTCCCTTCGCACTCACCAGCAGCAGCCGCTCCCGCAACGACAGTGTGAGCTCCATGAGCTCCGACCATCGCACCATGAACCCTACAGACAAGTTTCTGAACCCTCGACCAGTGCCAGCAAAGCCATCCCTACCCCGCCTGAGGACGTCTCCAACCTTGCCGCAACAGTCGTGGTCTTCCTCCAGCTCTCCCGCGAGTGCATCGTCCCTCCCTAGCAGAAGAGGAAGGTCGACATCCACCACCGCATCTTCTCAACCTGGTGGGGCCAATAGCCACAGAGTTGTCCGAATGAAGCCGTCAGTTGAGGTACCTTCGAGGTCGACATCTCGAGGGAGTAACCGCTCGGTTGGTATCATCGGTGCGTTCCGAGCTCTGACATCGCCACGTCTAGCGAGCCCTGGGGCTACAATGGATCGAGGTCGGTGCCTCTTAGAGGATTCAGCATCAAGAGGTCATTCACAGGGCGTGTCAGAACGCAGCATCACCCCCAAGAGGACTGTACTCGAGACACCTGCTTCGATTGCCGAGGTGGAGGATAGCACAATATCTGAGCCTACAGGAGAGCTTGCCCTACGTCGGCCAATCAACGGGCCTGACCCTTTTGGGCACCTGCCGATTTCGTCCTTTGCATATCATCGGCGCCAGCGATCTTTATCGCGTGAACCTTCGCCACTCCGTAGTTCGCTGCAACCAGACATCTCGTCTAACCTAGGGACGTCAGATGAGTCCACTGCACAGTACCAACCTCTGTCGACCTTAAAGGAGGTTGCTTCAGCAGCCAATACCCCTGTTTGGCCTCTCACTGCGGTGAAAGTCGAGGGCGAAAAGGAGGCCAGTGACATGCGAGCGCCTCTAGATCTGGAGAAACGTCTACCAACTTTACCGAATACACCATCCTCAGCATATCCCCCCAGTGTTGTGGATGAACCCTCTACCAACGAGGAGTCAGATGGCACTGAAAACCTTCGCAGTCATTTCTCCTGCACTACCATCGAGACAGAACCGTACACGGATCGCTTCTTTCACGGCCGAAGCCGCTTCTCGGATTGGACGGACGGGACCACCAAATTTTCACCCCAATCGGAGCTAGGCTCGAGCATTCTTGATTTCGAGCCTATAAGTCCACTACCAGACGCAGCACTCGACTTCCTAAATGACAATCCAAACACTATCGAGGGCCAAACCAACAAGGATTGTTCGGGCACAACCACCTCCAATGCCTCCAAACCAGAGGGGCTACCCTTGGCCCTCAGTTTTTCAACTATCAGCTCAGTTGCTTCCTCAACTGTTCCATGCTCTTACGTGAACCCTGGCAGCGCCAATGATTCCCATTTTTCCTGGACCAGCTTTCAGCACTATAGCCTGCCCTCCGAGGATATCGGGTCTGGACCCATGCAAAAACCCGCATCGATTGCCAAGCATGTGTCACCTTTGGTTGTGGACGAAAACCACCGCGCCGATGTATATCAGCCTCAAGTATCGAGCTATGACGACTCAACAATTCCTCATTCCACCAGTATGCAAGAACTTCTTGCTGAATTGAGCTATCTGGGCGGAATGATTCAACAGCATTAACATGTGGAATATAATTTGCTACGTCCCTCGCTCGCAACCTTGATCGATATACTCGTCGGAGTTCTCTCCTTTTCTACATGTTGAGATGTGCAAATATTCGGCTGGTTAGATCCACGGGGATCTAGCTTCATTTTCAGTTACTCAATGTTATGGTGTTCACAGCAGGATCCTCGTTTGAGCGAAGTTTTCCGGGTTGAGGAAAGGATAGAAGTCGATGTACTAATGAATGGGACAATGGTGGCTTAAAAGTGACGAATCGGTTGAGAAATTTTCTCTTGTCGAGGGAGGGGGGACTTCTCCTCTGGGGATACCTCGCTTAGACCCTAAAAGTTGAAAAAGAAAAGGGATGAGCAAGTGGCAGAGCCTCTTTCGTTCAGCCTCGCCTCCAATCAACGAGGCTGCGTTATAAGGCTTGGCGGAATTTCTTCCCGACAACCTAGACATAGACTACCAGTAATTACCTAGGTACCTCTGTACAAACGTCTGTAAGGACACAGACTCATGCATGATGATGATTATAACTTAATGACTAGATGACTTCATGCCTAGCACGAATTTCACCTTTGGATTCTCTCTATCCTTCGCGGTTCGCTTTCCTTGACGCGTGCATCATCAATCGGGCCTGGACACGCGTCGCTGAGAGGAGTTGGGCTCCATTGAGCAGCACCACATAATCCTAGCCAGTTCTCATATTCACTCTACGCTGCAGATACTGGAACGGAACGATGATCATGAGAGTCTTCGATTGAACAAAGATCCGCTGATCCTCAATTCTGCTTTTCCTCCAGTCGCGCATCACTTACCTCGTGGATGCCTGCCCCAGTCCAATACCTCAGCCGCACCACCCTGTAGCATTGCGAATCTGCCTCAACAATGCATCAAATATCGAAGCGCATGTTTACCGACCCTTTCGTCCCTCCCCTTTTCGCGTACTGTCCGACCCTAGACCTTGTCGCGACGGTCACGGGCAAAGGGAGTGTGGATGTTTGGAGGTTGAATGGGCAGAGAGTCTTTGGTCTCAACTTTCCCAGAGATGAGGAGGAGGAGAAGGATGTTGACATGATCGGGGACGCCGCCGCAGAGAAGGGCATTGGAGGAAACGTAAGGGCTCTGGCGTGGAGGAGGGATGGTAAGTGATTTTTTTACGCCTATGTTCTCCTCTTCGTTCCCATCACACGGCCGATCAGACGATGCCAGAGGCCAGGACTGAGAGATATGGTGCTCCTTGAGCTTGGATCATTGGCCTGGAAAGAAATAAGGAGCTAATTTTTACGTCCCAACCACGGGGATGCACGTACAGGCCAAATACTCGCGATTGCCTGCACGGATGGCAGCTTTACACTCATAAATACTTTGACGGGCAAAATTGCTCATCGAATACCCAGTCAGGCCCAGAAAGCGATATCTTCTGTATCATCACCACTACCGATACAGACACAGGCACGAACACGGAGTTCTAGGGTCTCCTCTGTCACTACTTCTCAGACCACACCTTCGCGGCCAAACGTCACAACCATCTCCTGGACAACACACTTCGTCGATCCCTCCCCCACCACCGTCCGCTCCCGTCTCGATGCGCCACATTCGAGTGTCTCCCTCGATCAGATTCTCGGCCTCCGTGCTGACGTGGACAGACTTCTTCAATTGAAAGCCGACTTGCCCCGTGAGATAAGCAGTATTGACGTGGAGGCATCCCTACCAAGGCTTGCGACGTTGCCCCCTACAGGCGTCGGTGCGGATGATGATGTGTTTAGTTCTCGGAGCAGTGTGGATGTTCTGTTTCATGGAGGCGGCAATAACGGCTCTACCGGGTCTGGTGGTGTCGACGCCCTGCTAGCGGGATTAAGCGACGAAGACGGCGGGTGCATGGTTCAGCTGAGAGTTTTTGACTCCTTTGATATAGGAACTATCGATCTGAAGGGGATTCTACCTCCAGGGCATGCAACTGGAAGAGCGTCAAGGGTGCTGAAAATGGAAAGTCATCCCTTCCTTTCAACAGTTTTCCTTGTCATCGAACAGACGCCAAAAGAGGGAGCCGCTTCGTCGCTACATTTACTCAGCCTTGACTTGAGCTTCATACCTCAAACTGGACGTAACTTGCCGCTTGTAGCAAGGAAAGTCTCACAACTAGGCTACTTGCTCCGATACATCTCGCAGGTCCGGACGCAATTGGTCGCCGAACTCAAAGCTGCATTTGACTTACCGGGCAGATTTCTCCGCAATATCAACGAATCTCTCGCAGAAGGAGATGAGAATGCGGACTTTGTCTTTGCGGTCCATCATCTCGCCGTTACAGGCATCTGTGATCCTATACTGAGGGAGTGGTTGGTTGACCAGGTTGGAGATAGGGGTTTAAAGCGGTGGGAGAACGCTGTAGGGGATTGTCTTGAAGTTGTGAGGAGGATGACAAGTGAATGTCTCCTTCCTGCCGTGGAAAGAAGTCTGGCTGTGTTGTCAAGACTCGACGGCCTTGCCAGGTTTGGACCCACCAGCTCTAAGCTTGGACTAGACGAAAAGAACGTGAAGAGGGTGACGGAGACCTTTGACGCTCTGGGTATCCTCGGTGAAGACCTCTTGCTTGATGTCATTGCAGAAACAAGAGAGTTTACGACGTTCATCAGATGGTTGAAATGGGAGCGCGATGTTGAGGCGCTGGAGGAAGACAGTGACAAGACGGAAGAATTGAGAGAGCTGTGGACAGGAGAGGGGGAGTTGAGGCTGGTATTAGACTATGTGGGAGGCGCGATGAACGAAAGTCGACTGAAGAAATATCTTTTGGACGAGACCAAGGGGCAACCAACTGCGTTGCCCACATCCTTTGATGACGATTCGGATCTAGGATTCTATGCCGAGTTCACGAAACGCCGGACCAGCGGGAATAGAGACAAGAGGATGCCTACTCTGGGAGAACTGGTCGACAGACTGCAGAGGCAGTGTGAGGTGGTGTTTGAGCGGATCGCAGAGACATTCAGGAAGAGCATCCTCACGAGCTATCTGCAAGAGCTGCCTAGTGAGTGTGTTGGCGGGAATATGGACGTCAGAGTCATCCCCAGCGACAGCGACCCCAACCTGTACAGGCTCTTTATGATATCCACGGATCGCCAAGAGAAAGCCCTTCTCCGACATGTCGTGGTAGAGCTGCGACAAGGAGCTGGTAAGGGTGTCAAGAACACAATGAAGTCGAAGTCGATCGCGATCCCCGAGGTGCAGGAGGTCCTTGATGCGAAATTTGTCGACGACGAAGCACTTCTAGTTCTTGCCCGGACGGCCTCTGATGTCAACCTGTTCTGGAAAGACATCACTATTGACGGTGAAGGACCCTGGGATGTCCGGCACGTTTTCCAGCGAGGGAGAATCGACGGTGTGATGAAGCCCGTCAGGCTTGATGTGAATGGGAGGGTTGGAAGGAGAGTGGTCACTGTCCTCGACGAAAGTGGGATGGGACTAGTGGTCTTGGACTTGGACGCCGACGACAGTGCTCCTGACGCCACTGATGAAGAAGACGAGCTCATGACGGAGTGACGACATAAAGTTTCACGGGTGTCGAGAGGGTGCGGGCTTCCCCAGGCATGAGGCTGCGGTCGAGGCGGAGGCTGTGATAGAACCGGGCCACGCGATGCCTGGCTTGTTTGACCCAGACGAGTGTCTGTTCCTAGATGATCGAGTACATTAGTATCAGTAGCAAAAACGCAGTCACTCGTAGGTAATTCTGTACCACCACGCTTAAACTACAGACATTGTACTGGTGGTGCAGGGGTTGTAAGAGATGGGACGAGGCTGATCAAGGCTGGCAGAATGGCAGCATTAGGAACGCAGAGCCCCTGAGTGGCGCCATCTAGCGTTGGCAGGTTGGCAGGTCGAAGCCACTGGGAGCGTCCAAGCGCAGGCGGGCGGCCGCCACAATAATGTAATGTAACACCCTAAGGACTTTCTGGGGTGCGAGGTGCCCAGCTGATGCAATGCGGGCGTCAGTCGAGGCAGCGCATAGTCCATAGCGATAGGGTATGAACTTGGGAGGTATGTAGCGAGCCAGCTGTTTGGCAGATCCGCAAATTTGACCACTCAGTTCGGCCCTGCAGCTTGGGTGCAGCCTTTGACCTGGACTACGTAAACGATCAGGTTAAGTAGCCTGGTAGCCCAGTTAGCGCGAGCCTGACCGCAGTCTATCAACAAATCCATCCCACTTGCAGTTGCCCTCTAGCAAAACACACACCAAACCCGCAGCCCTGCACACACAATCTCAAACCACCTTGTCCTTCTCTCTCTCATCTTGACCCCATTCCGTCGCCCGTTCGACTCGCCAGTATCTACAGGTCGTTCTCTCCTTGAATTCCAGGCCTGTGTCATTCTTCCACTTTGACATACTTCTTTGCCTGCTATTCAAGTTAGAGCCCGGAATTCCTCGTTTTGTCCGCCTTCTGCCTCCTAGACCGCTGCTCGGTCCAGCCATCATGGACGTCAGAGCGGTCCTAGAGAACACTTTCTCTCCCGGTAGGATTATCTCCTACGTCTCTCGCTTGCGGCATGGCACTGATCTCTCCTAGATGCCACGATCCGTGGCGGTGCTGAAGAACAGCTCAGACAAGCCCGCGAAGGAAATTTTGTATGTCCCATCCCTATCCCGCACACCAGCGTTATAAAGGTCCCAACTGACCGTCGGATGCCAAATATAGTCCGAATACCTGTCTATCCTCTCCAGAGAACTTGCCAATGATCAAGCCAGTCCTGCCGTCCGACAAGCCGCCGGTCTCGCCCTGAAAAACGCCTTCTCCTACCGTGACGTGACCAGATTAAGAGAGGTACAGGCAAGATGGTTGCAGGGTGTTGACCCTCAAATCAAGGCCCAGGTCAAGGAGTTGGCCGTCAAAACCCTCACCTCTACTCCTCAAGCCGCCAATTCGGCTGCTCAATTGATTGCGACCATTGCCGCAATTGAACTCCCGCGCAGCGAGTGGCCTGACCTGTTACCGGCCCTTGTCCACAACGTTGGTGCTGGTGACGACAAACTCAAACAGTCCAGTCTCACGACCATCGGCTTCATTTGTGAATCGGACGATGCCGAGCTCAGAGAGTCCCTGGTTGGATATTCCAACGCAATATTGACCGCCGTTGTTCAGGGAGCGCGGAAAGAGGAGGAGAACCAGGATGTTCGACTATCGGCCTTGTCAGCGCTCAGTGATGCTACCGAATTCATCCGCAGCAATTTTGAGAACGAAGGCGAGAGAAACTACATCATGCAAGTCGTGTGCGAGGCTACACAATCCCCTGACACTCGGGTTCAGGCGGCTGCTTTTGGTTGTCTGAATCGTATCATGGGCATTTATTATGATAAGATGAGATTCTACATGGAAAAGGCCTTGTTCGGTCTGACCATCGGCGGCATGAAGAACGATGAAGAGGATGTGGCAAAATTGGCTATTGAATTCTGGTGCACCGTCTGCGAAGAGGAGATCAGCATCGAAGATGATAACCAGCAGGCACAACAGGAAGGATCCACCGAGCTGCGGCCCTACTTTAACTTCGCCAGAGTCGCCGCACGCGAGGTTGTCCCAGTCCTGCTTCAGTTGATGACCAAGGTCTCCGAGGACGATGCCGACGATGAATACAACGTCGCCCGCGCTGCTTATCAATGTCTCCAACTCTACGCACAGACAATAGGTGGTGAATTGGTCCCGGTGGTTCTTCAATTTGTCGAGGCGAACCTACGCAGCGATGACTGGACCAAGAGAGATGCTGCCGTCTCATCATTCGGAGCAATCATGGACGGTCCTGACATTAAAACACTCGATCCTCTGGTTAAACAAGCTCTCCCCGTCTTGATCGGAATGATGCAAGACCCAGTTGTTCAAGTTCAAGACTCTGCGGCATTTGCCCTGAGCAGGATCTGCGACTACTGCTCCGAGTGTATCGATCCGTCAACACATTTGCAGCCTCTTATGTCGGCCCTTTTTGCCGGACTGATGAGCAATCCCAAGATTGCCGCATCCTGCTGTTTGGCTCTTCTCAATCTCACCGAGCGATTTGTTGGTGAGGACGGTGCATCCTCAAATGCTCTGACACCGCATTTCCAAGACAGTGTGACTTCTCTGCTGGCTGTAACCGAGAAGGAAGGTGGTAACAACCAACTTCGCACGGCTGCGTATGAAGTGCTTGGTGGCTTCGTCACAAATGCCGCTCACGACAGCTTGCAGATCGTCGCTGAACTGTCTAACGTCATCATCCAGCGTCTTGAGAGCACAATTCCCATGCAGAAGCAGATTGTCAGTATTGACGATAAGATTACTCTAGAGGAGTTGCAAGTCAGCCTTAGCAGCGTTCTGCTCGCCATTGTCCAACGACTCGAACAGAACATTGGACCACAGGCTGATCGGATCATGCAAATCAGTTTGGAGCTTCTTAACGTCACTGGCACGACCAGCGTCCCCGAAGTCATTTTCCAGATTGTCAGTGGATTGGCAAATGCATTGGCTGGCGATTTCCTAAAGTACATGGACTCATTCGTTCCATATCTCTACAATGCTTTAGGGAATCAGGATGCTCCGGACATGTGTTCCCTGGCTATTGGGCTTGTCAGCGACATTGTTCGTGCCCTGGAGGACAAGGCGCGGCCGTACTGCGATACATTTATGAACTACTTACTCAACGATCTCAGGGTTTGTCTTCTCCCAACCCTCACTCATCCGTCTTCATGCAACTAACAATTCCCTCTAGTCCGACAAGCTCTCCAACTCACTGAAGCCGCCCATTTTGGAGACCTTTGGTGATATCGCTACCAGCATTGGTGTACATTTCGAAACATACGTCACTGTGGTAGCCGGGGTTCTCCAGCAAGCCAATAATGTTTCTGTTGCGAGCGATGTCTCATTCGATATGCTGGACTATATCGTTTCTCTCCGCTCAGGTATTGCTGATGCATGGTCAGGCCTGATCCTGGCCTTCAAGGGCACTGAAAAAGGTATGATATCTTCCAATGTAAATGTTCCGACGCTAACTAGGTGACAGCTGCCCTCCTGCAAACTTATGTGCAGCCTATCTTCGAGTTTTTGCAGACCGTCTCCCAGGACATGAACCATAACGAGGGTCTACTCAGAGCTTGCATGGGCATTATCGCGTATGTGCTGTTCCGGACTCCTCCTGCTCTTTCTGACAGTTTCCAGTGACCTCAGCGAGACCTTCCCCGACGGATCGCTTTCAGAGTACTATCGACAAGACTGGGTTACCAAGCTCATCAAAGAAACGCGAACAACTCGAGAGTTCTCGCCACGGACCATCAACGCAGCACGTTGGGCAAGAGAACAAGTCAAACGACAGACTCAACATCAAGGTACCATCATGAATGCGTCATGAACCTGATGTCGAGAATATGTCCTATCCCCAACATCATTATTCACCTCCCCGGCACCATCACCGCCACCCCGAATCACCCTTGCCCATTCGCACCCCAGCACCAGCCCCAGCACCGCACATTGAACCCCCCTGTCAGAGCGCTGATCACCGTTATGTGAAGGTCATTTCTCATCGCAAGCCAGTACCATAGTGGGACGACTGGAAAACGATGGCGAACATGACCTGTTGCAAAACGGAGAGAATGGTCACGTGGACAAGCGTCAACACTCGATTGACACCCGCACCCATCACCGCCATCCGCGGCCGATCCTCGATCCTTCAGCCTTCTCGTGTCTCGATCCCGATGTCGATGTCGATCTCGATTTGGACTCTGAGGACGACCTACCCTTGACTGGCGCGTCAGACCACAACCCGTCACCAGGCGTTTCGCTCTCTTCCCAGTCACGCATGATGTTCCTAGAACGATATTACGTTGGAACGATGTCTGTTGACGGCTTTCCCAACCACGACTGCATCGAATCTCGAAATGGAAATGGCAATGAAACAGTGGCTCCATTTGGTCACGACTACTATGGACACGTCGATCCGCCATAGCACCGAGCCTTTAGCAGCCAAACGTCTACCGGACGAAAATCGCCGGTTTGACAAAGGGACCTGCAACGGATGGAAATTCTGCGGTTTGGGTTCACGCATCGAAAGACAGAAAAGACACTCAGACACAGGACAGGATGATTACATCTGGCGATCGTTCGGAACAGATAAACAAGACAGCCCCATGATACCCCTTATGCCCCATATTCCCTCCTTCGCTTCTTCCCTCTTTCCCCTTCTTTGCACCGCTTCATTCTACATTCGGCATCGGTTTTCTGCTGGACTCAAGTTGAGACTCGACAACAGTGTGCTGCGAGACTCAGGGAGGGTGGAGGCCTGAGCCATTGTTTGCGCGGCCTGTGTCGTCGTGTCGTCGTATCAAAGTATCAAATTGAGGCACCGATATTCTACTGGAAGGCATGTCCTCATTGTGATATGACCACTTTCGGGCCACACTTTGTGGTCACGAGTGATGTGGGAGTGGAGGTTCCTCAGGCATAGAGCTAGATAGCAATCCCAATTAGATGGCATACGTTTGATGTGTCTCGGCTCTTGGTCGAGTCTAGCAAACGAGGTGACAGGACAGTACATTGAGAGATTATCGATGACTGCTTGTTCGACGTACAAAGGGCCCGTAGTACTTGATGCGAGAAGAACAGGAAAACGACGGCCAGTAGCAACCTCAATCCCTCCCTCTACTTTCTGTACGTTCCTTGGCTTCAGTGATTGTCTCGATGTCGACAACGACTTTGCGTTTCGCGAACTGTCCACCCAGAACACATGTACCTAGTGTGTCTAGGTAGGACATATGCTGCCCTTGGACCCCCTAAGTCCATACATAAATATCTCGTCCTTCCCACGTTCCTCTCTCTCTCTCTCTGTGTGTGCCCCTCCACCGTCTTGCTCCAGTCTACTGCGAAGAAATAGGAGGCTGCTGCTGTCTTTTTGCGAAAAGCTCTCGCGCGCCCTTCCACCACAGGCCGGTCTGCAGGTCCAAGGTCTGCTCGATGAGGAAGCGCTGGCTCTCGTCGGCGTAATCCGGAGGTTTACGGTAAAAGAGCCTGTCGACGACGCACTCGACGCTCTGGCCCGTCTTGACTTGGCCGTCGACCCCTTCGGACTTGCCGTCCCCCTCGACCCGGCCGGTCTCGGAGATGAGCTCGACAAAGGCCCGCACCATGGTGCTCACGGGCGTGATGTACTCCCTGGGCCAGCCGGCGGTGACGCTCGCCGGCGACAGGCCCGTCTCCACGTACGCCGGGTTGATGCAGTTGACGGCGATGTTGTCCGTCTCGTACAGCAGGCGGCCCACGGCCCGCGTCAGCCCCAGCACCGCGTGCTTGGTCGCGCAGTACTCGGGCGCCACGGAGAAGGGGTACAGTCCCGCGCACGACGACGTGATGACCATCTTGGGGTTGTATCCCGCCGCGGCGACTGCGGATTGGGACAACGACGAGGTTTTGAGCAGACCCCGCGCCGTGCGCCGGCTGTAGTGGATGAAGAGCTTGAGGCCGTAAAACACCCCGATCTGGTTCACCTGCGTGCACAGCATGGGCGGCTTCGAGGGCTCGTCGGCCTCGTAGTCCGCCGCCGCCGGGTTCGCCAGCGCGATGTGCTCCTTCTCGGCGACGCCGGCGTTCGCGGCCAGAAAGTCAATGCGTCCGCCCGACCAGGCAAACGCCTCGCGGAACAGCGCCGCCTGCGACTCCCACGACCCGACGTCGGTGGCCACGAAGACGTGTCTGATGCTGTCACCACCGAGGTCCCCCGCGATCGCTGGGTACGCGTCCGCCCGGATGTCGGCAATCACCACGCGCCAGTCGGGCTGCGAGAGGAGGTGCTTCACCAGTCCGAGACCGATGCCGCTGCAGCCGCCTGTTGGGGGGGAAGAGTTAGATCTCTGCGTTTGGGAAGAACTCGGTGCGGTTCTTCTCTTTGGATGGACGGATGGTGAAGTGCAATGAAAGGGGGGGGGTCAAAAGGAGCTATGTATGTATGTATGGTTTTGGTGATGGTGGTGAAGATGAAGGGGGATGGGGGAAGAGAGGTGAGATATGTAATGTACGTACCAGTGACTATCGCGGTCTTCATAGTCGTCGTTGTCATTGCGCTCCCTATCTTTCCTTCCGCCCTTTTGTGGACGCTCAAGGGGACCGGGACCGGGATGGTACTGTTGATCGCCACGAAGCGGCTTGATGCTCAATTCAGAGATGGATGTATACACACCACCCGTATATGGTATGCAATGGCTAGAATATATATTCAGACAACAAAAGAAAAGAAGAGGACAGACTCGAGTTTTGAGTTTATATTCTCGAGGAAGAAACAGCATATGCTTTTTCGTCGTACAACATTGAACTGAATTGACTGACTACCTAGTAGCTGACTGATTGACTGATTTGAATGACTGACTGACTGAATGCGTGATGGCCTGATGGGCGCTAGGATTTATGTATTGACTCCGTCATGTATAAGAAAATCCCGCCCCCAATGTGGCACGCTCGCCAGGACTGGCACACACGGGCTTGGGTACATCTCTTATTACCTACATACCGAGGTGTCTTGGGCAAGTCCCTGGGTAATTCACCACCGTGGAGGGTTTGTCGTGGGGAGGGGAGGAGGTGGTGGTGGTGGTATCTGGACTTCTGACACAGGAATGTCGAGTCGTAACCAGAAAATGGATCCTCCCCCGTTCAGCCCGTTGGTGTGCCCCCTTTTCGCTCAGTCTCGGGTGTGATTGACTGAATCCCCGCAGAAATACTTGGTGCCCCAGTCTTGACCCGATTTGGAAGGCATACGAGTATGAGGATTTCCCGGGAGGAGTGTAGATGTAATCTTCCTCGGATCCACGCTTGTAACTTGCGTGCTCTATCGGGTCATTGCAGATCCAACGAACCAGTCAACGACGTTTTGGCTTGGTTGTATTCGACTGTGGTTGTGGTCCCCCAACAAGGTCCTTTGTCTTCGTGATGGAGCATGCCCGCACTGCAGAGGTTATTCCGTGTCATGAAGCTCTCGATTGCTCGTTGTTGAGTCCCTCGTAGATGGAAGGCATCTGTAGAGAGAGAAGGTCTCGTTGCTGGGCACGATTGGAATGGCATTCAGACCTTGGGCCTCTGGCCATGCACAGCCCAAAGAGGAGCAATAGTTTCCACCGCTCTCTCCACGACGGCCTTGATCCGATCTCGTAGGACGGCATTAGCGCATTCCACGTCCAGATTCTCCAGCCATAACCTTGCCACATGTTTGTCGAACCGGATTTCCAGTCCTGGTACGGGAATCCCGACTGCGGCCAGCCTTGCGCGCTCTTCGGCTTCAGCACGTTCAAGATCAGCTTCCTCATCTGAATCATCCGCCGCCTCCTCCTCGTCGTTCTCCTCTTTTTTGACCCCTTCGATTCCACCAGACACTTGGGTTTTGCGGTCTGGTGGGTGAACTGTGCGCGGTTTGTTTATCGGGGTGATGTTATCACCGAACTGTTCTTCCAGGAACATACATAGTCTCGAGAACCGATCCTGGGGAGAGAGCTTGATCAGTTCGTTGGTCAGTGGCTTGACGCCATTGTCATGCTCGTGGCCATGGTGTGAATGAGCCGACCTGCTCGATGAGTATTTGACGGCTGCCGGACTGCTCTCCACAGTCATTAGTACAGCCATGACTGCGTCTGCAATACCATCGTTCATGGTGTTGCCTTCCCATTCCAGTTCGACCTGCTTCTCCCGTCCCGACCACTTGAGCGTGACGCACCCCATGATGAGGAACGTTCGCGGTGGCTCCGCGACAATTTCCTCGTCGGCTTCTTCTTCGGCTTTCATCCCGTTTTCTCCATTCATCTTATCGCTCTCGACCTTGACAGGATGCCCATTTACTTCGGCCTTGATGTGACCGACCTCCTCAATGCTCCCAAAAGTGCCTTCCAGAGCCCATTTAATGAGCTCCACGCCAGCTGCAGCCAGAGTGATGTGTTGCCGGCACAGAATAGTCGTGGTGGTGAGGCCGGCGTATTCGCGAAGATCCTCCGGCGCCATCAAGCTGAGCTTGAAGCCGTTCTGTACCAGAACTCCACTGACCACTCTCGTATCATCCTCTTCGGCAGATGCAGGAGGAGGAATCTGTGCCAGTTTTCCCACCACTTTGGCCACTTTGTCCTTTCTGAAGGGAATTTTGATTTCTGCGCCATTTTCTGGGCTGTACACTTTTGTTTGTTGTGCGTTCGGATTGCTTGTCAATCGGCGCGAGTTCAGATCCAGGAGCCTCGATCTGAGTCGTGCCGCTTGGGAACGTTCTCCGTGGACTAGAATAACGTGGGGTGCAGCGACTTGCTCAATGAATTCTACATTCTCAACTCCGGTAACGTGGGCTGCGAACTGGAATTCCTCCACCGAACACCGTCGGGGGATCATCACAGCGGCATCGTCGTCTTTGTTTCTGCGACCCATGGTGTTGCCCAGGCCTGTATTGCCCCCGCTCATGATGGCGGGGATCATCTCTGGCTCTGACAGAATAGTCCGGCCCATGGTGCCTTCGATATTGTAACCTGTCATTATGACTCCATTGCGTTGATCGGGTGCCCATCTTTCGAGCAAGATGCGGGACATGCCCGATTGCATCATGCCAGGCGATGCCAACATTACACATCCTCCCACATCGTCAAATCGGTCTAGGTTTCGCAGGCTTCGCACAAACCGGAAGTCCCAGGGGCCTGCACTGACGCCTTTCGCGTTGCCAGCTGCTTCAGCTTCGGCCATTCTCTCTCGAAAGATGCGTTTGATGTTGTCATTCATGGCGTTGATATACGTCTGGTACACCACCATGCATTTTCGTGCCGTATTGCCGGTGTAATAGATGGGAAACTTCTGGAGTTCCGGGTGCCGTTGCCAGTAGTCCTCGAGGATGAGCAGCAACTCTTGTGCTCGACCGAGCGCAAAAACTGGCATCAAAACTTTCCCACCACGGCCCAAGATGTTGGAGACAGACTTCAGGAGAGCAGTCTCCCGCTCTGCGCGGGGAGGTGCGTTTGAAATGCCAAATGTAGACTCGGTGATGAGGACATCTATCTTGCCCACACTCGAGGAGTTTGGAACCTCGGCAGCCACAAGATGTCGGTCCTGCTCTCGAGAGTAGTCCCCGGTAAAGAAGATGTTGAGTCCAGCGATATTGATCAAAAACATAGCAGCCCCAAGGACGTGCCCGGCCGGATACGGTGTTATCCGAATGCCCGAAACGGTATGCGTCGTGTAGAAGTCGATCGTCTCAATTTGAGGAAGAGTAGAGATGTGGTCAGCTTCGGTGTACAGCGAGGTCCTTTGATCCGAAGTAGATGTTGTATTGCTCACTCGGACAGAGTCCTGGATCAGCCATTTGTAGATTGCCTTGGTTGGATGTGTCATGAATACGCGCCCTTTGAAGTCCGTTTTGGCGAGGACATAAGGCAGTGCGGCTGCGTGGTCCAGATGGAAACTGCACGAGATCACAGTTAGCATCCAACTCTGAGCAGTCTGAACAAAGGCCCTGGGGGCCGAGCAGATAAACGACTGGGATGAGGCCAGAAACGGAGGACAAGAGGGAGGAACGAGGATCATAGGTGAACAAGATTGTATTGGTGTCTGCCTATAGGTACAAGATCTCTTCGAGCATGACCGTCGAACCCAGCTGCTTCCAGATGCAGCGTGCCTCATGAATGTCGAGCAAGAAAATCCCATTTGTTTTCTGCCCAACCTGCTCAAATTCATTCTCCAAAGCAATGCGATCAGAAAAGGAGAGGTTCACCTACTGGCTGATTAACAGGATGTCCACAGTGCTTAGATCGAAGTCGTCAAAATAGGGCATGGCCGACATCCCTTCCCGACCTGTGTGCATGCCAGCATCGAGCTACACGCTTGTCAGACTTTGTTTGATCCAGTTGTGTCTCGAGCACCTCACCATGACAGTCTTGCCCTTGTATTGTAGGATATGACACGATCGACCAACTTCTTGACAACCACCTAACCCAATAAACACAAGCTCATCCGAAGGGTCTACTGGTTCATCATCTTCCACGGCAGTCATGGCCGCAGCCTTTCTTTTCGTAGCCATGCTTCTCACGGAGAAATCGTAGGAGGCAGGATCGGAGACTGGGAGAGATCGAGGGATGGGTGGGATAGAATGAGAGGTGCACGCATAGAACAAATCCCCTAGATCAGGGCATTCGTTATGTCGCCGAAATAGAGTTCTTAACGTCGCGGATGCTGCTCGCCATTCATTGCCAGACGCGTTTGATTGACTTGATAAAAATGTAGTTTTGGATAAACAGCGGACCAAAGTCAACAGGAAGTTGGGGTGGAGGAACAGGCAGATCACGTGACTGAGTGCGGCCTTGGGACTCTGGGTCACTTCTCTGAGTAGGCTGCCCTTACCCGCGGTTTACGCTTTTGACCATCATCGCATCACTCAACCACACCACTCATCCTACAATTCTATTCCTGACACGTTCCTCTTGCGTATCAGCAGAACTTTGGATGTCAGCAAAGTGGAATCAGGCATGCTTGGCACAAGAAGGAGGCCGAGCGTGAGTCGACGCTCACTCGGATTCAAGACCCAGGCTCGGAGAGAAAGAGACAGACGTTGAGGTTCTGAGGGTTTGAGGTGGAATTGAAGGCAGACTCTCGATCACGATGGCTCACTCGCCGCCGGCGCCATCGCGACCTCCGCTCCCGCAGACACAGACGTCCTTTTCGCGCAACTTCAGCCCTGCAAATGGCAGACCCAGCCCGCTTGGCCCTCAGTCACCTCCATTAGCCATGAACTACTCCTCACCTTCGCCTCAAGCGTTCTCACCCCAGCAATATTTTCAACCGCCAGCCGCGAAGAGACCTAGACTGTCACCCGATGTCCAGTCCCCTTCTGCTCCCCAAAGCTATCCTCCCACCCCCACCGCGCAGCCAACCACTCCAGGTGGAAATGCTCCCGTTAATGGTTCAGCTGGGCCGCCCCCGGGGCAAGGACTGATGCCTCCCCCTCAACGTCCTGACAAAGCTGAAGACCGCAACTACGAGGATATTCTAGTTGGAACTGGGATAAATATTGAAGAGGAGGCCAGGATGCTCGTTCAGAACGACTACTTTGGCACTTCAACTCCCCAGACGGCTACTTCTGGCAGTTTTGAGTATCAAAACAATTCATTTCCCCCACCGGGATCCAGCGGAGGCGTAAGTGCCTCGCAACAAGACCAAGCAGAGGATACTACCCGGGAACACCAACCGTCAGAAGAAGAGACGAAAGAGAGGGATGAAGCTCGCGCCGACTGGGAGGCGTCTAGATACAGCCAGCATCCACTCTGGGACATGTTTTTGTTGGGGGGAGCCCTCAATGAAAAGATTCGAAACATCAGCATCACCGAACATCTGGTTGATCCACAGTCTGGAGTTCTAGTCAATACTCAAAAACATATGCCTCCTCCTACGGTACGAGTCAATGGGCTGGAAGGCGCCTCGCGCATTATCGACAAGGGGCAAGCGATTCTCGACACTGGACAGAAGGGCGAGCGGCTTTCAGACATCATGAAGGTCATCAGTTTGGCAACACGAGCTCGAATGACTGGTTTGCTGAGCACCTCTTCAAGACTCTCTCAAGAACGTCGGCAGCATTCTGCTGGAAAGGTACCGGAGGACTGGCAAGATATCGCAGTTCAGGCCAAGCCTGCAGCAGATGTCCCTGATGGAGCCACCAGCCCAGCAGGTAGCTCCAGTCTGAAGCGTAGGGTTTTGGATTCCCCACTCCTTTCTTCTGGCGCTGACGAGAAACTAGGCACGCATTCCCAAACAGGTAGCGAGTCATCGGTACGCCCTGAGCAGGTTCCTGGACCTATGCGTCTAATATCTACGTTCGAAAAAGTTTCACAGGCGGAGAGAGCTGCAGAGGAAGCACGACGGCAAAAGAGAGTCAAACGAAAAGCCGCCAAAAGAGAAGAAGCAGGCCCAACGGCGACCGGGCCCGATGCGACGCCTGAGGCTGTCACTGTTGCCAACCTGGACGCAGAGAAAAAGACAACAAAGAAGGAGAGGAAACTGGCAGAGAGCAAATTCTCCGAACAGCAACAGCACAAGTCTGCTAACGAGGCAGCACGAATGGCCGTCGCGGGATTATTTGGCAGTCGCCTGGGCGGCAAGAAGTCGAGAACGTATGACTGGATGAATGCTGGTAAAGCAGGAGCAAGTCCTGCGGCGACTCCAGGCAGACCAACAGCGTCAGGTGCTCCGTCGACAGCAGGGACACCGGCCCCTGATCGAGCTCGGACCGCTCCGAGGGAGAAGCAGTTTGGTCAGTGGGACGAAGACAGGGACGTGAAGATTCAGGCCCGAGATGTCTTGCTCGTGCTGGAAAGTGACGCCCGTGCCTCACGTTCGTATGTGAGAGGACTTAGCCTCCCCGAGAAAACTGATTCTTGATATGTGCATTTCTAGATTTTGCAAGCGCTGCTCCAGGGAGAGATTTTGCGGTGCACCTTTCATCGGTGGGGGCGACAGGGGAAGCTTACTGTAAGATAATGGGAATTCCATAAAACACACACGAAAACGACCAGGATGCCAAATTGAGGTTTCTAGAGAGCAGAACCGGACAGCGCATTGATTGGGGAATAGCACGCAGATTGACAGTGGTGGCTTGTCTTGCCCATGAAAGGGAGATCAACGTATCTGGCTTCTATCTTCAGCAAAGTCGCCCTTGGTCACGTCAGGCTGAGTTGAGTTTTGAATTGTCTAATCTAGACTAGTGCAATGTGGATTCTTCAAAGGGTCGCCAACCGACCAACCGGGGAGGCAAATCCATCCATCCATCCATTGGTCTTTGTTCGGGCGAAACGAGTTCCTGCTTCAACCACGCACCACACGCGCTCCGTTCGCTCCATTCGGGTCCTGTCGCATGTCGTGATCGCCGTGGCACGGCAATTTGAGGTGGCGGAAACTGGTCATCCCTCCAATTTTTCCCCGACACCGGTTGTGAGGAGGGCGCATGCCTGGCCAGGGCAGCCGAACGGATCAATCCTCAATCCTCTCACCTCTGTCGATTTTGTGAAAGACACAAGTAAGAGGTGCTTCATCTCGGTACAGTAAAAGTATATCCGAAAACTGCCACGCTGTGCAGGGTACGATTGCCGTGGTGTGACGAGGAGGCGCCATTGGAAAGACCCCCATACCTCAGGTCACCCACCTATTTGCCGCACAGCTCGAGGGCTTCATAAGCGACAAAGACTAGTAGGTAAAGGCGCGTGGATGCAAAGCCTGGGGGACATCCTCACCAATCCTGGGGCTGAGTGAAAAAATAGACGCCATGACAAGTGCAATGGCTCAACTCGATCCAGTGTCAAAGTCCAAAGTAGCCTATAGCGACATACATAGTAAGAAGAGAAGATACTCAGCATTCCTACTTTTGTGATGTGTTGCACTCAGTAATAGATTAATAGCCACGTTCAGGGTCTGGCTAGTGCATCCTGCAGAGGACGTTGGTGGGCGGTGCCGTGCGTTGTTCTGGTTAAGATCACAGCCCTGAGGTGCCCGGGTGTTGGGGCTTTGGAATGGGTGGTATCATTCACCGGTGGACAGTGGCCACTGATGATTCGGCCGGCTAACTAGACGCAGTTCTCCATGTCGATGCCCAGAAACAGAATTGAACCCTTTCGTGTGTGCTCGCCCTGCAACCTGAAGTGCGCTACGACTGGCCTAGCTTAAGCCTGGCTAATGGCAAACTGGATCACTGGGCAGCCGTCAAAGTGCAAACCTCACTTCACCTCAGTCGACATCATCGTCGTCCTCTACCCTCTGGTTTTCTCTCAACCCGACTGACATCAATTTTATTCTTCGTCATTTACCTAAGTCCGTTTTCCCTCGCCCTCCCCTATCGTCCCCTTGAACACAACGAATATGGGCGTGGATCAACTGCGGTAGGCGTTTCCCGCCTGAAGTTGTCCGTCTCCACGTTTTCACCCGATCCTCGAACTCCGCCTCGACAACGACCTTCTGACGTTCTGCCTCTCTCCTTTGACTCTATCCCATCATCTCCCATCGACCTGTGTCCCTTCTTAACGCCTCAGTCGAGTTTCGAGACCGCACACACCACCATCAACCCCTCCCGACCCTCGCATGTTGCTCTTTGCAATCGACACCATCTGGGTTGTCGAGCCACTCCCACCAAAAACCGGCCTTAAACACCATGTCCACACCCTCGATAGCAACCACCCTCTTGCCTGCTCACCATAGCCAATATGGTTATGCTCATCAAAATCTATATTCACCGAGTACCCTTCCCTACCCCACCAACAACACACTACCTGCACCCCAGCGGTTGAACACTGCGTTTCATTCCTACCCCGGTGCCGCTCAGTACCAGCGACCGCAAGAATCCCCAGCAATCTCATACAGAGGGCCGTCAAACGTTTCCACAATGCCTCCGTCTCAGTCGGCGTCAACCCTGTCCGATGCTCACCTGAGAAGACAACCGGACTGGAATGAATTTTACAAGAACGGCGTTCCAAAAGAAATCATCGTCATAGACGACGATAGTCCCGATCCCCAGGGCCCAGGAGACGCTTCGAAAAGACAACAGAGAGAAGATGTTGGCGGATACACTTCGAATGCAGGCCGGAAAAGAAAAGTTGATGAGGGCTATGACATTGAATATACAGACAGTCCGACATATTCGACGCACCCGGCTAAATTTGGGGCATCTTCGTCGTCCGCCTCTTATCATTCCGCTGACCGAACGACTTCCCTCCAGACAGTTACTGCCCCAACTTCGCTCGAATCGTATGGCAGCAATACTGCTAGCAACAGTTATGAAGATGTCAGAGTAGGACAAAAGCGGAAAAGAATCACAACCCAAAAAGAGACCCGTGCACAAGCGGCAAAGAGAAAGCAACAAGAGTCCGCACCAGATCCTTTTGCAGACTATGTCCCCCCTCAAAAACCTTTACGCAAAGCTGCGGATGTTCACGTCCCAGTAATACGTGACACGGAAAGGCATAAAAATCTGAAGGTGGATGATGACGACGGCCATTACATTGTGACGCCTGGCACGAAACTTGCTGACCGATGTGAGTATCATCATTTCCCCGTGATATCGACTTTTTCTGACAAACTTTGATAGATGAGATTATCAAGCTTCTTGGGCAAGGCACATTTGGCAAAGTGGTCGAGGCGTTTGATTCACGAAAGAAGACAAGATGCGCTGTTAAAATCATTCGATCCGTGCAGAAGTATCGCGATGCTTCTCGGATCGAGCTGCGCGTTCTTTCTACGCTTGCTCTGAACGACAAAACCAACCGCAACAAGTGCATCCATCTACGGGACTCATTCGACTTCCGGAACCACATTTGTATAGTCACGGACCTCCTGGGACAGAGTGTCTTCGATTTTCTGAAAGGAAATGGCTTTGTTCCATTCCCTAGTTCGCAGATTCAGAGCTTTGCTCGTCAGTTGTTTACCAGTGTCGCCTGTAAGTCCCACACCCCTGTTGATTGAATGCCAGCACTAATTTTTTGCAGTTCTGCACGACCTGAACCTCATTCACACAGATCTCAAACCTGAAAACATATTACTGGTTCACAATGCCTACCAGACGTTTACCTACAATCGCTCGATACCTTCGTCGTCCCACACGACGTCCAGAACTGCTCGACAGCGCAGAGTCCTTCTGGACAGTGAAATTCGTTTAATAGACTTTGGTTCAGCCACCTTCGATGACGAATATCATTCCTCTGTGGTATCAACACGACATTACAGAGCACCTGAGATCATTCTGCAGCTGGGATGGAGTTTCCCTTGCGACATTTGGAGCATAGGGTGTATCATTGTGGAATTCTTCACGGGTGATGCACTGTTCCAAACGCACGATAATCTCGAGCATTTGGCCATGATGGAAGCTGTATGTAATGGCAAGATTGACGCAAAACTTGTCAAGCAAGTATGCTCGGGTGGTCGCGGCGCCAACGCAAACTCCGCTGCAAAGTACTTCAACCGGGGGAAGCTGGAATATCCTAACAATGAGACTTCAAAGGCTTCAAGGAAATACGTCAAGGCGATGAAGCATCTTCATGTACGTTTCCGTGCATTCGTCTTTGTGAGATTATACTGACAGTGATTCGCACAGGAATTCATACCAGCAACCAACCCTTTCAACCGACACCTTCTCGACCTGCTGAGAAAGATTTTTGTTTATGACCCCAAAAATCGGATCACGGCGAAAGAGGCCCTCAAACACCCTTGGTTCAGGGAAACCCTTGTTGACGACGGGACTGAGGCAATTCGGATACGCGAGGAACGTGCTGTTCAGAACGGGGCAGGCCCGGACGCGAAACGCCCGCGCATGAATCAATAACCCAACGCCGCGGCGCTGGACCTCTACTTCCAGAGACGATTGTGTGCTTATGACGTTGCTGCGGAAACTTCAGGCTTCCGTCCCATGATATGGTTTGACGCTGTGGCTGGATGCTACCTATGTCTGGATTGAGAGTGAGGACGATATTAATGACTGATTGAACGGATTTGGAAACTTAACAACTCAACTACATACTGAGAAACGCTACTGCAATTCGGCGGAGAGCGTTCACACCCTTGACACCAGAGCCTACCCCTTTCGGATCAAGGAACTCGTTCAGCTGGTGCCCGAAAGTCCTCTTTGTTAAGCCAACCGTGTAGAAGGATTGCGGCCGGAAGATACGTTTGTTGTTCAGGGACGGAAACGGGGATTCCAGTGGAATCTCAACGGTCGGTTCATGTCACTGAACGAGTCGCCCACGTCTTTCTGAGTCCTGGGACGGCAACGGGAGAGAGGAGGACCAAAGGTAGAGTACAAATTTTGGAGGAGACTTAAAAGACCAGGCTAGATACGAGTATGATTCTTAGCCTTTGCTTTACATGACGATAAGTGGCAAGTGTAGCTTGGCTGCTTAGATACTTGACAGCGCATCTCTTTTCTGCTCCTCTGGCCACAGTCGAGGATCGAGGATCGAGGAACACATGGACATATTACACCGTGAAAGATGAAGAAGAGCTCTCTCCCATTCGTGTCGTTATTTCTACCTGCCTGCTGTACTTGTACCTGGTATATTCTTCGCCTTGCTCTGACTGGGCCCTGACTACACGGTTCAATATTGCCATGGCAGATGTCCCTCAGTCTTCCTTTGAACCCCTCCCTTGTCCAGTCCAGTCCAGTCCAGTACAGTACAGTCGAGTCGGGTCAAGTCGAGTCGACATGACCAGATCCCATTTCCGCTTACTACTTGGTAGTGGAAAGTAGAGAAACCAGGCTGAACAGACCTCCTCGACATCTCTCACTTGAGAAAAATAAAAATGCCCACACCACCGACCACTGACCACCGACCGATTAGTCTCGCGCTCGTGCTTTTTGTATGTGCTCCGCTGTTTTTTCCATCCGTCGGGTTTCGAGGAGGAGAGGTTCTAGTACCTAGTACATGGTGGCCGGTACTTGAAGCAGGAAGGTTTACCTACAGTCGCGTGAGTTTTACTCCTTCAGGTGTCTTTTCGCACCCCTTCTCCAATTCGAGTTGTGTATTACGGGTTGATAGGTAGAAAGCAAAGGTAAATAAATTCCTGGTCTTGGTATGGTTAGGCATGCTTGCCCAGCGCCTATGATTGGCGTGGTGTCTCCCCATATGGCGGAGCGATTGAACGTGGTTGAGGATAAGAACATGGAATCGCAACAGATAGATAATGGTGGCTGCCGCCATAGAGTACAAGAGTACCCTGTCCTCCAGGATGTCTTGAAGTGTAAGATGGCGACCATCGATGCTGGTATGGGTTGGGACATGGGAGGTAGAGTTGAGGTTGAGGTTGAGAAGTGCAATTGCTTCGTGCAGACAGGACCCAGTCGCTGCCAGCTGGGTGTGGTCCGGCCGGATATTCGATCTGGGTACCTATGTAGAAGTTGGAAGCAGGCGAACATGTCTGGTGCTGTCGTTGCATCATATGTGGCGCAATCGAGTGCTGAGCATACTGTTCATATCTGTGCGTGGCATGATATTCCAGGCTGTGACGCTGTGACTCAGCCCAGTTCCAAGTCTGTACTCTCAATGCTGTTTGATCCTCGACCCCTGTGGGTGTCTGTGCACCTTGCTGAGCGCTCGATGTGGCTTGTTCAACACAGGCTGACACGGGAGCTGAGGTATGGCCTTGTGGTCTTCGCGAGATAGAAGTAAGAGTGGTTGTTTGACTAAGCCTGCTGGATGTGGAGGGCGATATGCTAGCCGGGACGGAAGGGCAAGCTGGTCGAAAAGGGCGTGCAAATGCGGTCTCGTCCCCAGGATCTTGTGAATCGACTGTACGTGCACGCCATTCTGCGATGCGAGAAGTGGGCGAAGCAGCTCTTGACAAACGTGGTGAGCTGCGATGCACACTCTCTTGCCGGGCGGAGAGAGTACTGTGATGTCCACTGGTGGCGGGAGGATTCCCCGTCTTGTTGGAACACACCGTTGATGGGCGTGGCGATGAGATTCGGCAGGCTTTTCGAACTTCCACGTCGATAGTCTGCCGACCGGCCGTAGTTCTAGATCTCCCAGAACGTAGTGAGGACACCGCTGACATACGGCGTGTTGAAGGAGCACATTGCAGTTCTTGGGCGGTCTCTCGTGAAACATTGGCGGGACCAGCTCCTGAGCTGCTTCGGGTCCCTGCTGACGGCGCTTTTGAGGGTTGGGGCGAGGGTTCGTTCTGTTGGGCTTCACCATCGCCCGCGGTGTCATTGGAACCAGCATGAGATCTCGTGATGCTCGCTTTGACAGAATGGGCTTTGGACTGTGCTTGAGAGGCGGCCGCATTTTCCGGGTCATCATTGATAATAGATTCGCGGCCTTCTACGTCAATGTCCCCACTTACCCCAGCAACATTTGCGGCGTCAACAGCAGCCTCATTCTCTACTTCTTTGATGTTTCCTTGATCCTCCCCTTCATGTGGTCTTTCGTCGTCTGCGACGTCCTTATCCTCCTCGGCCTCGGCCACCTCTCGATCACCACCAGAGGCACCGGCAGTGACAGCCTCGGGTGCTGCAGCAGCAAGTATTGTGGCTCGTGCCCGATCTCGTCTGCTCCTCCGAATGGCTTCGACTCGCATGTATTCGTCGTGCATGCACAGCTTAGCGAGGCCAAACCAAGCGCTTGAACGACTCTTGCCGCCAATCCAACGAGGTTGTGGGACTTGTGCCGACATCTTTCTGAGAAGTGGTCAAGGGCATCAATCCCGGTGGCTGCTTGACAGGAAAGCGAAGCCATCGCATATAAGGTATAAGAGGGCGGATTATATGACAGAGTTACTCAGAATGTCCCACCTACCGATTGCCTTCTTCAGTCGCTGGGATCAACAGTGACCCTACCCTTTCGATCAATGACTCTGTATGGCACTTCATTGTGAATCTTTGCCCCCGCGGTGCATTCTGCGGTCTAGGGCATGCCTTTGGAGGCGAATGACTGGTGCCAGAAAGAGTCACTGAGGGTTGTGGTTCACTTGCCGTGGAATGGCGGTTGTTTGATCTCGAATCACAAGTACAAGTCAAGAAGTGATTGACCGTGCGTGTGACAATAACCGAGTTCAGTCATTTCATAATGCTGGCTCCAAGCGTCCCAAACGAGGGAGTACCGTAGGTATCTTACGACAGGAGAAGAGAAGTTCCCAGTTACTTGGAGTCTCACCAATTCTGGCGCATGGAAAAACAAGCTTTTAATTAGAATTTAGAGTCTGTGGGTCCAGTCGGTGACTAAGCGTCTAGGCTAGTCTATGGCTTGGCATCTGACATGGGAAAGTTGCAAGAGGCGGAGAGCTGAGGGGTCCATGGTGCACAATTAATATACCATGCGCATAGTTGAGTTTGTGTACGTATCCTTTGCTTCATTGGGGTCCTGTTTCACGAACACCATAAAGTACTTGGAATAGCGCGCCCCGGCACATAGCCGATGGCTGTCTGATGGTGAAAAATACTGGTTTGGCCCTTGATTCCATCAACAATGGGGTCGATCCGCTCCTTCCCGGTGAGGTCTCGAATCCCCCTCAGCCTCTTTTGCGGGTGAAAAAAATCCCTCTGCGCAGCTTAATTCCTTCTTCAAAGCTTCCTTCATCCTCATCTCTGCGGTGTAAGACTCATCCTTAATCCCCTGAAACTATTTTATTACAGCAGCTGCTCGCTTATCAAACACCGTTGTCATCTATGCTCGGCTACGAAACCCGGATCTCGACTCTCCCTCGACCTCAGTGGCTTGCGCTCTGCAACCTAAGCGTTTTGGCCACCTCCCCAGCCAACCACTCTCCGTCTCTCTATTGGAGTAATCCTTGCTTCGCCTGATCGGCTTTCATCATCTTACCTGGCCCAGCAGCCCAGTGTTACCTCAATCCCAAATCTTCTTCAGTCAACCTCTATCGCTACGAATTCCCTGACCATAATAAGCACTATATCTCAGCTCTAACTTGGTGGTACTCCCGGGCCCATCAGCATTATTATATTACTCGATCTCTCCTCTCCGTTCTATTGCGCAACGCATACTCGAGGAACTGCAACCATCCGAATTAACCCACCCACTTGGAGCTTACATGCCTTCATGAATCCTCCGCCCAATGATGGAATCAGCCCGTGCTCCAGGGACGGTCGACCTCATTTCCGCTCACGGCCCCGAAGAAGAATGGTCCCCATTGACAGATGGCTTCGGGGGTTTGGTCGACATTGAAACCCTTGCCGGCGGCAGTGGCCAAACAAACCCTAGACTCGACACCGAAAACCTGTATGACGATGACATGATCGGCGTCAGTATGAGTCGAGTCCAAACACAGATGAGATCTCCACAAACCCCTGTGGCCGAGAAGGCTAAGGCTCTCAATCTACCGGTCGACTATTTCCGCAGAATTCTAGCACTGTCAGAAGATTCTGAAGACGACGACTCCAGCGATGCAGCAAATGATACCCAGCCCAGCACACCGAACGCTAACCTGAGGCCACCTGCGCTCTACCAGAGTGGTGCCGAACCATCCGCCTTACGCCAGAATAGCAGAACGAGTGCCTCTACGCACGATTCGATTTTGGCCAATCAGCATGAGCGACACACTAGGCATTTCGTCAGTGAACCAGATATCCCCTGTATCAAGACACAGTCTCCACAGGATTCGAAGGTAGAAGATGCAGATGAACCTGCGAGGCCACTCTACGAGCATCCACTCCCGCCGCACCCGAACCGTAGACCACCCACGCCGCCTGATGACGATCAAATTCCCCGGCAGACACGAAGTTACGAGAACGGCGTGTCACGCGTTAACAACCTCGAAAAAGGCCCCGACTCGCCGCACGCTCACAGATCGTCCCTAACCAAGAATATTTTGAGCGGAGCTGGAAGTGAGCGACGGCGCAGTCTCTCATCGGCTCCAACGAACTTACTTTCCAACCTGCGAAAACTGTTACCGGAGCTTCCATATGGGAATTTTAACATGAGTTCCATCTCTCTTGCCTTTTTGCCGCCGAGCAGCGGGAACTCTGGCCAGCAGAGTCCAGCTGGCGGTCAGATCACACCAACCAATAAACCATTCCGATGGTCTCTTCGCGAACCACTTCAAAGACGTAGTACTGGCGACACATATCGCAATATGCAGCCACCGATGTCGACCCTCGACCTTAGCCCTGTGGCTCGGAGTCAACTAGACGGCAATGTGGAATCGTTACTCTCTCCGACCAGTCCAGCGTCAAACACTAGCCGGGCACGTTCCAACTCTGAAGGCTCGATATACATCAGGAGAAGGGTCTCGGGTGTATCGGCGTACGACGACATTAGCGCATTTTCTCACGTTACTGATATGGCCAATTCTCGATTCAAAGCCATAACAGACAGTTTCCAGAATTCGTCCCTCAGATTGCCTCGGCTGCCCGCACTTCGACAAGTGGCGAAACGACGCACGTCGCCTGCCCAGTTCAACAGAGAGATCCCTCGAGGAGTGGATGCGGGCAGTGGCGATGGACAAGGCCGGGTTTACCAGTACGGATCGGTCCAGAAGATGCGGATTGCAGCAAAGGGCGTCGAGGTGGAAACCCCGCAGCAGCGAGCGCATCCAATACTGTCACATGCGCTCTCAAAGACTACAGGCGACATTGTTATTCTGGGTGGGTATAGGGGATCAATCTTGAGATCAGCACAGCCTCCTCATCGACAACTCTGGGTTCCTATCAAAGTCGGACTAAACATGCGTAAGGTAGATTTGGAGGTTGGTTTAACTCGAGAGGATGAAGAGCGCATGGAGCAGACCGTCATCCCGTCCGGCATTCTTTCGCATATTGGTCCTATTGACATTTGCCGAAGGTTGCTTAAACATATGAAGAAATGCCCCAACACACGTGAGAATAGACTCCGAGTGCACGACTGGGGTTATGATTGGCGGCTCTCTCCTGATCTGCTTAGCGGAAAGTTGATCAAGTTCTTGGAATCGCTGGAGTGCAACCATCCAGAGACGCCTCACGAGAAGCGAGGGGCCACGGTTATCGCCCACAGTCTTGGGGGGCTGATCACACGACATGCGGTCAATCAACGTCCGGATCTCTTTGCGGGCGTGGTTTACGCTGGTGTGCCACAGCACTGTGTCAATATTTTGGGACCTTTGCGGAACGGGGACGACGTCCTTTTGAGCTCCAGAGTTCTCACAGCCCAGGTCAATTTCACGCTCCGAACCAGCTACGCTCTTCTTCCAGAGGACGGCCGCTGCTTTATCCAGAAGCACACCAACAAGCGGTATGACCTGGACTTCTTTGATCCCCACGTCTGGGACGAATACCACCTGTCTCCCTGCATCAACCCACCGATACCACGCAGCTACCGGGAAAAGGAAGATCGTGATCGTAGGAAGAGCATCATCGGAGCTCTCTCGGAGAGCATTTCAGGACCCAGCAAACGTACTTCCTGGCTTGTGGGACAAGGTCCCCAAAGCCAAACCTCGCAGCAAACCGATGCCAGAGATGGTCTGGAAGAAGCGCGCCAGCATGCCGTCGACAAGGCACTGGAGGCAGGTCAGGACATAGAAGGCAATGCAGAAGGAATGGTTGGACCGTCGATGAAACAATCTCATCACCGAGGCAGTATCGCAACTTCGGTAACGATTCCCAAAGACCTCGCGGAGGACTATCTTGATCGGACACTGGCGGAGGTATCGGTTTTTAAACAGCAGCTGAAGTTCAACCCCAGCCACCAGGAAAACAATCTTTACCCGCCGCACGCGTTCATCTTTGGCAAGACGGTGCCCACCGTTTACGGAGCCAGGGTCGCCAATAAGGAGGCGATCAAGTATACGGATGCATTCGACGATCTAGCGTTTGCGGCAGGAGATGGAGTAGTCCTGGCGAGTGCAGCACAACTACCAGAAGGATATCGTTGCGTCAAAGGGGGCCGAGTGGAGAGTGATCGAGGACATGTGGGCATTATGGGCGACCTAGAAGGCATGGGCCGCTGTCTCGAGGCAGTAGTTGATGCCAGAGCTAAGGGCGTTGGGTTGGGAAACTCATATGCTCGCCACACGCGGGACTCGAGCGATTCATGACGTGACGATGAGATGGATGGGTGGTCTGTGTGAATTTGGATACGTGATACCTAGCGAGTCGTATCTGTACAGCTTGATCTTATACAAGACTTTGATTTGGGTGTTTTAGATGGGACTGATCGGCAAACATCCGGGGCGCAGAGAGAACCACCTCAACCCAGGCTCGTAGTGGGAGAGGGGGGCAGCTCTCTGGATTGGTGGCAGCCAGGGCAATTTGTTGAAGTCGACAGGTGCCCAATTCGACATCTGAGGGTAGCCCAGGAGTCTAGTTCGATGGACTATTCGTCAGATGCATGCCTCTGCCGCCGTGGATGAAACCGAATTTCCTATGCGCAGGCTTCCTCGGGGATGGTGCGGTCCGTGACTAGTGAAAACTAAGTACCCCATCAGTTCATACCTTGGCCTTGGCCTTGGACCAATTGTACAGAGCTGATATGAGACAGAACCTGTTATGTACTGGACGCGCGCCAGTTGGACAGGTTCAAAAGAAGTTGACAAGGGTGTACCGAGTACATATCCCAGGTGAGAGGCCACACATGGTCAGCTCGTGTATTCAGCGCCTAAACGACGACTGTGATTGCTACCCCGCTCTCGTCACGAGGCTTGCCTCATCCTTCTTCTATCCAACCACTTCCTCGAGCCTCCTGACGGGCAGCGCCTCCAGCAGCAAATTCACATATATCTATAGACTGGCGCACCGTGCCACACCATGTCCTGCAACCCACCATGACCATTTCCTTTGTGTAGTGGTGTCCTTCCACTGGCTGCGCATCTCTTCTTCGTCGGTCGAGCCAATGCATTTAAGAACATCAGACACTTGAGAGCTTTGCATGCCGTCACCAAATAGCAAGAGCAATCAGCGCATGAAGGTTAGTCCAAGCCAGAGCAATCATATTTGGGGGAGTAATCCCTCTTCTGACCTTTGCGGCCAGCGACAGGGCCCGGCCTCTGATCAGCGACCTCACACCAGAGCGTTTGCCAAACTTCATGGGCTGAGTGTCAAAGATTTCACACTCGAGGTTCTTGAAGACGTCTCACGCAAAAGCCGCTCGCGAAAAATCTCAAAGCCTCCAACAAAGTCGACATTCAGATCGAGTTCCTCGTTGCCGCCGCCATCGAAGGACAAGCGAGCCGCGAAGACGACTCTGCAGCCACCGGTGACGTCGAATATACGCCAAACTCGGTCAAACAAGAGCAAGGACAAAGATCCGCTCCAGGTTTTGGGCGGACTTGACGCTCGCGACTTGCCGTTACAAAAGCATCAGTCTCCGACAGCACGTCAGGGTCCAAAAGTTCAGCCTCAATCGAGCGAGCTTCCCAGTCCATTGAGTCGTCCTGAAACAGGGTTGGAGCAGGTAACTGATACAGGGAAACGGGTAAGAAAGTATGTGAGCTTGACGTGGTAATGGAGCTGACAGACGATAGGACAACGTCTCAGCCTGGCTAAACTTGGTCAGCCCCGACACAGCACAGACTTCTGACGATTTCACAGAGAGACACGGTGATTCACATATTGCATCCGTGTCAGACTCCGAAGACATGGAATCGTCCAGCTCACACCTCACTAGCACCAGTGTCACTACTGACAATGCAACAACTGCGAAGGCTAGCACGGTCCGACATATCGATTTCATGGAACATTTGGAATTCCGAGGCATCACAGATAAATCTTCAGGTGACGATAAGCTCCAAGAACTCGGTCTAGACAAGATTGTCGATGCGACGCCTTCACACGTCGAATTTGAGAAATTTGAAAGTCTAGTCAGAGTGCTGGAAGACTACCTGAAGAAGTTCCGGAAGTCAATCAAGGATCGGCCTTCCGAGGATGGTCTCCCCGTTTACGATGCTTTGAGGCATGATATAAGTCACTGGAGGCCTGACGCCGAGGGATACAGACGGTTTCCTCCAATGTCTGCCCAGGACTTTGCATGGGATCAATTACAATGCTCTACTTCGAGCGAGGCCGATTTCCACAGAACCATCATGATCTCCATTATAGACCGCCTCGATTTTCGCGGTGTTTTCACCTTCAGCTGCGAGGAACAGTGGCGCATTGAAAAGAAGCTTTTGATAAAAGCAACAAAGGAGAGCAGCAAGATCACGCAGCCGAAACCCGACCTTGCCATATCGTTTCATCGAGACGTCTTCATAGAGTCGATACTTCTCGAGTATCCTATCGAGCTCGGGAGTTGCCTGCATCCGGGCAAGAGAGGACGTGAGAGATGGTTTCCATTCCTCTTCATGGAAGCCAAAAGGGAGGATAGCTCGCTCCGTGCCGCATTCGAGAAGAATCTGTACAGCACCAGCCAGGCGCTCTTCAATATCTTCCAGTGGATGCGCCAAGCTCCCCAGCTCCGGGAGAAGTTTTTCGAAGATGTTCGGACGTTCAGCATAGTTCTCAATAACGAAGACATGGTGTTGAGAATGCATCGCGCCGAACAAACTACGGATGATCGTCTCAGATACCACTTCACAGAAGTGGCCAGAGTCCGAAATTACAGCCGCGATGTCGCCTGCCACATGGTCAAGAGTGTGTTGTTAGACTACGCGTTGCCACATCTATATCCCATCCTGAAAGAAACCTTCCAGATGGTTGCTGGGTTGGATCACTTGAGAGAGACTGGAGCGAAGCGCAAGCACGACCTCATGGATGCACAACCGTCCACACTCGGCGTCGACCACAGCCCGGGGCCCAGAGAGACAGATCCTCGCCAGTTGCGGAGCATTAACACGGGGATATCCTTCGACGCCGACAATCTGACGTTGGCTGGACCGTCCAAGCGGAGCAGAAGAGGTCGACGAGGTCGGTGATGGTTAAACGGTGGGTCCATTGCATTTGGGAGCATAGTTTTGGGCGCCTTTGACTGATTAGAGCGCGATATATCAAGGAGTGCTTAGGGAGCGCTCAGGTATGTCCAGGTAAAGGCTCAGATAAAAGCCCAACTCAACACGGCCTTTGCTCACCCTCTCGGATCAACGCGTGAATGGCAATTAGGTGTTTCGTTGTCGAGTCATTTATATACCTAGGTAGGTATGGCGATGATACATAATACCTCGCTATCTATGTCCATACCTGCTCCGCATCTACGTGACCTATTATCTATCTCTCAGCAGGCAAGCAGGTCTCGATAAGCATTCTCCAAGCTTACCCGCCTCGCCCGCCCCTACGTCATTTTCCCTTGTCGCTACCCACCAAGCCCGCTGCCTGCCTGCCAGCCTAGCGAGCCACAACTAAGCACCCAGTACTCAGGCACCAACGAACCACTGACGCAGCTACCCAGCTACCCAGCGAGCCAGTCACAAGGCACCAGTCGGGTGCTGAGGGGGGAAAAAGCGCGAGAAAGAGGCGAAATGGAGGGAGGAAAAAGTCGATGAAGGCAAAAAAACCAAAATCTCAATAAGCGGGCGCTAACAGGGTGTGGTCACCATGGTTGACTTATGGAGCAGTTGATCGGAGGTCACCGATATGATACATACATATCGAATCCCCAGAGTCGCTTTTTTTTAAAAAACAAATTAAAGGCCGCTGCTACACTCACTATTATCTAACATCATATACCGTATACATACGGGAGTACCCCGTAGTCCAGCCTTCTTCCTTTCCCTTACTCTAAGTTCTGCTTTATTGGCGACAGACTAAAGAAAAGGGTTCGTTCATCTTTTACCTTTGCTATTGCTATTCCCCCGTGTCGGCAATCTGGGAATCTTTTGGACTCTTTTTACAGACTTAGGGAGGGAGGACAGGCCAGACCAGGCCAGGTGAAGCCAACCTTTGACATTTTCTCTTGTACTGCCCCGCGAGAGGGAAACGAGGCTGTCGAGGAGAAGAAGAGCCTTAAAAAGAGGAGAAGAAAAGGCAGAAAAGAGAGGGATTTCTCCTCCTTCTCTCTCTCTCTCTCTCTCTCTCTCTCTCTCTCTCTCTCTCTGTCTCTCTTGTCTCCGTACCTGTGCCCAGGCCAGGTCGTATACTGTGCATACAATACCACGACTACCATCAAATCCCCCGAGGTCTGAAATAAAACACAATATACAGCATACAAAATGTGTCAAGGACATATGCACGAGTTCCTGCAGGCTCTGCCCAAGTGCGAGCACCACATGCATCTTGAGGGTGAGTCGACACATCCCCTTCCCCTTGATCACAGTAGTGAGCTGGGAGGACAAAGAGGGGGGGAAGGGTTTCCTTGCTATAGCACATTTGGAGTGACTGACTGGCTAACTAACTGTCCCTCTCTCTCCGACAAAAACAGGCTCCCTCGAACCCGCGCTCCTCTTCGACCTGGCGGCGCGGAACAACATCTCGCTCCCGTCGGCGGATAAAGACCCGTCATTCACATCCGTCGACACGCTGCTCGCCCGCTACCGGCGGTTCACCTCGCTCGACGACTTCCTGCACTACTACTTCATCGGCATGTCCGTGCTGGTGACGGCCGCGGACTTTGAGGCCCTGGCGTACGAGTACTTCCGGCGGGCGCGCGGCGACGGCGTCGTGCACGCCGAGGTGTTTTTCGACCCGCAGGCGCACACGGCGCGCGGGGTCGCGTACGCGGACGTGGTCGAGGGGTTCACGGCGGCGCAGGCCCGGGCGCGCGCCGACTTTGGCGTCACTTCGGAACTGATCGTGTGCGTGCTGCGGCACCTGCCCGTCGAGGACGGGGCGCGCATGTACCGCGACGCGATCCCGCACCTGGAGACGGGCGTCGTCAGGGGTCTGGGCCTGTCGTCGACCGAAAAGGGCAACCCGCCGCACCTGTTTCGAGACATCTACGCCGACGCCGCGCGGCGCGGGTTCAACCGCACCGCCCACGCGGGCGAGGAGGCCGGCGTCGACTACATGGCCTCGGCGCTCGAGCACCTCGCCGTGACGCGCGTCGACCACGGCATCAAACTCCCCGAGGACGCCGACGTCATGGCCCTCTTCGCCCGCCGCGCCGTCATGGTCACCCTGTGCCCGCTCTCCAACGTCGAGCTGCGTTGCGTCTCGCGCGTCGCAGACCTGCCCGTCCGCACCTACCTCGACAACAACGTCCGCTTCAGTATCAACAGTGACGACCCGGCCTATTTTGGCGGGTATATCCTCGACAACCACTGCGCGGTCCAAGACGCCTTTGCGCTCGATAAGAGCGAGTGGAAAACCATCGCCGGCAACGCCATCGAGGGGAGCTGGTGCAGCGACGAGAGGAAAGCCGAGTTGCGCAAGTATCTCGACGACGTCATGGAGAGGTTCAGGGATTAGATCAAGACACATACCGACATTGGACCCAGAAACGCACAGTCTTGGGGGGGTACTTTCTCGTTGGTGTGGATTGGGTATTGGGTATATTTCATTCTTGCTGCTGTTGTCTCCTCCCCTCCGCGATTCGTAAAGAGATATGACATGACATGACAAGGACAAGAACAACATGAAGAAGATACCCCCCTCCCTAACAATGGGGTAAAGGGGGTAAATAGAAAAGATGGGAATCAGAGACGAAAGAAAAACAAACCATTTGTTTCGGGAAGACGGGAGTTTCTATGTGTTATCATTATGTACTACTCAGATATCTCAGAGTTTCAGTCTCACAGTCTCGATCTGGGACGACAGCACTCCCTCCCCGAGGGAAGGGGTACAAGGACGAGGTCAGCGGAGATGAAATTGCGGAAACAGCAACAACGAAAGAAACGTGTACGCGCTAAGCCATGGGTGAAAAGACAGGGAGGGGGGAGTTCGATCTACATGGGTCTTGACTGCAACCGATGAGAAAAAGAGGAGGCAGTTCATTATATCTGGTGGCAAGCTCCTTGGAAAACATCGGGCTTTGGGGTGGGATAGATAAGACATTTTCATCTTTTTTTCCCCTTTCGTAGCATCTATATTGCCCCCGTACATGGATGGCTATCGTGCTCCTCTCTTCTTGCACAATCGACAACGTAGTAGTATCCTCGTCGACAAGCTTAAGGAGCAGGGGTAAAAAAACAGCCCCGTGTTTTCTTTCCATTTCTTAGAGGGACACGGCTGATTCATTGGACTTACTTCTGCACGTATTTATCGCCAATGCCCCTCTGGACCGCCGGTCTCGCCGCAATCCGGTCGATCCACTTGAGAAGGTGCGGGAAGGGTTTCATCTCGTCCTGGGTGAATCCACTTCGCTCCCACCCTTTCACCCACGGCCATGTCTTGATGTCCGCCACGGTGTATTTGCCCTTGCCGGGACCGGCCAGGTAGTCGCGAGGTTCACCGGTGAACTGGCCCGAGAGGCGGATTTCCAGCACGCCGTAGACGCGGAGCGTCTCGTTCTTGTACCGGTTGATGGCATCTTTCGAGTTTGAACGTCAGTACGAACATTCTGGCAAGATGTCCTCCCTACGAGAAAGGATGTAATAATAACTTACAGGGAATCTTCTCGGGCGCAGCCCTCGAAAAGTGGTTCACTTGTCCCTGGTATGGGGCACCTCCACCGTGCCAGAAGAACATCCACTGCAACACCACATTCCGCTCGAGTTCATCTTTGAAGCCAAACTTGTCCTCTTTATCCGCAAACTTCAGCAGGTACAACAGCTGGGCACTCGTCTCGATGACGGGGAAGGGAGGGGATTGCCCGTTGTCGACGAGCACGGGGATCCGGCCGTTGGGGTTCAGGCGGAGGAACCACTCCTTCTTCTGCTCGTTGGTCATGATGTTGATGAGCGTGGTTGTCCACGTCGTCCCATAGGCATCGGCGAGCTCTTCGAGCATGATCTGCGTGGCTTGCCCATTGGGGGTGTTTTGGGTGATGAGGTGCAGGCCCTTGGCCTGGGACACCTCGGCGGGTGTATCCGCAATATAGAGGTCGTTGGACATTTTGAGGGAGGATCCGTTAGAGGTCTCACCTGGACTAGCGAGGTAGAGAGGTAAAGAGAGGTTTGTTTATGTAGGGACAGAAAGAGCTAGCTAGCCGGTAGCTGGGAAGCAGGTTTTAGGGTGACAGAATCGAGGGAGGTCCTCAGCATTGAAAGAAGAAGGAGGAAAGGAAAAAAAAAGTCATCAGGGGAGAGACCGGACTTTGAATTAATTGAAAGAGTGGATGGCGCAATGGCCTTGTGTCAATGTCTGTCTCCCTCTCACCATCAATTAGTAATGAGTCGCGGGCACGTCGATGGAGGATGGAGATGGAGAGAGGAGGGGTTCTGAAGAGAGGGGCAGCTTGTACGCAGTTGGCAGTGTGTCACTGGTGGCAGTATAGAAGGGATCGCAGTCTGGCTCGCTGGGTGTCTGGACCTTTCGATGACGGCATTTTCAAGTCATTGTCTTGATACCGTCGTTGACCGTCTGGGCCAATTGGGCGTCTCAACCATTGGACTAAGTGAGGCTAATACAAGCAACTGCTTGTCGCTTCTGCTGCTTCGGCTCCACAAGTTCATGCTTTCACCTGGTGATCGGTAATCATACGCCCCACCGTCTTCTCCAGGTCGGCCCTTTCCGTGTATTTGTAAGTGGAAGAAGGTCTCAATTCTCATCACGTAGAGCCTAACCTTGCGTGTTCCATTCCTGTTCCTTATCCTTTCCCTTCCAAAATTCCCATTGATCTTTTAGGTACCTCATAGTCCATGCATATATCATACGCTTTCATCCATCCCATAGTTTCCCATACAGTCCTTGCTCTGAACCTCGGACAAGTAGATATTTTCCTTTACACAAAACGTTCAAATGCTGCCCGAGACAAACAAACAAAGCACCCCGGTACAGAAAACACCATCTAGATCCATCAGATCCATCCCCATTCCCTTTTCAATTGCATAGCAGTTTTGTCGGTGGGCCAACCGTGCTCATGTTTCAACCTGTCCAAAATACCCATCAGCGCCTGTTGTTCCAGGGGATCCGAAAAGTACTCCCCACAAACAACCACTGCCATGTACGCCTGTACCATTGCCGGCTGTGAGGAAGCATTTGATGCCGTCGTTCCTCCCAGAGACATGGCAGTCCCACAGAGTCGAATCACTATGTCATGCACTTCATCCGTAATTCTCTTTTGATGAGCTGTGGCCCCGGGGCCAATTCGCGGTATATTTGGATTGTAAACCGTCAACAGAATTCGGGCCAGGTCTAGAGCCAACAACCCCGTGGCGTGGACCTCGGCCATGTACCAAATCTGCGGGAGACACTGTCCCTTTTGGCGATCAGGCGGCTGGTGGTGGATAGGCGCGAATGACAAAGGCTTGTATTGGTCCCATTGCATCTCAAAGTCGCGGAGCTCATTCCATCGTTCGATCTGAGTCTTGCCCGTGCCGCTATCGGCACCAAAGCAGAATTGTAGGACTTTGGCACAATGGTAAAGGTGTCGATCGGACCAGATAAAGTCCTCTGCTTTATCAAACCCCTGCAGGATGGTCCAGGTTTCTAGGGGCAGTCGGACAGGTCTTTGCCTCAAGAAGGCAATGGTCAACTCTTGACGCAGAGCAACTCGAAATGAAGCATGTTGAAAGCTCTCCAAATAAGCAAGGGCGTTTTCAAAGAGCCCGATAGAAGACCCTGGTCTGAGGTACTCGGGATGTTTGTCAACGTCCATCATAAAAGCATAAGGACTCGCCTGAGCGTTTGCAAATAGTGTAAAGGTGTGGATCAGAGTCTTGCTGTCCTCATTGGTAAGCGACGGATCAATCTCTTCATAATAGCGCAGGATGACCGCGGCTGCAAGCAGGTTTTCGTCTCGAACGTGCTCCGAGTCACTGGATAGTTTGATGAGGTACGCAATACATGCATTATGATATTTGACGGCAGTTTCCTCGGTCAATTTGGGAAGGAGTATGTTTTGATACTCAATCATATCGTCTGACGTCTTGAACTGAGGGATGGAAGCAAGGTGTCTTGCTGCCAGGGTGAAAATGGCGTTGAGTAATGGAGGGCATCGTCTGGCGCGTTGAGGAACGGCCAGCGTGAAATGTCTCGCTGGATCTCCCACGTCGAACTCGTTTGATCAGCTCTGCCAACAGACATTCAGGTTGGAGTTCCATCACCTACCCATGGCGCGAGATGTTCAATGTAGTATCGCATCAAACAGGCACATTGAGTGGTGGTGTATTGGTTCGGCCAGAAGAACTCTTCTTTCCAGATGGCCGGAGATAGTAGTGAGTCATCTGGGATGGTAGCAGCGGCCGAGTCTGCCAGGCGTTGGTACTCGGCCTCTACTACTTTGGGGACCTGATGTTGTTCGGGCATATACGCAAACCTGTCCGGACTGGTAGGGCCATAGACCTTGGGAGAGTCGTAGATTCGATATTGAGACCGAATGGGGTCGTACGCGGTGTAGGTCGATCGGTTTGGGTGGGTCAGATAATCTGGGGGAATCGTGTCCGCAGTTCTTCTCCGTTTGATCGGAGAATGAACCAAGACCGACTCATGGTTGGGATTGAAAGGTACTAAGAAAGCTGGCAGATCGGTAGAGAGAGCGCTGCGCACTGTTGGCGACAGCTCGGTGTCAATCGATGACTCGAGACGCTTGGGTGGCCTAGAGGCAGTTTCCTGTCTCTCATCTTGAGCATTTGCTTTGGTGCTCGTCACCAGGAGATCGTCCTGGGAGTAGTAGTTTTCCAACTCCGGGCCTTGGTCGACGAATTGGAACTTGGCTGTTAACAGGCATGGTCAGCATGCGAGGTGATAGGACCAGCCAGCAGTGGGTGGCCGGCCCTGAGTGGCATGAATGGGGACACAGCATCAGTAGCTTCTGCCAGCAAAGCCCTCGAGCAGTGTGACATGAACAGCTTGGTGATGGTATTGTGCGTGATTAGACATGGCAGCAGTAGGGCTTTTGACGAGACCCCTCTTTCCCAGGTGCCAGTTCCCTGAGGTGAGAGAAAAATTTGCGGCGCTGGTTACACAGACTTACCATTCTTGGTTTGCTCGAGCCATGTTTGATCTTTGGAAAAGGAGGCATCATATCTTGCGCTGGAGCCGACCCTGAACTTGAGCTTGCCCTTCCCGCGCCGACATCTCTCTCCAAGCCGTTCACATTGTTTGCACTTTGGATAGTTGTCGTCGCCTGGGGTTGTCAGCCTGGTTCACGGCAGAGATACCGTCCACCTGAAGGAGGGGTCGGGCTGGGGATGGTCATGGCGGTGAGAAAAGGTGGTTCTTGTGGCACGTCAGGAAGCCATCGTGCAGAACAGCCATGTGCAGGATGGAGAAGGCGATGAGCAGGAGCAGCGCAGTAGCTGGAGTCGGAGCAGACGGCGCGGCGAGATATGAAGACAGACGCAGGCGGACTGTCAGTAGCGGAACTTACATTTGAGATGGCGGTCTTGGGGACAGCCATCAGTCAACAAGCCAGCCCGCATCTCGGGAACAGAATGGGGACATACCACGACATTCCTGACATGGATCCTCGATCTTATTCGTTGACGCTGGCATAGAGACCTGGTGGGAATCGGACCCCGTAGGACAAAGAGAAAGTGGACAAGGACTCGTTAGGAAGCCATCTTATGGTATTATGCAAGAAAAAGTATAAGTGAAAAAACGGGAAGGACAACGGGGAAGTTTGCCTCTAGCGTGCTGTAAAGGCAATTGAGGTCGATGCTGGGGGTGGAAGAGCAATGGACATGCATGCTATTAACTAGTTTGACCGAAGAGTGAGAGAGCGAGAGAGTCTGGGGAACCGCATGGGGGGGTGTGTGCCCAGTCACTACACAAGGTGGGAATTGAAAAATCATCCTTTTGATCACACAAGGTTTTTTTGCTGCCTTGACCCCGCCATGAATCAGGCACAGATGGAAAAAGGGTCAGGTTCATTAATGGCTTTTGATGATGGGCTGGGAAGTGGTGGAAACGGTGCCCAACACCAAGGGTAATAATGGTAGTTGCTGTGGCAGTACTCGGTAATGGTGCAACTGTCCAGGGGCTTCTCACTTGCTTGCCACTTGCTTGATTACTCGTGGCCTTTTGTCTAGGCACCTCTGACTCTGCCTAAGCGAATGAATGACGAGTTACAACCCTGGAAAGATCCTGCGCGTGGCTGCCACGCTGCCCTACCATGGAAATAGATTTTTAGTGCCCATATGCCCATATATCGTCCCACACATCGTCCTCTTCTGAGATCTTTTCGCTCAACTACTTGTCAACAAAATTGTATGAGAAATGGCGACGCTACATAGTCCAAAATGGAGAACGAGAAAAAGATTTGCGAGTACAACCAAAAAATGAAAGGGGTGTCTCTGTGTTCGCTCCAGCTCCTCATCCCGTTTCCCTACCCCTCCCCGTTCACCGTCCACTGTTCCTCCTACTCGGTCTCCCGCGTTCCGTACTGGGCTCACAGATATACCTTAGAACTCGTAGACTGGTGCCTTGAACAGAACATTCACTGCAGATTGTGGGGTCGATCCTGCTGCACCAGCGGATCCAGGCTCTTTTCCATTGTTCCCTCCACCTCCGGATGTACCAGATGTCGGTCCCTTCCCTCTGACCTCGACCGCCACGAAAGCCGCAAATCTGATCCGGCCCTCGTTTGCGCCAGGTGGAGGTGCCAGTTGTGCCGGGTCGACTGCCATGCTGTTTCTGACATGCCCACGTTGATCGTCGCCGTCGTTTCCAGAAGAAGGATTACCTTCAGAACGGCCCTCACCACGCGCCGAAATCGAGGGCTTCTTGTTGACGAAGCCGCCTAGGAAACTTGACTTTTTCGAGTGTTTCTCGCTTACACCCTTGACGGTCGTTTGGCTGCCGGTGCCCGTCCCGCTTTCGTTTCGTCCCTGTTGGCCTCCCGCCCCTGCGGGCTGGGCGGCTTGCGACGCAGCTTTGCCAGCGGCTTCACGAATCTCAGCCTCTACATCCCGGTCTCGTGGTCCATCGTCTGTGCTGGCCGTGCTCATCTGATCACCTTCTTCCTGTGCTCGCGCCTGCTCTTGGGCCTTGGCTTGAGCTGCTTGTTGTTGGAGCACTCGTTCATCTGGACCAGGGTTGGTCAAGGCGACGATTTGTGGCTCGATTTTCATATAAGTCTCATTCACAGGAGTCCCAGGCATGAAATATTCGATACAAATCTCTCGCGACTCCAGCGGGATATTGGACGCAATGCCAATGGCTTGTCCGACAATCATGCCAACCCCCTCGACAAGCCCGGGGGGTGGGGGATCCGTCAAATTTGCTTTCAGTGATTCGGTGAGCTGATGGGTATAGTGCTTGTTCATAGTTTCCGTGTAATGTTCCACTTGCGACGAATTGAGCACATCCTGCAACCCTTCAATGGTCGTGAGTCGCCAGGTTGTGATTTTGGTTGTCAGATCGTCCCGCTGCTCGTCTGTCAAGAGAGAACCAGCGTGCCCCCCACGACGCAAGTTATGTTCGATGTGCTTCAACTGCGCGGACAAGGACGGCTCAATGCCAGGATGAAACGTGTGCTGGAAGATGCTCTCGTAAAGCCACCGAGTAATACAAGCTCGTCCTATCGCAGTCATTTCTTTCGTGCCAATAGTGTGAGCATCCTGGTTGCACACATGTCGCAGCCATGGTGGGATTGCCCGCCAATTCTTCCGGATATTGAAGGAAAGGTTGTTGATCGCTTGACTAAGACGTTCAAATCTCGCTGTATATTGGGCATCGTCAAGGGACGTTTTGGACATGGAAAGCCGCTGGGTTGCTACAGTATTTTGAAGCTGCGTGACTTGAGCCTGCTGTTCAAAGTAATAGCGCTTGACCTTGGAATATTTCGCCTGTAACTCCTCGTGACGTTGTAGTAGCTGGTTATAGTCTAATTGGCTGATATCTTCCCGGCTTCTGGGGGGAGGTGTGCTTCGACCTTGCTCAGAAGCAGCTTGCTGAGACATCCTCACCCTTGGGTCCGCTTGGCTTTGGCTTTGATACTGATTCTGGTCGTCAGACCGGGGCTCTCTCTGAGATAACTGCTGGCGAATGCCCCCATTGGGCGGGTCGCCTCTTGCCATGGTGGTCTGGAGTGGCTGTTGGCCTTGAGTGGCTGACTGCGAGGAAAAACGATTGGTTGCGGCCGTAGAAGGGCGAGAGTCTTGGATAATTTGAGGATGAGCCGGAGTATTGATAGGAGAAGGAGGGCCCAGAGATGCCTGTGAGGGTGGTCGAAGGTGGTGATACGGGTCCGACTCTGCGTTGTTGGATCGAGACTGCTGGGGTTGGTATGGCAGGTAGTGTTCCGAAGTGCTGGCAGACTCGTTATGGTGATATGCCTGGTACTGCTCGTGTTGAGGGCTGAAGTGCGGAGCGTCTTCAGCGTAGTCAACGGACTGATGCGTTAGCTGGCTTTGTGGAGAGTCAAATTGGGCCTGAGGTCTCTGGTATTGCTCGTATTGGGCTTGATCCGGGGTCTGGTCTATAGGTGCGGCTGAGGCTTCTGTCGATGGTGGGGCAGGGTAATATGTCGAATGTCTGGCAGGGTGCTGAGATTGCGGCGAGGTCTGAGTCGAATATTGGTCGCGGGTTATGAGTTCAGGAGGATGCGACTTCCTCAAAAGATGTACCGAACTTGATCGTCCAAGAGGTTTGCGCTCAGGCGGACCGTTTTCTTTTTCCTTTTCCCTCTGCTTGTCTTCGTCCTTGCTCTTGTCCTTGATCAAGCTCGTGATGAAACTGCGCTTAGATCGTTTGTGCTCCTTGTCCTCTAGTGTTCGAACCTGCCTCGATTGGCCAAACGTCGTCTGCCCCGGTATTGGGGCTGGGCCTTCGGGAATGAAGGCTTGCTGCTGGGACAGCGGAGGCACAATGTTTACTTGCGGCCTTTGGCTTCCATACACGTCCGGGATGGACGAACTGCGAGCACTTTGGGTGCGTCCCGGGTGGGGAGGGGCAGCTTGAGGTTGAGGTTGGGACAGGGATTCCGAGGCTTGCCCCTGATAATGGAGATCGTTCACTTGATGTGGTTGCGAAGACTGTTGAGGATAGAGTTGGTGCTGCTGATGCTGTTGCTGAGGGTCGAAGTAAGGTTGTTGACGTCCTTGGTGCTGAGGTTGGGGCTGTTGCGGTTGCTGCTGATGCAGATGTGGATCAGGGTGTGTCTGAGGGTCTTCTATGGAGGCCTGCGACTTGTTGGTCTTGAAAAGCCGCTGCATTGAAACCGCATCCGCCGCGAGGGGATCGAAAGGTGCTACAGCGTATTCTCAGACTGCGTGTTATGGAAACAACTCAAAGGGCAAATAAAGTGTCAGCCGCAGTGCTCGACGCAAAATAATGGAAGCGGGCTGACCCTTTGATTATGGGAGGGATGGAAAGGAAAACGCCTCCCAAGCCTGAGGGGCCTGCGCTGCACCCAATAGTCAAGACCTGCAGCCGTTCAGCCTCTCTGCGTCCCGGATTGGAATCTGCTTAATGACATCCATTTGCCCAATGAAGGATTGAGGTGCTGTTCTAGCTGCTTAACTAGTTTTGGCTGCCTTTGAAGCTGTGCAACTCTTAAACTCTCACTGGTATTTGTTTCATGGCTAGTCCAGGCCAACCCAAGCTTATAGTCCGGAGTACCTGAACTTGTGTCAAAAGTGTCACTCGCCTGTCAGCCCCTTCAGCCCTATCCCAGAAACCGTCGGGGGGCAGCCGTTTTGAAGCTTCCAGATATAGCACAACGCCTTTCAACGGCAGCCGCATCCGTTTTTCGCAAGGTCGAGTGACTTTAAAAGCCCGCCCTCAAATTGCGTTCTCTGGCCAATGCAATCAGCCAGCACTTCGCAAGACTAAGTCCTGACTATCACTTCCTCGACTTTACTAGATGCATAAGCTCGATGGGGGCCGAAATCCATCTTCCCGAGGATGTTACCAGACACAGAACGGCGCCGGAGACGGCATCCTTCCACTTTGTGTTGGGCTCGTACAGGACCTGCCGCTGGACAAATAATCCGTCGTCCACCTTCAATCAGTTGATCATGTTTCTTCCACCAGTCAATTCCATTCGCTTTCATGGTGCAGACAGCGGTACTGCTAAGGCGGTGCCTCGTAATTTTGGTGGCTGCGACGTGCGAATACTTGGCAGCAAAGACTCCCAGGGGTGGAATATCAATCAGTCTCGTCCTCGAAACTTGGAATTATCACATCGAATCCAGGATCCTCGTCTATCTGGATGTCTGGAGTACCACCTTCGTGATCTTCTTCTTCCATTTGTGGTTCTTTCTGCTTCACCTTTGCTCGGTATGCTATCCAGGCTCCATCGCCTAGACCAGCCCCAAGCGGGTTCTGATTGAAAATGGATTGCTTTCCGCCAGCTTTCTTTTTATTGTCTTTAGGACCTGTGATCTCTTGCTCCTTGACATCCAAGAGAATCCAACCTTTACTCGGATCTTTTTTGTCTGCTAACACGCCAAATTCCAACTCTTCTGGGTCGTTTGGGAGGGGCGCGCTGGAGTCTGGCAATGTCTTCACGTTGCGTGATTCAAGGGCTGCGAGCAGGAGAGCTTTTATTTCCGTGAACGGTCGGGTTGGTAAAACAGATAGCGCGGTTGTGGACTTGTGGCACTTGAAGAGAAGGGTTATCATGTCCGGCGTAGGCAGTTCTGCCAGATCGTTCTGGGACACGAGTGTCATCTTTAATGTGATGCCGAGGTCCTTTGCCACGAGCAGTGGGCGGTGTGGATAGGCGGCTTCAGCCTCCAGCGTCAAACGGAAGATGAGAAAGTAGAAAGGCGAGCGGAGTTGAGCTGCTTAACACCTTGATCAAGCTGTCAGCCGCGTGGGAAAAGCAACGAGAGTTATTAGGCTTCAAAGCCAAAATTTCGAGGGTGAAGCGCGACAGGCGCGCCGCAGCCACCAAAAGTGAATGCGGGGTAGAGTCTTAATAGTTTCACGGGGCTGAAACTCCCTTCTTGGAACTTACAGATGAGGCTAAAGATACAAGCTGGCACCGCTGGATAGCACCGGCTTTGAACCCAGAGGAAGTCGATAACAGAAGAAAATCATCTCAATGGGTCGCAATACCTTTGCTCTCGTCACGCGTGCCTAAGCGCTGTTTCCGTGCCAGCTTAATGTCCACCTCTAAAAATAGGAAAACTGTCAAGCTCGCTCAGGCTTATCGAATGATATTGTCGTGGGTAAGTGGAAACTTATATGGCTGTACTCCTGCTTTTCCGAACTGCAACAATCACGCATTGGCAAGGTATGAAAACTGGGCGAGTGTCAATCTGTTCCCAACAAGCAGGGGCTCATAACCATTGCTGCCTCTGCTATACAGTGTTTTCCACCATTACAAGTATGGTACAAGCTTTCAACGTCTTCAATGAAGATACCTGCATTTTCGCCCATCGCTGGTCGCGACGCACGATTAAGTTGTGGCTGTACCTCAGCGCCTCGATTTCCTCAAAGCCAACCTCGCAGGAAGAAAAATCTCTCTGTGGGGAACAGAGGCTGAATCCAGCGTCTTGGTGCCGTTAAAGGGATAAAATAGTCACCGTACGATCCGGACTGTGCGCGGCCTAGGAAATAATGGAAAATCAAGAGGTCATAGCTACTGTAAAGCATGATGCCTCTTCTTGAGTTCCAATTCGATAGCAGACATTTGAGAGAACAGGCGAGAATCAAAAGTAAAAGAAGCAAGGCTAAGTCAGAGGCTTGGGCTCTGCCGCAAAGAATAAGCGGAGCAAATTCGGACTTGTCTGACAACAAATAATTAATGTCCATAAACTGCGCCAACCTCAACACGCTTGGGACAAAGCTTTGTTCTAGAGCTGCAATCTGTATCGAGCACACCCTGTTTATTCCCTCGTGTTCAGTGTGCTGCGCCCTGATTGTGAAGAGTACGGCCAGTATGTCCAAGGCATTGAAGCCAATGTTGAGAGCAGATTGGACTTGACGTTTGTGAGACCGGACATTCAAGGCGGAAGATCAAAGTCGCTGCCATCACCGGCTGTAAAGAGGTCTCACCAGCATGTGGCCATTCAAACCCTCCCAGACCGACGACAAAGGCGATATTCAAGTACTCTCTCATGGAGAGCCTGCACTGCCTCCCCCCTCGCTAAGCCCAGAGCCCATAAAGGAAACAAAGGAGGAGGATGCGCTGGTCAGGTTTACAGGATGGCCAAACGAACGACTGTCGATCCCATTGGTCCTGCGCGCCCCTACCTTGATGTTGGCATCCTTTGCTTGCGGCTTCAGTCTAGGCGCTTCCCAAGGCGCTACAAAAGGCGCATATCGATATAGAGCTGAAAACGCACACCGGCTCCCGACAACCCAAACCGGATGGTTTCTATATCAAAAGTCCAAAAACTATCACGCGATGCTCGGCGGTATCAAGGAAGGGGTCCGCTTCGGATATGTATGTACGGGCTGGGCCACTATGTTCATGGTCACAGAAGAGATGGTTGATCTGTCCAGAGCTCGTCTCTTCGCAAGAGGGGACGACGATGTTGCAGTTGGACAAAGGGACTTTGGAAGTACAGTCATCGCTGGGATGACTCTGGCCGGTATCTATAGCTGGAAACGAGGGCTCGATCATTTTGCTGCTGCTCAAACTGCCAGGAGTGCTCTGAGACTATCACTGTCGTATGGCCTGGTGCAAGATCTGGCAGCATCGATTAGAGGAAATCCACCAGCATACATCTCGTGGTTGAGGAGAAAGTTTTGGGGGTGAGAAGACTGGAGACTGGACTACTTCAGAAGAACGGCAACAACAAGAGGTTTACGGTCCTCTTACCAGATGACGGGCAGCAATCCTCCGTACCTACCGCTGCTTCAACTCCTACGGCAATCATGTATCGGCAACCTGCCAGGCTGGGAAGCAAACTTCGAAATCTCACAGGCACAGTCGATAAGGAATGAGCCAGCTGATGAGTGACACTCACTGCTTCTCTAGGCCCGCATCCAATCGTAGAGAATGTTGGTGGTCGCTATGTTATGACCGCGAAAGCCACTGATTTTGCTTCGGGCCTGCACCCAGAAGGACGATCTCGTGCCTTGAGATGGAAAGACAATCTCACATATCAACAGCTAGAGGAGGGACAGAGGCCAATCTGGAGCGAGGTTCTCATTAGAAACGGGCAGTGATGGTGGGTGCAAGGCTGAAAGAATTCTCTTCAGCAGCCACTCGCTGCACTCAAGCGATGCTTCTGGACGTGTTCTAGTGCAAGTTGAGGGAGTTTCCGCACATAGACCCTCCAACTGGGTAAAGCCAGTAGAGACCAGATGGGGACGGCACTCCCGTTTTGGGCGCCGTCCCTAGGCTTTGCAGGGCCTTCCGGGCACAAATCCATGAGATTGCGAGTTAGAACCGGATGTCTGTACGGCCTAACTATGGTTGGGTCGCTTAGGCAGGAATTTCAGCTTTGATGGTTGCTTACCTAGCGAATAGGTACTTGTACCTACATGTTATGTGCTAATGTAAGAGTACGCGGCCGTCTCTAGTTGTCTAGTAGTTTTATTCGTTTCCCAGGCCGTTGACCGTGATTGCGCCATACCTACCAACAACCTACGAGACACTCACTTAACGCTTTGGCCTTGCTGACGCATCTTGTCCTATCCTGTGATGCCGTCATCACTGTCAATGTGCGACTGAAGGCGTTTCTGCCCGCCTTGCACCTTGTTTTCCCATGCATTATGGACACTTCCGTATTCGTGGCTCAGTTTTACCATCGGTGGTATCACCAAGCTTGGAATGTGGAGGAGCACACGAGTAGATACGAGGCAACAAATTTCGGGGCATTCTATCATGCAATTACACCAAAAGTCAAAGAAGAGGACGAGATGGGCCGTTTTGCCGGCTTAGCTACAGGGAGGCTTTGGGCCGGCTCGTGCTAATTTCTTTGATCCAAATCAGTCCCCAAGCGGCGCCTCCCAACCCTTCCATCTGTTTTCTCGAAACATCGTTTAGTGTGCTTCTCCAAGATGGATATGCGGTTCCCCGCCAGGGCCGCCATCCACAGCCCACCACCTTCATGGATAGACGGGACCCTGGCTTGAAACCTGCGGCCGACAGCTGCACGTCTCTTGAATCGTGCTTTGCTTTGCTCGTTTCTCACGCTTGTTTCCATTTGAGATCATCTGTGTCGGATGCGGACTTTCCCTCCAGCACTTTTTTATCAAAACATCTGCAGTGTTTTTCAGACATCGGCAAAGCCCTCAGGTTATCATCGACATCGAGACTCCACGACCCTCTATTCCACCTTTGCCGACCCACCGCATTCCCCAAGATTTGACGACCCAAAGTCGTCACAAGTACGATTGCGAAAACCTTCCCTGCGCCCTCCTTGCAACCTGCCGGTGCCGAAGCCCTCGTGCCATCCCAGATCCTGGTGTTACTAAGCCAGCGAATTCGCAGACGCTCCTGGTGGAGCCGAATAAAGAGGTTTATCTTGCAGATCAAGTCTTTATCTACCTCAGATTTTGACGCAGTCGTACTCAAAAGGTGGCGTCGCACAGTACGTGTGAGAAACATGGGATGAGGGGCAGTGCACCAAGAGCAGTAGTTCATTTCGCGTGGACACGCGCTCAGACTCAACAACCCCTCCAGCAAACATGCGACGACATCATGGACGAGCCCTGTCACCCTACCATGGCCGCACGGCCTCTCCTCCTTCCGCAGAAGTCTCCTTGGTCCGCAGTTTTGACTCCAAGATCAATCCGTCAAGACCTGCCAGACAATCCCCTTTAGCAACCTCTCAGATACAGGGTATGCCGTTAGATTTGATCGACCGCATTCGTTCATTTCCTCTATTCCAAGCCACCTCCGATGACTTCCTAGCCGACATTGGTCTCCTCCTCAAACCCCAGCTGCACAACACAAATGACTACATTATCACCGAAGGTGAAGATGCCAAGGCCATGTATTGGCTTGTCCGGGGCGCTGTTGCTGTGACATCTCGGGACGGCGAAAGCACCTTTGCTGAACTAAAACCCGGTGCCTTCTTTGGAGAAATCGGGATCCTTATGGAACGTCCTCGCACTGCAACAGTGGTTGCGCGAACAAGATGCATGGTGCTGGCGCTGAAGAAGGAGGACCTGAAAAAGATACTACCGAAATATCCCGATGTGGAACATGCCATTCGAGACGAGGCCTTGGAACGGCTGACGCAGCTGGAAAAGAAAAAGAGACAAGTGCTGCTCGGCATGGAAGACGTCCCGAATCACGAAAGAAGAGGCTCTAAGAGAGCCAGAACGACAGTTGGCGAGGATGTATATATGAGAGACAATGACGGCAGTGTCACCAGCTCGAACAAGCGGCGCAAATCTCCTAGCCCCGGTACAAATGAGGTGTCAACAGCAAGCGCATTGGGACATGGTCTCGTTAACATCCGCGCGACCTTGAAGGAACTGCCACTGTTCGCCTCTCTGCCTTCGGATATTCTCCACTTTCTCGGTCTCAGTGCCCAACCCAGAAGCTTTGCACCCTTTACAGACATCATCAAACAAGACACTCGAGGTCGCGAGGTCTATTTCATTGTCCGTGGGGAGGTTGAGGTGTTGGATGAGAGAAATGTGTCGTCTCCCAAGCCACACAGAGCCGGAGAACCCAACGGGGTGCTGGGTACCCCACGGGTGATAGCTCGGCTCCGGCCAGGACAATACTTTGGTGAGGTTGTGAGTCTGTCGCTCGCAGATCGTCGGACAGCTACTGTGCGATCGGTAACCCAAGTTGAATGCTTGATGATTTCGGAAAATGTGCTGGCGGATTTTTGGCACCGCTGTCCAACGAGTGTGCTGCGGCAGATTGAGGAGACTGCGAAGCACCGATTACAATTAGCATCGGATAATGATGTTATCATGAACGATGCCGACACAACACCTGATATTCATGATCTTGAAATCCGGGACTCTAAAGAAACGAGGCAGAGGAAAGTCGTCACTGGACCTCGAGTAACGTTCACAGACACAGAGATCAGTGCTTCTACACCAATTGTTGCGACGGACGAACCGAACAACACCCTGGAACCTTCAGACCCCGATCCTTTCTTGAGCGAGGGCCTAGAAAAGGTCAGATCAAGATCAAGAAGAGGCTCTCTTGCTCCACCGCCTCCCGATGAGCCATCTAAAGATCAGAGACGCCGGTCGCCTCGATCATCACCTATTACCACAACCCACCCATCCCCCCGAAGCTCAGCATCCGGAACCCCATCCCCTACATCCGAGTACAAAGGCAGCAGCGGCTTTCCATTCTCCGATCCTTTTTCTCCCGGGAGTCGGCCCAAACCCCGACCACGGTCGAGCCGCGGCCTGAATCGGGGAAGGATACCTGATAGACTGCTGCCGTTGATTCTGGAATATCTCGACCTGCACGACTTGATGCGCTTACAAGGAGTGTCCCTCCACTGGCAGAATGTTCTTAGTACTGCACCTAATCTCCTTCATCATCTTGACCTATCCCGCTATAATCGGAAAATCACCGACGACATACTAATCAACCGCATTTGTCCGTTTGTTGCAGAAAGACCCAGGTTTGTTGACATCAGCAACTGCTTTCACATCACTGATGAAGGCTTTTCCGCGTTGGTCAACACATGCGGAGCCAATGTGCAGGGTTGGCGTATGAAGAGCGTGTGGGATGTCACTGCTCCAGCGATTTTGGAGATGGCGAACAAAGCTCGTGGGCTCAAAGAAGTCGACCTGAGTAATTGCCGAAAAGTCAGCGACACATTGCTGGCGAGAATAGTTGGTTGGGTGGTTACCGCACAACCTCCAGCGCCTAGCAACCGCACAAAAGTCAACTCGCACCGTCCTGTACTCAACACCAAACTCAGTAACAACGCTCCTCCGCAGCAACCTCCCCCCGGGACGGTGATTGGCTGTCCAGAGCTGAGTTCTATCACTCTAAGCTACTGCAAACACATCACTGATCGGACCATGGCTCACATCGCAACGCATGCGCACGACCGGATCGTTTCGATGGATTTGACGCGGTGTACGACCATAACTGATGCTGGGTTTCAATTCTGGGGCAATGTCAAGTTTGAGCGGCTGAGGAAGCTGTGTTTGGCCGACTGCACATATCTCAGTGATCAGAGCATCGTGTGGCTCGTCAATGGAGCGGGTAGTGGTCTGAGGCAGCTTGACCTGGTGAGTGCTGATGTTCTTGTTGAGGTGTTTGGCTAATTGACGTCTCTTAGTCCTTTTGCTGCGCACTGTCTGACACAGCGACCGAGGTGATTGCCTTGGGCTGTCCGAATCTGACACACCTGAACCTCTCCTTTTGCGGCAGCGCTGTTTCCGACCCGAGCTTACGGTCAATCGGCCTTCACCTGACCTCCCTTCGCGAGCTCGCAGTTCGAGGATGTGTTCGTGTCACAGGGCTTGGGGTTCAGAGTGTGGTCGAGGGCTGCCAGAAACTCAAACTCTTTGACGTGAGCCAGTGCAAGAACCTGCAGCCCTGGCTGGTCAGCGGTGGGATTGAGCGGTGGCGATCCATGGGCCGAGACGTGGAATTTATCGTCGTCAGCTCAGGAACGAAGCTGGTCCGATGAAGAGATTTGAGAGAGTGTGCGTGTAATTTACGCCATCTTTTGGTTTGCCATTTTTGTGCTGCGCCCGACGGGGTTTCCAAGCTACGCAAGCGATTTTTATGTCTGCATTCTAATGTGCATTATTGCATGATGCATCATGTGCGTTCTGTTGTATGAATGAAGGTCTTTCTTTTTTTGGGCTCCCTTACCCTCGACACAACGACGCGAAGAATCACGTGTAGCGAACCTTGGGGATGAGCAGTGAACTCGATTGATCGATAGATGGATCGATATATATCCGCAGCATTGCGAGGAGGAGGAGGGCCGAGAGGATCTGATGAGCCACGAGCGACGAGGACGAGGAGCTCCCTCCCACATGTGAGGAGTCCGGAGGCAGACGCCAGATGCCAGAAGCTCCACGCGGCATGCCAGAGCAATCCTGGCGTCGGATGGATATCGGTCTGTTTGTTTATCGAGGAACGAGTCGGCGAAGGAGGACGTGAGGATAAGAGAGAGACGGAAGGCGAGGTTTGGACATGTCACGTGTCATGTGTGTGTGTGTGTGTGTGTGGATTTTCTTGTTGTTTTGCGAATTGGCCATTTATTTGACGGACAGATACCCCCAACCTTTATACTTTTGAAATCACTGATTATTCTTCAAAGATACGACATGATGGTGTGAGAGAGAGAGAGAGAGCTCCCGGTCGAGTGAGGGCTATGAAAACTATCCAAATATGAAAATCGTGCAAGTCGTCATCCCATTCAGCCGTTTTCGTTCCTCTTCAAATTCCCTGTTCCTGTTGCCTTTATTCCTGCACGCACTGATCCTTTTCTCTCTCTGGGTTTGGCGATCCCAGGTATTGTTTGTTGGATCTGCCAGTCGCCCTCTCCCGCGGCAATGCCATGAAAGGTCGAAGAGACAAAGACACTCCAACGAAATTCCTCGCTAACGCAAAGCATCAAGGAGACCCCGGCATTCTCTCGTAGGTTTCTAAAAGGTCCACCACAGCCCAGTGATGCTCTTTCCTGGCATACTCGGCAGCCTGCCGGCAAATCTCTGAGAGTGACTCGCCACGTTGAAGCGGGTGAAGATCGAGCAAGAGCTTAACAATGTCCAGTCGTCCCCATTCAGCTGCGCCATCGACAGCTGTTCTACCATCGTTCATTGCTCCAGGGGCTCCGACGTCCGCGCCGGCTGAAAGAAGCACCTGCACAACGCGTATAGAACCCTCGATGGCGGCGCCTTGAAGAGCGGTCATTCCAGCCCAATCGGAGGCTGGTGCATTGACATCCGCTCCATGGTCGAGCAGCAACTCCACGAGTTGTAGATCCCCAGCTGCGCTTACGGCTTGTAAAGCTGTACGTCCGCAGTATCCAGGATGAGGCGTGTTAACGTCTGCCCCGTAGCGAAGCAGTGTCTTGATGAGATGGGGTTGTTCTTTCATGATTGCGAGCTGGAGAGCCGTCCCGGTCACCTCTTCGTCCATTTCATCGAAATTAGGGTAGGGAAGGGCATTGGGGTCAGCGCCTGCTGACAGAAGATACTCGACAGTCTCCAAGTTTCCCATTGCACATGCTTTTTGCAAGAACGATCTGTATTTTGCGCCGCCTGACTCCTGACGAAACGAAAAATCAAAATAATCATCACCAACAAATTCTTGACTGATATCCATCCCCCTCTCGACAAGTATCCGAATGAAGCTCAGATCAATGCCATCCCACATGTCAACGAGGGGTGTACGATCCTGACAACAGGAAAGTCGGACGGCAGGGCTGTGGTTGAGGATGGTCCCTACAACTCTCCAACTTCCCAACGTCGATGACCGTATAGCTTCTTCGGCGAGGGAATAGCCAGAGTCCAGGCGAGCATCAATGTCGATCATAAGACCAAGCAAGAGGTTGACGAAATATGTGGAACTCTTTTTTGCCGCTGTGAGGAATGGGCAACAGTAAGTGCCGTCGTCCAGTTTGATGGTAGAAAGGTCAGCACGCTCCGCAACCAAGTCCCAGAATACAGACACTGCCTCTGCTTCGACGGCGGCCACTATTGCGCTACGTCCATTCTTCTGAGAGATGTTCCCGTTCACGTTTGCTCCCCGGGCTAGGAGAATTCTGACCAGGGTTTCATTTTTACTGAGAATTGCTGCTTGCAAAGCTGAGAGCCCACCATCTTGTGCGCAAGGTGCGTTGACTTCTGCACCCAAGTCCAATAAGTATTCCACGAGTCTTTCATCTCCGCGCCGAGCAGCACATTGCAGTGCCGTCATCCCCCCATGTTCCATGGCAGGATCATTGATCTCGGCACCGGCGCCGATCAAAAGTGATACACCTTTTTTGTCCCCTGCGGAACACGCTGCCTGCAAGGCGGTGATCCTTGTTTTTGTCTCGCCGAACATGCCGACCCAGTATTTGTGAATTTCTGTTTCCATCTCACTGAGACAGTGTTTGCGTATTTCTGTATTTGGCCCACCGAGCCAGAATTTGCGTTTTACTGGTTTTGGCGCGCGCCAGTATTTGCGAACTTCTGTTCCTATCTCACTGAGACAGTATTTGTGAATATCTGCTCCGTACCGAATCAGGAGTTCAACGGAGTTAGAAGAACCCTTTTCCATGGCAAAGACAAGTGGCGAATAGCTCTCCGTGCCGTTCATATTTGCGCCATGCGCGACGAGGCATTCCAAGACGCTGGTTTGATCATTCCATATCGCCACCTCGACAGCATTTCTGAAGCTACGGAGTTGCATCAAGGCTCCGCGCTGTCCGTCAAGGTTCTGACGAGGGCCTGGTTGGTGCCAACAAGACTCCACGTCCGCAAGCGCCCGCAACAACAGCTCACAGATATCCTTGTGACCCGATTGAGCGGCGAAAAACAAAGGAGGAATACACCGGGCGTCCAGAGACTTATCAAACCAGCCACTGCCGGCTCCTTCGACAGACGCTCCATTTTGCAGCAGAAGCTGTGTCAACTCGAAGTCTCCATTGCGAGCACTGTAGCAAAGAGCAGCACATCCATCATCATCCGTTGCATTAACGTCAGCACCTTCGTATATGAGGGAAGAAATGACCTCAATTGACAACTCAGCTTTGGCGGCTACCGGTAGGACTTGAGCCTTTTCGATGGTAGACATTGAGTCAAGAATAAATAGACATATACTGGGTTGAAAGTGTGCTGCGTGTCTCAGAAGGTCTTTATCGATTTGGGAGATCAAGTCAACGATTCGACACCCATTGTTTCCAATCTTTTCTTTCAAAAGGGTCAAGGCGAACGTTTCATGACCTCGTTGTATCGCCTCAATTAGCATCCACTCCAGTACCTTCTTGGTTCTCGGTGTTAGTATACTGCCAAAGGTCCACTGATACTTCAGCAGGTCTACCAAGTCATACCTACCGGTCCGTGCCGCGTAGAACAGGACCAGCTCTGTGAACTTCCATGTACACACTGATTTCGAGCGCGCCAAATATTTGAGCGTATCCCGGTTGCTTTGAGGCAATACCTGGTCCATGAAGTGGTCAAATTGATCCTCCTCTAGATGATTGTTTGCACCGAGATATATGACATAGCTGATAAGTGAATGCAGGTCGACGCTTCCGGCTTGGTGGATCAATGAATTGAAGTTCTGGCCCGCATAGTCAGGTTCCAGTCTGGGAAGATAGTTGAGCATTCCTGAGGCGGCTGCTTTATCTAAAGGCATAGATAAAACATCGACCGTAACAAAGTTGTTGGATGCTTCAATGGGTTCCGTTGAATGGGATTGTGGTGACTGCGCGTGTACGAAGGGATTTGGGGTTGCATGTTGTAAGGTTGCCGAGAACTGTAGTGCTTGCTGCAACCACGAAAATGAGGGAAGCTTGATGTTCGAGAGTGAGAGAGATTCCACAATGGACCTGCGGATAGATACCCCTTCGGGAGTGGTTGTCCTTTGGTTCAATCCGAACTTTCCCTCCAAGGTCGGTACATGATGTCTCCTTAGAGCCCTCTGCAATCTCTTGGGGCTCAGAGTGACACCGTCGACCACCGTGACAGCATTTGAGCCCGTCAGACGTCGTCGCTCCAAGCTATCACCGAGCGCTTTGCAGGTGGAAGCTTTGAGATTCTTCGAGTATCGCCATTCTTTAAGCTTCCGTTTGTACTGTGGTATACTGGCATCGAAAGAGTATTGTTCTTGGAGCTGCTCGCGGATTGCATTTAAAGAGAGATTTTGGTAAATGTAAAGGTCGTGAATGGTTTGCTGATGCTTGCGCCAATCTTGGACGGAGAGGGCGAGATGCTGAGCGCCAGTGGAGTCGGCTAGAGGCATTGTGGAAGCCGCTGGTGGTTATCTTGAACGCGTCTTTTGGATGCAGAAGAGTGCTGATCGCAGCGCGAATACGAGAAGCGCCGTCTCCTTCTGATGCCAGGTGCAACTATCGATTGTCCTCGGTCAGTCAATTAAGTAAGGCTGAAAGGCCGAATGTCATACCTGGTAGGGAAAAGGGCTTCAGGCGCTCTAGATATCGAGAGAGGGCTTAGAAAAGAAAGGGACAATCCCGTCAACATAGCAGAATGCTGGAGACTGGAGATCGACTGAATGTAATGACGGCCATGGTTGAGAAGTGAGCGGTCTGATACCACGCCTGGTTTATGAAAAAGATGCATGATGAGCTGGCTGATAGACATATTCGATTGGTTGAGACTGAAGGCCGGGTAGAAGCAGGTGGGCAGCTCATTGGGTGCGCGGTGCATGGCCACGTCAAAAAGGCGCCAGGTCTGTGATGGATTTGGAAGGAGGCGCAGCAATAGCAACATCTAACTGGTCAGAGGCGAAAGTACGCATGAAAAGCGATGGGGTCGCCAGTCGCTCTTTCCCAAGATATATTAGAAGCGAGCCCTGCTACCCTCGCAGGCTCAGAGCGACCTTTGGAGCGCGGCCCGTTCACGCATGGTGGCGCTCCAGATTTTCGGACACAGCCAATATTCTTTGCTCCTCGACATGAGGTTCGCACATGATGTTAGCAAGAAGTCAGACAGTGGGAGAGAAAGGCAGCAAACTGGATATAAAACGTGTCTTTTCCTGTGGACATTCGAATCCATTACTTGCGTTCCCATTTAGTCCTCCCCAAGTCTAACAAGACAGTCTCTCACTGCCTCATGTGCAATGCATATCTCTGCCGAAACTGTTGTTGGCATCGCCGCAGTCATAGTCGCCCTTCCACCGCTGGTAGTAGCGGCTCTGACAGCGTACCGGCGAAGAAGGGAGCACAGTCTGCTTCCCATGCACGAATCTGCCAGACCTGTCACAGTGCTATACGACCGAGGTAAGGACAGACCCAGAGGACGAGGGTGGCTTGCTAAGAGGTCCCCGGACAGGAGCAGCTCAACTGCCAGTAGAAATGCCATCCATCAGTCGACCCGCTCCCGCAGTCCTTCATCATCCAAGATCCCCTCCGTTACCCGCCCTTTTCCCGGTACAGACGACACGCCATCCAACCTGGTGACTTGGGCATTGACAATGATCGAACAGCTCAGGGCAGACTCGACTTGGGGCAGTTGGCACATGTTAGCTTTGTCCTATCGTACCGCTGGCCCTCAGCCGTACAATCCGTGGAGAACAAGCTCGATGTTACTTGGTGGTCTTTGGACTGGTCATTTATGGGACGGGGATCGATCTGATGGGAAAGCCATTCGAGACGAGTACGAATTGGAACTTGATGGTGTCCAGAAGCCAGGACTATCCATAGCGTCGGCCAATGCCAATAAGACGGTGCCTAATAAGGTCTTTACTTTGTGTGGAGAATCCAGCTGTTGTGGCTCCAAACTGTGGGGAAACTTTGCAACTGCCTGACTGTGACTGTCTAAAAGAATGACAATCACCTCATAGTCCATGCTATGTGCGTCAATTTATGCCTCTGCCTATTCTAACCCCTCGAAACAGGTGCCACAAACTCATTTCTGCCCATACTCGACCTCGAGGTTCATCAACATGGACTTCAAATCCCTGATGTCGGCTCAAATAGCCAAATCAAAACCACCAGTTTCAAAGACTCCCTCATCTCCCTCCCCAACTCCCGATCCTCCCACCTCGACACCAGCAAGTAAATACATACGTCGCGCCGACCTTGAAGCCTCGCGACAAGCCGAGTACCTAGCCGAGCAGGCCAGACTCTCCGCTGAACGGGAGGAGCGGCTCTCCAAGAAACGGAAACTCGAGGAGGAGGAAGCCGAACGGAATGCCCGCAGGGAGGAAAAGCTGCGGAAACTGGCGGAAGAGTCACGACGGAGGAGGGAAGAGGAGGAGAAGGAGGAGGAGAGGAGACGAAGGAAACGCCTCGGACTGGCTGAGGTGTCGGATCAGGCGGTCCTCGAGGACGGGGGCGCAGAGGACAATGCGGCTGCAGGCACAGGTCGAACACCCGCAGAGGACATACCCGACGACGAGCTGCGACGGAAACTCCGCGAACTCAACGAACCAGCCGCTTTCTTCGACGAGGACCACTCTGCACGGTTGAAGCGCTTCTACGCACTCACGCGCACGGCGCTAGCGACGGCGTCTACGCCAAAGTTGAGCAACGGACCCATCCCGACCACGTTGGAACCCGTCGAGGAGAAGGACATGCTCCTCCCGACCACATCCCTCCCTCTCCAGCCGGGGACACCGGAATATACCTTCCTCCACCGCCAGCTCGCGTCGTACTTTACCCTCCTCCTCACCGAGTGGTCGCGGGCGCTGTCGGAGCGGGACGAGTCGGTCAAGCAGTCCTCGAGCGGCAAGGCCGCGTACAACAACTACGTCGTCGTGCTGAGGGACCTGACGCCGCTGTTCCGGCACTTTGAGAAACAGACCCTCGACCGGGACCTGCTCGAGCCCATCTGCAAGATCGTGCGCTCGGCCCAGAAGCGGCGCTACGTCGAGGCCAACGACGAGTATCTCACCCTCTCGATCGGCAAGGCGGCCTGGCCCATCGGGGTCACCATGGTGGGTATCCACGAACGGTCCGCGCGCGAGAAGTTGCACGAGAGCTCGAGCGGGAAGCAGGCCCACATCATGAGCGACGAGGTCACCCGCAAGTTTCTCCAGAGTATCAAGCGGTGCATCAGTTTCGCCCAGACGAGATGGCCGCCCGACGACTTGGGCCAGTTGATGGGATGAATGACACCTGGTTATTTTTACCTACGAGAGTTTCCCTGGCTTCGTGCGGGTACAAGAACACGGCTCCAACAAATATCAGAATGCTTCAAAGGCTGAATCTCACCTAAATAGCCAATCGTCAACTATGTACTGGCGAAGTCGTCTACTGATGTTGGAGTTTTGGGGGAGGATACATTTCCAGCCCTTCCAGATACCACAGAAAACGAGTCCCCAACCTAAGAGTGAAGGAAGGGAGCACGAATCGAATGGTAATCTCTGAACTCCTGGATATCAAGACGTGGATGAAGGCTACATCCAAAGAGCAAGAGATGGATGAGTTGGACACGTGTGGAGCTGACATTCTGTGCCCCTATCACAACCGACTTACTTTACACTTCAACTAAGCGCAACAGACGACCATCAATACGATTTCAACCTCAAAGACTTGTTCTTATTGTCAATATGAGCTTCTCTACTTCTCCGCCGCGGCATCACGAACCATTTTGGCCAAACCCACAAAACAATAAAAGCCCTCCTGAACCTTCCCACGGTCGGAAAGCAACGATAGAAACGAATGGAATCAAACGACATACACGCTTCGGGCCCCGGCGGGAGAAAGCAGCCCCAATGTGAAAGTCAACAACTCGGTATCCTCGATGAAAGTCTCCCTGAGAGGGAGGATTCAATCGGCTGGATCGGATATGACCGCGCAGGAACACTATCTACGGGACCCCTACGGTGTTATCAACCGATGCCTGATGGCATAGAGATAGATGGTGGCGCCAGTCCTCACTCAGAGCGAGCGAGAGCGAGAGAACGAGAGAACGAGAGAGGACGAGGAAGCACGACAAGGAGAGATTGAACACGGGTCACTCACTCACTATTGAAATAGGCTCCATCGAATTTCGAGAGGAACTCGGAACCAGAGTCGGTGTCTGTATCTCACTGCTTCGTACGAGGTACAACCAATGCAACCCGTACTGAGTACACTCAAGTTTGCGGGAAACGACTACTTGCGCCGCATTCATTCTATAAAAAGAAGTAAATCACCACCCAAAAATACCCTCCCGATCCTTTCCAATTATATGGTCAAGCAAGAAAGAACCATATCATATCAAAAATATCCCACCCCGGTATGTAGTAGTCTAGAAAGAACAGACACCTCTAGAAAAAGCATTCAGTGCTAATTGGGGTATCGTAATCGTCAAACGAACTGGGCTCGCTAAAATCTCGACCCGCCAGAGTGGGTGGAATTCCCCCAAATGGAAAACAGACCAACTCCGCCCTTTGTAAATGTATCCTTGCTGTCTTAACCTGTCCTCGGTACTCTGTCACGCATGACTAGTCCACAGCATGTCAGACGTGTCTCCATCTGCTCCGGGGTATACCCCGTGTCTTGTACCGAACTCCCTTGGTTCTAGCGCAGTGTAACCAGACGACGCCGCACTGCCGCCCTACACAACAAGACTCAAGACTAGAATCTCGTTGGCGTGCCTTTGGAGCACAAAGGTCAATCTCTTGTCACTTCGCCTGGCACTCACACAAGAACCTCTCCCGGTCATATGACAGCCACCCCGAAGCTGATGTGTACCGAGGCTCATAGTTGTGACTGTGAGTGCATCACAGCCTTCTAGAGCGACATTGCTTCAGCCTGGCAGGCAGCGTGAGATCAAGGACAGGTGAAGTCACAGCCGTAGATAACCGATCGGGTATGCCGTAATTAGCACAGACTCTCGGAGATGAGTCAACGGCAACGGCGCGTCCGCCAGGGCCTAGGATGTGGCAAAGGTTCCTAGGGTTCCAGCCTCGCGGGTTGTGTTCCCTGCAAAGGAAACGCTCCCGGAAGTGGGCGGTGGACCCCGACTCACGTGCTGGAAATGGGTGGACTACTCCGCCCACCCCCAGTCCCCAATGGGCGAGAGGCAAATTCGCTCAGAAAGTGCTCCAGGCCCAATCTTTGGGTACACTGTTAGCGACCTCCGCGACCGGTTTGCCCGTACGAAGGCCGCTAGAAATCATCCTTCGGTGACCCGTCGGTCCCGCCAGAGGCGTCGGAGGACCGCTCCCGTTGTTGCTGCAGTCATCCTTGCTGTTCTGGCTGTTCTTGCGGCGGATTGACCTGGCCGTATCCCAGCGTTGATACTGCCGGTGACATACGTCGCATGCCCGGGAGGGAATGCCGTCGGGATGGAACTGGGCATCCTGGTCCAGAGGAATTGTGTATGGGGTGTGTGAGGAGCAGAAGATATGACCGCAGTGGCGACAGTGGTGTTTGCGAACAAACAGGCTGAATGATGATCGACATTGTGGCGAGTCACAAGTCGGTGAAGCTTCGTCGGGCTGGAGTAGAATTAGACATGTTAGCATCCATCTGTATGTCTCAATGCACGTCGCATGCTCATGCAGTCGTGCCGGGAATCGAGGTTGGCCATGGCCAAGTCGACTGAACGACAGTTGATTCTTGACATACCTTCCAATGTTCTCTGGTTGGCGGGCCTGTGACTTCACCCAGCTCCTCCTCCTGAGCCCAATCAGGATCAAAAGCGTCCAGCGCCAGCTCGCCTTGAGAATCTGGGCTCGCTGTCCGACCTTCGTCTTCTTGCAGACTGTCCAACGATCCATGCAGACTTTTTGGTGGGGTCATAGGAGACGGTGTGCAGAAGTGTTCGGTTGGCCGCAGGGCAGCAGGAACGTAGAGAGGGGATTTGAGCGGCCGAAGCTGCTTGTACGGATTGGGGGCATGCTGCTGAATGTAGTCGTGCATGCGAGGGGAAGTGGGTGAGGCAGAGCTGGCTGGGGAAGGTTGTTGACTCATGTAGTTGGGAATCGCGTATGGCTGAGTTGTAGCGTTGGCGGTCATTCTCTGGAAGTGTTGTTTCTGTCGGAGTAGAAGAGAGATGAAGGACCGCGGGAACGCTTTATCAAAAGCCGACTTAAGTATTTCAAGAGAGCAGAATCCAGTTGTACGGCCGCGACAGAGTTGTCTCCGCACCACAGACTCGGTGAAAGCGCTTAATGTCGGTGTCGACAGCAGAATTGGGATGCGGCTGATGACAGGGCACGCAGTGGCTCGCGGAACGAAGCAACCACGATTTCGGAACCGAGGGTGATCTTAGAGGCGCAGGGAGATGCCTCTGATAGGTAATACGTGACCTTTCAGATCACAAGGCAACCAGATGGGCCTTGGGAACTGAGGCTGTCGAAAACGTGGGAGGTGGGGTGGGAGGTGAGTGGTGGTGGTAGACACGAGAGAGTAGATAGTTCTCTCGAGAGTGGGATGAGTGCGGGAGGACGATAACAGATAAATGAAAGGATAAGGCGCTGCGGGGACCTAGAGGGGACCAAGTCGTTCTTTGTCTAGAAACCACGAAATTCTATCAAAGTGTCAAGCAAGTAGTACGGTGGGAGAATATCTGGGGGAGGGAGAAGCACCAGAAAAGTATCTCAATTAGTATGGTGAGGTGGTGAGCAGAGTAGCAAGAAGCATTTTGCCCGCGGAAGGCTACGTGAGGGAAAGTCTGGTCGCGAGACCAGAAACCCTGATGGTATGGGTACCCATGTCATGTCGCCTGCATGTCGCAGTGATAGGCATTGGCTGGGCCAAAGGCTTGGGGGACTAAGAAGTCCAAGCTGATAAGGACGCCCGATAAGCCAATCACGGGTGCAGGATTTTAAACAAAGGATGGCCACTTGGAAAATGCGCTGGTGTCTGACAATTGGCTTTGGTGGTGCCCCTCTGGTGCCTCCGCCCGCCTTGCTGCAAGTAACTGCGCAACATGACCACAGGCTTAGGCTTGGTGGGTAGTTGCCTAGGCCTGGGCTGCCACCCTGGACTTGTTGGTAGAGGCCGCCTCCATCCACAGTTTCCGCACCAAAGAATACTCGTAGGTACTAAACTTCAACCTGAGCAACTCTTTTGGCCAAGTAGGAAGTATTTCCCACTCTATTATTGTTATAGGGTCTATTGTCTCCGGCAAGAAGCGGCCTCAACGTCAGACCTGTGGAGGACTTATTGGGGGACCGTGCGCCATTGAACTCGCCAACCAACCATGGGGCGCCTGGACTTAACTTTGATCTCTCTTGCCACCAAGGCCCCTCCCTTTGGATGTGTCATATTGTGTGGTGGTTCTTGGATGCCGACAAGTGCCGCATCGGGTTGGTTGGGAAGCACTCCCAACAAGGTAAGCCCAAGAGAGTCCCGAGGGCCCAGCACAGCGTCGACTTTTCAATAATTGGTCCCAAACCATCGGTATAAGTCGAGGATACCTGGTTCCCCTTCTCAATTTCCTGCAGCTGCATCGGCAACTGGCTGGGTTAGACACGGCAATTAGGCGGGTACGAGGGGCACTGCGCCTGCGCTGCGCTCGAGTAATGAGATACAGAGTCACGCCGAGTTTCTGGCATGTGCTTGTATCCGTAAAGCCGCCAGCATCCATTGTTCCGTATGCTCCAAGTAGGGATCAGCCGCGCGAGTAATAGACTCTTTACCACTTATCAATGCAGTCGACGATCATTGATGATGTCGGGGCGGGCGGCCATCAGTCATCGGTCAATCGGTATGATGGGAAAGCAGATCCGAGCCAATGTATCAACCTAGCTTGCTAGTATTTTCGGTGAATAATGGCAACGCTGGTGTCGCTCTTGAAGAGATGCTAGGGTTCTTGGGTGGGCTTTTTTGGTGGAGCTCATGATGAAATTGCAACTCCGTTATTATCTCGCACAGAATCCAAGTGGGGGCAATAGAGGGGACGAATGCAAGACACCGGAAGAAACATTCTGCTTTGTGTCTCCAGGAGATGATGTGCATTTCGTTAGGGTATCATGCAGCGGTCCGAGAAGACTTGGACGAGGCAAAGTGAGGGTAATCACGCAAGCCTGCGCTGATACATGTCCGGGTGGAGAGGGCGAGAAGGGGGGGTTACCGAAGGCCGGAAGGGGGGAAGTCACAGAAGAAGGGAGCCAGATATCCGTGAGCCGTCATGCAGTTCAAGTACCTGGACAGTGCTTAGAACTTCAGTTTCAGTTGGTCGGGCGGCTTTGCGGCCGAGGTCCGCGCAGGCTTGTCAGTGGTGGTGGTCTCGCCAGGCCCATCAGGAGCCCAGGTTGTTGTTGGGTGGTGTGTTGAGTGCTGGCTCTTGGGTATTGGTACTGGGTGCTCCGGGTGCTGCTTGTTGGCTGCTAGGCTGGATATGCTCCATGGTTACAGCCCCTGGTGAGCCTGTTGTCCACTCCTGTCCACCTGCATTACTCGTACCTACCCGGCTAGCGCCTAGCAGGTATCCTCCCCGTACACCCGTACCACACCCAAGGTCCCAAGGTCCCTAACCTGCACCCACCCACCCACCACCCACAACCCTGGCCACGCCTGCACCCATCTGCAGCAGCCTCGCCTAGACGGTAGCTTGGTAGCCAATTGGGCGGTGATCTTTCCCCCGGAATCCCCCCATGTTCCAGTTAAGGTTTTACCCAACTTCAAACTCGGTGAAAGACCTTTTGTTCCCACGGGATCGTCCACCGTTTCCAACCCTCAGCTTCCCCTCCCTTCAACCTCAGGGAGAGAACACATTGCTTCATCGGATGCTTCTTCTCTGAACCATTCTTCATCTGTCTGACTATCGTCGCTTTTCCCCAAACTCCTCTATCCCCGTCCCACCAAAGCCTCTCCCACTCTCACCCGGTCCCGCGGTGACCTCATTGACTTCTGATCGTCAGTACCGTCGTCATCGGCATCTCTCTTTTCGAGGAAACGGGGAAAAGGGGAACACATCAAGCGATGACCAAAAGGCGCGCCGACCACCTTCGCGATATTTCACCGAGAGACCCCAATCACCCATGGGTTGCACGAGGCTATCGACCGGATGTGGCATATGCCAACAGGACGGCTCCTATAGAAGATCCCTACGGTGAGATCGCATATCAACGCGCCTTCGCCGAGGCGGCTGAGTCCAACTCGTTTCGAGTACCGGAGCCAATCCTCTATCACAATTCTCCATCGGCTCGGGAGTACATAAGAAGGAGAGACGAACCCTTTTTCTCCGTCAAATCTACGAAGCCCAGCAATAAAACTACTAGCCAGCCTGCCACGCCAACTTCGGTCAATACATCGGCTTCCTCTCCAGCAAAGCTTCCTTCACCGAAATACGGTTCAGACCCGGGATTCCCACTTGGCAGAGCAGATGTCAAACAGAACATTGAGCCTGGTCCTCCCAGACCGACGGGATCGCCCAGTAGCAAGGACTTCCAGCAACAATCGCCACCTCCAGTAAGACCCGGTGTCGGACAAACTCCATCTCACCTTGGAAATGGTCTACCTTGGACCTTGGAACCTAAAATCGATGCTCCATCAGGTCCTTCTAAGATGCTACGATGACCCAGGGCATCAGAAGACATGTCACAAACTCCCTTTGGTCGGGCAGACAGCAGATGGCACGAGCTATCCAAGCATCGCAAGCCTCGCCACTCCGATGACTGTTTGATGATTTTCGACCAGACGACTAGATCTCATAAGCACAAACTGCCACTGGGCGACACGATATCAGCAATCTTGGTTACTTCTTTTCTTGGTTAAGAACTCGGGATGCATCTGGCGAACCAACTGCGGGAACAGCGCTTAATGAATTTTGTTTTGAAACGTTTTTGAGACAGAGATTGCGTGCCACGGGAAGTCTCCAGCCTCGAAAACACCCCATGTCAACATCCACACGAACTTAATTGACGAAGTGACGGCCTTGCTGCTACAGAGAAGACAAAAAGAACGCGATGATGAACGAGTGACGGACATTTTGCTGGGGGAAATTCACGTTACCATCAGTTTTGGCTTTTTTCGTTTTTGAATCTGCACCGGCATTGCATTGGGAAATATATCCTACAGTACTCGGTACATGGTTGAAACCTGTTTTGTGACAGGGAGGGCGTTGGCGCAGCCGGATGATTTTGGCAGTTTTTGCTTCGACGAGGCGGGGGAAAGCATTAAGAGAGAAGCGGCCACAGCATCGAAAGTAATGAGACCTGTATGCATGCGCTATTCTGACGAATTGGGAAGATATTGTTTTCCGTCTACTCTCTCTGAACATACACTTTGCTCGCGTGTCATGAGTCTGTCTTGTCCGTCCCTGTCGCTATTCTTGGTGATATTGCTCGGGCAGTACGAGTGAAGGCTGTTTCCGTCCTATGCGGTTCTGTGCCCTAGCCAACGTACTCGTACATCTCGATCATGAAACCGGTCACGAGCCCGTCAGCGAGAACGACGCGGAGAACGATGGATGTCGAGTAAGTGAGAATTGAGTGAGTGGGATGCCCAAGTCTAATCCAACATTCAATCCAATTCATTTTGGCAAAAGCATCGCAATGTGGTGTAATGGACATACGTGCCATTTTGCTTTTTATGAATCCCTAATCCACAAGTCCTCACGTCCCTCCATTCTGGCCGCCGGGAACCACGCCGGGACGCTGGACCAGAAGCGAGATCATGGGCGAGAACAACGTGCGGGAGGTGCCGGCTCCTGCATCTCCCTCTGCATGCATATGTGCATCTGTATGTGCATGTATACTCGTAGAAGTTTTCTCTGCTGCAGCGTCGGGCTGTGCAAGAAGCTGTGGTCTCGCCCACCGGGTCAGGTCGTCCCACGAGACCCATTCCCAGCCGGCGCATTTGTCTGGTTCGAGGAGTTGTGCTTCTGGCGGTGCGTTGTCGGTCTCTGCTTGGCTGTTACCATCAACGGGCCTTTTCGCCCGCGCGGTCATGAAGATGGTCACGTAGTGTTTCCCTTTGACTGTTCCAGCACGATCCTTGTCTTCCGTCCCATGGGTGGTACTGTTTGACGTCTCAAACGGCATAACGTCGTTCGTCGCCGTGAGGAACTCCATCTCTCCCACATCCAGTCCCGTCTCCTCGCACACCTCGCGCGCCGCGCACTCTTCGAACGACTCGCCGAATTCCAGGTGGCCACCGGGCAAGGCCCAGGTGCCGGCGCCGTGCGAGCCCAGACGCTTCCCGAGGAGGAATTTGGGCTTTTGTGATTTCAGGTCGGTGTGGAGGATGAAGACGGCGACGCCGATTCGGGGGACGGAAGAGGCCAGGAGGTTAGATGGGGACGGCATGGTGTGTGTTGTGTTCTCTTCTGTTGGATGGTTGGATGGGTGAGTGGATAACGTCCCGTGTAGACTGAGAGAGATGGTGGACAGTCTCTTGGTCGTGTCGTCAACGACAACAACAACGGTAGTAGTCCGGTCTTACTGTCTTGGTCAACGTTGACGGTGGAAAGAGGATAGACTTGCGAACTGACAAGCCCTCTGCCCTTGAGTTGGTATTTTGCTTCAAGTCCGATCTCAATTCCAATACTTCGCCTTTTTCGAATCCCTCCTTTCGCTGCTTTTATGTCTCTGCTATTCGCAATCCAGATGGAGATCCAAGACTCGCTCACTCACTCAATCACTCACAAGTGCCGAAATAGAAAAGAAAAGGACGGGATAAGATACAAGAGAAGAAGAGAGAGTGCGGTGGTATCTCCTCTCCCCTCTAAGTATTTGTCGGGGAGGACCACGACCGATGCTGTATCACTGATTCGTGGTCACTGGTCAATGACTGATGCCTCTGCCTCTGCCCTCTGTCTCTGCCTAGTAGGTTGCCGTAGGTCGTAGGTTGTATGTCGTAGATCCCAATCCCAAGGCACCCTCAAGGCAGAGTCAAAATCACCCGACAGGAGTGACAGAATCTCTCCTCCTTCTCCTCTCTCTCCACTCGGTGTCCCCGTCTGTATAATATGCCCGTCCGTTCACTTCACTCGTCCACTCGTTCATTCGACTGATCTTCGATCTTCGATCGTTGATGACCCTTCGTGCAGCAAATTCCGTGACTCACAAATCCGCGTGCTCGCCTTGGCCTGCTGGCCTGCTCGCCTGCTTGCCTCCCAATTCACAACAAACTCGAGTCCTCGACTTACCCTTCCCTTTGCCCTTCCCTTTCACTTCCCGTCTTGGTCTTGTTGGAACGGAAATTGACCGCAGGGGATTGTGGCAGTCTGTAGGTAGTAGTAGTCTGTGGCGGTGCCGCTGGGTAGAAGTATTTGTACGAGTAACGAGTACGAGTACGAAATACGCCCTGTTAGGTAGTTTCTTCCACGGTCCGAATTGTCTGATTGGATGGAACATGACACACGGGCTTCACAGTGGACGGTCAGACGGCACGGACGGACGGTCAATCAATCAGCCTTGTAACCTCGTGTGCCTGTCGCTACGAAATAGGCAGTGGGTGGTGTTAGGCAATTCCCGTATGACTACCCAGTGGACACCGAGGACGAACCTACCTGGGTACTCATTCATTCAAGTATGTGAAATGTTGGTGCAGACAGGCATTCAAGTTTAGATTCAGATTCAGCCTCACAGTCCGTCTGGGTCTGTCAGAGCAGCAAGGCGGCATTTACTCTTACGAGGACGGAAGACTGGAAAAAGGCCACTTTATGTTCTCCAGAATATATACCACCGTGTAATTGTAATTCAGCGACCACGTACTGTAGTTTTAGGCAGTCAAGTGTATTATATTCAGAAGAGATCACTTGTCCCTTCCCCAGACCACTGTCCACCTATGGAGATGTCCTGCATATTACTCCACTGCGTCAAAGCACTTCCAGTCCAGCATGACTGATGAAATACACCCCGGTATCCGTCGCGTTGGTTATGTTGGTCTGCTTGGTTTGTCCAAACTTGACGAAGCCGTTTTCTACAGGACTGGGAACCACGGTGCCGTTGAAGCGATGGAGCTTGTTCTCACCACTGACGACAGTGAAGTTGGCGAGCGAGATTTCGTTCGGATTACGGCTGACCACCGTCGGCATCCCAAAATAATACGCGTTGACCTGCTCTTGGGTGATGTGCAACTCGTAATATCCCCGGTAGTAAATCTCTTGCCATTGCAGTTCACGGTTAGCACCCACAAGCCACTCACTGGCTTGGTTACTGCGCGCGAGCGAGATGTTTGCGCCGTACGGCGATGGGGACGTGACGGCCGTGCCGCCGAATTCAACTCCGATGGCTCCCGCACCGGTCGCAGGGTCGTACGGGTGATTGTCCAACCACACGAGGTCAGAAACCCAATTTGCATGACTGTCTCCTGAGAGCATAATGTTGTTGGTAATGTTATTGCCGTATAGTGTCTGGAAGGTGCGGTTGCGGTTGGCTTGATATCCGTCCCATGCATCGTAATCGAGGGGGTTGACGTTGCCGTACGCCACGGATTCGTTGATACGGCTAAAGACCGTCTGAGATCCAATGACACGCCACGCTGCGCCACGGTTCTTCGAGTCGATCAGGGATTGATAGAACCAATTTTCCTGGCGAGAGCCCATCATGGTGCGACCCGCATCGTTTGAGATCTCGTGGATGTAGTCGGTATTCCAGTACAGGTCTGTGAGAGAGCGGTCATACTGGCGAGTATCGAGCATGATGAGGTCAAACAGGTTGCCAATTGAAAACGATCGCCAGATCCGAAGCTATACCCAGTGTTAGAACGAACTCCTCCCCAAAAAAGTTGTCTTACATCATCACCCATCTCGACTTGTCTGATGGGCATCCATTCAAAGTATGCTCGGACAGCGTTCATCTTTCTCTGATCCACCGAGACGCCACCGTCTTGGATAAACGACGCTTCGGTGTTGTTGAGCTCGGCAGCGCCATCGCGGTAGGTGTTGTCGGCAACCTCATGATCATCCCAGACAGCGATCCAGGGGAAGTTCGCATGACTGGCGATCAGGTCAAGATCTGTCTTGTAGGTGGCATGACTAAAATGCGCGAGTTGGGTCAGCGTGGTCCCATGTAGTCGGGCAGCAGGATTCGTTTGAGTATCCAAGGATCAAGAACCACTCACCGCTTGCGGTAATCATAGAGCGTATAGATCTGTCTATCTGGCAAAGGGACACGTCCAATAGTCTGACCCCATCCATATTCGCCGTTGGCATACTCGTAGATATAATCACCGAGGTGCAGAACATAGTCGACCGAATCTTTGCGGACCGGGTTACCGTATGCGTTGAAGAAACCAAACGGAAAATTGCTGCAAGAATAAACCGCCAGGTTAACCCCGGTGACATTGTCCGTGGTCAAAGGAGTAGTCTTAGTTCTGCCGACCATGCTCGAGACACTGCTGTTGCAGATGGTGAACTGGTAGAAGTATTGCGTAAAGGGCTGCAAGTTTGAGGCTTCAACTTTGACTGTGTAGTCGACATCCGAGCTCGTGTACACAGTTCCTTGGTCAACCACGGATGACAACGCTTTGTCGCTCGCGATCTTCCAGTTCAAGCAAACAGGAGAGGTCGAAGGTGGCTTGCCCTCGTCGGTGTCATTGTAGATCGGCACAGGATTGTAAAGTGGCACGAAGCCGCCAGTAGAGCTATTGCTTTTGACGTCGTCCGAGGTAGGAGCACATCGTGTCCACAAGATCACACTGTTGGGGTATGGGTCGCCAGACGCAACTCCATGGGTGAAGTTCAGCTGCGAGGCTGGTGTGGCCTGTCTCTCAACATGTCGCTTGACGACCTTTCCCACCGAGATACCGAGAGCAGGGTGATGAAGGGAAGGAGAGCGGTAGTTTAGGTTTGCGCCGTACGAAGCAAATGTTACACCAATCAAGGTGGCAAACACAACGAACTGCAACATTTTGCGAAAGAGCTCTTGGGCGAGGGAGAGAGAATATGCCTGCTCACCTTTTTTTCTCCCGGCATCTCACCTGAGGGGACAGCCAGCTCATTTTGAAGATACCTTGAGCTTCATAGCTCTGGGATCTCCAACTCCAACTGACGCAAAGCGTTGTACCCCGGCATCCCACGCTTCCTCAACCGTGATGGCCCTGCACAGAAGCTATTTGTCAAGCAATAAATAGCGACTTAGGTTCAGGGACAAGCTTTCCGATGCATATTGGTAAGAGGAATGAGCCAATTGAGGGCAAGGCTGCAGACATGCTCCAGGCAGAGTCCGGATCGGCAACGCCCGGATTTGTTCTGGATCGATGTTGAAGCTGCCTATCTGATCGTAGTCAGGTCGAACAGAAGCACCTTGAGCGATGGCGGCACCGGTAGAAGCAAGGACTTTGCGTTGGACAAGGGTTGCAAGTGGTGAGTCGTAGGAAGAAAGGCGAGTTTGGATCAAAGGAAGCATGCAGTAGTGGTAGAAGAGTGGAAGAAGCGCAGCCACACCTTGTCGAGTCTTGGGACACGTGCATGCGGCCTCCCATCAAATCAGGGCGGAGGCATTTGCAAAGATACCGACACCACCACTCTCCAACGTCATGGACCAGGACCTACTTCCCGCACAATATCCACATAGTATCCATCAGACCACGCCTTGCCACGTCTCTAGAGCTTACGGACAAGGACCAGCATCAAGATCGGCTGGGGCAAGCACAACAGCATAACGGCCAGCAGAAAAACAAAAAAAAAGGGCGGGTGGACGAGAACAAGCTGGTCTCGAAGAGCTGCCTGAATGGGCAAGGGCTACAACTACTTCTCTCCCGTGTATAATCTTTCCTTTTCCTACGAGAGGTCCCCGAACAATGGATTGCTCACTCAGGAACGATTCCTCCTAAGCCCCTCCACATATCACAGCGATACCCTCTTCCAGCTTCCCATGTATATGCATTCACCAACGTGAAATTGTTCACCAGGCCCGGTTCCCCGTATTCTGTCAAGTTGGTTTTGATGTAGGGCAAACTGAATGCGAACGGTGTGCCCCCGGTGACATTGAGGTTGATCTGGAGAGGCGAGTACATCTTGAAAGGAGGCCAGTCGGAAACTGGATTACTCAAGGTACTGTTGGACGACATTCCATTGGCAACAGAACTGGGAATAGACGGGTTATCCGACGTGATAAAGCTGCCCCAGATCTTCATGGCTGCGTTAACAAAGTCCGGGCTTTGGTTTGGTGTGGGTGGCCCAAAGTAGGCCGTCAGATCGGTGCCGTGAACAGCAATCGGCACGGAATATTGATACTTGAACGAGTTACGTCCATGATCGCTGTACGCCTCTGCCATCCAGTACGACGGGCATACAAACGTAGTCTCCGAATAGATAGCCTGTGTTCAGGTCAGCGTCCGCCGAAATACTTGAATCCCACGCTTCAGACTCACAAAGGCTCTTTGCTGCTGCCCTGTCGCAACAGAGCTCTGGTTGATGAAGCTCGGGAGCTCAGTGCCGGAAGAGGCATACAATGGCGCATCGGGGTCCGTGGAATCATTTGAACTTGGATAGTAGAGAAGCACTTTGGCGATGTCATCGTTCGTGAACAGCGGAAACGTCAGCTGTAACCACGCCACGAGGTCGTCTTCTGTCGTAATGTTGGGCTGGGTATATGCTGGTCCCTCGAGGGCGTTGTTGCTCACGAGCAAGTTTAGTCCGTTGAGCTCTTTGCGCAAGAGTTGGCGACTAGGTAGATCTTGAACGAATATGCCGTCTGTTACAGGCAAGAAAGCCCAAGTCCCATATTTGCCCGACTCGGACAGAGTGGCGCTCGCATTCTGTAGTGTGGCCGAGTCTTGACTGACAAGACAGTCAAAGATTGTATTTGGATGAGCACCATAGGGCAAGGTCGGTGCGCAACCAACCATGGTGGCAAGGGCGTAATAGGACTGTGAAGGTTGCCAATCCTTGTACCCGTACTGCATGGGTAGGTACGGCGATGAAGCGATCGTCTAGCAGTGTCAGATGGCATACCGGGTACTACGCAAACTCGCCCAAGTGACCTACATTTCTGAAAAGCGACTGGCCAAGGGAGCCACCATACGCCATCCCTTGAAGCTAAATCCCGGTATCAGCACGAGGTCGATCTCCTTGGGTGTGGCTTGTGCCTAATCAAAGAAACTCGAGGGATGTCCTCCTCATCTGAATGAGCAACGTACCATGACTGATCCAGCTCCTGCAAAGGTACGTTAGTATATTCCTCCATAACACTGATGAGAAATTGAAGTTGTCTCCTGTGAAAAGAATGAAACCAGCGATTGAAAACCTACCTGCTGACTGCCCGGCTATCGTCACATGATTGGGATCCCCTCCGAACAAGGAGACATACCTTTGCGCCCACTGTAGCGCAAGATATTGGTCGAGCAAGCCAGCATTGACTACTCCATTCCGAAAGACTTCATCACCTGCAAGAAAGCCAAAGGCACCCAGCTAGATAGGTCAGCTTTGACATATAAGAGATCTTTTGAAGACTTACCCTGTACTGAATGGTCACACCAATAAAGGAGTTATTGTTAGCATTGATGATGGCTGACAGATCTTGCTGCCCGTTCCCCCTTCCATAGCCTCCTCCATGAACGTAGAAAAGTACAGGAAGTGGACTAGGAGGATTTGGAGGCGCATAGATGTTGAGAAACAAACAATCTTCGCTTGCCCCCGTACTGTTCAGAGGCACCAAGGTACTGGTTGTATCTTGGTTTTGAGGGCATATGGGACCAAACTGGTTCGCTTGGATCACGGAATCACGGTTTGTTTGAGGCGCCTGAGGAGCCTGCCATCTGTTCGAACCAGTCGGGGGAGCTGCGAACCGGATGCTAAGCTGTGATTAGTTATGTGGTTCTTCAGGATGAAGCAGCTCAGATGTACCCTTTCCACACGTTCAACGCCGTCGTCGAGTTAGTGTAGCCCTGGTAGACCTCGTAGCCAAGGTCAACTTGCAGCGATGAACTGTTTTCACCGGAAGCTTGACGAGAAAGGAGGGCAGTTGGATACGGATGAGGGTTGTACTGAGGATATGCAGAACAGTGTGCTAACAGAGAGACGGCAAAGAAGAGTACAGCACACATTTTACCTGTGGTCTCCCTGACAGAGCGTGTGTGTAAAGGGAAATTAGAGGGGGTGAAGGAGTCTCAAGGATCTCTCCGAGGACACACATTTTCCATATATTTCGTGGGCACAATCAGCCTGGTCTGTCGCACAAGGTACCGCCAATGCCGTGACTTGTCGGACAGTGACCGGCATTCAGGTGGAAGCATTGTGGGCTTTGACCCCAAGCTGCAGTTGATATTAGCCGTGTATCAAAACAGATGCGAAATAGATGGAGACGAGATGTCAATGGATAGACGTCATTGGATCCCCCACATTCTTAGCCTTTAGTCTCCTCATTCTCGGATCCGCCACCCCGTCATTGAGGATGCAAGGAATCAGGCGTAGCAGCGTCAAGGTCGTGTGAGGCTGGTCCAACTCCGCACGGCAGATGAAGGTCACCCGCTTGGTCCGGCGGTGATTCTGGAAAATTGAACAAACAAGCACCATGCTTCAGCCAATGGGATCCAAAGCATCAATATGTTGTGCTGGCGGTCTAGACACCAGACACTTAAATCTATTTTCCCATGACCGCCTTTAGCATGGGTGGCAGACAAGTTTCAAACCCGATTACCTCACCTATCATGGTCAGTGAGACGCCACATCCACAATTCATGTTCCGTTGCCATCGTTCAACAGCTCGTCCTTCACCGAACAACCCCAGCTAAAGTTGACACCTGTATGCGCGCGAGCATAGTTTGGCCTCCGAACACCAATACCGGACTTTATGTCTTGGGCTTGATATTGACGAACGGCTCTCGCGTCTCCTAGCCGATCAGTTGCTCTTCTTGTCGCCACCGCTCGGGTTCAATTGGTTGTATTTGACGCTCAACTCGTCGTATTCCTTTTGTAGACCTTGCGCTTGACTCTTCATTGCCTCCAGCTCTTTGTCCTTCTTTTGGAGCTGTTTCTTGAGTTCGCCAATCTGGTCGGCTCGATATTCTCCGCTGAGTTTCTCGCCTTCTTTGCCGCCGGCACGCTTATCCCCCTCGTACATCTTGACCTTCTCTTCGAGGCGAAGGACATCAAGGATCATGCCGTAGGTGCGGTTGAGGATGAGGGAGAGGAAAAGTGTGAAGCCGGTCAGGTACATGTTGCGCTGAGAATAGAACTTGCGGGCTTGAACCTCCATGCGCTCAGAACCTATTGCTGCTGCCCGTCTGCATTTGTCAGCCGTGACCCATTGAGCTGGCCTGGTGTGATCCTGCAACGTACCCTGCACCAGTGGTGTCCTTTGACAAAGCTGCCATCTCCACCTGAACGCGGTAGACTCTGTTGACGCTGTCGAGGAATAGGATGAGAATGAAGATGAAGGTGATCTTGCGGAGTGTCAGTCGACATCAGAGCGTCTTAGCGGAAGATGCGGCATACCTTCATGCCATATTGTATCTTGGCTACAATTGGACTTTCAGAGATGAAATTGAACATTTTCCGCTTGACTGTGAATGGCATCGGGATGATAAGGGCTATAAACAAGACCATCTCCGTCACCAGAAGGACGAATACCTGTGATGGCTGGTCAGCTTCAATAGCCCACAGTAGTTACTACCCAGCGTCACTGGGGGGTTGACGGACCAGGCTGTAATAGAGCGTCATGTTTGCGGGTTGGTGTGAATGGAATCCTGCCTTCGAAGGTGCGAGAGTTGGGCAGTTGGGCGGACAGTGCCAGAGAGTAAAGGATGTAGAGACAGAGAGTTAAGAACAGACACGATGGACCGTGGAGTTTGTACTTGTAGAACAGAAAGACCACGGATTCAAGTTGAAACCTGACGAGAAATAAAGGCCAGAGTCTACAGGGCGACCAGGAGTGGAATTGTGTGGGCCAATCTGTGGTTTGTTGCGTCACCGTCACCCCTTCGACCAAGCTGAGGGCAAGTGGCACAGTCACCCAGAGTGGCACCAGCTGCCACAGGCTGCAGTAATAATGCTTCCGAACAGTGTGGCACGCGTCATAATTGCAAGGCCTCGTCTTTCTGCGTCGCCCTACTAGTTACTACGGCGGTCTCTAGGCATACTAGCGCAGTCATTCCCCCGATATTCCTCCCAACCACAACTTCAAGGGAGTCCGGCTGACGGAACACAGCGTATCATCTTGAATTTGTAGCTCTCATCATCAGCTGCGGGGATCCGTTGTTGAAAACATTGCCATTGACATGGCATCGCTTTGCTTTGGTAGGATTTACAGAGCCATTGGCATGGTTAGTTTGTTGGTTTTGTCGAATCAACTCCACGATCTCAGGTCAGGGCGGGTCTACGAGACGTGACTCTCTTTGTCGACATATGTAGAATCTGAAAATAGAATTGACTCTCTGTGCTGGGTAGACCTAATACCATAGCTCTATCTCAGAGGCCATCATAAGCTGCCTCTGCTGGACGAGCCCTTTTGGCGACACGACCTAACCCCTCGTAATATGTGCAGATAAAGCTCCTCCCTCCCCGGCCTTCCCAACCTTCCCAGCCAGAATTCCTTGTGCATCCCGTCAATATTGATCCCCAGCAAAACCTGCAACATCCTCTAATACGCCGTGCATCACCAAAGCAATTGCAGAATGTGGCTGGCATGATCTCCAGCTGGATTGACGGGGTGCTCTCTTAGGATATTTGTCGTGCAGCCATTCTTTCATATTCGCGTTTCCACTAATGGAGAGGGAGGACATGTTTGCGTCTCGGAGCCTGTCGTAAGTTGCAGCGTATTTCATGCTAGGAGCCATCCGAACCAACAGCATGCTAAGCGAGGCATGTTCACACGCGTCGAAACTCTCCTTACCACTCGAACTCGCCTTGACCTTTGTGGAAAACGTACCTGTTGTCAAGACAGGTCAGTATCACAACTCCTTTTCATTATGCCAACCGGGAAGAGGAAACGAAAAAGAGGGGGGACTTACTCATTTCCTTCCACCCTCAAAATACCGTCCTTGAGGGTGCACTTCCACTTATTCTTGACCCGCTGAACCTTGTCATAGGTGCAGAGCATAACTTGGTCAGTGTTTTCTCCATTCTCCTCGTTTGCGGCCAGGTCGTCGGGATCATCCAGATCGGAGTTGATGGCATCCTCATCTTCATCCGCATCATCGTCATCGCCCGTCGCGTCGCCCTGTGCACGGCTGATGCTCGTAGCGTGAGTTATGCCCTCCGACGGAGCAAGGGCATTGAGTGTCCGAGCAGCAGCTCTGCCGGGGATTGTACGTTCATCGAGGGCCGTCAGAAGACCGCCACCTTCAAGTTCTTGTTGTTTAGCCCGCAAGTGAGCGCGCATCAGACGGTCAGCTTCAGCACCGTGAGCAGCAGCGAAAATTTTCCGTTGGGAGTATTCGGCTTCCCAGTCATCACGGGCGTCGCCTGAACCATCTGTTTGGCTTGCATTAAGAGCAGTTTGGGTCTGAGGTTTGATGTCTGCAGTATAGTCCTGGATGTCGGTGAACGCAGAAGTAGAGTCTTCCTGCTTAATGTAGTTGCCCGAAGGCGCTGCGGATGGTTGTATGGGCACACGAGGCGCGCTGCCGGATTGAAGTTGTGCAATTTGAGGACCAGCACGTTGGCCAAAACTTTGGTGAAGATTCATGGCTGCTCGATCGCGAGCTGTCAAGGGCTGACCCTGCTGGAAAGATGGTGCCTGATAAGGTTGCGGGGGAGGGGGCGCTGGCTGTGTTGGATAAGAGGTAGCATTGTTTTCGATCTTGATGGGCGGAGCAGAAGGGGGGGCCTGTTGAGCTGGCGGGGTGTTGACAGCAGTCCCATTGCTTGGGAGAGTTTGCGGCACGGGTTTTGCATTGCTGGGAACAGTGCTTTGTTCTTTGATGACGGGAGCTGGAGGGGGATCCCAAGGAAGCTGCGCAACCTTGAGACCAGAAAGCTTCTTCTGCCATTCCTGCAGGCACACTTGTCAATATACAAATCACAGCACCATGCTTAAATGGAGACGGGGCAGTGGTTGCGAAAGCCAAAAGGGGATTAGTGCCTGACACGTGGGTGGGCCGGTGTGGTGTGCAGCCGTGGCGTTCAGGGCGTATAAAAAGAGGGCTATGAGTGAAGAAGGGGGCGCCTTCAAGAACCTTCCGATCCCCGCCCTGCCTCGCCCGCTGCGCTCGCTCGCCCTCCTCCCACCCACGGCTACCGTCTGCCTGCGACAACCCTGCTGTCCCATGTTCACGCAATCGATGTTTCCATCTTTTGCTCCTTGTGCCTTTTCTTGTCACGATATTGCTGAGGTTCGGAGGGAACATTTGATGATGGACGGGAATAAGAATCGGTGTACTTTTGATGGCTGAAAATGTACTTACGGATCTCAGAAGTTCAAGAGTCGCCAACTCCACGCCACCTTCCTCAAAATCTTGCCGTGATGCTTCGCAAACATCAGTTATGACTTTGGCATAGACGTCGCCCTGGTGCAGGTGATAAACGTTAGCCTGTAGATGGACACAACTGCAGACTGCGCTCGACAGATTTGAGGTTCATTTGGCAAAGCGAAGAGACAAGGATGAAGTCGACAGGCAGATTGTGCAGGATACTTACCACCGAAGTTTTGGACATGTTGCGGCGGTGATAAGTCTGATGCCTTTCAAGATCTCTCTAGTCCACAAGCCTACTGATGCGCAACTTCGTGAGACCGAGGTTTGGAGTCAGGTGTAGATGTCGTGATTGTGAGGAATCAGTGTCTAGACAAGCTGGGGATGCCGAAGACTGAAAGTCTCTTGGCCGCGGCAGGTCGGGATATTGCTGCAATTCACCTCCTACTCATCATTGATAGCACATCCAAAGATTCACAAAAGTCTTCCTCAAGTAAATCTCAAGAACTTGGAATGAAAGTGAAGTCAATCTAGCGAGGTGGAATGTGAGGTGGTGAATCAGGTGTGACGGCAAGTTCACAAGAGCAAGAGAAGAGATGACCCCGTCGCCCGCAAACAAAGGCTTGGCCTGGCCACTGGGTAGTGGACACTCCCACCCAGACTTATTTCTGGGGGTCTCTTGCGCTCTCTTGCTAACTGGGCACGCCAGGCTAGTTAAGCGGCTCTGCCTAGACCTAGTAATACTCACCTTCCCTAGCACCAACCACGGATAACTCGGCGGTCATCAACCACCTTAGCTATACGGAGTAGAGAACTGTGATGAATACTGGTCTTTCTCTCGAGTATCAGTCATCGCCATCTAGTTCCTCATTGCCCCTTTGAGATTGCCTGCGATCATGGCATTTAGGCCCGCCCTCATTGTGGTCGACATGCAAAATGATTTCTGTCCTCCCGTATGAAAAGACTTGCACCACGTTTTCAATTCACCCTTGGTGCTGATATGTATAGGACGGCTCACTTGCAGTCTCGGGAGGGCGAGAAATTGTGCCCTTGATCAACCGCCTCCTTGAATCGCCGCATTTTGTCTTGAAAGTGGCCACGCAAGACTGGCACCCAACTAACCATGTATCATTTGCGACAAATCACTCTGCTCCTGACAACAAACCCTTCGAGTCTTTTGTCACCGTGCGTAATCTGGTTGGCAACAAACCAGACGAGACGATGCAGCAAAGACTGTGGCCCGTTCACTGTGTGCAAGGTACGAAAGGCGCTGAGATCATTCCAGAAATCAATCTCTCCGATATACGCTTCACGGTCCAAAAAGGCCAGGATCCAGGGGTCGAGATGTACTCTGCCTTCTCAGACTCTTTTGGCAATTTGACATTTGGTGCTGGAGGGGTGAGTCACGACCTTGCGAAAGAACTGGCCGCTGAAAACATATCTCACGTCTATGTTGTCGGCCTTGCCGGAGACTATTGTGTCAAAGACACTGCCCTTGGATCGGCAAAAGCAGGGTTCACTACATATGTTATAGAGGAAGCCCAAAGATGTGTGGATCCCAGCACATGGATGAATGTCAGGGACGCTCTGGCACAGGGCTCTGTGACTGTGGTCAGTGTCGACACCGAAGAGGTTCAACGAGTCCTCGGCTCCTGAAGTCAATCTCAATGTGTCACTGAACTCGACCCCAGGATGACAGAAATGGAGCAGTATGTCTCCTCAGCTCGTCTCCCTTCACGTACTAACCCTGATCAGACTACAAGCAGCATTCAGAGAAGACGATTTGTTCAAATTGTGCGTGCCTTTGCTCAAAACCTTGGTAGGGGCACTGGTTCCACGGCCATTCATAAGCACTCACTCGCTATGCCAGAGTTAGACACATACAGTCTTGCCAGCTCCATGCCATCATACGTACTGACGCGGGCGACTCTGCCATCCGCGGAGTTACGTCCGTCGTTTCTTTTGCTTGTTCGCCCGAGACTCTCCAAGCTGCAAGCAGATATGGAAGAAATGGGTCTCTTTATGCATTTCCAAGTCGAGTTGGGTTACGACCCTTGTTTCCTGAAGTTATCTTGCAAGCGGGCAATGCTGTCTATTTTGATGAGTATCAGCGCCTCATTTTGACAAGGCCCGAGCATCTAAGGGGTTTGGTGCTTGGGCGGGACCCCTGAACGCTCTGTGCTGGCCACGTCAAATACCTACTAGTCCACACGCCGACGACCATAATGATAGGGTCTCACTTCCCTTAATGTTCTTTCCATTGCTTTCTGGGCTTCAACGGATGGATATGGCATTCCTGTTGTCCCCTACCCCTAGTGTCTTTTTCACAAGTCCTTGCCGAACAAGGCGGCGCACAGCCTGCACTGTAGCTGCAAGAAGTCGCTGCCATACCTCGGATATACAAGATACACGAACCAATGCTTGAAGAGATTCCGAGCATCCACAATGTGGTCGCAGGGTAGGTTCTTGATGGGACACTGTAGCCAATCATGCAGAGTTATGGATCTTCCAGTCGGTGTTGCTCATTCGTGGCACTTGGTCGCCATGATTTTGCCATCTCACCATCCCAGATCTGCCATTCACGTTATAATACCAGAACAATAAGACACAACGAGGTTAGCAAAGTGCCATTGGTGGAGAATAGTGCGATTGGGAGACGACAATGCCACACTCGGTCCATCCTACGCCTCGGGAAAATACGCCAGACACAGGCAAAGAGCAAGACCTGTCGAGACTTTGGTGGAATCGCAATATACCAAGTCGTCAGTGGACAGCAGATTGTCCGCAATACTTGGTCGGGCAGAGTGAGAAGAACATTGGGATCTTAAGCCGCAAAGATGAGGAGTTCGCACGATTTACGTGGCAACAAATTGAAGAGCTAGTTCGTAAGTCTCCCTTTTCATGAAGTTGCGAGTGTCGTGAGGGCACAACACCAGCAGAGGGCGACATGCATGCAACATCAGCTACAACGATGGTACCTAACACGTTTCACTCGTCCAAGGGACGAACAATATCCACCTTTTCCAGCGGCCATCAAGCCAGCTGCGGAGCTATCTTGCCTATGTTTACCATCTCAAGGAGACCTACGGCTCAGTTCTACTATATATCCAGCAACATCGCGTCCATTGGCCCACGATCAGTCGAAGTGGAGATCCGCCATTCAGCAATCCCTCCGACTACAAGATTTTGTACAACGACTGGCCGTACTTTGTCGAGCAGGGGATACAACATCTCGTGGTGTGGACGAAATTTCCCATCGATGAGGTTGAAGAGACGGGAGAAGTGACTCCGGAGGCGAAGATGCAGATCGAAGAGTTCATTAAGAGGACATTCTGCGAGGTGAAAGGGGGGGAGAGGATAGAGAGGGAGAGGATCGTGTGGTTCAAGAACTGGAAGAGTCTGAAAAGCGTGCATGCGTTAGGTAAGTTGAGCTCGTCCCAGCCAGCTGAGGCCGTAGGCGTGATGAGGCTTTGATCGTAGCTAACTGAGACGTTCACAGAGCATTTCCACATCATGCTGTATCAGCCCCCAGAGGAACTCATTGAAGCTGTTACAGAGGGGGATCGGCCCATATGTGAAAGCTGGATGGCAGAGAACGGTGCTCTGTAGATTCAAGCAACGGCGTCACTGGTTAGCAACTCCAATCTGGTCGGATAGATAGAATATACTTGCATCGGAAGGACAGGAGCCAGTATGCACACGATGTGCATTAAATAGACGGGGAAACCATATTTTTTACGAGGAACCAGAGACTCGGGAATTAATTGGTGCCGGTTCCAGGTTTTCCCATTCATCTTTCTTTGGATCTTGCAGTTTGCGGCATGTGGATGACGCAGCATTTTTGCTTTGGTTCAGGGTCTCCACTTGTGCTCAGAAACCCGCAGCGGCTTGTCCAGTGAAGAATGGTTCGCATGCACGAAAGAAACTGCAAATTCCCCTCGAAAGTGGAAACAGGCATCTTTTTTAGACCTCTTTACTCATCGTGCCAGCTGTGTCACCAGATTCCTCCACGGTCATCACCGAGCTCTTCACTCTGTCTCTTCTACTGCCTCAGTTGACCACCGAACAGTGTGGCACTCGAGGGCCTTGTTCGTATCTGTCGCGCAGGAGACTTGACCTTTCGCCCCCCGCCGTATCCGACCCTCCACGACGTCATATCACAACTGCCCATTTCTTGCTCTACCACCTGTACCTCCTCCATTGTACCGAATCATCCCTCGTGCATGAGGGCGGGCAATGGACAAGATGAAGCACTCAATAGGTGGCGCGCTGCGTAATCGCAGTGAGTCGAAGAGTATGGTCATGCCCCTCTATGCGCGATCGTTGCCTCAGGCTGACTTGAAGATTCCAGGCAATCGCTCTTCTTCAGAGGACACACGCGAAGCCGCGGATGAGGACACTATGGTTATCGAACCCGAACAGGGAAACAGTGAGATTGATCTTACGATACCTGAGGAGAAGGCCGTGCTAACAACGAACATCAGTCCTGTTACACATTATCTCACAACTGCGCCCTGGCGCCGACCTGTCCAGAATCACCCTCCCGACCTTCATCCTCGAGGAAAGATCAATGCTAGAGAGAATAACAAAGTAACGCGTTCGTCCGAGGGAACAAGTACGATCAAAAGCTTACGGGGTGCTTCTAGTTTTATGGCCCATCCTGATACCCTTCTCCCGATGCCTTCTATCGACGACCCGATTGAACGATTTATCTCGGTTGTCAAGTTCTATCTGAGTGGCTGGCATATCAGACCTGCGTACGACATCCTACAGTGCCGTATCTGACAACAGAGCTGATTATTTGCTAGTGGTGTCAAGAAACCCTTGAACCCGATCCTCGGGGAAGTGTTCACCTGCTGGTGGGAATATCCAGACAAGACGCGAGGTTACTATATTTCGGAACAGACGTCCCATCATCCCCCAAAGTCGTCATATTTCTTCATGGCACCGCACCACCATATTCGGGTTGACGGTACTTTGAAGCCTCGCAGCAAGTTTCTCGGCAACTCGGCGGCTAGCATGATGGAAGGCATATCATACTTGAGATTCACAAACCGAGGAAAGTCCAAGGGTGGAGAAAAATAGTACGTTTGACTCCTCAAATTTCCCTGGAGGCGTTTCTAACCTCAGCAGCATCCTAACGCAACCCAACATGTACGCCCGTGGGATTCTTTTCGGTAAGATGAAGTACGAGCTGGGCGACCATTCCTACGTGCGATGTCCGGAGAATGGGCTGGCAGCAGATATTGAATTCAAAACCAAGGGTTGGGTTGGGGGCACCTACAATGCTATTGGAGGGGTTATCAGAAATGAGCGAACTGGAGAAGTCCTCTATGAATTGTCAGGATACTGGTCCGGGGAGATGACGATCAAGAATACCAAAACCGGACAGAAAAAAGTGCTCTTTGACGCCACACATGCCAAACATGCCCCTCCTTTGACCCGGCCAATTGAAGAACAGGGCGAACGCGAATCGCAAAGACTTTGGAATTCGACGGTGCAGGCAGTGCACGCGAGGGACCATGAAGTTGCTACAACCGAGAAAGCCAAAATTGAAGATCGGCAGCGAGAAGAGGCCAAACGAAGAGAAGAACTGGGTGTTGAGTGGAAGCCCAAATTGTTCCGGCGGGTGGATGCACGGCCTGGATCCCCTGAAGAAGGCGAGGAGGATCTGGAGTGGATCATTAATGCGCATTTGTGAGTTTCTTTACTGCTTCGTCCTTGGTCTTGACTAACAGCCTTATTAGGGATCCCAAGGCCTCGCCGGATGAGCTTGTGGAAAAAATTCTCTCCATAGCGCCTATACTTCCAGGCCAAGTTGCAACCTCCGACCAAGAAACGAGGCGCCACTCTCTCGTGCAGAATGAACATGGCTCTCATCAAGCAGGAGGTCATCTGCACGCCTCTGACAATCTGATTGATTTCGATTCCCGGCCCCCAAGCACAGCGCCGCCGGAGAAACATTCGACACAAGGGAACTCACAATCACAACATACTGAACAGCAAAAGACGGCGAATTTGATGGATGATGACCATGAAGAAATGTCTCATATGAATAACCAAATGTCGAAAATGAACATGCACGAGGCAATGGTACCAGAAGGCCAAAAACCACTGAGAAGGGCAGACACAGACACTAGCGAGGTGGATCTGTTTGTTGATGCCGAAAGCTGAGGGTTCAAGATATGAGGGCCGTTGAGAAAGTGATGTGGTTTGACATGCCCGTGCCTTCTATAAAGTTGCCAGGAGAAAAGGACCCAGGTCATCCTTGTCCATCTCCATCTCCATCTCCATCGACAAACGATCTCCACGATAACGAGAATATAGAGGGTCAGTGGTCCGGGTTGTTCAAGGCTGACAGGCGCCGAGAGCATGTTCTAGAGCGCACCTACAGTGCAGCAGAAGCACAAGACCCCTAATGCATTTTATGAAGGCTGAGCTGGCATACAAGTTCGGTGTAGCTTTCTTGTGAGCTCTTGTCTTCCAACTCTGGGTGCTATGCCACGTACCTGCGTCCAGGAGCCCGAGTATTGCCGAAGCCCGAGCGACCCCTAGCAAATCAAATGAGGTGGATTAGCTCGTGTCAAGACTAATTAGAGGTGCCTAAACTTCTCTGGGGTAAGCGCCTTGCGGAGGATAAAGACACCTTGGGGACAATCAGCAGGTGCGGGGAAAGCCTTGGGACTCTCGCCTGACGCCTAAACCACCCTTGGACCTCCCTCGCTCCCTCCCTGCCAGCCTTCGGTGCTCGGTAAATGCAACAACCTTGGAACGTTTCATGTGATGGCCCTTGCGCAGCCCGGTGAGTGGGAAGGTGCCATTAAGCTGCATGCCAGAAAGGGCGGTCGCAAGGGGACGCAAGCCACCCAGTAGGTAGTAGTATAATAACCGGCGCACCGACTTCGGTTCAACTTCATCTTCGACCTCCCTTCTTCCTCGTACACTGAGACTCTTCCCCCTGTTTACCTTATCACGCAGCCCTTCTCCTGCATAGCACTGTGGAATCCCCCGCCTTCAATTAATTCGTTCAGTCCCTGAACACTGTTCCTCCGCGCCTTGCTCAGTCTATCCCGGAACCTGCGCTACACATTGCCGAGCGTCTCTTCGACTTCAGAAACCAACACGACAACAATCTCTCAATAGACTACGCTCGACTCTTCACCAAACGCGTGTTTTTGCTACAAGTCGGCTTATCACAAATCTCCACAACTCAGTCCACTGCGCCCACTTGTCCCCTCGATTATCGAACAGCCAGCGGCCCCATACTTCCACTCTTCAACACCGCCTCGCAGCAAAGTAAACAGAATCAACAAACCCATAACAATGCAGACCCGCACAATCCTCGGCGTGGGTGCCCTTCTCGGTGTCGGTGCGTTGGCAGTCACCCAACTGTCCATCCAATCACAGGACCGCCAGTACAAGAAAACTCTCCAATACATGCACGACGGCAGGGAGAAGATCCAGGACCGCATGAATCAGATGGCCAACAGTGTGACTGGAAAGAAGTAAATCCATAGCAGCCACTGATAACACTGGGAAATGAGATGGCGGGGAAATAACCAAACCGAGAAGGGCGCTGAGGTGAAGAATAGTATCGGGAAGTTGAGCTGCGTACAGCAAAGAGTTAGTATTGAGTTAGTCGGAGGGAGCCGGTGGTCACATAGACATGAGCTACATGGCATCTTTTTTTTCTCACGGTCAAAGTCATACATACTCGTATCAAACTGTGTTGCGACAAGGGAGCGACATGACAAGTTGACAGCATTTGCGTACCAGCACGGATATGGGTTCTCTGTACCATCCACAAGACAATGCAGTTTCAAATCCCATATCTCCTATTTTCTCGACCTAGACTCCGTACTCCTCCCATCCATCTCAATTGGATCCATTCGCGCGAGACGCATACATCCTCACTCAGTACTGTACCGGACCACAGAAAAACTCCTGTTGTGTGCATGCATGCATGCATGAGTACCTAGGTATGCAATGTGATGTTCTTGGTACTCGTACTTCATTGGCACCCTTCTCCTGATTCAAACTTTCCTAATGTCCTGAATACCCTGGTAGCCTGGTAGCCTGGCAACCGGGTCGCTGGGTCGTATCCATGTACGGAGTACGGAGTATTGAGAACAGAGTACAGAGTATCCATGTCGTATCAGAACCAGACACTGGTCTGGGGCCGGAGACGTTCAAGAGGGGATATGTGGAGAAGACAAGGCTATGCATACCATGTTGTGCTATGCTGTGCTATGCAGACAACTGTATACCGAGTATGGACGCCTGAAAAGGGTCGAGGGATACACCGTTGGTCAATGCTCGCAATGCAATGTACTCGGAAAGGTAAATGTAATACAACACAATACAAGGCAACATAGCATAGCACAGCATAGCATAGGACAGGAAAAGACAACATAGAGTCCTCAATTCATGTTCCCTTTTCGTCGTGTCTCTCACGAGTCCTCGTCCTCTGTCTCGGTATCCGTCTCGGAAGTGTCGCTGTCATCATCGTCACCATCGGTGTCACTTTCGTCGTCGTCATCGCTTGCTTCTTGGGTCGTGTTGGCTTGAGTCTGCGCCACAGGGATCCCTTTCGTGTCGGCAGCCACAGCCTTCTTCTTTTTCTTCTTCGGTGTCACTGGGGAGCCGGTCAGGCCGCCGGATTTCATGGCTTGGAGTTGACCCGCGAGAGAATCTATATGGTAAGAAATTGTTAGCATTACTCTTCTGGTGTCTGCAGTTTGTGACAAAGGTCGGGTTGAGATACATACCTTCCTCGGGTTCGCTAATGTCGTCGTCACTCTCGACCACTTCAGCTTCCTTGGGGTCTCTCACGTCCAATACCACGTCTACCTTCTCGTCCAGCCCGATGTAACTATCACACACCAAGTGCATGACAAACGGAAAGGCGTGGACCTGGGGCGGTGCCTGGAAGGGACATTTCAAAGTGACGACGTTAAAAGTGGGTTTACCAGTGTCCGGGTGAAATATGGGTCGGTCGAAACTGGTAAATGTAAAGGGGGGCACAGAAATACGGCCGGTACGTGCTTCTGAGAGAAAGACGTGCCATCGAGGAGCGTGATCTGCAGCAAAATAGGGTGCATGCGCCAGAGGCGGTTGTACACTTCCTTCTTTGGCATCATCCTCCACGTACGAGCCATCGGGGAGTTTCTTTCTCTTCGACTTCGCCGGTTTCCGACCGTGCAAGGCATCTAGATCTCCTTCATCCGGATCAATGTCCTCGAGATCCAGTGGGTTGATTGGGGGAATCTCCTTTTCTGGTGTTCCGGGAGGAATGACGCGGGCTTTGATCACGAGCTGCACCAAAGAGCCAGGTGTGACAACGCGCTCGCCAACGACTTTGAAGAAGGCCTTTGCGATGACAAGATGGGGTATTTGAGCCGCCACCGCCATTGCTTGGTTGTATTGTTCATCCGAAAGATCAGAGCACAGCTGTCTTCGTGTTGTGGACGGGAGAGACATGAACTTTTGAAATGTCATTGGCAACTTTGAGGACTTGACGATCTTGTCGGCGATTGCCGGTGTGAAGTTGGGAAGTTGGAGAATTGCTGAAGCCGAGGGCGGAACGGCTTGGATGATGTTCTGTGAGGTGTGGTAGGATGCTAAGAGGGGTTTCACCATGCCAAATGGCAGAGTTATTGATGCAAACGAGTTGTTCAACAAGAGAGCGGTTGGGGCGACATCGAACTTCTCTTTCTCCAGCTCGGGGTCGTCCAAGTCGATCCGAGCCAGGTAGGCCCAGAGAAGGGCAAGTGTTTTCCGTCGCACTGGGTCGTCGATGGCTTTCAATCGTTCCTTGTCTGCTTCTGTAAGGGCAGAACTGCTGAGGACTTTGCTTTCCACCTTTGCAGCACCAGCATCACTCCTGGGTCCTTTCAGAGTCTCTTTAAATTCTTCGCCGACACTGGTGGCTGCCACGACGGCGCCCTCTGATAAATCTTCCTTCCACTCTCGGAATAGATTGCCAGCGCTGGCATGGAGGACTTTATCTTTTGTGAGGGCCTGAGTTCCATACCACCACTTCCCCAACGTGTAGGGTAGAATGATTCCAAGAAGGATGCCGTAGAAGGCGACCACAAACCAGCGATTGCCCTCTTCGACCATCCACTTGGGCAATGCGATGCCGATACTCGTGGACTGCTTCCCATCGGGGTTGCCATATTGTAGATAGTTATTTCTGATCTCGTCATCCGTCAATGCTTTGTATGCCTTTGTCATTTCCACCCAGCGATCGTTCACGTCGTCCATGGTTTCATTCTTGGAGGCATCGGGCTTGGCCTTGTCAGGATGGAACTTGAGCGATAGCCTCTTGTAGAATTTGTCAATTTCCCGCTCCGACGCACTCTGTCTGCTTGTCAGCATCTGTCTGTCGCAACAACCCACATTCTTCAACGTACCCTTGACACACCCAAGATATCGTAGGGATCCCACATCTTGGGGACCGTTCTCTGCGTGACGATGATCAAGTATATCATGTAAGCCATGAATGTATAGCCCGCGATCACCGCTATGATCCTTTTTGTCTTGCGATTCTGCCTCTTTCGTCTCCTCCTCTGCGCCTCGATGATGTCAACATTGTGAGGTTTGAAATCTGACTTTACTCGGGTGGCGGTTTGCTCGAGGTCTGTGGATGCTTTGAGGACGTTATACGTGAGAGGAACCGTGACCAAGCCGGCCATGGTCAGCATGAAGAACGGGAAGAATTGACCCTGGTCATCGTAATTGTATTCGGAGGACATGGTGACCTGACCTGGGTGCGCAAGCCGCTTGGGGCTGCGCTGTTGGACTGTTCTGGGTTATCGATGACCTTTGGCAATGCAATGGGCACTGATGAGATACAGTTGTCAAAAGAAAATGGTACACAAGGGCAGTGAGTGACGAATTGGCTAGGGAAAAGGAAAAGTTGTCGTAGAGTCGCAGTGGCTCGTGCGTCCTTTCAACTCCGCAAAAATGGTCGACGCGAGAGGTGGCTTCAACTTTCTCCAAATCGGCGCTAAGGGAAATCCCCTCAGCCTCGTCAGGGGGCGAAAAGGGGCAGTTACTTTCTGTTCTTAACAGGGTTCATTTTTCTAGACACTAGATATCTAACTCGCTATAACAGCAGAAACGAAACATCCTGCATCTTATGTCGTCTTCGAGCGATTTAATCTCGCAGAATCTCAGAATATATGCATATCTGGACTACCTGCCCAGCTGAACATCCAGCCTGTCCTACTTTTGGGTTTGCTTTTTCTAGACACAAAAAGTGATGGAGTAACCTTCTCGGCGCCATCACGGCGCCAGGAACGTCCCCCTCAATTTCAACGCGAAGAATCAAGTATGCCCTGTCACCACTCCTGCGCACTAAATTCTGGAGGGAATAGAAAGATGAAGAGCACCGCAACAGCTAAGGCTTCTGCCCGTCCTTTCCCAAATCCCCCAAACTTTGAAGCTTCGAGGTCTTGCATTTGATTTCCACCCAGGGTGTCGCTCTTTGACAATAAAACTCGATCTCAGGGTCCAGACCCTTCAGTCGCTCTTCTCCCGTCAACATCGCATGCTCTGCCCCAGATCCGGCCCCGAGCGGTCCATCAATAGACCCGGCCGGCAACGAGATCATGTCCTGAAAGTTCGAGGTGGAGCAGTACAGCGGACTACCACATCTGGCGCAGAAGTGGCGGTTGACCGTGCGACCCGAGTCGGAGCCTTTGTCTGCGTAGGTAGTCATTTGTGGTGGTGGGATGATGGCGTTGTCGGGCCTGAGGTCCAGAGCGGAGCGCGGAAATAGGACGTTGGCCATGAAGACCGAGCCAGACCATTTTTTGCAGGCGTCGCAGTGGCAAATGATGCTCTTGACGGGCTTTTTGAGGACCGTGTATCTCCAGGCCCCGCAAAGACAGGAACCGGTCAGGGTTTCGGCTGGATCGCTCATGGTTTTATTGGTTGGAGTGTCGTCGTCGTCGTCGTTGTTGTCGGACTAACGGTGAGATAGATGGAAGTTCTTGTCTTGGAGAACAAAAGATAGGTGGTAACAGGAAATATGGGTGCTGTTGTTGCAGGCGATGCAAGGAGGAAGATTTACTTCTGAGTCACGCGACCAGGCAGCCACCACACCTTCTCGGTTACAGAAGGAATTGAGGACTAGATATATTAATTGGCAGTCACAGATTGTGAGACAGGCACAGGGACGGTGAGAAAGCATGCCGAAAGGGACTTTCAATCCGAGATGTTGGTAGAGGCTTCAATATACGCTTGAAGAAATGGAGCGGCTGGCTATTCCAGCACGCCCTCCATCCTCGAACTTTTTCGACACTTCAACTCAGGATCCAGTTCTCTAAACTCGGTACACTTACAAACTTTGACAAATTCCCGGGATACCACAGCTCCGTCTTCATTCCCACAGGGTATAGGTCGTCCTTAGGCGCCATGAGGAAGACGTAACTTCCCTCCGACAAACAATGGACGCCAAAACGTCCCTCGTCATAGTGTCGCTCTGCCGAACCAGATACTCCTCCGAAGACATAATAACCCAAAAGCTTTCCAGATGCCGCATTCCGAATTCCGAATTATTTTGTGATCGCGACGATATTAAATGGCCTCACCTCGTCTGACGCGTTTGGAAACCCGGCGACTTCAATCTTAACCGGGATGGACTTCACCTCAATGGTACTCATGGAGGTTTTTTCTTTTGTTTGGCTTGTTTCTTTTGAAGAGCCTGTTGTCGCTCCAACTCTGCTCTTCGTCGTCTGGCCTCTTTTCTTGCCTGAGCCTCCTTCTTTGCCTGGGCCTCCTTCTTTGCCTGGGCCTCCTTCTTTGCCTGGGCCTCCTTCTTTGCCTGGGCCTCCTTCTTTGCCTGGGCCTCCTTCTTTGCCTGAGCCTCCTTCGCTTGTTGTCGAATCGCTAGTTTCCTTTGCCGAACCGCCTTCTTTCGCTGAGCCTTCTCCGCTCGCTTTCGATTCGCTTCTTCCCTTTCTTGAGCCTGCTGTAGCTCTAGTTCCGCCTTCTTTCGCCGAGCCTCTTTCTCCAGGGCTTTCGCTTCCTTTTTACTTGGCAGTGGCAATATACCGTGCTGGCTTTGCGCCAAGGATTCTCCTGTCGTGCTTGTCTCAACGACCGCCTTTCTTTTCGCGGATTTATTATTGGCATCATGAGGCAAAAGAGATCTGGAGAATGTGTCCCACTCGTTGGTTTCATTGAGGGGCCAGATCTGATATTGAAAGGCGGCCGCTCCCTTGATTGTCGGGTGGACATAGCAGATCTGGACGGCCCTTGCTCCCCCAAAGGCTCCTTTCAAGATCGGTTCTTCTAAGCATCGATAGTTGGACCACACTCGCCGACTGTAAATGTCTGGTGGTGGCTTCGTTAGAACAATTGCTTGTCGGCCACCACGACCTGTATATTCTGCAAATCGACCTGAAGCTCCTTTCATATACTTGGACCACGCATTAGAAGACTTGCCGTATCTCGCGCCTCCAACATCGCGATCGCTATATAACGGGCCCATAGCAATGATTAGTGTCTGTAGTCCGTGTTGACTGGCCCAACGCTGGGCCAGCTCAGGGGACAAGCCGGTCCAAAACACCAGGCAGCGAGCATCTCGTAATGCGTGGTCAAACCGTTCGTCGAGACGAGATAGTTCTGTTGGACTCAAGTAATCCAATGGGTCCCAGGCATCAAATGGAAGAGGGTCTGCCATCCCTGTGAGGGTACCATGCTGACGAACTACGGTTCGATGCGGCGTCGAGATCACAAAAGAGTCGAAGAATACCTATGTATGCTGTTATAAGTAGGTTGGCAATCAGCTGAAGGTGCACGATTACCCCACTTCGAGAGGAGTCGAAGGGGGGTTTGCGTAGCCTTTCATTGGATACGCTGGCACGGTTGAATACTTTATGTACCAGAAATTCTGGTGACGTCAGTGATAAAAACGAACAAAGGAACCAGCTCGTCAGATACATCCCTTGCCTTTCAGAGTTGGCCAGGTGCGAAACATATGGCTTGGCGTTATGTTCACCCGCGGCAAGGCTGTACGGAGTATGTAGATCTGGGGTGGGTCTGAGATGATGGCTCTAATTACAACGAGGTAAGAGAGTTTTAAAAGCGGCATATCAGGAAAGCCAAGGCACCAAAGTCCCTAGCGATGTAGCTTCTCTTGAAACTCTATGCCAGGCAACAACCATTCCAACATCAACAACTACCTTACTCACAAGAACATTCCTCTCTTTGCGAAGCCATCGGGACACGGCTTCTCATCACCTGAAATCCTGCTGTCTGGATTCGAGAGATGATGCTTGACGCCGCTCGTGACCGAGCCATCGAAGCACTATGCGATATCCGCCAACACAGATCATTCATTCTCCCTGCCTCGGCGATTCCCAACGGTGAGCGGGATCTGCGAATCACCTATTCAGACCTTGGATACGATCCGGACAGTGACGAAGATGCCGATCCAGATCCATGCATCGTCTTCTTCATCGGCGGCCTCTTGGGTGGACGCTACACGCTCTGTCGCTCCGCCAACATTGCTCGACGGCTCAAGATCCGCATCATTTCCATGGACAGGCCAGGCCTCGGTGGCTCTACCCGGGTCCCCGTGGAGCAACGTGTGGCGGTCCAGGTCGCCGCAATTCCTGCTCTGTTGAGTCACTTGGGCATCAAACATGTCACGCTGGCCTCCCACTCTGGAGGCGCACCATATTTGTTCGCAACTCTTCTAGCGCATCGTGGATTACTGCATCCCAAACACCCTCACGTCGTTTTACTCTCACCATGGGTGCACCCGAAAGACGGCGGTGCGCGGTTGATGCAGGTTGCCGCGATGCTACCGCTTCAGGCGGTGGGCAAGTTCTCATCGTGCGCAAGAGCGGTCAATCGCACTTTTGCATTCAGCTCAGGGTTTCGCAGGGGACCTTGGAGCAAAGCAGCCACTGTTGTCGTGCCCAAGACTGGAGAGGTTGATGAACAGAAGGACAGCAAGCCTGCCATGGAGAAAGCCGTTCTGACTGAAATGGAGGGGCTAGCAGTCACGTACATGTTCGCTGAAGATATCGAGGGCTCCTCGGACGATGCCATCCTATTTCTGCGAAAGCACGTGTACCCAGTCACTGCCACTGGAGATCCCGGCACTGTGCAAGGCAAAGACTGGCTTGATAGTCGGACCATTGCGGACGCCGTTATCGAGCAAGAGAAGCGTCTTCACGATAGCACGGCCGGCTCAGTCAACCTTCAAATCGACGCTCTTCATTCCGAAAAGGACATTATGATTCGCCCGAGTGGCTCGAAGCACTTTGATGACTGCTGGGCCAGCGTGGCTTCGCCGTCAACAGTGGGCTTCAGCTCCAAAATCATCAAGGGTGCCACTCACGATTCCATCCTAGACCCTATCCAAGGTGGCATTGAGACTTGGCTTCAGTGCGTGGCTCAGCGATGGTACACTTGATTGGACATCTTTCAAAGCATCCCTCTTTCCGCTACCAAGCGAAAGGTCAGCCTAGGGCGTACTGAATACAGATGCCCTGGGAATTGCCTCTTGAAGAGGGTCTGGAATCTGATCCACTTGGAGGGGATGTGCATTCTCTCCGTGCTAAGACTCGGCTCGAGATCTGAGGCACGCCGACGGGCGGGGATTGACAATTGGTATGGAAAGACCCCAATTGGGTATCATGCCGGTCCGACAAACATCACGCCAAATCCGCCTGCTTTCGCCTCATCCCACAAGCCACGATACCATGGCTACAGTCCGGAGCGCCAGTTCTGACCTGGAACTGCTGGGACCTCAGACTCCATTGGTGGGGAGGGTGGGCCCGGGATTGAGCCTCACAAGGCATACCTGAACAAAGACCTGGTGTGCATGGCAGCTAACCATTTTGTCTTCCCATCTCCTCAACGCGATAGAGAAAAAAAGTGTCCGATATTCATTGGCCGCTCCCCATCGTTGGCCTTTCTCACCATTGAACTCAGCCTTTGTTCCCGTTGGAAGCGAGGGAAAGCGATTGGACACGGTGAACAGCCAGAATTGAACCCCTGATGGTTCAAGTCTTCAAGCCAGAGACAGCCTCTCTCGTCTTGCTCTCCCGCTAGTACGCTGCGCTCGAAATCGTTCGAGGCACAGCCTCACGTGTCAACTTTCGACGACTTTCGACAGCTCCGCCTGAGCGCGGATAGCTAGTGGTTCAAGCTATGGCAAAGAGGTGTAAACCCGTAATCAGGCTTGTGGTCGAGGATTTCTTTGGTTTATCTCTTGAGTGGCGCACTCATCCGTCTTGGTCTTTTCGAGACGCCGGGTTGACACACAGCAATTTCTTCTAGAGGGCTTCGCATCCACGGCGAGGGGGACTTTGAGGCTGTGAGCTGGCTGTCCATTTTCCTATCACTGCACTTCCATGAGTTTCCCTGTCATTTGTCAGGGCTCGCGTAACTAGGCCCCGGACTACAACCGCCCAATGACCACGATCCTTGAAGGGAGGTCACGGCAGTCAAAGTGTACCTAACACCAATGGAATACCATCACAAGTGCGGGTGACTCCTAAAGCGACATGATCCCTGTTGCATTCACCGGTCAGAGGCCTGCAGATGAGCCCCTGCATCCGGATTGGTAGATATATATCAGAGCTAATAACCGAGTCGGTTCAGACTCCAGGAAAGGTATTCAACTTGGCGGGGGATGAGCAATGTTAGAATATCGACTTTCCCCGGGTCTTCTCATATCTTCCCTTTCCTCGTCGGCTTTTCTCTTCTCTCGCGAGATAACATTTCGGTCGTCACTGGTTCGATACCTTGTCAATGGAGGTTGCTGGCGCCGTGCCTGCCATCCTAACCATAGTGATAGAGTTCGATCACATTTACAAGAGGCTTCGCCGCTGCTCTCGATGCCTTAAGTACGCCAAAGACGATGTCAATGACATCCGGGACGAAGTTGAATCCTTTGGCATGCTCCTCACTCTGTTCCACAGCACCCTCACAGACGAGCGCTGGGGCGATGAAGGTCTGTCCCGGAAAATCAAAACGACCAACATAGAGCAACACATTGTCAAATCAGGGAGAAAAGCGTTGGCCAAAATTAAGACCATGTTAGAGGGACTTGATCCACTGCGAAGAGACAAGGAGTACCCAGCAATCCAGCAATGGTATGCCCGCTGGAAATGGTACACGCAGAAGGAGGAATGGTTACCAGTTCACACTTTGCTCAATTCCATCAAGGGAAGCGCCAATCTGCTCATTTCAATCGTCCATTGCCATCACTTTCTTCAATCGCGCGAGCAGCTGGATGCTGAAAATAAAAAGATCCCCGGTGAGCTGAATGAACGAATGTAAGTCGACTGATTCTATCAGCTTCGAGGGATCAGCGGTGGATGCTGATTGCGTTATCACAGTTCCCTGTATGCAAGTCAGACCCGAACCATGATGTCGAACTGCAAGAAGACCGAAAGAATGCTCAGACGGATGCAAGCCCAACCGGCAGATGTGTTGCGCCTGGCTAAAGAAATTGTCGAACTGTCGTTCAGTTTGGCACGGTCTCATATCGAAGCGTATCCTCAATTGGAAGCGGTCCTTACTCACGATAAGATTCTGTCTGTCGTCGCCAGCAACTCAACGGCATCGAGGAGTTCTGATTTCTCCCGCAACTCTAATCACATCATAGGGCCTTCAAATTCCGGCAGCCCCAGAGAGTCTCGATCGGGAGACTCTTCAACATATGTGCTAGTTTCTGAAAGGTCTCAAGATGACACAGCTGGCGGCCCTGTTGCCGGAGTTCCTGTAAGTCTTTTCAGTTGAGTCATTGATAGAGGGAAAAAATTAACATTGGGAGCCAAACGCACCAGGAACCATAATTCCACCGGGCAGAGCCTCTACATCGACATGCTCGATTCTAGATCCCGACTCTGGCACCTCTGATGTACCATCACCAGCTTCGACTGTAGCTCGTCATCGCCCTGAGGGCTCTGTTCCAACCGCCTTATGGGGTCCACCGATACCGAACCCACGTCCAGCACCCCACCCCCAGGGATCAGATGCAAACCTTGAAAAGCGGACGGTGATTGTCGATGATGGTCATAGTAGTATTCGTGAGGAATTCCGTCTCCCAAAGAGGGATCCAGGATCATCTCAATCTGGATGAAGATTGTGGGACATGACTGCTTTTGCACTGTTCCCGAAAGTGAAAGGGACGGAAAGGGGTAGGGAGACCTCGGGATGTTGAGGGATTCGGGAAGCTGGCGCCCCATTTTTGTTCTCTCTTCTGAAATTGAACCATTGTAGCACGAATAGTTTTTGTATGTTGATCCTTGTACGAATGTAGCCAGCGCCTGGGGTGCCTAGGTAGCGAGGTAGGCACCTAGGTAGGCAGTACGGAAGAACGAGGGTGGGGAAGGGGGATTAGTTTCCTCCCTAAAATGGCCCTCGCGCTACGGGTGCTGCCTGCGCGGGCAGGCGGGCCGGATCTGTTGTGCATCTGTCGCCGGATATTGTATCCATCAACCAAAAGTCATGACTTAACACTGTCATCATGACTTTTCACATTGGCCAAACCACATCTACCAGGGTCGACAGTATAATAATGACGGCAAGATGTGGTCACCAAGCCTCGTCGTACTTCTCTCAAGCTATAACACAGCGTTTGAATGAGGGTCCCATGTCGCATCACTCGGAATACGAGGTTCACTCTTCTCCTTACCAGCAAACCACGGCACCGCAGAATGTCTTCTCTCCTGGATTCCAACACGTTCAATCCGGACACGGATATTCCTGATTTGTCAGGCAAGGTTAGAATTATTGCCCATCTTTCCTGGACAATGGACTTTGGACCCCGTTTGACGGTTTCTTACAACAGAACTATATCGTCACCGGAGGCAGCGCTGGGATAGGCTTTGGGATCGCCGCACATCTCCTGCAGCATCATGCTGAAAACGTCACTATCCTGTCCAACAAGGAGGACCATGCTCATTCCGCCCTCGAAGAGCTGAGAGAGTATGGAGACGCGAGCAAGGCCTATTGGGTGAAATGTGATCTCGAGGATCTCAAGCTCACGCAAAAGGTGGCCGACGACTTGGCAAGCTCGCAGGACAAGCTCCACGGTGTATGTTGCGAGGCACTCGATCAAAAAATATGTCGAGATGAACCCCCACTGACGCAATGGCTGGTAGCTCATCCTCAATGCCGGACTGGGCGTCGGAGTCTATAACGAGACCAAAGACAAGCTCGATTCACACTTCCAGGTCAATCACCTTTCGCAATTCCTCCTCCTCCTGAAGCTCCTCCCTCGACTGCAAAACACTCCAGGAGCTCGCGTGGTCTTTGAGTCGTCCGAACTGCATCGCGGTGCGGACGCCAACGTGCAATTCGAGAACGAAGCAGAGATCAATCAGGACATTGGGCCTACGAAGCTCTACAACCGGACCAAACTTGCTCAAATCTTGACCACGCGGGCTCTCCAGCGCCGGATCGAGAATGGCCAGCTAGGCTTTCAAGCGGGTCAAAAAATCTATGTCAATGCGGTTCATCCAGGAGCTGTCGCGACTGATCAACCACTTCAAGCTGAAGAAGCGTATGGGAAGCTAGGCGTGGTCGGTCATGCGCTTGTCAGACCTTTCATGAAAGATCCTATTGCGCATGGGTGTCGACCAGCGCTGTATGCAGCGACAAGTCCGGAGATCGAGGAGAAAGGTATTACTGCACAATATATCGTGCCTGATAAGAAAGTGACAGATCCAAGTAGTAAGGCTACTGATGAGGAGCTGGGCGAGCGATTATGGAGGCTAAGTGAACAATTACTCAAAGACAGACTAGGTGAAATTTCATAGAGTATGTGCCGTATAAAATGGCAAAAAGTTCAATACTAGGTCTGGCGTCTTCTATCTTACCTTCCCCCCTTCTTTTTCTAGTATATGATATACTAGGACCCAAGATGATATTTGCTGCTGCAAGATGCCACACTGGATTCTGTGATTCCATTTGAAGATGGACTGAAGGAATCCAGTGGCATCTTACAGCTATACCATCTGGTTATTGATCGTTGATGAGACATGATCTATGAGTCTGAGACCTCGTGCTACCCTATCTACCGAGGTGGTAGGTAGGCAACAGCGAGCTCATAAATCATGATCCCATCGACGACCAACAGGGGGGAAGGCCCCTCCCGCCAAACCCGATAGAATATTGAACTTTGTGAGAAGTTCCATATCCCGGACTCGAAGTGGTAGCTTTTTTGTTGTGTGTGTGTGTGTGTGTGTGTGTGAGGTCCCAGTTTACACGCTTGTTGCACTTCTTGTGAGTTGGGCTATGTTGAAGAGGAATTCTGGGAGAGTAAATTATATGGGATGTGATTTTGGTCTTGCTTTGGGCGTTGGAGAGTGGGTCACTCGGTTTCGTCGTCTGATTTTGTGTGTTGCTCGTTAGGTACAACTTGGCGGGTGTGGTACCAAGGGTGATGTCTCTGTGAATCTGGAGGGATACGACGGTGTCGAGGTGCATCCTTGGCTAGTTACTGTCAAATGAATAAGGTGGCTCCATCTTACGCCCAGTCCGGAACTTCCATCTTTCCTCGAGAGTGGCAGACCTATTGTATACATAACCGTGGTTCGTTCTGATCACTTCCCCCTTCGACTCGTTGACCATGGATCACTAAATAAAGAGCAGCATCATTGGGCAAGTATCTACAATGACAATGCAACAAGCTTCAAAAAAGAAGCTGTGGCTTGAACGAGGCCATTGGATCACAGTCCTGTTGAGATTCGATCTTGCATTTTCGGATATCGGATTCCCTCTCCTTTGCCCACGAGGCTGGTGGTTGAGTTGCAGCCAATCAACATTCATCCCTTGCTACCGCTTTGGAGCATGTGTGTCAGCTCAGCCCACCAGCCCGCCTGCCCGCCTGCCCGCCTAATTGATTGATAGGGACCGAGGAATCGTGTCCGTATCCGGCTGTATTGCGCGAAGGAAGCATGGACAAGATCCGTGTCAAACGTGTACATCCCCTTTTAATCTACTGTTTCCTCTTCCCATGAACCTGCTACGAGCCACCACCTACTCCTCTCTCGGGTCTCTTCTTGAACCTTGAACCCCGGACTGCTGCAGTCGAAATGCCAGATCAGGCAGTTTACGCGAACACATTCTTCCTTCGTCCACAGATCCGTCGGGGTCCCGACGTCCCTTACAAGAACGACACAGGCTCAAATCCTGTGCTTCGAGGGTTTCCCTTGGCTGCCGTCTCCAAGATGTATGGGTGACACACTGTTTTATTGTCCTTTGTTGCGCCCTGCGGCTAAGACGTTTCTGAAGCATCGCGTCGTCCAACTGGATTCAGAGCGTCTTCTGGAAACTCAATGGCTTCGACAAGCTCAAGGACACAAAATATCTAGATGAATATGAGATTCGACTTGATCCGACAGTCGTGCCTCGATCCACCACTACCTCGCAGGACCCGGTTCCGAGCCTGACAGAGCTGCCGCTGCCTCGCCCTCGCGCTTCCAACACGGACTACTACACTTGCGCGGACTACCACAAATTGTACAAGTCCGGCAAAGTCACCCCTTCCGACGTTATTGAGTACCTGATACCCCTGATTCGGCGAGACACCCAACCTGCTGGTCAGTACTCTGTTGCCTTTATCGATTCCAAGGTCGACTTGGTCCGGGCGGCTGCAAAAGCGTCCACCGAACGATATCGAGCTGGCAACCCGCTCAGTGTGTTGGACGGCGTGCCGTTGGCCGTGAAAGACGAGGTGGATCTGACAGGATACAAGAAGACCCTGGGCAGCAAGCTTGATTTCACCGACAAAGAAGACCGTACATCATGGTGCGTGCAGAAGTGGCAGGACGCGGGTGCCGTGATCATTGGAAAGACAAACATGCATGAGGTTGGCTTGGACACCTCCAACAACAATCAGACTTGGGGCACTCCGTTGAATCCACACAACAATGGTTATTATACTGGCGGCAGCTCGGGCGGCTCTGCGTTTGTCGTCGCCGCTGGCATCTGCCCAATTGCGCTCGGAGTCGATGGTGGCGGGTCAATTCGCTTGCCGGCTGCGTTTTGTGGTATCTACGGGCTCAAGACTACTCATGGCCGAGTTTCAGCCAGAGTCGGCAAAGACTGGCTGGACAGCGTCGTCGTTTACGGTCCCATGGCTTGCAACATCGATGACCTCACCATCAGCTACCGAGTCATGGCCCAACCTGATCTTGGCGCAATGAGAAGCGCTGGCTTCCCCAACAGTCTGACCAAGGAGCCATACAGTCTAGGGAGTGGGAAGAAGTATCTGGGAATCGACCGGAGCTGGGTCAACCGTTCGGATAAAGTTGTCCTGGACATGTTCAACGCCGCTCTCGATGGCTATGTCAAAACTCACGGTTACGAAGTGGTCGACATCACGATCCCCTACATTCCACAGGGACAAAAGGCCCACGCGTTGACTATCTTGTCCGAGAGCCGCAGTCAGATTACCGCCCAGAAGATCTCGAAGCTCTCGTGGCACAATCAGCTGCTTCTCAATGTCGCGGGTGGCCACGCAACCGCCCAGGATTTTATCTACTCTCAGAAATTGCGCAATCTTCTGATGTGTCATCTGGCGTGGCTGTGGCACGAGTATCCTGGAATGATGATCCTGACGCCGACGACGCCCTGTGCCGGGTGGAAGATTGGCAAGCCGAGCGACATCACCAGCGGCTACGGCGTGAGCGATGGCGACATGAGCTTGAGGACCATGGAATACGTCTATCTGGCGAATTTCACGGGCAACCCCGCCATCAGCTGTCCAATGGGATACACGGATGAGAATGTGCCAGTCGGCCTTATGGTATTGTCTCCCCCCACCCTCTTGCCCCCTCCGCGTCAATCACCATTCGAAACGTAAGGCTAACCGACGCATACAGGCCATGGGCGACTGGGGTAGCGAGGAACAACTCCTCGCATTCGGCAAAGAAGGCGAGTCCTTCCTCACCGGCGGGAGTGCGATTCGACGCCCGAAAGACGAAAAGATGTGGATCGACGTGCTCGCCAGCACAAAGTCTGAAGAGTGATCCTCGGTATCTTAGAATGGTCATTGGCCCCAAAAACCCCCAGTTCAGATTTTCTCAGACATTCATCCAAGCACCTATTCTCAGCTCAACAGACGCTCAAAAAGTCCGCAATTCCCTCTCTCCTCCCACATTGTTTCAGCGTCCTCTCCGGAGGGAGAAAGAAATATCTGGACATCGGTCATCGCCACAGCTCGACCTTCCCTCCTACGTCTACATTGTCAAATCAGAGAGTTTCTCAATGAGATGATCCTCGATATGCGATATGGTTGGCAGAAAAGTGAAACGAGTGACTGGACCACTTCACTTCAGTCCTTTGGATTCATCGGATCGTCGAATCTCAGTCGATCAGCTAGCCAGGCTTTTCGAGTTCTGATTTTATAGATATATTAGGGGTGGAAGGCAATATTGGATAGGACAGAGACAGGACTATCCATCCCTGCAGGAACCAGGCTCAGGCTCAGGCTCGGTGGGGTTCACTACCTTCTCGGTACTCGAAGATAGATTGGGAAGATGGGAATCAACCGATAGACATGGACCACGACACAAGGTCGACTTTACTTGTGACTGGCTACATTTGTTGATTGATCTCCATCTCCATCTCCCAAAGGTACCTACCTACCTAGATAGGTTCATAAAGAAGTCTGAACTGCAATTGTCCTTTTTCAAATTCGTACATGAGCAAGCATTACTATCCAAGCGGGCCAGTGGACTTGCTATCTCCTGCTAGTGCCCAGGTTAAGAGGTTGACTCATAGGTTAGGAGCTTCCTGCCCCTGCCCAGCAAGACGTTGAGTGAGAATTCCTTTTTTTACTCATCGACCTCGTCATTGTCGCCATCGGGTCCCCCACCTCCGGCATTTCCCGTCTCTCTGATCCGCGCCTCCTGTTTCCTGTAGAGGCCGGCCAAGAATTCGCTCGTGCTCGCCTCCTCGATGCTCTTGTCTTCTCTGACTTTCAAAAACCTGGGGAACCGCATGCTCAGACCGCGTTCCTCGCTGACCAGTCCGATCGCAGCGGTGTACGTCGGTGACAGGGTGATGTCTGCAAAGGCCATCTCCCACACCTCTTGCGGTTCGAACCATACGTCGGGCTCGTACGCGCTGTACTCGATGTAACTCGGTTTCGTGCGCATGGTGTTGTCGCCATCTTCGGCGTACTTCTCCTTGTTTGCTTGGTAGAACTTGTCTGTGAATCCCGAGATGCACTTGGTGACAACCTCCAGACTGCCAGTCTCGGGATTGCGGCACGCGAGCAGGATGGGCGACCACCACTTTGCTTTGCGGCCTTGACCGTGCCAGCCGGCCACGGGGATGAGGTCGATCGTGTCGGCAGACTGCGCGTAGTCCTTTTTCACCTTGAGCCACGAGTCGAGCCGTTTGTCTGGTTCGTAGGTGGAGAGGAGCGCTTTGCGACGAGAGCCCTTTTCTTTCTCCTCTTGTTTCTCAGCTTGACTTTTCTTGCCGGCTTTCTTCTTGCTCGGGGTCACGGGTGCAGATGCAGGCTTCTCTTCCTCGTCGTCTGGGCCGGTAAGATCAGGATTCGGCATGTTGTCGAGCACTTTGACCATGATACCCTCGCATTTTATGTCGGTGGCGGACTTGAAGAACTCCAGTACAGTCTCGGAGTCTGCAGAAGTGGCGTCAATGCTGTTCACCCACGTGAAATGGTGTTCTTTCTCGATGAACATGCTGCGCAGCAGACCGCGTCGCTCGCGAAATGGCCGATCAAGCAAGGGCTCGCCATTGAGGTACATGAGATCAAATGCGAATAAGCAAACGTCGATTTGGATGGAACCGATATCGACATCTTTCTTGGCCCGGTTTGTGAGAGTCTGGAAGGTCTTGAGTTCACCTGTATTTCTATCAACGGCAACGACTTCTCCTTCCAAAATGAAGCTAGAGACGCCATCACCGCGGATTTCAGGCACCAGCGCCACCAGATCGGGATATTTGTCTGTCATGACTTCGAGATGGCGAGAGAAGATGGACACTTTGCCCTTTTCATCACAATGGACTTGTGCTCGCTGGCCGTCGTATTTGAACTCACAGCTGAAGTCTCGGCCCTGCAGTTTTGTGAGCATCTCACTCAAATCCCGAGTGATGCTACCCAACATCGGACGGAGAGGAATGTGTAATGCTAAGCCGCAACGCAGCAGGAGTTCTTCTGACACTCCAAGCTCGAGGAGGCCAGGCACGAGATCGTTGTAATTGGGCCGTCGTGCAAAACATGTCTTGACAATCTCTTCCGCTTTTGCCCATACAACCGCTAATTCCTCTTTCTTGAGCTTTGCTAGCTCGGCGGTCTGTCTAATGGGGAAGTCCGCCCCTGGTGGACGCGAGAGCTGGAATGCCCGTGCCAGGGCAATCAGCATGGTTGTCTTCACCGCTCCGATCCGCAGATGCTGGACCAAAGTCCTCACGATGTATCGAGATTCTTCTGGTCCTCGCGCATCTTGAAGGAGGCGTTCCACAAGCCGCTGCTTCTGTTCAACGCTTCCATGGCCCTTGCTGTTGGCAATCTTGACCAGCGTTTGATATGCGCTTTTGATGGTGAGTGGCTTCGGTTTCCTCAACGTGAAGCTCTGCCTCTTCTTTGCTTCGAATGCGACATCTCCTGCGTCTCCATGTTTGTCATAAAGTGTTTTCAAACCGGCACCATCGAGCCCGCACACTTTCTTCAAAGCCTTGGAAATCGCTGAGCCGCCTAGACCCAGTTCCAGAGAGATATAAGGCGGCGAGATGGAATTTGTAGCCAGCCAAACAGCAGGAAGAAGACTCTCAGGGTCCGCCTCGATGATGACCCTGAGACAATTGACCAGAGTGTCCACGATTTTGATCCGACTTTGTGTCGAATTGACCAGCACGAAGCATCGCGTTAGAAGTGCGTACGATGCATTACCGCCATCTCCCGCCCAGTGCTTTCTCAGATCAGAGACATAATGTGACGGATCAAAGGACAAAGGGCTCTGATCAAAGGGTATCGTCAATGTGATGGTATCTTCTTCTGAGGTTGTTGATTGTAACCCAAGTACACCCTTCTTGTTCGTGTTCGATTGTGGCACAGGCTGGGGTGGAGGGGTCTTTTCAAGCGCGGCGGATACGAAATCTTTGACATCTTCTTCGACCTTGTGCTCGTGTCCTTCGGCAGGCTTTGGCAACTGGCGGTCATTGGCCTCCCTGAAATTGCTCTCGTGTGGTCCGTCTTCTTTTGCCCATTCTTCTTGAAGCCTTCTGGCCAGTTCCTCATCAGTCAACTGCGTCTCCGAGGTCGACAAATCTTGTATTTTGACGTCTTCACGCTGCGCAATACCGTTTCTTCCTCCATTCTGTTGTTCATTTTGCTTGCGGAAGAAGAAATCAAGACTTCGAGGCGGCACTTCGGCGGGTTTGGAGTCGTTCTTCTTCCTCCTCTTAGCCGGACTCTCCATGACTGCTGAGTAGGTCGGGCACTGGCATCGTTGCCAGTGCCATCCAAAGCGGTTATATTGCAGTCATTCTGCAGTTGCATTCAGAAGTCAGAGGAGGCAGGATAAGTGGTGACTTCATAATCAGATGTTTGAAAATAGTGGCGGCGCGTCTCCAGCCACATGACGTGACGCGCTGCTGGTGGCAGTCGGAGAAATTCACACCGATCATGCATCCAACGCCGCCGAAGCGCAACTGTGACTTTTTTACCTTTGCCAATCCACTATATCGCAGTCTGCCAGTATGGCTGAGCTCGCCATGACCAAGACCGTGGACGGACAGACGCGGGTGGAAGACTATCTGAACGACAAGATACAAACTGCGGTGGACCTAGAACAGGTGGACAGCCTTGTACAACGGGTGCGAGAACAACAAACCCTGTTGCGGGAACAGGTAAGAGGTTAATTGTCTCTGAATTAGGCTGTATCTAAATGTGCCACAGCTTGAAGCAGCGCGGACAGACTATACAGAGGCAACAAACAGAGTCAATGAACGTTCCAGAGAGTTGAGAGAAGCGGCGGAAAAATGCAAGAGGGAACACGCCGACATAGACCGACGGCTCAGAGACCTTGCACAATCGAACGTCAGCGATGACGCCGCGCGAAAGGTCGAAGCTAGGATGATAAAGGTGCGCCGTCTCGAAGTTGCTCGAAGCTATCTAGAGGTGTACCAGCAACTGGACACTTTGAGCCACAAAACGAAAGAGAACTTTTCTGCGGATCCGGAGGCATCAATCAAAGGATATCTACGACTGAGGGCCATTTGGAGGCACATTCAGGATGCGCAGCCGGCTGCAGAAGGGGCAGCACCTCAATTGACGTATGTCTTTGAGCAACAAATGCAGCAGCTCTATGCGCTCATCAAGGCATCTCTAGAAGGAGGCTTGCAGGAAAGTCTTGCAGAAATGAAATGGCCGGCCAAAAAGTTGAACCTCCAGCGCAAAGCACAGTACCAATGGGAGGAGAGTGTCAGATTACTCCTCCAGCTACAAGAGCCCGACCTGATCGAAGCGTACGCAGGCCTTGACACCCGAAGTCGATCTTCGACGCCTGAACCTATCGTACTACTCCCGCTCGAGGTCATGGTTCAACCATTGGTAGTGAGGTTCAGATACCATTTCTATGGAGACAAACCCACGAATCGCTTGGACAAGCCCGAATACTTCCTCACCCACGTCCTAGATTTGCTAGAGACACATAGCGCTTTCATGAGCGACATGCTGGGTCCTATACTGGATGACAGGGCGCACCAGTCTGAGGCCCTGGAGACTCTCTACCCTGACGCAGTCTCCGCGTTCATTACGGCACTGCTGCCGATGGTCGAGGCAAAATGCCTGTCTTTTCTGCCCCAGATTTCACAACAACCACAACTGATATCTCACTTTATGCACGAGTTGATGGTGTTTGATAGTGCCATTCGTGACACCTGGAGTTACATTCCGATTCCCAGGATGCTGGCAGAGTGGAAAGGGATTACTTGGAGAGTGCTGACCACACACGGGTACTTTGCTCTGTGGCTCAAAGTCGAAAAGGACTTTGCTCTTTCTCGATACAAGAGCATTAGAGATGCTCCAGATAGCAATGAGATCGACTTTGACGCAGACGCCACTCAGACGAAGCCGACAAAGGGAGCGATTCGCGTCAATGATCTTTTGGAGACGATCACGGATCGCTATCGAGGCCTTTCGTCGTTCAGCCAGAAGATGAAGTTTCTCCTGGAGATTCAACTCTCCATCTTCGATGATTATCACAACAATCTTCACGGGGGCTTGCAGGCATATCTTGTATCCTCCCACACGGCCGGCCGATTACTTCAGGGACAGTCTGAAGCCGATGCTTTCGGGTTAAAAGGGCTGGAATCCCTGGCCAAGATTTTTGGTAGTGCTGAATTTCTTGAACGGAAAATGTCGGATTGGAATGATGATGTCTTCTTTCTGGAGCTGTGGGACGAACTTCAATATCGCGCCCAAGCAAACAGCGGCACAGGTGCGTCCATTGGCACAGACTTGAAAGTGGAGGACGTTGCGGACAAGACCTCAACGACCATCAAGTCAAACGGCGTTGAAACGGATGAGGATTCAGACGGAAGTGGATTGTTCGACCAGACTGCCTCCGCATATCGACGACTACGCGAACGCTGTGAGGAGGAAATGCTCCGCTTCTTCGACATTAACCTGAGAGGGGCGCTACGAGCATACGTCAAGCATGCTCAATGGTCGTCTCTTGTGGAGACGTTGTCCGACCCAGCCGCAATGGCGCCTTCTCCGAGCCTTAGTGGCTTCTTTCAGACAACAGCCACGCTGCTGGGCTACCTTTCTCGCGTCCTGGCCCCAGGACCCATGCGACGGATATGTAAGCATTACTGCTCCACCCTGCAGAGAGAGGTCTACGATAATGTTATAATGTACCATACATTTTCAGCCACTGGCGCAGCACAGTTGGCCAGGGACCTCTCCGAAATTAAAACGACCATCGAAAAACACAGCGGACTGCGAGGAGTTACTGGAGCGGGTCTCAAACGTCTCGAAGAGGCCGTCTATCTCCTTTCTCTGGATGCTTCACAAACCCTGGAGAGCGGCGAAGAGGACGAATGGGGATTTAATGATGATGACAACGACGAGGAGTCGAAAGGGCAAGCTGCCACGGATGAGGCTATCACTGATGATACCGGCATCAAGAAGCCTGGACTCTGGGACGTAGAGAAGTTGATTTTCGAGAGCAACGAAGCAGCACGAAAGGCTCTTGCGGATATGGGCCTATATCACCTCAGTGAGGGAGAAGCCAGAAACATTCTGAGGAGGAGAGTTGAGTTAAACGGATGATTGATGGGTCAGATATTGTGGAAACGGTAGATAGACAATGACTGACTCCATTAGTGATTTTCAAATATACGTCCTACTCGGTATACATACGTTAGGAGCGACAAGGTGGCTGGTCAGTCGTGGAACTCTGCCTATACCTCATTGGCACCGTTTCTGGCTATTTATAAGCCCACGCTACATCAGGGTTGCAGGTGTTTGTGACTCACCCATATTTCACTCTCATCTTTGCTAGAGAAGTTTTTCGTTTCAAGAACCAGAGAGTGCCAATAGAACTCCCCTTACATTCTTCCCTCTTCGAACGTTGTCGATAGCCTTGAGGAAGAGAAAACATTGTCTGACTTGCAACCACGTATTCCCTCCCTGCGGAGAAGGACCCCTTCAGCTTTAGCGCAAGCAACAGATATGGCCTCTGAAGACAATACCAACAGACCATTGACGTCGCTCCAAAGCGTCATCCTGACCACCGGCCCGTTCATCTTCCTCTGGAGCACCTTGCGGGGCTACGTCGCGCGCAACGGGCCCTTCAGCCTCGCGGGCCCGCTGACCCGGCTGAACAACCAGATCTACGCGCTGTTCTCGCTGGCGCTGGCGTGCCTGGTCCTCAACGACACGGAGACATTCCACTTTGTGGACCTCGAGCACGTAACGACATCAGGCCTCGCGTACGTGTACCACCTGACCAAGTTCTACGAGTACGTCGACGTGTTCGGGCTGGTCGCGTCGGGGACCCCCGTCAACGAACACATGGCGTTCCACCACATCACGACGCCCGTGCTGACGTACCTCCGCGTCCTGCACGCCTCGGACTGGCACCTCTTCGCGTGCCTCAACTGCCTCCACCATTTCTGGATGTACGCGTACTTTGGCGGCGTGAGGGCGTTCAAGCCCGTCCTGCGCGTCACGGGTTGGGCGCAGCTGGTCGGGGGAATCGGGCTCGACGTCTACTATCTCGCGAGTCACGGAAGGGGGGCTCCCGAGGCGAGGAATCGTGCCCTTAGTATCATGATCTTGACGAGGTACGCGATGCTGTACTATCGAGAAATCAAGATGGGGATGGGGAATGCCCAGAAGGGCGGAAGAGCGGACAAGCAAGACAAGAAAGCGAAAGCGAATTAGTGGCATGGCATTTTGAAGATCCACGTCTGTGTGACTAGAAAACCATAACTGAGTCGTCCACAAGAAGACTCAGTTGGCCACGTTGATCAACATGGACTTGACGCTCAGGTATTCCTCGATCCCTTGTCGGCCACCTTCTCGTCCATAACCGCTTTCCTTGACGCCACCAAACGGACTCTCGCACGCGCTGAGCATTCCAAGGTTTACTCCCACCATGCCGACTTCCAGTGCCTCGGTGACCCGGAATGCCCGTGGAATGTTTTCAGTGCAGATGAACGACCCGAGACCAACGTTGCAGTCATTTGCCATTTTGAGGACATCCTCCTCGGTGTCGAATTCGTAAAGACCGACGACCGGGGCAAAAGTCTCTTCCCGCGTGGTGATCATCTCCCGGTTCATCCCTTTGATAATTGTCGGCTGAAGGAAATACCCCTTGAAGTCCTTCAACGGTTCTCCACCCAGGATGACCTGACCGCCGTGTTTCTTTGCATCTGGTTAGAGTTAGCTACCGTCTAGTGAAAGACACACAAGCCCCTGCTGCTTACCGTTGATGTGGTTCATCGCCTTCTCGACGGCCCGCTCGTGCGTCAATGGGCCCACGAAGACTCCATCCTCGGTTCCTGGACCGACTTTAAGTGATTTGATTCTGACCGTCAGAGCTTCGGCAAACTTTTCGTAGATGCCCTTCTGTACAAAAATGCGGTTGGCAGTCACACAGGTCTGGCCAGAGTTTCGGAACTTGGCCATTATGCAGGCTTCTACCGCAGTTTCGAGTTTGGCATCGTCAAACACGATAAACGGGCTGTTACCACCCAATTCAAGCGATAGTTTCTTGAGGCTATCACTGCATTGTCTTGCGAGGAGTTTACCCACGCGAGTACTGCCGGTAAAGCTCAGTTTTCGGACCAGACTGCTCTTACACAGTGCATCGCCGACTTCACTGACAAGATTGAGAGTGGTAACAACGTTGATTGAGCCTTTTGGAAATCCAGCTTCATGCGCGAGGACAGCTTGTGCAAGAGCGCTTAACGGAGTCTCCCCAGCCGGTTTCCACACTGTTGTGCATCCTGCTGCTAGCGCCGCACCCACCTTTCTCGTTATCATGGCGATTGGGAAGTTCCAGGGGGCCAGACATGCTGCGACACCAATGGGTTGTTTGAAAGTCAAGATTCGTTGATTTAGGTTGGCTGGAGGGACGACCTCGCCGTGCACTCTTTCCGCCTCGCCGGCAAACCATTCGAGGAAAGACGCCGCATAAGTGACTTCACCTTTGGCTTCGGCAAGAGTCTTGCCATTTTCGAGGGTGAGAATCAAAGCAAGATCGTCGAGGTTGTCTAGACAGAGGTCGCTCCACTTCCTGAGCCATCTCGCTCGCTGGCGGGCGCTCGTCTTTTTGAAACTCTGGAAGGCTTCATGTGCAGCTGTAATGGCTTTGTCGGTGTCTGCAGCACCCATCTCGGGCAGGGTCGCGAGTTTGTCGAGTGTAGCAGGGTCGTACACATCGAACGTTTTGCCCGAGACTGCATCGACCCAGCTATCATTGATGTATCCCTTTGTCTGAAACAGGTCTTTGCGCTTCAAATCGTTCAAGGTTTTGGGCGCCATATTTCCTCGTAGGAATCGTGACCCGCTCCTCTGATCCTTAAATGCTGAAGTCGTAGGATACGTAAGCAGAACCAACAGGTGTTGAGTCGTCGAGCAAATCTGGGGGTTCGTAAGTGGCGAGTTGGGCAGGGTCGAGAGGATGGCAAATTGTCAGCTGTTTGGATCGGCACTTCAGCTTTATATCGCTCGAGGGACCATTGTTTCCACGAGCACTGACATGCAATACTCACACCTCATAGGCTCACACCCCACATGATGGGAGTTGGAGAGAAGTTCGACGTTACGAAACGCAAATAACCATCTCGTGCGGGGTCCTGTTGGAGGATGTTCGTCGAATGCTCCTGATGGCCGAGGGTGACACGAACGAGCCATACTTGGCTTCATCATGTAGTTGGAGAAAAAGCCTTTGTTGTGGTATGCTTGAGAGCGGAGGGAATCGGGCTCCTCTCCATCTGTTCGTCCAAGAGTCCGTTATCGGTACATCGCCTTTTCGTCGGGTTTCTCGGGAGTCGCACTTTTGTCTGGGTACATCTCTGCAAACAGGCAGGGGAACAACATACAAGGCTGAGCGCTAAGGGCCATTCGCTTTCCTGGAACGACGCAATCATCCACGCCGGCTGTATGTTCACCGGTTATATGTTCGCGGACTGTTCTGCGGTTTCAATCAAAGGGACATCGGAGGCTCTGAAGGGCTAGTACAAATAAGGTTAGTCTGGACAGAGCCTCAGTGTATGTGGTGCACGTGATCAGAATTCTTCAGCGGGCCAATCACGCAAGAAAGGGACAAGAACTAATTCACCCGTTTTCTGTACCCCGTATAGCATTGTGCTCCCAACCCCTGCTGCGCCACAGCCTTATTGATAAGTTGCTGCTCGATTTTCCATCACCGGGGAGGTTTGACGACATCATCAGGGCAGTCCGGGACTATACTCGGTGTACTGAATTGCACGACTGACCTCGAAGTCCCGGCAAAGCAGTATCTCTAAATCGGCGTTGAAACAAGTGTAGTCAAGATACCACATCGCCATAACCGTGCGGATAGGGCGAACAACTGGCCCTTGGGTTCGTACACCGTCGGCGAATCCTATCGACGCAATTGCGGGTCACCCCTAGAATATACCTATCCTATTCACTTGTCTAACAACGTGAAGATTGAAGGTAAGAAAAGTGTCCTTCCAGCGGCCGTAGAAGCCGCAAGTCAGCAGTAAGAGGGATGAAGTTACAGCCCGAAAATCCATTTCCAGGACCATTTTACACTTTCAACCTCTGAGGATTCGGAGGCCTGGGAACATCGTTGATGGTCTAAAAAGGAGGCACATCCGGGAAATTGTCTCACGCATACCCCAATACGGGCCTTATATCAATGAATGTAACAGGAAGATAAGCGAACTAGGGTCGCCAAAGATAACATGTTGACCTGTAAGCAAGCAAGTGACGGGGACCCGGTTTCGTGTTGTGCGACAAGAACGAATTCCTCAAGCCCGTGTTGAAGCCGTTTATTCCTGCATTGCTTCAAGGGACAAAAGGACCATACCGGCAAACGGTCGACCAACCGCCTGCTCGGGAAATATTCAACTGATCATCCAGGCCCTGAGTACCTCGTACTACTAGCATGACCCCTTCGTGGCCCATAAACTTGCTCAGATCCCCTACTTGGATGACATGGTACTTTCGGCAGTCGGCGAGTCTGGAGGCCTAAAGATGCTCATTCGGCACTCGCTGCCATTAGCATCGCCCGCATTTTCTCCTCCTCCCCAGATCGATGGCTCAACTGCGGGTTGATGGATTGTTGATCTTGTTGTTTCCTCACGCATGACATTGTTCGAAAGATGCGGAATATCCCTTTAATAAAGAGTTCAAGACGGCACTGCCCCCCGAAACCTTCACATCAAACCATCAAACATCCGACACGTGAGGCACCTTTTTTTTTTGACTTTCTCCCCTCAAATTGGTGGTCTGGACTACGAGGGGCCTTGCAGCCCCTGGAATTGTACCTGGTCACTTTGGATAGGCTCTTGGAAGCAGTCCCCAAGTCCTCGGCTAGCGCCCATTAAATTAGCTTGGGACCCAAATGCAGCTGACGCGCCCTGATGAACGCCTCTTTTTGGCCCGAAACGGTCACTCAACACCACGTGGAGATTGGAGATTGTCTCTTAATCCGCAAGCCACGGCTGCCACTGCAGCTTCCAAAAGCCTATCGAAGGCTCTGGATTACCCCTGTCTTTCGCCAGCTGACGCATCGACTGGGATATTCCGTACAGGCTCAAAGTGGCTTGAGCCTCCTCCCTATTACACACCTCTCTACCTACTCGGTACTAAGGTACACATCGCTATCTCGTCCACTCTTTACGGACATATACGCAGTCAGCATTACTCTTTGATTCCAGTGTCCAAAGTCACGGGAAATGCGCAGGCACTCATCCACTTGTTCTATACTTGTGCACATCTTGGCTTGGGATTCTCCGTTGCTCTGGGCAGGGGAACTATGAGGTACCCGGCTGCTAGTAGAGTCCAAAATGTTGTTTTCCAAGGCTGTTCAGGTTCCACCGCCGCGGGCTTGTGGTCTCGGCCTTGCAGCATCGAGGTATTAACGACTCTGGGCGTTCCGAGCGCTAGACTGGGGTGGCGGATGGCTTTGGTCACCAACTGTTTCCGGCGATTCCCAGTTTCCACATGTTGAACTCCCTCTGTGTTCCCTTTTTGCGCCTCTTTGATATCACATCATCTGAGAACCCGCGAATCGATGGCCTGAAAGTCTGACGATGGACGGCTTCAACCTACAATCTCGAGTCTCGGTAGGACAGTTTGGGCTAGAACATAATGGCTGACTGCAGGTGTCAGGGGTCATTGTACCTGGCCTGACTTGCCTGGTCGCCATCTTGTCCACACCCTCGTCACGGCCGCCCAGCATCAAAGCCACTAGCAGGAGAAACCACCTCGCTTGGTCTCCTTAACCTTGTACACCTATGAACTGAGGGCAGGGTGGGTGGCACGCACGCGATTGTATAAAAAGTAACTTTCAGACCAGCATGGATGGCGTTTCGTTGTCAACTTTACTGAGCCGCAGCATTCATATTCTGTGGTACACCCCGTTCTGACTGTTGCTTTTCGTTCGTCCACTCTTTTCTAGTTTGTCTTTTCTCCAGAACGAAACTTGGACACGACTGTCGTTATCTTCACTCCTCACAGGCGTCAATATGGTCGCTTCCGGTGCTTTTCAAGTGGGAATCTGTGGTGCTGGTGTTGCGGGACTGAGTGCTGCCATCGCTTTGAGAAAGATCGGCCATGACGTTGAGGTCAGTCAAACTCAGCTCCCTGGACAGATCGCCCTTTGTGCTCCTATGCATATTGAATGATCAAGAAATGAAAACTGACCTTGTCCCCGCAGATCTTCGAGCGCTCTCAGTTCAAGAACGAAAACGGCGCTGCCGTGTCTATCCCACCCAATGGAACTCGGGTTCTGGAGCATTGGGGTTTTGATCCCATCAAAGCGGGAGGCATCGAGAATATCCAGGTAAGGAGGGTGTCTTGAGCATCTATTCCAGGATATATGATTACCCAACGTCTGCGATTGGGATCCTTAGTCGCCAGCTTCTAGAGTGTGTCAGCTGACAGCCGCATGCAGGTCCGTCGACCAAAGGGTGACACCTTGGAACCAATGGCACCAACATTGAACTTCTCCAATGCGGAACAACTATATGGCAACAAGTGGTTCTTCTATCACCGAGTCGACATGCATCGACGCCTGAAGGAACAAGCAGAGGAAGCTGGCGCGATCATCAGGCTAGGACAACAAGTGATGGACGTGGACCCCGAGACTGGCGTTATATCCTTGAAAGATGGAACGAGGGTACAGAAAGATCTCGTCATCATTGCTGATGGCCAGCATGTTAGCGCTGCCCTATAAACGACTATACTGTTACACGGTCGCTGACTTGTGCACTAGGATCGCATGAACGCTAAGATCACCGGCAAGGAGGTCCCCATGAAGAGAAGCGGCCAGACAGCATATCGATGCCTCATCCCCATGAAGGATATTCTCGCCGACGAGGAGACCAAATTCTTGTTCGAGAACCAACCGCCCGGGTTCTGGGCCCCGGCCTTGCCTTCCAAGGGCGTTATGGCCGTCACTTATCCTTGCAGAAACAATGAGATACTCAACGTACTCGCTGTGCACCGGAAGCTGGGCCAACATGCAACAAGTGAGGATGATGTGGTGATTGAGGACTGGAACTTTCCCGCCACGCATGAGGACTTGGAGAAAGTTCTCGATGGTTTCCACCCGGCGGTGAAAAAGGTCTTTTTGAAGTCGCCCGAGGTCAAAGTGTACACTCAGATGAAACGAGATCCCTTAACCAAGATGACCAAGGGCAAGGCTGTTCTGATCGGCGATGCCTGCCACCCTATGCTCCTGACCCATGCTCAGGGTGTTTCGTCCTCAATCGAGGATGCCGCTGCTCTCGAGCTTTTCCTCGCCGACGTCCCTGCCACCGGAGACGTCACTTCTGCGCCCTCAGAGAAGCTGCTGCAACGCCTAGCTCAATTCGAGGCATTCCGTCTACCCCGAGTCTCTGCGACACAAATCCTGACAGACCCTGTTGTCCCCGGACCACAGGCTGCGGCCAACTATGCCAAACAAGAAGCCGAGATTCGAAAATACTACTCAGGTCCTCTGCCACCGACGGGTTCAATGCCGCACAGCCCGCCAATTTGTCAGTTTTTCTTCGGCTATGATGTAAGGAAAGAAGCCATAAAATTTATTGCCGACCTCAACGGCGAGAAACAGACGACCGAAGCTATCCCCGCGCCTTCGCCTGCTCCGGAGCCAGTGAAGGCAGCCATCCCAGCCCCGGCCCCAGTTCAACAGCCACGTGTGGAGGAGAGACCTCTGACACCCTCCCCCGTGCGCGACGAGACGACTGATGTCAGTGCAATGGAACAAAAGATCAAGGACCTCGAGCGCAGATTAGCCGAGATGGAGAGCAAATTCGCCTCAATGAGCATCCAAATCTCATTTAGGGAGGTTCAACCCACGCCACCAGAGTCGCCGCCTAGCATGTTTGGGAAATCCCCGTTCCTCGTTAGCGCTTCTTAGGGCAAGAGATAACTTCCTGCTCTCTGAGCTGGAATTTTGTTGGATATACGGCCCCCGGTCCCAGTGGGAAACCAATGTGTCCATTGTATGAAAAATGGTGCTTTGTGGATGGAAGTGAGAAAGGAGTAAACGGGAAATTTGTGAAAGATATGGGATACTCTATGTGAACGAGCGTTTTGGGGGCAGTTATCACTATTTAATTCATGAAATCAAGATATATTTTCCGGTTTGTCAACGCATTTGGAATCACGTCCTGATTTTTGGGCTTGAAATTACATATATGTCATTACTGGCGCCGCTGGAATCAACGCAAGTGGCATACAAGTATATCCCTCGATGCCCTAAGAACCGGAGCGCTGCAAGTTCTTTCTCAGCTGCGCAGCCTCGTCACGCTAAATTGTGGAATTGCGGCGTTTGGCTTGGCAGAGCAGCGTCGATCAACTCCAACTCGGAATCTGCCTCGCATGTGAGGACGGTCGCCCAAATCGCAGAGACGTTTTTATTTCTACTCTTCCTTTTTCTGCATTTTGCTTTTCGTCGTCAGGCGTCGGTGGTGTGTCTCTTGTCTTGTCATGTCATGCGTGTGAATAGTTGCACTCGTGCCCTGACTACAAAAAATGCGCCTTCGACTCCTCATTCAGCGGTACTCGCTCCCGCCTGTCACCATCATACACACAACGGGCAGTGGGCCCGCCTCGCATACAAAGTCTCGCTCTGCCACGATCGCCGACCTCCTCGCCGACGTCAATGACCTCGTTCCCCTAGAGTCTGCGGACGGCGAATGGGGTCTGGAAGACTACGTCGTCGAAGTCTCAGCCACTGCGGACCAATACCTGACGTACGAGTGTCTGCACTATCAGACTCTGCATAGTGTGTTGAGAGAAGACGATGAGGTTGTGATTAGGGCACTAAGCAATGACGATCTAAGGGCGAGGAGGTTGGGCGGACGACATCAGATCACAGGCGACGGAAGACACTTGATCGATGGTGTGGCTTTCGGCAAGCAGTGGTTGAGGAAGACTGCGCGACCGGGTGTTCTTATCCCCCCTAGAAAGAGGAGAAGGATTCTCTTTGACGAGGATACCGATGGGCCAGCAGGGGAAGATACGGGGCTCATCCTTCCAGCTGGTGACGAGGAAGAGGCGTACACAAATGCTTTGGTACTAGTTACGGCCGGGGAAGAAGAGGATGATGATGACGAGGACGATGATGACTACGTGGAAGATGAAACCGATGCTGATGTCGACAACTCACAATTGCAAGTCACCGTCAGAGAAGAGTTCGACGATGCCGATGCCGATGCCGATGCAGAAGACGAGGCGGACCTCGATGGTGGAGATGAAGACGAGCACCTGTCCTCAGAGCTTAAGCACTTGCTTGACGATGCTGCCGAAATTGAACAAACAGATAACATGGCTATTGCACTGCAAGTACTTGACAAGAGGCTGAAAAGAAAACGAGACGTCGGAGATGACGGCGAAGAGTACGAGAACGAGATATTTGAAGGCTTCTCCACTCCCATACACAGCTCACCTGCCAAGGTGTATGGCGAGTCCAATGGTCGAAAAGAAGGCAGGGCTGAGTTGAAGGACGGCCGGGACGGAGGCTCGGAGAATATAATAGGGAAAATCGCTGATCGACAAGACCGGAAAAGTGCCAGAGACATTATTATTGGGGACGATGATGATGAATATGACTCCGAAGATTCAGATATGACTTCGAGCTCCGGTATCACATCATCCGACACCGACACAGATTCTGATGCTGATAGCATGATGGAAGATATTGCCATGCAGCAATCCAAGGAGCGGGTTTTGAACCTCGTCAGAGGTCTTGAAATGGACAACAAATCAACCGGGTTTGATCCGGAGGAAGTCGAGAGTGAGAGCGATAGCTCCTCTACCCCGGATTCCGAGTCTGAATCTTCGGACGACACCTCGTCAGAAGCTACAACATCCTCTGATTCCCAACCCGACTCTGAATCCGAATCTGAGTCCGATGCTGAAGAGACCAAAGCAGAGAGTCCACTTGTGTCCAAGAAAGCCCCACCTACAGCAGCCATCCAGACACATGAATCTCCAGAAAAGTCTGCAAAGCCATTGGTAGGCGTTCCCTTCCAGGGAACACATAAAACGCATTATAACAATGCCAGGGCAAAAAGGAGGAGGCGACTCAATGAGCTTAAGAGGCAAGGAGCGCTCCCTGAAAATGCAGGCTTCGAGGAACTAGCGAAGTACGAGACCATGGAACAACAAACGGTGGAAGAAGAACAGTTGTCAGGTGTCAAGCAGCTAGCCGACCTTCCGGTTCAAGAGGATGCTCCAGATGTGGAAAGTCGCACAGACGCAACGGTCAAATCAGCCGAGAAAGAGGGTGAGGAGGAAAACTTGAAGTCTTCAGATTACGCAGACTCAGCAATAACCAACGATGCTCTCACAGCGTCTATGCCAGCCGAGCTCAAGGCCATTGAGACCTCACAAACCGAACCACCAATTGCCCCGGAGTCGACCCCAAAAAGAGCAAGACTTGATCTGGCCAGTACACGTCGCCTTGTTTTCGGTTCTCTCGGTTTAAGAGCGCCAAAGAACGCCAAAGAAGACCAGGCATTGAGGGTAAAGCTGTCACAAAACATTCGGCAACCAAAACAGCATGAAGGTCATCATGAGAACAGTGCTTCCGAGTTTTCACAACGGTCGCCAGTCGAGGGAACTAATGACGATTTCTGGAAAAACAGATTGATCGTATCGGCAGTCGAATGCGAAGAGCCTGGGGCTTTCTTACCACCGCCACCATTTCCGTTCGAACAGGGGTGGGCCAAACCGGACAGAAACAAGCGGAAACTACGTGATCAAAGCCAGTATTACCAGAGTAGAAATGACCGGTCGCGTGGGAAGGACAAAGGATCTTTTGCACCTGTTGTTTCAACTCTGGAATATGATGACGTCTCAGCAGACACTTCGAGCAATCATGCTGTGCCGACACTTGATGGAAATTCGGATATACCAGCTCAGAAAGATCTCGACAGCCTTCCAGAACTCGAGCAGGCAATGGTTCTGCCAGGCGCCACTATTGCCTACAAAGAACTGCACGTCGATGCTTCGACAAATTATCAGCCAGAAGTGTCTCACTACAGAATTGGCCAAGTAACGCAAGTGGATGAGGACGGTACGGTTCACCTCCACTTGACGAACGGCTCAAGAGCTGCAGATTCGAAGGGTAAAGTCGATCCACGTACAGGCGAAAGAGTCTACGGCAAGTTCGAGCTAGCCGGTGAAGATGCAGATACCGGAGCTGACGACGGTCTCCGCGAAATTTCGCTCGCGGACATGATCTCTGCGAAGCTGGTCAAGCCCTCTACGATCGAAGTTCCCGATAGTAACCATGCTGGCGGGCCAAGGGGCGGCGAAGCACCTCTATCATCGAGCGAAAATCAATTTGTCAACATCCCTGAGTCAGCAGAACAAGATGTTCAGTTAAATGAAGCAGAAAAGCCAAGTTCAGCCATCGACGCAATTGATACACCTCGCAAACAAGAAATCAATGGGATAATCAAGGAGGCGGGCTTCAGCTCAGCTCTAGACGAAGATTTACTTCGACCTATCCCTGACCTTGCGGCCGGTGACTTGAAAGCGCCCGCTGTGCCCGGCGAAGAAGAGGCCCAGTCGCAAGGGCAATATCCCCACAGATTTCGTCCAAGATCCCCCGGTCTCGACTTGTCTTTGCCTGGTATGGATACTTCATCGGACGTGGACCCCAGTACCACTCACAACGAAGGATCAGGTGATGCTGACGCTACTGGGAGCTCCCAGCTCCCTCCAACCTCGTCACCATTGATACCGACCCAAGAAACCGTTGACTATCCTCACATCTCTCAAATGGACATCCATTCTTCGGAATCTACGGGCAACACCAACAGCAGCTCGCATCAGGATGCACAAAAGGACTCACTAGCTCCCTCGATTGATCTATCCTCTGCTTCTGACCCGAAGACAGCATCAAACGAGATGTCGAGTGGCAAGAAGGGTGAACTGGGAGCTGAAGTCGTTGGTGATGAGAACCGTAGCCATTCAGAAGGCGAGCCCAACTCACTCGAGTCGGAGATACCGGAGTCGCAATCCCAAAAGACCTCGATGCCTTCCCAAAACATGACAACCGATGGTGAAGAAATAGGAGACAGGAGTTCTTTTTTAGGAGAACTTGGGTACGATGGTCACGACTCATCGTACCATGACTCCGGCATTAGTGATGATGACAGCGATTTGCCCTCCCTGAGCGAACTTCTCTCCACCCAAAGAAACCGCAGACGGACCCGATCGCTCACCAAAAGAGCGTCCCCTCCGGCTCCAGCAAGGAAGTCTCTTCGCAATGCGACGAAAAAGGCAGGAAAGAGCCCAACTCCGCAGGGCAGTCCTGATCTTTCGGCTCGGCATCGGGCTAATAGCAAGGTGTCGCAAAGCCAGAGCAAGTCAAGACTATCCCAGGTTTCTTCAGGATCACCTGTGGTGGACCTCACTTTCTCAAGCGATTCGCAAAGCCCGCCCGTGGATCTGACTGACGATAGTGAGCTGCTTTACAGCCAGAAAAAGATTAAGTCTGAAGTCAACAATCTCAATCGTGGCACGAGTGCGAGAACTGGGAAGCAGGATAGCGGGATTGGGAGTAGAAGACTACTAACCACGAAGAAGGTTAGAGAGTACTATTGAAGAGCGCACGACAGAGCAGAAGCCTGGTGCTGGAGGGTTGCGACCACTTCGGTATGGTGCAAAGCCATGAGTAATCATAAGATATAGTCGCTTATGGCAACATGATTCTGGTCGAATCACCGCATGCGCTGTAAAGATAATGATAATACATATGATAACTATGTACACTGATATTCTTAACTGTGGAACATAAGCTTGGGAGGCAGGGAGGCAAGGGAGGCAGCCTTGCCAACAGGACTAGCGAGGCTTACTTAAGGCTGCAAGGCTGCAGTCGGCGTCATCGCGGCACTGCGTCTCCAAATGCATCGCGACAGTCTGGCTTCTTCACGCGATCATTTTTGACTCTCCGGTTGACTCGTTTTCCCTAAGGAGGTAGTCGCCTGTCTTCTGTCGAGGTAACCGCTTGCAGTTGCTCTGCGGTCTCATAATGTGTCATCGGTAACGCTCGCCTGCAAACTGCCATGCTGGCCCAGAGATTCGATGGGATCTTCACGATCCTCCTTTGTAAGTTACGCGCATCCTAAAGCCTGACCCTAGGTCTAAGTATCATCTCCAGACTTATCCATCGCCATTTCTATTCTCGTCCCTTCATACCGAACCTCGACTGCGGTGAGAGCCGAATCATTGGACTCGGAGCTCGAGTCTCCGCACAGCGAGCAGGAGAAGCACAACTACTGGGCGCAGGGTGGAAATGACATTGTTCACGAGATATGGTCGGTGTTGCGGGACTTTGAACCGACATGGAAAGACAGCGTGGTTCCGGCACAACCTTCTGGCCTCCTGGGGACGGTCTGGCATTACACGAGAATCATCTTCCGCGCGTTGTTCATGAATACTCCGACTCGGGACGACAATAATGGCCCCAAGATCAAAGGGGACTTGAAGAAGGGAGTGGATTCCCTCGCCATGGCGGCCTCCTTTGACGACCCAGACGCGATCTTCCTGCTCGCTGAGATGAATTTCTACGGCAACTTCTCCCACCCGCGCGACTTTGAAAGAGCCAAGTATTGGTACCGTCGTCTGGCTGATTTGGACGGTAATTCCACGGCACAATATATGTTGGGACTGATGTACGGGACGGGAGTTGGCGGCCTGGAAAGAGACCAGGCAAAGGCGCTGTTATACCACACGTTTGCCGCGGAGCAAGGGAACATCAAGTCCGAAATGACGCTGGCTTACAGATATCATGCCGGCGTTGGGTGTTCTAGAAACTGCGACAAGGCTGTCTCTTACTACAAAAGAGTGGCAGATAAGGCCATATCATATTGGCATTCAGGGCCTCCTGGGGGATACTCCTTTGTCCGCAACTCCTACCGCTGGGTCGAGGTTGATGGAGGCATCTACGGCGAAGGTGCAAGTGTCAGCTCTTCGGGCCCCAACGCTCCTCGAGATGGCGTCACCGCAGCGCATATTGACTATGTCCTCGATTACCTCGACACAAAAGAGCGACAAGGTGACTTCAACGCAATCATCACACTAGGCAAACACTACTACGAAGCCCCTCGGGGTTACAAGCGCAACTTCCGCAAAGCACAGCGACAATTTATGAAAGTCGCACGGGTCTACTGGACAAAGGACGGCAAGGTGTCGGCAAAGGCACCCAAGGGTATCGAACGTGTGGCAGGAAAAGCGGCAGCGTATCTTGGGCGCATGTTCCTCCGTGGCGAGGGCATGGAACAAAACTTTGAAAAGGCTCAAATATGGTTCAAGAGAGGTGTTGCCCTCGGTGATTCCTTTGCTCAATATCACATGGGCTTGATGTATCGCGATGGTCTAGGCGTGCCGCAGGATGGGCTACGTGCTGGCTCATACCTGAAGGCTGCTGCAGAACAGTCTCTCCCTTTGGCTCAATCGGCGCTGGGAGTGCTCTTCCTGGACCAGGGGGACATCGAGACCGCTGGACGATATTTTGAACTCGCGGCGGGAGCGGGAGTCATGGAGTCGTTCTACTATCTCGCGGAACTCACGAACCAAGGAGTCGGCCGTGAGCGCAATTGCGGCCTGGCAGCTGCCTACTACAAGGTGGTTGCGGAAAGGGCAGAAGTCTTGCATTCCTCCTTTGTTGAAGCCAACTCGGCTTACGAAAGAGGTGACTTTGAAAGAGCGTATATCGCTTCGATGATGGCTGCTGAGCAAGGGTATGAGAATGCACAAGCCAATGTGGCGTACTTGCTCGACCACAAGACGTCGGTGATATCGCTACCCGACCTCAATATTCCTCTTCTCTCGACGACCAAATCCGGCGCGAAAATGAGCAAACTGCTCAACGATCCATACCTGGCTCTGGCATACTTTACCCGCTCTGCCAAACAAGCCAACGTTGACTCCTTGATTAAGATGGGCGACTATTATCTCTCCCTGTCATCGCCCACCAACGCAGCACTCACGCTTTACCCGACCGAAGACAACGGCGAAGCGAAAACCAACCTGGAAAAAGCAACAACGTGCTATACCACGGCTGCGGAAACACATCACTCGGCCCAAGCCCTGTGGAATCTGGGGTGGATGCACGAAAATGGCATCGGCAGCGTCTCGCAGGACTTCCACATGGCCAAGCGCTACTACGACCTCGCGCTGGAGATGAACAAAGAGGCCTATCTGCCCGTGACATTGGCATTGGCAAAACTAAGGCTCCGAAGCTGGTGGAATGGCGTGAGTGGTGGAAAGGTCAACGGGATCAAAGACGACGAAGCGGAAGAGGAACAACGGCGGCCCAAGACGTGGATCGAATGGGTGAACAGATTCCTGGATGCGGCGGAAGAGATGGACGCGCGCGAGGCAGAAGCCCTCGCGAGGGAGCGCGATGGAGACGACGAGCTCTTGGGCTACGCCGACCCGGGGGTGGCTGGTGACGGTAACACCGAATACGCCGATCGAGCCGCACACGGCCACGGCCACGGCCAGCGGGGCGGAGGAGGCCCAGGCCGGGTCGAAGGCGACGTCTACGGCGCCGACGAATGGGACGAGATCGACGACGGCCTTGTCGAGAGCCTCATCATCATCGCCCTTGCCGGCGCCCTGGCCCTGCTCGTCTACGCCCGCCAGGCCCGCCAGAGAGTTTTGGAGGAAGAGAGGCGTCAAGCTCAAGCTCAGAATCAGAACCAGAACCAGAACCAGAACCAGGGTTTCGCCCAGGCAGCCGCTCCTCAGCACCCGCCACAGCAGCAACAACCCCACGCGAACAATGGCGGCCAGGATCGAGGCATGTTCCCGCCCCCCGGGGATCTGGACTGGAATAATTGGGTTGCCGGCGGGATTGGGCATTGAGCGGGTGAGTGACGGAAGTGACATGTTTTGAGATGTTTGGGATGTCCGAGACACGTGGTGTCTATTATGGATTGTATCATACATGAAACAATAAAACGGTGCGAGATCTTCTCGGCACGATTTTCTTCTGGGGGCCTCGTCTTGCGTAAGTAATCTGAAGAGACTTTTGGAAGCGGACAGTATACCATGTATGGTATTCATTCATATATTCTATATGGATTTGTGTGGCCTTCATAAAAGGGAGTTGAGATGGATTCGCCTCGATAACTGCTAACCCCCGGCTGCTCCGTTGCGACAATATACCGAGTACAAGCAGTTTTCTGCTCTCCAACTGTGGCCCACGCTCAGCGAACATGCGTAATCGTACAAAGGACACCGTCAAGATTGCTGCTGCTTCAGCACCGTCTAAGTCCACTGGCCTTGTGGTGTCGAGGTTCAATCCAAGGCGCGCCCTATTCTGTGTGTTGACAGAATCTCCAGGCCTGTATGGTTGCATCTCTCTGGCGGCGGAAGCGAAGTGCTTTCATGCTCATAAGCGCATCACTCCACCTCCTTTCTCATACCCGGGAAAACGTGACCCGGAACCACTGCCATGCTCAGAATGTCGCTTATAGAGCACTGTACCCTGGACGAAGGAAACGGCTTTGCGGCCGTACACGACCGTACGTAGTGGTCTCTTCCGCAGTTCCTCCTTCAAGCTGGAATTGTCCCGGATGTCCTCACTGACCAGTGCAACGAGAGTGCGGTACGGTCGCGGCAGCTTCGGGCTCTTGCTCACTCAGCGTATTCGGAAGTCTTGGTACTCGAAGATGGCGATTAGAACCTGTTTCGGAGGTCCTTTGAAGGAGTTCGAGCAGAGTCATCCTGTCAGGCACCACTAGTGCTATCATGCACAGTTTGCACTTTCTTATATTCCTCCTCAAGCTGTCTCTGCATGTCAAAATCCGCCTGTCTCTCTCGCTTTATGCGTTGTTGTTCCATATCTCGAACGACACCGGCATGCATGGCCTGTGAAAGAAAGAAAAGAGTCAGCGTCGAGGATTCACACGTGCGAAACAGCTGTTTCAGATGACGGATCAGGATCGAGGAGATGTGTACATACAGCTTGTTCGGCGGTCTGGGCCCAGTGGACAAAGGCGACTATGCCGGCGGTACCCAGAATAGTGCTGAGGAGGGTAATCTTCGAGGCGGTAGACATGGTGATTGACCCTTCCAAAACGATGTTTGCAGGTGAAGAAAAGCAACTGAAGGGAAAAATAAATGTTTAAGCGGGCGGGAGTTGGAGAACACGAAGCTCCACAGCTTCGAGAGGGAGAGCTCGGCGGGCAGGCGCATCATCGCGAGGATACGAACACTAGACGGGCTTGACAGGTACACCACCAGCTCAACACAACTTTCTCTGCGCAATCCCCCTTTCCTTGAGCTCTTCCTGCTTGTTCCTCGTAGCCTATTCTACTCCTCTTCCTCACACTACTTGTTCGAATTCGTCAATAGCAAGATGGTTCGTATCTGTCCCTCCACGGCGTTACGTTTATGCTAATGCCAATCCAGTCTGCCCAGAACTCGGCGGGCATCCAAACCCTGCTGGACGTAAGTCAAGAGTGAGGTTCGGGGAAAAACGCGAGAGATGCTGAAATATTGGGCAGGCAGAGAAGGAGGCTCAGAAGATTGTCCAGAAAGGTATGTATCCTACGATCTGTTCCGTCACGGGCGAGGTTCCTTGCTAACGCAATCCTGCACCACAGCCAGAGAATGTAAGCTTTGACAGCTCTCCCCCATCCAGCATTTATCGGATCAGTCTAACGCGCCCCTTTCTTCGCCAGATCGAACAAAGAGGGTAAAGGACGCCAAATCGGAAGCTCAGAAGGAGATCGAGGAATACAGGAAGAAGAAGGAGGAAGAGTTCAAGAAGTTTGAGGCTGAGGTGCGCATTCTACGATGACCCCGGAGCCAGGCCTGCGAAGCTTATCAATTTATGCGCAGCAATCAAGCGGGAACAAGAAGGCCGAAGACGATGCCAGCAAGGACGCAGAGGCCAAAGTGAAGGAGATCGACCAGGCGGGCAAGAAGGCAGGCGCCAAAGTCATCGAAGACCTAATCAAAACGGTCATGTCTCCTCATCCTGAAGTGCCGGATAAGATCTCGAGGGAAGACTAAGATACAGAACCATGGGAGATAGTGCAGCGTTCGATGTCAGACAAGACGGAGAGTGTCGCAGTTCTGGGGGAAGGGCAGGCAATTACACAATGGGCTGGCGCATTGGAGTCGAATCCTCTACAAACATAGACATTGCTCGAAAGGGCATGCTATAAATCATATTGACTGAATTCGTCCAAGAGATTTCTATGGTAGTTCCCGGGAGGACGTAGATCACTGCGGCTCTACTGTATGGTTCCAATGGCAGTCTCACCGCACGACACTTAGTGAAGGGGAGGATTGTCGTATTGTTGCTCGCTCTCTCCAGCCGCACCCTGGGTTGATATGCACGCCTTATCATTATAAACACATAGAATCCGGTCCCCTGTCCCAAACCTGGCCTAGAGATACAGCCCATTAAATCCTCGCATACAGTGCATGATCTCTATCTCCTTCAAAACCCTTGTTTAGCAAGCTCCTCCGCAACGGCGAGGTAAAAGGCCACGGCGTTGAATTTCTCCTCGACCAGGCCCACGCGACTGGCCATCTTCTTGAGGCGGTTCGTCCAGTTGATCAGGTCCAGGTGCGTGACGCCGGCCAGGGTGCCCTGGTACTCGCCCCACTTTGCGCTCCTGACGCTGACGAGGCCGTCGTTGGGGCCCTCGAGCATGTCCATCAGGTCGTGGGACAGGCGGAACACGGACAGCAGGTGCGGCGTCGCGCTGGCCCCGTACGACAGGTACTTGACCGACGGGTCGTTGGGGGTGCGCGGGTTGAAGTGCTCGGTCACGTAGCGGGTGGTCAGCTGCGCGAAGGCGCCCGAGTCGATGTTCATGCGGCCCAGGAGCTGGTACAGCCGCGGGAGCAGGTCCGGCCCGATGTCCCGGATCAGCATGTCGGCGGTCGAACTGCCCCGGTGTGGTGTGGCGACGGTGGTCAGGGACCGCACGCGGAAGAGTGATGGTGGAGGACACAGCCGCGAGATCATGTACCGCGCGTCCAGCCCGCCCATGCTGTGCGCGATGATGTTCACTTCCCTCCCCCCACCATCACCACCGTTTCCATCCTCGCCCTTTCCCCCAGTTGCCGCCGGGGGAAGCCTCTTCGCGATCTGGTCCATGAGCACCTCGGCGCGCTCGGCGATCGACGCGGTCCTCGGCACCGTCGTTGTGATGCACTGCACCCCGCGCGCCTGGAACGCCTCCTTGATCCCGCGCCAGTAACTGATCCCGGGCAACAGATCCCCCGCGAGCCGCAGTTCGTCGAACCCCATCAGCCCGTGGGCCAGCACGATCGGATACTTGGGCGTCAGGTAGTGGGCGCGGAGGCAGGCGTAGTCGCTGACGATGAAGCGGCCAGTGTCGGCGAGCGAGCTGGAACTGTCCGGGTCGTAGGACGGGATGTTCTTGCTTTGTTGGTCGCCGGTTTCGCCATGGGTGGTGGTGGTATTAGGACCATCGGTGGATAATGATCCTTTGGTAGATGTCGATTCGTGTCGAACTCGGACATGCTCACGAAGGGTCAAGATCTCTGAGACGCGTAGTCGCCTCCCCCTTATGGGGACTCCGGCATGAAGGCGTGAGACCCTCCATGACATGCTACCGTCTCCTCAAAGAAGCCACTCTGATCCCTTGGTGCGCTGGATGGTGAAGTGGATTCCATTGGCTGTTGACTTTCTGTCAAAGGTTGGGAAAAGCTGTCCATTTGCCATCGACACCATTTTGAAATCCATGTTTCAACGACATCATTAACTTCGGAGCTGCTTTCCGAAGTCTGGCCGATTGGCTTTTTCGTCACTTCATTCAGCCTCGTGCCTGGTGACGACCTTCAGAGGATGAATTGACGTAGCCCCATCTTCGATATTGTATGTTCACTGAAGTGGTATCTAATACGCCAGATCTGGATTACAGCTATCACCCCCGCGTCTGTATTGCCCAAAGCTCTATCATTCTTTGCGTCTATCCAGCGACATATTAGCCCTTTCCGCTAAACTCACAGGGCTCGACTCATGTCCATCCAGACCGCTCATAGCAGGAATCTTTGGTGAGGATGCCGGGGTTTGGTACTGGCCTAAACAAACCGTGACCAACCCGTTGCTCTTTAGCTTGCTCGACTGATCTCTAGTCTCGCTCTCTTGACTCTCCCGCATTATCTTTCCCGCAGCGTAGGCACATCCGCCATATGCAAAGCGGATCAGAGAATCACCAGTCAGACTACCGATAATGAAAACATGTGGCGCAACCTCGAGATCTTCGTTCGCCTTTTCGCGCAGTGTCTGTGCTGATATCATACCAGCATCACGTAGCGCTTCGGCTTCTTTAGGTATCACTTCCTGCAGAAGGGATGGTGCGAGATACTCCAACGAGCCCCGTCTTCCAACCACATACTCCAAACCACTCACTTGGCGCTGGAATGGTGTTTCCTTCGTGCTGGCGTTCTGAAAAGTGACCGTGGCTGCTAGTCCGTCGTCAGAGACTTGGACATCGACGACTTCAGTGTTCGGCAACCCCTCGTAGGTCGCGTTCCAATCGCGACTCAAATCGAAGTCGGACATGATTCGACGATATCTCGGGCGTTTGTCCTTGGGCTTTGAAGAAGGGTTCGCGGCAAGTTTCATCCGCCGGTACACGCCTGCATATTCAGGATAAGCTTGCTGGTGGCAAGCACGTAACGGAGATGGTGACGTCGACGGAGCCCATTTGTAAATGTGAATGATCTTTTGGTTTGGTGGGCTCGAGATAATCACATCGGCAGCACTGAAGCCGGAGCCAATGACAAGAAGCGGGTTTGTGGACGGTCCCATCTGTTTGGCACGGAGTTCAACGAGAGGACAGAGTAGCGGTCGTGGTTGGATGAGCTCGCTGAAAATTCCAGACGCGAGGACGAGATTCTTGCACAGAATATTATGCGATGCGATATAGAAACCATTGCCCCGACGAGAAACCCCCCGGACTTGCTCTCCGTTATGGATCGAGTCGGCGATGCCCACATGGAAGGGATATTCAGCAAGATAGTCGGCCACAGCATGGCGGGATGGCCTGATATAGACGGGCATTGGCCGACCATTTCGTCTTTGGTAGTGTTCATCAAAGCCGTAGCCGGGAAGCGAAATCATTCCCGCATAACTAAGAGTTCCAATATCCCAACTTGCGTGGACAGGATTCTCTACCCATTGCCCGCCTGTGCTGTGAGTTTGTCCAATAACCATATGAGCAACCGCTCGCGAAGGCTCGTAAGCCCATCGAATGCACGTCTTTTTCTCCGCGTCATCGGTTTCTCCCAGAGGTCTCACTAATGTGTCCAGTAACACGTTCACCGGCAGGGCCTGCGTTGAGTAGGAGAACCGCGAACCAGCGAAATGCTCCGTCAGGTGATCGAAGTCGATATCGAGGAGATCATGGCCCAGCCGAAGCAGTTTCTCGTGGAGGATGGCATCCGGATGCGGGCTAGATTCATCGTAGTATGGGATGTGTCCATGGAGGATGTACGAGAGAATCAGGGAGGAGGGCCCGTTTCCTATAGAGGGCGCAAGAGGTACAGAGTCAGTCTGGTTTCCCCTCTATCCACCTTTGGTGCCGAGAGATGAGAGCATCGGTGATGGAGCGAGCAGCACTTACCAACAATGACGGTGTCAACCTTTTGAGGCTCGCCATGAGCCATTGAAAATCTCGTCCCCTTGAGGATTCTGGCATTGTCCTAGGGGCGATGGTAAATCCGTATGAATGAACTTTTTTTCTTCACTTTGTCGATAATCGCGGAGGAGGGGCACTTCGGTTGATTCTAACGGGAGAAACAGGGGAGAGAATCTGACCGGCGGGGTGGGCTCTGGGCGGGTAATGGGGTGGGGGGGGGGGGGGTGCCCCAATTGGAACTCAGAATAGCCCCAAAAGGTTCCTAAAAGGTGGGCAGGTCTCGCTAGGTTCGGAGCAGCTCGCCACCTGCATGGTGTGTGGGTTTAACTAATCTGAGTACCTAGTATCGCAACTTCAACTTGAGGTCTCGAACCCTCGGTCAGCTGAAAGATTTCCACATCTGGCAATCATTTACTACACAAGATGGATACCTGTTGCGATGGCTTCTTCTGTCCTTCGCTGAAATCGACTGGGACCATCCCACTAGGTCGATCAGATCATCCTATGTCAGGAGACACTGCTGCGGACAAGCAGGAATCGTGGAGGCTTAGAGCTTCCACACAGGTGTTCTCTTTTCAAAGAAGGCATTGATACCTTCCCTGGCATCCGCAGATCTTGCATGAAGCGCCATGAGCCTGCCAGTCCATGCCACGGCATCTTCGTAGCCATCTCCTCCGGAAGTAGAGGAAGCCCCAGACAGTCCCAACTGCGTCCAATATCCCCATTTGCCCAGCGCCTGTGGCTGTGCCGCCGTCTTCTCTGATAACTGACTAACTATTTGGGCTACCCGCATCTCTAGAGCTGCCTCATCTGGACACACCTCAACTACCCCTCCTGGGAGCTGATCGGCTCGGACTGGCTCGGCCAGGGCCAGCATCCGGTACGTAAACGTATGTCCCAGTCTGCGCGAGACGGCTGTGGACGGAGATGTGCATGGCAACCCTAACGATGCTCCAGGCAGGCGAAATTGAGTTGAAGCACATGCCAGTGGGAGATCCGTTGTTAGAGCCAACTGGGCCCCTGCAGCTGTCGCCAGGCCTTGGATAACCCCAATCACTGGGGCCGGAGAGCGCCTGATCAAGGACATGACTTCGGCGCAGAGGGCGAATGTCTCCTTTACTTCGTCGTGGCTCAGATTTCGTAGCTCGCCCAGGTCGTGGCCTGATGAAAAGACAGAACCCTCAGTTCGTAGCACGATAACATTGGGTAGTCCCTGTCGATGCTCTTGCCAGCGTTCGATGTCCAGGAGCCATCCATGTTCCTTTGCAGCTTCGGAATTCTCGGCTTTTGCTGCCGTCTCTAAGTCCTCCAGTATTCCCGGTTTGAAGGGAGGAAGTATTCTCACCCGGCCGTCAACAGGTGATCTGTTGTATGCGTGCAGTTGATCACGTAAATCCCGCAGGACTGCGAGAGAAAGCGCATTTCGACGCTTTCCATTCTTGATCGCCAGATAAGCAGCGCGATTTGGCAAGGCTGGCCAAGTCATGTTGAAAGAATTTCCTTATTGGTGGGTTGAGTACGTTTTCAAATGTGTTATGTGCTCTCAACAGTTGATTTATTCCTGCTCCTCTGTGGAGGCGCGCCAATGCAAGCTCACCCGTTCTCGAATATCGCTCTCCGGCAGTGGGGCACAAATCACGGGGGCATTTCCGATCCGAGGTCGTTCCTTGAATATGTCGGTGTCATTTCATCGCATGACGAGGCTACCATTTCGTCGATCCATGACATCTGTGCCTCGTCGACGGTATGTACCATTCTCCACCGGCTTGTTCTTATCATTGATGAAGGGCTTTCGTGGCCAAGATCGTGCAATATCGATTCGTGATCTCGGGGCCCAGATCTCCAGGAACAGAAATATGAGATAGTCGATGACAACGCAGAGGCAGAATAGCTTCCCAGCCCATATACCACATCCATAATATCGTTTTAGTCGGTCGATCAGTGCGTAACCGCGGACACGGGAGGCACTCCAAGGGGCATTTGCATGTTGACCGTAGAACTCTTGTTCAGTAATCGCGCCCGTGATGCCATCATATACTCGTTCCGTCCGTTGGGCAACATCGGTCCAGGAATACATCATCTTGACCTGATCGTGGAAGCGTTCAGTTTTCACCTTGCCCGAGCGCAAGGCAGCTATAGCTTTACCAGTCGCCACAACCAAGTCGTCCTCTTCAGGCTTAGCAAAGGTCGTCATGTGCGCTGGAAGCACCTCAGGTATCCCACCGACTCTGGTACAAACCACGTACAGCCCACAACTCGCGGCCTCCACAATCACGGTCCCAAACGCCTCAGTCAGGCTTGGATGTAAGTAGATATGCCCCTTGACCATCACGTCACGGACTTCTTCATGGCGCACAGGGCCGAGCAATTCGACTTTGTCTTGAAGCATTCGCCTTTCGAGCATCTGTTCTAGATCGATGGCTTTGGGCCCTGAGCCGGCGATGATGAAACGGACATTAGGATGTGCGGCAAGGATTCTTGGAATGGCAGCAATCAAAAGATCGGTTCCTTTGTTGTAGAAGAGTCGGGATATCACCACAATCACAATTGTGTCTCCAGGACCGAGGCGCTGTGGAAGTGGCCTGGGTCTCATATATCCGGTATTGTTGTCGGACTTGGAGACGTATGTCTTGGGTTGGAAGTTTTCGGCAACCACGGCATTCGGTATCACTGACACCATCAACGGGTCAAGAGACGCTCGAAGAACGGTATTTTCCTTGCAGGTATGGCTGACACAGATGACATGGTCAACATCACTTAGGGCGAACTTGAGTAGCTTGTTCGTCAAGATGGAAGCAGCGTCAGCAAATCCAAACAGGGAGTGATCGGTGAAAACGGTGCGTAGGCCCATGGTTCGAGCGTGAAGAATAGCCTCATGACAGAAGCTGCTCAAGCTTCCATGACCATGAACAATCTGGATCTCTTCCCTGATGACGATGTTGCGGAAAATGGGGAAGAACGAGAACACCGTGGGCATGGTTGTTTCTCGGTAGATGACCAGGAAGGGAACGTGGTAGACTTTTAGTCCGTTCGTCAAGTAATGAATCCCCGTGCGGCCATTGTATGCATGTGTGATCACCACGACCTTATGGCCACGATCGATCAGCTTCGAAGATAGCTGGTATATGTGGCTTTCCACACCCCCCGGTTGGGGGAAGAAGAAGTCGCTGACCATCGCAATGTTGTAAGGCATAGTGACCAGGTATATGTCTCATCCGATTTTGCTGAAGCCCCGAGGAAGACATGCCACTTTCGACAATCAGAGCCATCAATGATTTTCGCGATTGCGTCTTGTTTGGCGTATGGATATCGCTGTTGCTCATGGCCGACACGAGATGCAGGCAGAAAAAAGGGGAAATTCGGGGCATCGCAAGCCCGAAGGCGGTGAGGAAATTCTGCCGGCGAAATTTCCAAACTTTCATCGACCAATATTCATGAACCTCCAATTCTCTCATCCCACGCTCGAGACTACACCACGGGAAAGGAGGTTTCCTCCGTCTTCTCTTAGCACATGTCTGGCTTCTATGCACGCTATGTGCCCTCTCCCAAAGGGACTTCCACCATCGCAGATACCACCGAGAAACCTGTGTCGAACGGAGAGAAGCGCAAAAGACATCAAGAAGCCCCGACGCAGGAGAAGAAGCGCAAGAAGCTGAAAACCTCCAAACCGTCAGATCAACAAGATGACACGCCTCCCCTCAACGCTTCAAACAAAGCCAGTGTGGTCACCGAAGACCCTCCAACAGTGACAGCGAGGCGAAGCTTGGACAAAAATCGCCTTACCGAGGGTTCAGAGCCTCCGCCTACTTCAGTGACAGATAAACCCAAGGTCTCGGAGGGACTGCAACACGGCAAATCCCACCTGAAAGATGGGAAAGAAGAAGCACATAATAAGTCAGGAAGCAAGAAGAAGGAAAAACGGCGTAAAACCCACGAACAGCAAGAAGAAGAGGCAGATGTTGCAGCGTATGCACAGAAGCATAGCGCACTGCTCACAAAGTATGAAAAGGCGAGAGAACACGATCAGACAGAAACGAAGATCAACGAGGCACCAGATGAAACGCCCACAGAACTCCATGGACTCGAACCCATACCTCAACCAAAACAGATAGACGTAGTCTCAGAGAAGCCAACCTACTCGATCCTTCCACCTTGGCAAGAGGACCCATTAGTCGTCCCTTTGGATCTAACCTCAACTTTCGAGTCACTCGGAGTTCAAGAGCCCTTGTCGGAAAATTTGAGAAGACAAGGACTACGACATGCATTACCAATACAAGCATCGGTATTGCCATTATTACTTAATGGCCCTGATCATCGTTCAGGCGATCTTTGTGTTTCGGCCGCTACAGGCTCTGGTAAAACTCTCTCATATGTCCTCCCCATTGTGGCCGACTTGAAGGATATCCCAGGTACCAAGCTCAGGGCGGTTATTGTTGTCCCAACACGGGAGCTCGTAAAGCAGGTACGTGATCTGTGCGATGCTTGTGCAGCCGGGACTTCTCTTAAATTTGCGACCGCCGTGGGAAGCAAATCTCTCACCGAGGAGCAAGATCTGCTTATAAAGGAAGACAAGATCTACGACCCCGAGGAATACGAGCGATGGCAACCGAGACCCATCGACTGGACCGATTTTTCTTTATCCAAGCTGGCCCAAAATGTCAGAGATGCGGACCCAATGGAGTGGGTGGGATATGTCACACGCTATAGATCAAAGGTGGATGTGCTGATCACGACGCCCGGTCGGTTAGTCGATCATCTCAAATCTACTGTGGGCTTCACTCTCAATGATGTGAAGTGGCTCGTTGTGGATGAAGCAGACAGATTGCTCAACGAAAGTTACCAGGAATGGATCGCCGTGGTCAAGCCAGCTCTAGAGTCACGGGCGGCTACTCTGACGAGGGACCAGATTCTCCACCACATGAGGATACCAATACCGAAACGAAGTGTCACCAAGATCTTGCTTTCCGCTACCATGACCCGTGACTTGTCTAAGCTCAATGCTCTGGGGCTATGGAACCCGAAACTAATCGTGCTGGGCGGTAATCAAGAAAAGACAAGGATGACAGGGGTCATTAAATCTCCTGAACGTGTTGATGAGTTGGTGCAGAAAGACAACGAAGTTGTCCATCTTCCCGAGACCTTGAAGGAAACCGTGATTCCCGTCACTGACGCTGCCGAGAAGCCATTGTATCTCCTGGAACTTCTACACAATCATATCGCACTACCTCAGAAGCTGCTGAATGCGGACGATGTCGCTGGGATTTCTTCATTACATTCGGGCGTCGAGTCAGACTCCACTTCGACATCAGAATCCAACTCAGAAGATCTGACATCTTCAGAAGACGAGCAGGACTCGAACTCGAACACTGAATCAGACTCACGCGCAGGCTTGACACCTACCAATGTCAGCTCAAAGAAGTACCCAGAAAGCCAGATGACGCCAGCAGTGGCCCGAGCACTGATTTTTACCCGGTCGACCGCCTCAGCTACCAGACTCTCTCGATTATTACAGATCATTGATCCTCTTTTGGCTCCCCGAATTTCTACCCTGACGCGCAGCACTGCCTCGTCTGCCTCATCACGACGGGCCTTGGCTTCATTCCGCAGGTCAAAGATATCAATCTTGATCGCGACAGACCGTGCCTCTCGTGGGCTGGATGTACCGGGTCTTGAGCATGTCATCTCATATGATGTGCCGAACAGTCCTTTGACATATGTGCATCGAGTGGGCCGAACTGCTCGAGCCGGGAGAGCTGGCCATGCATGGACATTCCTTGAACATAGGGAAGCAGCTTGGTTTTGGCGCGAGATCGGGGGTAAAGTCAAGCACGCAACATCGGGAACAGGCATTGATGGCATTTCAATCAAGAGGCAGACTAAGATTTCAAAACTCCATTTGAGCGTTGAGGGAGTAGAGGTCAAAAAGCGATACGAAGCGGCTCTGCAGCAACTAGAGAAAGAAGTGTTGGGCAAGTAATCAGGGGTGAATGTGTCAATCTGTGACATTATCTATATAAGCCCTAGTAACACATTCTATTCGTACTCCTGGAAATCTCCTTCGGATCGACGAATGGGATCAAGGATACGATCTGCCGAAAATTCTTGACGAGTAGAACAACCTCATCGGCGTTTCTCCTCTATCAGGCGGCAGTGTTCCACAACCTCACTTTCGCTTCATCCAGAGCGCCTCTTGACTCTGGTATCTTATCGTGGGAAGGCGAGTGATTTGGATTCGTGCGACAGGAGGTGCATTCGATGAAGCCTTGAAGCCTTGAAGCCTTGGGTGTCATTGCTGTTGGTGTGGAGGGTGAACTACCCAAGTCGCGACTCACTGCGGCGCAACAACCTTGAACATGGACGTCGACCTCTTCACATTCCCTGCCAGATGCTACGCCAAAGACAATTTGCGGAATGCGAGCGATACTGACGCCTGTCTTTCCACTACACCTATTTTTTCCTCCAGGACGATGCCGGAGCTAGCGACTGAAGCGCTTCAGCTCACTCGACCTCTCCTTAGAGCCCAGTCCTGAGAGTTCTAGCAGCGTTTCTTCAACTCACACACACCAGAGATAGTCTCCTCAATACTTTCCTCTCCTTTCCTCCAGCCTCGAAACCAGCAGACACTTCGTCTGAAACATCCAATACTACGTCATATGATAGGCGGACATCGACCAGGGTGCTGATAGGACATCCGGAATGGTCTGTGATTCCCATGACTGCGGACCTGTCAGGATTGTTTCCTGTACAAGAAACGATCGGTATGTTCCCCGTCTCAGTAGAAGACTTGCATGGCTATCGAGAAGCGTGATGATACTAAGAGAGAGCAGCTTCGATCCTTGTGATAGCCCCGATCCATCTTCCTTACCCGCAACATGCTGTGTCGGCAATCATGTCCCCAACATCGGCAACTCAATCTCGTCTCTACCTCCGATGTCAACTTGGATCGCGTCTTCGTCCTCGTCTCGTCTTGGCTGACTCACGTCGCAGGTGGCTGGGTTAACAGGCGAACTCTGGTTGTGGGCTGCTTCCAGACATCATCCACAACGGGAAATCATCCACGAGGCTTTCAGACACTCAGCAGCAGAATGAAGCTACATATCACGAGAGGCAGGACTACCCTGTTGGTATCGGTCACGCGGATGCAGCCATGTACCATGTCGTAACTGCGCTCCAACCACCGACCGTCAATTGTTGACATCCTTCGAACTCACAGCCTAGCTACCCTGCAGACGAGGTGACCGGGTCTCTGATCTTTGTGACTGGCCAACGAGACGCAAGCCATTTGAGACGATCAGTCTAAAAAAGACGGTGACGAGATGGCTCCAGTGTCTGTTTGGGCGATATCCCCGTCACCTCTACCCGTGGTGGGCATCTTCCCAAAGGCCCAGATGGCTGCCAGGTTTGTGGAGTCCCCTGAGTGAAGTCGACAAGTGCCGACAATCTCGATCGTCATCGATCTCAGACTGGGCTGATTAGCAAGATATTGGTCACCTCCCGTCCAAACCGGATCTGGCAGTCGAATTAACGTAAAATCAAACAATTCCTGCGAAGCCTAACTACAAATGCACCAAAGAAAAACGGCCCTCGGAACACAGTCGTGGCCTCTCCGAAGGGCCGCCAACTTTGGCTAACTCTGCAGTGTGTGCAGGCGGTGCTCTTTCGTATATCCACATGGTGACTGGTGGTGACATAGCTAGACTTGCTGAGTTGAGCTTGCATCAAGCCAGGTCACGGACAGCCTCAGTGGGCCAATTTCACTTTCCCCAACATGCGACTTAGTCAATATCGAGTTATTCTGGGAGATCGGGCACGAATCTGACTGGCGGGTGCATCGACCCATTCGTCCTATTGCACGCTTTCAAGGCCTACCGTACCCTGCGACTTGTTCCAAAGAAATGATTCAACACGAAGCCCAGCTGTTGTGACCGACATGGTTGGAGGGTATCAAGCAGGAAGGTCTCGGATGACAGAAGAGGATATTCTAGTAAAGTGAACTGTCCGGGTTTATGCTCCAAGTGGCTGCCATGCAACCGAGTGTCAGCTAATGTAAGACAGACCAAGTCGCTAGGGGCAGCAGGCTTCGTGAAGCATGTCGATGCTCCTGGACCCCAGCCAGCAGGTTTTATTGCAGACTGTATTAGGCCCCATCAAGTACGGACAGGATTCGGCCAAGTACCATGTCCCATCTACTCAACAGGTTCTTCTTCACCTAGCGAGGGCACTTTTCCACTTCTTGAAATCACAACTTACTGAATAGGGAGAAAGCTTCGTGTCATTGCAAGACAATCAACCATTCTTCCTTTCGGCCTTACATAGTACCGTCCTTCTCCGACCTCGCTCCAAGAGGTTTCGACGAGCAAGCATCCAACCAACCAACCAGCCAGCCAACAAGATGAGAGGCTAGCAGAGGTAACCAAGTCGCTGTCTTGTCATTTACTGGCTGGCTATCACATTCAATTGTCAGCAACAGATGCTTTCCCTTGGTCATGTACTTCCCTGACGCAGACCTCGATTCTCGAGCCTGGGCCTCTCATCTATCTAAGAGTAGCACCATCCTTATGAGCTTGGTACGAAATGCTCTTTTTGGTGTATGGCGTGCCATCGTTTTGGCGAATGCTGCTTTTCGAAGTAAAGAACTGTGGGCCTCTATACAATATCTCTTGTCCGTGTGTTCACTGCCGACTCTTCGCAACATCATACACTTTGAAGCCCTGCACGAAAGAGACATCCATGTTAAGAGCTGCTATGTGAAGCAACAAAATTGTCCTCATGGTCCAGTTTCTGCGCACATACCTATTTCCCTGAAACGGCGTTGGCTCATGTATATACACATTCTGTTGAATACTCCGGCTGGACCTTCTCAACAGGATCGTGCACGACATGGTAGAGATCGGCTATAAATCGTGGAAAATTGACGAAATTCCTCAGTAGAGTATTTCATTCCACTGTATTGAGGATGTGGAAGGTGGTATCAATATTATTTTTGTAATGGCGACAAAACGTAGGATTGGAATCCCTATGCACACACCACAGACGACGGGGTCTATCATGAAACTCAGAGGCCAAAACTCAGAGGCCAATGTTGAATTCCCCAGATGTTCAGTCACATATCTTGATCTCGAACGAGACTGCCCTTGTCATCGCTTGCTGCAAGACGAAATTCACAAGAGAAAGAGCAGCCTTGGTAAATGACGGAATCAAATTCATCAAGACGCTCCCGTGAACCTTTTTGGCCATGATGCATTTGAAGGTTTTTCCACCTCAATGTTCGAGTCAATGGGCCCTTCGTCGATTCGAAACTACCTCTTTCCCTGCTCGCCGTTCATCTTTGCAGTCACCCGGCTGTAAATCGCTCTTCCTGTGCAACGAATCCAGCTCTACCTCGACGGACACGAAGTCTCAGCTGCACCCAGTACCCATCGATTTAATCCCTGCCGTCTTCTCCCGCTCCACCCATGACTGGCGCTTTTACTTCCCACCTTGGGTATCGGCATTACCTGAAACACAAAGAGCTATGCCCAGAAAGAGAGAAGATAACTTTTGCGAGAGTTTGAACGGGTCAGACGAAGACTCGTCTCAGCCAACCCTCTCCAGATATCACTTCAACGAAACTTCCGAAGAATATCCTGGCCCAAACAAACACTTGTCAGATTGAGGCTTTCGTGCGTCAGCGATACCTCAAAATCCAAATTCTTAGATCCCCTGGACCAGCCAGCAATTCTCATCTCGCATCTTCCCGTGGATCCATCATTCCACGTTCGTCCATCGTGTGGCGGACTCGGGCTGCAACGCCCCTCTGGGAACTCGGTACGCCGTTCGAGACGGATGTCCCACGGACGACCCAACAAGTTTTTGACAAGAGCCCGAATACCGCATTCCCTGCCATCGCAGTCAAGGATGTAGCGCTCATTCTGTGAGATGGCTCGGAAAGGTTTCAAAACATGTTCAAACAACACCAGGAAGGAAATAGTGAATAAATGGCCGGCTGTGTGAGGAAGGCTGAAGTCTTAGGGGCTACGCGTTTCCTCAAGAGGTTGTGAAGAACCCGACTATCATTGGAGCCCACAATCAGGCAAAGCGGCCGGATTGATCCTTCGATCACAACATGGAGGAGAGAATGAGTGCAGAACTGTAACCTCTACACGAACTCAGAGGGATTGCATGTAACCGACAATTACATTGACGCCCGGTGCTCATTTACAGTGCAAGGAGCTATTCAAATGAGACCGTCCACCGCAGTCACCCTGCCACGCTTGCCCAAACCGACTCCACTGACACCATGGTGGATCTTGGAGAGCGTCCAGGCGAAATCTCAGGTCATCAGCTTGTTCGGGTGAGTGAGTTGCGAGATTCAAAGGATGCTCCACAGAAACGTCGTCCCGTGGACCATTACCTCATCTGCTGCGCAAGCATGGCTGACTATCCGGCCTCATTTCAGCATTGAATCTTCTTGCGGTATGTATTATCCGAGACGCAGGACCTGCCCCAGCAGAGGTTGAATCAACTCTACTTCCGAGTTGTGGTCATGAGCGAATACGAGCAGCTCCACGCCCTCTTCGACCAGGAAAGCGCCGTCTATCTACTCGTACGAAAGAGAAGGCTGAAGGATTACAGCATGATTAGTGGCTTCAGCCATCGCCCGCGCGACTGATGTCGTCGGGCGCAGGCGGCTTGGTTTTTTGCTGTGCGATTCCTAATTTCCGGGACTGATCAATGCAATATGAACGAGCCATCCAGTTTAGCGAAGGCGACGTACAGTGCACATTACACGAGCTTCAAAGGACAGAATTCTCCCTCAAGGACTCGGGCTCTTCTGGTGCTTCCTCTAGCAGACCTTGCGTAATCACCACTCCGCATATCCTCCCCCCGGCTTCATCCCAAACAATTGGAAACTAAAGCTCATCGGGCAATGCCTGATGAATAATAATTACTTGCTCAAGTTCCGGAGGCCGTTAGAGCCAACCACTGCGACTGTTGACTCTTCAAGTTCGGCTCCTACATAACAGCGGCTCCGGTGGTCCAACCAGAATATCACGCCACAAAATGCAGACTTGTGTTCGCTACCAGCTGTAATGCATCTTCCAGAATCGGAGGCTGACCTCGTTTATACTAAATGATCGACAGGCGGATACCGCGCGACACCATTCCCGACCACGACCCTTGCATATCCGCTCCTTTAAGCGAGTGTAGAAGGATGCTGTTACGAGAAACCCATGTGTCACTCCTGTCCGACCTTCAACAGCCTCATCGCATCACCACAAGCACTCATGGCACCTCACCTCGCCCGCTCCTACATGACCTCAACCTGCTTCAGTCGCCGCTCGACCGAGCTGGATCTTGGGCCCACCCATCCACCTATATGAGTGGTATTTGAAGGCCAATCCTACCTTGGTCAGCGTTTCCCTCTTCCGCCCTTTGCTTGTTCCTACTGCAAGCCGCAGCGGATTTCGGGGTGTTAAAACCACCGGACCGTTCTGTCTCGGTGACCAGACTAGCGACTATCTGGTCAGGAGGGGAAGTAGTTCCCTCATTGACCAGTGATGCGCCTAAATCTTCATTCATTCAAAATTGCTCGAAGCAGTAATATTTCTGTCAGAGTCAGGTAAGGCCCGACACCCTTCGGAAAACCCCCAAGCCTTGGGTTTCAGTCAGGAAATGCGACGACCGCGACACTGTAGCATTGCAGAAGCCCATTGCCTCCCTTCCTACCTGAAACTTGAAGCAAGAAAAATGGTCTCTGAGCGACAAATTCCAATCCCGCAAACCAAATCGCGAGTTGGGCTTCTCCGCACAAAGTATCCAACTCGTACTCGTTCTGCATATGGGGAGGGTGACAAATGCCCGTCGCTGTGGGATTGATTGCCTTTCTGTCAAATGAGGCAAGGGAGATAAGGGGGGTGAGAGTCTTGACCCCAGAAACGGACGGAGACTTGCCTGGTAAACTCGCCTTTGCACTCCTTATTAGTATAACAGCCACCAACTACCCGTAGGTATCTCTTGGTATTATGTGGTATTATGTCGTTGTCCAAAGAGGCAGGAGGTCGAAGAGGGTCCAATAAATAGCCAGCCGGCCGGCCTAGCTACTTGAATAACGGATGGGCGCTGACACCGTCCTGAGTGGCGAACTTGGACATTTGGGCATTTCCCGAGTACGAGTACGAGTAGACTGAGGATGTTATTATTTGTTAGCTCTTTTGGAAATTAATCGTCGTGTATCAATTATGTATGTAAATATGGACCGAGGTCTCAACCTCGTCGTCAGAGCAATGCGATGTGATGCGATGTGGTGTGACATGATGTGGCATGATGTTTGATGCAATGTAGATGTAGATGCTACAATATCCAATGCAATGCAATGCCATGCGCGAGTCATTTTGCAATCATTTTCCGGGGGAAAAACAACAACATGGAAGTGCCTGGTGCCTGGTGCTGGTGCTGGCTGCCATGCTTCTGTAAACAGCAAATCCCGTCCTGTCTCTCAGAGGCCAGGTCGGACAACAAGGACCGGCCGTCAATGGTTCTCGGAGAAAGACACCGAATCCAGTCCCCAGGTCCCAGGTATTCTGGTATCATACCAACCAACTCAGAAGCTCTCGCGTACGGCCTTGCCTAACGAGTGCTGCATCTTTTGTCGGCTGGAGGCAAAGATTCCATTATGTCCATGGGAATCGTGTACCGTAAGTGGCTCGTACGGCGTCAGCGACTGAGAGCAGGCCCGCCGCCCCTTATCACTCTGCCTTGCTGACGAATCCAACTGTGCTTGGTGCTCGACAGGCGTTCAAACAGACCCCATTTTCTGCTTTAGGGGCCGGTTTTCGATATTCTAGCTCTTTCAGATAGCACTGTCGGAGTTGAGTCGCCACGGTTCATTGAGTCAACTACCGGCATTTGCTTGTTCGAGTGACGTCGTCTGCCCGCGGCCCGGGGCGCTTCGGAAGTAGGACTCGAGTTAGAATGCAGGTCTCGATTAACCCATCCTCTGGATTTGCAGGAATCTTCCAAGAAAACAACAAGAATGGAGGAGCTCCACTGGTGTTTCAACACGCAATATTTTTGATTCCTTTTCAGCTGGCTTGGTTCCTGCCTCCCTTGAAACCCGAAATAGGGCATAGTCACGGAGTTCCGACACTCAGTATCGCAGCTTGGTCGAATGTTGTGGGTTGCGAGCGCAAAGCGACACGAGTCTTTCAAGTTCTTTTCGATATAGCTCCCCCAATGTACAGATCAGTCACGTTATCATCATTGAAAGTCTGCACATGTTGCAATCGAGGGGTTGTTGGAACAAGATGCGAGAAATGGTAAGAAACGCTGCTGCTGGCGCAAGCGAGCAGCTGTGGGGACCGACATTGCGAGACAGTGCAAGGTCCTCGCATAAGCGAGATTCTCACCAACGAGGTCGATGTCGCCTCGCTGAACGCCACGTTTTTGACGGTATGCCACCGATTCTTTTTGGCATTTCCCCTTCCGGCCCCATTTATGTCGCCTTAATGTGATACCAGACGCACATGCTTCCACCCTCTGCATCGGAACCCGAGATTCCGCAGCCGCGGCTACCCCATGTGTGCAAAGTACCTCGAGGTAGTCCGAATTTCCCTTCCCATTGGCGGTCGAGTTGAACCAAAATCTCTTTTGGTATATTGCTCTCCCATTAGGAAGCTGACCCCTTCTGCTTCAGCCTTTCGTGCAGACCGGGATCGTACACAATAGATGCAAGGTCGGACTGCGAGGTTTCATGCGGAACCAGAGTCACCGTGACCTGTCAGGTCTCACTCCAGCATGGCACTCACAGCGCAATCGATTTTATGCGCTAGCATCCAAATATGCTGTAGAGATCCAAGGGGAGCACAGCTTGAAGTCAGCCAAGAGGAGTGGGACGCATATACGAACAGCCAAGATATTTTGCCATCTCGTTCAGAGGAGCCGATCTTCCAGTTCTCGATCCTTTGATTTTGCTCCACATCAAATACGAGTATACCGCACGCGCGAGACATCGAAGACAAATAGGCTATATTTGTTTGAACATAGCCCATCCAATGAGAGAGGCCGAGATATATGGGAGAAAATAAGGCAGTCACTACCCACATTGTTGAGTAATGTAATGTCATGTCATGCAGTTGTAACGTCAGATGAGGTGAGGTGAGGTGTGGTTGAGGGTGGGCGAAGCTGCTGAGCTCGCAGGCTGCTCCGCTCAAGCACGGCCTTGCCTAGTATCTGCTCCGGTCCCTGACCACAAGAACCGAATACAGACTCTGGCGAAACACAGGACGAACTTCCGGAGGTTGCTGTGGCGGCAGAAGCGAACAAGGCGATGATTGTTCAATCCGTCGGCCTGGGGCAGTTGCCCAAAATGGTAAGAAACGACGAAGGAACGTGCTTGCCAAGCGTCGGTGTGGCGTAATGCCACCCAGCTTAAGTAATCGGGGAAGGCGGTGAGGTCGTAGGTGGTCACAAGGGAACTCGAGGCTGTCGCGAGGACAAGGTGACACCATGGAAAGAATGCTGAGTTACCGGTGAATTCAGTTGAGGAATGCCCGTCTGGCGTTCCTTGCTCGCTCGCTTGAGAAAGCGTCGATCTTGACTCCAATGAAAACTATTTCGAATCCTCCTCGTATCGAGTCTTGGGAATTGGGTTGCACTCGCAATCGCCACTGTCCTGTACGGATGGTCCATTCCCCGAGCTCCCCCTGACTGCTCTGTCTCTTCCTCTTCTTCGCAGTGGGTGCTGTAAGTCGGCTCGTTTGGATTGGAGCGATCGGTAAGGATGCACGGCCTGCAGCTGACTGCGAGGTAGCTCCTGCTGGTGTTTGTCTCGTTTGAGGTCGACGCTGTTGGCTCGTAGCCATAGAAGGTCCTGGTTTGACTGTTGTCCCTTCACTCATGACATCCGATTCCGACTCCGATTCGCTGGGCGCAGTTGAGGGCCCGTGGAGCATAACCTGACCCATGGAACTGTCAAAGTCGATTTCAAAGCTTTCTCCGTCCAGCATTATGTCTGTTGCAGTCTCGAAGCGCACTTTCACACGGTCTTCGCTGAGGGGTGTGTGTCCAGGGCTTGCCGATTGCGAGGTTCTTCCTCCCGATAACATCATGAGTCCCAGGGGCGCATTTGTTGGCAGGTTCATCTTGTTCGCCACGACCTGGAACAAGGATGACACACGGGCCTTTGCCAACCCGTGGAAATCTGCTCGCATGTCTGTCAGGTCCAAGACGGTGCTTTCACCTCCAATTTCGACGACCATTTCGTAGGATGTGTCGTCTACAAAGGGCCTCGCGTAGTAAACCCATCCTCCAGTTGAAGACTTCTCTCCTAGGGAATCGTCGCTGGTGTAAGACACGCCCGAGGGTTTAACGTCCTCCAGCCGCAGACAAATCTCCTGTTTTTGTCTCTCTGAATTATAGCTGATCTCGTGGGCAATGATCTTTTGCTCCAAACCCCTCAAGTGGAAGTAGCGGCAATCTCGTAGTAGTTCGGCTCGATGTGATTCGTTCCTGATATGGAGAGGGTAGCCTCGTAAAAGATGTAACAGTTCTGCAAAGATCTCAGCAGATCGCCCAGGGACATAGGGTGGAGTTATCGAAGGAGGACGAAGAAGCCCTCGACGGTCTAGGCCGGGAAAAACCTCTCCAGGTGTCGAGAAGAAAACCGCAAAGCCGAGCGAGAAGAAGTTTGGGGAATTTCCAGGTTCTGAAAAGATGTCTTTCGGGATCTGAAAATGTCGTTCTCCGATCTGGATGAAGATTTCAGACTCAAACAGCTGATCTATCAGGCGAGGTACTATAGAAACCATCAGCATCGATCAAAGAGATATCGCACCAACATACAGCTGTAGAACTGAGCATCTGCGAATAGCTTTACAAAGTGGCTCCCATCTACTGGTTTGACGTAGTAGCCTTCAACAACAGTTAGCACGCAAGCAAAAGGTCAAGAAGGAGTGACCGAACCTTGTAGATGCCTCGCCACGTCTCTGAAAGTCGCAGGATCTCGATCGATATACAACGTCCTGACTCCGCCAGATTCCTCATTCTGTCTGATTTGTTCCTCGAAAAACTGAGTGAAATACGACGGGGCTATTTAGCATGGTCAGTTTCCGCAACCGGATATTTCGCTGCTGACCAAGATTCATACCGTCGGAAGATATTGAGGCACCCGATAACCTGAACAAATCGGATCCTATCTGGATGGGAAAGACCTTCTCGGGAGGGAGAATCGAGGGTGGATGACCAGAGGGAGGGCGTGTCCCTCTTTGCCGGGTCGAGGCTTGTGACGAGGTTGTAGCAAACGCTGATGGTCTAGGTGTCGAGCCAGAGGACTGTCGGGTTCTGCGATTACCAGCAGATACACCTGGAGCTGCCCTGGAGCCAGCTGGGAGGTCTGAAGAGGTAGATCCTTCATCAGGGGACGTTGGTCCGACGCCTGACATCCGCTCAAAGGTGACAAAGCGATTATTTGCGACGGCAGATTCGGGTCCGGGTCCAGGTTGTACTCTCACTTTCTTGTCGCCGGAAGACTCGGTCGGGGTCGTTGCAACAGAGCTAGACTTTCGTTTCAGAGCAGATCGAGGAAGTAAAGGCGGGATGAAGGCCGTCACCGAACCATTACCATTGGCGGTGGTGGCCACGTCGGCCAAGTTGCTTGTTGTTGGTGGCGGATTCTTCGGAGTGGTGGAGGGAGGTATTGGAAACCTCGAAATGGAAGGGGCGTCGAACTCGTCAAAGGTATGAATGTTTTCGTGGATCAACTCGCCAGTAGGCTCATATATTGGCTGAGGCGCGAAATCGAGAAAAGGGCCAGAAGGAGCAGCCCAGGGCTGTGAACCAAAGCTTGGGACGCCTAGGGTATAGCTAGCGGCAGGAGCTGCATGAGTAGAGGCAGCCGCTAGGTGGTGTTGAGGGTCTGTATCATGTACAGTGACGGTAGGATATTCTAAATCCTCTGAGAGGAAGACAGGTCGCGTGTCTGGGGAAGGATTAGCGGCGTCAGCAGGCTCGGCATCAGGGTCAGAGATAGTCGTGTAGGCGCGGGCACTGAGTGTGGTATGGGGGTGATTAGTAGCTTTGGAGCCTGGACCATGCCCTGGAACTGGACCGGGACCGTTGGCAATACCGGTGACAGTCGCGGTGATGGTACTGGCAGCCCCCGTACGACGACCATTGGACATGGGCGAAATCGAGATGGCTGGGGAGATCAGGTTGGTGTCAGTCGTCGTATCCGAGTGAGTAACATGATTGTGATGAAAGGCGAATGTCGAATGTGGGTCCGTCATCACTCAGATTGAAATGGCTCTTTTGGGTACACCGAACTGGAGGAGGCTCGGCGGATGCTGAGGAAATCAGCCCACAACTCCTACCGCTGGCGCTGGGACCACGCCCACTGGCATAGGCTTCGGGCACCAGCAGCACCAGCACCAGCAAGATCCCGGGGGGGGGGGGCGTGCGAACGCAGTAGCAACCAAGCAGCGTCCCTTGGTAGCAGCAGAGACGGCCTTACCCCCGAAATGCCACTCGTACGGGGCCTTCCGGCTAAACAGAACCAGGTCTTTGTTGAAGGGGGTGTCCACAGCTAGCTCTAGGAGCGCCCACGAGGGGGACCATCGGCTAAGGGGGGTGTGGGCGTTTGGCTCTATGTCAGGGCGGGCAGTGGGTCGTGGAAAGCTTTGTTTGTTTTTTTTCCTTTTCTCTGACTTTTTCCCCTTCCCGCTTCCCACTGGTGACAGCGACTGGGCCTTCTTTGTGGCGGTCTCCGCAATTGGGAAGCAGGCTCGGGAAGGACGAGGATGGATTCCAAGTTCTGGAGATCACTGGAGAAGGGCTGGCGGCAACAATCAGGAGGCTTTGGCGGGCGCTGGTTTGTCTCTGGTGTGTCGTTGGTGTGGCCCTGGCGGACTCTTTGCGGTGCTTCAGAGTCAAAGAGCGCAAGATCTTGGCTGAACTGTACGATGAGTAAGCCCTGAGTCATAGGCATGACGGCAGCTCCATTGGCCACGGCGGTCTGACAAGTCCCATGAGACGAGTCTTGTGACGCATGCCGATTACCAAGAGCCGGCGCCATCAAAAGTCAGTGTCGGAGATGTGAGATGTGGACGGGGGAAACAGGAAAAGGGATGGATGAATATGATGATGCTTATTGTGATGAGGAGGACATACATACGTAGCTGTGTACGTACTAGAAATAAAAGGTCAGGTAGAAAGAAGACTCTTTTCCGTCTTCTTTTTCCACTTACCCGCTGCGGGGCGGGCGCTTAAGCTGCCTCCGGGGAGGGGCCAGGAGAGGGGGGTTTGGGTCTTTCGCGAGCCTGGGTGCCTGGGAAGCTGGGCCAGAAAAGCACACGGGACGCCACCAGCCTCAGGCTTCTAGCCTATTCGTAGGTGGAAGAGTTTCCGAGATTCGCTCTGCGAACAGCGCGACCAGCCTGGAAATGGGCGGACGCCAACGGACAGTCGGGACACTCCCCGCCGTTCACGACGAGACACACGCCAGATCTCAAGCCTGCGACAAAGCGAGCAAGTAGAAGGCTGTCTGTCCCCTGATCTTCGGCTTCCGTCCCGCCTGCGCAACAGTCACCCACCCTCTTTTAGACGTTCCACAGCAAGGGAGGAGTAGGGTGACTCTGATGAACCCGGTAATATTAGCTTGGGACAGTGGACAAAGCGAGCTAGGTTCACGACGGCGTCGAAAACGTGGAGGCCTCGTTCCTCTCACTTAGCCGAGGGTCGGTAAAGATGAATGAATGACGTGCGTGGTTCGTGTCGAGGGAGAACAAAGGACTTGGGAGGACAGCCAACAAAGAGCTTCAATCCGACGAGTTCGCTAGTCCGGCAATGGCATTTTCGCGCAACAAGGTCCGGATTGGGTTGACAAAAAGAGAGACCCAGAGATCAGGAGAAGCAGATGGTGCTAGAATTGAAAGCCTTGAAAACCCACCCCTAGGCCCTCGGGGCACTTTGAAGACGAAGTTTGGCTTTGCGGTCGGGACGTGGCTGTGTGATTCGGAGAGGAGAAGGGATTGTGCGAGAGGTTTCCAAATGTCATTCCCTCAAGTCGACTTTCAAGAAACCCAGTGTGTTGTTACTCGAACCGTTTAGGATACTGGTCATATGCAAGGGGGTCCTTCTATTTGGCGATATACACAGATGGTCGGCGACACACCGCGGTACTTGGACCGTCAGATCACTGGGCAAACTTGGCCATCAACTGCTCTTCTTTTATATCTGCAAGAGTTTCCACCGCCATCTTTAATATCGTCTGCCACGTCGCTTCCCAGGTGCTTGCACTCCAGGAAACCAAACTCATGTCATGAGCGTCAGCATCACTGGGGGCAATATTGGCGGTGCTGGTATAATGTCCAATCCTGCGTGGCTCACGCTTGCCCCAGCACCGAAATTTCGCCCCCAAGAACCTGGAACCAAGGCCTTGACTATTTGTTGTTGGTCGGCTTAGACTCTTGTCGATCTACATCTGGAGCGACAGTGCGGCTGAGATCAACCACACCACCTGATTTGCCTATGTCATCCCCCTAGAAACGACCCTGAAACGAAGTGAGATATTAGCAAGACGCGAGTCCAGCTGGATTAATTCACCGTAAAACATATCAGACCAGATGATCAAGGAATGGGTAAGAACCCCTTGCGGCAGGGGGCCAACTCGGTCAGGCCCGAACCAGCATCATCAGATATTCCGCGCTGGAGAGTTTTATCACGTCTCGTCCAGAGGAAGGGGCGAGGATCCAACAAGTCAATGGAGCTCAAGGTGATTGCGAAGCTCCATGGAGAATAGCAAGTGAAATTCTTGTACCATGGCGCAGATCCCGTTTTCTCGCTTCGTCTACTCGATACATGCGCCATGCTATATAGCTACGCATTGTATTTTACAGTGTGGTCTTGAATTCGCCCTCGATTGCCACAATCTTGGCCACCGCACGCTTGTACGCATCTCTTTCGTGCAGCCGCTCAATGTATCCCCAGATTCTGGGGTATTGACTCTCCGCAAATCCTGACCTGGTCTGACCTGCTTCCAATGGGAATGAAAGCATTATGTCCGCTGCCGTGATGTCTTTCCCACATAGATAGTCCCCAGCGTCTGGAGACGTTGCGAGTTGGGCTTCAAGAAAGTCATAATGGTTCTTCATGTTTCTCCGAAGAAAGGATGATTCAATCTTGCCAGCAACGCTATTTGTGATCGGTTTGATGAAGAACGGGACGGGAGCATTCCGGATGCCTGGTATGGTCAGTGTCTGGTGTCCTACGTGGAAAATTTATAGATACTAACCTCTAACAATCAGCGATAACAGCATCAGTGGCATGAGGCTGCCCTCGGCGTAGTGCATGAACATCCTGTAGCGTAGCCATGACTCGGTCTCGCCTCCAATTTGTCCATCTTTACCTTCTTGGTACCTGCTGGGAACCAGAGAGGTCTCTTTTCCGTAGTAATCGCAAAAGTACTCGGCAATCGCTGCAGACTCTGCCAGAATAACTGGCGCGGTCGAGCCTGGAGTTTCGATAGTGACAACGGGAGATTTACCCAGGGGGTGAATCTTCTTCAACTCTGGTGGTGCGAGTCGTTCTTGGGTCCGTTTGTACGTTTTGAGTTCATAATCAACACCAAGTTCCTCAAAGAGGAATAGGATTCGATGCGCACGAGAGACTTCAAGCCTAGCTTATGTCAGAACGGCCGTTCAATAAGCAGATTGAATATTTCGGTAAGACGTCTCGCTGCTCACCAGTGAAGAGTGATCTTCGGTTGCGCAGGTGCCATGTGTTCGCCGGGTGCAGGGGAGGCCATCTCAGAGCAAGGGACAATGCAGCCAGATCGGTGGCGTTGCAGCCACTATAGTCAACACCAAAATGGCTGTACAAGAGTAAGCGAATACTCTGCCCTTGTTGATTCGTGTTCTGGTCAGCTGCGGCGGGACGGAGTGAGGGCCTCCTTGTTGTCAGCTTGAAAGAGGGTGCTTATCACAATTGAGGCCAATAACCAACTCGGCCCCACCAGTGCTGCGAGTCAAGCGTGGAATGGAGAGATGCCCAGTAAGAGGCCCAGAGATATTGTGGAAGCCGTGAGCGCAATTTTGTGGTTCACTCGCCAATGCAGCTGCAAGCCTGTAGTAAAGGACGAATGTATCAAGTACTTTGTAGTTCGCCACGGTATTATGGTACAGGTAGGGGGAGCTCTGACCGAGTGCTCGGTAAAAGATTCCGCACCGCCACTGAAAGCACGAGCCACAATCCAAGGCGCCAAGATACCGAAGCCACATGTAACTGAGCTCAATCCAACCTCCAGTCGACCTTGACATCGCAGGCGTGTCGACTTTACCTAACCAAAACAAAACCTCACACTCAAGAAGTGGTAAATCATGGCCGGACCAACACGTATGTACTCACCTCAAGCACTCACAGAGACTAAAGAATGCGCGGGACGCTGACTTTGTTACTAAAACAGCTCTCCGCCATGATCCCGCTCTCGAGAAATATAACCGTACGTCTCCCCTCCGCCCAGACGAAGTCACTGTCCCCGCCATGGACCCTTTCCTGCTCTCGTGGGCACTTCGCACAAGTACCAGCTAGCCGAGGGATAAGGAGCTGATTGCTAGCCACAGAATTGAACAAAGAGCGTTGGAGATACTTCCGATGGACGCCGCGCACAGCTTTAATTTCCTTCATGTATGCCATATTCGTACCTTCGGTCGTTGGGTATGCATTTGCGAAGACAGATGTAAGTTTGCAAGCATGCGGCTACCGAAGCCTACGATATATCCACGATGGCTGACTGAATGTTGCCGCGGTATAGGGCAAATGGGACTTGCGCGCGAAGCTAAGAGGCGATACGATCAGCGAGTTCTGAGTCCGGGGCGGAGACTCTGATGGCATCCTGGGTGGAAACCATAGAAGGACAGAAATTGTACATATGCATCTCTGGCTAGAGACATGGGTTCGAAACTGAGGATCCGGCTCCTATGGTTGGAAGCCCACCCAAATGGGCAATTATCCAAATGGACGACACGGTTTTGAACGGTTCTTGAGCCCTCTGGTGTCGAGACCAAACTCCTCCGGATTTACCGCCAGTTGTGTTCCTGCAGTTACTCACTACCCATGATATTGTGCAACAAGGTTTTAATCCCTACACAGATATTCCTCCTCAGTCCAGTCCTGTGGGTCCTTGAATATGCAAGGCAACTCCGTGGATACATTGGTCCCAAGGGATGTTATGTGATGAAAAGAACGTGTCGAGCCCTACAACGTGCATTGGCATTTGCGCAATAAACATTACACACTTCGATTGGAGGTATCCCCCTTAAAAAATTGTGTTCGACGTCTCTTCCTTGCCACAAACTTACGTTTGCTCATCCATCCCGACCAGCCAACAGCCTAGGTACACCCGTCTCCTCACGAGGGCGAACCACAAGATCCTTGGATTCATGTGTTGAGCCAAAGATGCATGACGAAGCGGGCTTGTCCCTGGCACCGTATACCCACCTTGTCGGTTCCTTATCCCTGTAGAATACAGTATAGGCAAGGTGGATTAAAGCCACAGCAAGTATCAATGCTGAATATGTAACTGCTGCATTCAGCACCTGGTGGCACTGCTTGGTCGAAGTAGCGTTTCTCCCGTACCCCCGCATTTTCAAGATGTCTCAGCCAAATCCCAGCTTCGACTGACATCCTGGGTCCCGCACTGTCGCTTCAAGTGCAGAGATCAAGCTTAGCGGTTGGAGAGAAAACCCGCAACATAGCTTACGACTCAACGATGCAGACAACACCCATTAGATAACTCATGCCTTGCTTGGGCGACAGTTAGTCTAGGCACGGTCGCACGATAAGCCCTCAAAGCGCCGGTCGGCGGGTCAACGACAACGAAAGGAAGGCAGGTAATGAGAGCACATCAAGCAGAGAAACAGATACCTCCGAGTCAGATCTTTGTGCCCTACGAGTCCCTTAGCTGCCTCCACATTCCAAGATGCTCGATCCCCTCTTCTTGCCAACGACCCAGTCTCTCGTCGGTGACAAACCCCAGCTTCTGGTACATTTTTTCCACAGAGGTTTGACCATGGCAGAGCACAAGGCCTCGCCACTCCGGAGATACCTCATGCCTGTTTTCAAAGGACCACTGCAGCGCTTTTTCGGTGAGGAGCCGGCTTATGCCTTTTCCCCTGTGCTCGGGCAACGTTGCGACACGTCCAAGCTTGACGTACGGTTCTTCGTTCGGGTCGCTGAAGCCATTGGGATGAGGGCCATGGGGCGGAGGGACGATCCGTACGACCGCAATCGGCTCCAGCTGGCCTTCCCGTGTTGCGTGATAACAGACCCAATGCCATGATCTCGGGTCATCCTCGTCCAACTCTACGTCCAGGCCGCAATTTTGCTCGTCACAGAAGACTCGGATGCGAATGTCCATAGCATCACGGAACACTTTGGGTCCCACTGGAGGCTGAGGTCGGGGGTCTGCAGGGAAGCCGTTGGGTGCGATCACATCACCTGGGGGTCTCACAAATAGGAAGCTGTAACCTTTTTCCATTGGGAGGCGTGGATATTTTCAGTGTCGAGGAAGACCGAATGACAGGAGTTGCGGAATGGGGCGTAAGGATGAACAAAAAATGCTCGGAGTTCACGTAATTAGTGACTGACTCACACCGACCATGCCTCGTTTGTTCAGTGGCGAGCGAAAATCCAAAAAAGAAAAAAAAAATCCAAAAAAAAAATAGTAGTTTTACCGAGACCGTATCGACATAATCGCGAATAGTTCCTTATAGAGTGTAAATTACGGTATAGGCCACGAGCCTTCAACCTGGCGTTATAACGCCGCATTGATCACTGGAGCCAAGCCTGGGTGGAGAGAAGAGGGGGAGGGGGGGGGGGTAGGCTATGTGATGCCAACGTCGAGGCGATGATTGGCTCTAAGTGTATGTCTCGTAGCTGGCCTAGAATTCTTCTCCAAGACACCTAATAACCTGTATTCGGTACAGATCACTTACGACTGTCCCTTAGATGTCTCTCTACAGGGATGCAGAAACGGTGCTCACGGCCAATGCCCAGGAAGGTTCCCTCAAGTCTCGAATATACGGGAATAAACAGGGGTTGAAATCGAAGCCTGCGCACATTTACGCGCTCATTTCAGAGACTGCAAAATACGACCACTTCATCAAAGAAGTTGTCGACAATGCAAACCTCCTGGCTCAAGAACCAAAGGTTCGGGATTTTCTCCGAGGAAGTTTCGTGTCTCTGCTGACTGACTTAGCCTCTGGGCTCTTCCTGATAGTTGACACCAATCCTTTCCTTGCTTCTCGTCCACGACCATTTCTTCTCGAAGAAGGGCCTCGCAGCACCATCCGCACATCCCCTCCGACAGGCGATCGAAAGAAACAAAGCGAGGCTGCAGGCGGAATTTACAAAAGCCAGACTGCGGAGGAGGTGCGCCACATTAGACGAACTGCGAAGCAGTCTTGAGGCCGAACGACCGCGAGCAACTCGATCTCAGCCAAGATGGGTCCGCATCAATACATTGAGGACGAGCCTCACACAAGAGCTTGATACGACCTTTGAAGGATACCAGGCGATACCGACCATCACGGAGGTCACCGGTTCCTCGGCTACGGAAAAGGTTCTGGTTGTCGACCGGCATGTGCCAGGTCTAATCGCCCTTGCTCCAGAGGCAGATGTGACACAAACACAAGCTTACAGGACCGGAAAACTCATTCTGCAGGACAAAGCTTCGTGCTTCCCTGCTTATCTCCTGGTCGGGGAAAATGACAGCGATTCTGATATAGGTGACTGCATCGATGCCTGTGCTGCGCCCGGAAACAAGACTTCTCATCTCGCGGCGCTGCTTGTCAAAAGTGGAAGGCTCGAAAGCAAGCTATTTGCTTGTGAACGGGATGTCAACCGGTCGCAGACATTATTACGCATGATGCAGAAGAGCGGGTCAGATGCTGTGATAGTTCAACCAAGTTGTGACTTTTTGACCCTCAACCCTCATGACAGCAAGTACAGGAAAGTCACGCATCTTCTCCTTGACCCGAGCTGCTCTGGCAGTGGAATTGTTGGGCGCGAAGATATTCCTGCCTTGGCGTTACCTGTTGACCCAAGATCTGAAAAGACGAACTCGGCAGCCTCTGAAAAGTCCTCCAGGAAGAGGAAAAGAGACCATGGTCACACCGAGACTGTCCACAATGCAATTGAAGCCGAGGAGACGAAAGACATTGTCTCAGATAGCACCCGACTGCTGAAACTTTCGAATTTGCAGACCAGAATTGTTGAGCATGCTCTTTCTTTCCCAGCCGCCATCCGAGTCACGTATTCGACCTGTTCAGTGCATGTGCAGGAAAATGAGGCAGTCGTTTCCCGAGTGCTACAAAGCAGTATTGCAAAGGAAGGTAAATGGCGACTCTTGCGGAAAGCAGAACAAGCTTCAGGGATGCGTGACTGGAGGCATCGGGGTATAACCATGCCAGAGGAAGAAGCGAGCTCCGTTTCCGCTTTGAGCGAGGGGGATCGCGAAGCATGTATTCGGTGCTACCCAGGAGACGATGAGGGGACTATGGGATTCTTTGTATGCTGCTTTGTCCGTTCGCTTTCTGGAACAACACAGCGTTCTGCCGAAGCTATCGGTACTCCGGAAGGAGAGGAGAGCTGGGAGGGCTTTAGCGACTAGGTATTCAATAACAATCCAAATGTACTTGTACCTGGATCGGGCAAGGATCTGAGGGAAGAGATTTGATGATGGTGATGAGAGTATCCGATTATGCTCCTTGACAAAATCCTCGTCGACGCCATTGAGCAAGCGATGGTCAATCAAATAGCATGCCAAGCTCGCACTTAGCCTAAACCAGCACTGGATCGATCGACATCGCGACGCCTGGAATCCAACAGCAATTCCTCCTTTCAATCTCACATCATCCTGTTCTAATTGTTTATCTACCTGATGAAGAAAGCATTTGCAACCCTTGCTAAGCAATTATACAAGTAAGAGAGTGGTTCAGGTCTTGATGCAGTTGCAACGAGGAGATAAGGATTACTGCCATCCATAACGTCCAGGTACAGGATTTGTCAGCCTGTCCACGAACCACAGTCGACCACCAAGACGTCCTTGAAACTGGTCGCAAGAGCGGCCAGAGAGCACGAACTGATCACTATTATCTGTTTCAACCCTAGCGACGATGTTTCACTTCAGCGCTGGCCCACCAGGCGACGAAGTTTCCCTCTTGCACGGTTCTAAGCCAACCCCGAACCAGGCGAAGCCCGAAAAACGCCAAATCACGAGAAATCGGGCTAGCTACAGCTGTCTCACTTGTCGAAGGAGGAAAGTCAAGTGCGACAAGGCCCGTCCAATCTGTGGAGGCTGCCAAAAAGCCGATGTAGAATGCTTCTACACCCAGGATGATACGACATCCACCTCGGCACAGCCTGATCTGCCAAAGGAAACCACAAGTCCGGTGTGGAAGAAGCGAAAATCAAGTCCCATGAGTCAAGGATCCTTAGGGACAATCACCGAAGCACATGAGTTGAGAACGCCCGCTGACCTCAAAGCCATCGAAGAACAGCTGCACCGCTTGACCAAGATGTTCGATGCTTTTCGCCAGGGTAACGGGAATGACCTGCGGTTAAAAGGCTTCCTTACACCTGAGGCATCAAACTCGGATTCAGGCTCTGATGGAATTCTACCAAAATCAAGCATGAGTCTGGACATGTTCCAACCCAGCAATTACGCATCAGCGAGGGAACCCTCTGACCTCAGCAAGCCTTTATCAAGTTTGAACCTGAGCAATGGCGAGTCAAGGCCAGAATATCCATTTTGGATCAATATATCCGAAGAGATCGATCAACTCAATCACTTGATGCGTCGTCGGGATAATACCTATGCGAGCTCAATCAGCCCAGAGAACAAGCATTGTGACAGGCCACGAGAGTTTGTTCCTCCTGTGAACGAAGACCACGAACAAGAAAAAGACGATGTGACCGATCCCACTGATTTTCACAAAGAAGCTGGCGAAAAGATCCCGGAAGACCTTAGGCCTGACAGCCACTGCCCGATATGTAGGCTCATGCCATTCACCAAATCCAGTCTGTTGCAGAACCTCCCAATCAAGTGTACAGCAGAGACTGCCTTACAGCATCTGACGCAGGGCCTGCCCACCAGAGCACAAAGTAACGTTCTTTTCAGGTGTTGGCTATCGGGGGTATATCCAATTTTGGGGCTTCTCTTGCCCTCGGAGATGAGCAGGAAACACGAAGAATTCTGGGACCAGGTCGAGTCCAATGGTCTCTCAGAATCCAATTTTCGAGACTTGGACTTCTTGGCCGTGATCTATGCCATTTGGTATGCGGGTTCGCTAAGTATTTCTACAAAAGGTCTTCGGCAATGGTTTCCTCAAACTTCAAGGGCACAGCTTAGCACCCGGTTCCACGATCAGGTGGTGTTTTGCCTCCTAATCAGTTGCTTTGCTCAAAAAGTCAGCTTGTACAAACTTGCTGCCCTCGTCCTCCTGCAAAGTATGCCTATAGCTGAAGAGGACCCTTTACAAGGCAGCCTGTACCTCTCACTGGCGGTGAGGCTGGCATTGACCATGGGGCTACACAGAGAGCCCACCCTGTTTGAGCTGTCTATTACCGAGGAAAACATGCGACGACGACTCTGGTGGCAGATTATCCAGTTGGATGTTTCTCACGTTGTCGCGAGTGGCTACCCTTCTCAGATATCTGAGAAATTCTGCGACACGAGAATCTTCTGTGAAGATAGAGATGCCCATGTGTCTGAGGACGGGGCCGCGAGCGTCAACTCGGACAAGTCTTTGAGAATTTCGCCATCCTCTAGTTCGGCTTCGAATGGAGAGAGTACGAATCCAAAAGCTTTTGGCACACTGTCCCTCCTGGCAAGAGGAAAGTCGATAATGGCATGCGCAATACGAAGCGTCGTGTCTCTACATCTGGAAACGAAAAGACTCACAAATGGAGATATGCAAGAAATGAAACGGATTATGACTGAAGCAGGGGATCAAGTCAACGCTATTATCAAGTCGATTCCCAGCAAAGGAGTTCCAGAAATGGGATTCGTTCCGGATACGCTTAGAGATGCGCAGCAACGCGCATCAGATACCGATGTGTCCATGGGCGACCCTATCACTGCAAATGACACTGCGTATTACAAGACTACTGTCAACAACACTGACCCCTCGTGGCCATTGGCCGCTTATTATCGCGCAAAACAAGCTGCCTACAACAAATGGGCCCGAATTAGCCTATCTATGCTGATTGACAAGGTGCATTGTGTTGCATATGCCCCATTCCTGAAGAACACGAGAAGTAAGCTGTGGGGTATGGGCCGACAATGCGCCCTGCACAATTGCCACAGTTTCCTCAGAAAATTTGTATCACTCGCAGCCGATCCAGACTTGGAGCCTTTTCGATGGGCCTGGCCGGCGACTTACGGCCCCCTTCATGCGGTCTTGATAGTTCTCGTTGATCTGTACGAGAGGCCGACCAGCGTTGAGGCACCCAGATCAAGAGAATTGATCGACAGGGTATTTGGGTTAGCTGCTCCCGGCGCCGGCATCGTCGGTGGCCCTGATGGCGTCACTGTTCAGAGACCGCTGCGGGAGGGCGGCATTGAAGCGTGGGACATGCTACGAGGCCTTCGTTCTGCTGCCTGGCAAAGAGCAGGACTCGATCCTACAGTTCTTTGGACGGAGGCGGACCAAATCGAGCTCGGCATCGCGCAACCATTGACGGATGCGCAAAAGATTGCTCAAAGTATTCGAGAAGATTCAATTTATGACAGCCCAACTCCAGGTCCACAAACCTCTCCTTCATGTACGCGTGATCCACAAGCAGAACATCCTGCATTGGAAAAAGGTGTCAGATACATGGTCCATTTGGCCCACAAAGAGCTTGTTAATGAAAGCCATGAAGCACAAGAGCCCATCTGCTCCCAAGCCATGCGGAGCCAGCTGCGGCAAACTCTTGAAAACGAGTCTGGGTCAAATGGCGGTCGAGTACTGGCACGACGGGAGGGTCAGCCAAGAATGCCATTTCCACTCAGTAAACGCATGGAGAAGTGCTCTGGAACCGCAGCAACCAGCGACACTACGCCAGTTCATGTCCTACCTTTCCACACGCACACGCCCAGAGCAGAAGGGCAGCCTCCTCTTTGTCCCACTCAGACAGCGCCGTTTTTGGACGGGTATGAAGCCAAGAATGGCACGCAGACGGTACAGCAAGAGTCTGCACAACTTCAACATAACTGGGGGGAGGTGCCCGCCAAAGATGTGACGGGTACAGAGCAGAAATTGTTCAATGCTCAGTTATCCAAGCAGCAAACCATGGAGACGTCCTACGGAAGCAATAACATGAATGGCTATAGCAACGGACTGCTTGATCACCATGATGAAGAGTCACACAGGGACCAGAGCTTCGTCTATACCGAGTTACACCAAGGTGACACGGAGATGAACATGGGCTTTGACTGGGAGCGTTGGGATTCCGTGTTTGGACAATACTCTGGATTCACGGATTTGATGGAGGATGTGACAGAATGGAGTGAGTATCTCGAGTCCTCCTGAAACGCCTCTATATTACTGGACAGCCTGTCCACCGTCACCAATATAAATCTACCTTCGTCCTTCATGCTAAGGGATTGGAACTCGTGCACGACTTCTCATCCTACCAGTTCCATAACCCTGATGGAGCGCACGGACAACCAGACCACCCACGAGCCTCACAAGAACCTCTTCGACTATTCGAACGTGGTAACATTTACAGCCGGCAAAGGGAGCCACCAGCAGTACTTTGCATTCGACGGGCCACGACTCTGCCGTGAATCCACGTACTTTGCAGACCGGCTGCATGGAGATCACCCAGAAGCGAGGAGCCGACATTTTGATTTTGGGGACATCAAGCCTGCCCTCCTCGCATGCATGCTGTCCTGGTACCGTGGCTGGGGGTGCGTCTCCTGCGACGAAGACAGCAGTCATGTTAATGAGGCATTGTCACTCGCCGAGAAATGTCGCATTGTTCGGTTCAAAGAACATCTGGTCCAGAAGACAAAGACACAGACCAGCGCCTTGGGACTGGAAAAAGCACAGAGTGACTATCCCTTGTCTCTTGCAGTGACGACGAAAGAGGAGGCCTTGCCACTGAAGTCGAGCCAGCACTTCCACAATGGGAGACCAAGGATCCTACAGATGGAGACGACGCATCTCATTCTCTATTTGGTCGAGGGACGGCCGCTCTTGAATATTCTTCACATGCCGACGTATGATTGTGTCTGGATATCATAAACAACTCAGCCTTCTAAAAATCGATCGAGCCTTTATGCGTGACGGTTCTGTGATCAGGCCAGTCCAGGGAGATTAGCCGTTCGTTAGGGATTAAATATAAACCTGACCAGACCTGCACATTCGACGGCAAAGAATCAGGACTTTGGTAAATACTCCAAAAAGCCGTCACAAACAAAATTATACCTTTTTCATTCACTTTTCGAGAATCATTCAAATTCCATTCAAAAGGACTGAATGGTCTGAGGTTTTGTTGACCTCAGTTGTACTAGTTGACTGAGACAGCCTGCATCATTCTCATCTTATCACGGTCTATTGATCAGGGACGCTCCCTTGATCTCTCTCAGTACTCGTCCAATAGCGACTCCGATTTGCAATATCTCCTAACCACATACTCTCCAGAATGAGTTCAGCCATGGCATCAGATGCTCCTCGTTCCGTCCGGTGTGCTTATCTCTGAAGCGAGCCTGTTATCACTCACGGCTGATTTGCGAGATAGGTTTACCAAGTCTCCCACTGTTGCCGTGGTTGCGCACCAAGGATCCCGCAAGTCAGGCCCGCATTACATTCATACGGCACTCCTCGAGGATGGATCGAAATTTTTTGAAACGATATTGAAGACACGGCGCCCCCAACTCATCCCACTTGATCTCGACCGCGATGTCGATGTGACTGATTTCGATGTCTTTGTGACGTGGCTCTACGAAGGGTGTATAGATGAGCACACACTCGGAGATAGATTCATCAACATCTGGACTCTAGCCTCTCAGCTCGAATCAGACACCTTCAAGTCATACATCATGAAGGAGGGTAGGGTCCATTTGCAGGAGTCTGACTATCTGTCCATCGCCAAATTTCTTGATGGCGATGTCATCTCGAAATGCGCTCTCCGTGAGTACATACTATCAGGTCTTGCTAGCAAGATCGCCAGCAATGGTTGGGTAAGTTTCATTGAAAGAACTAGGGGTGGCTGGGAGGATTTCATGAGCCACAAGGACGACGAGGCTGGAACGAAGGGGAAATTCATTTCCTGCCTCATGGCGCGGCTGGATCAGATGCGTCAAAATGGCATGCAAAGCTCGCCAGCAACACAGCTTGAAGGGCACGGAGGGGCGCTCTTCGACCATCCGTCGCCCCAGTCTCAGCATCGCAGTCAAACGCTTCCGGTGTACGTGGCTCCCGAGGAGTCGACTCCGCATATACGAATACCCAAGCTCGTGTTGAAGAAGAGAAAATGGGAAGCCGACACTGTACAACAGCATTAATATGCGTGTGTCTCCTCAATAAGGCCAGGACCAGGACTGTGCTGGGTGGACTGCTGTGAGATGGGGGTGGACAACACCCCTCTGCGTGTTGACCTGAGGAGGATCAAAATAACAAGGCAGACAGACACATCTCGATACTCTCTCTCCTCTCTCTCGGAATTAGGGGACAGAATATGCAAGGACTGCTTTGAAGGAGGAGAGGCAGCAATCCAGGCCGAATCATAAAAGTTGAGCTCTATTTGGTGTTTCTGATAGAGACACGGAATCAAACAAGTTACAATCCACAGCCGAACTTTGGTGTGAGATGAGACGCGCAGCTTGTCACCGCTTCATTATCAGCCTTTGCTTCACGGGCAAACATGACCGGTCTTCTGCCAATAGAACAAAGTCTTCCCTCTTTCACAGTAACCTGTCTCGCAATTCACCTTTGTCTTCTTGCACATAGCATCGTCAAGCTGCAGGCAAGCAGTTCTTTGATTCACTTCACTTGATGTTGAATCTGAACTTATCGCTATCTTCCTCACCATTTCGTCTGATCACTCTTCTCATTTCTCTTACATCCACACCTTTCAAGCACAGGTACATCGAAAAAAAGTCCTCCGCAGCCTCTTTCAAACAACCGCCTCAGTCCATTAGAAACATGGCGGCACCACCAGCAATGACTTCAAGGTGAGCAGCAGGCAAGACCTTCTCAGCATTTGAACCGCGAACTAACCTCCTAGCAGCCACGCTCGAGCCCCCGTCATCAAAGTGATTGCAGGCGAAGACGAGATCTATGGCGAGGAAGACGCAGACGTCCCGCTCAATGTCTTCCACGTTAGCAAGTCGCTCTTGTTGGAGAACTCAAAGTACTTTGCCATCATCCTCGATTCCTCTCCTGATCGCACCACAGTCCGTCTCCCCACCAGCGACCACGACGTCCTCGCCGACTGGCTCGACCTGATCTACCAAGGCGGCCTGACCAAATCCGGCAACCACCCCCAGCCTCTGGCGTTCAAGGATGTGCAGCGCTACTTCAAGTTCGCAGACCTGGTCGGCTCCGAGAAGCTCCGCAACACAATCATGGATTCGATGCAGGACGTTCCCTTGGGCCACTGGGACCTCAAGTCCTTGTGCACTTTGGACGCAGAGTATTCCTCCGACCTCGGGGTTTTGCAGGACTACGTCCTCGATTGTCTGGCATACAAGATCGTCGTCGGGGGCTGGGCCGAGTTCACCGGGTCCGACCGTGACAGCCCAGGGAGTACCTGGCGCGACTTCGTCAGCGAGACGGCCAACACCGGGTTGCTGAATCAGCTGTTGTTGAGGGTGGACAAGCTGAACGAAGAGAAGAATCACCACCACCTTGTGGCCCCGATGGCACAGAGGGACTGCAAGTGGCACGAGCATGTGAGCGACGACACAAAGGCCAAATGTCCACGAAATACCACGCCGGCGTGGACACCCTTGACTGCATACAACGGTCTCAAGAACGGGCATGGCTCATCGATCAGTACATTTGGGCTTGGGGTTCGCGAAGGACTATTTTAGCGTTGTGGCCTGATAGTACACCGACATACTTGACCACTCAAACCACTGCAGGTCGATGCTTCAAAGTTGGGAAGATATTCAGCAGCACATTGAGCAAACAAGCAAGCAGACACTGTGACAGCTTCTTCTTGCAATGATATGCCAGGGCAGGATCTTGCGTGACGGTGCCACGGTGCTGGATGGTCAGACTGGGTTTGGTGCATGGGTCCTGCGTCGTAGCTGGTTTCTTTGGGAAAGGCGCTGATATCCTGGACAGCACACGCAGAGGACAATGAGGCTGCGGCTCTGGAACACAAAGGTAGTATTGCTCCATACCATCAACCACAAGAGAGTCAGTCAATACATAGAGAAGAGCTTCACACTCCAGACAGCACATTGACATCACAGTCTTTTCGTCTTTCTCCAGTTGCCTTTTTATCTTTATGACCCTGACATGCCACGATGTCTGGTTCTTCCACTCTTCGGATCAACTTGCTTTGTTGTTTCGTCGTCTTGTTTGACCCGAAATTCAGCCGTAGATCGCCCTAGTGCTCCCAGTGACCCCTTTCTTACTGGTTCCTGCACAACCTCTCCTTAACCCAGCTACAGTACCTCGTACGCGTATGTGCAGTCAGCACAATCGTAAAGAACATGACCAACCCGCACACGACGCGACAAAGAGCATTTTCCGTCCTGGGCTCAAGACTGCCAGCGGGCGCGATGGAAGTGCCATTCACTCCGGAAGAACCAGAGCGCCTGGCGACAGTAAGTACCCTGGACATCAAAGTGACATATGACAGAATGAGGTAAGTTCACAGACAACGCAAATCTGTCCCAGTATCAATCTGAAGCAGGAGACTGCTGCCTAGCGGTCGTTGAGTGATAGATGAGTGTGAGAGGGAGAGGGAGAGACGACTCTGAACCAGATGAGAGGGTGGAAAGCAAGCTATGGACATGACAGCCTGGCCCTCGACGACCTCACGCCCTCCTGATCCTCTCCTTCACCTTCTACCTACTAACGATGAGATCAACGACATCATCGACGACGCGCCGCCGAGAATCCAGCCAAGACAGCGTCAAGATGACACTATCTAACCCTCTAGGGAAATCCAACGATATGATATTTGATATTTGAGCCCACGGTCGATGTCAATTTCACGAATTTGTCTCCTTTGTCGTCTCCCATGTTCATCGCCCTCTGTTGTCGTTGACCAAACCACTCAACCACAACATTCACACCTGAGCGTACGCTTCAGCCATCGCCACGTTGATCCTCACACCGCCCGCTGTCTCAACCTGGACCATGGCTTCTGAGCACGGTTCGAACGCCAGCTCAACCTCGTCCCTTGCCCTTTTGCCCGACTCTTCGGCCCATAGTCTTCTCGACTCTTTACCCGGGTTCCCGCTCCCTGAAGTCTCGGAGTACGTGCGAGCCATGTACATGGAGAGGTTAGTTCTAGTCGACGATGAAGACCCAGCGCGCGCCCCATCAATATGATGTGCAGTTCAGTTTTCTGACGGAGGAATCACAACACAGCTTGAACAAAGTCGCCTTCTTGATAGGTGCCGACAGCTCTGACACCTGGTTCAACATCTACATATTGCCCGCGGCGCTCCGGGACGCATCGCCTCTCTTTGAAAGGAGCGGACGTCGTTCCAGGTCCCGCCGTTCGTCAACACCCCCACCCTCGCCCGGCTCGCTCTGCTGCCGCTTCCGAGAGCAAGATTGCCAGGCCGCTGTGGTCTTTGGGCTGTGGCTGGGCCTCTACAGTACTGCGGACGCTGAACTGTACGAGGGCTTTGACAACGTGATTCAGTGCAAGTTCGGCCAGAAACCAGACTTGTTTGTCCGGTGCTGGGATGTCGCCGACCGATTCGAGGCACAGCCCTTCAAGAACTACCTGACCACCACCGCGGTCGTCATGTCCAATACATGCCTTGTAGCGCACTTTGGGATCGCCGACAACTTCTCCCGAGCGGGCCTCTCCCGCACCTCACTCGTCGGCGCCCTGCTCGACAGCCTGGCCTTTCAGGTCGTCGAGACGGACATGGTTCTTTTGGAGGTCCTTGAGAGCTGGTCGGTCTACTCTGGGCTCATGGGAGCCAGCCCTCGTCTCCTCGCCGAGTTCCTGCTCGCGATCGAAGACTTGAAGGGGTTCCGGGATAGGTTCTTCCCGTTCCATCCACGCGATCGTCTGTGTGCAAAGTGGCACACGCACAAGAGCAGGGCAGAGCGACGAGCGTGTCCCGACTTCAACGCCGTGCAATGTGCGGGGCTCGACTCGAGTGACGACGATCAACGCGATGACAGTGGTGATGACGGGGGCGACGACCATGAAGGAGATAGTGACAATGGCGATGATGAGGGCGACGACCGTGACAACGACGAAGATGATCTTGATGACGAAAGCGTCGACCGTGAGCAAGACAGTAATAACAACAGTGATGATGATGATAGGGACGACGACCGTGGAAAAGATAGCGACAATGGCGATAACAATGACGATGACGAAAGCGTCGACCGTGACCAGGACAATGACAATCACGATGAAGATGACGACGACCGCAGCGAAGACACGAACAACAGTGATGACAAAGAGGGCGACGACCGTGCCCAAGAAGACAGCAAGGACTATGACCAAGAAGAAGAGGAGGAGGCCACCAACGCACCAAACGGTGCACAATCAACATGCCATCCTGCAACGTGCCATAAGAGCAAACAAGCCACCCATGAAGGTGAAGGTGAAAGTGACGGTGAAGGCCATGCACATGATCAAGATCAAGACGAGGACCAAGATCTGCCACGACCCAGAGGTTCTCAGGGGCTGAAACGAAGTGCCGAGGCAGCTGGATTTGAGGATCACGATTAGTGGTGATGAAGGTGATAATGAAGACGGTGGTGACGAAGAGGATCACAGCGAACACGGAGAGAGACCCGCCCAACGACAAAGACAAAGACGCGGGTAGAACGGCTCGGATGGCCAGCCGACCCTGCCCTGCCTGCCCTGCCTACCTGGTGGAAGGGTATTGATTGTTACGTCTGCACCTAGATTAGGTGTCGTGAGAAGAGGGAGAGACATCCGGATTCTCTCTTCAAGAGTTACGTGGAGCAAGGGCTGGATTGCAGCTGGAGGATCTGAAAAGACTGGATTCTCAAGAGAGCAGAGAGCTGCCCGGGCCACTCGATCTTCGCGCTCACTCACTTTAGGGGGAATAAAAAGAGACTTCTTGGGTTCAAAGCAAGGCCAGGCCAGGCCAGGCAAGGCAAGGCAGATAGATTGCTTTTTTGTAGCCATGATATGATATGATGTGATTGCCATTCAGCAGCTCTGCAATCACACTCACGCCTACACTCTGCACACGGGTTGTGGCACACCGCTTCAGGACATCAACTCATCAACTCTTTTTCTTGTCTTTCTTTCTCTTGGTACTTGAATCTCCACCACCTCCTCCGCCGCCACCGCCGCCCATCAATCCACCAAGACCTCCCATCCCACCCATCCCGCCCATGCCGTTCATCATGCTCTGCAGCGCACTCATATCTGGCATGCCGCCACTAGCTCCGCCGGGACCACCCGCGGGCAATTGGCCCTGACTCTGGGCCTGCCTGAGCTCCTCCATGGCCTCCTTGAAGAAGTCGTCTCTAACACCACCGCCACTCACGGCCGAGGAATGCACGGGGAGGATGGTGCCCATCTTCCAGCCGCGGGGGACGGCGACCTCGTACTCCAGAAAATTCTCCGGCACGGGGAGACCGGGCAGGCGCAGCTCGAGCGGCGACTCCTTGGTGGTGGGGTGATCCTTGAGCCATCGCCCGATGATGGTGTAGAGGTGCGCCTTGCTGCGGATGGTGCGGTTGAGGGGCGCGTGGGTCTCCGGGTCCTTGAGGAGGAGCTTGACCCGGCCCGGGTTGGCCCAGTCCTTGGGGTGCGTCTTCTCGGGCTCAAACGCCATCTTGAACACGTTCTCCCCGACCGCGAACCGCACCGCGCACAGCACCTGCCACGCCAGCGGGTTCGGGATCGCCAGCTGCGCGGACACGCGGCGGCCTTGCTTCTTCGTCCGCGTGCTGTCAAAGTATACCGGGTACAGAGTCTGGAACCGCTTGATCTCTTCCCGTGACTGTTGTCGGATTTGAGGGGGTGGTCCGGCCGTGGATGCTGATCCAGGCGCGGGGCGGAACAGGGTTGGGTTCGTTCCTGAGGTGGACGAGGGAGGAGTTGATATCGAGGCGAGTGATGACGCCGTCGTCTGGCTCGCCGGCCGGATTATGTGCTGGTCCGATTGAGGCAGGAACTCAGAAGGGTCGTCAATATCAGGGTCCGAGTCGGACAGTTCTTCCACTCGTGCGTGCGACATGTCTGTGAGGGAGGGGATGTGTCGTGTGTGTATAGACGTTTGTTTTCCTTTTCACCTGTCCTTGTCTATCCTCGCTCTTTCAAATTCTATCTCCACATGTGTCGTGTCTGTACGTACAAGTTGACTCGTAGTGAGGGGAAGGTTGCGCTCGTCAATGACAGAGTGTGTTCGGCTTCGTGCTCCGTTGACCAGGTAGTGCAGAGGCCGACTCCCGGATTGCAAAGTCTCAGCTCGGCCGTCCCGCAGCCTTTCTTTTCGGTTTGTCTCCCGCAATTTTGTGACTAGAAACACAACTGAAATTCCCTTCCCAAATCTAGCGGGTAGTGTCAATTTTGCGTGAATGTGTAGTAGGTGAACGTATCAAGCGCGGTACCCATTGCATGTGGGGAAATTTCCCTTGTCTGGATTTCCCTCCAAAATGCGGGCTTGGCATGGACAGATTCATAGCCTTACATGCAAGCCTTGCTTTCCCAGCCTTGTGGCACTTACTCCGTACATACCCCTGCTCCCTCAATGGGAAAGAGCAAACTCAGCCTCGTCGGCGTTACCACGACCCACACCATGCTGCGTACCGAGTACATACCCATTTCCACATGGGGATATTGGTCATTGCTCGTTCCATTTCCATCCCTTGACGGGTCTCGAGGAATCAGCGTACGTCACTCGTCAATGCTCTAGCACTGTGTCATTTTCAAGCTCCATCTTTATTCAGCAAAGCAACTGTGAGATCAACAGGCAGGACACATTCGTCCGCTCATTCGCATGCACTATTGTTCGTCCGTCCGTCTGTTCTTTCTTCCACAACACTCGGTAAGAATGCCAGACGCATACTACTCCTTGGAGGCACGCCCCTTCTCCAGAGATTACTGAACAGCCTGCCCTGGCCGAAATATGTCCGTCCCCGCGCTCCTACTCGATATCCCACTCGACGTCCTCGCTGTTTCTGATGTACGGGACCGGCATGTCCTTGGGCCCGTACTTTGTCTCTGTGATGGTGAGCCCATTGCCCAGGAAGGCAAAAACGTTGCCCGGGTCCTTGTACTGCAGGTCGTAATGCTCGTAACGCGGGCGCTTCAGGAACTTGAGATGGTGGTAGAGACTGCCTGGCCAGATGTACACGCGGCCGTCCGGTTTGTTGTCCTGGGTTGGTATGTAAAGTTAGTATCACTACAACAAAGGAGGGCTGCTATGCTGTGTGAAACGGGGAAAAAAGAGAAAGGGCAGAAATCACCTTATACCAACTCTTACAGTCCTCGGCCCACACGCTGTATTTCCTGTGCCATGCGTCCATGTACAGGTTCAACTGGGTCGTGAGGTCCTGCTTGGGCGCCATCCAGCGAATTCCATCCTCTTGCAACTTTCGACAGCACTGGAGGATATACTCGGCCTGCACCTCGTGGCTGGGGAGTGCGCAGCCCTGTCCCCAGTTGCCCCGGGGCCCGTTGACCACAAAGTAGTTGGGAAAGCCGGGGGCGGCGATCGATGCGTACACGTTGGGTTGCTTCTGGTCTTGCATGACCTGGCCGCTCAGCCCTGTGATGCGGAAGTGCGGTTGATACTGGACAAAAAACCCCGTGGCACACACCAAAAGGTCGACCTTGTGCTCCCTGCCGTCACTGGTAACGACGCCTTCCGGGGTGACCTTGACAATGTCCTCGAAGACGCAGGTTACGTTGTCGCGCACCAGTGCCTCGAGGTAGCCCTCACCAGGCGTCAATCGACGACAACCGGGGCTCCACGCGGGGATGAACTTCTGCTTGAGGTCCTCGCGGTCGCCGAGTTTCCTCGCCATGTCGTCTTGCAGGAACTTCTTCGCGGCGAGATTCTGCTCGGTCCCGCGCAGGAACATGCGGAACATGCCGGCCACCGACCGCTCCACGTCCTCGCGGTACTTGAGATGGTAGTCCGGATCGTCTCGAAACTTTTGCTTTTCCTTCTCCGTGTACAAGTGCTTGCCTGCGGTGCCGGGGTCCGCAGCGTCAGGGTCGGCTTCCTTGTTGGACATGGACAGAAACGGCGTGGCGATGTAGGTCTGGTTGCGTATGAAGACGGTGAGGTGCTTCGCCGTCTCGGCCAGCTTGGGCACCATCTGGATCGAGCTCGAGCCCGTGCCGATGACGGCGACGGTCTTGCCCGCCCAGTCGATACTTCTGTCCCACGCGGCCGAATGCAGCAGCAGACCCTTGAAGTCATGCAGCCCCTCGATGGTCGGCCACTTCCACCTGTTGATTACGCCGGCACCGTTGACGAGCACGTCGCAGGTGTCTGTGAAGGTGCTGCCGTCCTTGCGCTTCAGGTCGACGGTCCAGTTCGAGTTGGTCTCGTCCCACGTGGCGGCCACGACTTCGGTGTTGAGCTGGACGTACTTCTCGACGCCGTACTTTTTCGCAAACCGCACGAAATACTCCTGGATCTCGTCGCTTCCGCTGTAGTAGCCGCTCCACTCGGTGTTCGGCTCAAAGGGGAACGTGTACGTGTGCGCGGGGATGTCGCACGCACAGCCAGGGTATCTATCAATACGGGTTGTCAGGACGGCCTGGCTTTGCATGAATGGACCAATTGACCCAGGAAACTGACCTGTTCTCATACCAGGTGCCTCCAATGGAATCGTTCTTCTCGTAACAGATCAAGTCGTAGTTCTTTAGCATCCTCTCCGCCTTGTGCGCGAACAACAGACCTGAGGCACCCGCGCCGACGTGGATGATCTTCAACGGCTGCGGCGCGCATTGTGGGTGATCGGGGATGTCATCCGGCGTGTAGGGTGCTTCATTGATGAGCGGCATCTTTGTATTTTTTTTTCCCCGTAACAGGAAGTCAGAGAAACAAAAGAATAGGACAAGGCAGGCTTTCGGAAAGGTACAGTACAGTATATAGTATATAGATGGAGTTCCTCGACCTTTTCCTCCCCAAAGATCGAGAGCACACCGTCTATATATACATGTACCAAAGTACGTTACGTGCCTCTTCCTCCGCCGCCCGTCACTCTCGTGTCATCTTGTCTTGTCTCTAAAAGGGCCCCCTCTCCCCTCTAACCCACGTCCCTGGACATGGCTTGCCATCAAACACGTCCGCCGTCTCGGCTTTGTGCTGTGCAGAGATGGCAGCCTATCAGACCACTACCGGACGCATCTCGTCTCCAAGCCAGCGCCGTCGTTCGTCCGGTATCACCGCCGCAAGTCACATATCGGTTGTTGTTCCTCGGGTCTCTCTGACCCTTGTTGTGACACGCCAGTAGCCGCCTTTCTCCTATTCAGGTATGCCTCCCAGGCATAGCCGAAGACGCAAAAGGCGGGGTCGGCTTACCGAGGTCAGCCGTACAGTTCTCCGGGTGGTGGGAGAAGGGACTGGGGAAAAGAAGAAAGACCTTGGGAAGGGCATTCGGAGATGATGAGGCTGCAAAACAAACCAAAAAAACTCTTGTCCTTGGTCCCCTCGATTGGTGGGGGCATCTGGGTACATCAGATTATCTCGGCTCCCGACTCGTAAGAGACGCAATGACCAAAAGGACAGATTGGGTGCAAAAAAGCAGATACACACAGGAACTTCGATGGGCATTTTGACATTTGGTACCTGCATTGCTCGGGGACTCCCAGAGTTTCCTTGCGAGTAGTGGAATGCAGGGAATAAAATCTGAAAAGAGACAAGCGAAAACGAGGAAGGCAGTCAAAATGCTCGGCATCTTTTGTTTAGCCATTCTATCAGGGATACCTTAAGAGGAAAATAAATATATTGCATGCCCCCAACCCAGATCCCCACGAAACACCCCGCTTCATGCGCGAAGGCTATTTACAGAATAGCGGCAGCACCGGCAGCAACTGCCCCAAGAACCATCAGTCCGTTCGAGACCATGTTGGCGCCAGCGGCGTTGCCAGAAGGAGAAGCGCTGGCGCTGGAACCGCTTGTGGTTGCCGAAGCGGAAGGAGTGCTGCTGGAGCCCGAAGAGCTAGCAACCGCGGCACCGAAGATGCCACCTTGGACGGTCTCAGGCGAGGAGCCCTGGGCGTTTTGTGCAGCAGATTTGTATGCATCGAGAGTGTTGCCGCTCGATCTATAGAGTGGTTAGCATATGTGTTCGGTTGCATGAGTGGAGCAGTGGGACTTACGGGGGGTTGACGACCAGAGCCATACCGCCCTCACAGTGGCCAGTGGCAGAGCAGTACAGCCACAGAGGGTCCGTGCTGTTGACCTGGATCCGCCACACATCCCCATCGTTGGGGAATCCGGAGTACACACCAGCGCCACCACTGATTGGTACGCAGGGAGCATCAAATGAGCTCTGTGCAACACTGTGACCCTCGCCGAAGGTGAATTCAACCCAGTCGCCCTTTGCAGCGGTAACGGTGTCTGGGGTGAAGGTGAGGCCGGGGCCAACTGTGACAGAGTGGATGTTGGATGATGAGGCCTGGGCCGCGGCGGCAGTTGCACTACTGCCTGTTGAAGCAGAAGTCGAAGAACCAGAAGAACCGCCGTAGTCGTATTGAGGGTTGGCGAGGACTGATGTGGCCAGCACACCGAAGAGGAGGGTGGTTGAAGAAAGTAGGGACTGCATTTTGTATGTGAAGTGTAGATGTGAGATGAACTGTCTTGTCACGGGACGATAGGGTCGATAGCTCTGCTATGAGAATAGGAGAATTACAATTGTAAAGAAGACTGAACGTTTGGTCGGGTTTTGTATTCGTTGGGGTGGACGTTAGAGAGGTGAAGGAAGAGCCTCTTTTTACAACGGGAAGTTTCTCAGCTCTTTATATCCCGCAACAGAGTGCGGCCAGGGAGGTACCGGCACAGGGATCAGATACGAATTGACCAAAATTAGCCAAACAGGGACTGTTTGAGCAACCTCACTCGGGTTCCTGAGCGGCGAATGGCAGATATGCAGTAGACAGAGTGGGGATCATAGACAGGAATATTGACGACGCGCAACCTCCTCGTACCCTGACGACTCCAGACTCTTCACGTTTGAAATCTCGTGGTTGGATAACGGCCTGGTGGACGAAGGAAACAGGCAAAGGGAAGGTGGAAGGATTCTGGGCAGCTGGACCGCGTCGAGTTTCCGTAGTTTCTGGCCCAAGACGGTTAGCGATCGTAACGAGGTCCAGGGGGTAGATTGGACCAGAGCAAGCGCCTGTTTGGCCCGGTTGAGTCTTGGTGGAGAGGGCGAAACGCATTGGAAACACGAACCGCATCTCCCGTATCAGACCGGGACCATCACATTCACCAACACCACCATCCTCGTCACCACCCTGAACTCCTGAATCCTTCTGGACCCCCATCGCAGACTAGCCGGTAGAGAAGGGCAAAAGAAAAAAAAAAAAGTCCTTTATCACACTCGATCCACAGAACGATGGCGTACGACGTACCTAGGCAACATCCCGAACCCAAAAGCTAGAGCTGAGAAAGGGTAGAAGTTGAAAATAGATTTTAGCGCAGCTGGCTGATCACTAGCTCTGAAGCCGTCTGGAGTCTGGTGCCGTCAAAAAGGAAGAGACTTTGTGTGAAAGAGGGAGAGGGAGAGAGAAAGGTGGATTCGTGGAGACTGGAGGGAAGCGCCCTAGCTTGAGATTTTTTGCAACGCGGATAGAGGCTGACACGCAACCAGCAAGCAAAGGGGAGACTTGGGGGGTGCAGGTAAAGGAACATCCCAGTAGTTAGTGCTGCTGGGCGAGTTGTGCCGCCTACTAAACTGCTTAGTGGATGGTTAGCAGCAGGTGCTGGGGGCGCTCGGGGGCAATTTCAGTTATGGTGGAGGGCATCATGAGTAACCAAGGCACCTAAAGTGGCTAGTAATTGTATTAGTCGCATCGAAGGATGACTAACCGCTCGTGCCGCTTCACCTGCCCCATGCATTTTTGCCACAGCCTCGCCATGTGCCAAAATAGACCATGCGAGGCTGTCACTCAGCGCACGTCTCTTCTCAGCCAACAACACACTGACCATAAGGTGCCGACAACCTGTCATCAACAACACCACTTCTGGTCTTCTCACCAAATTTTCGCCACCAAGCAGCTGCTCCAACAAGTCAGAAAAGACCGAAAATCCCCCCCGGGTGCTGGCGTCACTTTTCTCACCCGGGAAACCGTCCACCTCGCGCGGCCTCTTTCCGGGGAAGAGATATATATTTAGCCCTCTACCCTCTGCTGGGCTTGCTGGATGAGCCAATCGGTAATCCAAACCCCATTTCCACTTCACCTACCTTTTCAAAAAGAAAGAATCCATCTGTGAACAAGACGCCATGTCGGCCCCTGATTTCATTGCTTTCTGCCCACCTGATGAACGAGGTTTGCTGGATGTCGAGGCGGAAATTTGCCCTCTGGTGACGTGTGCGCGCAGACGGATCGCAGGCTGATCATGCGACAATGATTCCAACAAGAGCTACTCAGTACACTATCAAGGCATAACGAATAGATAATGAATTATACAACCCCTCCTTCCCGCTATCCCAAGAAGCCACAGTCCTACTCTGGGTTCGGTTCAATGCCAGAGATTGCATCCACTTACCCGAATCATACCCCATCTCCGAAGAGATTGCCATGCATGCTTCCAACCGTGCCGCCAGTCAGTCTCATGGTCAGTTGTTGATCCCAAAAATATCTCTGACTTGTTTGGAGTATGGCCTGTAAGCCAGCACTCGCACCACTGCACGCACTCATGATTTGCCCTCCCAACTGCCACGCTGGAGATCCCTCTCCTCCCGTCGCCATCAACATGGCCGCGACCCAGATCATGCTCGGGCGACATTCATTCCCGATTGGGGCAATAGGCTTGCCAACTAGGGTCATACAATGAAGTCGTTGAGCCCATTCCATCACCGAGTAGATCGCCTCACCGTTCATGAAGATGCAAAAGGAAAACAGGCCAATCACCAGCAACCGCTCCTTCTCCTCGAGCTGGTCCTGTTGGAGCAGGTCAAATGCCCGAAATGCATCCAACGTCATTGCATGCACCACTGCTGCGGTCTGGTCCCCATTTCCTCCTGCCTCGGGAAGGTCGGCAACCTGCAGAGTCCACAGGGACATTCTTTCCACGAGATTCAGGAGCGGCATCTTGATAGGAGTGCTGCAGAACAGTTCTGAGAACCCCGGGGGTAACTTGTCCAGCCGAGCACGGGATACCGGCAGAGGTTGGGGGTGAGATGCTTCCGCTACCTGCGACGCATCCTCGAAGCTGGATCTCTTAATATGGTCAAAGTGTCGGTAGTTCAAGAAGTTTTCGAACCTGGGATTTATCAGCAATGGCATAACTGGGACACCCCGGACAGTGAACTCTTACTGGAGAAGTGGAATCTTTACCCATCTGCTCAACGATGGGCTGTCCATTCCGCCCCGAAGTTGGATGATGTGCCGTAAGGCCCCAAGATGAGTCCCCATCGCATCGATGTTGTCGTGGAGAAGCTGAAAGTGTCATTAGAAGAGCTTGGCCATAACTAGGGATGTATTACCTCAGTCCCAACCAGCAGAAGAATTGTCATCATAACAGCATCAGAGGCACATGTCTCCGTCGAAGAGATCCTCTCGCGGAGCTCTCGGATAACGTCGTTTCGCTGTGATAAAAGCATATCGCTTGTACTCTGCGTTCCCGGCCCGAATCGCTCTCGCATGTCTGCCGCCCAAACGAGCACAGCGTTTGCGACCATACGATCTTGGAACATGACTCCGTCGAGGAAGTCGCCAGGCTCAAAGAGGATTGTTCTGTGTCGGCGGTGGATGGCAAAAGGAGCATAACACTGGAACACTGGCAGACGAGAATTAGCTGAGATAGAGTCATTCGGAGAGAGACGGCTCACAGAATTCGAATGTCGCATTTGGATCCAACTCGTGGTCCATCCTGAGGCTGTCACCAAGGTTCCAATGTTCCAGGAGATCGACGACAGTTTGGAAGGCAGCACTGCCCCCGTCTGCGACTGTCTCGTTTGCAGCAGACCTGGGTGGCATCGACTCCACGGGATGAGAAGGCTGTGCATGAGTCGACGACGACGAAGCCGATGAAGAGTGGCGGCGGTGCGCAGACTGGCTGCTGGCACTTGCCGCCGGATTTCCGAGCTTCATCCTGTACATGTACCCCTCCTGCGTCAATTTGGACCTGACGGATCCCCAGGATGGGTTTCTGTTCTTCATGTCGTCCAGAATGACAAGACTTGGGGCTCGCGAACTGATGGAGATATGGTCAACGGAAGTGCACCCTAACAGCTCGAATTGATCCACGACACTCCATCCTCCAACGGCGTCTATATAGAAAGAGTGCCATGCCTGCCCAGCTGAGTTCCATGAGTTCATCTTTCCTGGCGGGAGCATTGGGGAGTCCCGAGTTTGATCATCGCGCAGCCTTGCCAGAGTGAATTACCAGATCTGCGAAGACAGCGATAGTGCTGCTTCCCATTTTGTTCGTGGGTGGAGAAAGGCGGCCTGTGAGGTGAGTTCCTTCTGGTGAGACGTCCTGGAGTCTCATGGCCGCAAGGCAAAGCGGCCCGTCCAGGTTCTAGCCACTGAGTAATGGAAGTGGCTCGCCAGGTATTCGTCGATGAACCCCAAGTTCACTCAATCCAGCCGCATTGGCTTACCTAAAGTGTGGCATTGTTCAATGAGCTATACCTGATCCAGTGTTTGTCCAACTCTCCAGAGGATTGGCTGGGGGTTTGGTGGTCCGTGCGCTGAACATCCCTCATAGGTTAGATTTGGCTGTCCCTTGCTGAACTCCCTGCAGAATTTAGGCTCTCCGACTGTCTGACAGCCTATCATAACAATCCATCAGCCTGGGTTCGGCGATCCCGTCGCCAGGGTCCTGCAAAGGTGGTGAATTGCAAATGGCATATTCGGTAAGGCTTGCTTTCTGCACTTCCATAATCCGAATCTCATCGGCGAATCTCTGTCAGCCTTCAGACGCTCCCCGAAAACAGGTGCAATTCCTGATTGTGGAAATTTTTGGCTGGTAGCAGCGGTTTTTGCACCAGGGAAAGAGGGGTTTGCCAATTGCCGACACGGAAAAGCTTCACATGATATGCATAGCCATTAGACCTCGTGGATGTGATGGATGTGATGGTGTGACAGGCCCGGACCGATCGCTCACAGTCGACTTGTCACATCATTCGCCCGGGCCTAGGAACGTGGTTCGGCTCGTGCAATGTTGTCATCTGGCGATGGCGACTTCGTTATCAGGAAATTTTTCGGCCCTTTGGAAAGGGGCGTCCAGTTTGTGTTGCAACTTCCCAAAACTCCCAGACCATCAGAGATTTGGTCCCAACGTGTATCAATCGTTGCCTTGGTGGGAAAATTTCACCCCTATCCATCCTCTAGCAACAGTTGTTCGCGCATGTGGTTGGCAGGGGCTAGTCTCAGTATCTTGTGGCTATCTTCAAAGCGGTATGTGTATCATCAAAGGTATCCTGGTCGGCATCAAGCGGCCAAGAGACCCTTGTGCAGAAACAGTGAGTGTAGGTGATCGTTGTGTTTGTGGGGGCAAATGTGGTACGTAGATGTCCCTATAGGCATGATCCGGCACGGGGCTTTTCATGTACAATCTGGGAAAGTGAACTCGCTTCGAGTCCTCAAGGATCCGAAGGGTGATCGACTGAATGTGCTGTCGAGAAAAGAGCTGCTCCCTTGGAAAGACCGGATGCGTGGGCTGTGGGCGGCTTGGGTAGTGTCTCCTGGGTGCGATTGATTAGAGAAAGAGATGAGGCTCGCAGGAACAGCTCTCGTCCTGGGACCTGTTTCGCAAACACTGAGCATGATAATGGACTGCTAGATAGTCTAGGCATTAACATTGAGACAGGGAGAGCTATAGGGCACACCACAGAACAATGCGGAGGTGTGATATAACGATTATATCTCTGTGAGATGGGACGAGCATGTCGGCCGTAAAGGTGAGGGGGGTTCGTGTTTAAATACGACAAGACGCAGAATATTATCAAGTGTACTGTACTCGGTGCACAGCACGAAAGGAGTAAAGGGAAAGTGTGGTTGACGAGGTTGGCGCTGGTCTGGCTGGTCTGGTCTGGCTGGGATCTCACATGCGAACCAAAACGCCCAAGAATTCAACCTCGGAATATTCGGCCCCAGAAAACAACAGATACAACGGGCCAAAGTTGGTCATTGCATGCGCCATCGGGCTCAGCGAACATCACTGCGAGACTCACTGGGTAGTCAAGAGTCTAGGTCGATAATTCTTGGGTTTATAGCTATGGAAGCTGCAAAAAAAAAAAAAAAAATGCCTGAGCGCGATGCTGTGGTGGTTGCATTCATGTCCACTGATATACGAAAGTCTCGGTGTTCATAAATACACTCCGCTGATTGCTCTCTCGGTCCGTCGACCGGACAGGAAGACTAATAGACAAGCAATATTCCTTTGCAAATTGTAAATGCACCAGCCCGAAAACTCCGCTACGAGGACAGTAGGGTGTCTGGTAGTGGCCTACTCGCCAAGTCTGTACCAATGCCCTTCCTCGACTTCGTGACGTGAACTAATCCCTTCTCTCGAGCTCAGATGGTGGCTAAAGGACACGGGACACAAAAACAGAGGGGTGGTCACAAGACAGACAAAAATCACAAGGACGAATCTCAGAAACATCTGGGCACAAAACGGGGGAAGAATGGAGGATTCACGCAGGGCAGTGTGGATGTGCCTCGAGGCTGCTGGGAAAAAGGGCAAACAGCCCATTGGAAGGCAGCATAGTCGAGGTGCTCAAGGTGAGCAGAAGGTTGAACTGCAAGCAGGTTAAAGGCACCAAGAGCAATTTCCGAAGTAGCGAAAAGGACTGTCTGCAGAACTCAGGCAACGTATATCTTGTTTGATCCAATGCCTCAGGTACCGTTGCGCCCTCGGTCAAATGCATCAGGCGCAATGGGAAGCTGCGGCATTGTAACGATTTAGTTTGGCTCTTTCGAAATTCTGTTGACATGTTTCGGCATCTGATTTTGATATTGTCACATCTATAGTTTGGCTTTGGCAGCACCGCCAGCTTTTGAGAGAATGGGTTCCATCTTTGTTGCTGTTCTGCTCGTTAGCTCTCCATCCTCTCGCAGCCCAACGTTGACAGACGTACCTTTCATGATATTTCCCTTGATCTTCAATTTTCCACCCATAAATAGCGCCTGGGCTTTCGTCTTGCCGACGAGTAATTTGCCAAAGTTCTCGTCGGAGAGGTGAAGTGTCACTGTTAACCCCGTTTAGTCTTTCCTGTCTTCTCTTTCCTACTGGTGGCTGGGTGAAAACTGACCATCAGCCTTCTTGCCCGTGGGAGCCTCGCCCTTGCCAACCTTTCCGGTCTCCTTGAGATCGATATACCACGCCTCTTCCTTGCCGCTGCTGTTGGTCAGCTTGAAGGCGAAAACGGCGCCTGCTTGCTTGATGGCACTTTTCCGCTCGGCATCGTTGGAGGCGAGGGACTCATTGATGGCATCAAAGGCCACGGAGGAAGGAAAGGCGTCTGAAGGCTGCAGTTAGTTCTGTCACGTTTTGGGACAAAGTGTGAAGGGCTGCTCACCGTCCTTGAGAGACATTCTGTGGCAGACTCCGGGATTGAAAGGAGAGGACTGGGAGACACGGAAAACTCGGGGTGATGGTGAAAACGCCGGATAGGGAGAATGCACAAGACAAAACGGGTCGGCTCAAGAGGTATTCGAGCGTGACGAACTCGATATTTATGGAGATGGAAGCAAGAGTCGCAGTCGGGAATGATCACATGGCCATTGTGCAGATGAGCCGCGAGGACGGAAACCGAAGATGAAGTCATCTCGCGCTTAGGAAAACATGTGAAAGCCTCTGCCACCCAGCTTCCGTTTCCAACGCCGAGGCTCAATCCGCACCACCTCACATTTCCTACTACGCCTTGTGTCCGATGTCGCACCCTCTATACGCAATCATGCCGGGACGTACTTCTATACAGAACGTATGACTCGAATGCATCTACAGTGTCAAGTCCTCTCATCAAACGAAATCGGCTCAGGACTTTCTTAGAAAGTCACTGCGAACCACGAAGAATGTTTCCGAAGACGGCGCAAATACTGAAATACTAAAACGCCCGAGGTTCCTTCCACAGTCGCTTTCCCTGGTGCTAACCAATATATCAGTCTTGAGGTTAGAACGATCAGAACGTTCAGGGAGACGCGATGCAAATATACTATGTTTTGTGTGAGATAAAGTAGGGAGGGTACGGCCCACCCTATCAACACGTTTTCTATACAAAAAGTATGGGTATCATTGCTTTTTGGGGATCCCACGGAACACTGCGTGATGTTCCGCACCGCAGGATCTTCTCAAAACTCTGGTTTAACGATCGCGTCCTGACATAGCACAGCCATACGTTTGAAAAACCTTCGCCACTCCAACGGGTCACCCGATGCCTTGACGAAACACACCTCTATCAGGCCTTCGCTGACCACTTCCATTGCAATGTTGCCGCTCAAGGGACAGCCACGGCTATCCTGCGTTTTCACCTTGACCAGACACTCATAGTCTTCAGCCGTAGGTCGAGGAATATTAGGATTTGGCACCCCCAGCCGGCTCAAAGCCTCTAGGATATGGGGGACGAGGAGATTCAACGTCCACCCAGAATAGAACTTCGTCAGCCCCGAAGAGGGTAAAATGTCATGAAACCGCCGAGCCATCTGTGTCCGGCTCAGAGGGACGCTGGGGTTGGACTGAAACTGTGACATCGACGGCTCGTCTTCGAGATATTGTGCTGTGGTCATCGACTGTGTTGCCGACGTGAGGCCTGCTCCTACTTGCGTGCTTGATATAGCAAGTTGCTTAGGTCGACCCCAGTCAAATAGCATATCTTCGCCCGGTGTTTCTGGTTGGGTTGACGCGAATTTGGTCCTGAAATCCCCATCGATTTCCATCGCGTCTTGATGTCGACTCCTCTGCGTACCTGCAAAGGGGTCTGCATCGAAGCTAACATGGAGCGCTTCAAACATATTTGTGGCCATTGTGATCGGGTCCTTCAGTCGGCCCTTTTGGTCCATAAATCTGTTTGGTCTTGTAAACCAGGGATGCCGGCGCACGTCCTCAAGCGAGAAGCGCGTTTTGACGTCGACTCTCATCATCCCTCGAAGAAGCGATAGGACCTCGGAGGGCAGAGAGTCCCACAATTCGTCGGACGGCTTGCCGTTGCTCTGGACATACTCGCTAAACTCATTCGGCCTCCCATACTCATCACGACCCTCGATTGGTCTACTCCAAGGCGTATTTCCTGCAAGCAAAACAAACAGGACCACTCCACAAGACCAGATATCCGCCACGTTGGCTGCGTAACCACTTCCCTTCGTGCCGCCTTGCGTACTACACGACAGGACTTCTGGGGCAACATAAGGTGGACTTCCGCACAGCGTAGTTGCGAGTTTCGTCCGGCCGTGGTATTCGAATAACGTGGCCATTCCAAAGTCTGCAATCTTGAGGTCTCCATCCGCAGACAGAAGAACATTTTCAGGTTTGATATCTCGATGAGCCACGCCTTTAGAATGCATGTAGCCGATTGCACTGACAAGCTGGGTGAAATAGACATGTGCAATGTCTTCTGCAACACCAGCATCGGCTTCAATCTTGTCAAAAAGGTCACCGCCCTCGGCCAATTCCATTGCTATCCAAAACCAAGCAGGGTCATCACCGTGGTGGTAAAACTCAATGATGTTCTTGTGGAGGCCGATGTGCTTGTGTAGGGATATCTCCATCTCCAATTGTTTTTGCTTGATGCGGCCATATTTCTGTGCAAATAGTTTATTGATGAATTTGACTGCGAAGACGGGATTATCGGCGCTAAGAGGAGCGGCTTTCTTGATGCTGTATGGAATCATCAGCAAATTTCCCTAATGCACTGCAACACTGAGGGCAGGGAGTCAAATACCATGCGTATGCACCGGAGCCGATGGTGGGAGAGACAATTCGGAAAGGCAGTTGGGTCGGCAGAGGTGCCAACTGAGAGTGAGGGATCCCGTTCATGACGGAGGTTGGCGACGATGTTCAGGTCGAGCAGGACAATGTTCAAGGCTATGCATTAATCGACAGTAATTCCATGGCAGCGATACGCCTCCAAATGGTTTACCAAGCGGAGCAACGCGTCGGGTTCCAGACTGAGGCGCGCCAGCAGCAATGAAGTGGTTGACCGAAGCCCCGGTTACGCCCCACGCGCAGTCGACGTCATTTGGGGGGCTGCTCACAGTGCTGTTACTACAGCGACCAAGAAGTCGACCACTGAGGATAAACAATCTGCCCTACCACTTCTAACTTTCCGGGGCGCAGTCGATCTTGCCAGCACAAGCACACGACTCAACTCTACAACTTCACCCTTCGCTTTCCCTGTTTATCTTGACATCTTTTTCATCTTTTACTTATCCTCAGTTCCAGTCATTGCTCTCCGTATTGCGGGTCTACAATCACTGCTGTCAAAACTGTAGTCGTCTAGACCATTCTTCCGTTTTCAGCATTCCTTTACTCGCATTCTGGCCGCTTGCAGCCCGCAGCTTAAATACAGCTCGAACATGGATTTCTCGCTTGAGGACTCACAGAACGCTGCTCCAGGATACCCTACCATGGCTGAGCAACAGAAACTCAGTGTCTTGCCCAGGAAAGCAGACACCCAGAGTGTCACCAAGCGGTAGGACCACTCTCCTCTCTCACTGGGTTCAAAGCACGGGGCTTATCAAGCACAGACTTCAATCCGAACTTATGAGCCTCATGATGTCTCCCACGCCGGGCATCTCTGCCTTCCCTGACACCGACGGCAACATGTTGCACTGGACCGCCACCCTGGTCGGGCCCAGAGATACAGCCTATGCAGACCTCACCTTTAAACTCAGCTTCGAATTTCCCAACAACTATCCGTACCGTGCCCCCACCGTCATCTTCAAGACACCGGTCTACCATCCCAACATTGACTTCAGCGGAAGGATATGCCTCGACATTTTAAAGGACAAGTGGAGTGCTGTTTACAATGTCCAAACCGTGCTGTTAAGTCTACAGAGTTTACTGGGAGAGCCCAACAAGTATGGTTTTGCTCGTGTTTGAAAATTAAACAACGATACTGATACTTGATTGCAGTTCCAGTCCGCTGAACAGCGAAGCCGCCCAACTTCACCAGAGTGACCCTGAGGAATTCCAGCGAAAGGTCTTGGCTCGTCACCAGGATCTTGATGACTAGACATGGAGTTAATGTGCACGAGCACGATCTTGACCATTGCTATGGAGTTCGCCATGACTGGACATGATGGCTACGCACATACCCCTTGCATTGGTTCATAAGCGTTGGGCGTTGGTGCGAAGTTGTTTCATTTTATGGTGGTGGCGATTGAGCGCGGTTTGGGGGTATATCCTAAAGGTCAGCAAAGGGGTGTGCTCGAACAAGCGGAGGACGTCCTGGTGTTGGTCTTTGAAGTCATGCCCTTGAAGTTTTGTATCCACAAAGAGGCGCGAAATATACAACATTGCATCCTCTGATGTTTCCTAATTGTGCCCAGATCTTCTCTGTAGGGTTTTCTGGCAATTCCAGGTTACATTGTGTTCCGATACCGCTGTTCCAAAGCACTTTTCTGTCAGCATGCCGCAGTCTCAGAGTTCCTCGTCGACCATGAAGCGGCTACTGCCATCATCCAAGCCCTCAAAAAGTTCGACACCCCAACTCTTGCTTGGATTGTTGAACCTTGACCTCTTGTCCTGTTCTACGATCTTCAGCATCTCCTTGTCCGTGAAAGACACTTTGAGCGACCGCAGATTCTCCTCGATCCGATCTCGGTGCACACTTTTGGGGATGACAATGGTTCCGCGCTGCCTGCCCCAGGCGAGGATAGCCTGCGCAGGGGTGACGTTCTTGGTGGCGGCGAGGTCGGTCCAGAAGGGGTCCTCGAGGATGGGGGGTAGGTCTGAGTACTTGCCGTCGTAGGTGGGGTTCATGTTTGCGAGGGGCGAGTAGGCGATGACGGTGATGTTGTTCTTGAGGTGCCAGTCGACAAACTCCTGCTGCTGCAGGTACGGGTGGGTCTCGAACTCGTGGGCCAGCGGCCGGATCTTGCACTTGGCCAGCAGGCTGTCCAGCTGGCGCGGCGAGAAGTTGGACACCCCGATGTACCGGGTCAGGTTGGCCGCCACCAGCTCCTCCATGGCAGCCCACGTGTCGTGGATGCTCGTGTCCTGGTCGATGACGGTGCGGCCGGGTTTTTGGCCCGGCAAGAACGCCACGGGCCAGTGCATCAGGTACAGATCCAGGTAGGGGACGTGCAGGTCGCGGAGCGTTTTTTCCAGCGCCGGCCGCACGTTCTTGGGCTGGTGCGCCGTGTTCCACAATTTGGATGTGATCCAGTACTTGTGGCGCGAGGGGGCTGCAGATGAGTTGCTGAGTGTGCGTCCGATAAAGTCTTCATTGTCTATGGAGGGATGTCAGCCCTCGTTTTGCCCTTTTTTTGTGGGAGAACAAATCGATCAAAATTCGATCAAAACCCTCGTCAAGTAAAGAATGGGGTCTTTGTAAGACTCGAATAGATCTCCCGTGGGTTGTTAGGCGTTCTGACATACCATAAGCAGCAGCCGAATCGAGGTGTTTGTATCCCGCCTCGAAAGCATATTCGACAGCGTTTGAAGCCTGCAGTAACATTTTCCCATCAATGTCAGCATTTTGATGAGTTCACTTTCAAGAAACGTCAAAAAACCCAGGCTTTTTTGCAGGGGTGTGGGAAATTTTGATACAAAATGAAACCACGACAGCAATAATAATAGGTGGTAAACGGACATCTTCGTCCTTGGAATTCCATAGCCCCAATCCAACGTGGGGGATCTCTTTGATCGGAGCCTTTGATAGAGGGTGTTGGTGGATGGGGACTTGGTCTTCCGCCAGCGACGCAGGCAGAAGCGTTGTCACTAGACAGAGACTCAGACTGAGACTGATGGAGAGCGCAAGGAAATGCGGGGACGAATGTTGTCGCATTGTGACCACCGCAGAAATTTGATGAAAATTGAGACGTTGGTTATTCGATCCAATGGACCAAGAGAGAGCACAGAAATGATGATGTCTCTTCTCACTCGGACGGAATGGACTGAGTCGGATTGCACATGTGAGGATGTAGCAGAATGGCGTCTTGCGTGTATAGCGTGAGGCGACCATGTTCGATCCTAATGTCGTCATCCTCATACTTCATTTGTACAAGTGCCCAAAGGCGGGCCGGACGGCGCATCCGCGGATAGCGCATTGCGTATAGTGACTAGCGAATGACTAGATAATCCACCTACCGACCTATTCAAACAACCTGCCATGCATCGAGCCATGTACGAGTGTGTGCAGCATAAAGAAAGATGGTAGAGCCCGAGAAAGAGACAAGATATGTCAACCTCCAGGCCTGACTAGCCCCACTTTTTATTAATACATAAATATTAACACAGCAGAAATCCTTCCACAATTCCTCGCCAGAACTGGTCAAACTAGCATTCGGCTTGAAGGCGTTCTTGGTGACGAATTGTCAACAACCGACCCTCCCTCCAGACGATCGAAAGACAGGTACAAGGGGTATACAGTCAGTATCACTGACCTCCCTACCTGGTCCTCCTCCTCCTCCCTCCTCCGCCGAACCGAAAAAAAAACCCTGCGAACCCGGGTTTTAGCTCACCACATCCTCCTGTTCAACTGGAGGATGTGGCAGAGTTTTTGGTTTTCGTCGCCAATGCGATTTGAGCGACGTTCCTGGATTTTCTATCAGACTAAAACAAAAAGCCCTATATCTAATGTGTATAGATCAGATACACCTGCCATGCCTCTCTAGATCTGCATTACGTGTTTGCTTCAAGTCAGTGGCCAGCCTTGGGACAGGGGAAATGACGAGGATGCAATGATCCGCGTTGCTGAACGGAGCCATGCGTCTGTGGAGACTAATTATTGCCCACTAGAGACAGTTTGATCAAATGCTGGATATATCGAACCATTGAACACCGTGAGAGCACTGATAGTCAAGGCAGTGAACACTCGGTACCTGCTGACAGTCACCCTGCACCCTCTGGCCACTTGACTCTCTGTCATGTGAACCACAATGTTTTGGTGACGAACGAAATATATGTTACCAAGATCACTGCGTACAACACCATCTCCACCCTCTTATAACTCATCTTACACAACACCAACTATATAAGAATATTGTCTCCTTTCATCTGTCCGAGTTTGCTCATCGAGACCCCTAAGCACGAAGAGGACATAACATCAGTGACCATGGACAAACCTTCCTCCACTTCTCCATCCTCTTACTCTCGTCCTCAACGCTGGGAGGACCTTGGACCCGAAGTCAACTCGCACCCCAGAGACTAAAGCTGCTATTGGGTCTACATTGCATCGAGAGAGGTCATAGACACGGGTCCTCCTCGCCCAAGGACACCACCCAAGCAAGATCCGGATGAGATAGTTCCCTGGACCACACGTGAGATCTCGTCTCCACGCATGCAATACGTCCCCAAGGGATCCGGCCAGCCATCTCTGTTCCATCGCCTTTCACCGTCTGCCTACTTTTCTTCATTTCCCCTAGAACTCAAGGTGGAATGGAGACTAGGGTCTTGTCCACCTGTCCAAGATGACATGTGGCAGGGACGTCGCATCGAGATGTCGGGCTACGTTCATGCCTGGTCACTTGGAACGTTCATGAGTAAACGGGGAAGGGAACTATTTATAAAAGGGAAGGAAAGACCAAGAAACGGAGAGAGAAAACGAGAAGACGGCACAAAGACAAATAGAAAAAAGGAAGAAAAAGAAAAGAATAAGAAAAAATCTTTGGGAAAAACGAATAGACAGAAAACATAGTATGAGTGGCAGATTGCCCTGACCAGAAATGGCCCGAGTAACCCGCGACTCATATCTGCATTTCGGTAGAAATCATCATAATAATCATCATCATTGCCTTTCTACCAAGACCGTACTATGCGCGCCTAGAGTCCCTCAGTCGGGATTGATCTTGTCTCTCACGCGCATTCAGGTCACAGAAAGTGGCCACGCCGTTTGCCTTCCACAAGGCTGCATCCCCTATTTGGTTCTATCCCCTGCGGCAGGCGCCGCTTCTGGGCACGAGACCGCGAACGAGAATGGGAGCTTCTGAATTCCGGATGAAAGATGGCCTGCTGGGAGACTTGGGTCGAAATACTATCAGAGGGCCAGGTTTTGTGTAACGTGCTGTTGTCGGTAAAGCTTTGCACAGGCTAAGTTTCCAACGCAGTAGTTGATTGTGAGGGCGCTGGTGCCGGATTATAATCCCTCCGTAGACCCTTGTCCCGCGCGACCGCAGGGCGCAAGCAAAATGCGGAAACAACACCGCCCGTTTCGTGATGATGATGATGCGTATACCTCGTGCTTGGTCTGGAGATCTCATGCTACACATCCCTCTTCATTGTGATAGGTATACCGAGTACCATATTTCTGTTCCGCGAGACACCAAAAAAGGCAGTAGTCTCTTTTTGCCCCTCCCCCGTGTGGCGGGCTGGCTGGCTGGCTGGACCGCGGACTGCAAGTATAAGCACCCTGGCACCCTCCGAATCAGGAGCGATACCCTCTTCCGGTTGATCAGAGCCCAACAAGCCCGCCCCCGGCGTGCCCCATTGGGGGGACCGGGACGACATTCCACCGCCCTCTGTCCAGATACACCAATGATGTCTTGAGGACGCCGTGTTAATTAGGCCACCCCCCATACCTCCCCTGAAAAACCATCGGAGGAATCGAGACTAAGTCCTACGCTTGTTTGTTGTCGATCGCCGCAGGCCCTGGCCGGCTGGCAGGGCAGGGGGGATCAGCCTTGTTTGTGACTACAGAGTATGCTTTACTCTGTTTAGCGAACTTTCTAGCTTCAACTGTAAGTATTCTTACGCCTTCATGGTGCGCCTTGAAAGTTTGGGCAGCCTAGTTAGGTAGGGAGAGAGAGGAGAAGACAGGAGGTAGGTTCAGAGAAAAGGTATAAAGAAGGCAATGTCCACGTCTACTTCCCTTGAGTTGTTTATCAGCAAAGGCGCACCAGAGAACCACGCAGGACTGAAAATCAATCGATCGACAAAAATGTCTTCCTCCAAGTCCATATCCTTCCCAGAATTCCCCATCTCCCAAATCACCATGCCCACCGACGACCTGTTCAACGCCGCGTACACCTACGTCCAAGAGAACTGTACCAAAGCGACACTCAACCACTGCGTCCGCAGCGTCGCCTTTGCTCTCATTCTGCTCCGCAAGCTCCCGCCCTTGACAGCCAACCCGGACATTGACAGGGAAACCATCGTGCTCTCCATCATGCTGCACGACTTGGGCTGGGCCACGACCCAGTCCCTGACATCCAACGACAAACGCTTCGAAGTCGACGGCGCAGAGATTGCCCGCAACTTCCTCCGCACCGAGATCGCCGCCGCCGATGGCGCCGGATCGGGCGGCAAATGGGACAAGCACCGTCTGCAACTGATCTGGGACGCCATCGCGCTGCACACGACCCCGAGCGTCGCGCAACACAAGGAACCCGAGGTCCTGGCCACCCAGACGGCCATCACCGCCGACTTCTTGGGGCCCAACCTCCCCATCCCCGTGCCCGGCGGGCCCATAATCACCGTTGACGAGTACAAAGAGATTCTCGGGGTGTGGCCCCGCCTCGGCTTCAAGGAGGAGCTGCGCGCCACATTGTGCGGGCTCTGCCGCACCAAGCCCCAGACCACCGTGGACAATTTTGTCGGTCAGTTCGGCGCGGCGTACGGCACCGACGGTCACGGCGGCGGGAGGGCAGAGTTCCTCAAGTTTTTGGAGGACAATAACGTCGTCAACCTCTTGGAGGGCGGGTTGACGGCCCTGGAGCAGTATGAGAAATGAAAACCGAAGGTCCAAACACGATCGAAGTGACTAAATTGACAATCAAAGAACGTTCCTTTTTGGGTTATTTTGGCTGGTGCGGAGGGATGAGAACAAAAATGGAAGGGAAAGGAAGGGGAAAAAAAATTGAAATGAAAGGCAACGCATCGCAGTATTGGGGGCAGAATGATATTCAAAAATCTCAATGACGGCCGACTCCTCCGCCGTAATGACCAGCGCATGTATAATGATCGATCCATTTGGCTAGGATATTCTCCTTCCCTCACCTTTTGATTCTGCACTTCCATATCGAACACGACAATAACGACATTAGGATGTTTTCTCCTCTACTTTGACTATATCTGTTGTTTTATCCAACGCGTAGATAGAAGCCATGGGTTTCTGGAGATTGTGAGTACACAGGCAGGACTGCTTGCTTCGACGACACGTAGGCTCCGGACACAGAAATCTAAAGTCCGGCTCCTACGACGTGCCTCTTTGGCCACGGCGTCGTGCGGGTGGTCCATGTCCACAGTCCTGTGGATCAATCCGTCTTGAGTGTCTTCTTTCATCAGCCCACTCTTGTCCCACGATCGAGTATCGCGAGTAAAGCTGCACATCGATCCAAGATACAGCACAACACAGCACGGATGATGACGAGGAATACGTCATCGAAGAATCCACACGGTGCCGACTCGAGAAAGTAGCAATCGCATGATTGTCTTGCAGATTTCCATTGGCGAGTCGCGTCATTTTCAAAATGCTCTCACTGCATTCTGATAAGATCTTTTCACAGTCGAGAGCCATGTCGAACCAACCCTATATAGCCGAGGAAATATGTCGAGGTTGAGTAGATTTGCGTGGCAACCCGATCTGAGATCTAGTAAGCCAACGAGAAGTACCAAAGCGGTTTGCTTTCTGGACAACCATTGTTCAAAGAAAGTTGCAGCCTTCTATCTGCCATTGCCTCCACACGTGTTCCACGGCTGACCGCAACGTCTCCGAATGATTGCACAGTACATGATACTCACCTTCCACCGTCCATGAACGGGCAAATGCATCTATATTCACGGCAACTTGTCAGATTCTCGCGTCAGAAGGTTGCTCTGACCCGTTTCAGCCTGTTTCTTGGACACACTGTATACGTAACCGATGATTTCATAAGCCATGAAAGCCAAGCAGAGAACGTTCTTCTCTTCCATTGTGGCCGTACAGATGGTGCGTACCGGTTGATTTGTCGCTCATTATGGGGAGCCATCGTTGAGGAGAGGCGCACTGAATGTAGAATCTCATGGACTGCCGGTGTACAAGCGCAACAGGTCTATTCAATCCTAAAGAGGTAATGTTTAAAGCAGACACTGGCCACGCGTTTTCTCACTCCGGCTGAGCCCAGCCTGAGACGCTGTTTCAATGTTTTCCATCTCTTTGGTTGTATCTTTTCATAGTGGACAGTCGGGATACTCAAAGCAGCAGTAGGAGCAGTGGTAGGGAGGAAAGAGGTTCTGTGTGACCTCGGCTGCATGGATGTATCGCTCGCTTGGTAGCGGCAATAAGCGAGCTCGGCTCACCAGAGGGGGGTTGGATAGAGCCGAGAAGCAAACAGTGCGGGTAACGACAAGGCTGCGGTGCGGACGTCACGGCCGCAGAGGCACCAGAGGGAATGATTATTTGCATTGAATTGCGGGCACATGGAGTTGAAGGAAGTACCCTGGTGCCTGGGTATCTTGGCACCTTGGCACTCTTGGTCCTCCGTATATCTTGGCGTCTTCAGGACAACATCGGCTCCATTCCAACCACATGCAACTCCGTTGCTGACACCCATGGATCCTTTATAACGCCCCTCTGAGTCACCGCAGATCCACCATCACTCTCATTCTGGGACCACTTCCCGGTTGGGCTAAATGTCAGCCTTATCTGCTAGGCTCGTGGTCAGACTCGCAGCCAAAACCAAGTCAATATCCGCATTGAGTCGTGGACATAAGATAGCGATGGCAACCTCCAGACCTCAGCCATGTACCTACTCGGAGCTTGTAATGCCTCGCCACACCCATTATCAGGCAGAAGCTTCCCATCGGCCGCTGCTGACTCTCTGATCCAACCACAGGGGGGTTCCTGAATATTTCGAATATCGGCTGAAGTTGAGTGCAATCCACCAACCACAGCGGTCAGCCGTGGCCTTGTACGCTTCAGGCACATGTTCAGATGCAAGCGAGTGGCTCCGAAGGGACCACACTAGAGGGCGATCTTTCCGGGCGATGACTTGACCTCTACCTAGATCTACTCTGCTTACATGAGTGGCATCCCTGAGGAATCCCGTCTGAAGGGGCATTACTGTTGCCAGATCCGCTATGCTTCTGATGCTATCACATTCGCCATGATTTATAAGGGATGCTGTTCTTCTTCTGTCGGCCCAAGTATCGTTAGATATTTCCAGGCACTTGCTGCTCTATTTTCCAGGCACACCTCCAAGACGTATAACACGTCATGCTCGATACAATCCGGGATGCACCTCTAGGCCAATTCCTCCGATGGCTAACCCAGAATAGAATACTCTTGTTTCCTGATGAGCGGGAAGGATTCGTGTTACCCAAGCTGGTGAGCTGCCTACAGTCTCCGAGAGGGTTTCTGGGAATGACATGTGTTCCAGGCATCTGGTACTTCTGTCGAGGACGTTGCGAACCCCGACAATTCTGTGTCCGACCCAGTCGAGGCACAAAAGGAGGGCCCTGAAACACACGGTTCGGAAAAAGCAGAGGACTCGGGACCGAAGTCTGAGTTGGCGGACCTTGAAAAGGCTGGGGGAAGTAGCGGACCGTCGACACGCCCAACAAGAAGGTCAAACGATGAGAATTTAGAGCCTAGTCTCGCAAGGCAACGGAGTCTGTCGTTCACAGAAGAACGTTACGCCTTGGATCAGCAACTGGAGCTGGAAAAAACCAGGAGCAAGCCTATATCACTCCACAAATCGGCCGATGGCACCATTCTCGTTGACTGGTATACGACTGACGATCCTGAGAATCCGCAGAACTGGTCGCAGGCAAAGAAGCTCTTTATATTGGTTCAGATATGGTATTTTCTCTCTATGATCCTGGCCGCGCAACGATTGAGGCCGAGAAACTCACGTAAAGTTTGCAGCTTATACACCTTCGCCATGTATGGAGGTTCCAGTATCTACGTCGTCAGCGAAAGGCGAGTTTCTCCCCCACTGTTCCGAATCCTTATACTGACGAACTTCTAGTGGGGTCATGCAGAGATTCGGCGTTGGTGAAGCAGCAGCAGGAATGGGCCTTGCCATATATGTGATAGGATGTACGTTGGATCTCCTTCTTTTCTGTGAAGCCGATACTGACCACGTTAATTGCAGATGGAGTTGGCCCCCTGCTGTTCGCCCCCCTGTGCGAGATTCCTGCCATTGGCCGCAACGGAGTTTACACGCCTGCCTTTATTTTATTTACCATCATCTGTATCCCGACAGCTGTGGTAGACAATTACGCTGGTCTCTTGGTTCTTCGATTTTTACAAGGCTTTCTATCTAGCCCTTGCCTTGCCAATGGAGCTGCCTCGGTCAGTGATATGGTAAGTTTCCCCGGAAACTCGAAACAAGGGAATCATCCTAATTACCACAGTTCTCCCTCTTGTTGCTCCCTGTCTATCTCTCCTCTTGGACGGGTGCTTGCTTCTGGGGCCCTGCTCTCGGACCAGTCATGGCGTCGTATGCCGTCAGTGCCAAAGGGTAATTTCCCCTCCTCCGTCTCAGAGAACGCTCTCGGCTGATAAAAGTGTAGATGGAGATGGTCGTTGTGGGAGCTACTCTGGCTTAGCGCACCAATTCTGGTCGTCTACCTGATTGCTTTCCCTGAAACCTCTGGCGCTACGATTCTTCGACGACGAGCTGCGCGACTTCGGAAACTTACGGGCAGGACAGACCTACGCTCCCAGAGCGAGATCGACCAGGAACATATGAAGTACTCGGAAGTCTTTTTTGACGCCATAATTAAGCCGCTCGAGATCATGATAAAGGATCCTGCTGTCGCGTACACTAACCTCTATGTGAGCTCCCCTTGGCCCCAAAAATAAATCCCAAAGCCGGTGGCTACGACTCCCGCCTGTCTACTGCTTTCTGACTCTGCCATCGTGCCATATTTCCAGAGCGCTCTTCTCTATGGCATCTACTACTCTTTTTTCGAGGCCTTCCCGCTGGTCTACACGGCGATCTACGGTTTCAACCTCGGCGAGCTGGGCTTGACTTTTGTGACCATCGGAGTGGGGTGTACGATTGCGGTCGTTGTCTACAACACATACCTGCTCCTCTACCTAGTGCCTGACATCATCAAAAACGGTCTGCGGGCACCGGAGCACCGGCTGGTACCTGCATTGTTTGGCGTCTGCACGTTGCCCGCGGGACTGTTCATGTTTGGTGAGTCGATCAATCCACTCGCATCTACGTCCAGAATATGAAGGCGCAGGTGCTGCATGAGGACCCCGCGAAACGAACGAAAGGAGAACAGGCCGAACAGTCTGCTGACAAGATCTTCTCGTTGTGAATTATACAGGCTGGACATCTCGCCACGGCGTGCACTGGATAGTCAGCATCATCGGCGTCATAATCGTGGTTTGCTCCAACTTTGTCATCTTCCAGTGCATCTTCGTATATCTGCCGTTATCATACCCACGCTACACGGCCTCGCTGCTTGCCTCCAACGACCTATTCCGCTCCCTCTTCGCCGCCGGCACTGTCATCTTCTCTCGACCCATGTTCATCAATCTGGGAATTGGTCCCGGTATTAGTCTGCTTGCAGGGCTGGCGTGTGTTGGGGTGGTCGGTATGTTCTTGCTATGGAGGATGGGTGGTATGCTGAGGGCAAGGAGTAAGTTCGCGGTGGGTTAGGCTGACATGGGCACGCATCATCGGTGCGACTGGAGAGAAACGGAGCGACGTTCGCTCGAGACTTGGTGTGCAGATATGGAGGATTGTTCTACGGATTGTGAATATGGTCGAGTGCGAGTCTGTCAGTTCATTCCCATTACTCCTTCATCATGTATCGAAGACATAGACTTGCGAGCACTGTATAGAGCTCAGGATGGGACTGCCCACGGGCAACGGGATGGTTGTTGGTAGGCCTCGATTCCTTTATCGATTTCCATACACCTACCCCAATCAGGTTAAATCATTACTATATAAGGATTAGTGTCAGTTGACTAGGTCAGCCCAGAAATTAGCACACGACTAGCTTATGGACTAATCTAAAGCAGTATAGAACGTAGAGACTAGATCGAATTAGGAACGGATCAGGGACTAATATATTAGTATTTCGATCAGGGATTCATTCCGGGAAACGCTGGAACTTCAACTCGGACCACTATGAACCAAATGAGCAGCCATCTAGATCTGTAGAAAGGAACGGACAATTGCTTCTTGCCAGCCTTGTTCACGGGTGCCTCGCCGCCATGCAGCCAAGTGCCGCCGTTGTCTTTGTCACACTCGCTTCGAGAACCCCATTGGTCAGGCCAGTAGGCATCGAGATGTGATATTGGCAACGACTCAGCCTCACTCACTCACTCAGCCTCACTTGGCCATGGTCGACCACAGGCAAGAATAACAAACATCCATCATCGTTCGAGAAGCACTCAGGACACAGATCTTGTACACCTTGAGTTTGAGACGGATATCCCAAAACATACATGGCTGCAAGGATAAAGTCTTACTTTCTGGCACCCAACTGGGATTACCAGCGAGATGGACCGCTGGCCTTGGGCAACATCATCAGCGACCCCACCGACCCGGTCTTCACGAGACTCTCGGGATTTGACGCGGCGGCCAACGTCGAGATCTACCACAACGCCCCGGAGGCATGGTCGCACGTCGAATCCGAGATGCGGGCCGGCCGACTCGGACTGTTTGCGCGCTTCGCCGAGATCTGCGGCCTGGGTGCCGCCGCCGAGGTCTCGCACGCCAGTCACCAGCGCCGCGGATACGACATGGAGAGCATCCAGACCTCGTACTTCGTCCCGACCGCCGAGTACCTGCTCCAGCGGCTGCGCGACCCGCACGTGCGCCTGTGGCTCGAGGCCCGCGGCCTCTTCCAGTCCAGATCTCTCTACCTGATCACCGGGGTGAAGATCGCCCGCGGGCTCGTGCGGTACGACACGACCGCCAAAAAAGGGGGTGCGCAGGGCGAGGTCGACGTCGACACCACCCCGATCGGGGTCCCCGTCCACGTCGGCGTGAACGGGGAATATGTCTCTGGCGCGTCGGCCGCCACTTTCGCCCGGTCGACCACCGAGGTCGTGTTTGGGTACCAGCTGCGCAAGATCACAGAGAAGGGAACCGCTGGCGTGAAGAACGATCCGTTCAATCGTGGCGCGTTTCTCAGCAACGACGACCCAGTCGCGGGGAAGGGAGGTCTGGACTTGTCAAAGTTCGAACTCGACGATCACGACGCCACTACCGACGATCTGGCTGACCTCGAAGAACCCTCGGCGCGGGCCTACAATACCACAGACACTATCGGGGACGAGGAATGCAACGTCGTGGTTGTCGTTGAACCGCCGCAGGAGACCAATGAGTGATGGATATATGGACCCGTCCCCCCACACAGGGATGGCATTGTTGTTTCACTTGCACGGTTTCAATAGTCCATAGTGTCATTTTCTCGTGCTCATTTATCATCCAATAACTGTGTTCACTCTGGCAGTTTTCTGTAACCTTGGACACAATAGTTCCGGAGAACAGATTTTTAATGACGAGGAACATTTCCTATATTGTGAAATATGTACCTGTATATGTTCTCAGTCAACCGTAGGGAATCGACTCTGCTTTATCTGGTTGAAGTATTTAGACCAATATCTCCTGAAACATCCTCCAAGCTTTGTCGGGGTCGTGATGAGACAGAACTCCCCAGGGACGAATAAAGTCGGGACCCTTGCAGTCTCCCTGTTCAGACAGCAGTGCCAATGCTTTTCGTACCCCGAGTCCATGCGACTGCCGCCGAAACCTGGACCATAGTATTTCTTGCTCGTGGATATCGGGTGACTCGCACAACTTGCATTTCACATACTCGAGCACAATGGCCGCGACGCCTGCCGCGATGGGTGTCGCGACCGAGGACCCCGACTGTCGCCTGGAACCCTTTGGGTCCAACCTGAATGGCCACGCCGAAGACACGTACTCCCCAATCACGTTGAAGTGGTAAGAGTAGGGCCCGAGCTTGGAGATCTGGGGATTGAATTTGGAGGGGTTGCCGTGGACGTCGGCCGAGCGTACGGCGATCACTTCGTCGAGTGTCGACGGGAACATCTGTCCTGTAATCCGGCCGCCGTTGGAGGCGGCAGCGAACATGATGATATGTTTCGCGTTGGCTCGCTCGATCGCGGCGATGATTCTCTTCATGTCACTCGGGGAGTTCTTGGCTGGTTTGGGAAAGCCAAAGGACATGGTTATGATGTCGACATCCCATTTTTTAGTTGCGAAATCGATCGCCTTTGTTTCACATGAGAAGATAATGTAAACAACTGCCCTAGGAAGTACATGACCCAAGTCGGCACTGAAAAGGGGGAAAGAGAGGCGGAGGAGGGTGTGGACAGTAGAAAGCCTTACATCTGCAACGGCGTCTGCATCTGGTTCAAATATCGCATCGCCCTTTACGATCTGGGCCACGTATATATCCGCAAACGGTGCGACTCTGGTGAGTGAGGCCGTGGCATGGGTGCCATGTCCATGTGGATCGGTCATTTGGGTTGGCACGCTGCCCTCAATCGGATCACTGTCTGTCCATCTGCGATAGGCTTTGATGCAGCTGTTACCTCTTGCCTTGAGGGAGGGGTGGCTCACTATGATTTTTGACCGGGCAGTGCAGGCGTCAATCCCCGTGTCCAAAATCGCAATCTTCACTCGTGGGAGGGTTCGCGGTGTTGGTTGCGACGATGCCGCCTCCCTCAGTGCTTCTAGAAGTGGCTGAACATGTGCTTCCAACTGTTCGAACCACTTGTCTGCATAATGCCAGCTGCAACCGACCAAAGTATTAATACAATTCGAGAGCATCATCATAATCATTCAACGAAAAAGTTGTGCTCACGACGATGGGTTGTCACTCACGAGTTCGGCCTCACAGTCGAGAAATTGGCCGACACTGACTGACGGAGATACTGTTTGTTCAACCTGAAGATCGGCTACACTGCCGGCTGGCTCTTGCAACGGAAAGGTTCCGGGGCTTTCGTCAGCCGCGAGGATTTTGTCTCCGACATATACAGCATTGCCGTCGATTTTGATCTTGTAAGCATTGGCCAGCAAGGTTTCAAGAGGCTCAACAATATCTTGCTGGATCTTCCTCTGGACGTATTCATGATCCTTGCCCAAACAGTCCTTGGCATTCAGACAAGCCATGATGGCGTCCCTATAGTCTGGAAAGGTCTGACAGAGTTTATCGGATTGAAGTAACCGTTCGGCTATTAGGATCTTTGTATTTGCAAGCGTTTCTCCGTTGCTCCCCAGGTGGGTGGGAAGCTGATGTCTTTCCAGGGGACCACCGAGTTCAATTTCTAAAAGGAGAATTCCGAGATCTAGGAGACGGGGATGCTTGTGCTGGGCATGGACATTCTCTGAGCTTGCGCGTTCGTCCAGCATCGAGGAGAGGTACAGCTCCAGCATATTGGCGAGGGTGTTTCTCTGCTTATTGCACAGCCCGAAGCCAAGTCTAGAATTAGTCCATTCGCGGTGCGTCCAGGGAGAGCCGTAGAGTTGCATCATGGCATGCGATAGGACAACTGCCAGAAGAAGTTTCTCTTTCTGGTCCTGCTGCCGAAGACTGACGCCTTTCGCTGTTTTGGCGGCTCCCAGACTGTCCTTGAGCGAAAGGACGTTGAGAATTTGATCGCACGGGAACGTTTCCAACTTCCCAGACAAGGAAGGTCCAGTCTTTGTCTCTTTCGCCACAAGCAGGACAAGTTGTCGCTGCGCGTCGAGGCTGGAAACAAGCTGACATATGCCTCCCATAGAGGCCTCCAAGATCTCCACGAAATGATCAGAGCGAACATTAGCATCAAGGCTACCGTCCGCAGAGGAAGCACCAGTTATTGTGGGTTGTGACGAATGGTCCCCTGTTTGGGACCGCCCGGAAGACATGCTTGGCTTCTTGTCAATGCCTTTCTCAGATGCTGGTATCGTTTTCGAAATGACACGTATAGGCATCTGTGTGACATGATCACTGAACGTAACCGAAGAAGACTTTTCTTCAATTTTGTCCCTAGCAATCTCATTTGTCAGCGAAAAGAAAGCAAAGAGAAGTGTAAATTGACCTAGCGGACTTGACACACCTTGCAAGGGTTATCTGAGCCTTCTTCCAATTTCGCTCTGGTTCGGTGGAAAACAACAAATCGAACTTCAGTGAACCAGCCTCGTCCAAGGGACGGCAGGTCGCGAGGCGAAGTTGAGCTTGGTGAGGCGGCCAGTGCTCACATTGCCAACACGCGGCCATGGCTTTGTGGAATATGGTGGGCACATTGTTTCTGGCAGTGGCCGGATGTAAAGTATTACTCTGGTTTGATCTGCCAGGCACAGCGTCTACTCTTTCGGTTGAGTCGGTGTTGCTGCACACGTTTCTCTCCAGCAAGGCCTTCAACCGCCGAAGGGAGCGGTCAAGAGCTTCCTTGTGTTGACGTCGGTCGTTCTTCTTCGCCTTGTGCTTGAATTGACGGAGGCCACAGAAGTCGTTGGAATCGTTTGCTTCTGCGAATCGCAGGTTTCTTAGTTTCGGATACTGGAGCTGAGACGCCTCTTGTATCGGGTCAATCTGGACAAGCATTATTAGCTCACTCCGTCAACTTGTGATGTCCACCTGTACAGCTTGGTCTCTGCAGGCTTAGTATGAAAGTAGCTTTTATTGAACTTCGTACCCCTGCAATGTCTTCCAGACTTTGTAACAGTTGGGCTATTACAGCGTTAAACTCGATCGACTCTGATGACACCACTGTCGCCTCTATCCTTCGCTCCGAGAGGGCTCCGAGTGTCTCGCTAAGGTCGACATAGGTGGCCTGGGATGTTTGGTAGAAGTTATAACGAGGAGATCCTTCTGTTGATTTCGAGCTCCGCTGGCGGGCGGCATCGACGAACTTGGGCAGTATCGACAGGGCAAGTTCAACCAATTGAACTGTTGTTGGCACGGCCATTTCGTGTATAACCAATAATGGATCCACCTTTTTTCATTACTCTGACTTTATCTTCTGCGCCGATATAGACAATGTGAGATGCTGGTAGGCACGGTAGGTCAGTAGATGAGCACGTGGTGGGGCAAGATACAAGGTGTACGCTAGTACAGCAAGTACGATGTTTATACCCCGCTTCTGGGCAACACCAGCTCTGCAGAAGGTTTAATCTCACAATAGCATCACGTCCTCCTCGTCTTCATCTTTCTCCCAAGTCCAAGACAGGATCAAAGACTTCTCTTACTCACGACCCTTCGAGGGTAGCCACATGTTGGATTCACCTACATCTGTGGTAGGCCATGGCTCAGGTTCAAATCCTGGATTCTCAATCCTCCAACTCGTCGATACTTGCCAGTTCCAAAGCATGTGCACAATTGCTAAATGAATGTCTCAAAGACTCAAGACTGTTTGCCAACGAATGGGCTCCGAATCAAGTTGCAAGCTTCAGGCTCTGGATTGAGAGCATCGGTGCGTTTGCCCCGGGATCCGCCTCTGCCGATGCACGTCTAAAGGACCACCCGGACATGAGAAATGCGGTTCTCGGATTGCTGGCGGTTTTATGGGGGAGTCTTCAACATTGTATGTATATTCTCGCAATCCTGCATATTGCTCACTCGACTCGTTCTTCCTTCTTGGTCCTTTTGATTAACGCCTATTAGCTATGTGTAGAACGGATCAAGTGGTTTCAAAGAATTCTCCTGATCCCGACCAAAAACCCGACAGTTCTGATAGTATAGTTAGGTCGGAGGGCCATGCTGCTACCGAAGACAATATAAACTCAATGGCCAGTACCTTGGAGCTGTACAGCGATACCACAAGCTCCGACACGCTGGAGTCCAGCCCAACTGAGCCCGAACGAGATGTCGAGGATGCTTTGTACCGGCTTCACCAGCTCGCCATGACGATTCGCAAATCCAGCAGGTACGATCAGAGTGCCAGGGCTGCTCGGTATATCCACAAAGATGCTGGACAGTTCAGGAAATACATGGAATGGTATATGGACCACATCTTCAAAAGGGAATTCCCCGATGCGGATGAGTGGCTATACTCGCGTCTGGTGGAGTCCAACATGCGACGACGCTGTATGTTTGAATATGTCCGCGATCACGCTCGCAAACTGGCCCAAGGCTTTTCCCGGGTGCTGGATGAACCAACTACCTTGAAGCGATCAACCCAAGACCAGCCAAAGAGTCAACGTGAAACCTCGGTCGGTAGTAGGCTTCCAGACACATCGTCCCATTCAAGACCAAGCCAGTCGAAGCCAACAGAGTTCTCAGGAATTCTCTCCGCCACCTCGGCATCCAAGTATGCTCCGGCGGATCATCAGCAGAAGTCCATCACTTCGTCAAGGAGGTCGGGCAAGACATTTATTCCCGGAAAACTCCCTTGGCCTGAGCCACCACAGCCGCCATTAATAAACGTGAAACTCCCCACGTTCCCTTGCCCATATTGCCATCAACTCTTGCCCGTCGAATACAGTACCAGCAGATCTCAGAGGGCCAAATGGAGGTATGCCCTACTTCCGCATCCCGTCATCCTACACGCCGTGGTTGGAACCAGCTAACACTAACCTTACAGAGAGCATATTAAAGCGGACATCCAGCCCTATTTTTGTTTATTTCAAAACTGTCCGACTGAAAGGCACTTATATTCGACAAGCAGCAGCTGGATCCGTCATATGAAAACATATCATGGTCCCATTCGGTGGGTATGCTCAGCACCCGTTCACGGAGAAGATGCTCCGCTCTTCACATCACAACAGTCGTACGAAGACCATATGAAGGCGGAGCACAGAGAAAGCTTCACTGATAGCCAGCTGCCAAATCTGGTAGAGCGAAGTATTGTTAGGGACGTAACGGCTCCGATACTCGAGCAGTGTCCAATATGTCCATGGGAATATCAAGGGGATTCAGAAAGTGAGGCTGGTCAGGCCACTCCGATCACTCCTGATACCAGCAAGCCAAAAGGTAAAGTAGATGCCGCTTCGAATACTGATGCACCAGAACCAGATGAGGAAGGGGGTAAGACGACAAGCGACAGCGGGATGGGGCGAGAAATGCAACTGAGACGGCATCTAACCGAGCACCTTCAATCCATAGCCCTTTTGGCATTGCCCTGGGAGACAGAACAGGGTTCAGGTAGAACGTCGTCGACACTATCAGAGCGGGCAAGTCGTGAGACACTCGCTGAGGAAGAGCCTGAAGAAAGTTCTGATGGTGCAAAACTACCCAACACGAGATCTGATGATGAAGGTCAACCACCAGACCCAGATGCAGCTCTAGAATGGGATTTCGTGGGAAAAGGCCGTCTTCCCAAAGAATACCATCTTTCCAATAAGCAGGGGTTTAGCCGCGAAGACTACTCGGTAGCATGGATATGTTCCTCCGAGACGGAGATGGATATTGCTCAGGGACTGCTGGACGAACAACATGAATTACTCGCCACGCACCCACTGGATTCGAATTACTATGCCCTCGGTCGCGTCGGCTCACACAATGTGGCTATTATCCGCATCTCTGTTCGTGTCCACGGCTTGATATCTACGAGTCTCAAGGTAGAGGAGATGCTCTTGACGTATCCCTCCTTGAAGGTTTGGCTGGTTCTAGGCACTGGGAGCGGATTTCCTAGCACAGAGCACGATATTCGACTTGGCGATATCTTGGTCCAGGTACCCTCACAGCACCAAGAGGCCTCAGATCCCTCTGAGGAGACAACCATCAAAGGTCAATTCGCACAGCCACCCAAAGAGCTGCTGCTGGCAGTGGAGGTACTACAAGCAAAGAACACCAAACATGACAGCCTATACAGACACATATCAAGTCTAAGTCGCAATTACCGTGAACTAGACAGCCATATCCACTATATCAATTTCTCAGACGACTACCTTTTCCATTTCACTTCTATACATGTTGAGAACGCCCGAGACTGCCACTCTTGTGACCTTGGCCAACTGGTCTCGAGGCCACCCCGGGATGAAGCCGGTACAGTTATTCACTATGGGCGGATTGCGTCAGTACCACAAGACATCCGTGACGGCACCACACGGGAGGAAATACGAAGAGAACAAGGCTCGTTGGGTCAGATGGATATCGCGGTTGTTGCGCAGAGCCTCCCTCATCTGACCGTTCAAGGTGTCTGCGACTATGCCGACTCGCACAAGGACGAGACTTGGAGGTTGTATTCAGCGGCAGCTGCAGCTGCGTACGCGAAGGAACTACTGCTTGAAATGCCTGGACTACCGGGAAGTGGTAGGTTGTTCATTCTATAGCCTATTGTCTAGGAGACTGACATCCGTTACAGGACAGGAACCCAAAGCTGTACACAGAGTCATTCTGCCCTTTCCACGAAACCCCGATTTCACCAATCCCGATAGCATCTTAGATCAGATTGAGTCGTCGCTGTGGTCGCGATATCACGTCGCTCTGTTGGGGGCTGGTCGTGCTGCGTGAGTTCACGGACAAAAATGGGTCCTTACAAAGGCTGCGGAACTAATCACTTTTCAAAAGTAAACAACAAATCGCTATCGAGTATGCCCATCGGTTCATGCAACACCACTCCCACGGACATGTCTTCTGGGTGGATGGGAGCAGCACAGCCGGGCTCGTCCAAGGACTCAAAAACATCACTCAGGCGCTAAGAATCCCAATTTTATCCAGTGATCTTCCCGAGGATCATTGTCAATTGGCCGCCGATTGGCTAAGGGAGGAAAAGACGGGCCCCTTGCCGGCGTGGTTGATGATCCTGGACAACATCAACGACGTCAAGGTCCTGCTTTCCCCCATTGAAACAGACACTCCGCCGAGTATTCCTTCCCCGGCACAGCAGAGGTATCTACTTGACTACCTTCCAAAGGAACCGAGGCCCCAGGGTCATATGCTTATTACTACTCGCGATCGTCAAATAGCAGAAAGACTAACTCGCAGCGTGAATACCATTGAGATACCGGAATCCTTGGACACGTCACCAAGCTCATACCATTCCCATTCCCAACCTCATGCCCCGATCCAAAACATGTAAGTTTCATTTTTCTGGACATGGGGAGAAAAGTACCTGGAGAAACTAATCATACCAATGCAGAGACACCGAGGCCGATTCCTGGTTCTACAACCTCGAATCAGTTGTTTTCCCTCTCCTTCCAATCTGCCCTAGAGAGTCACGAGACAGAGTCAAGATCGCTCTCCTTTGTACAGGAGTCGACATGGCAGACAGTTTCATCTCCTTTAATTGTGACCGTGTCCAAGCCAAAAGCTTCCTGCCTGGCATTGAAAGTGTCAAAGACACAGAGGGTTACGGAACCCACTCTACAGCTTTACTCCTAAGAGTTGCACCGAATTCTGATATCTATGTCGCTCGAGTGTCTGAAGGTGTCGCCCCTGTCACTGCTGATCCGATTACTCAAGTATAAATACGTGTTCTATCTGTTCGCCCCCGGCCAAGAACTAACATGTATGACAGGCCATCACGCACGCAACTACCGTGTGGAGAGTGGATATTATCTGCATGATTTATGGTTTTACAGGACATTCAGCTTTCAGACCCTGGCATGAAGCGATCATGTCAGCGGCTATGGCCAACATCGCCATTTTTACTCGTAAGTACATTATTGACAAAGGCGAGAACCTATCTGAAAGTGGATGCTGACATTGCGAAAACAATCCAGCCGCCGGGAATGATCGTTTCCTGTCCTATCCAGCCACGCGAGACGAGGTTATCGCTATTAGTTCGGCAACCGCGTCAGGGCGTATTTCTCCGTTTAGTCCTCCTTGTACACCGGGAAAAGAGCTGGGCATCATTGGCGAGGAAGTCTCTTCGGCGTGGCTCTCTGGCACGTCCAAACGATTGACTGGCTCCTCCACCGCGGTGACGATTGGTGCTGCGGTGGGGGCCTTACTGATGGACTTCACTCGCCAGGAACTCTCACGAGAATTTTGGTACAGAGATTCCATGGTCCACAGCAGGAGGGGTCTGGAGGCACTGTTGCGACTGGCTAGTCGAGAAGTGGACGGCTGGAGGATTATCTTGCCGTGGATCCTGTTCGAACATCAGCCAAAGTCAATGATTGTCGCACAAATATCAAGAGTCCTTCGACACGCCTTCCCGGAAGGCCAAGTCGCTGCAACTGCACTCGGCGAGCCACCCGGGGCAGAGTTTGCCGGATCTCTGTGTGTCGACGCGGAATCGGAACGAGATCGAGCGTCTCTTGACGCGGCTGGGAGTTTTGCCTCCCCTCGTAAAGATGTCTCCAAGGAGCCTCTCGGCGAGACGTCGCGGAAACTTCAAATTCAATGCACACAAGAATTGGTCGTCCACGGTCATTTAGATGGCCATGGCTCGGAAAATGTGTCTCTAATCATGCTGCGCTTTTCATTTACGCCGGCCGAGCGGTTCTCGACTGTCTCTGCCAGGATCGAGTTTCACTATGATAACGCCAACTATGGCGACAGCGCCCACGCTCAGCACAACAACAACCACCACCCAGTCATCCGAGCATGTGATGGAGTCCCGAGCGGAACCATGTTTGCAAAAAACACATCCAAGCCGTCTTCTCTCGAGGAGATCTTTACTAGGATAGATGACAACCTCTCAACTGCGTCCCCTGCGTATGGTACAGAGCCGGCAACTCTCGGCAGCAGCAGTAAGGTATCTTCGGCGGCACCAGCACCAGCACCAACACTATTTCAAAGCCAGAACGGTGTTAACATTCACACCCTCTTCGACGGCGACACGGTTGATAGAGTCCCAAATGTTGTTGGTTGGACGATAAGAATGAACGGGGCCCTGAGCAACGGAATCGGGGATATGCTGAGAGTCGCTGTCCTCGTGTCTCGCAGAAACAATGAGGACTTCACCATGAAGTGTAATGTTCGATCCGTCGTCAGCAGCGAGGGAGATAGGCGTCCGAGCCGCTTCCGCGAGTGGGCAGGCGTGCTTCCGTTCGTCCAGCTTAGCCCGCAGGCAGAAACCTCCACAAGAATACCATCCTTCATCAGCCAGGACCAGCTCGGCAGGTTTACAGATCCAGCGGAACTTCGCCAGCTGCTATATGCCGACCTGCCAGACAGCGGCGCAGAGGGACCTCTGATGAAACTCGACGTCGTCGCCCACCTCTGGGAGGGCCTTGATGCGTCTTAACAAGTCTGAGAAAATCCTCATTCCGGGAACCCCTTGCCAGTGAAAATCTGGTCTGTACATTCACCAAAAGTTTATGGAGGCGAGCGTCCGTGATGGCTGTATATAATATGTATACTGGGTGGGTATATTGGGTGGGTATATGAACAAGGTATATATGTATACGGCCCGTATCCAAAGGCCTTGGAAACAAAACAAGACGATATGAAACGCTCCGACGCTTCTGTCCGCTTTACACGGCATCTCCCTCGACTGTCTGCAACGGGACATAGTTGCCCCGTTCCCTCTCCTGTGCTCTTCTCCGCGTCGCCACTCCTTCGAGTCTCTCAAACATGGACTCGGCAACGCCTTGGATTCTGCCCACCCAACCGCCGTCGTTCATCAGCTTCTTTCTCCTCTTCGCGCCAATCACGGGCGCGCTGTATCTGTCTCCTTCCATCTTCAGAGCTTCGACACTCAGCCACTTGGGCCTGCCGACCCACCGCAGCGCCAACGAGCTCAGCGTGACAGAAATGCTGCTGAAGATCATCGCGGTGGCGCTCATCAAAGGGGGCATGTGGTAGCCGAGCGGTAAGAAAATGCCCATTGCAAACGGTAGTCCGATAACATTGTACGCACAGGCCCATATCAGATTGATCTTGATCCGGCGGAAAATGACACGGCACAAATGAAGAGCAGTCGGGATATTGAGAAGATCATCCGAGCGCATTATCACAATGTCTGCGGCCTCGACTGCGATATCGCTCCCAGAAACGAGACCCATACCGACATTGGCGGTTGCAAGAGCCGGAGAGTCGTTGATCCCATCCCCAACCATAGCGACAATTTCCCCTTGAGACTGCAGGTCTGAGACGATGGACTGCTTTTCACCTGGAGAAACAGATGCGCGAATGCATTCTCGAGGGATCCCCACTAATTCCGCGATGGAAAGTGCTGTGTTATACGTGTCTCCAGTGACGAGGCTGGTAGAAATACCCATCTTGTGCAAGGCGGTAATAGCAGCAGGGGCAGTAGGTTTAAGCGTGTCAGAGAGGCCGATATACCCAGCGTATTGCCCGTTAATCGCGACATAGATAGTTGTTATTCCGGTCTTCGATTTCCTTCGGGTTGTGGGAGACAAAGCTGCATTGACCGAGCTCTCGACATCTGCCGGGATGTCGATCTTCTTGTTGGCCAAAAACTTAGAGTTGCCGACATAGACTTTGTATTTGGTTTCGTCCCCTGGATTGTTGAGCTCAATAATAGCGGACACTCCCTGACCTACGGTGACACCAAAGGTGCCAACCTGGCCGGGGAATCCTTCCTCTACTTCGAGGCCGAGTTTCTCCCTGGCAGCTAGAACAATGGATTTCGCAATGGGGTGTTCAGACCCTGTCTCAGCGAGACCAACGAGTGTCCACCACAGCTTCTGACGCCATTCGTTGGAGCTCCAGAGCGCTGCATAGCTGCTATCCGCGACTTTGAGCTTCCCAAAGGTCAGAGTGCCGGTCTTGTCCAGCACGACATGCGTGACGCGGGTGGCCGTTTCAAGAGCGGCACCTCCCTTGACTAAAATGCCCAGTTGCGAAGCAGTCCCAGTTCCCACCATGACTGCCGTTGGAGTTGCTAATCCAAGGGCACAAGGGCAAGCGAAGACAATGACCGAGATGCAAAGCTTCAGGCAGACCATGAACTTGCCGCCATTCTGTTGATCTGTAAAGATTTTGGGAGGGTTGGGCAGGACGTGGCTCAAGATCATCCAGCCAACAAAGGTGATCAATCCGAGCAGAATAATGACGGGCACAAAGTAACCAGCAACAAGATCGGCCATGCGCTGGATAGGTGCTCGGCTCGTCTGGGCCTCTTGTACAAGATTGACAATTTGGCTTAGTTGTGTGTCCTTTCCTGCACGTGTGACTTTGAAGTCGATCTTGCCGGCGCCATTGACGGTACCCGCAATGAGGGCGCTACCCTTCTTCTTCTGTATAGGCATAGGTTCACCAGTGACCATGCTTTCGTCCACAAAGCTCTCTCCACGGGTAACGACTCCATCAGCGGGTATCTTGTCCCCAGGTCGAAGGATGACAACATCTCCGACCTCGATCAATTCGGTTGGGATGGTCTTTTCTATCGCGGAGGGACCAGAAGAGCCTGATGGGCCGGGACCTGATGGAACTCTCCTCAAATCGTTGGTTGGCGTTTTCTCGAGCACGGGAGACGATGGAGCTGTCCAAGCATCGGCAAGCTTCTCCGCGTATAGAGGGTCCTCATATATGGTTGCCATGCTTGGAGCCAGAGACATCAACTGTGATAGAGCTCTGGAGGTCTGCCCCTTGGCTCGATTTTCGAGCCATCGTCCGAGAGTAATGAATGTGATGAGCATGGTGCTAGTGTCGAAGATAGTGCTAGGTTTATTGTGAGGGGGTATCAAGACTGCCACAATGACGGCAAAACAACTGAAGAAAAAGGCCGTCGAGGTACCCAAGACAATCAGCACATCCATGGTTGGCGACCTGTGCTTCAGACTTTTGAACGCTGAAACATAAAAACGCTTTCCAATGCCGAACTGTACAGGAAGTGTCAGGGCGAGGCAGATAACGTCACCCAAAAGAAGACCTGGAATAATCTCAATGCCTCCAAAATTGATCGATGGGAAGAACATAGGTATAATCATGCTGATCAAAAGCACGGGAATGGCGCAGCTCAGGGATGTAAGAAATGCTCTCTTCCATTCCTGGATTTCTTTTGTTTTGGCGAGAGATTCCAGCTGAGCATTATTGTCTTCCATTTCTGCAACCAGGGCATTGAATCCAGCGTCCTCAATGACCGCGACAATCATTCGAAGACCGGCAACGGTAGGATCATAGGTGATGGTGGCGCGCGACGTGGAAAGACTGATCACCGCACTTTTGACACCTGGTTTTGATCTTAGGTTGTTTTCAAGCTCAGTGGCAGTTTGTCCGTCTGGTAAGCCATATATCTTGAGCTGCTGAGAAACGTATGCTGAGCTCTGTAGATTGGTCTCAGCTTGAGAGGACACAATCTTAGCATCGAAACCGGCATCTTCAATGAGTTCGACGATCTTCTCGGAAGGAAGGGTGACGGGATCATGAGAAATGACTGCTCGTTCTGCGAGAAGGCTTATGTTGAACTTGACCAGACCAGGAACGTTTTTGAAAGCGCCTTCGACGGAAGAGGTGCAAGCACCGCAAGTCATGCCCTCAATAGCAACGGTGGTAGTCCACGTCTGCGACTGGTCGTTGGCCTCTGCATTCCCAGCTGTGGGCCTAAGAGTGTCTTGAGTTTTTGAGTCAATCACGGTGGCATCGAAGCCTCGGTCTTCAATGATCTCGGCCAGTGCATCGGCATTGATGATATTTGCGTCATGCTGGACGATGGCCCGCTCCGCCAGAAGCGAAACACTCATGCTTTTCACGCCCGGGACATTCTTGAAGCCGGCCTCCACAGCGGAAGTGCATGCCCCGCAAGTCATTCCTTGTATGGATATCGTTGTGGTGGTGAGCTTGGAATCTGAGCTGGATACTCCAGTCGAAATCGACAGAGTGGGAGGTTTGGGCATGTCTGTAGATAGAACTTCGGCATCGAACCCACGATCCTCAATGATTTCTGCGATCTGCTCGGGAGACAACTTCTTCGGATCATGATGTACCACGGCTCTTCCCATCATTAAGCTGACCGATACAGCACCGGCACCTTCAACGCCCTTGAACCCTGACTCTATTGCGGAGGTGCATGCACCACAAGTCATGCCATCGACTTTGAGGGTTGTGGTAGCCATATGCGCCGGGGTCGGCCAATGTTGCGGCGCCTCGTGGCCGCTGTCACTGGCAAGACTCATCGTAGCGAACGTTCGTGGGATTAACAGCAGGGCTGAGAGAGAGAGGCAATCATAAACGCATCGTTTGAGGGGCACGCGTTTGGGGGCCGACTTCGGAGCAGGAAAAAGGAAGTCGAAAACGGAGGTGGTACAGATCGCGCAGAAAACGAGAAAGGGCTTTAAAAGAGTGTCTTGAGCGAACGGAGTGCGAAGATGATATGTAAGCGGCCTTGAGGCGTTCGCGAGCGGACCGAAACGTGTGAAGTCAGAAGTCAGATGGGGACTTGAAGCTGAGAAATGCCTGAAGAGCGAGATTGAGGCCTGAAACCGAAAAGTGACACCATCGACGGATTGGGTCAGAGAAACACCCCTGATTTAGTATCACGCCACCTCTAGCCGCATCAGGGCATCTTCAGGCTGGAGGGTAGCCTCGCCTCGGTACAGATCAGGAGATATTTGGCAATATTGGCGTATCTAACAAAAATGACATTTTCACAAGTCATGACGATCGCTGGTTCGACATAATATCAATTCGTAGGGTTGAAAGTGCGGTACCAGCCACCCACAGCCCAGCCACCAGCCACCGCCAGCCTCAAAACCCTGATATTAGGTAAGCCTGAACCACGTGCAAGCCTCAGCCTCGTCTGTTGCCAAGCCCTGCCCTCTGCCCGCAGTGACAGCCTCGTCTTCCAGTTCGCAGGCTGAGTATCAATCCCCACGCTCTTCTCCCACCTTCGCATCAATCCCTCTAGCCTTTCGCTCTTCCGACCTCTGCTTAACATGGATCAATCACAGACAAAAGCTCTCGCTGCGATTCAGCCTTTTGTTCACCTCGCCACTACCACCAAAAACCCATCACCACGCTTTATTGCTGAACTGATCAAAGGCGCAATCTCCGCTCCTGGGGCTTATATCTTCACCGAGCTTCTTCAACTGCCTGTGATACAGAGCTTGAGAGGCACGCAAGGGGAACCTTGGTTGAAACTGTTGGAGATCTTCAGTTGGGGGACGTATGAGGAGTTCAAAGGTACACTTCACGGGGATGTACTGGTAACGCACATGCTGATGGACCTATGTGTTTAGCCGACCCATCTCTTCCACCCCTCGATGAAGCTCAGACCTTCAAACTGCGTCAGCTTAGTCTTCTGACTTTGGCCTCGCCATTTGCCCCCACTAGCAAGAACACAACAGCCAATGCTTTGACCTACCCTGGGCTGCTTGCAACCCTCCTGCTTTCTACCTCCCAAGAGCTAGAATATCTGGTGACACAGTCGATCTATTCCGGTCTCCTCACTGCTCGTCTCAGTCCCACATCGAGTCCCCCCACCGTACACATCATGTCCGTTGCCCCTCTTCGCGATCTGCGCCCTCACTCCCTCCCCGTACTCTGGCAGATCCTACAGACATGGGAATCACGCTGCACCGCCGTCGTGAGCGACCTCGAAGCGCAAATTTCCGCTATCCGAGCAACCGCTCAGCAGAGAGCGTTACAAGAAAGAGCCCGACAGAACGAGATAGATTCTCTAGTCCTCAGCACTGACCGACAGCAAACATCAAGCGATAATGGCGTCACACCAGGAAACGGACGGGCAGGTCGTTCCGCCGGATTTGGTGTAGGCCAACGTCCTCCGAGCAAGCGAGACCTCGATCAGCAGATGGAAGGCGAGGGTGACGACGTGGATGATGATTACGACGAGAGCAAGATGGATCTGGACGAGGGTGTCAGTGAGGGCACAGGCATCTTCGGAGGGTCTGGGTCGCGAGGCGGAGGAAGTGGGGGATCACGAGGTGCAAAGCGAAACCGTGGACGAGGCTCGTCAAAATGATCCCTTGGGTCAGTATATTGACACTGATTGCATCTTAAAGACCGAGCGCATGGTTACATGTGGCACGAGTCTGATGATTGATGGAAATGTCCTGGACTGAGCCCGCACCGTCGAGGCAAAGTGCTCGCGTGTTCTGAAACCAGGACACCCAGGAATTAAAAGCACATCTGGAGGACAAAGTTGGTTGGTTGGCGCGTGGGTTTGATCTCGAACAAGGTCCAACAGCCAGACCTTTCTCCTCTTGAGCGACCCATCATGCCAACCGCATACCATTCCACCTACTCCTCCGGATCATCCAATTCCAAGCGAAGCGCATCTGCGCCGGACGGTACACATACAATGCATGCTAATGCTACCATGGCGGCCTAAAAGCCATATCAACAACACCAGGCCCACCAGCCCCGTCATGACAGGTAGACATGTCCTGGGAAACATTCAATAGACGAGATGCACGATAATGAAGGATGATGAAGTAACGAGATCCCTCTCACCTTGCTCACTCTGCCCTCCTTTACAATTACTTTGCTTCGCTGTGTTGTACCGCGATGTCTCTGCTCTGCTCTGGCATGGCCTACCATTATCCTTTTCCTCGAAGACATTACCTCTAATATCCGCGCCTGCAGAATAAAACAGCGGCAAAGGCAGGTGTTGATCAACTCAATCTACGACCATTTCGGGCATACAAATGGCTCATGTGGCCAGTTTTTTTTGCCAGTTTTTGCATAGCTAACAGCATACATATCCAAGCTCCACGTATCTTTCCTGTTGTTTTGATCCGTTGCCTCAAGCCTGGGAAGTTGTGTTGCGAGATATCGTGCTCCGTGGAGGCGGGCGTTTTGCCATGTCTGCAATCACTGTGTCTTCCAGTCTCCATTTATTTCATCGTTTGTCGCAGTTAGATTGATGGGGTGCACGATGTCCATTCGCCATGGCTGACTCCGTCAACGCCTTTTGTTTCCCGAAGAAGCAAGACAAGACCTCCCATTGCTCGTTCTCAGCTTCGCTGGACATTGAGCATGCAACCTCCCACCACGTATCGACCCCAACCACCCTCCAAGCACAGAAAACGCCGAACCAACCGCTGTCATTTACATCACTCCGAAGTCGTCACATGTCCACTGACCCCTAGAACCTCGTACCCGGAACAAATATAAACAGGACACTCAATGCCACCGCCGCCGCCGCAAACATCAAGAATGCCATGGTCGCTCGCGTCAGAAGCAATCGCCGCACAAACGGCTCCCTGACGCGCGACCAGTTCATCCACGTGTATTCACTAAATCCCAGGTAAGCGGCAACGATGTCGAGCTTGTATTGGTAGGAGACGAGGAAGTAGCAGCCGATTGTGAAAGGAAGGATAAGCTAAGCGGTTCGGTCAGTGAGATGAACTGCAAATGAACTTGAACACGGAAGCCTTACCCAGCAGCGAGTAGCCCTCGACCTGTCCCTCAGAATCATGTAATAGCCGGCCCAAAACCCAGCCATTAAGCTCGCCAGACCAATGGCGAGTCTGATCAACACACTCAATGGGACTAGATTGCCCAAGGCTTTGGCCTGCAAAAAGCCTGGGAATGCATCCCTTTCCATCGCCTGGAAGACGTAGTCCTTGGCATCATCAAACACCTCTGGGTCGTCTCGTCCTTCCTCCTCAATTGCCCGAATGATCCTGTTCAGCATGGTGTCTGGCAGGACGATCTCTCGCTCCGAGCCGGGCAAGACAAAAGTGTAGAGAATCTTCTCCGCACTGGCTTTAATGTCGGCCCTAGCGACACTATGTCCAGGGGAATTCGAGTCCGTCCGCACTTCAGGAGTGGAGTATGTCGGCTGTGGAAGTTCTGAAGGTGAGGGTCGGTCACCGGAGGGACGACTGAGGTTTCTTGAATTGGCTGATCCCAAGCTATGTGAAGGTGAGTGATCAGTAGCACCACCTCCCTCTCCTCTGCTTCGAGGTGGCTTGGCACCTGCTGCGCCGTTATCTGATCTCAAGATGGCAGACACCCTTGATTCTTGTCCACTCTTTCTCGCGTCTATTCCTTCACCCAGTTCAAATTGATCGAGTAACGCCGAAGACCTTTTGCTGGTGGTGGTCTTTTCCATCTCCGGCGTGTCGACGAGCATCGAACGGCGCAGTTCTCGGACATAGTGGCGGCACAAGGACATGTGTTGGGATACATCGAGCCTGTTGAATGAGTCAGAATTGATTTGCACCTTGCTTTCATGTCCAAAACAAACCAGAAGTCCAGGTAATCCACCGAGCGTTGTTGGTCGCGCATGTAAATGTAGAATGAAAACAGATCGACCGGAGCTAGAGTCCTTCTTCCCAAAACCTCCATCAGAGTAGGCAGTCGGTTGCGGACCTCGACATCCTCACCCCGGCTCCCTGGATGTGCCATCGTGTTTTGTTGATCTCGTGACGCGCAAAGTGAACCGCTGCACTCGGGGGAAGGTGAATGATGTCAACAGACAAGAGGTCGCGACGTTTTCGAGATGGAAGGGGTTGGTTTCAGAGAACGGGGCTCTTCTCGGTGGGATTGATGCAAACACCACCAGAGGTGCAGTCCAAGTGACGTGAGGACTAAGTTACGGGGTCGCGAATGGGAGGTTGGTGGATCTTGTATTACATGGTGGACATTTTTGGCAAACAGACAATAGCGAGCGTGTCGAAGAGAATTCAACGAGCGGAGAAGGGGTGTAGAGGTACAGCAAGACGTGGAAAGTCCCGTTTTTTGTCTTGTCTTGTCGAAGATGAGGGTTGAAAAGGTGGTTAATCGTGGGAGAAGCAGGGAAGGGAGCGACCTTTGGGTAACGGAACCTTGAATTGGGATGCGACCGGGGCAACCCCCTGCATCTCCCTTTTGGAGCATTTGATTGGTTCCCTTCCTGGTCCGAACAATCTGCACGTCTCCGGAGTTTGTCTTTGGCATCAGCCACAGAGGTTGCACATGTCATTCGTCATCTCGATATTACTGAGAACTAGTTGTGTTGCTGGTGACTTGGACTTGGCCAATCTCATGATTGGCACCTATAGCAGTGGCTTGTGCAACGGCTTTAAAGTACATGGTTGCGTCGCAGGAGAACGTGTTGGTTGCTTGCTACCATCTTTCATTGTCATGTCTTCATGTATCAAGGTGAAAAAAAAGCCATTCATACTGATTGGGTATCATATTACGTGCATGCAATAAACCGAGCAAGATCATAATGCTCTGTTTTGGCAGTGTCATCGTCCACTTCTCTGCGCCAATCCCGCCCAAACGAAAGCCACCCCCAAAGCCTTGAAATCGGCACCAACCGCATTGCATGCCTGTAGAAAATTCGCCAGCAAATTGGTGCTTATTCTGCAAGGTGCTATACAATCCACGTCAGTATGTCGGAACTCCGGATCATTGTCAGGGTATCAACCACTCACCGACCATTCCGGAATATTCTTGATCTGTTGCCACATGAACTTTTCCAGTTTGTTTGCGCTCTTCGCGTATGGTGTGGTTTCGTTGTTATAGCGCCGGCAATTGTCAAAGATTAGTTTGGCATCCTTGATGAAATCTTCTGGTCTGGGGTATAGATCGTTCTGCAGCCGTTCCTCCATTGTTGACAGGTCCATTGGCTCCTTGATGACTTCATAGTAATCGGGAACTTCATCCTTGTTAACCGGCTGAGCGAAGGGCCAGGCTGCTGTATGATTCTGCATGTCGTTGAGCAGGTGCAGAAGCTGATTGTAGTTTGGACCGTGTCGAGGTTGCCGGGAGAGCTCATCCATCGAAGGTGACCATCCAGACTCTTTGATCGCCGGAATTGACATCGGGTCTATCTCGACAATCCCGTTCTTCCACTGTGCTGGCGGGGGATGAACGATGTGAGACTTACTCACTGCTCGGATCTTAGCCATGACTGCCTCCTTCTGCTTTTGGAGCATTCGAGGGGCCTGCAGATAGCGGATCTTGGGCAACATGCTGCATTGCATGATTGTACCACCTTCGTAATCTTTTATGTATCCCATCCAAATCGACTTTTCGAGAGTAATCTCCTTTGTAAACCCCTGCTTCTTGAAGTAGCCGATCGCATAGTTGTCGGCGTAAGTCAGGAAATACATAATCGGTGAAGTGGCCTTGACATAGTCCTTCAAGTGCGCCATCAGATGAGCACCGTACCCCTTGACCTGCTGATCTGACGAGATCGCGCAGAAGACAATCTCAGCAAACCTTCTCGAGTTGAACGGTCGGTATGTTATACCACCAACCACCTCGAGCGGCTGCTTGACAATAGCGATGGATAGATGTGTTTTATCGTAGACCAGGCGAGCGATGTAGTCTTTGGGCATCTTAGGCAGTTGCTTCTGAAAGATACATTTCAACCCGGTCAAGATGATGTTACTCTCCCTCGAATTGTCATTGTTGACCACCCTGAACTCAATAAGTCCTTGTTTCTCTTCAACGACGGCTGGTTTCTCGGGGAAATCGACTGGTGTAGGAGTGATGGGAGGATCCGCATCGGACTGCTCAAAGACGAAGTTAGCGTTGTTTGTCCCCACTGAGACACGCTCAGCCTGTGAAGAACAGCAATGTAAAAGATCGTGGTCTTCGAGGTATGAAAGGGATAAAGTGGAATCCGAGTCCACAGAAACGTTCGTTCTGAAGCGATAAAGATTATCGTCGGGCCGGAACATCCCCGCTGGGGGAAGGTTGAAAGGCATAATGACCGTGGTCGGAGGGTGCTGGTGGATTTACCTCTTCATGTTTGATGCCATTCTCTAGAGCTGGTGACTCGGTTCTGGCCTTTTTGGAGCGAGAGGACGCCGCGTCCTCGGATGCCTTCCTCTTTGTATCTGCGTTATTCACCAAATCAGTTCACGTGCACATGTCATTCTGCCACACCCAGAGGTTCTCACGTTCACCGTTTATAGGCGCCATCGCGGCGATACCAATGTGCTGAATATACTGAACAGTCCCAACGTATCACGTCGCGGGCGTGTTAAAGGGTGTCGTCGCAATCTAAGTCTCAACGATCAGCCTTGAAGTTGAGAGGCGATCTCGGCCGCGGTTCAAGAACGCTGAGACAAATATTTCCAGATATGGATTAGCGCATAACCTCGGAAATCTTTCCCGAATGAGACGCCAGGTCTGTCGCGTCTTCCTTCGGGAGACCACCTTGCAACTCGCAGGCATTTGTTCGCCCTGAATTTTACGAGACCAAACACCTGGAGCTGTGATCAACAGTCTTGTTAGTCACCTCAATGTCGCTCTACGACGTCTGGCAAGCAGCCGCAGGCAGCCCTTTCCAGCCCACAGTTGGCAAGGAAAGCCAGTTGACCGTTGGACTGTTTTTGTTGCTTATTGGTGAGACTCGTTGTCGCATTGGGGTCTCATTGGGTTTGCACTAACTTGCATAGGCCTGATACTCACCGGACTCTTCGCATTGAACAAATCTCCTCTTTCTATACCTGTCTTCGGAATCCCTGCCTCTCTTGCATTTGGGTATGTGCAGAAAACAATAGCTGGATGGCATGAAGATTGACACGGGGCAGATTTGGTGCAGTCTACGCGATCTGCGGGTTTGGGGTCTATGTTTAAGATCCTATAGACCATTCTACCTCAATATCTGCTTGTTCCTCTCCATAACTGCGGTTCACCTGTCAAAGACTTTACTATCCTACAATGGCTGATGCACCCATCTTTACGGCAATATCTACATCTGCTAGGCAGTTGTACCTGTTGCTTCGGTGCATTGCTTTCTCCCAGCGTGCAGAGGTGGAGATCACCCAACAAGGAATCAAGTTCTCTGTCGAAGAAGCACGAGTTGTTCAGGGCTTGACGTTTCTAGACAAGGCCCTCTTCTCGTCGTACAATTTGAGACTCAACGATGAAGATCATGCCTTGCCCCTGTTTGCAGTCTCAGTTGATGCTCTCCTGGAAACGCTACAGATATTTGGCATCGCCGAAACAACTTCCTCAGCGCGGAACCCCTATGGTGGACTTTCATCGTCGTATGGGAACGCTTTCAATACCCCGGCACTGGCACTCGGAGGCACATGCCGAATTTCGTACCAAGAGGCTGGTGCACCGCTCACCATCACCATCCAGGAAGGGTCAGTCACCACAACGTGTGAGATGAACACGTACAGGGTTTATGATCAATATGGTGACGATGGTGGTATCCCCCTGGACCGGAACTCGTTGTGTCTGAAAGCGATTATGCGGAGTGCTTGGCTCAATGATGCGATCGGAGAGCTCTCAGGCACCAATCCGTCTGTTCTTGTAATCAATGCTTCTGGCCGTACTGCTCCCTTTTTCTCGTTGGAAGGCGAAGGAGGACCATTCGGCGATAGCACCGTGGACTTTTTACCGGAGTCCAAGAACGCGCCTACCTCCAGCGTCCCCAGAGCCAAAAAGCAGCCGCTGGTCACGGAAACGTTCTCGGTCGTCGCACCGCCCGGAAGCCATGGAAGAGTCTCCCAGAGGTACAAGTTCGATATGATCAAGCGGGCAGGCAGGGCAATGGCTTTGGCCAGCAAAGTCAGCATTCGTCAGGATCAACAAGGCGTGCTTAGCCTGCAGTTCATGATCGACTTGGGCGACGGTGCCAATGCTGGCCCACGCCGAGAAGAAAGTGTTGCTGTCAACGCACCACCGACGCCTAGCAGTGTCGCTTTTGTGGATTTTAGATTTGTTCCACTCTTGGACGACGAGGAGACCGAAAGCAATGGCGAGTTGGAAGACGAAACAGCTGAGGAGGCGGACTTGGAACCAGATGACGATAGTCTATAGTCAAATTGAACCATCCGTGTCTTCTGATGCTACCCGTATCTTGAGTCGTCTTTGCCGGCGCCCTTATTTTCCTTCATTCTATCTTTAAGCCATCTGCAACACTTCTTTAAGGATTTGGATTTTTGGCCTTCGTGAGGGTCTCCAGACCACATATGATTGTTCTCGACAAGGCTGGGTTTCCTCGCAGTCGATGGAGTAGCGAGTCTAGACCACTATCCTTTAGCTATTTCTGTCTAGTGAGGTTTTCCATATTAAGCTAGCGTGACTAGCGGGGAGTGAATGACGTCCCGCCACTCGACCGGCCAGATTGCCGCGCCCCCAGTATCCGATACGATTCCAATATCGCCGCAAAGGATGTTGGCCAACGTCATCTAGAAAAACGCCCGTGTCTCCTGGTACCTCTTCAATTTACTCGTCTACGCACACAACAAATCTGCATTGATGTATTGTTAGGGACAAGAATGTCCGAATCGCCCTCCTCTACACCATCGTCCACTACCACACGTTCACGTTCATCACCATGGTCGAAACTCCCGACGACGAGGACGCCAGAATCGAGCGCATGGCGTCCAACAACCCTGCCATGACCATCCCCACCAGCCAGCTGGTGTCGCGACCAGACTTCAACCGCCTGCGCTCACGGAGCAGCAATACCCAGACACAGACCCCGAAAACCATGCGCAGATCCGATCCTTCAGGCGACGCCGAGTCCATCACCACCGTGTCCAAGTCGATGTCGACGTCGCCCGAGGCTCCGCCCTCTAAGTACGACGTCGGCTGGCGGCGTGTGGTCCGCAACTTCTCGCCCTCGTGGTTCAGTGTGACCATGGGCACGGGCATCTGCTCGCTCCTGCTGATCACCATTCCCTTCCAGGCACGCTGGCTGTACTGGCTTTCGGTGGCGTTCTTCGTGCTCAACAGCGTCCTCTTCACCCTGGCCTTTCTCGCCTCTCTGCTCCGATACACGCTGTACCCGGCCATCTGGTCCGTCATGATCGCCGACCCCAACAATTCGCTGTTCCTAGGCACCATCCCCATGGGCTTTGCCACATTGGTTGAGAGCTGGATCCTTCTGTGTTGTCCCTACTGGGGCTACTGGAGTGTGTGGGTCGCGTGGATTGCGTGGATGGTCGATTCCGTCGTGGCCGTTGCCGTGACCGTGTCTCTCCCTTTCTTGTTGATGAGCCAACGCGACTCGCAGGGCCTGGACAGGATCACGGCGGCGCAACTGTTGCCGATTGCAAGCACGATCGTTGCTTCTGGAGCTGGTAAGCGCGACTCCATGTTCTAATCCGTTGTACCGTTTTGGCTAGCCGAAGCAGAACATGATAGTGTTGACAAAATGACTTTAGGAAGCAAGGTCGCTGAACTACTCAACTCCCCGGACCACGCGCTGGGGACGTTGATAACTTCTTACGTTATGTGGGGAATGGGTAAGTTGCTTTCCCGAACATTCCTTACGTCGATGGCCATGCAAAATAGGAACTTGATGCACACCTCCCTATTCCAAACACTCCGCTGACAAAAACCCAACACAGCAACTCCCCTCGCCATCACCGTGCTGGTAATGTACTACCAGCGGCTCGTCCTGCACAAACTCCCACCGCGCGAGGTCGTCGTCTCGTCCTTCCTCCCCCTCGGCCCGCTCGGCATGGGCGGCTACGCGATCATGTACCTGGGCAAAGTGTCGCGGGTGGTGTTCCCGCAGGTGGCGCTATTCCACGACCTCCCCCTCGCGGGCGACGTCGTCTACGTGCTGGGCTTCTTCGTCGCCCTGATCATGTGGGGGTTCGGACTGTGCTGGCTCGTCTTCGCCCTCGCGACCATCTACTCGACGCGCCCGTTCCCCTTCAACATGGGCTGGTGGGGGTTCACCTTCCCACTGGGCGTCTACGCCATCTCCACCGTCACCTTTGGCGTCGAGATGCCCAGCAGGTTCTTCAAGGTCCTGGGAACCGTCTTCGCCGTCGCTGTCATCCTGCTGTGGTGCGTCGTCGCCGCGGGAACCGCCAGGGGCGCTTGGTCCGGCCACCTGTTCTACGCCCCGTGTTTGAAGAACCTGCCTGCCCCGAGCGCCGACGAGGACGGGAACAGGGACGAGAGGATGGTGGACACGGAGAAATCGCCCGGGAAATGAACTTACATCGTCAATGTAACTCTTCTTGCGTTGCGCTTGTATATATATATTTTACGCCTTTTTTTTTTTTGAGCCAGAATCAGGTCACGTCGCCTTATGATGTATATATTTCTGTACAGATGGGTGGCGCAATATCGAAAGATTTAAGGTACAAAGTATCAACCTGCGCAACTAGACCATTCGTTTCCTAGCCACGCTGCTCAACTACATCGCGGCAGCCTGAGAAACACTGCGCTACTTGGTTGGTATTATCGTATGCACTACCCAGGTACAGATACCCAAGTGACGACATGGTCCCGACGTTACATCGTGTCTCGTGTCTCGTGTCTCAAAGTAAAAGAACACGCACATGGAAAGAAACAGCTAGGCTAGCAAGCAATCACTACTGTGGCATAATATTTAATATGCATTTAGATTGGAGGGCGAAAAATTTAGATAACTATCCATTTTTTATTCTGCCTCTCTCTCTAGATTCAGGCTTCAATAGTACAAGGCTTGCTGCCACCATGCGCAGCGGGGGTTTGCGTCCGGATCGGTCATTTGCGTGATGCCCGTGACGTTGAGGACGGTTTCGACGGCGTTGGGCCCGTAGAGCGGGAAGACGGGGACGCCGGACCCGTTGGCGCTGCCCGTCTGGACAAAGTCGACGATATACCGCTGCAGGGCCTGCGCGACTTGGGGGACGACACCGGTCCCGTTGACGATGCCGTTGAAGAACGTGTACGGCACGTCCTGGCCGTGCAGGGCCGGCGGGACCGCGAACTGGTACTCGGAGATGTTGGCGCCGAGCGCCTTGCCCAGGTAGTTGACGTTGCAGCTGAAATAGCCTTCCTGCACGATCAGCGTGTTGCGCTCCGTCGGCGTGCGGTACGGCATCGACCCGTCATACGTCGCGGGGTATAGCGTGCCGAGCAGGAAATCGACCGCCGCGTCCGAGATGCCGGGCAGATTGATCTTGAACCAGGTGGCCTGGTCGGCGTTGGTCTGGATCCGCGGGTCGCTGAACAGCGGTCCCTCGTTGGTGTTGTGGCCCGCTACGACCTTGACCGTGTTGGCGAACTGGCCCCGTGCGAGGAGTCGGCCAGGCTGGTCCGGCACAAAGTTCCCATCGACAACGGGCCCGTAGGTGAATCCGCCGTAGGGCGACATCCCCACCTGCTGGGCATTGGCTGCCATCACGACCGAGGATGGGAGATTGCGGGCGTCCTCGATCGAAGTCACATTGAGCAGGGCCAAGAAGGCCTGCGTCGTGTTCTCCTTTTTGAAGTTGCTCGACACCGGTAGCCAGGCACCAGACTGAGGGATTGCCTGCTGGAAGGGTACCGACTTCAATCCACCATAGGCTGTCATCTGGTGAATCACTGACCCCCCACCGGCGGACTCACCCATGATCGTCACCCGGTTTGGATCCCCCCCAAACAATCGAATGCTGGTTTGAATCCACTCGAGCGCCAGACGTTGATCGTACAGACCGGCATTGGACACGCCGCCCTCGGCAGCTTCAACAGTTGGTCCGGACAGCCAGCCAAACGCCCCCAGTCTGTAGTTAATCTCAACAAATACGATACCATCCGAACCGCTGGCCTGACTGGTGTGAATGAGACCGGCCGGGTTGCCCGATCCAGCTTTCGATCCTGCTGTATAACCACCACCATATATCCTGTGAAGGGTCAAGTCAGAAAGAAATTTCAAAATCAAATTCATGGTCGCTTTGATACCAGGGCAAGGCTCACCACACAAGAACCGGAGCTCCCTGGTAGCCAGAAGATTGGTTTTGAGCCTTGTCAAAGACAGCCTTTGAAACGAATACATCCAGAAACAAGCAGTCCTCCTTCACCCTCGGGTCAGGAGGAGAAGGTTTTGGCGGGTTGGCTTGGACTTGAGCGGCGGCGGCGGTGTAGTTGAATGGCAACCCTTCCGCGAATGCAGCGGTGAATAAATCAGCAATGGCGAGCCAAGCTGGGTTCGCTTGAGGGCAGATGGCGCCATCACTGCCGTCTTGGACAGTCGTGTTGCGACCTGTTGGGGGAACAGGCGCAGCGAAGCGAAGCTTGCCCAGTGGTGGCTGAGCGTAGCGGATGTTGCTGAAGTTGTATACTTGACCAGTAGCCTGTGATTGAGAATGGTCAGCTCCAGCAAGTTATTCCGCGTTAGAGAATGGAAGACGGCATACGTTAAAGGAAGATGCTTGCTGTATCTGGTAGCCCAAGTCAACCTGAGGCAGGCTCTGAGCGCCGACCACTGCCAAAGGGCCCCAGCAGCTGGACCCAAGCAATGTCAGTGTCAGAGCTGAAGGCTTCATGGCTGCTACCAAGCGTGGCGAATATGGGAAATTCCTCCAAAAGTCTGGGAATGGCTCGGTATCGCGAGCAAATCGAGGCGGACTCACTCTGCAGAGGGCCGCACCAGAGATGTTTTATATAGCCACCATTTTCTGGTCGAGTGGACACAGAAAAATCGTCACAACCCACATCCAGAGTCACCTATACCGAGGTGCAACTGATCTTTTCCGGGCAGGATTCTTTTGCAGGGTTCGACATTGGTCATCTTTGTACCAGCTTGCGGGCGACATTGGTGTCGGCAGTTGAACACAGCTGCATTGTTGATACACCGCCGTCACTTTGTGATCTCGCAGCGGATAGTGCGGCGCTGGCGGTTCTCCACTCGCACTTCCAAGTCTATACGTAATTGAGGACGCGTCCGAGATATACCCCGCGTTGGTGGAGTGTAGTTGAGATCCGTCTTTGCAGGACCATGCGAATCGCAAGACGTTGAGACATGGAGGTCCTCCGGTGGACTAGAGTGCAGGCAACTAGGATGACGAGCGTTTCCAAGTGCTTGATTGATGGATTTTGTCCGGAATCCTGGCACCGCTCTAGTCTTGCATAGCTGGGGCCCCAGATAAGGTGGAGAGGGAAGGGTTGGAGGATTGTGTCGGCAGACTTCCATTTGAGAGGGGATGGGGAAAGAGAAAGCCGGCTGAAGTCGACATCTAGGTATATTCTGGCCAGTCTCACCGAATAACACCATGGATATGATGCGAATACGATCAAGAGCTCGGTACTCTACCTTGGTTGTCAGGAGTAGATCATATCTCGACCCACATCCGAGCAGCATTGCAGAAAGCTTGGTTGGCCAAGGCGCGCAGCTCTGGGGCTTTATATAGACCCCGCTGGTCGCGCGACACATCCAAGCCGTGTGCCCTTGCTTCAAGTCGTACCTAGACAGTCAACTAGTCCCACTGACTCGGAAAAGCGCAGCACGAGGTGCAGGTGTCTCTTATATTGCTCCCATCACGGGACTCGGAAAGCTGCCGTAGAATATGTGGCCAGAGACAGAAAATGGTTGGTGGTGCTGTCTCTACATTGTGGTCTGCGGTCCGACATCCCCTCAACACTTTGACTGTCCCGACAGGAACATTGGCCTCGTCAATTGCTGCTCTGGTGCCGACGGACCTCCGCGTAGATACTGCGGGGAAGGTGGTGAGCCGCTATATCACAAGAGGTGAAAGGATGACCTGTTGTTGTTTCTCTAGCTTCCTCTTTCAGACAAAGCCCATCGTCGTTGTTGCGCCGAGTCGCCTACTGCTCGGCTTTCTCGGAGTGTGTATATATCGCCCTGCTTCGATCTTGATGTGTACCTCGGTTCGGCGTATTCTTCTTCTGTCCAGGTACTCTTGAGCCTGTAGCGTCGGGCTCGGCTATCTGCCACTATCAACGGCCCATCGCCGCCACAGGGGTGTCATATGAAGCAAACGGGTCGATGTTGAACGGCCGTGGAAGGGAGCGAGACTAGGCTCTACTGTATAACTACCACGTGGAGTGATAGCCAGCCAGCTGGGCGTTGGGATTCAGGGTATCGACGCTAGAAATGACACCATATGATCAGTCAATCCAAGCACAGTTCAAGGTACGTGTTACAAAGGCATAAAGACTCTTGCGAGACTTACCTCTCAGCAACACCACCGACAAAGCCGTGGTGCTTGCATGATTTCTCCGGAGCTGCAATGTTGTGCGGCACCAAGTCGAAGGACAAGGCATGATCCTGATGTCCGGAGACGTTTCCATCACCGGAGGTCAAGCAAGCTTTGAGACTTTCAATAATAGGATAGCCAACGCACACAATCGCAGGATCTGAGAGGTTTCAATCTTAGTCAGAGTGTATGCAAGCAGAGAGGGAAGGTAAGCTAGTTAGTCCAGAGAAGAGAGAGACAACCTCATCCGCGTCCACGTCGACGAGACAAAGAGCTCACTTCAACTAGCTGGCAGCTGGCATCGCGTACGTCACCTGCGCTCGCTTTGCAGACACATCATGGTCCACACACAGTATATTATTACTCTACACTCACTCTCACTTGCCGCATTTTTTATTGGTCCTCCTTTGCGCTCTGCCGCAGCACGGGTTTCTGGCATCAGAGACTATGTTACCTCGTGGGTCGCAGTATGGAACACAGTCACGATGATGTAAAGGCCAGAGAATAGGGATAATTCGACGCTCGGGTGCAGCCATCTCCGTCCACCAGCACATATCACATACAGAATTGTTCGGAAATTGGTGCTTGTCATTGTATATATGTATATCCGATATGATCGTGTCGACTGAGTCTGCTGGTATCAAGGCCCATCCCATCACACCCCGCCCGTCGGGTGCGTAGGATCAATCCACTTCACACCCTCTGGGTTTTCCACCGGGACGACATCAGGGAGGTTCACCGCAATGGCCTCGCCGTCACTCCTCATCAAGACGCACTCGAGCTCCTCGTCCTCTTTGGCATTGATCTCCTGATGCGGCACGTAGGGTGGCACGTAGATGAAATCCCCCGGGCCGGCCTCGGCCGTGTACTCTAGCCTGTCGCCCCAGCGCATCCGCGCCTTGCCCTTGACCACGTAGATGACGCTCTCCAGGTGGCCGTGGTGGTGGGCGCCGGTTTTGGCGTTGGGGTGGATCTTGACGGTGCCGGCCCATAGTTTCTGCGCCCCTGTCCGTGCGGTCGTGATGGCCGCAGCGCGACTCATTCCCGGGGTCTGCGCCGTGTTGGCGTCGAGGTGGTCGCCAGGGATGACCCGCACGCCGCTCTCTTTCCATCCATCCGGAGGCAGATCGCTTGCGGAGTTTGCGTGGAACAGGTGAGCCGGTCCAGTGTACGAGTGCGAATGGTCGTGACCGTGCGAGTGATCGTGCGTGTGAGAGTGGGAGTGCTGTTCGGACATGTCCACGGTCTTTTGCACTGCTGGTTTCCTTCAAAGAGTCTCTGTCGGGTTTGGAATTGTCAATTATCAGAGGAATCTCCTTGCTGTGTAGAAGCCTTTCCAAGCCTTTTCTTGACGAGCTTTTGGATGGATCAGAGAACTCTGCCAGCTAAGAAAGAGACTAGCTGCCAGCAACTTTTTTGTAATCGAGGCTGGTGCATCACCTGAGATTTGGAGAATGAGACCGGGACGTTGTCCATAGACAGATGGGGTCGATGGCGCCATAATTTCGTGTGCCTGGCTGTATAGACCACAGTAGGCATCCGTCCGATAATCTACCGTTGGATTCCTTTTGTGAGGCCCACCACGGAAATTGTAAACGTCAGGAGCATCTTTTCGGTAAAGCCTTGTTTGCTCCCACTACCTAGCTGCGGTTGACCGGCTTGCACCTGGATATAGAATTTGCAGAACTGGAATCGCTCTGACGAGTGAGTCGTAGCTCAGACAGCGATGTCTGTTCTTCGACTGCCACGCTCGGCCCTCCCAGTCCTGACCACTCTGATAGGCTCAGGGGCATTCATCGTCGGCCTATGGAGCTTCACTTCCCCAGAGTCCGCGGCCGCAGCGTTTGGGGGATACATGGTCCGAGTACTGGAGTCGTCTTCCAGTCCATCAAGCTCTGACAGCTCGAGGCGTATGATGTACATCTTTCCCCACGGCATCCGCAATCTTACATTGGGATTATCGATCCTGGCTCTTACAGTGTACTGGCAATTTGGCTACCGGTGTCGGACCTCGCCTGTGGCGCGGGCAGCCGTGCAGAGATGTCTCGGCCTCGTCATTACCGCCAACGCGTTGACGCCGATCGTGGATGCGTGGGTGAATCTGTGGGTTGCGGAGGAGGGCAAAGACGGGGACCTGGATAGGAATGCTGCGCGGTTGCACGGGACAAGGTCGGTTTTCTGGATCGTAGGTGGTATGTGGTGCTTGTTTGGATGATATCGTGTGGTGTTGATGTGGCGTACCACTCGAAATGTGTCTACGTGCGCGACAGTGTTAGCTCGTCGCCATGGTGAGAGAGGCTTGACAGCCGGGATGAAGAAGAATTCTGTTGATTGAAATGTCACCTCGGTTCCAAAAATGTGTGCCCAATTTCCCGTGTGTATCTCTTTTGCTGGGACAGTGGTGGTGGGGTGCTCTAATCATATCGACGGAGTTGCAGCAGCAGAAGATTGTCTGCTTGAAAGATTGGGGCCTCGCAGATTGGGCGCTTCGGCGACTGATGGGAGGCAGCGGCCTCTGTTCAGAGGGGGGTCCGAACAAGCAGCGCGAATGGGTCTTCGGGGGCGCAAAGGGACTTTCGGCGGCGGCGACGACATAACATGACAATCGTCAGCACGGCTTTACTGTCAGTCACTACAAGAGAAATAACAGTCTCTCCCACTGCCTGTACCTAACTACTACTACACAGCACTGATGGATGAGATGGATGGATGGACATCTGCTCTTCTCCAAAGTCGAGCGTAAAGCTCAAGCGATGATGAAAAGAGATCCATGAAGGAAGAACAACCTAAGAGCACAAGGTTTTGATTCAGTAAGTAACACACGCAAGGGAGAAGGGAAAAATGTTGAACATTGAACTGAGGACCCGGCCTTGGAAAACCAAGACACACCATCCAACCCGCCTCCAACCCAGGCCACCCGGCCAGGAACTCGTGTGTACCAGAGCCCAAGAGAAAAACAACATAGGGGATAACAAAAAGAAAACAGAAGGCAGGGGATAGCGCCCAAGAGAACAAAAGGGGGCAAGAGAAGAAGAAGAAGAGGTGAGGGGGCAATGGTACACACACTCCCTGCTGGACTGGAGGCGCCTCAGTGTTTGCCTACGCTTACCTTGGGCAACTCGAGGAGAGGAAAAAAGAAGGAAAGAACAAGTTTCAAAAAATTGGGAAGACGAAGAGGTTTAAGTAACCGACGGTGAGGTCGTCCTCTTGGCGATTGTTGATCTTAGTAGAGGTCTCTTCTCAGGGAGGAAGGTATAGAGAAGCAGTGAAGATGAGAAGAGCGAATCTCTATCGAATCAGAGCCTGATTGATGCGCCAAGGATTGATCAGGAGCGAAGTGGTTGATCTACCAGGACGCACATTGATTCAATCAATGGGTTCAGCCTCGTCAAGTCATTCTTCAGCCTTGTGCTCGGGAACAAAAGCCAAACATCAATTGTTGGTCCATACAGGAATTGCTAACGCTCGGGAATTGATACTCGAACAAGGCCTCACCACCAGATGTCACCTCCACAGTCAATCCAAGCGCCATGATCGTTGCCGCCATCGGAATCCCAAAGACTTTACTCCAAGCCAGTGCTGCAATCTCATGATAGTTCTTGATTACATTCCCCAGGGCAATTTCATTCTGGCTAAACCCAGATACTGTCCCCACAATTCGTCACATTAAAATCGCATCCTAACCCTGCCTCCTCACCCAGAGCTCGTAGCTGTCCTAGAATCACATCTCCTGGGGCAGGACCATCCATCAGCGTATCCTTGACATGAATAATATGTACTGTCACGCCTTTTAGAGGTTCGGGGAGTCTTTCTCGCTGGATGTTTGAGAGGGAAGATGAATGTTGGTGATTCTGGGTTGTCGGTATTGTTGCTGACGCGAGTGCAAGATCACTTAGAGGTTGGACAGGCGTAGTGGCCGAGTCCGCCTGGAAGGTGACGCTACGCCCACGTCCTGGAGTAGACGAGATTGCTGCGTGGTCGCCTTCTCGCGGCTCGTGTGAGCGCTTTTGGCGCGTCGATGACACAGATCGATGTCCTACATACCCGCTGGGTATAGGTTGTGGTGAAGGCAAGCCGTCGAAGTGGGCGCGTGAGACCTCCGGCGTAACGGCGAGATCTCCATTCACCGCCCGCTTTCGTTTGCGCTTCAGTTCTGATGGTGTCGGCGGCTGTCGTATCATCAGATCCGGTACCGATGAGGCTTCGGCAGGTCGGGTGGGAATCGGGCTACCTGGGGTGGTATCCGTGACAACAGCATCATAGGAGGTCTTTTGTTTACGCCGACTCATAACACAATTGCCCAGAAATGTGAGCTCGGCAACCAAGTGTCTTGGGCAGAGGTGCCCGTAAAGATCCTCGTTGCGTACACTGTCGTCATATGAACACTCGATGAAGATGCCTTTAAGCATCCCACTGGCAACTTTACCAGCCGCGTCATCCCAGATGATGTGGTTGCGAGGTGACAGACTTACCGAATCGGGTTCGACATCGCCAAAGATGAGCAGCTCGTTGCCCGTCGCGTCGTTGCGAATGAAGAATGCAGAACTCGAGACTGGCTCAAAGAGATGACAGTTGTCCAGGATGTTCGAGGCAAGGGGCCCACCCGGCGTTACTGGACCAGTCGACGTCTGAACTGGCCCTGGAGGATAGGCACCGGCATTCTGTGATTGTTGCTGAGCGACAGCAGCAAAATAGCCATGATCGTCCGATATCCGCGATAGTCTCCTAGAGGGAAAGTTGTAGTCGGACGCATACCCGAAAGAGTCGCCATGCTGGAAGGACGCACTGTGTGACCTCCTCTGGCATTTGCCGTGGCTCACGCTCCAGCATTTGGTTGCCAACCCATCGCAGACATTGACATAGCCTCGAGACTCACCCAGTCCTAGTCTGGGATTTCCGCCTTCGATTAGCCGTCTGTAGGTCACAAAGCCAACTCCATTGCCTTCGTCCGACAAGTTCGGCCAGAGCCAGTCGTTGAAAATGTGATTCTTGATGGCTTCAATTGTGGAGGGCAAAGCCACAATTGCTTTCGCCTCTCTGCCATATTCGAGCGCCGGAGTGTTGATGGCCATGCCCGAGAGATGGTCCAGATGTGGATGCGTGATGAGAAAACCATGGAGGATTTCGCGGAAGATGTAGAGTGCATTGGCTTTCGCACTGATGTTTGGAAAGCGAAGGCCTGCAAAAGGTCCCTTTTCCAATAGTTGCGAGTATCCCTTTGGCGGTACTTTCTCAGACATCAACGGCATTTCTCTCTGAAGGATGCGGATCATGCTGGACAAGTGCGCCCCAGCATCAACTGCGATCATGGAACTCTTGCGCCATTCCGACTGAGGCGCCCTCACCAACATTCCTGTGATATTGTCCTCGCGAGGTCCACCGGTAGACCCCAGCACTATCACCTGAAAAGACGCCTCTTCTTTATTGCCCAGTTCGCGAGGCTCTGGGCCTGCATCGTGTGAGGCATGCTTCCCACGCATCGAGGGCTTTTGTCTTTCCTGCACAGGTCTTCGTTTGATTGTTTCCCGCGTCCCACTCTTTGTGCTGCGGTGACTTGCCTCACAATGTCTTTGTTCTCTGTCCTCAAATCCCTTCGATCTCGGTCTGGTCCGGGTTGAGTCAAGTTTCGGGAGGGGTCTCGGGTAGCTGCTTCAGACTGAGGCCGAAACGGGCGGGAGAACAGGTGGAGTGAGGATGAAGATCAGTTGGACCAAGGGGGGGGTCAAATCCTGGAGGGAAGCAAGTTGTCGTTCTCCGCGAATGTCAACTCATCAATTACTCAAGACGGTTCTCATTGCCCGTAGCAGATGTAAGGAGGTTACGAGCGTTGGAATCTGTGCAGCAGTAACCTTCGACGCAGGCATTGTCTAGCGAGGTATGTTCCAGATTCAGACCGGCTATCAGAGCACAGGATCGACGTGACAATGATAAGGATAGACGAATGTTACATTCCAGCAACAAACAATACGCAAAAGTCAAATAAGAGTGGAAAAAGCATGTTCATGCCAATAGTTCAGTTTGTCAACTTCTTACATCCCGCATTTTGTGAGGAGAGACGCCAGCGGCTGCGTCATTCTTGTAATTTATGCTCGGGGACGGTAGAGGATGAGAGGTGGTGATTACCAGGAGGCAGGGGACATTGCATTCCTCAGCTACTCTCCCTAAAAAAGAGTAATTGGTCATGGCCCCAAGGGGGTTTTTAGGACGGAACTGAATACGAGGTTTGAATGCCAACCGAACGCGTGCAGGCGGCCTCAACGGTCGGGGATCCCTAATAAGAAGGCATATCCTGTCGATTGGCTAGTGAGTGGCCAGCATCGTTTCTCCAGAAGCTCGTGCATGACGAATTTCTTTCATAATCGAGCATGCAACTCCCGCCAGTTCTTAGAATTGTTCTGGCCATGCCGGGGGTCGCCATGCAGGAGGATCCACACCTACGGGCACCTTGTACAGCGCACAGGAACCGACAGGTCGAGGTGTACGAGGTACCGAGTACCTTGTAGGCAATCTTCGTAAGCAAATCGTGCGACAGAAAACTCAGCCCTACATATTGAACACTCTCTTGGAAACTGAGCCTCGCTGCTTGCTAACCAGAACAAAACAATCCATGCCGTATGTATTTACACTCATAGTCATAAAGGATATTTATTTCATGCTCAGGGGTATCTCGTCATGTATGGCTGGGTCCTGCCGCTTCGCCTACAGCAACATCGTAGGTGGGAATGGGCGGTCCTCCGGTGCGATCACGCAACAGCTCTTGTCTTTCGTCTTCGTCGCCGTCACCACTTGACCTCCGGCTCCCTGGAGGGCTGCTATACTCGGGGGGCGGTATAATCTGCTGTCCAGCAGGAGTATTCTCCACAGGCTGATTCTGTATATCTGCGATGTCCAGAAGCGCGTTGCCCTGGCTGGGAACGTCATGGGTCGATATATGCGCCAGTTGGGCCAATGATATATCCGTGGCTGAACGAACGGGGCCAGGGTTGCCAGCTGGAAGACCAAGCCTCGCCAGACCACTGCGTGTTCTTGAATGTCCGGGCTCATATGGTGACTGCCGCGTTCCCTCTCTCCCGGTCTCGAGCAGGATGCTACCTTGCTCGCTCCCATAAGGTGGAGGTGGTGCAAGGCTTCCTGTCATCGGCGCCAATCCCCATTTTTTGACATTTGCCTCGATGAAGACAAAGCCCATCTGACCAAAATTCACATGAACATGGCAGGGTCCATTTGCGCCCACAGTCGGGAAGAAGTTCTGGGTCTTTAGGTTGTGCGCAATCTCGTCTAGCTTTTTCCCATTGCGTGTGAAAAATATACTCCCGGTTCGAGGTCGGTATCCTACCCCAATCACATCTCCTTGTACATAGGGCGGACCATACGTGCTGGCGGAAAACGGTTGGTTGTAGCGTCGATGTCCCGTAGAAAGATATGCCACCGACGTTTTATGCAAACCTTGTCTGTTAGTACAGTGATTTGCAAAAGTACCACGAACAAGGTAACTTACCAGGCAATCTGAACAGAGGGTACGGTTTCGTGGTCATACCGATGCTGATCAGGCTATTCTCAGGCTTATCGTAGATCTTAGCCTCCCAGTAATATACTTCATTTTGCTTTGGTACAGGCAGATTGCTCTGTACACTGCACTCTGAATCGAAGAACTCGATTTCGGTCCTTGCTTCGACGAAGCAGTTGGCGATTTCCAGTTCTGGCTCGAACTCCCACGCCGAAACACCTTTCTCCTGAATCGCCAGGAATTGTGACAATGATATATCGGTTTGTACGGATTCTGGAGGATTCGCTTGTATAAATGCTGTTTCGCTGTTAGAATATGGCGCGATGACGAATATGAGAGTAACTGAGTACATACCTTTTGCCCTCAAATACTCGGCCCTCTGCAATTCGTCCATCGTCTCCAAGGCCTCGGCCTCTTCCTGCGCAAACGCTTGCTCATCGTCAAATTCGCCAGGCCGGCCTATCCGATCCAACAGAATGCGGCCGCGAGAGGTATATCTGAAGAAAAAGAAAATCGAAAGAACAAGTACCACAACACCCGCGGAACCAAACGCAGATAATAACCCGATAAGGATGCCACGGCCAGTTGCGCCGCCATCATTGATATTTATGACAATCGAGGTAGGTGAGCCATCGGGATGGGGTCTGAATGCGAGAGGGGGGTGTCCTCGCCAGCCATCCTGTTCGACGAAGGGAGAGGAGGAGGGGACAGAGGTCGGATCGGAGGAGAATGGCGCGGTGGACGAATGAATGGAGGTTTGAAAGGTCATCGCGAGTCGGTCATATTGTAGCGATTTCTCGCCAGAACGCATCGCTCAAAGAATGAGCTCAACGATGGGTAAGAAGAGAGGAGGTGAAGGAAGGACGAAGACGTCAAGAGGTGGCGAGAGGGTGATGAGCGGTTGCAGCAGGGTGAGAAGCCAGGGTGAAATGGCGCAGGCGGGGAGGCGGTTAGGCGAATCGATCGCAGAGAGACGCCGGGCTGGGTTTGGTAGTGTGGCTGTGATCAAGTCTGGGATTTGCCGTGAAATCAATAGGTGAAAAAGAATGCAATCAAGTGCAATGCCTCCAGAAGGACGAGAAGGACAAGACCACCATCTTGGTTTTGGTTTTGGGGGAGGAGTCGCCGACTTGTTGGTCCCCAATGTTTTAGGAGGTGTTTGGGGGATGAAGGGGAGACGAGTAATGTGAGAAAGAGATGGAGGTGGAAGGGTCGAGACACAAGGAACTTGCTTCTGGTGCTGAAACGCTGCCAGCAACAGGACTAAAAGAGCTTTTGGCTTCGTTGCTTCCGTCCCAGCCGTCACTTTTGGGTGTCTTTGGGGGGGCAACCTACGCCTAGAGCACCCCCACTCACCAACAATTGGTTCACGGCTCCGGGTATTCCAGGGGCTCTAGGGACGCCAAGCAGCATTTCTACAGTTAAAAGGCCGCAGACGTCACTGACTCCAGTGGCTCCACGACAATCCACAGCTTTTATTATAAGCATTATAGGCGCTTTCTAATGTGGAAATCGTTGTTCTTGTGTCGAATGAATAACGATTGATCTCCTATAGTGTATATTTTAAGAGTCCTTCGCTTCAGGTCTGGTCGCACATTGGATCGGCCAGGGACAGTAATGGTAACACGGCAATCCGACGAGGCTGACAAGGTGCCACTCCTTTTCAATCCATTCTATCAGTCTAGATCTTGTTATCCCTTTTCTTTGCCCTCCAGCCAGTGAGTGTGCTGCCACCATCAATCTCAAGCACATTGCCTGTCATATGGGCCGAGGCTTTGCTGCTGAGGAACAGAACCAAGCCTGCAAAGTCGGATGCCTTGCCCACTCGTCCGGTGGGTTGTCGTTCAAGAAGCGTGTCCAGGTACTTTTCCATGCCAAAGTTTGTCATCCGGGAGGGGAAGACGCCCCTACGATGGTTTAGCATATAAGCGTGCTCGATACCAATTCGCGGGAACTTATAACTTACGGGCAGATACAGTTGACCATGATGTTCAATGGGGCCAATTTGGATGCCTGCAGCTTGCTGAGATGGATGCACGCGGCCTTTGATGGCCCATCTGTATTGAAAATGTCAGCATCGCTTTCCAATGTGCATGCACAGAGACCATCATACAGCTAAAGGTGCCGTGACCCGGGGCAGACAGCCCTCCATCTCCCGTTGTTGTGACGTCGGTCGTTTGGATCCCGGCCATGGAGGCGACGTTGATGACACGCGAGGGCATGTCGGCATTGGTTCCCTTGAGCAGCAGATCGTGCAATCCGACGGTCGTGTAGAAGATGGACTTGACATTCAGGGCCATCAACTTATCCCATCCGCTCTCGGGGAAGTCGTCATACGGAGCTCCCCACGAAGCACCCGTGTTGTTGACCAACACTGTCAGGCGGTCCGTTCGCTTCTTCACTTCTTTGACAAGTCCATCGCAGCCAGCCTTGTCCTTCAAGTCGGCCACGATATACTCGCACTTGCCAGGGCCCAGGGCGTTCAGTCGATCCGATGTCTTCTTCAACTCGGACTCTTTCCGGCTGGCAATGAAGACCCGTGCGCCGTTCTGGATGAATCCTTGAGCTGCCATCTCGCCGAGTCCAGTTGCTCCTCCGGTGACCAGTACCACATGGTTGCTGACATCGAAGAGCGAGGGAATTCGGAGGTCTGCTGAAGAAGTCATGGCTGCTTCTTGGTCTTTGTGTCGTTTCCCACAGGTCTTGGATTCTCCTGGGCTCTGGGTTTGTTCAGAGAGGGCAGAAGTCAGATCCTAAATAAGAGGCAGATATGGAGTGGTGAGTGGTTGATTATCGCCGCGGCAAAAGGCCATCTTGGGGATCTATCGGACACCTCGGTTGTTCCATTGCTTCCCCAGTTTCTTGGCGTTTGAGCCCAGACTGCGCCTGCATTGAAATGGCCCGCCGTACGAAATGCCATGCCAAGAGCCGTTGTTCCAAGACCTTTTCCCTCATTATTCCGTCCCTCAGCAGCCGACGGCAGCCCCTGGGGTTCCGGATCCTTTACGAAGATACTTGTACCAGGACCAATCTTCTCCTGAGGTCTAGACTCTTACTCAAGTCTTCAAATATTTTCTTCTCCACCACTCAGCAGTCACCACGAGTCACGCGATGCAGGTCGCTCGAAATTTCATGCCACTACACCACTGGTGTCATGACTCATGGTGCCCAACCGGCCTTCTCATCCGGTTGGTACACGCCACTCCATTTATGACTCTCACACCACAAGGGCAGTTGTGCCTGTTTGGACAGGGACGACACGCAGGCATACCCAACAAGTCGTCATGTTACCCTCATTCTGACTACCTGTGTTGGTTTCTCCTTGGAGTCAGATCTAGGTATCTCTCATGTGACTCACGCTAACTTACTTGTACCAATTATGTTGCCATCCACAAGGCTCATGGACCGGGCATATATACCTCGCTCTCGTGCTTCATACCACCTTCCCATATTTTGATTGTTTTACCGTTAAATCCTGTCCCGCTGGCACTCACTTGATCTCCCGACAGCTATTCTCTCGCTCATCCAATCTTCCTTTCCAGCAAAGTTTTCAATGGCACACAAACACAATCGCAGGCGGGTTCGCCCTCGCAATCGCAACCATACCTCTCTAAACCCCATCTTTGAGATGCCAGACGAGTTCCCGACACGATCAGATTCTCCCTCTCTCTATACCCCTTCTATAGGGACAGACCTCGACCAATCCTTCGTACTCCGAGAACCACGCTTTGCGAATCCTAGCGTTGCCTCGAGGCATTGGTACAATCGATACGTTGCCTGGCAAAGCCGTGACAAAGTCCAAAGACGTGAAGCTGCCAAGATTGAGGCTGAGCAGATCAAAGTATTTGGAGGTTATCCGGGTGACGATGTCGGACTCTGCTACAGAATGATGGAAGTTTTTGAAGGCATGAATTGGATCGACACGCTGGACTAGAAGGCGCCCAAAGCAGAAGATATAAAACAAGGGGATTGACCTCTCACGGACCTCTAAAGGCATCATATCTGCCGGGAGACGGCATTACAACACGACTCACAGGAACGGAAACAGCTCAAGTTCGGCTTGTAGCAATGAAGGTTTTCCCACCCCCCAAAAAGAAGGGAATGGCTGGATTGGTCCATTTATGCTTGAACCCGTCACTGCTGAGAGAGGTGTTACCGTGGAGAAGTGGTGACTGGTGCTCGCGCATTTGTTGAGGGCAGGAAGATGCGTGTCTATACCCGCGCTTGAGCTCGTTGCCGCAGGATCGCTGCGTTATTGACAGGAAGGAGATGGATGGTGTTTCCACTCGTACTACTTTTGATGTACTCTTGACGTCTCGACTCATAATATCAATAGAGTTCGCCTCTCCTCCGTCTTCTTACTTCTGGGGTGTGGCTGTTGACCACTGACGCCACATACGCCACACTTGGTGGACTTGAGACTAAAGCTTGACCGGAGCTTGGAGTTGCTTGTCTGTCACTCTGTGTATCAGACCGGGCCATGAGGACGGGGAATACCCCTCTCTCCTCACTCTTTTTGCGCCCTCCCACCGTTTCTGTTTGCCGTTGCTGATGGGTATGTCTCATCTCGATCCATAGGAGACATCACAGTTGATCCCTGGCGTCATGGCGATTTCAAGCCACACCTAACGTCAGCCAAGCCACTTAGCGTCGATTAGCGCGACACAAGATTTCCCAGTTTGCGCTTGTCTGGCTTGTCCACTTGCGATCTGCATGGCCGACTTCCACCTCCGTGTGCTCACCGTCACCCGTTTTAGTGCAAGCGACGGCATCTTGCGTGCCTCGCTGTCCAAAAACAAGGCAAAGGCATCTCACTTGGGTATGGGAATGACATCCACTAACATGTCCACACAATTTTTACTGCGTCATTCGAGTAGGAGGCGAGTTGAAATACTTCATTTTCACCTCACTTCTCCTCAACACTTCCTCCTCCTCACTGAGATTGAGCAGGTTCGGTATTGAACGTCTGCAGTTGCTCGTCGCCAGGAGCGGTATCATTTCCCCTCTCTATCTTTCCCTCAACTCTGTTCTTCAGCCTTGCCCTTCTGCTCTGTGGTCCTCTTAGTCAATCATCACCCCTTCCCCCTCATACGTGATACCTTGGACGCTCAAGATGGGCTTCTTTTCACGACGAACCAACAATCCAGCTTCAAATGGCCATACCAAGAATGATCATGCTCTTCGTCATGAAAAACGAAATCACCGGCCCGTCTTTGACATTGACTCTGGCGACTTCAACCGCAGACCAAGCTTCGGGCAATGGTAAGTCCTCTCTCCTCCATACCGTGTCTCAGAAGATCTGACAGAGGCAGGCTGAAATTCACATGGGTGGATATCTTGACCATGGCTGCCATGGGTGCCGTTGGCCTCGGAGTCTACGAAGCCAAACCTGCTCCTAGCCGCTCATTCCCAGTGACCTTTGCCGATGGAGAAATTGTCTATCCCGAGTTCGCCTATCCTCTACGTCATGAAATCGTCCCAATCTGGCTCGCGGCCCTTCTTGCCTCCTTGATTCCAATCTTCATCATCCTGTGCATGCAGATTCGCATTCGCTCTTTCTGGGATGTTAACAATGCCGTTATTGGTCTCTTGTACTCCCTGATCGGAGCGGCGGTATTTCAAGTGTTTATCAAATGGCTGATTGGCGGATTGCGACCTCATTTCTTGGCCGTTTGTGACCCAGACCCGGCGCTGATGGCGGCGCACCCTGGCCGAGGTTTCGAGAATATCATGTTCCAGAGAAACATCTGCAGGGGAGATGTTGACCAGATTGACGACTCACTCGAGTCCATGCCATCTGGCCACACTACCGCCGCGTTTGGCGGCTTCGTCTATCTCTACTTTTACCTCAACGCCAAACTCAAGGTCTTCAGCAACCACCACCCTGCATTCTGGAAACTCATTGTAACTTATGCACCCCTGCTCGGAGCCTGCCTGATTGGTGGTGCACTGACTATTGACGAATTTCACAACTGGTATGATGTCTTGGCCGGCGCGGTCATTGGCTCCATCTTTGCCATCTCGAGCTATCGCATGGTCTATGCCTCGGTCTGGGACTTCCGATTCAACCACATCCCCTTGACTCGTCATACACCCTTTTCCTACGGTGCAGGTGCTGCTGGTGCAGGAGGATTTGAAACTGCAGTCTTCACTAGACAAGCTGGATGGGGATACGGAGAGCATTATGGAGGTGCACCCTTTGATGCTGCCCATGGCCTCAGGGGACAGGCGGCAGGGTTTGATACGAGTGCAGTGCAGCAGGATCGATATCTTCACAAGAATGACAGAGATGTGGAGCGTGATGCTGGGCTCTATCCCACAAATGGAACCACGAACGGCTACGGCACTGGCGCTTCATCTGTGAGGGACCCTCCGCCGGCAGTGACCCATGGCACGCACCACAGTGGCCGGACGAGCTTGGATCGCAGACCTGTGCCTACTTCAGCATGATGTCCGAACAAAGCGACGACATAAAACACGATCTTTGTGGTTTGGATGCAGGAAGTTGTGCATGGAGTTCTCGTGTGGGATTCAACAGTCAACCAGACAAAGCAATAGTAAACCTCAATAGGTGGTACTCAGCCAGGCATTCAATAATATGGGATGTAATAACGCGCAAGTTTGTTAGTCATTTAATTCCATCCAATTCGCGTCGGACCTTAAACGCTTCGAGCAAAGTGACCTTTTGCTGCCGCGTTGTGAACGCCAATTCTATTTCCCCCACTATCGTCCTGCCCTCGCGACACTCTTCCTCTGTAGCCCACACGTAATTGACATGCTCGTTGGGATCTAGCTTTACCTGTGGTATTCTAGGAGAAATCCCACTCCCTTTTCCATCTCCGTCCTTTCGCCGGCCGTCGTCGTCTTCGACGTCGTTGACACGGCCACCGACAACATCGACCAAGAACTCAAACTTACACACCCTCTTCCCGCCGCGCGTGACAAAGACGTGGCCCGGCGCGATGAGGGGCCCGATACGCTTCGCCACGAGTCCGGCCTCTTCCCACAGTTCGCGCGCGACAGCGTGCAGAATGCTCGTGTCCTCGGGGTCGCATGCCCCGCCGGGGGCTTCCCAGCGCAGGGGGGCCGAGTCGTGCGCGGCGCGCTGGACGAGGAGGACGCGGAGAGACCGGGTTCCGTTGCTGTGGTGGTCGGCGGCGGCGGTGTGGGTGTCGACTACTGTGTCGACGGTGTAGTTGGCGTTGGTGCTGACAGTGGAAATCGAGGCGGGAAAGCGACAAAAGACAAGAGCCCCCACGGCGACGTATTGGTAATCTGGGATCCCTGAGCGTGTGGCCTGGTCGGCGATATATTTCTGGTACGGGACCATGAAGGACGATACCGCCGGGTCTGTGGTGAATGTGAATTCTGGGGTTGGCTTTGCATTATTGGCGGCCATGGTTGGTGAACTGGTCTTCCTTGCAGACCGGTCGCCTGGATCACCCTTGTATCCACGAAGGTATAGCGAGGGTATAGCGAGGCTGTTTCGACCCTGTTGGATTGACTCCCTACAGAGGTACTTGATACTCTGCAACTCACTTGAACTGCTCTGGGAGGTCCAGCGGGGACCGATCAAGATCTGGTATGAGGCGGGTGGCCCACTTGAATACCCTGTTCTCTACTTGCACAATGGTTCACACTGGTTCAGGTTGTCGGTCCGGGAACCCTTATCTTCCTTTTCTCTGCAAGGTGCTCGGGTCCTGTGAGAATCTCTGTGTTCAAGGGGGGCTCTTGTACTTGTATTTGGTCTCGGAGCGGAAAAACTCGGACTCCGCGATTCTACCATCTAATCCTCGACAATATTAGGCCACAGCAATAGCTAATAACACACCTCACCCAAGCGGATTTGCCATGCTGCTGCTGCCTAGCCGAGCGAACCAGTCGCTGCCTGCGCCAAATCGCTTTGGCACTCACAACTAACCGGGGTCCGCGCGAGTGTCAAACAGCCTCACGAAGCGAGGGGCAGCGACTTCCCTTGGCAACGTGTCGCACTTTTTGGTGGTCATCAATCCGGAAATGAGATTGTCGGCGTGATGTGCCGTGGCATCACCGGTTCCACCATATATCATGTATCTACTTGACACAAGAACTCTAGAATTGTATGTTGCCACTGGTACATATCCTCCACCATTACCTGGCCGCTCACTCTTGTCGCTTTTACTATTCGCAGTTGCTCGCACGACACGCACGCATTAATTGAATCCTTCATAACGGGAAAAATCAATTGAAGCTAACATAGGATCATGTCACTCGAAAAGATGCTGCGTAAGATCAACCTCGACCTTGAGCGCTAAGCATGGCCTTCTGCATTCTCCCAGAACCTCGAAAGTCATCCTTGGGACTTTCACTTACTTTTCCGGCTCATCGGTTGGCACAACGGCTCTTGCTTCCATTCCGTTCCAAAATTTCTTCTTCCAGGAGTCCACCTCGGCTGCGTCTTCTATCCACACCCCATGCTCCTCATTGAACGAAGGATAGGCGTTGTCGCTTCCAACATACAGTAATCTGCCGTCCACGCAGACGATCTTGCAGTGGTTGTAATACCACTTGATATTTCCCAGTGCTCGTTTGACAATGAAGCGCTCGTCAACAACCTTGTCAATCAAGTTCTCTGGCACTGGATCGACGTGGGTGAAGACATCGGCTGCTGCCGCTGCATTCGTAAAGAAGCTCGGGACGAGCCTGGTGAAACTATTCAGGTGGGCCATACCTCTCATAACCACCTTAAGCTTTTTCTTCAGGTCGCCGATGGACGCTTTGTCCTCCCAATCGCCTCGGGTTCCGTCCTGACAATGGGTCGCCAGCACGATGGTGATTTTTGCTGATCCGGTCTTGGTATTTCTGGTTCTGGCCAGAGCATAGCCGAACGCAATTAGCAGATCTGTGAGATGTTAGGTCTGTTTCCACTGGAAATGGGGTAGAAGGGATAGGGTCCTACCAAACGGCCAGAGATACCCGTCCCATTTATTTGGATCTTGCAACCTCCATTTCTCATTGAGTAAATTAGTGACTTTTTCTCCAGCGTAGGGTGGACATGCCAGACGGTGCTGACAAAGGATAACGCTCTCTTTGGCATTGGCAATAGCGCAGACCCGAGCGAACCGGCTCGCCCATGCGTTGGGGTTCACGTTGAGCGTTTGATAGGGATTGAAGCTACCCTGTTTTTCCAAACTTGGCTCGGGTCTGGTCAAGGACGCAAACCAGTCGAGGACCGCGCCACCGACGCCGCGCTTGATGTTAGTGGCCGCTTCAGTCAATCTCCTGAGCGCTTCGCCGTCCTCAGTCAATATCGCATAGGTGAGAATCGTCATGGCTCCCTGCTGTCGCGGCCCTCCATTGTGGAAGTACAAGTATACACCATTCAAGAGGGCGTCGCGTAGCGCGTCGACGATGCCAATGGGATATGCTACACCCTTCATCTTGCCATGCCAGTCACCAATTCTTGAGACGGTCAAAACTTTCTTATTCCCGTACCGAATGTCTTTTGCGAAGGTCGGTAAGCGTGGTGCGACCGCTTCTGTCCACTTGGGAGGCTCGCTGAGGTTGGCGCTTCGCCGAAACGACTGGCTGTCCGAGCCTGGTATGTTATTGAGGTAGCTAGATTGTCCATTTAGCGATGCAGATCGGAGCTGACAGTGAAGACGACTAACTCCCAGAAGTAGTCTGCCCATCGATGCGCAGAGATAGCAGCCTCACCAGTCACCTTTGCTTGTTGATCAATGATATCGTGCTGATCACCCTTGTAACAATTCCAGTAGTTTCCACCGCCCGTCATCATTGTCTTACCGTTGACAGCAAGGACCTTCCCGTGGTTCCAACTGATATGTTTCTGGAGATAGCCGGACTTTATCAAAGTAGTAAGGTATGATGCTGCATCAAATTTCTGCATGGCACTGGTCAACCTTTCGGTGTTCGGGAGACCAGTCACGAAAGAGTTCAGTTGTTTGACCAGGTTTGTAACGTCGCCGAGCCTGTCCTTCAACCATTGCTCTGTAGGAGCGTATGTCCTATGAATTTGCGGTCAGTTTTTATTTGCGCATTGCGCCGGCAGCTGTGGAACTTGTAACTGACCCTTCTTTGTTGACCGTCGCAAGAATGGGACGATAGTAGCCAACACACACGATGGCTTTCTTGTTCTTCTTGAGACGTGACTTGCCCTGACCGTCCCAGAAGATCTCCTCGAAAGTCTTCCTCCACTTGCCATCTTCCTCCCATTTGCTGGGAGCGTCGTCACTCCACTCACCGCAGACGATGCGAATGACGGGTTGCACTTCCGGATCGATCTCGTCCACCGCGCTTAGCAAGGCGCTTGCGACGCTCTCTTGGCCACCTTCTGTGAAGAAACCGCTCGGAGGGCTCGGGGTCGTGAGGTCGAACAAGGTCGCGAGGTCAATGAAGCACTTTTTCTTATCGGTGTCTAGGCCAGCCTTCAGGACCTGCTTGAAGGCTCTTTGCAGCGGGCTCGGAAACTTGGTCGGGGCATCGTCGGCCGAATTGCCAGGGACTTTGTCCGGCCACTGGGGTTCGAAGGAGAGGAAGACTGTGAAATCGGTCGAGTCTGGGACCCCGAAGCTGTTATTCTCCGTCTTGTCAAACGACTGGCCCTTGAGTTGGGTGTCTTTGTCAAAGTTACTGTCGATCTGTTCCAAGCGCCTGGCGAGATCGTCGATGGACGTCATATTGGCCGTCGGGGCAATCGAGCATGAGGCGTGCGTGAGAGCTCGAATTGAAAATCAGCGGGACTTCTGACCTCCTTTTTAAATTCCTGTTGATCCTTTTCTCCATCATTCAGCTGCGTTGCTTCCACCTGTCCCGTGATGACAGAATGGAAGTTCTAGACCACCATCAGTCACATTTGCTGATCGCGAGGCTGGCTGAAGCGAGCGTTGGGAGTGGCCGGCCTATGAACAAAACGTGCTGCACTTCTCCCGTGTGTTTGCTTGTATTCAGCTCTCTGCAAGGCAGGCAAGCCTCACGGAACGGTCTGGGCACGACTCTCACGACATTCAGCTTGTCAGCGAGGCACCCTCAATGTGAAAGGTTGTCAACAACTTACCGGGCCTGAACATGCAATATGCGGGGTACAACATGCAGCAGCGAGGACCACTCCAGCTCAACGATCGACTGAGGGTCCAGAGGAGAGTCTAGAATTGTATTCAGCTCCGCTGGTGTGCGCCTTTCGAAGAATTGTCTGGGGGGATTGTCCTCTGACACTGAACCAACCAACCACGTCCAGCTGGCCCGGATTTGATGCCACCCCAATCTTTCGCCCATCGTTGTCAGACACACACACACACACACACACACACACACACACACACACACACACAGGAAGATTCTATTTGCCGGGTCAGCTCGGTTTACGAGATGGTCTGGTAGAGGTCAGTAGCTCTGAACGTGAACAGAAGCGTTTGGGAAGTGTGGAGGCTAGTGAGGCTAAGCCAACGTTGGGCCAGGCTGGGCCGCGACCCCCCATGGGAAAAGGTCGGCCGAAGGGGATTCATGGGTCGTCACACGCAACGACCTCCTGCACTCTTGATGTTTGTGAAATATGGCACAGAGACCAAGATGGAGGGGCTGGATTTTTCCTTGTTGTTTTTGTAAAGGGTCTAGGGCACTATGTGACATGGGATAAGAAGGGACGAAAGAGGAGAGAAACTCGGCTAGGCGGTTTGTCTGTGTCTCCATCACCGCCAAACGTCCTCGTGAGGGATGGGATATACACTGGTATATTCTTGCAAGGTCACTGACAATTGTTGCCCACTGTTGTCTGACTTTGATGACCATTACTTTTTTTTTCTTTCGTCCTACCCAGCCCAGCCGATAATGGGGTATGTCACACGTCGAGCCATACGAGAGCGTAGGACGTTGTATCGGATTGTCATCAGTCTCATATTTGTAGAGGTTTGTTGACTCGACTCAGAGTGATATCCATGCCTGCCTTGTTGGCTTTTTGGTCTTGCGAGACAAACAACTCGCCGACATCCGTTCCAATTCATCTCTCACTTTTGTACCTGCAGATAGTTCTGGAGTCTAGGCCTGGATTCCTAACCCCTGTACTCCATATCTCCAGTAAAAGGATATCCAGGTGCCTCCGTCCCTACCAATTATCTGATTGCGCAACGGCCGAACAGCCTCTCCCGCCAATGAACTCTCTCGCCTCCTTTTCATTGCTGACGATGTGGGGACGTTGACCCGGACCGGGTGGAAGACTGTCCAGATCCATCTGCAAGACGTCGCTGGGATCGAGCACCACGACGTTCTTCCCCTCGAGGACTAACCGCTTGATACTCTCGTGGATGACGCGGCGGGCGACGCGGTTGAGCGAGAAGGCGTCTCTCAGAGAAATCACAATGGCGCACGCGTCCTGGTGCGCGCCGGACCCGGGGTCCTTGGGGTCCGGGTCGCCGAGTTCGCGCACGATGGCGCGCGTGAGGCGCTCGGAGCCGGCGAAGCGGACGGCGCCGCGGAGGGCAAAGATGACCACGCGTCGGTCGCAGTTGGGGTGGTGGGGTTCTTCCTGGCCCGCGACGATCTTGGCCACCGACGTGCTCACGCTGGCGCGCGCGACTTGGCTGACGTCCATCATGTGGAAGCCCATGTCGCGGGATAATTGCTCAAAGAGCGCCACGGCGCGCACGCTGTTGCCACGGTCGTTCAGCTTCGGCGAGAAGGCGGCGATCCCGACCTGTCCCGGCAGGGCGCCGATGATGCCGCCGGCAACGCCGCTCTTGGCTGGGATCCCGACGCGGGACACCCAGTCGCCCGCGGCGTCGTACATGCCGCATGTCGTCATGACGGAAAGCACCTGGCGGACACTGTCTGCGGGCATGATGGTTTCGCCCGTGACGGGGTTCACCCCGGCGTTGCAGAGGGTTGCTGCCATCATGGCCAAATCGCGGACGTTGACGTTGACGGAGCATTGGCGGATATAGCCCTTGACGACCTCGGCGGGTTTGCACGAGATGATCCCCGCCGCCTTCAGCATGTACCCGATCCCCATATTGCGGTCGGCATCCTCAAGCTCGGCCTCGTACACCTCCTCATCCACATAAAGCTGTCGGCCCGCTAGCCTGGACAGAGTTTTGAGGATGCGGTCGACTCTCTCCTCCGCCGTGGCATTGGGGTGGACCACGAGTGAATGCGCCGCAATAGCTCCGGCATTGATCATGGGGTTCATCGGTCGGTTGTTACCCTTATGTAGTGATAATTTGTTAAAGGCATCGCCGGACGGCTCGACGCCGATCCGCTCCAGCACATGTTCCAGCCCAGCATCCTCGATTGCGATGGCGTAGACAAAGGCCTTTGAGATGGACTGGATCGAAAACTCCACTTGGTCGTCCCCGGCTGAGTAGACGTTGCCATCTACCATGACGAGCGCCACGGCGAGCTTGGATGTGTCTGCATTTGCCAGCGTCTTGATGTATTGAGCCGGGGCGCCATCTTCGTTTGGTCGGACCTTCTCCAACAAAATATTCAGGTAGTCCGGGATCGGTGACTTCATATCTATCGAGAAAACTCTTTTGCCGAGCTATGCTGTGCGGTATTGTGCCTCTCGTCGAAGGATTTTGAAGGGAAAGAAATAGGGCGTGGTGTTCTTTGTAAGTTTTATTTGTCAACCAAATTCCCAAGTCCCCAAGAAGCGCCAATACTTTAGAGTTCCTTGGTGGTTGCTGTACGTAAGCGCGTGCTGGGCAGTCGAGCTGGCAACTTAGATCTTCTTACTACACTTGGACAATAAGAATATTGATGAAAAAGTGCAAGTAGAAGTCGTGTTGGACAAGTGCCTTTTCAGCTCCCAGTTGCGTTGAAATGAGAGCTGAACGCGTCCCTACACCACACCACGTGACGTCACATGACAAGTGAATAGATCTTTCCCATACTTGAACTTGCAGTCGGACAGTCTTTGAAGTCGCACAGAGGGTGTACAGACAAGCCAGGAAATGAATCGTGGATCGCCACAAACTATTGCCTTGGTGACTTGGAGGGTCTGCCTGTAGTAGTTGTCACAGTCCCTAGCTTCTTTAGGCAGGTTATGTCAGCTTCCCTTTGCCACTTGCGGTATAGTTCCGGTGGGGAACACGTACAGTACGGAGTAGTTGTCGCTCTCTTGGTACCTAGGTAGCAGCTCTCTGGCTCGCAGTACCTTTCTATAATTGTCTCAAGAGAGCCGGGGTACCGTCTCTAGGTGGGAAAAACTGGTGGAGGAATTAGAAAGGGGAGAAAAACAGAGGGAAGGAAAGATCAGAGACAAGCAAGTCATAGAAAATCGTAGGATCCAGTCCCCTGAATCAGCTACTCAGCATTTCCCAAAGACTCAGAATCCACAGAGAGACTGGAGACGACTGCAGCACAAGATGCTGGAATCCGCTTAGCAGGGTTTCCTCCTCGAAGGCCAGCATGGGTGTTTGGTCAACATCCATCGTCTCATTCAGACGGGATCTGAACTTGCCATGACATCTTTCAAAGCACCCTTCAATCTCCCCCCAGCCACGAGCAATCGTGACCTCTGCGGATATTTGAGCTTTACCAGCTGAACGACCGGTCGACCCAAAGCCGTGAGTAGAAACCCCTTTCTTCCCTTGTTCAGTTTGGCGATTATCATGACGAGGGAACTGATTGATGCCATCCAGTGTATGATATCACACCATAATGCCACTGCCCAGTGCATACAAATGGCCCAAGTGACCAGCCCCGACATCGACAAAGCGCTTGCCATCCTGCCTTAACATCGTCAGTCCGGACAATGGCAAGATTTTGCGACGTCAAATGCAAAAGTCCAACCTGGGCCTGAGCTCAAGTTGTACCCTGTCGGGGGGTTCATTGGTCTTTTTACTCAAAAAGCACAGACTTGCACGGTTTCCTATTCGTGCGCTATAGACCCAGCCCTGCAAGGTGTGGGACGCAATCAGATTTTGGATTTTAGATACCAAACCAAGACTCGACCACGAGTTTGGACACCGCTCTTGTTTTACATCGTCATTCTGTACCCAGGCTGGAGTCTTCAAAACATCTCTCGACGCGTTTTGGTGTGATAGAAAACTGCTCCATCAAGACAAGCAGCCGACTTTCCCTTCCCGGGGTTGCGCTCGGACCCGATGTAGAAAAGTGTCGGCTGTATATGCGGAACCTCGTCCATTCAAGCCTTGACGACGACTCTAAACCCAGTCTTGGACAACCTCGACAGCCACACAAACACTGTGCCGCCCATGATCATAGCGCCCGCGTACACCTTGGCGGCATCGTACGACCCGCCGTGCATCTCGATGATGGCACCCATGACGGGCGGTCCGACGAGCGACGAACACGCCATGGTCAAAAACATGACGCCCATTCTCCCGCCAAACCGGCGCAGGTCTTCCGTCATGCTGGCCACCACGGCCGGAGGCGTGGCGATGACGGCGCCGGAGAAGAACCCGTACAGAACGGTGATGGCGAGGAGGCCGCCGAGTGTGCGGCATGGGATCCAGACGAAGACGAGCAGGGCGGTCACAAAGAGCGAGGGACCCTGGATGTTCAACGGCCCCGTGTAATCTGCGATAAAGCACGGGATCAGACGACCCAATATGCTCGCGGCGTTCAGCACCGGCAGCAAGTACTCAAGTGGGAATCCACCGCCTGCAGGGTTGCGGTTCAGCCCGATCGACTCAGCCCAGGCTTCGACGTAGTTGTAGAAGCCGAAAAACCCAAAGTACGTGACGAACTGGCCGGTGGTCCAGAGAGCGAACTCGCGCTGTTCCCTCAAAGCTTGATACTCGATGAATCGCGCCCCCTTTGCCGGTCGGGGAGGCAACCGCTGCCGTATCAACAGGTTGCTCACCAGCAGGGTGACCAGCGACATGAGGGCGAGGATGCGCACCGCCCACCCGAATCCCACGGACGAGATACTGTGCCGCAGTCCAATGGGGATGACGATCCCACCCAACGAGGCACCAGAACTCACGATCCCGACAGCCAGTCCTCTGCGTTTGTGGAACCAGGTACTCGGCAACGCCACGCTCGGGACCAACAACATCCCCATGCCCAAGCCGACACAGACGCCCTGCGCCAGCACCGCCTGATAGTACTCCTTGACCAGGCTGGTCATCAGGGTCCCGAAGACGACGAGAAATGTGCCCAGGCCGAGCATCTGGCGAAAGTACCCGGCGTCAAAGTACTTGCCCCCGAGCGCACCACCCACCAACAAGAGGGTATTCTGGATGGAACCGATCCAGGCGATGGCCGAGGCGTTCTTGGACGCACTTTGCAGAGGGTAATTGCCGCTGTGGTCTATCTCGGTGGTATAGTATGTCTGGAAGGAGCCGTACGAGACCACCAGGCCCCAGCTGTTGAACATGAGAAAGTGCCCGGCGATGACTTGCAGCCACGGTTGGAGGCCGACGTCTGGAGGCGGTATTGGGGCAACGTCAATATCGACGTGATCCGGTCCATTTTCTTGTCCTTGGGGAGTGTCAACTGGTACCTTCGTTGCAGGGTCTGTGCCAGCTTCTCCCTGTCGTGAAATATGCTTTTCGTCAAGCTGGTTGGTGTATGAAGCCTTGGGAGACGGGACCTCCGGAATGGTGGCTTTGTCTTCGCATTGGATCTCGATAGGCACCGGTACTAAACTGCTGCTAAGTAATTATATTCAACCACCAGGGCTCGGGGCCAAGAAAAAAAAAACACAAACATACACCCGTGCGAGCTCTGCTCATTCTGCTCCTCAGGCCAATCCCGACTCCCGATATGGACAAGATCCGTCATGGTCTTGACCTATCAGTCCCTGACCCAACACCAATGTTACTTCCTTACAGTCGACGGTGAAGGATGTTCCATGGACACGTTGAACGGAGTATATACCTCCACAATTCCGCGGAAGAATTCAAGACAGTCAGTGGGCGTCTCCAAGAAGTGTGAAGAGATTGTCCCGACCACCGAGTCTCAGTCTTCCTCTCCGGATATCAGAGGTATGGATTTGTACGTTGCACGCATGAGTGGATAACCTGTCCCTCTATGCCCATGAGTGGACATATGATATGGGATATGCCACAATATATCCATCATCCATGATCCCATAGAGGCAGGAAATGCTCGGTGATCTGCCCACATACCGCACGCCGACATCCGTCCGTCCCCATGCCATGACATACCGACACACTAGGTACTTTACCTGGTACCTAGGCACTCAGGAGGCAGGTAGCCAAGTCCTACTCGTACTACTCAGGTAACTATGACTCCAAGCTTGATACCTGGACAGAGGCCAGAGGTCAGGAATCATCAAAGCCCCCGACCCCGATAGCCGTAGCGCAGGGAACCAATAAAACCCAAAATTGAGATCCGGTGGCATTAGTCGGTGTTCCTCGTCAGATTTCACACGAAGGGCGTGTTTTTAGCCCCGTTTGTTGTTGGATCAGAACCCACATCTACCACATCTCCTATACGCGATCTCCAATTTCTCCATCTTTCGGCAGTCCCGGTAGTCGGGAGTGTGAACAATGGTCACGCGTCTGATCGACCCCTAGAGGGGGGCGGAGGGAAGCTCGTATGCGGAGAAAACACGGACGACTAACACAGGCACAGGACAGGAGGACTGGGAGGACGCTCGGAATGGCAAAGGAAGTTCCGGTCTTCCCTTTGTGGCTATCGTATGTACCCATCGAGGCTATCTGAGGTATGTTAGGACGTACAGTCCTCCGTGCCGTGCCTACTACCTATTTGGGCTATTATACCTACTCTTTTGGGACTGTGCGAGGTGGTCCTCGGTATAGAAACATGTTCAGTAGAGGCCCACGGGAAGTGCGCCCTGCGAGGTACAAGATACTTAATACCCATACCGATTGCAAGGTGACGAGTACGCAAGGGTGAGTAAACATTCAAAGCGGCATGGGAACAAAAATATAATCATATCGAGGTTGAAATCATTATCAATCATCACCCCAACCAGGTGACGAGTTACATCATGGTCGATCTCCCCGATGGAAATTCCTTGACAGAGTATGGGCAGGTATCAGAATCGCCGCCATTCCCAATTGACAAGACCCTTGCGTGACGGGTGTTGCGTTCGGCACCGTGCAATGCGGGTTGACCATGATGACTGGTAACGCCCCTTGAAGGATGCCCCCCAGTAGTGGTATATGCATCCATCGCACCTGTCTCGATGCTCTCAAGAAAGAGACAAGATAACGAAACATCTTCGAGATCATGGGGCTCTTTCTATCAAATCAGCCGTTCGCCCAGCTCTGATGATATGGACTGTATGATACGTATACCTACTTCGTCAAAAATACAACATAAATCTCTGTTGCACCAAAATTCCTGACAAGGCTGGGGGTTCTTTGGAGCGCAAAAAGAGATCTCTTCAAGGCCACACAACACTACTCCTCGACCTCCAGTACCTCGTCTGCTCGTACATGCTCATCTCGAGATTGATCTATTGGGACAACCCTTTCAGGAGTTGCTTTATCATCCAGTCCCCTCATATCAATACACGTGTCCACAATGCGCAAATAATTACAATGGGTGTTATATCTATGTAGGTTATTCTCATATACGTTCGTCCCATCATCGAATCCTTTCCATTAACATTATCCTGGAGATATCGATGGGTGCTGGGATTCGTAGGAAGGCGCTCGAAAGCCAATTCCCTGAGAAACAAGTGTCCGGCACCTCATTCTTGCTCGTTAAAATCAGGGCGGAACTCCAAATTTTTGGTTGACCTGTTGGCATCACCATGTCCCATGTCTGCCTATCCTGATGTCGAACCATTTCGAGCCGAGCCGAATATTTATGTCCTCTTCCCAATTAAACTCCTCCTTGAAGCCTCCAGTGTACCCACCCTCTTCCACCATCTCTCATTGATGAGAAGGCATGTCACATGTTTGCTTCATAAGTCCATCGAATGTGACCAATTGGCCTAAATGTGGCGCTTCCTTTCGAGAGCGCCACGGAGCACCAGAAAGGAGTGCGACGGTGGTCCGCATTCCCTGGCGGCATGTGTTGTCCCGCTCTGCGTTTCCAGTCATGTAGAAATCTTCAACCGACCTATCCTCCCTCACCAGCTCGCTGAAACTTGGTGAGGACATCCTTCATCTTAGGCACCAGCTCCGGCAGTCGAAACGGCTTGCTAACAACATCATCGATTCCGCTCTGCAGTGTCATCTCGATCTGTTCAGCTCGCGCATTTGCCGTTACTGCGATAACTGGGACGTGTGCAACCAACTCCCCGGTATCTTGCATGTCTCGGAGTTTTCGTGCGCACGTCTGCCCATCCATGATAGGCATTTCCAAGTCCATGAGAACCACATCGATCTTCACCCCGTCCGTTACATGGTCACGGTAAAACTTGGACTTGCGGATCTGATCGATAGCTTCGCCACCATGATTGGCCACGTAGACGACACAGCCGATTTTGCGGAGCTGCGCTGCAAGTACCTTTTGGTTGATCAAATTGTCTTCGACGATGAGCACGTTAACAGGGCCATTTTGCGTGGTCAGGTTGGTGGTGTCCGTTTTTAGAGAAGCAGGCGATTTCGAAGGACCAGTTGAGGCACCTGGCGTCGATTGGAGCATTTGCATAGTCAAGCCGCTCAGCGGCGTGGTTCTGGAGCCCTTCCTGCTGTGTGGTGCCGACGTGCTGGGGTTGTCGTCCAAAAGACTGACATCGCCATTGGTGCGGCGAGCTTTGATGTAGAACGCGAATATACTGCCGTTGCCACTCTCAGAGGCTACGCCGATTTCACCTCCCTGGAGTTCGACCAATTCCCTCGAGATGAAAAGGCCCAGGCCGGAGCCACCATACGTAACATGTGTGCGAGGACTAGCTTGGGAGAACCGCTGGAAGAGTTGCTTCTTCTCGAGCTCATCCAGTCCACGTCCGGTATCTTGCACTGCAAAGTGCAAATACACTGGCTCACCCAAGCCCCATTCGGCTGCCGCAGTGACATCTTTGTCTTTATGCGTCCGTGAAGGGATATACGTGAGCCTCCATTTGTCTTCTTGAGACGGCTTTTCCCCTGAAGCCGCGATGTGCATTCGAATAACACGATTTTCTTGCGTGGCCGTGAACTTGACCGCGTTGGTCATCAGGTTGATCAAAACTTGGGAAAGGCGATGCGGATCTATCCGCACCCACTCGATCTGATGAGTAGTAAAAGACACGTCGATGATCAAGTCCAACCGAATGTCCGCGGTCTTCAGCTCCGCATCGAACATTTTTAGCACCTTATGCACCACAGCGAGGGGTCGCGTATCGACCGGAGTGACCGCCATCATAGCCGAGTCTAGCTTCGACAGGGTTAAGACGTCGTCCACAATCCTTTTCTGATGCTGAGCACACAGCGTTATCGTTTGAGCAGAGTCAATGGTGAGGTCGAGAATTTCCTGCTGAGCCTTTGTCAACCCGTTTGCGTCCCGCATCTCGCTGAGAGAGCCAGTAATGGAGTCGGCACATTGGAGTATGGCAGATAACGGATTGCGCATCTCGTGAGAAGTAGTATCAATGTACCGCTCTTGCTTCCGCTTCAGTTCCACTGCTTCTTCCATCCTACGGGTTTGCAGGCTTTCAGCGAACTTCTGGGCACTGATATCAGTCATTGATCCAAAAATCTGCCGGATTCGCCCGTCATCATCTCGCTCAGGGGAAACACTGGTAAGGACCCAGGTTTGCCCCTGATTTCCGACTTTATCACCCCAAGGGGTCTTGAAGCGGAACTCCAGGGATATAGGACATCTCTTCTCCAACATAGTGTTCCACAACTCCCGAACTTTCGCTTGGTCTTCATCCAGAACATATTCAATCCACTCATTGTCAACTGGCACATCTCGAGGATATGAAGAGATGTTATACCATGCATCATTAGCGAAGTTAATCTTACCGTCCAAGTTGCCGATGAAGATACCGACAGGAGCAAGCTCTGCCATCCTCGTGAACTTGTTTTCGGCTTCGGCGGCCTGTTGAGTTCTAGCCAAAAGTTGATTGTTCAGCTCGATGCGGTCTTGCGCGGCAAGCTGAGCAGCTTGTTCGCCTTTCCTAATTTCATCCTCAAACAGGACCACTGATGCGATGGACGTGGCAAGCTGGCGGCCCAGCAGCTGAACAAACAAATCGTAATCTTCGTCGTACGGCCGTCTTGGATTCGTAGCCATCACCAAAAACCCCAAAGTTGATTCTCCGGTGGTGGGATGGATAGGTGATATGACCACAATTTTCGAAGGATCACCAAACCCTCGCCATTCAATATTTTCCAGAAGAGTCGGATCAAGACTTCCGTCGTCGACCCGTAGCACAATCGGCCTATCGGTTGTAAGGGCCTGTCTGAAGGAAGCCGCAAAGCCCTTGGTGCCCGTCTTCATTTCAATGACAGCAGGCGCCGCTTGGTGGCCAGGAGGAATGCCCAAACTGCCTTCCAGATAGCATATCTTGGTCAAGGCGGCACCACTGGAGCCTGAAGAAGCAACATCGCTCTCCGCCAAGTCCTCGTTCAGAGAGTAGACCAAAACCATGGGGGCGTCGTATTCGTTATATTCCAGGCCTTGCAGCAGCAGACCCCAGAACTGGGAAACTTGTCGAGCCGCAGCGGTCCGCTCGCCAATCTCGCGTAGTGTCAGCATGCGCCTCTCTGCAATTTTGCGGCGCGTCTTCTCAAATGCTGGGTTGTACAGCCCAATTACCCCACCGTCGGCGCCGATAAGAGGAATGATGGACCACGAGAAGTAGGTCTCTTCCAAGAAGCCGTTGCGCATGATGAAAAGGCAGTCATCATCTTTCATTGTCGCTTGAGCGTTTTTGAAGGCGTTATCAAAGACATCCTCCAATGCATCCCAGATCTCAGACCACGCATCACGATAACGTGCGCCCATTAACGCCGGATGCTTCTGGCCTGCCAGAAGTACATATGCCTCGTTATATATGGCTATGTGATCTGGTCCCCAGTACATGGCTGAAGGGTGTGGACTGGCCATGATCAAGTTACACATCCCTCGGAGTTCGACAGACCAGTTCTGGATAGGGCCCAGACTAGTGGCTGCCCAGTCAATTCCCCTAGCGAATTGTATGTGCATGGGGAGAGACGGTGTCACGGGCAAGCGTGTCCAATCAAAATAGCCTTTTTGGTTGGTGGTGACTAAATCGTTGTCTAGCTTGATAAGAGGGCTGCCGGAAGATACTCTCTGGTCAGAGCCTCCCAGCGCAGATCCAGATACAAGCTCCGAGTTTGCCAGATCTCCATTCGGTATGGGTGATGGATGGTCGAGACCATTCGGGGAGGCATCCGTTACGGACTCCGTTACCAGGCGGTTGAGTGTGCGTGGCACCTCGCCGCTGGTGCGTGGGGGAATGTCGAAATATCCTTGCGTCGCTGCATCAGCACGAGCACCTCCGCTGGAGGACGTAGATACGGAACCAAGTCCATGATATTGTTGCATACTGGGCCGACCACCGCCATCAGCCATTAAAGGAGGCGAAGAGGGATGCTGGCGACCTCGAATAACCTTCAGTTTCTTCCTTAACAGGGAACCTTGCCACAGCCATCCAGCAAAATAAAATGTGAGGACGATGTCAGGTTCTGTGGGAGAACTCAGTGCCCATGCCTTGAAATCTGAAAATGGAGTTTCCACATCGAGCAACAGAGTAGGATCCTCAGACCGGCCTTGGACATGTTCAAAGAGGGGGATGCGGTTCTTCAGCGCTGTATTTGCAAAGATCAAATTGAGACCAGGAGTGTTGAGATTGACATTATCAGTGATGTCAACTATAAATGTTGGTCGCTCGTCTAATTGCAGGTATTCAATGAGAGGGATAGAATGTAACAATTGCGCCTCGTCCGATCTCCCAGTGTTTGAAATCGCACTGCGCCCAGGTCGACTTCTGGCACGGCCGACCTCGGTGGAGGGGCTCACTGATATTGTACTTGCACCCGGCCCTCTCGACGATGCTGGCATTCTAGGAGAAGGCTTATCTTTCCCCTGGCTGACGGCCGTCGCGGCGGCCATCAGAAGCGAGATGTTTTCTGGTGGAGTGGGCTGCATGTCTCGACGGATAGGGTTGGTGTCTTCCTCCTCCTCCTGCCTTCCCCTTCGACTGCGCCCCTCGTCGCTCAAGTGACCATGTTTCGAGGGCGCTGACGCATGGGAGGGAGATCGCTTCGCGTACTTGAGGACCGGTTGATCAGAAGAAGTGGACCGAATCGCTGAGTGGTGAGAACGTTTCAACGATGATGAAGTGAGGTTTTCGCCAGCGGTGGGGGGGTCGCAGGTAGGGGGACATTGTGGAATGTCGTGGGTATTCGGTGAGTAGTTCATTCGGAACGCGCATTCTCGGTCCAATCGTGGCTAAATCAGATCGTACCAAGTAGAGGTGTGACCGGGTGGGGAGGAGAGCGAGCGAGAGACTGAGCCAAGGGAGGACTCGTAGGTCGAGAAATGGGATTTAGGGCAAGTAGGGGATCGAAGTGACACAGAAATCCTTCTTTAACCAGTCCGCTTGCATACTGTCCAGGGTCCAATGGGTGCAAGGAGGTTAGAGCTAAACGTAAAGTTTGAGCGAGAGGGCACGCAGCAGGTCTGGCGACGTGGAACGGAGGTGGTGGTGATCTGATTGTCACTGAAGACGTCGAGTGTTTGGCTGGGGTTGGAGGCTAGTTCGATAGCACAATTTGGTGGTACTTGTACGTAGGACAGGATCCGGGAAGATGACCCGAGTGTCGTCCGGTACCTAGGTAGCCAGGTAGCTTTCAGGGATCGTCTTCATCTAGGATGAGAATCTAGATGAATTGTTCGCGCAGGTTTGACAGACGGTCTCAATGTGCTGGTGATAGCGACAAACGTTAAAGAAGGGGTTTGCCAATTAGGTTGAACGGGCCGGAAACGGAATCGCGACGCAGAGTCGACCATTCCCTTAGGCTTGAATACATGGACGATGAAAATAAGAGACTTGAACTCGGTATTGCTATGGCCATGCCTGTGAAACTGTGTATTTTCGTGCCTCGTACTTGTAAACCATCACAATGGCGCAGCTGCGCAGTCTGGCCAGATCGATGGCTGCGCCCAAGCACAACGTCACGATCAGTCCACCTCTCAACCCTTCCCCTTGGTATTTTTCACCACTTTCTGGTTCGATTGGTGATGGCATTCTTACACTTTCCCATCATGCATGTAACCCTCCCCCTGAGATGGCATGCCAATCTGGATCTTTACTGACATCGACACCTAACCAAAGTATGTATATGGAGATGCACCCGCTTCCACGCCCTAGCTTTGCGTACAGCACCATTCCCTCCAGTTTCCTTTCCCGCGGTCCCAATGTACGCGTGGGCGTTACATGATCCAGTTCGTCTTGAACGCTTGGTCAAGGCAGGAAAATGACTGAACACAACTAGGATGAGCGAGGAGATCGAGCCGGGACAGATCATCATTTTCTTGCAGTCGTTGAGCTGGCTTGGTGAGTTTGATCTAGGGTTGGGATGACGAACAGAGCCCACAACAAGACCGGCTAGCCAGGGCGCCTTACGAGACTCGTAGGTATTGTTGCGAGAGGATCTTCTTCAGCTTGTACTGAAGAGGGATCACCATAGTCATCGCTGGGGGCCTGCTTGAGATTCGGTACGAGCATATGCATATGTTAACAAATTCCCAGCCATGTGAAAGAAAATGCGATGTATACCGAGCACTTCGAAAAGAAGGCCAGTTCGGCAGGGCTGACGAGAAATCGGTGCTGCAAATCACTAGCGCGGCTATATAATATCAATAAGTACTAGGCATTTGTGGACCTTTATTCTACCCAAGCTGCCAGGTACCTCCAACACCGCTGATGCAAACACTGAACACTGCTCGTACACTTATGGTGATAGCACTAAAATACCAACATGACCACTTTGGAGCGAATCGTTGGGGGAGGTCCGTGCACGTTCGGTGTCAGACGGTGTTTTGAGCCAAGCTTTCTAGCCTGGAGATATTTCGCTAGAAACGGATTAGCGGCCGCATTTTAAGATAATCCGATCCGATTCCCGCGCCGCCAGGCTGCGATCTTTCACACTGACAATCATCATTGTGCAATCAATCCACTAAACCACGAAACGCCCATTATCGAACAATTAATCAAACAGTATACCACTGCCCAAGGTCCTATCTAAAGACTGTGCCTGCAAGACTCACTTTATAATCTTCCTCTGCAACCACGCAACCCCGCACCTCTTATCGCTTCAACAATCCAAGAACTTGGCATACCTCATCCACGAGTTGAACACGCATTGCCATATCTCCATTCCTGCAGCGCGAACATCCCGCAGCGAACGACAAAGCAAGGAAAAGGTGGATGCGAGCACTGAAGCAGTCAATCGACCAACCGAAAGCCGAGGAGCCGACCCCGCCAGTTACACAGCCACTCCCCTTGCCGTGTCTTAACTGGGTTTGCCTCCTACGGCACCTCGCTTGCCTCCTCCGCCGAGAACCAGGCCCCGTCACCACTTGGCCACTACTCATCCACGACATTCCTCCCACGCTTATCCACCCCAACTATCCACGCCTGCTTACTGCTGCCTTTTAGGCTCAGGTCGTCCTCCCCGCCTCCCTGCGGCTTTCCCTCTCATACCTTTCCAATATCCATCCCCCTTTCGGTCTGCTTTGACAGCAAGTCTGTTACACTTCGTTCACTATTTCTTTCCACGCCCACTCATACGCCGATGGTCGACTCCGCCGACGAGCCTCCGCTGTCAAGTCGTCTAATCTCATGGGCTAAGAGCAAGACTCCTTCAGCGCTATCCTCCCCTACTCCCCAGCGAGATTTCCCCAATCCCCCGGAGCAATCTACTTTCGCACGACACTGTCCAGACACCCGCCGACAAGATGCTGGGAGTAGCCCCTCTGCAGCTGGTCCTGCAACAACCACAGACCACTCCACTGATGGGCGAACGGATAGAGAGCAACAAAATACATCGATTGTGGACGAGAAAAGAGATGGAACGCAATCTGCCACCCTAGGAAATCCGCCTCCCAAGGACAAAGCGCCCTTGGTCAACCGTTTCTTCCGCGATGTCAAGCGCATCCTCTTCTCCAGCTGGGTCAATTGGCTCCTTGTCTTTGTCCCGGTTGGCATTATACTGGGGATCATCGTCGACTGGATGCACAGCGATGTTGTGAGCCCCACCGCTGTATTTGCCATCAACGCAGTCGCCATTATTCCTCTGGCTTCCCTGCTGTCATACGCAACCGAGAGTGTTGCCATCAAACTGGGCGATACCATTGGTGCTCTTCTGAATGTCACGTTTGGGAATGCCGTCGAGTTGATCATTTTCATCATTGCTCTAGTAGCAAAAGAAGTGCGGGTGGTCCAGGCCGCCGCTCTCGGCTCGATCTTGTCCAACCTGCTTTTGATCTTGGGCATGTGTTTCGTTGCTGGTGGTCTTCGATTTCGAGAACAACTCTACAATTCTACCGTGTCGCAGATGAGCGCGTGCTTGTTGTGTCTGAGCGTTATCAGCCTCCTCTTGCCGGTAAGTTTAAGAGGGAACAAAGACACAAGCTTTGGCACATATAACTAACTTGTTGGTAGACCGCTTTTCATGCCTCGTTTTCGAGCACTGCGAGAGCGGACCACGTGGTACTGAAGGTCTCGCGAGGCACCAGCGTGGTGCTCTTGTTGGTCTACTTACTATACCTACTGTTCTCGTTGAAATCCCATTCTTTCATGTACCAGAGCACCCCTCAACATCTCATTGACGAGGAGTCGCATCCGGGAGTCCTCGCCGATATCCTCAACTCGTCCAGCTCTTCCAGTGACTCATCAAGCTCCAGTGATGGCGACTCGGACTCCAGTTCTAATTCGAACACGACTACTAAACGCATCAAACGAGCTCTTCGTCGCAAGCGGCGCAAATCGACTTCGAGCACCAAGGAAAATGTGTCTGTTGTGACATTCACCAGAAGTTCTTCCATGCTGGCCGGACCTGGCGGCTCGATAATCCAGGCTACCTCTCTCACTTCGGCCGAGCTAGAACCTGTTTTTAGCGGTGATGAGGCCGATGTGGACGGAGAAGGAAGGACTGCTCGTCATCACTCTCGTACACATACCGTCCACGCTCGCGACTTTGAAGGCGCCACGCAGACCGATCAGACGTCCGAGAAATCCAGGAGACGCCACCGCAGATCGAAGAAGTCCAAGCATGTCAAGAAGGACAAGGACAAGGGAAAGTCTAAAGAATCAGAAAAGGAAAAGGAAAAGGAGCCCATCATAGAGACGGTGACCCCAGGGATCTGTCTATCGACCACGGACTCGGTACGACCACAGGTGGGATTTGCATCGGATATTCAGGAAATTCCCAATGACGGCAATGGAAAGCGATCGTTCAATATTCGCAACATCTCCGAAGCTGTCAAACCTGCCTTCACATCTGCCAATTTCCCCCATCACCAGGCAACCGGAAGACCCCTTGCAATTCCGATTCGTCCCACATCACAGCCACGATCTGCCAACCGGCCTGTCCGTCGCACTGCTTCGATGCCAGATATCCTTCGTCCTACAATTTCCAGCAATCGACTGGTGCCCACGGTATCTGCACCCGCCCAACACGATGCCACATCGTCGGAAGTTACAATTGAAGTTCAAACGGGTGATGTCGTGGAACCTCAGACGCATTTATCTCGTACCTCTGCCATTATCCTACTGCTGGGAACGACAGGACTGGTCGCATTATGTGCCGAGTTCTTGGTCGGCAGCATTGACTATTTGATCGCCAACAGCGGCGTCAGTCAGGCATTTATCGGTTTGATCATTCTCCCCATCGTCGGCAATGCCGCGGAGCACGTGACGGCTGTGACAGTCGCGGCCAAGAACAAGATGGACCTGGCAATCAATATTGCTCTGGGTAGCAGCATTCAGATTGCACTCTTTGTCACTCCCCTCATGGTCATCCTGGGATGGATTATCAAGACAGACATGAGTCTCTACTTCAGCCTTTTCGAAACAGTCAGTTTGTTTGCCAGTGCCTTTATCGTCAGCTTTCTGATGATCGATGGCCGAAGCAATTATCTGGAGGGGGCATTGCTGATTGCAGCATACGTTATCATAGCGGTTGCTGCTTTCTTCTATCCCACTTGTGATCTGAGCTCCGCGAGTGGTCCACTCGATGGCACCAATCCACAGTGCTAAGATGACGGACTGAGCGGACTAGCCACCTTTTGGAGGCCATTGGAGGGAAACCAGACGCGGTATGCGAATTTGCTTTACACTACATTCACTTAGACAGTTCGGGATGAAGGAAAGGACAAACAGGCTGGGAGGACAAGTTGGTCCACATGGAAGAGGGAGTTTTGGCTGCTGTTCGACACACTCTTTATTGGGAAACATGGACATGATCTACATGCTTGCCTGCGTGCTCGCTACCGCTTCTGCGGGTTCTTGCACATGCCTGCATTTGACAGGAGAGATCACCACGATGTAGTCATATTTGAACACCTCATACAGAATATGACTTTGTATGGTCGAGGTCGTACAGACCGTACCTACATCTTCACCTTGAGCTATTACTCTTCTTCTGTATTGCTTCCTGGCACCCCTCTGGGCGTCTGTGATTGTGGTATCATTTTCAGTTGCTCTCGTGCCCTCGTACCTGAGCATGTGTCGAGATGGCACCAATGGTGCCTGAGGCCATTGGGGGTGGAGCGAGCCTCACCCTACCTCGTACGGCTTTATCAAAGAGCCAAATGTTAGCCACGAGATACAATCTTCCATCCACTTTGTCCACTTTGTTACTTGCACTCTATCCTCTAAGTACAACACCCCAGAAAAGTCAACTGCTTCGGATACGTTTACTACTTTGGCTGACCCTAGTATCGGCACCACAAACACCGGTGTAGCCGCGACGTGGGATGGAGTTCCACAGACCGCAACTCTTCACCTTTCCAGCATGGTTGGCCTCACCCTTATGCTCTTTTGGCATTCTGTGGTTTCAGCGATTGAGGAAACACGGAGCAGGTCATGGAGGCCGAAAAATGCTTATCATGACATCGTCTTGGTCCTTATCTTCATCTTGCTCTGTGACTGGCAGCTACTGATCCCCTGTAACTCTTCTAACCACTTGGCTTCAAGGGCGCTACTAACGTCCTGCAGCTACCCTGGACTGGTGTCTCCTCAGCAGTTCTATCGACTCGTGTCGCGCGAAACTCCGAGACTCAGGTCTCCCTCCTCGTTCGTGGAAGATGGCACCATACGACGTCAGTTTACTTGATCAAAGATGGCGTGGGCAGGAAGGCGAAAGAGCTGGCTTCTGACCCTGGTTGAGCACAGTCTGCCCCGCCACGCGATCAATTGCATAAAGGGATCAAATACCTCCATATCGCCAGGCCCCAGTCTCGTACCCTGGTAGCCTTCTCTCTGTCTCGGAAAAGGCAGAGTTTCAAGTTGTAGGAATCCTCTGACTTTTGTCACCAGCCGAGTCGCCATGGCTTCTACGCATTCACAAACCAAGAGTCAGAGCCACAATGCGACGGACGTCGCCCCTTCTCCCGGTCGTCGCGGATCCCTGGTCGTGGATACCGCGCTCGCAAGCGAGGAAGATGCCGCGGTATTAGCAAAGATGGGGTTTGTCACATCATCTTAATCGCTTTCATCGCAATTGGGCTCGGTTATAGCTAAGAGACCACTCTTATTGAAATAGATACAAACAAGAACTCCGCCGCAACTTCAGCATGCTCGAAGTCTTTGGGATTGCCTTTGCTATCATGGGGTTGCTTCCTTCCATCGCGAGTACGCTCTCTTATTCAATTCCGGCCGGTCCCGTGGGCTTGGTCTGGGGTTGGTTCCTCGCTTCGGGTTGTATCTTTGTTGTCGGCCTAGCCATGAGTGATCTGGCAAGCTCAATGCCGACAAGTGGCGGGTAAGTGATCTCATATATGCTGCCTGATTGGTTTTAAGAGCGCCTCCTGTTCACCACTGACATGTCGGTAGACTTTATTACTGGACTCATTATTATGCATCGCCAAAATGGAGAAACCCATTGAGCTTCCTTGTTGGATACAGCAACACGCTTGGGCTTGTAGGTGGCCTTTGCTCGATTGACTGTCAGTGTGCACAGACCTCATTGCCCACTCGTGGCTAACTCGGGAACAGATGGGTTCTCGTTGATGTTTCTCTCTGTTATCGTCATTGCTCGCGACGGGAATTGGTCACCCAGTAATGGCACTATCTACGGAGTCTTCATCGCCACTGTCGCCTGTCACGCTGCCATCGCTTCTACCTTGGCTCGTATCATGGGTAGACTGCAGACCGTGTTTGTTGTCATGAATTTCGCGTTGATATTCGCCACCATCATTGCCTTGCCGATTGGTGCAAACAAACGCAACAGCGCCTCCTACATCTTTACACATGTCGAGAACTTGACCGAGTGGCCCACGGGCTGGACGTTTATGCTCTCCTGGCTCAGTCCTATCTGGACCATTGGTGGGTTTGACTCGGCGGTTCACATTAGCGAAGAGGCCACGAATGCTACCAAGGCCGCACCACTAGGGATCCTATTCTCCATCGGGTCATGCTGGCTGTTTGGCTGGATCTGTTGCATAGTGATCGCGGCGTGCATGTCTCAAGATCTGGACAGTATCTTGGGCTCGCCGTTTGGACAGCCGATGGCTCAGATCTACTATGATGCCCTCGGCAAAAATGGGGCTTTGGGTTTTATGGCTCTGTTGATGATTGTCCAATTCTTGGTGAGCATCTCCACTGATCTCACGACAGACGGAATCTGTCTAAGCTAACACACTCAGATGGGCGTCTCCATCCTGGTCGCCGCTTCTCGTCAAGCGTGGGCATTCTCTCGTGACGGAGCATTGCCTTTCTCCAGCTTCTTCCGACACATTTCCAAGAAATTCGGCTACATCCCTGTCCGCACGACACTTGGTTGTGCCACACTTGCAGCTGTCCTCGGTCTTCTCTGCTTGATTGCCCCAGCGGCTGCCGCAGCTTTGTTCTCCCTCGCCGTCGCGGGCAACAATCTTGCATGGGGAACCCCGATTCTCTGTCGTGTGGTTTGGGGCCAAAAGAAGTTTAGCCCAGGTCCTATATACACTGGCAGGGCCTCGACCCCTTTGGCCTGCGCTGCCGTCACTTTCTTGGTTTTCGGTATCCTCTTGGGCATGTTCCCTGTCGGCGGGCCCAATCCGAACGCCGACAGCATGAACTACACCTGCGTGATCAACTCTGCAGTCTGGGGAGGTGCTCTTCTCTATTACTATATTGATGCTCGCAAATGGTTCCGCGGACCACAAATCACCCTCGACCTGAGCCAGCTCACCGAGGAACAGGAAGCGGCCTTGAGGGAAGAGGGCCTCAAAGTGGAGGGGGCGAGCGGGCAAGCTGTGGTCGGTGGGGGGGACACAGTCGATTCTGCCGACATGAAGGGCATTTGAGAAGGCAAATTCGACCGACGACACTTGGGCGCAGAAAGTCGATGGTAATGTCGCTGCCAAAGTTAGCCAGTACCTTCATAAAGTCACTTGGTCACTCCCGAGTATTGAGGCCAAGCCATGAATTAGGTGGATGTAGAAGCCCAGTAACATCAAGTCAGGTCTTGATAGAAATAAGAAGGAACCATGCACCCGAGACAGTGTTTCCTTTTACGCTGTTTGTGGTGCGTGAACAAAGTCCGGACATGGATGAGGAATGGTCACGTGTCAGGTTCTGCCTCACCCCCTTTTCCGCCGAGCCTTGCCATCAAACTTATCTGTATTGACAAGCCATTCACGCCGTTCTAGTGAATGCGCGGAGCACGAGGAAATGAAAATGGGTATCTACTCCATTCACTCCTGAAGAACTGTTTCCTATCCAAGAGTCACAATACGGAAGAAGATGCTATTCATTGTTTCATTGTTTCATTATTCATTGTTCACCCCACACTTCCCGATTACCCTCTTTATTCCCTTCAAGGGTGGACTGGCTTGCTATTCACGAAAGTTAGGACAGTATAATAAGAATAAGACGATTGATGATTCCTTCTGCTATTCTTCTCAACATGAATACAGCGGAAAGTGCCAGGTAGAAACATGGATTCTTCCCTGTTATCATATATATACCACTGGATTCTCATCCCTGCGAATTTCTTTTTTGATCTTCAACAGGGATTGCTGAGCGTTGGGATGGCTGCCCAGTGGGGTCAGCTAAGGCAACCGACGGCCACAATCTTGGAGCCCGGAAAGGCTCTCGAAGCAGGGTCAGTTGAAGCGGCGTGCACCGGCACTGGTGCCACCGCCGCAGCCGACGATGTCTCTGCCGGAGACATCGACCCCAGCGACCCCAGCAGTCCCGTTGTCGCAACCGGAGCAGAGACCGTCCCCGACATCGTAGGAGCAGGCATTGGCCCTCGAGGAGGCCTTTGCGGCGGCCCAGACACCGCCAGAGCCAGAGCAAGGCGACGAGGCTTGACAAGGGGGTCCGCCAATGGCACAGAACCCACCTTCTCCTCCACCGCCACCACAGACGCCTGGGCCCCAGGGAGTGGGAGTGGGACGGATATAGAGAGTGAGAGTGGATGTGAAACTGACATGAGGATTTAGATTAGCTTGAATGGATGGATGGATGGATCGACGACCGTCCAAGCTGGACCTGGACGAAGGAGCGGTAGAAGAGCAGGGCTGGGAACCTCTTTGATATCGAACAGCGAGAGATATGGAAAGAGATCTGTTCTGCACAGAGGAGATGGACAACAATGCCTTTCTCGCTCTCTTTTTCTCCTTCTTGTGCAGTTCTCCGTAATCTCCTGGAACTGTATATTGTACACAACGCTAGATATGGTTGACGAGAAAGTCAGTTGTACATTTTCCACCTCTTTATATTCCATGCTCGCCCTCCTGCATACATTTTCCTTGAACCGTGTAGACGGAGCCTTCATACCTGACTCCGAGCCCCTCAAGCCCAGGCATCGTTGCTGCGAACTCGCGGCCTCTTCGTACCGGCGCCGGCGCCAGCCACGGGGACGAATACGTCGGTTTTATCCTCCACCCGCACCTCGTACTCGTGCTTGACGCGGATTTCATGTTCATTGACAATCAACTCGTTCTCTGAGCCCTGTCTGCTCGGCCCCCGCGCCGTCTCGCTGCCCGCCTCGTCCGTCTCTTGCATGTGTATGAACCCCTTGCTGTCTTGTCGGATGTGCGACCGCGCGTGAGACCGCGTGCTGCTGAGTTCCATCGTGTGGCCCGCCCCGGAGAGCTTGGAGCGCAGTCCGCTGCCGCTGCGCCCGTCACCGCCGCTCCGACTGAGGCAGTAGTCTTGGTCGGTGCCGCGTTGGTCGATGAAGGTGCGGATGAAGAGGCGGAGGATCGGCGCCGTCGTGGCGATCGGGATGCAGTAGTTCTCAATCCTGGAAGGGTAGAATCTGTCAGTATCAAGATTATGTGTATTGGGTTCGCGATGAGGTGAGATTGAGTGTGTCTGTGCTTACTTGACCCAGAGGATGAACGGGACAATGTTCCAGGTAAAGTCCAGTCTGCTTCCCAGAGCGGAGAGGAGGTATGTCTTGACGATCGATGCCACACCCGACAGCAGCAATGGACCGCAGATCAGTAGTGTCTGCCACAGTCGCTGAGTCCGGATTCCGCGGTCTAGTCTCTTGAATCTGGCGAGGAACGAATTCTCTCGGCTGCTTTGAGCTCCTCGGAACATGAACTGCCACAGCTCGAAGCCGGCCAGATAGGTCAGCGTGAAGTCGATGATGCAGTTGAAGGCTGCGCCGTCGTCAGATTCGGTGTTCATCACGAGACAAAGCATTGACGTACCGCCTTGGACGTATCCCACCGTGGCTTGTACCGACGGCGCCTGACACACGACGGAGCCGTCTTCTGGTAAGGGATCCCACATGTAGTGAAAGTACGATGCACGGTCGACAAGTCGGTACGGATTCGGCCCGCATTGCAGGAAGATTTGCAGGATGGTGAAGAGGTTTGCCACAATCTGCACCACGAAGCAGATGATGACGATGACTCGGAGACTCCGCCGATTCTGTGCGAAGCAGGTATACAGAAAGAGGATGACGCCCGTCCGTGACCACATTGACGCCGCAACGGCCAGAGGTTGAGAGACAAAGTCCCATTTCATGGCTTGGTTCTTTTGGATCGGCGTGAGGTAGAAGAAATGCCTTCCCAGTCCCCGTTGCCAGCTATATCACAGGGGTGGTGGTCAGTATATCAATCTCGAACAAGGTCGGTAACTTGCCTCTTCCATATCATCGCCATGTGTCCGACGTCAAATGCGTACCCGAGCGCGAAGAAAAAGTCCTCGAGACCCCATACGCGCTGTGGCTTGGAGACGTTGGGAAGCAGCCAGGAGATCCAAGACTTGACGGCATATCGGAACAGGAGCACGAAGAATACGAAGCCAGTCAATACCCAGCATCCAACGAAGATGCTTGTCCCTGATAAAATGTCAGTTTCCACTCTCTAGCCCGGGGCGTCGTTCGATATCTACCACACACCTCTGTTCACATCTGGTCCGTCTGGTCTGGGGACTTCCATGATGTTGTCCGTTCAAAGCTTGTTCGATAAGCAAAAACTATGCAATGGAGAGAGGTATTGCTCGCTTTATCTCAACGAGTACGAGGTACCTCGTATTTCCTCCTCGAGCCCGGTCCAGTGGAGTTTCGTCTGTCCCTTGCAGAGCGTGACAGGTGCCTGACTGCGAGTAGCTCGACCAGCAAAAAGACGGACGGATGGACAAGTCCCGGTTACATGTTCCTTGCACATTGGACGAGACTCTGCGGCACAGGCTTGACAAAGAACCCTATGATTGGGCGAGGCGTTGCTCTTCCACCTACAGACCACAATGCCCTTGGGGCCTGTCACGTCTCTGGTGGGAGAGGCACGGAGCCTCAAACACGCGAGGGCAACAGGGTCGATCCTTGATCCCTGATCCTGCACACTCGTGGTACTCACTTGCGTGATAGGACTAGCTACTTACACTGGAGGAAACACGCCTCGGCATAACAATGTTTCTTTGGCCAGCCCCTTTGCCCATATTAGCGTCCCCGACAAGTTGAAATCATGGACGAATGGGAACCCGGAGGGTCGTGGGTATTGAATCCCAAGCCAAGAAGGAGGATGATGAACGAGTCCTTTGTGCTCACCACTAGAGTCTTGCCTCCGCGGTCGGCTGGCTGAGCTATAGTCGAAGGAGCCAGATAAGAAGGCAAAGCACACTGTTCCTACAAGTAAGTGTACATGAAAAATCACTGCAAGTACGCTCTAAACAGCTTGACAACGCTACTTACTTACCATTTCTGACGTTGCCCAATATTTCCAGCATCGTGGGCAACAAGGATTTACATGACTGACTCTACATCCAGGTACTCGTACCAGATATGATGAAATAGTATGACGGGGATATTACCTTACATTACTCTTACGAGTAGGTAGACCTACTCACGCTACTGTACCGTCTGGCCAGTGCCGACCAAGTTTTCTACCTTGCCGAATTGACATCAAACTCGCTAGACATGACGAGGCGTCGTTAGTATTTCACGGCTGATACTCTTGATCCCTAGCAAGGATGGCTCTCCGGCCCGCGCAATCCGCCGGCCGTCGATCTTACCACTGCCTGACACTAGCCAGGACAGGCTCGCTTAGGAGACGAGGTCTGAGCGTTGAGGCTACTCTTGAGTTAAGTCCTGCGAGTAGGTAGGTGCCCCGGTCCAATATCAACTCTGTGGGTAACACTTCCCCGTCGGCAGGATACTACCTAGATACTCAGACGCATGTTGTCACACACTGTCACATTCACGCGGAAATCATTAATCACCGCCTCAGGAAAACTGCTCAGCCACCCGATCCAAGAGAGCATCCCAGCCAGAAAAACGATGCTTGTGCTCGGGTATTATCACTCCAGATATCAAGGTTGGAATTCTGTCACGTTGTCACTTCAGACGATCCCAGCTTTGTCATCTCAACAAGGCCCTCCCCGGCGACAGGATATGTCTCGAAAGTGACTTCTAGACCCGCCAGAGCCGCCATCTGCTTCCACTCGCGACTGCTCCTGATCCGCCCCGCGTACAGTTGAATCATGGTGGCGTGCATCTTTCCATACGTGGCGTTTTTGGCAAACTCGTGGATCAACATGCGCGAGTACGGCGCCATGGCATCTGACACCTTCTTCATCAGGCGCAATGCCTCAAGATCTGACAGATTGTGGTAGATGTGTGTCAAGCTATACACCAGGGCTCCTTTGACAGGCTGGGGAGATTCGTCCTTGAAGTTCCAGTGTTGAATCGTCAGCTCGTCCGCGTTCATCTGGTCTGGGTCGAATTCCTGTAGAACCAGATTCTCCTTCTTCAGATGCGGATACGCTGCCTTGACTTCCAGCAGCATCTCTCCGCGTCCGCCGCCGATGTCGACCACGGCGATGCTATTGGCCTCACTTCTGAGTATAGAGCCCAGATCGTACCCAAACGACTGTACGCGGAAGGGCATGGTGCCAAAGCGCCCAAACTTGCCCTCCATGAAGGCCGAGAAGCTCGGCATGCGTCCCTGCATGCTCATGATCGAGTAAGTGTGCTCGTTGACGAATCTCTCCTCGCCAATCAGTTTATATCCGTACTGCGTGGGTGTCTTGTTCTCCTGGAACGGGTATTCGAAATTGGTGTCTCGAAGTTGTCGCATCAAGAAAGCTGCCGCCCACAGTGGCTCTGTGGTGCTTTTTTTCCAAGGTTTAGTCCACCTGCTGGAGTGAGGGGACCGTTTTCACTTACAAATGTAGCATGCCGTGGAGAGATGATGGCACTACGGCCATGTGTGCGGTGATCGGGTTTACCTGGTACGTAGTATCGTCGACGAGCTCGACAAGACCCAGGCCAGCCATGGCGAACATCGTGTCCTCTACAGGCGTTAGTGACTCTTTGTCATGCTCGAGGCTATCCAGACCCGTTAATCGCAAACCTGGACTCATTGTCAGCGAGTTTTCACCTTGCAATCCGATATCGTACATAGCGGGGAAGAGCGTTTGTCTTCATCGCTCCTTTCAGCATCGGATGCTTTGGTCAATTCCTCAGCCGTGGCAATGGGCCCGATCCGGTTGAGCAAGGGGAAGAAATTGAAGTGGATAGCCACGGGGATGAACCCAAGGGCCGCGACCTGTGCTCATTGGTGTTATTCTGGTTTGGGTCGCGGGACATTCGGTGCTCTCACTCACTGCAGTCACAGTCGACGCGAGAATCGCCCCTGGATTGCTCATTTTCCCCCCCTTTTGCACTTTGTCGAGAGAGCGTCAATCTGATAGCCAAGCTCAGATACAGTCAACCACAACTGTAATGTACCAAGTGATCGTAGATGCCCTCGATGTAATTGTGGAATACCTAGTCGATCTGACCGACGAGTAAATACCTACAGGACTGACAAGCGCCACTCTTCCCAAAACAGACAATGCAATGTTTCGACGGGACCGTGATGGGGATTGGAGTTTGTGTGATTCAACGTGACGGTTCATCAATCCCCTGGTCCTTTTGTGCGTGATAAGTAGCCTGTTTAAATTGATTGATGGTTGGTTGATGTTTGGTTATGGATTCCCCCGCCCGCCGGGGAAGAGGAGGTGGCGCATGTTCCGCCGCTACGAGGAGGGACAGGGTCGGTTGATGCCGGGAGATGCACCATCTTATTGAGTACGGAGTATTGAATACGAGTAGCGATAGCCCAGCAGCCCAGCTAGCTGATTCAGGTGGGTGATGGTGGGCGGTGGGATGATCCTTGTTCGCTTATTCCTTGGGGTCCGAAGCTTGTCCGACTTCGACTACTGAGTATCTCTTCGTATCACCAAACACAAGGCAAAGGACGCTCATTATATGTGGTCATGGGGGTGCTTGTTACTACTTGATACAGAGCTCCTCTCCCCTCCAAGTCCACTGATTGAATGGATGTCTCCTCTACAGCCTCAACAACCAACTCCCTCAAGGAAACTCCCTTTATCTTGCCACCGTTGACCAGGTTGCATCTTGGCCTCGCTTTGCATAGTCTACAAAGCAACCCTTGCAAGAGTCCTTGGCTAGAAACAAACTATCGCCCAAGTGCTTAAATGGGAGCCTCCTCATTGGGAGTACTCGGTACCGTAGCATGTATCCATGCTTCCCCCTACTGTCTGTAGCGCCATACTGTTTATCTCGCGTTGCAGAACCTCCCAAGGACCAAAGTTCAACCCTGTCGCTTTCAACCATTCGTCCCCTGGTCTGATCAGCCTCCCTGCAGTACTTTGGCGCAGTCTAACACCTTCCCCCTCCACAACTACATCGAACAATGCACGAACTAAAGACTCCACGACGGGTCGGTCGCCGGATCTGCACTCTTTTTGGCCTTGGAATTACTAGCAAGTACCCCTGGAGTCGCTCCAAGACCGCCTCATGTACCTATCGATTCTTGGTTGCCAGCTGTTCAACACTACATGACTGGATGGCGTTGAAAGTCCCCTGTTCATCAATCAACCCCTTGTCTACCCATGCAGAGACAGACTGACAGACATGTCGTTTCTCTACGCGAGGTGGGGGGAAGATGAGACCCGGCTTGGAGCCTAGAGAATGAGATCGAGACCCTTTTGCGACTCTCGACCTTGTCTTTGCTTCCAGCTACCTGTGTACTTGTATGTCGAGTGCGCATGGGTCGCTAACTGACCACGTTGATCTCCAGCTCGTGGCTCGCTACTCGGTACCACAACTCCTCAAGAAAATCATCCGGAGTCTTTGACATCTGGTAAAAAGTTCTCTTGTCTTTGTTTCGCGCTCCCCTCGAGTACGTGTTTCTAGACTTTCTTCACAAGATCTTGATATTTCTGTCCAGCGAAAGCTCTATTTCTGGTTCGTCCTCTGCAGCAATCATGAGCGCGCCCTCATCTTCATCCGGGGCTGGTGAAAAGCCAGAGATATCAAAGGACGCTCAAGCGGAGAGCACCGTTGTCGCTCTCAGCAACAGCGATGATGGGCCCAGTGTTCTCGACGGGCTGGGCTCAGACGATGGCCAAAGTCCACAGAATTGGAGTCCGTGGAGGAAACGACTATTGTTCCTCGCATTAATGTCCAGTTCGATACTCGCAGACGGGTATGTTTCTTCATCCCTCCCTTAATCAACAATGTCAAACACTGACCTTTTGTGTCGAAAAATAGAGGCATGACTTGGGGTGCGACGCTCGTGGCTCCTCAGGCTATTGAATGGCACACCTCGATCACCCACTCGGCCACTTCTCTCAACTACGGTATCCTCCTCCAGGGTTTCGGCGGCATATTTGCCGTGCCTTTTATCGATGCGTATGGACGGTGAGTTACAAAAATACAGTGAATGAATGACATTCGACCGCGCCGTGTAGCCTGCTGACTCTCCTTTATAGCCTCCCCGTGTGGCTCTATCCTCAGGTCGTCACCCTCTTTGTCGTTCTGGGCTGTGTTTACGCGCAGTCATGGTCCGTCTTCACGGCTTTACGCGCCCTTCAGGGTCTGTTCGGGACGGTGCCTCAGGTGATTGGCCTGCCCATAATTCACGACATGTACCCTCCGCACGAATGGCCGCGATACATCAACATCTGGGGCACCACCTTTCTGGTCGGCCCGTTCCTCTTCCCCGCCATCGCGGGATATATCTTGGAGGGCACGGGGTCCTGGCGTGACTGCTTCAAAGTCCTGACGGGGTTCTACGGGTTCTCCACGCTGATGATCCTGGCGTTCGGCTATGAGACGTACTACAACAAGTCGTCGACGGGTCCGCAGCGAACCAGCCGGATCAAGTCGTTCTTCGGGATTGGGAACACCAACCTCCCCAAAGCACGCACGCTCTCCGAGTCGACGGTCAACATCATCAAGCTCACCTTCACCCTTCCCATCCTCCTGGTCGGTCTTTCCACCATGATCAACTTCACGTGGCCGATTGGAATCACCACGACCGTGGACGCCTTTGTCCGAGCACCGCCCTACCTCTTCGACAACGTCGCCGACGCCTCGATCCGCTTTGCTGGCGTCATCGGCGCCCTTTTGGGATTTTGTTTCGGTTACTTCTTCAACGAATGGATCTACGAGGGCTCCGGCGGGAAGCGCAAGACCCACTGGCGCAGCGAATACCGACTGCACGGCGTGTGGTTCCCCATTGGCAGCATGGTCTGTGGTCTGCTGACGTACGGCCTCACGCTCAACTACGGCAAGAGCTGGGTCGGCCTCGCCTTCGGCTGGGTCATGGTCAACATCGGCCTGGTGGGCACCATGGTCGCCATCACCGCGTTCGCCCTCGAGAAATACCCTACCCACTCGGCCGTCGTGTCCGCCATCATCAACATGTGGCGTACGTGCGGTGGCTTCGCCGTCGGGTATTTCCAGCCCAGCTGGATCGCGAAAGACGGTGTCGCAGCCGTCTTTGCCACCCAGGCCGCCGTGGTGGCTGTCTGCGCCGTCATCCTCATTGGAGCGACCATTTGGCTGGGAAGGCGTGCCGCTGCCGCGAGTAACAAATCTGCCGCGGATGTCGTTGCTGGTCAAGCGTGAGCGGTGTATACATGGTTTCGTTCTATACCAGAAAATCGGAGGGGAAAAGTGTCCAAGAGTGTGTGTTTGTTTTTAATTTCTGAGCGGGTAGGGTCGCGGCGTCTGATAATAGGTGAGGATATTCGAAGGGAGAGGAACAAGTTCTTAAAAGTCGGTCGATGCGCGGGTAGATAGTGCTTGGTGAGTACCTCGTACTTCAATGCTAGACAATAGCGCCGTTGTCAGTCAAGAAACATGCGCGTTTCCTTCTACATACCCACGATGAATATCGAAGCAGTGATGGCGACTGGCCCGGCAGAAGTCTTTGCGAGGTGTGTGGCTCAGACAACCCTCTCTGCCCCCAGCATGACCAGCAGCATCATCGCTCTGATATATTGATTGTCCGATAGGAGTGCTTGCCCCATTCTCTCCTCGGGTTCCATGTATCTGCCTGCACTCGAGTAGTGGGAAGGCAAAGTCTGGCTGGGTAGAGATGGCGTCCCCCTTTCCTTCGCCGTGATAAGGGACTCGAGTCAATGGATCACAGGCATGTAGGTACCGGTACAAAACCCACCAGAAATCACTTAGTATATATGTGTTCTCTCTCTAAATTCTATCACGCAAAGACCCCCTTCTCCACAATAAGGGCGAAACCGAAATTACCACGAGTTCAAGTCCCGATTACGGCACATCTAGGTTCTGTCAGGTCAAAACTAACTCCGGGTTAGTGGGCATCAGGACCTCGATTTCGAAATCCTCCCTCCCTCCGAGATTTCGGTCCTATCAGGTCAATCTGACATCGGTTAGAGGCAATAGGACCTCGACGATATTAACCTGCGATCCGACGACATCAACCTCGTAGTATAAATTCCGTAGTATAACCGGCCGAGAAAAACCAACCCTGCAAAGGGCGAGTTTTCCTTATCACAGACCAGCAGGTTGAGCTGTTCTGTGATAAGTTTTTTGCCATTCTGGCGCGAGATCCATCCTACTAGAAGCTGTATAACTCGGAATGATTTTGCGGTACTGCAGCCATGTCTCATCCAGTCATGCATACAAGTACTTGTATAAATATGTTCACGGCGAGATGGATCGTTCGAGGTGACTTTCGGGTAATGCCGAACGTGTTCTGCAGTACCGAACTAAATAGGCATAGCGGCATCCACCCTCTCAAGTGACTCGGCAAACTCCCCAAACCTGCAACTCTGCAATTACAGGTCGAGTGTAATAGCTACGCTTCTGTTGTTGCGTTCTGCGGTTATTCTTCACGTCTGTCTCACCATTGAGAACCACTCCAACACGCAACAACCCACAAAGAATGAGTCCGGCGCCTCAACCCCGACTCAAGGTGGTGCAGATGCCAGGCAGGCCTCGGCGATCCGTGGCGTGCAATCATTGCCGGGCAAAGAAGATTCGCTGTACGGTTGCAACCTGTAACAGCCGATGAGTCAGGTCGCTAATCTTACGATAGGTAACGGCAATACTCCATGCGACAACTGCCTGGACCGTGCCGAAGAATGTGTCATCACGCGCAGGCGACGTCCGCCTACCCAGAGTAACCGAAGTACAGGTGAATCTGTGGTCGTACAGGGGAATAGCAGTGTGTCAAGTCCCTACACATCTCAAGCCACATAAAGGAGTGATTGACAAGCCGAATAGATCGGACAAATGTGAGTCTCTGGTACGTTAGCGTGGACAGCAGGACTCGACAACGCTTCGTCGAGCCACCGGCGCAGCCACTCTAGCCAAAAGTCATGCTGCCGTGCGTTATATCAGCTGATTTCCCTCAGCATCGTATGTTGGCATCTCAGCAGAGCCAAGAAACCCCCAAGCAGCCACGCATGCAGGCCCCTCTAACACCCGGACTTCCAAGAACAACAGACGAGTATGAAGGACCCGTCGATGCCTTTAACAATCAAGATCTTGGCCAAGAGGAGAACAGTCTCTATGCCACAGACACGGTCAGTTAGTCACTGCATACTCACTAACAGTTCTGATGGTTCTCTCAGCTCAACTTTGAGTACTATGGTCTGTCGATTGCTCCTTCCACCGCACGGTACTGATGGGCAACAGGCCCGCGCTGCATGATGTCCTTTTACTCCCAGCCTGCTGTGGACTGGATAGTTTTAAAAGTGAAATCACCAGAGTATACCAGCGCGGTCAAGCGCCTTGTTCAAGAATCGGCTCGGATGCTCAAAATGAACCACGGTGCCTTGTCATCTTGCCGAGAGCCAGAGCCCCCTCCGGAAGTTGCTTGGCAATACACCAATGGCGAGTACCTGAAACTCGTCAATATCTACTTTAAGCTGATTTGTGGTCCAGCGTATTTTGAAGAAGGATCGGATCTTGCTTGGGGCGTGGTCGAGCGCCCCGTATTTGAGTCCCGACTCCGCGCACACTTTAGCGGCACCCATACCCCAGTTACAGACGACAAAGGTTGGTACGCACTACGCAACATCATCTGGGCGCATGGGTGCCAGATTGTTCTTTCCAAGACCAGGACCTTCAACGACACCTTGCAGGCTTCATGGGCTCTTTTCCAAAATGCACTTTCTGTGCATACCGAGATCATGTTCTTACACACTTCCTTGATGGGTGTACAGGCCCTAATATCGATGGTAACTACCTTAGTTCTGTCAAAGCTCGAGCCAGGACTCTGATTCCCGACGGTAGGCATATTTCAGTGAGAGTATGGGTGAAGTATCCCTACAGTACACATTATGCACAGATGCTTTGCGACTCGGGTGCTCCAAAGGTCTTCATAGACAGCCCTCACACTCGTGGAAAATCCCGCCGCATGAAGTCAGACATCGGAACTGGATATTCTGGTCCATTTATTGTCTCGAGAAGCAAATCTGCACCCGTTCAGGCCGCCCTTCAGTGAGTCATTCATTCCTCATTTGATGTGCTGACAGTGTGTCTAACCTTGGTAGATAATGGACGATGATGAAATCAGTTGTCAGGTTCCTCAAACCGTCCCAAGTGGACTACCGAGCGATACTCTGCACTGCCACACGTTGATCAAGATGATGCAATTAGCCTCCACGGCTAGGAAGCAGCTTTCCAGTGCACGTGCTCTTAGGCAGACGACTGACCAGCTATTTCAAGCCGTGCATAATCTAAGGAATGAACTCGCGGAATTCAAAAATTCGGTACAGCATCATATCTGTCTTGACGCTGCGATTGATGTTGCTCAATTACCAGCTGGTCTTACCTTGCGCCAGGCACAATCGCTCCAATCACATTATTTCTGTCTGGTGTTGGACATCAATACTCCTTTGACCTACCCTTGGTTGGATGTCTCCACATATGTAGCGGGTAATATGGCGGCTGCTTCCCAGGTGCATGCTTCATATAACGACGTGGCTCAGGTTTCGCGCGCTGCTATCCTTGCTGCCAGGCAGGTACATATCGACGGTGGCTGCGCTGCCTTGTAAGACACTCTGCACCGAGACCTTCTCAATGGATTTTTGTTGCCAGATGAAAATTGACTCTTCAGCAGAATCGCACGATACGCACCATTGTACAGTTTTTTCAACCTCTTCATCCACATCGTTCGAGACACTGCTTTGTCCACTGTCCCATCAGACCTACTGCTACTAGGTAAGTGTCAGGGCCTGTTCTGTACCGTACCGCATATTCCCCATGAAGAGGAGGTCGATGCATATTTTCGCCGATAGCAGGCCAAAAATGACTTATGGACTTCATGTGCAGATATTGCATTAGGCTACTTCTCCAACCTCGAACTTACTACGGGTCTCCAGCTGCCGCGTCTTTTTGTGAGAGAGCTGTGCCACTTTGCCCGTCTTGCTGTGAAGGATCGGGAGCACTCGCCAGAGAGCACTGCAGAGCCAGAACTTAATAGAGAGGTGGAGACCAATCAAGGCATCCAGCCTGCAACTTTGACGAATTCCACATTGAACACAGGCGATACCAGTACTGTTCCATTGTTCGTGAGTCATCTTCCAGATTGCGTACGACTAGGTTTCTTTTAGGATACACAATACTAATGTAATACCCACAGGAGCAGGATTTCTTTGGATTGTTTCCAGTCGAAGATTTCGAAACATGGAGCACTCTGGTTCCTTTCGATGATGCTACTGATTGGACGTTTTGACATTGACCAAGGCCTTTACTTTAGATGTCTGTATGGATTAGCAGACCTCGATTGAACAGAGAATTGACGCTACTTTTCGGTCTTTCATTGGTAACGACAATTGAGAAATTCATGGCAGCTACTTGCTCTTCCGCATAGAACCACCACTGACCGAGTTCGCCGTTGCAGGCGCTTTGTACCTCCAAAAGCTTCAGCTTAGCTCTTCGCCAAGCTGTTCACCTGCTTCAAGTCTGGCACTTTGATCCTCAAGAGGTTCTCTGCGTTTTTATACGCAATGAGCTCGAGCTCCTCATCAGTCAGCAACCCGCTCTTGGTGAGGTCTCGGAAGAATTCGAGGCCGTGTTCATTGGTTGTGAAGGGGTAATCAACGCTATACATGATCCGTTGGACTTTTGTGTTGGCAAGGATACAGCGCATCGGGTCGATGCTGAATGCGCCCGACGTGGTGATCCAGATGTTCTCGTTCCACACCTTACTGAATGGTCGATCCCGCTTGCCCACGACGGACTCTTGATCTATGATCCTCTGCAGCATGAAGGGTATCATCTCTCCAAAGTGGCCCAGGATGATCTTGAGCTTCGGGAACTTGTCAAACACCCCTGCGGCATGTAGCCGAAGCACATGGAGACCGACCTCGGTGTGCCATCCCCACATGGCACCTCCAACCACTGTCATTGCGCGAGGTGGGTAGTTTCCGGCGTAGGACCGCTGGAAGAAGTCTGGCGTGGGCCACGAAGGGTGGAGGTAGATCGGGACGTCCAGCTCCTGCAGCTTCTGCCAGAGGACGTCGTACTCGTTGCCGTCGCAGAACCTGTCGCCGGCTTTGTGGTCCACGAGTGCCCCGACGAAGCCGTGCTCCTTGACCGTCCGCTCCAGCTCAGCCGCCGCAGCTTCGGGGTGTGCCATTGGCAGGACTGCGAATCCGGCGAAGCGCCTTCTGGTCTCGTCCGACTTGCGGATCTCGTCTGCCAGCTTATTGTTGCCAGCTCGACAGACATCGGGGGATGGGTTGTCGGCAGCACAGTGTGAAATCACCTGGACGGTCACTTTGCCGTTGTCCATCTCTCTGAGCCGCAGCGCATCGGCGTCGAACAGTCTTTCGAGCGCCCCGGGCCATTTGGATATTGCTTCTTTCAGGGAGTTGTCGTATGAGTCAAACACGACGCGTGAGTACCAGTGCTCTTCGAGGGTGATGAGTGGCGGAGTCATGATGGAGAAGAATGACGGTGACAATGATTTACTAGACAAGGGAGGTGAGGGACTTGGGTAATCGACCGAGAAGGAGAGGGCAGTGCCGGTCTGATCTTGAAGAAGGAAAGGTCGAGGACTGAGCTCGGTGAAACCTCAATCCTTGAGGTCGTGGATGACCCAGTCCCTGCTCGACCGCGGAGTTGTACTTGTGTAGCTCCGTCCCGAGACTTCACGCATCCATTACTCGGTGTGTTTTGCTCGGCATTCCGAGTTCACGACATGACGACAAGCTTGAGAGTCGGTATTGTCAGGAGCCGAAGATGTTGTTTGTCCAGCAGTCGGCATTTCCTAATACGGTCGGCTCCCCGTTAGTTGGTCCTGAGGAGCGGCTTGATGGTCTTGCTCGGCTTCGATGGATGACAATGGCGGACTTTTGAAGCGAACAGTATGTGTAGCAAAGAGTTCAGATTCGTAAGTAGGCAGATGGTTCTGCGTTGCTGGCCATATCTGGTGGTGGCAGCTTATATTCCTCGAGCCACCCAGATCACCCCATCTTACCTTGACCACTGAGTCACCTCCTATACACAATACCCCAGCATCGTTGCGGAAAGTACTACGCTTTGAACATTACAAAACACAAAACATGGGACCCCCCACCGCCATCGTCACCGGTGGCTCGTCCGGCATCGGCGACGCCCTGGTCCGCCACCTCGTCTCACTGAACTGGCGCGTCGTCGTCGCCGACATCAACCCACCCAAGGAGTCCCTGCCGGAGTCGTTGTTCGTCAAGACAGACATTACCTCCTGGCAGGACCAGGCCGACATGTTCAAGCAAGCGTATGCGTGGAGCGGGCGGCTGGACTTTGTGGCTCTCAACGCGGGTGTCGACCATGGCGACGACGTGTTTGGGAATCTCTCGGGCGATGTGGACCGGCCGCCGTCGAGGCCGGATACAAGGCCATTTGAGGTGAATGTTACTGGGACGTAAGGGTGCACCCTTTTCCTTCTTTTTTTCCCCACCAAATACACTCGCCTACCTCTCTTACCTTTTCTTTCCTGGCTGGGCTGGATTCTGACTCTCACCTCACTCTTCGTAAGGGTGGGTGTGCAGCTTCTACGGCATCAAACTCGCCGCGCACTACATGACGGTGCCGAGCACCCACTCGGACAAACCCAAGCCGGGCGGCAAAATCATCATCACCGCCTCCGGGGGCGGCATCTTCCCCATCCCCATCCTCCCGCAGTACACGGCCAGCAAGCACGCGCTGGTCGGGCTCGTGCGCGCGCTCGCCCGCATCAACGCCGTGTGCCCCGCCATCGTCGACACCCCGGGCCTCCCGCCGGGACTGGCGATTAAACTCGGCCCAGACCAGCTCACGCCCATGAGCACCGTCATTCGGTGTTTCGACGCGCTGGCCGATTTCGCCCGTGTCGATGCCGTCGACGATGACAATGTCGATTGGGTGTCGCGCGGCAAGACGGGAGAGACGGTCGAGGCGAATGGCGAGGAGTTCATCTGGCATCAACCACCGCAGCCACAAGGGGGGAAGTTCATGCGCGAGGCGGGCGTGCTGGCGGCGGCGCAGGCGTATAAGCAGATAGGCGCCGAGGGGTTTGCGACAGCGACGTGAGAATGGTGCAGTTTGGGTTATTCCACATATCGACGTTGGACGCGGATGGTCTGGGGAAGAAGGACATGGTCCCCCGTATGTAGTAGTGATGACGTCTTGTCAGGCAGGTCAGTATTTGGGCCGCTTCCAGGTTAACAGCGCTTGGAACTACGAATAAGTGAGACGATCCTCTCCATTGTCCAATAGGTTGTTGAGTGAAGCGAAGCTGTCCCTCGTTAGTCGTGTAAAAGAACGTGTAAAATCTATGTTAGAACTAGCTAGTCAGATCTATAAAGTACTTGGTACCTAGGCCGCTTTTATATTCACCATTACTAGCGCCTTAGCTTTATTTTACAGATGTGTGGTGACCACGATGAAGACAAAAGGATCATGCGTACGAGGTAGACTGCATTGAGATCTGCAAACACCTTCATTTTGCCAGTTGACACCGAGGCAGGAGCGGTACAGCACTTTCGACAAGAAGTGTGTTACAATGCAATATAAAAATCATCCACCAAAACCCGGGCAAGTACTGTAGGTCTGCTTGTCAAACCAATCACAATGAGACAAAGTGGTTCTGAATCGCAGGACGAATCAACTCCATGCAGGAGGAGGTCTTTCCGCGTTTCCAAGGTGGGAAATACAGCGACAGCCCAAGAATTTCCCGAGCAAAAGTATTTTCAGGGTATACGACGGAGGAACACTTGTCAGGCTCGAGGATCGGTGCTTTTGGGCGCATGCCCGTTCTTCCATCTTCCACTTTTTCTGAACATTGCGAAACAAGGCCCATTCCTCTGAAGAAATTGCCTCGTCGCGTCAATGGGCAATACGCGTGGAGGGGGGGGGCAAGAAGCTCACCAAAATTGTCGCCAACGAGGGTCTCTCCAAAATCCGATACAAAACAACATTCGTCTTGGACCGACCAGCCGGGCCAACCGGCCAGCCAGCCAGCCAGCCATCAATTTTTCATTCAACTTTTGCTTTTGCTACACGGTGTATATTCGCTGTGTAGATATATATAAGTACATGTCTTTGATACTCACAATCGATCGACCGACCGACCGACCGACCGACCGGTCGGCTGATTCGACCTTGGGTGTTTTGCTTTTGCTTTTGCTTTTCCTTTTCCTTGTGTCCCGGCTGGTTTCGTCCGGACAGGTTCCTTGAATACAAGTGGCGATCTCAATCTGAGGCAGGCGAGGTAGGCGAGATGGGTGAATAGCGGCGTCGAGTTGATTGTGACAAGACTTGAGGATTCCATGATGCATGGAACCGTTCGATTGCTCGACTGCCCGACTGCGTTGAGATGCTGTTGTTGTTTTATCAACCACCTCCCTCTCTTCCTTTCTCACGACCGAGCTCGTTCCACAACCGAGTGTATGTGTAGTGTAGGCTTTTTCCATCGCAGTGCCATCGCAGGTGATATCCCCCCCTATATGCGTGCGTCGCGGGGGGACGAAGGGCGTGTTTAAACGGCGTGAGATTCCCAGTGAATGTCCGTCTTGACGGTAATGCCCTTTGACTCATCACTGCCCTTGGTGCGGGTACTTCCGGGCCCCGTCGTGTAGGTGGTCAACTGGACCTCGTCGTCGCCGAAGGTCGGGTTGACGATGCGGTCCCAGTCCCGCTTGACCTTGATCGGGATGCTCGCGCCGGACTTTGCCATGGCGGAGGACCCCATGTTGCCGCTGGAAAAGCCGCTGGTGGGCGCCGATCGGGACTGCGAGCCGGCCGATTTCCAGAAGCGCCGGAGAAGCGGCGCGTAGCACGGCATGCAGGCGCAGAGGATGCCGATGAAAGGTTCGCAGCACGACCAGATGAAGACGCTCGCCATGGACCAGGTCAGGTCGTCGTTGTTGATGAGGTGGTGGATCGAGATGATGCGCACGATCGAGGCGATGCAGACACTGTTGGTTTTGTCGTTAGGATTTTTTGGTCTCAAAGAAAAAAGGGGCCATGAGGAACTCTCTTACAAGCCTCCCAGTCCAAGGACACCGCCAACCATGACCTTCTTCCTCGTCGACATGCGCAATCCCAGAACTGTAGCAAGATGACTTTTAGCACGGTGAAACACCACCAAACAAGTAGCGGGAGTGGGAGGATACTCACGTGGTCGGATCGGAATGATCAAAATACAAACATCGACAAGCATGGCCCAGATGCCATTGGCGAAGAAGAACAACGGCACGTCAATACAGTGACCCTTGGCCCCGGGGGTGGTATACTGAGTCTAATGTTTTTTTGAACGCCGGTCAGTCTGTGTCCAATTCTCCCTCGTTGTCGATTTTTCTCTTTGTTGTCACTCTGTGTAGAGTGTAGAAAGGCGCAAAACTCACCCAGAAATACTCCAATGGCTGACAACCGGTGTTGATGGTGACGACAATGACGACAAAGTAGCTCCAGACCAAGAACAGACCGAGATAGGTCGACCACTTCTGGCGAAAGAGGCGCCAGTAGTACATGACGATGGATGCCTTGGTGAAGCTGACGGCGCCTGCGTAGATCATCACGTAGGAGAAGAGAATCTGTTTGGGAGAATTAAACACTGGTCAACACGGGGAGAGTTCGAGTTCGCTCAAAGGGTCGGGGGATGTGATGAGCAAGAAATATAGATCGTTGGAAATAAAGATGGATACATACCTGCCAGATGGTCGTAAAGTCCTGTCCCGTCACGGCCCAAAGATGCTTGCCGCCCCCGTATGGAAGACCTGGTCATTCTTTGTCAACTTTTCAAATCCTCCCTTGCAGGTGCAGAAGACTTCAAAACTCACTGACGAGCGAGCAGACTGCTGTACCATGTGCCAGAAGCTGTTTTTTTGTCGCGAATTAGTCCATTTTGGTCAAACTTTTGGTCCTCAATATCGGCGAAACTCACCAATGCCGGGATGATCAAGTAGTCGTCCCAGGAGAATTTTCCCTTCTCGCGCATCAACTGCGACACGAAACGGAGCATGACGGCGAGGGTCCCGATGACCATCAGGCTGACGACTGCTCTGATGACGGCGCCATTCTTGGTTTCGGACAGGTCAATGCCCGGGGGCGCAGGTCCAAATGCTCCGCTTGCAGACATTGGAAGGGTTTGTCGTGCTGAAAACAACCGGAGGGAGAAAAGAGGTGTGTAGTTAAAAGAAAGCCGCTCGAGCTTGCGAGTCGACGATATAAGAAGTGTAACGATGAAGAAAAAAGAGTCACTCAAAGAATCACGCAAGGCGGAGGCGTTATAAGAAGAAAAAGGTCTTTACTGAACTTGCCTCTCCTTGGGATATATCCCCCCCAGATCCCAGATCCCAGACCGTTTGGGTCTCATATCACTTCAGACTAGCCACGTACCGAGTTCATAGTACACATTGAGGAGTACAGTGACCCAAATGGGAACCCACAAAGGCCATACTCTGTACAAAGAGGGAACTGGAGCTGGGACCTTGCGCAATCCCGGTTCCTGGTACCTGATCCCTGGTCCCCGGTCCCTGGCAGGAACCAAAGTCACAGTATCAAAGACGACCATGGGGTTTTCCTTCACGGCAAAGGGGCTTTTAGCCAACTCGGCTGTTCAAGGCGTACCAGATGATCTGCATAACCAAAACAACAGCACGAATCAAACTGGGTCATTCCGGGCATAGATCCTTCTCCGCTTCTTTAACTGAGAGTGAGCTCTGGTGACAAGACCCAAGGCGACGGGGCCGAATACGAAGTGGGTAGGAAGTAGGAGGACTAGAAATTTCGATCAGGAAAGAAGCCTTGGGCTCGAAAGAGTGGCCAAAGTCCTCGGTACTACCGCAATCTCGGTACTTTCAAATGCCCAATCTGTACGAGTACTCGGTACCAAGTAATAGCACTCAGGGTGTCGCCGATGGAAAATTTCACTTGCCTTTTGGGAGTTCGTCGTACGAGATAATATGCCCCCGGGATCCATATCCGTTCCAGCCGTTGAGCTAGTTGCGCCGATCAGCCAAGATGCGTTTTCGACCTACCCAGTACCTAGCATACTAGCATGCAGTCTATAGTGGTTCTCGAACGAGATTTTCCGACCTAGACTTTTCGACATTCCTACTTGTCCGGAGTCACTGTCGACCACTTGGTGGAGAAACTTCCATGCACGTCGGGACCGTTGACAGTTGACGGTTGGCAGTTTGGAAGGTTGGGCAAAGCTCGGGATCCACACAACGGTCGACTCAGGGCGAACACAAGGCTGCCTAAGCGTTGTGCAGAACTGTCAGGGTAAGCTTGAAGGACAGGCGCAAACAGGAAAAGCCCTCGGTCCGCGTATCCGTGTCCCTGAACACAAGTTGGCTGGAGCAAAATTATGCAAGGGCCAAGAAGGGGAGCACGTCTCCAGCAGGGCATCCCAATATGGATGAAGTATCGCCGATCTTGGACGAGCTCCGATTTTCAGGTGTTTCAGGGCTGCAGCCGAGCCATGGCCGAGCCAACGCTACGAGTGATTTGGTGCCTCGTGAGGAGAGACCCAAGTGCCTTGTACCTTGGAACTTGGAATCCTCATTTTTTTTTCTAACGGCTTTTCTGGAGCCCTTTTTGCGGAGTTTACTTTAGGGGGGAGCAGCTACGGAGGATTGTATTCGACGGGCCGGTCCAGATCGCCGAGTAGGGCTAAGTGCGGCCCCGGACGCCTCCAGACTACTCTAACTTTGTTCATGATCGTCGGCAGCTGGAGACAATCGAGACACGAGTCAGTCACTCTTTTTGTTTCGTGGCCCCGACGTCTTGATGGCGGCCCGCTAGTCCGAGGCGATTCGGATGCAGCGAATGAAAAGAGTGACGAGTGTGAGGGACAAAGTGGGGGTAGAAAGCTGTCACTGGGAAGGGGAGGTGTAGTGAGTAGGGAGTTGCTGTGACCGTTTGGTCGGAAGCTCAGCGGCAGGACTCATGGGCAGGATAGAGTACTCGGGATCACGACACGACACGACACGACACTATACACTAGATAGTGTACATGTACATGTACATGTAAGCACCTGATAGTACAGTATCGACGACAGCACAGCAAAAGCCACAGTGGAGTGAGTTGCTACAATAGCCTATTCCATACAACTGATCGTGGCCCGAGGTCTGTGGGAAAGGATGTTTCCCTCTATCATCCCAACACGGTGGTGTGCTGTCGATCTGCATCTTATACGACGAATACCGTGACAACCTAATAGCTAGCTCCCCTCTGGGCCTGAGCTTTCCCCAGCAAGCGAATTGGGACCTGGGTCGCCTGAGACCTGGGAACTGGGAATATCCTTCCTCGATACTCGACTCGTACATATCTACTCGTTAAGCAGCGAATGGTACTGTCTTGCTGGAACCACAAATGGCCATTTTACCTTTGGGACCAGGCTGCCAGTTTCGTTTCACCCATGGTACTACTGTCTACCGAATGCATAGAATTGCTTTGGGGCCCTTGGTGCCCCGACCAAGTGTGCTCCACCATCATCCGTTAATATGAAACTGGTCCAAGAGAGGAGTCTCCACAGGACAGAGAGACTCGATGGGAGACTAGGTAGGTACTTCACACCGCTCTCGTGGCGCCCAGTTGCTTTTATTATTTATCAAGGGACGAAGGGCCCCGGATGCCTCCCCGTCAAAGAAATTCCCTGTCGACACCCAAAAAGTGACACAGGGTATCATCTTACCAACAAAGAAAAATGGGATCCATCCAGGAGAAAGCACCCAACGATGTCAGCCAGCGGCCAAACTGGGTTCCTTTGTTGGACACTCCGGTCCTGACCAGAAGAAAGCTGAGGATCGTCTGTATCGGTGCTGGGTTCTCGGGCCTCACGCTGGCACACAAGATCCAGCATGAGTTGAAGCTCGAGGATGTCATCGACCTTCAGATTTATGAGAAGAACGCCGACGTCGGGGGGACCTGGTACGAGAACACGTATCCCGGTGCCGCGTGGTAAGAATGTCTCTCCCCTAGATCTTGTTAGCCAGAACACATCAGAATCTGACCACAGAATTACTAGTGATATCCCAGCTCGTGAGGCTCCCACCTCGTGAAGACGGCATTAGCCTGACTTTGCAATCGAAAACAAGGCATGCACGCATACTGACCTATGGGGATCGTTTGTTTTAGATGCCTACACCTTCTTGTTTGAGCCCAACCCGGACTGGACGCAGTTCTACCCTGCCCAGCCCGAGATTCACGCCTACATCAAGGCAACCGTTGCCAAGTACAACCTGGACAAATACGTCACGCTCAAGTCCAGAATCTTGGAGACGATCTGGGATGATGAAGTGGGACAGTGGAAGATCAAGGTCGACGCGAATGGAGCCATACAGGAGGACACCGCTGATATCCTGATCAATGGCACCGGGTTTCTGAAGTAAGTCACAAGGACTCTGTGTAGTATTGGGTGATGTCTAACCAAAACTCAAGCAAATGGAAATGGCCCGCGATTCCTGGCCTACATGACTTTAAAGGCAAACTCGTCCACAGCGCCAATTGGTACGTTTTGACAGAGTCTAACTAGAAAGGGGTTCAATGCTGAGACGTCTTGCCCTCCAGGGACAAGGACTACTCGTGGGAGGGCAAGAAAGTGGCCGTGATTGGCAACGGGTCCTCGGGCATCCAGATCGTGCCGGCCATGCAGCCAAAAGTGTCGAAACTCGTCACCTACATCCGGAATCCCAGCTGGATCTCGATCAATTTCTGCGCCGACAAGACCATCGACGGCAGGAACTTTACGTATACAGAGGAGCAACGAAAGGCGTTTAGAGAGAACCCCGAATCCCACTTTACGCTACGCAAGGAGTTGGAAGCGTCGTGAGTTTTTCTCCCTTGGTTATTATATTCGGTACCAGACCTGTAATGGCTAATCTTTCGCAAATCCTCGAATGCAGGGTCAACGGGTTCTTCTTTGGGATGAAGACGGGACATCCATTCCAGCAAGGTCTCGAGGCTGCGTGTAAAGCTCAGATGAGCGCCATCCTCAAGGACCACCCTGAGATGGCGGACAAATTGATCCCCAGCTTCCACCCTGGCTGCCGTCGTCTGACAGTATGTTCCGCCAATATGCCCCAGTGAAAAGATGTCAAGTCCACTAACGAACTGGAAAATCTCGATTAGCCTGGTGATGGATACCTGGAAGCTCTTCAACAACCCAACGCGAGCATCAACTGGGGTCCCATCACTCGAATCACCGCCAAGGGAATCGAGACGGCAGAAGGCGAAGAAGAGTTCGACATGATAGTCTGCGCCACGGGCTTTGATACCAGTTTCATCCCGTCGTGGAAACTCGTCGGGCTCAACGGGGCGACGCTAGACGAGAGATGGAAGACCGACCCCGAGGCCTTTTTCGCCGTCCAGGTCGACACCATGCCCAACTACTACATGTTCAACGGACCCAACTGTCCCATCTCACATGGCTCGGTCCTGACCGAGATTTCTTGGACCTGCGACTATATCCTCCGCTGGGCGGAGAAGATTGCCACCCAAGATATCAAGTAAGTTATCAGCACTTCTCTTATCGATAGGGACCACACTCTATTGTTTCAATGCGGTCCCCCTATTGGCCACGTGGGCGGTGATATCTGTGATCAGCATCTGCAGGTGCTGGTGATTTTCCTGGCGAGGGTAAAAAGAACGGATGGACAACTAGCTAATCTCGAGGACTTATCGTCTAGATCCATCACGCCAAAGGCTGAAGCGGTCGCCGACTTCAACACCTACTCCCAAGAGTTCCTCAAGTCCATGGTGTGGGCAGACAACTGCCGTTCCTGGTACAAGAACGGCAAGGAGAGTGGCACCGTCACCGGCACGTACGCTGGGACCATTTTGCACTTTAAGGACTGTCTGGAGAGTCTGGGCGGCGAGCATTTCGACGTCGTGTGGCGGAGCAAGAACCGGTTCCGATGGTTGGGCAACGGGCAGAGCAAGTGGGATAAAGACGGCATGGGAGATTTGGCGTATTACATGAAGAGACTCTGATTGTGTCGGGGTTGTTGGCGCCCCCTGCCTGATAGAATACAGAAGATGACGATGATGAAGAGAAGAGGAGAGAGTAACAGCACTCGAAATCGGAAACCACTGATTGGTCCCTCGTACCCGGAGTCCTATCCCATGCCCAGTGTTGTATCCCCACCTATCTCTTGTCTGACTAAAATCACCCTTGGTGACTGAAGAAACGCGCGCACCAGGGATCTCTCCGTGCTATCCGGACTAGGCGTGGTTGCTTCTTCGTCGGTGATCCGGGATGGATGGTGGATTGAGGCAATTGACCACTCTATTCTTCCTGGCGAGGGTAGATAACACAGGTTACCCACTCAAATATCTCACGCCGGTGCTGTAAGTGAGATGAGCTGGTAAGACAAGAGACAAGAGACGAGAACACAATGACAGGAGGCCGAGGATGTGCTGACGACTCGCCGCAGGCAGTTTTCGAAATAGGCTTGGCGCAGCTTGCAGGTGAATGAGCTGGCACGTGACTGAACGCAGGGACAAGCGCCACAAGAGATACCTACTTGGTACAAGTACGAGTTCAGCCTCATTGAGACAAGGCTAGGTGTGGGGAAATATGTACAAAGGTGGTGATATAGTCCAATATCCTCGACTTGGTTAATAAACGCGTTATCAGTGTATGATAGATAATCCCGTTTAGACCAAATAACCCATCCAGGAGGTAAGGTACAGCCGACGGGCCATCCGTACCTCGTTTTACTCTAGGAGCTCTTCAGGATCGGAGGAGGCAACAACTAGGTAACTAGGCTGGAGTGGCTGATAGGTCTGAGCGGCAGATCATGGCTGATAAGGGCATCGCCGCTCCTCATAGTGGCTCCATCCCCTACGTCATGTCAGCGGTAACCCACAGACCATTGGAAGCCGCCCGTGGGGAAGCTCCGCCCGAGCGTGGCCAAAGTGGAGACCAAGAAGTCCGCCTCGTCTGGGCGTGAGGCGAGGGGAAGAGCCATTCTTGCCAACTGCGCCACTCCGAGAGCAGCAAATTCAAACAAGGTTCCGCTAAGAACCACCACGCCCAGATCGTTTGTACTTTCAAACATTGGCAACGCGGGAAGCAGCTGAGGCTGTAACATAACAAGATCATCCTTGCCAATAATTCTTGCCACAAATATTTTGACATCCCCGCTCTTCAAGCTCTTCAAGACGCCGTTGGCCCTTTTTCACCTGACCTCTTTCCTCTTTTTCTTACAGGTGAAAAAAAAAAGAAGAATAATGCTCTCTCTGGTCTAGATACTCTGCCTTTCACCAGAAACGATTTTGTGCGCCCAACGAGAACCACATCGCCAGTATGGACGATTACCAGAATGGCAAGGAGAAGCACACGAGCGACGTCCAGGCGCCGGATATCCAAGAGGCCTTCATCGCCGAAAATGCCGACCAGCTTCAACGTCACCTCAACAATCGCCAGATCCAACTGATTGCCATCGGAGGTTCCATTGGGACAGCGTTGTTTGTGAGCATTGGAGGCGGTCTCTATCGTGGTGGCGCGGCGAACCTGTTCTTGGCCTATACAATCCATAGCATTGTGCTCGCCATGGTCAACAACTGCATCGCAGAGATGAGCACGGCATAGTCAGTACCAAGCACTTTCCAGCTGCTCAACAGTTGTGTTGCTGGTTGCTATCATGGTCGGAAATGCTAACGAGTTGGATTCTAGCCCGGTCAGTGGTGGCTTCATCCGTCTAGCTGGCAAATGGGTGGACGACGCCCTCGGCTTCATGTGCGGCTGGAACTTCTTGTCAGTCCTTGTGTCCTTTGATCATTTGCGTTTTGCTGACGTGGTGTCTAGCTTTTACGAAGCTCTCCTGATCCCGTTCGAGATTTCGGCCTTTACACTCGTGGCGTCTTTCTGGAGTGACAAGCTCACCGAGCCTGGCCCGATTGCTGGTGTAGTAGCCGGATGTGTTATTGCCTATGCGTAAGCTTGACAAACATGGCCATATCTTGGGAAATACGAACTAACTGGTCGTTTCTTTTGAAGTTGCATCAATGTTTTGGCTGTCAGAGCATACGGAGAAGCAGAATTCTGGCTCTCTGGTGGAAAGGTCATCTTGATCTTTTCCCTGTTCTTCTTCACCTTTGTCACCGTAAGTTCCTCTGTCGCGTTTTATACGACAAATGCTGAGCTGCCCGAACAACAGATGGTTGGTGGCAACCCACAACACGATGCCTATGGCTTCAGAAACTGGAAACACGGAGGGGCGTTCCGAGAATACATCCATACGGGCGACCTGGGTCGATTCCAAGGGTTCCTCGGTGCCCTGACGTCTGCAGTCTTCACCATCGTCGGTCCCGAGTACATCTCCATCGTCGCCGCCGAAGCCATCCGGCCGCGCGTTTACATCAAGGCCGCTTTCAAGATGGTCTACATCCGATTCGGGATCTTTTTCATCGGCGGCGCTTTCTTTGTGGGCATCGTTTGCGGTTCCAGAGACCCGGGTTTGGTGAGTGTCGTCGAAGGTGGAAGCGGCGTTGGAGCTGGAGCATCGCCTTATGTGATTGCCATGAAAAATATGGGAGTGCACGTATTTCCACACATCGTCAACGCGTAAGCACCGCCCCGTGTCACCGTATCGCCCAGGTGTCTGACGAATTGTCTAGGCTGTTGTTGACTTCGATCTTCTCGGCGGGTAACACCTACACGTACGCCGCCACGCGCACGCTCTACGGCCTGGCGCTCGAAGGAAGAGCACCACGCATCTTCTCGCGCTGCACGAAGAAGGGAGTACCGATTTACAGCTTCTTCGTCGTCATGATTTTCCCCATGCTCTCGTTCCTGCAGTGCTCGAGCAGTTCGTCTATTGTGGTCACATGGTTCGCCAACATTGTGACTGGGGGAGGTATGATGATCCACGCACCCGATAGTCTATCCTCAGCTAACGCTAATCACCAGGTCTCATCGACTTCATCATCATGACCATCACCTACATCCAGTTCTACCGCGCCTGCAAAGCCCAGGGTTTCGACCGCAAACGCCTCCCCTACACCGGCTACCTTCAGCCGTTCTGCGCCTACTTTGCCCTCGTTTGGCTGATCATCGTCACGGCGATTTACGGCTACACGAGCTACACGCCGTGGGACACGTCCAACTTCTTCTCCAACTACAGCATGCAACTCTTCATTCCCTGGCTGTTTTTGATCTGGAAGATCATCAAGAAGACCAGGTGGCTGCGACCCCACGAGGTCGACCTCGTGTGGGAGAGGCCTATCATCGACGCGTACGAGGAGACCTTTTTGGATCCTCCCGTCGGTTTCTGGCGGGAGCTGGGACAGATGGTCGGTCTGGGGAGGATCAAGGGCGGAAACGACAAGCGGCGGCCGAGTGTGGCTCAGCCGATCGAGCCTACTAACAACGCGTTCAAGCACGCGTAGAGATGACGCCGTGTCTCTGTGTCTGTCTCGATGTTGAGCCGGCAAGGCAAGAAAAACCGTCTTCTAAGGGTGATATTCTGTCTCTATGGAAGTCCCTGGTGGCTGGCTGGCATTTTCTCGACATGGCTTGACTTGGACAACCGGCAGATGCAGATATTGGATATCGGATCCTACCAGCTACGCCTTGATATATCTATGGGGCAGATAGATGATCGCTAGTCTGTCCAGGTTTGAGGTGTTACAGATCTGAGATATTTACGGGTATGCATCCGCTATCTACTATCTGCTGTCTAACCGTCCACTGTCTGTCTGTACGTTTTTGTGTAAGTAGCAGAGGTTGGCAAGTGATTCTATTCCTTTCTCTCTCGAGGACGAGATATGAGATTTGAACACATACCTATCTTACGATATGAATGAATTGCTTTGATAACGTTATTCTGACGTTCCCGTTCTGTTCCATGGGTTTGCCATTCGTTGGATATACGGAGGATATGAGTGGCGGGTGGTATGATAGATGATGGACGGTGACTTCGATACATTAGAGCGGCAGCGGAGCAAGCTCGGCTATATGGCATGTTACACCCAAGTAATTACGGAGTCCTCGGCACCTCGTACTCGGTACGAGGCGTTGTCTCAGGGTTGAGCGACAAAAGCGCAAGGGCGGCAACACGCCTAGCCTGACCCGGCAATTCGAGACTCCGGAGAAATCCGGGGGGGCCGAAAGGGGCCACGCGAGCAGGCGCTTACAGGCGCGCCAGCAGAGAAGGGGCGGGGGTTTTTTTACTCGAATCTTCATCTTTTGGCTATTATCACCTTGTTGAGTTTGAGTACTAGGGTTCCCTTGTCCCTGCCCTGGGCCTTGTTGCCTTCCTTTACTTGACGCGTTTCATGAGGCGGCGTCCTTTTCCCCACGCGCACCGTTTTCACTAGCCTCGTCGTGACCCCGGTCAACTCCCCCGGACGACTCGCAATGTGCTCGTGAGGATTCCCTGTGGTGACGGCTGCAAGGTTCGTGAAATATGGCGACGGATCCAGCACGAAGAGCGACACGACGCACGCGACGACGAAGAACGGGATCGAGGCATACAACCACACGTAGCTGAACGCGTCGCTGTAATCCCCAGCACATGGCCTCGCGGGCCGCTGCGACCACCCTCGGTAGGGATGCCTGTCAAGGCTAAAGAGTTGTCCCGAGTTTGATGGCACTGATCAGCTTGGCCATGTCTTCTGCGGGGTAATTCAGCGGTGGGCGGCGCCACGACGGCTTTCGCGACACACGAGGGGGCCACGCTCCCCCGGAGTTCTGGCCGTGGGGATCGTGTTGAAAATGGTGCTGCCCGACCGCGCCGCCGGGGTAGGCGCACCGCACCTCCTTACAAGCTGTGGACGCGAGGCCGATGTCACGCTGCCGGCACGTGCAGCCCCACGGTCGTGTGCCTGATGACCACAACCCACGACCCCAGGGGGAACGGGACGCTCGCGATCCCCCCCCTCATGATCAGCCCTGTCGCACCGCGGTGCGGGGTCACGAGCACGAGCACGAGTAGACCGCACGCGAGGGTCTGCATGGCGTTGGCAACCAGGAGCTTGCATCGGGATGTGTTTGATCCGCGGGACGAGCGCTCCCAGCACACACCCATCGATCCCCAGGGGACATTGTACCATCTGGCAGTGAATGGGTCGGACTCAAACAGGTAGGTGATCTACCGGGGCACGAACGCTGTCAACGCAATGTGCGCGAGGGCCGAGGAGAGTGATAATGACGACCAGCGACGTGAAGGCGCGCCATTTGCGGAAACAGACGGTACGGAAACAGCGGTCGGGCGGCGCGATCCGAGAAGAAGTGCGAGAATCCCCGCGGCCCAGTTCAGGTTGTCCAAGTTTGCTATGCAGCCTAGGGCGACGAGCGGGGCGATGGAGGCGAACGAGTCGAGCGTGAAACTGAGTGACGAGATGTACGTGAGGCCGAGGATGAAGACGGCCGCCCAGGTCGTGGCGCTGACGGTCGCGTTCGCGTCGGTGTCGTCGTGCAGCGCCGCGCGGTGCGGGTCGCCGTGGTCGTCGTGGTTGCGGGAGTCGAGAACTTCTTGGCCGATCTTGTGTTTGGACGGTACGTCATTTCCTGCTGTGGGGACGTGTTTGATGGTCTCCTCTTGGATGGTGTCCGCGCCCACGGTGGTAGTTGTTCAATGGTATGTTTGTTCTCCGTGAGGTGAGTTGTCCCTATGACTGTGTTCGGCTGACCTGGGCTGGGTGTGGAGCATTACAGAATATGTATACAAGTCGGTTGAGGCAGTTGTTGGTTGAAACGATCAGACCAAGGCAGTGTCCTCTATGCCGTTCAAATCCAACATGCCTGGGGCCCGAAGTCGGGGAGCAGAAGGGTTCGGCAGGGACAGTGGATGTGGCAGTGGCAGTGGAAGAGGGAACCCCCGGGGCCGAGTCTCTATAGCACTGTCACGGTCGAGCGACAAGGGCACAAGGAGTAGGTAGACTGCCCCATTGCAAAATCAACCTAGGTTGAGCGGCGTCTGGTGGCTGTTGCATTGAATGAGTGAGGATTCTGTGTAGTTAGATTGCCATGCTAGACGGGTTGATGGGGTCGGTAGACTTTGTTCAAATGCCATTCTGAGGTACGCTGCTCTAGCTACCTAGACGCATAATACTTTCTTCGGAAACTATGATGACTTTAAGATACGAGGTGCTCGTTTGTAGTTATTGCATCGACGCCCATTCCCTCGCTCAATCAGATCCATCTCACAGGCTAGACCAAGAACCACCACCGCCGCCGCCAAATCTGAGCAACTTCAAGCGAACCCTTCTTCTTCACCTTCGTCTTCATCTTCGGCTTTAATGTCCTCCCCCTCCTCCACCACCTCACATGCTGCCTCCCAGAACTTCCGCCCCGGCCCCTCACAATACGTGTCAAACCACAAGAACGACCTCATCACCTCCTCGACGACGGGCCACGACTCAGGTCTGCGCGGGACGACGGCGAACTCGAGCAGCGTGGCGAAACTGCCCAGGAGCTTGTCGCGCTTGCGGTACCCGACAGCCTGGTCCGTGCACATCCAGCCCCACGCGACGGTGCAGAGGAAGAGGTTGGGGTGGCGGCCAGGGATTCCCGCCTTGACCGCACTGATCAGGAGACGTCCGAGACGTGATGCGATCTTGGCCTGCAACATTGTCCGCGGGGGCATGGGCACGATGACAAACACGGCGTACGCGAACAAGATATGTCGGCAGAGCTCGTAGACGACATGCTCGGCCCCGACTTTCTCCCCGGTGGTGGCGTGCTCGGGCAGCGAGAGCATGTCGTGGAGCACGCACCATCGCATATACCTGACGAGGGCCATGTTCGGCGTGTGCAAAGGCTGTTCCTCTTCCGGGAGACCGTAGGACCTCAGCAGCTGATCAAAGTCGGCCGAGAAGATGCTCGTGTGGTCGGCAACCTCCACGAGACTGTCGAGGCTGGAGTACCCATCGTTGATCAATTCATAAAAGCCCGTCGTCAGAGTTTCGAGGAGTGCCTGGGCAGCCGCGTCCGGTTGATGGCTCCTCTTGTTGATGTGCCACGTTGTCGGCATCACGAGGTTGAAGTGAGGATGCTGCAATTCCCTCCAGGAGGTGAGGATGTCGCACCTAATTCGTGCATCACAATTAGTCTCATCTCGCAACACTCAGGGAATCGTGATTGGTACGTACACTTGGATGACAATGGCCAAGCTCTTCCGTCGTAGCGTGCGCAGCCCTCCCCATCGGTCCACAATTGCATACACGGCATTTAGATGTTCCATGCCAGTGTCCATATTTGCGTAGTAGTCAACGTCATGGAGATGGGACAGGAAAGGCAGGGTTTGTCGCTTGTAAGATTCGTGACCCTTCAGGTTCTCGCCCGTGCCGTGAGAGGCCAGCGTAATTATGCCTAGAAGGGCCTCCTCAGACACGTTGTCACCATTTTCTTGGATGTAGTCGAGGAGGGACCTGATGGCCTTGGACTTGTACGTGAGCCTGAGCTGCTCGTTCTGCTTGGTCGTTCCGCGATCCCCGTACTGGTACGCATTGTGGGTCGCGCCCGCAAAGACAATCGTGTACCAAGTCACTGGACAGTGGATGACAGACTGCATGATCTCGGTTCTGGCGGCGCTGACTCCTCCGCCGTCCGACAGACACATCTCCGTCCAGTGACATGTGATGGCATGGTCCAGCATCTCGTGAACGTAGAGGGGCACGGCCCCAGTCTCGCCGATGGTGTGGAATGGATCGGATCGACTTGCGCCCAGCAGGATCTTGACAGGCGATTCCCGCTTGGCCTTCAGTTCCAGGACCGCTGAATCATCTGTCGAGGTCGTGGAGTTGGACTTGTTCGCCTTGCGAGCGCCCTGCGCGTGTTGGGCTTTGGTTTTGGCCCTGCGCAATTTGGCCTTTTTGTGATATTCGCGCGCGGCATGTTGCGTTCGGGTCACTCCTTCGTCAGAGACACTCTTCTGGGCCCGCCCTTCGCCGTCACATTCGATAAATAGGACCTTCATTGCGACGGGTGATGAGTTTCGTCCTGCTTTCGTGGCGTCGACAGTCGCAGACGCATCATGGCGATTGAGCAGCTACCTAGTTCATCTTCACGAGGGGACGCCCTTGATAATCGGGCAACCGTTGACACACCACGTGTTCAGCGCCAGGTGTGCCGACATGTCGCCTGGGTAAAACAGGAATAGCCAGAGCGGTTTCCTTGTTTGGAGGTGGTTGTCATTGGCGAGGCCGTGTTCTTCAGCGGTCTGGAGCTGAGAACCCTTGAATTTTTCTGCCTCGCTCATAGGTCCATCTTTCGCTTGTGGCTACTGTCTTTGTTTGACGCAGGGCTGGTTCAGCCGATAAATCGCAAGCCACACCGGTAGTCGAGTGGCGGGCGGCATCTCCCTGGAACATGTCCTGAATGCTGCAATAATCGAAGGGCTGGATGAAGAGGCATCTGCCTCTCGAGCCAGATATCCCCAGTGAAGCTTCGGTAGTCTTTCAAATAAGTTAGACACAACCTCAGCTTGCGCAGAAACAAGCCTTGGAGGAGAAAACATCAAGATCAGCCCAGAGCCGGTAAGCGATGCTGTAAGTTCACACTACTCACCCCCTGCTAGCCACTTTCAGTGCCTCGTACACGTCTGGATCCAAAGCCAACAAACCCCATTCCCTTTTCCAGACAACCCCACCGATACAAGTCTAGTACTCGCAAGTGTGTTGTTTCGATGCCCGATCTTATGTCTAGGTATCTGCGGCTCATCAGGTCATTCGAACCTGATCCACACGATGGCCATCTGAGAGCATCACGCATGGGAAGTTCCTCGCTGACTTGACTGCTTTTAGTGCAACTTCCGTGAACGGGTTGCGGTTGGGTATAAGAAGAGTCAAAGATCCTCAGCGCGGTTGTTTGTGAGGTTTTAATCGAGGTGTTGCACCGCTAACTGATAATGGTCCACAAAGGACAAATGCATCCAGCTTGACGAGTGTCGACAGAGCTCTATGCCCAGTTCTGCCACAACGGTTCGTCGAGATACTCAAAGAAGCTGAAAGTATCTGGCAGCAGCGCAGACTCGAGCGGCAGCCCGGGCAATTCGACTCCGACATCACAATCCTGACTCTCTGGCTGAGCCTTTCTAGATTGTTCTGCTCGCCTCGCCTCGTGCACGGCTTTGATGTCTTGTATCTTGGCCGGCACCGTCAGCCAGATCAGTGGTACACAGCGCGGCAAAGTATTTTGTAAAGATGTGGCGTCGGCCGCTGACTGATTGGTTTGGAGAAACTCGCTTGCTTCTTCGGTCTTCTTCGAGAGGTGGTCCATCACATCGCCGAAATTTAGACATGTGGCAACGTAGTTCTGGTCCCAGCCCTCATGCTGACAGAGAGAAAGTTTGGACAAGTCCACGAAGAGGTGGCTGACGATGGTAAATATGCAGTATGGTAGGTCGAAATATATCGAGGAAGGCAACGAGTGGAAAAGCTCAAAGAAATTCTTTGCGGATGAGAGACAAGCGAACAGCAGGTCGAGACGCGTGGTGGAGAATGACCCGTATCTCGACGCAGGAACGTTTTCATCCAGAGCGATCTCGCACAAAAATGTCTCGACCGCATGGTAGTGCATGAGAAGTAGCACTTCTTGTCATTAGCAAGGCATGTTGACTCTGTGTGAAATTGAAAGCTCACCACTTTGGGCAATATCAAGCGTCATGGAAGCTTTGTACTTGCGCAGCTCAGCCTCCAGTGACTTCACGTAGGCTCCGATTGGAGCGGAAATACTGGAAGACGGATCCCATTCTCTCTGGATAATTGTACGGCTTATTTTGTCGATAAAATAGCTTAGCCTGGTGAGCTGGACAAGGTAGAGGTCGCTCGGAAGCTCAGCTGCTTCGGATATTATCGTATAGCACTCTTCAGTGTACTTGGTGTATCGGATGGCTTCGAAATCTCGGGCAGTCATCGATATCCTGGAATTCGAGCATTGGCATCAGCGGCTTCACAGATCTCCTGAATGGGATACATACAAAGAGGTCAAGTAAAAGCAGCCAAGATAGGTTCGACGGTCCTCCAGTGTCCCCCTTGCTCCTTCTTGTCGGTCCAAGCGGAAATAGTCTCTTTGAGGCTTCGCATACTTTCGGGGGACATAGTTCTTGTTCAGACCGAGATCAATCATCACGGACATGACCAGATGGACAATGACTGTGAGTTGGCCTCCGAGGTGGATGTTTACATTATACCTTGGGATGTTAGTTCAACCTTGCTGCCTCGATGGGTATGACGTGTGAGCATACCAAGCCAAGTAAACGAGAAGGCCTTGTAGCAAGTCCAGGCTCTGTTCACCATAAGTCATCATCTTCTGGCCGATGAGTTCTTTGAGCGTCTTCCCCAACGCCGTCTGTCGTGGTATATCGTGTCGGCAAGTGACCAACATAACCACCATCAGGAGGAAGGGCTTTTGTTCCCGAAGCTCCTCCAGACTCGTGTGCGGTTGGATGATGACGAACGGGAAATAAGGCATGAATTCGTTCCGGAACACGTCCAACATCAGTCGCGCCTCGTCGCTGCTCTTGATAAACTGGTCGAAGCATGCGGTCAAGGAGAGCAATGGCACGGTGGACAGTTGCAGCGGGCTGTTGGTGGGTTTCAACGCTCCAAGCCGAGAAGCAGTCAGGATCGCCGTCATCCCGTCGAGTTTTTGTTCCAGACGGGTGACATCTCTAATCCGAAGGATATCAGCATATCTGTCAACTGGAAGAGTCGCATGGTATCAAGCTGAAGATCATCACCTACGATTCCTGTCGAGGCTTGCGCCTGTGCGCGCCAGGTGGCTGTGCGCGACATGCCTTCTTCAGCCTCAGGCACCTAACCCAACCCATTATTAGCCGCTACCAGTTTTCTGCACGAGTGTCGACTCAACCATACCGCTGGCAGAAGATTTGTCCATTCTCAGTCTCACAGCGCACTTTGGCGGTGGCACATGGCACACAGGCTCTCGGAGCGCGGATTCCACTGAGGTCGTTTCGCTGACTCGGTGATTGAGGCATACCGCGCATACCGTGGCATTCGCACCGGGATATCTGGTATGACAAGCATCAGGGCGAACGGAGATAAAGAAAGAGATAGTTCTCCGACAGTCTAGTCCAAAGGAGCAAACCAAACTCTGGGGACAAGAATGATGTGAATCAAGTAAAGGCCGCAGGAACGGAAATTCCGATGCCGAGCAATCGGCCGGCCGCAGGGGGAAATGAGTCGGTCTGACCAACCCGTTCTGTCCTCAATGCTAGTTTTGTGCGAGGAAATGGGCTGTCAGACTGGACGTCATTTTCAGCCTCGCTACGCGCATCTAGCCAATCAGACTAATTCCTCAGTGGGTCGAGTCTATAGATCGGACACGGAGCAGCATCCAGTCGACGCAATGAAGGCATAAAAGGAGAAAATTTGACTCGTATTGTCTTCCAGAGTCATCCAGGTATCATACAAGATCAAACATGACATCTTTGAACATTTCTGAGGTCTCGTCCAAGGACGTAAAATCGGAGAGCGACAAGGCTGTAAGCCTCGAGGGTGACACCAGCACCACCGAGCAGACGACGCAAATGGACGGCACGAGTACAAAAGAATCATCTCCTACAGCGGGGAGTCAAGAAAAAGAAACAGACTCAACAGATGCCTTGGGTTCTCGAAGACACATTCTCTTCGCCGCAGTGTTTATTTCGACCCTGCTCATGGCCCTCAACGGTTCGATCATTTCGACGGTAAGCTAGGGACACGTTGAATCCGTGAGATAAGGTACATGCTGATGCATGAGATGTAGGCCATTCCACAAATCACAACACATTTCAACTCTCTCAAAGACATTGGCTGGTACGGAAGTGCTTATCTAGTGGCAACGTGAGTCCTCCTGTCTGCGTTCTGGTCGGAGAAGTGTCTAATCTTACCACAGGTGCGCTATGCAACCTCTTGTCGGCAGGATCTATACCCATTTTCCCATCAAAGTGAGTAGAAGCATCCTCCTGTAATGCTCCGCGCTGCTCACGAGTCGTTCAGTACACATATCTCACATTCGCTGCCATCTTTTCGATCGGATCTCTGGTTTGCGCCACTGCCCCTTCGTCCATGGCCCTCATCATCGGCAGGGCTGTGCAAGGGTGTGGTGGTGCCGGCATTATCAATGGAGCCTTTGCCGTAATAGCTGCGGTGGCTTCCAAGGATAATCGGCCTCGTGAGAACATCATCATGGATCCTTCTACAAAGGGTGCGCGTAACTGACAACGATTTCAGTACTCATAGGTATCGCTGTCAGCCTATCATCGTAAGTGCTTCATTCTGGATTATCCTTGATGATCCTGAGGAAACCATCATGTGGCGATAGTATTGACGACATCTGTGTAGGGTTGGGACCGTCATCGGGCCTCTGGTTGGCGGTGCTCTGACACAAAATGTCTCGTGGAGATGGTGTAAGTGGTTTCTTCTTGATTGCTTATCTCAGGTTCGCTGATGTTCATAGGCTTCTATGTCAACCTACCACCTAGCGGCCTAGTGATATGCACCCTCATCTTGTTGCCAATTCAGGAACAGATCAAGAAGGAGCCCGTGAGGGCCAACTTCAAAGCCATCGTCACGAAAGAGCTCGATCTCGTGGGATTTGTTATCTTCGCCCCAGCCTGTGTCATGTTACTGCTCGCAATGATATGGGGTGGCAACCAGTACCGATGGGACTCCTCTGTCATCATCGGCCTCTTCTGTGGCGCGGCTGGCACATTCGCCGTCTTTGTTGCCTGGGAGATTTTCAAGGGCGACAAGGCCATGATACCTCCGGCAATTGTCAGGAATCGGCTTGTGGTCTTTGGGTGTTTGACTTCGTTCCTTCAAATCGGCGCCCTGTTGTCGCTAAGCTACTATCTTCCGGTGTGGTTTCAGGTTGTCAAGGACGAAAGCCCGTTAATGAGTGGAGTAATGGTACTTCCGACGGCCATTGCGCAGGCCATAGGGGGCATAACAGCTGGGAAGCTAGGTGGGTTGCCGCATCTTATATCTTGGGAAAGTGTTGGCTCACTGTCGTACAGTGCAGATTGTTGGCTACTACACACCATGGGCACTTCTCGGTTGTGTCCTGACCTCCATTGGGTCCGGGCTGATGACCACATTCACCCCTTCCACTGGCGCTGGACCCTGGATCGGGTACCAGATACTTGCAGGAACGGGAAGAGGCTCCGTGGTACAAATGGTGAGGCCCTTCTTCAATGTTCAGCGTGTCTCGACTAACTGTCATACCTTAGCCACTCACCGCAATCCAGAACCTTTTGCCGCCAAAGGAAGTCTCGATAGCAACCTCGCAGATCTTCTTTTGGCAGTACCTCGGAGGAGCCATTTTTCTCGCCGTCGCCGAGACGATTTTTACAAACTCGCTGCGATCGTCGCTGAGGACTTATGTCCCGGGTATCAATCCCGAGAGCGTCATTGACGTGGGTGCCGCCGCCGTGCGATCGAGCGTGCCCCATAGTCAGCTCGAAGGCGTCCTCCGCGCGTATAACCACGCCCTCGTGTCCACATTCGTGAGTTTGAGGCCCTACAGCAGCTTGCTTCTGGGATGGCGCCACCTGAACTAATCATGACCTAGTATCTCGCTGTCGGGGCCTCATCTGCTGCGTTTCTAACGAGCTTCGGTATGGGGTTCCAAAGGCTGCCTAAGAAGGAGAGCAAGAAGAAATCTGAGGAGAACGATGTGTAGGTGTCCCTCGGGAATCGCTCAAATGGCCCCTCGCATCATTCTGTACGCCTACACGACGCGTGATCGAATTTAGAGGCATTGCAAGTTGTTCCAATTTGTGATATCGTCTGCTCCATGTACAATATTTCAAAATCGACTTGTTAAGAGAGTGAACTCTGGCTGCAGAGCGGGCAAGGGATTGTCTTTGACAAATTGGGAAGGAGAAACAGGGTCAAGGTTGGCAATTCCTGCAAGGGTAGCAAGTCATTTCGATGCGATAGATGCTCGGTTCCTGCCAGCCCTAAACCCATTCATGTATCGAATATAGTGTCGAATCACCGTTCATGTCCACTCCAGAACGATACAGCACAAATCGCCGCCACTTTCCTGCAAGCGAAGCATCACCGAAGTTTCGTGCTCGGATCGCTGAAAGTCCAACTCGTCTCCAGCTCGGAGATCTTCAAGTTTGACACCATGACTTGCTGCACTCTTATCAATCTCGCTGCCTGTTCTCAAGCTTACTATCCCATTACGCGGGGGCTGGATCTCGATCACGACTTCCAGGTCCGGAAGGTTGATGAGATGAGGCCTGTCGGAGCTGATATGAATGGGGCCGCGGCTGTTTGACGTGAGTGTGGAGCTGGTCACTGTGCTTTCAGAGTGGGTGTCGCTCACGACCGGGCCCTGAGAAGGTGGTTGTCCTGGTGTGCCGCTTCCACTGTGCGTTCGGGTCTCTGTCTTCAGACTCGAGTTCCACCAAGAGTCTGTTGTTGTGGTTGTCCCGCCGTCAGACCGTGGTGTGGACTCTTCATTGGTAGGGATTGGGTTTCTAGATGTACCAGAAGCCCTTGAATGACGCGTGGAAGAGACCCTGGTGCCTGCGTTATTTGCATCTGCGGTTGGCAGCAGGCTGGACTCTGTGTCGGACCGTGCGCTCAGTAAGGTCGATAGGGGCGAAAAGGTCGGCATCTCATACAAATTCTGTCGGCTTGTCAGGGGGTGCTGACCGCGCCGTGAATGTCTCTTCCTTCCCAAAAGCGAGCAATCCCGATTCATTCTCCTTATAATCGCCCTTAACGCTTCAACTTGTCCCGGCGTGTACTCTGCAAGATCTGGCACGGTCCACTGATCGTATAGACGCCCATGTGTAGCGGTCACAACAAAAGCACCGAGTCTTTCGATAAAGAGATGACAGAGGAAGCATGTTTCTTTGCTGGTACCTATGACTCGTGGGAGTATCAGGGGTGGTGAGAGAAGATAATGTACAACCATCTGTATTTCTGCATGGACGTAACAAAGGGTCTTCTTGTTGGAGAGGGATATCGGGCTTGTTCGAGGTTCGTATGGGTTGATGTAAAGCGACTTTATATTTGAGAACAGATGCCTCGTCTTCCTCCTGCGGGCTTCTCTGGCCAAGGTCTGTGGGATTCGGTGATATGCGCCCAGCTTGTCGACCTGCGTGATGTACTTGTTGTTGAACCATTCTTGAGCATTCAAACCGGCGTTTTCGAGATTGTGACGGAAAGGTACCTGTCCATCGGAGGTGGTGATGCTGAAGCTCTCCTTCACGATCTCCTGCAGCCCCCACTCCGGCTGCGATGCGCCTGAGCGCAGCACGCTTTCGACCATCCTCCTTAACTCAAATAGTCTTCTGACCAGGTCGGCGGCAGCGGGTGTAGAAGCGGCAGCTTGCATTCGATTCAACGCCTTTTCGGAACCAGATGTCGAGGAGCTTATTGACCCCCTTCTTCGTGGACGAGATGACGAAGAGCGGTCACCAAGAAATAAGCTCATGCGAGACAAAATGCGTTCCTGCGACAGACCCAGTATCACGTCCGATAAGGTTGACGTACACTTCTCGAGCCTCATCTCTGTGAGATGGTTAGAAGTGTAAGATCCAGTGAGGGTGTCAGTACTGACCACTTCTTGCGCAAGACATCAAGCATTCACATATCTCACTCAGAGAACGTTGGATTTCTCCTGGCACCCCTTCATTTGCAGCAACACGTATGATGAGACCCGCAGGCTCTGCAATCTCCTCCACACAAACAGCTGTGATACTGTCACCACCCTGTTGGGCTGCCAAGATAAATGCAAAGTCATCTGCAAGGCGTTGCTCTGTCTTGAAGGATAATGTCCGAGATCCTGTCGCAGGAGGTATGTCTCGAGTACTGGCTGACCGTGACACCGAGTACCTCGCATCACCCGGGACACTCTTAGTTGCTGCAGAAAGTGCGACAATCCTTCGACGGAAAGCATCCTCTGGTACATCCTGCCATATTGAGTGTTGATGTTTCGCAGTCTGCACTGGTCTTCCAACAGACATAATGTTAGACGGTGATCTTGCCGATGAATCTCTCATCGAAAGAAACACTCACATGCTGCAATATTAGGTTCGTGAGCGGTCGGTGTGAAGTTCATATGGCATTCAGCGACCAGTGAGGGATCGCCAACTGGCATCGACAAGTCATGACGCCGAGATTTGTGATTGGCTCGCTTAGTAGACGTAAGCGTGTTGGGTCCTAATGTTGTAAGGACGCCCAATGTTGGAGATCTAATCGTGGCACGTCTTGCGCCGAATAGCTCATCCTCGATGGCTGACCACTGTGGCTGAAGGGCCGGTTGGAGTGAGTCGGTGAGGCGAAGCCTTAGCCTGCCCTGCCTGCTCAGCTTGTGAGCTGGATGAGGATTCGTTCGAGGTTTCTTCGCTGATGATTTGCGCCAATAACCAATTCCCAACACCACCATAGGATGTCCTCTGCCAGAGGGATCCCCGTCAGCCATCTGGGTCATCCCTGACACCCTTTGACCGTCCGGATCTTCTTTGACCATCTAGTTGCTTTGCTCTTGGACCATTCAATTGCTCTTCAACTATTCGCTTCCCTTTACACACAAATATCTGCTGCTTCGGACACACAGCATAGCTGGGAACACCTATCTCGGAGATATAGCATATCTCCTGTTTTACACAAAATATGCGTTTTGTTGTCGTGTGCTGATCTCTGGAATTGTACACAGCAGCAGCCTCAGGCCTTGTAGTGCAGTAGAATTCCACTATGCTTCGCACTCCGCGAATTCGACCCTCATATCAACCTAGTAACCTCACCGGTTTTTCAAGTTCGTTCGTCGTGAGAAAGGCTGACCGATAAGAGTGCTGGGTAAGTGCCCATTCACGCTGAAGATCTTGGCTGAACACTCGAAAGACATCAAAGCACTGTGTCTTTTTAAGCATTTTCAGTTTCTCAATGACGAATGCCTGGTCTTGTCGGGAAGTAAGCTGAGGGGCAATTATTCCAAGAGGCAGTAATATGGCTGTGTTGAATTGCGAATCATCAGGTAGCAAGCGAAAGAGTCCCATGGCCCGCTTCACGTGCCTTTTGATCTGTCTATGGGCCATGAATGGTGGGTATGCAAGGGTAGTCGTAGTTTCTGGGAGGCCATCACGGTCCCTAAGTTGCTTGAAGAAGTAGATTCGGCTCGCGAGGCGGTAGATTTCTCCTATGACGAATTCTTCGTCTTTCTTTGCACCATCATCGACGCCAATTGTAGAGCACGAGGGCTCTTGTACGAGCCAGGCATTGGCGCTTTCATCATGTTCTGTAGCTTTCCTTTTCATGCTGAAGCTTGGGAGGAAGTCCAATTTCCCATCCCAGCAATCGATGTCAAGCGTTGAGACATGCTGGACATTTTCGCTGATACGGTAGAGTAGATCCGCGAAGTTTGGATTTGACCGGTGGGACAAGTTTACGAATGTGGTCTCCTCAAGACTGTTACCGGACGGCGAGGTCAACCTTGTGTCAGCCACCAGCGCCAGGAGTTGGTTGTAAGAAACAAGGTCGTGAAGAAATAGGTGAAGCGGTGTTGTAGACGGCACTTCATGATTTCGTGCAGTGCCTCCACGGCACAAAAACTCTTGTGCAAACTCTAGATAGGGTTGTATGTTGTCATAGACTTCTCCGGACAGCTTTCCAAAAACGGCCAGCAACGCTGCGGTAGTGACAAGGCATAGATCGTCAGCCTCCACTTTTGTAATCTGGAACAAAATGCTGTCATTCTCTGGGTTTGATTTTAGGGTGTCAAGTCTCCGGGTCCTGCTCGAAATCTGAGGGCAGGCCTTCAACGCCCGAAGTCGCAGATGAGAGATCTCATGGTCCAAATACGGAAGATTCCTTGACTTGGCATGCAGTCCTGCAATCGCCATCAGAATCCAACGAACGGGCTCATACTCGATCGCAGCAGGAGCGAGACATGACAGGAACGGGTTGTCTGTCTCTGAGTGCGTGGGATATGTTCTTGCAAAGCAATTAATGTAATGGTCCCAGAGGACATGCTCGAGAAAGGAGTTTGCGATTGTGGCCGGGGGATGATGCGGTATTGTAGCAGGACGTTGCCAACTAGGAGCAAGTCGAAATTGCTTGCGTTGAGGCAGTGTGAGTGACGTGCAATTCACGAGGTCTAGGACCAACACGCCTGCCTCTTCGTTCTGTTCGTCGGTATTTGCCGTCGGAGCCTCTTGGTCACGGTGCCCAATATTGCTGTGTAGATGAGCTCTGCGGGACGAGGAAGGGCCTCTGCGCCTAATACCTTGTCGTACAGGGTCATCTTCCCAGAGAAGTCGTGGCTTGTACCCTCCGCATGCGATCTGCAGACGGACACAGTTCTCGCATGAAGGGATCCCCAGATCGCATTTCTTTTTCCTGGTTGATTCCGCAGAGAATCAGTTATTGTATTTGCACGAGCCGCGGGTTCATCCCATACCCACGGTACCTACCTCCGTTTACAGGTCAAACATCCACCTCCTGCGCGTTGTAGTCGAGCCATATTGGTGACGGCTTTTGCCTGCCACCTCGAGAGGGTGGGTTTGGCGTATGGAGGAAGCGTGGTCACAATCCTAGGTAGACTATAGCGGTACAGGTCATGATGTTGTGTGTCCTTATCTGCGATTGATTGACAGTTCCGCACTCGGACAAAGCCGTCCTTGAGATGATGGACATGACCGCAGGCAGATGCGTCGAGTCGCTCAACGTCGAACGACGAAGAGAGTCTCAAGATACAGGTCGTACGATTAAGGGATGTATTTCTCGGATGGAGGGTAGAGGTCATGTCGTGGTGTCGTAGGGCGCAATATGGGGTTTGACGGGGACAGGTGAACCTCTTTGAGCATCGAGTGAGGGTGACCAGACGACGTGCTAAGAGCCATGACTGAACTGTAGCCTGGACAAAGCTGACAACTGGGTGTCTAGGCTGATCAGAGATATCTCAATCAAGACTTTGACATACCAAGTGAGGGATTCCAATGCCTTTGCAGGCCGTGGTGGCTCTGGGCGGTTAGTATCCCCCCAATATGGCATAGTGCCTCTTCCCAAAGTGGCGCCGCTTTCCAACGGACACGCAGTGATCCCATTGCGGTCACATCGTGAATTTTGGCGGTATTGCACTTCAGCAGGTACAAATATGACAGATCGATTCTTAGAACAAGATCTGTCTGTTCTCCCAGCTCTCTCTCTTCACTCCTCCACTCGATCAAGTGATACAGACCTTCGCGCAAGCAGATATACGACCAAAAGGCAGCATGGCTCCGGGAATTCTCGAGTATCCTGGAATAGATGGACCAGCACTGGCTTTAAAGTCAAACACCACAAGGTCATCCATACGGATATTTGATCCTGTGAAGCATCTTACGTATGCGCCGCCGAAGAAGATCCATACTTTGGATGATCTTTGTCTACCACCTTCACCGATTTCGCAAGTTGCATCGACCGACCCATTCCCTTTGCTGTCCGAAGAGGCTCTGCTTGAGCACCGCCGAGAGTTGCTGTCTGACGATGTCCTCGATAACTGCATGTATCACACGAGGGACAAATCGGTTCAACTCCGTGGCATGGCCCCCAGATATGCTCCTTTCATTCATCAGTTCTGGACTTCTTCAGAGGTTCTCAAGATAGTCAGCGATCTAGCAGGAGTTGACCTGGTACCTGTCATGGACTTCGAGATCTGCCACACGAACGTCCAGTTAGGGCCAGAGGGTCTGGCAGGAGTCAGAGACATCCCGATCATCCCACCTGGTGCTCCTGCAGCGGAAACAGTGTCAGCAATTCAGGAAGGGCCCGAGGAGCCTCTAGCCGCTGCCAAAGAGTCAGTTGTCCCCTGGCATCGCGATTCATATCCTTTCGTCTGCGTCGTTATGTTGTCCGACACGAGGAATATGAAAGGAGGCGAGACCGAGATCCAAAGAGGTGATGGCACGACAATCAAAGTCCGATCTCCGCAGATGGTGAGTTCATCGCGAGAGCGCCCCAATACTTGAGGCGTTAACCGCTGACAAGGCTGGGAACAGGGCGGCGCGGTAGTTCTCCAGGGCAGACACGTGTCTCACATGGCGATTCCGGTCGAGAACATGCCCGAGAGAATCACTATTGTGGCCTCTTTCCGGCCGAGGGATCCTGTGTTGTTGGACGACTCCTCGTTGATGAATGTTCGAAATAAGTCTCAGCTGTCGGAGATGTACTACCAATGGACCAGCTACCGCCTGCATCTGCTCGCCGACAGATTCCGATTCGAAGCCGAGAAGCTTGATGCAGCATATCGGGAAGCAATTGAGGAAACCGATCAAGGGAGACCGGGGGATTGCAAGAAAAACGTTGTCGACGTGGAGAAGCTTGAGAGTTGGATGGAAAAGCAAATGAGATATATGCGGCGAACCATGTTTGAGATGAGACCGATCACTGCAGACGACAACATCACCAAGAACGAGATTGAGGAAGTCTAGCTCTCGGTATGGGGGCTGGACGACAGGTTATTGAACTCTTTACCTTTCATGGCGTCAAAATACTTCCTTCGATAGACATGTTCGCCTTCGAGCAAGCCAGTATCCAGAGCCTGCGTTTTCCCGCCCAATTTTACATTCAACACCCTCCTCTTCTTAGTGTGCCTCGGTATTCCCAGCTCTATTGAAATTCCATCACTTTAGCCTTTCCCATGAATTTTCCAGTGCCTCTTATTCCATTGATGGCATCTCAAACACGGTCGCGGAGAGGAGAGTATGCCGGAAGCGCAGCGAAAGTCATCGTGGAGGTTCACCGTCCGCGTACAGATCTTGACCAAGGAACCGGGTAACGCTCAGTCCATTTCAAAGTTAAAAACTCCGCGCACCGGTTCAGTGGTTTCTCGAGCGAATCGACATGGAGCTCATACAAGCAGAGAGGTCTTCGCTGGTGCTTAAATTGGGCCAAGGCCAAGATTCAAGAAGCCCGGGGTCTCAAAGTGGCATGCGTGGACACAATCTTCCACAATTTAATTTAAGACTTGTCAAGAGGCATCCACGTGACAGGTCCAAGGGCACGTGCAAAGGTCTCACCAGAACAGTACCTTTCATATTCAGGCCTCGTCAAGGCTCTTTTGAACAATATTTAACTGTCTTTGTTCCCTGCCCGAGACGAACGGAGACTCGGAATGCTATGGTCAGTAAATTCAACAACCTGTCCCTACCGGAGATGTGCTGATTATTGAAAAGTTGACAGCGCCGATCCAAGCTTTGGACCCTTTGTAACTGCAGTCACCCAGTGCGTTCGAACCTACGAAGAAGGCGAAGAAAACAGCATACCTCTCCTACAAGCCGACTTCTTCCTCGCATGCTCATTGGGAACCGTTGAGGCCTCCAGGCGGCCATTGCTCGGCATGGTTTTCGCGATGGTACAGCTAGCGCAGGCTACTCTTAGTAACGAGTATCGAAAAAGGTCATGAGACAAGACACAAAAACATACTTGCATCTTGGTCCGATTTCGGTCTGTGGAGAGAACGAGGTGATTGCTTTGAGGAGCGTTACTACCTCCGCCACCTGCCCGCGGAACGTGCCAGGGGAAATTGATGTAGGCGGTCCCCAACTGAACCAGGGTTAGACTGCGGGGCGCGTGTTGTCACGATCGAAAGTGACAAGCATGTGTCTCTCCTTGGATCTCTCCCGCCGGCGTGCACCATCAGCAAACACGAGACAATTCGCAAAAGCCACCCCACCTTGTGTTGTCAAATCTTGGCTAGCAGACAAGGCGTATACCAGAAGCTTAAGCCGGTACTGGAAGGCAAACAAGTCTTAGACCCACAATCTTCAGTAGGCTTCGCCTCTTGGTCCTGTGCTGGTCGGCTAGCAGTTGCTAGGCAGTGAAGAATAACGCCACCCAGCCTGCCAGCATACCCTTGGGAAATTATTTCACCTCGCATGACATGTACTGGGCTTCTCATATGCTCCGATTCAAATCATGGTGCTTCAAGACCCGGCTTCAGCTTTCCCACTGTCGACTTGTCGCAACAACTCACCGCGATGCAAACGGGCGAAAGGGTGGGCGTCCGCCAGGGTACACAGGGCTCAGGCATCGGACGATCAATACGGCCGTTCTATGGTCCAATGCAGTCTTGGGTACCAAAAGTCAAACCCTGTCTTGCAGGCTGAGCGGGAAAAGGGGTGATGATCAGATAAGATCCTGGCCGTCTGGACTGTTCGAGAGGGGTGCAGAGGGTGAAATGGCCAAGGCGCCACCCGCCAGAGCATGTGGTTTCATGGGAGGGTCTTGGAAGCGAGCATGGTGGGAGGCAGGAGATGATGGCCGCCACCCCTCGGGAAATCCCTACAGCTGTCCAGCCTCCAGCCTGTTCGCCCATCTCTTTCCCACGCCGGTAGCTTATGGGTCGGCCCAGCGACTCAGAGACGAGCTGGGATTTGTGGGACATCACATGCCGAGGAGCTCGAAGCTAGTTAGCCGTACCTCGTACTGCGTTGACTTACCCCTCGGATTGATCGGGTATGAGTTGAACCAGGATCAAAGTTTTCCTACGGACGCACACTCGAGAAGCATGGCCTGGCTCGTTTGTTACCTTTCAGATCTAGTTTCACCGACTTTCTCAGCACCCGGACGTGAGGGGACTTTTAGTTTCCACCGCAAAGGTAAGAGTAAAAGAAACTTTATGGACCCTGTGATGTGCTGCTTACTACCCAGCGAGCCAGCTACACCATTGAGGGTTTTCAAGAGATTTGCAGGATTTTAGCATGTTTTGTTTGTCTGGGTTCGGTCATGTCAAACTAAAAGCTGCGACTGACTAGAGCTACTCCAATATGCACATACACACACACACACACACACACACACACACACACACCTGCCCACCATCTTCGAACTGAGATTACTGGATAATGCTGGCAGGGTTCTCACGATCTTCCAACACCTATTTTTCACTGGGGTTTTGCGGACAATTGCGCTCCAATAGTGGGTGCGCAAATCGCGTCGTTCGAGCTCTACTTCGTGCTCAAAGGTCTCTGGAGGGCCTGAGTGAACGTGTGACTCTGCACCTGAGCGACGACTTGTCCGGCATCTTGCTTGGGCGCGGATAGTTTGGTCAGATGGCGTGTCGCGAAGCTTCTGAAGCCGGGAATCTTGGCGAGGAAGCGGAGGAAGGGCTTCTCGAGAGGAAGGGCTCCCGTGCGCTCCTCGTACAGCATACAGGTGATGGCCACCATGATGAAGATCCAGTAGACATTGTAGGAGATGACGGAGCCGTAGGTCGCAGTGTTTTGCCAGCCGAGGATGGCATTGAAGACATCCCAACCGTTGTCTCGCTCCGGGTTGCAGCAGTTGACATGCCACACCGTCTGGTCAATGTTGTATGATCCCGGACCATCACCTGACTCGGCAACATCACCGCCAACCTTCTGCGCGAACTTGTAGAATTGCAGACTCCAGATGGCTTTGGAGAACATGCCGGCAGCAATGAGGTAGAGCACGCAGGTGGAGGCGATCAGGAAGTACTGGATGGTCATATAGTTGCCGCCGCGGTAGATAAGCCAGCCGACGAGCAGGCCAGCGAGGATACCGGTGATAACGGGGATGGGGAAGGCGGTCGCGGGTAACCCGAGCGAGACGCCGCCGACAAAGACCACGCCTTCGAGGCCCTCACGGAGGGTGGTGATGAAGGGCAGAATGAACATGGCATATCGTCGACCCCATTCGCCCAACCTCGACGCCGTGTCGGTGTATTTGGTCTTGGCCACGAGGGCTTGTGCAATCTTGACCCGCCACTTCTCCTTGGTCTTGTTGATGCGCAGGATGGCCAAGCCCATGATGGTGATGATGATGCTGGCAATGAGATAGAAGATGCCTTCCCACAGATCCTCGGACTCGGCCCACAGATCATGGCCCAGGCCATAGAAGACACCGATAAAGGCACCCCCAATGATCAGCGCTATGAGAATGCCTAATAACGACCCTACCCATACTTGTCGTCGGAGGCGCTTATAGATGGATTGGTCCTGGGACGGTTGGCCGAGACTCTGCTTCAAGAAGGACAGCAGCACCGAGATGATGATGACAGCCTCGAGGCATTCTCGGAAGACGATGAAGAAGACCTGAACACCGAAGACGTTGGTCATTTTGTATGTGCGTGTGTGAGACAGAGACAAAAGAGAGGACTAGCGAGAGAGGGAGAGAGAGAGAGAGCACAATGGAAGAGTGTATAACCTCTGAAGAGAAGAAAAAAGCTTGGAGAGCTTGAGAGGCCACACCAAGAAAAGATGGTCCGGTTCAATCTCAACCTCCAGCAAGAGAGGGCATTGGCACAGATATTTTACAGCAACGGGCAGCTGTCGAGTTGGCCGAAGTTCGGGGAGGGGAGCTGGTGGGAAGAGGAGGAGGAAGAGGATCCCTGGTCGGGAAGCGGGTGATTGATCATCTGATAACGAAAAAAGATAAGATAATCGGCAGGTCATAGAAACCGTCTGGAGCCATCAAGTGAGAAAAGATGCAGGGCATGTGGGAGGAATTGTGGAATTGGTGGAATGGTGGATGCGTCGGCATAGCAAAGTATTGGTGGGCAAATTCCTGAAAGCGAACCATGGCAACCATCAGCAAAAGCCATCGGCACCATCACCACCATGGCACCATCAGATAACTTTGATGCCACGTCCAACCACGTCTGGGCCGCTTTTCCCAACCTCCGCTCACCTCGCTAATTGATCTAATTGATCTAATCAACTCCTCCCTATCTGATATGATTGGGCAACCCCCCCTCCTCGTGTCCTACCACTACGGCCTTTGGCCCGAAACCCTGCGTTGAGGAAAAAATCTTCTTCCACGGACCTAGGCGAACGTGTCCCAAAAAAGCAAAAACACAAGGACCTAAGGAGGCAGTCAGTAAGAGCCAGGAACACCAGGGGAGAGAAAAGAGTGGCTCTTCTTCCATCGATGGAGCGGAGGGGCTGTCGCCGGCATCGGGCTGCTCAAAAAGGCTCAATCTGCGTCTGAAGCTCTAGGATGAACCCGGCCTGCCATGTTAGAGGAGAAAAAATAACCCTCCAAGTCCCCCATCGTCCTATCATCCCACCTTCAAAAATATCTGGTCTCCCCTGGAGGAAAAAGTTGAGCAGAAGAACAACAACATACAGATCTCGTCGTCAATTCATTGCCCTTGGCAAGCCTGTCCAAGCTTTACAAGCATTATAACGAGTCGAGGTCAAGATTTTTCCCAGTCTCCACGGGGGCCATGGCGAAGCTTGTCCAGACGCTGTTCGCCTCGCTGGTGGTTTTGCTACTCACCAGCTGGACCACCGCCAAAACCGTCACATATGACTTCAATGTCAGTTGGGTAATGGCCAATCCAGATGGGTTGGCCGAGAGAAAAGTGATTGGCATCAACGGGCAATGGCCTCTCCCCGTAATCGAGGTCGATAAGGGCGATCAGCTGGTAGTCAACATGTACAATGGCCTGGGCGACAAAAACACCAGCATCCACTTCCACGGCATGTTCCAAAAGGATACCAGCAACATGGATGGCCCGTCAATGGTGACTCAGTGTCCCATTCCGCCCGGGTACAGCTTCACGTACAACTTCACCGTGAACCAGAATGGCACGTACTGGTATCACTGCCATACTGACTTCTGCTACCCCGACGGCTACCGCCAGGCTTTGATTGTGCATGACAAGGATGCCTTCTTCAACGAAGACTACGAGGAGGAATTCACCATCACTCTCAGCGATTGGTATCACGATTTTGTCGAGGATATCCGGTTCCTGTCATTGTACAACCCCACCGGAGCCGAACCCGTCCCCAAGTCGTTCCTGTTCAACGACACCCAGAACTCCAGCATCCCCGTCAAGCCCAACACGACGTATCTACTCAGGCTGATCAATATTGGGGCGTTTGTGTCGCAGTTCTTCTACATCGAAGACCACACCTTCAAGATCATTGAGATTGACGGTGTCTACACCGAGCCGACCGAAGCCGACACGCTGTACATCGCGGTGGCCCAGCGGTACAGCATTCTGCTGACGACAAAGAATACGACCGACAAGAACTACCCGATCGTCACCGTCGCCGACTCAGACTTGCTCGACGTGATCGAGCCCGATCTCCAGCTGAACAACACCAACTGGCTGCAATACAACGCCGACGCGGCGCACCCGCAGGCGGTCATGAAGGTTGACGCCTCATCAGAGTTGGTGCCCTTTGACGACATCACGTTGATCCCGTACGACCACATGGAGCTCCTACCAGAGCCCGATTTTGAGATCAGCGTAACGGTCATCATGGACAACCTGCGCAACGGGTTTGGGTACGCATTTCTGAACGATATCACGTTCACGCTGCCCAAGGTGCCCACGCTGTATACGGTCATGTCATCAGGCGGGATGGCCACCAGCCAGGAGATCTACGGCGAATTCACGCACCCGATGGTGCTCAAGCACAACGACGTGGTGCAGCTGGTGCTCAACAATAACGACGGCGGCACGCATCCGTTCCATTTACACGGCCACAACTTCCAGGTCATTGAACGCGCACCACCCTATGGCGAGCACTTTAACGACTTCGCCGACGGCGACCCAGTACCCTACGACCCCAACAACCACTCGGAGTTCCCAGCGTTTCCCGCACGCCGCGACGTCTTCGTCCTGCCCCCGCAGGGACACTACGTCATCCGCTTCGTGGCCGACAACCCGGGCGTGTGGTTGTTCCACTGCCACATTGACTGGCATTTGGCGCAGGGCCTGGCCATGGTCCTGATCGAGGCGCCGCTCGAGATCCAAAAGACCCACCACATCCCGCAGCAGCACTACGACGTGTGCCGCGCTGGGGGGATCCCCATCCAGGGCAACGCCGCCGCCGACGACGAAGACCTGCTTGACCTCGATGGCCAGAACGCCCAGGTCGGGCCTTTGCCAGGTGGCTTCACCGCGCGGGGAATCGTCGCGCTTGTGTTCTCCTGCATCAGTGCTGTTATTGGCATGGCTTTCATCACCATCTACGGCCTCTCGGAGCCAAAAGTGCTGCACAAGGACGTTGATCCGGCCGATGAGGACGCCCTTCATGACGAGAACGTCCCCGCTGCTTCGGTCGAGCCCAAGGTCGCCGCGGCGGCGGCTCAAGGTTAGTGTGGGGAGGTGTTGTTGGTGGGAGGGGAAGGTGTCTATAGTAATGAGTGTCTGTGGTTCGCAGTATTGTCAATACAATGCCGATATTTTCGCCATATTGACTCTTCTTTTCTCCCTCTCCCATTGCGAATTGCTGAGTCCTCCTCCTCCTCCTCCTATATCTGGTTTCTCTATTTTGTGCGCGTACTACCGCCCTCGTCCAACGCTCCAAGGTGTCAACTTAGCCATACGATCGAAGGTGCATCACACTGTATCATGAAACAGTCCCCTTCTGGCGCCCTAGCTGGTCCATCAAGTCAAGACAGCAGTGCGACGCCCAAGTCCGACCGCGCTGATATGGTCATCAAAAGCTCGAGCTCGAGCTCCAGTAAAAGAGTGACGAACAGAGTCCAATTCATTGACCTAGTACCTACCTAGGGGTTACGGGCGTAAAACATCCACATCTTTTTTTCCTTTCCGTCCTGCACTTGCTAAACAATGTCTCGTCTTCTTTCTCGCTCGCTCGCTTCGTGTCCATGCCCTTGCTCAACCCTCTGTCGTGTCTCCCGTCCCTCGGTTTCGCAACGTGGTGGTGCCGAGAACTCGTTCGACTCGTGTCGTATGCACTATCCTTTACCCCACACGTGTCGAGAGTCGAGAGGAGAGCTCCAGCCTTGATTTTCGGAGAGATCCGTCGAGCGAGAAATTCGGATTCGAACCTGGGCTTACGTGCCATCGTTGTTCCACTGGGCCTCCTTCTGGCTCGGGTGGAGGAATGGAGGAGAGGTAGGTGGTACCACTTTGATCACCGACTCGGGAGGTCAACGGGGTAACATGTAGGGAAATCTTCTCAAGGATGATGAGCGATATTGAAAAGGCCAAACACGCCCCACCTTGCCCCGTGGGATGGGAGGAGATGCCTTCTTCGGCCTCGGACGAGTCGCACGATACACTTGGGCCTTGGTGGTGGACATCATAGACGAGACCAGACAGGATGGTCAGCTCGTGTACATAGGTAAGTCAGTAAATTAGGAATTCCCCCCAGCGGAAGACGCGAGTAGAGCATCTGATTTTCAATGACCTGATGACCAATGCCTGCGTGTCGTAGCGCGATATCGAATATGACATCGGCCTGCGCTCCCATGAGCAGTCGCAGATAGCTAAAGCCGAAAGTCCCGTCCCAACATGGATGGTATACCAGTACTCGCAGTGGGAAATTCCTGTACTAGACTTCGATTGGTTCTCGCGGTGTCGGCATTGAATATGGTTGGCGACTGGCGCGTCGACTGGTGGGTGAGGGAGGAGTTTTCTCTCGATCGAAGGAACAGAGGATTGTTGTGCTGTACATGACGGACAGCCCTGGAAAGGAGTCAACCAAAACACCCTTGATGTCCTTTGCCTTTGTCGAAAAGAACAACAAGCGACTTCTCAGAGGAGTTTTTGGGGCGGGATAGGGATAGTCCGCTCAGGCCTGTCTGTCGGCATCAACCTGCGCTTGGTGTAGGGCTGTGGTGTAGACTATGCAATGCTGGGCCCACGGGCGTGTCTGTTCACATCGATTCTGGCCGTCGAAGCTGAAATGTTCCGATCACGATCAACAAGGATCGATTTGCAGGCCGTTCACACCCTTTGGCACGTTCTGGGTGATAGTCCCAATTTCTCGAGGCAGCTGCGCTTCTCGGAACTACACTGGACATGTTCTCTGCACACAAGATTTGAAACACAGGGCTGATGGAGAGCGCAGCTGGATACACGAGCCGCGATCGTTCACTTGAAGGTCTGTCTGTCTGTAAGCCTATAGGGGCAGACAACGAAGAGTGAACACTGAAGCGAAAAAGACTCCTTGTTGCTTCTTGCTTGTCCTTGCGGCTGAGGTCCGAAGGACACATCCAACTTGTCCATATCGCATACAGTCAGGAGTGGAATCAGTGTTATTCGCCTGATACATATCAATATGTACATAACTTCTGTGGGACGGGTTGGCCCAGCGGGGATCGCGCCACATTGAAAGGCGTGGATAGGGAATAAGAGAAAGGACGAGGTATTCCGAATCTAGTCATCGTCAGCAGTACCTACCTACCTGCCTACCTACCTACAAAGTACAAGTCCATTATCTCTCACGCTCGAGCTCGACACCGCCAATATTGCGTGTGCGTGTGTGCGTCTGTGTGCGGAGGTGTGAGACCACCTGGATCAATGTCGAGGACGAAACTAAGTCCCCCGGCACGACCAGCGCTCCTCGTGTCCTGGTGTCCTCCTCACTCATTCAGGTATCCCGTAGAATCGCTCACCGCTTTAGCTTGAATGCACATGTCCTGACTCTTACTTCGGCAAATCCGTATCCGGGTACTGACCTTCCCTCGTAATCTCTCCCACCACCGTAACCGACTTAGGATAACCGAACGACTCGACTCGCTTCTTTGCGTCCAGCCACCGCCCATGCTCACGAGTCGCGAGCACAAGTCAAGACTTTTGATGGGTCAAGGTTGGGGAATTTTGGAGAATGTCGCTTTTCTTGATTCCCTCACACACGCACACTCTCTCTCTCCGACTCGCAGGGTAGGCTGGTAGGGCAGCGTAGTGCAGCGTAGTGCCGTGCAGGGTCGTTTGGGGGGTTAATAAGGACTCGGTAACAAAACCGAGAACTTTGTCCCTTGTATCTTGCAGGGTTGGACAAGGGGTGGCGGGAATCAAAGTCCGTAGGAACCGGCTGCGTGGTAGGCTTTTGGAGGATAGGCCAGGGTAAGGGCACAAGTAGGTAAACAATCCAGGTAGTAAACAGGTAACAGGTGACAGGGGAATTATGCTGTCGGACCGGCTGGCTGGCAGGCTGAGTGAATTGCTCTGCATTGATGACTACTGGGTACGAGTCCACACATATCCTACAGAGTCGTGTGTTCGTGTGTGTGTGTGTGTGTGTGTGCGGCGTAGATATCTAGATGACGTGTCCCGGCACGCTGGGTACATCTCCCGTCGAGGAGCACATTGTTTTTGCACTCGTCGAGACTCTTCCTCGCGTTAAGCGCCAGTTAACTAGGCTCGTGGAACATGTTCTACGCCGCCTGTTTAGCCGCTCGTTGACTCGAATAATGACCCCGGTTCTTCGGCGTTTTCTAGGTACGCTGGGAGTCACCACCGAGATCCAAGATACGAGAAGTAAGAGTTGAGCCAAAATGGTCTGGGCACGAGACGGCGTCCTAAGATCGATTTTGTTTGTTTTTTACTAAACCGAATTTGCTACGTGTATCTCGCGGGTGATAACTGGAGAGTCGGTAGTAAACTAGAGCGTCTGGGCGCTCCCTTTCTACTGGGAGTGACTGTGGCCCTTGTCGCCGACCACGTCTTCGACTCTCTCAGCCTCGGTCACCTCGGTAGTAGCCTTTTCGCCTTTCGTCTCCGCCGTATCCGGGTAATGGTGTGCCTCGTGGATATCGACGGCCACCTCGTCGCCGAACAGCGCCGCAATTTCCTCCAGAGTCTTGCCGACCGTCTCCGGGTAGACCAGGTACACGACCGTGATGAAGATGGCGTCGGTGATGATGAAGATGAGGAAATAGCGCCACGCAATCTTCTCGACGGCGATCGGCGTGACTTGGACCAGCATGATCGTGATGGCGTTGAAGGTGCAGAACGCCACGGCGTTGCCGGCTGCGCGGATTGGCGTCGGCATGATTTCCGACGGGTATGTGTATCCTGCGTACTCATTAGCGGGACTGGAATGGACGACCAATGACAAAAGACATACCGAATGCGTTCATGATGAAAGCGTAGCCAATAAGGTAGACAAACATGAAGCCAACAGTGAAGCGACCGAGGAGCATATTGGTGTTTCCGGAAAGTTGGAATCGTGCCCAGACTAGCCAATCCGTTAGTGACGCAGTTCCGGTCGAGATACTGACCAACCCAGCGGGAACTTACAGATAACCATGGCGATCGATGCCAGGAATTGCACCCACAGAGATATCAGCAGAGACACTCGGCGGCCAAGCTTGTCAAACAGCAGAGCACCGATGGTGCAGAAGATGACGCCGCAAGTGCCCCAGACACCGACCATAACAAGGGCCGTCTTGTTGGTGACGCCGAGGTAGGTGTACAGGATGAACTGGTAGTTCTGGAGCGGGATGATACCTGTAAACATGGCGAAAGCGAACTGGAAGACCACGATGAACATTCGCTTGCGGTACGACGGTTTGCGAAGAACGGTGCGGATGCCCACGCGTTCGCGGACTTCGAGCTCGTGCTGCGCTTTGATCTGGTTGAATTCTCGGATGTAGAAGTCGTCATCCACTCCGGGGGCACCGTGGAGCTTCGTAATGACTTCCAGTGCCTCGTCGTAGCGTCCTCTCATGATGAGAAATCGGGGCGATTCTGGTAGCAGAGGGACGCAGGCGGCCATCAAAACGGGCGGGACATGCTGCAACCCCAAAAACAATCGCCAGGCGACATCAGAGCTGATGTAGCTGAATCCAAGACCCATCCATTCGGTGACTGGCACACATGTCAGGATACGGGGAATTGACCTCGGGAACCTCCAAGGAAAAACTCACGTGTGTAGCCCAGGTTGATATTCAAGTTATAAAGACCACCAACTCTCCCGCGGAATTCCGGAGGAGAGATTTCGGACATGAACATCGGGCACACGCCAAAGACAATGCCACTTGCAATTCCTCCTATTACGCGGCCAACAAAGAGCATCTCGATGTTCTGGGCGGCAGTTTGAAGGATGGCTCCAATTATAGCCCTGGGGGGTTGTTAGCGACAACTGCACAACCACCGCAAACCGGGAAAACTAACACAATGCAGGCGATGTAGATGGTGGGCTTCCGGCCATATCGATCCGGAAGCCAAAAGTTCAGGCCAGAACCAAAGAAGCTACCTGCGTAGTAACATGATCCTAGAGCCCCAATAGTATTGGAATTGAAGTTGAAGTAGGATATGAACTGAGGATATCCCAGAATAGAGGTGGTCAGGCCCGAGTCATAGCCGTAGAAGAAAGCTCCAAAGGAGAGAATGATGATCGACCAGATGTTGAGCCTGTGAACTGGTTAGATGAAATCAGAGACACTGCTGGGTGTTGCTCACTTGTTGAAGTGTGTCATCTTGCACCACGCGCCTTGGGCTCACGGACTAGATGGAGTTGGTTCAAAAAGGGACCCGGAGATTGAAAAGGCAATGCACCGCTTGATCTTTATAGAACTGCATGTATACTAGCAGATGCGCCCTGTCCTAGTTGCCCTCAAGTCCGAGGTAATGGGACCCCTCGGTTGTATATACAAATGATTGGACGCCACAAAACTCGCGGGGTAAAGCTGGAGAGGAAGATGATTGCGGGGAAACTGGCATTGGTTGCCCGGGGTTAGCCAGAAGTTTGATAGCGTTCCCGCCCTTGTCGCTCGGTATACCTAGTTGGGCAGATATCATCAAAGTGAAGTCTAAGCCGGGGCCTTGGTGGTCTTGTTTCGACGAATAGCGCGGCTCTGACTCAGGGTGGCCCGACTCTTCTGACAGCATCCCACGCTTCCTCAGCTTGACAGCAGGTGGAGCACTTGTTTCTGGGTGGGAAAAGGAGGTCCACAAGAGTTCTAGGGACTGTGGCCACAGTCTGCCTTCTCTCAAAACAGCTATTATCCTCGGTAGAACCTAATTAGGCGCTGCTTGGCCGTGGGGAGCGGTGGTACAACAGTCTCTTGGCCTTTGCTGTCGGGGTAAGCAATTTCGCGAATCGAAGCCCTCCCGCCTCAAAGGCTCAAGAGAACATGGTCTCGACACCTCATGGTCGGGATCGGGCTTTTGAACGCAGGCTAGATTGTGTCCTGCTGTGCAACAAGGCATGGTGGAAATAGCGCCAGGGAGGTTCGTCTTCCCAAACGGGGTGCTTGTAGACATCGGGCCTAGAAGTCTGCGACATGCGTGGCAGGGCTGGACCGCGCATCGGCCTGGGAACGGTTAATCATTCAACTGTTAGGTGGGTAATCTCCCCTTCTCTGGTTGGATCTGGTTGAAGGCAGTGTCCACTGAAGCATGGATAACCTTAGTGTCCGGACCACGAAGGTCATTCAACCATCTCCTTCACCATCCTTACCCATGGCTATACCTCCACGCCCAGTCGGGCATATTCGCCAATCTTGGTCATCTTCGGTATTTTTCCGTGCCCACCTCTCCCTTCAGACCGTCTTGCGTCCGAGTGAACCGTGCTTGGGGTACTCGGTAGGCGTAGCTGGCATAGTCAAATTGCCAGCCACGCTCTTCCTGCAGCTACGACACCAGGGGTCTTCGAGCCCAGTAGCAACATGTGGGCTTGATTGGGCAATGCGCCGTCGGATCTTTGACTCGGAGGCCGCTTCAGGGTCCATGAACCCAGGCTTCGCTGCAGACTCTGCATCAACGGCCGACGCCACCATCTCCTGACATTTATCTCGGTATACCGGATTGGAACTCTTTTCCTTGGTGGCAAGCTCGGGCTGGCGAGGATGAACTGGGGTCAGCCTGGCCCAGGGCTTCCAGCCGCCTGCAATCGCCACCTCTGCTAGGGAACCTGCCAGGTTTCCACCGGCCAAGGCTCGGCTACAAGCTTTGGCCAGATTGTCGTCCATCGGTTGACCTTCTTGTCATATGCTTCTCTCGTCCCCAAGACCGGATTAGGCCTCACCACCATGTTGAAAAAGTCGGACAGCCCACGAGGGGCGTACACGATCCACTCGCCCGCCTCGTCTATTCTCACCCCTAGCATGGCACTTGTTGATATCCACGTGTCGATTCCGGCCTCAACGCTTGCATGTGGCTCACACGTGACACCGTACTTCTGTTCATACCATAGATGAACACGTGCCTGGTTTCGGATTTCCACCTCGACAGGCACATCGGCAAAGTAACGCTTCCCGGCCTGAATGGCTAGGTCTTCCGCCTCGTACGACAAGTCGGAATTTTCATAATAGACGAGATCGTAGTCGAGGATCCCTGTCTCCGGTGGGAGCTTTGAAACGGTGTTCCAGATTGTCTGCGACACTGCGCCGCCAGCAAGGTACCAGTTTGGCAGATTGAGGGCTGCGGCACGAGTGAGCACAGTCATAAGTGATGAGTTGGATGCAAGAATCTCCCGCAGATGGGTGATCTGCAGATGCAGGGGAAGTTGCCCTGGGTTCATGCCAAAGGAGGTGAGGTCGCTCTACAGGGAGATCGCTGATGCTCAACCATATGTGGGTTACATCCCGACGAGCTGTCTCGTTTGCCGTACGTATTCAGCGCATTAGCTGATAGGATTTCTTTGATGGGCATCGGTGGTGGTTGTCAAGGGAAGACGATTAGGCTGACGGCCGCCTGAATTCCATATGCCAAGACAAGGCATTCATTTTGGAACAGTTGGTGGGGACGCTTATGTAATGCTCAGGGCTCGGGCTTCAGCCTCGGCCCGTCCACAGCTCTCTCTACCTTCAGCCTTGTCATCATCCTTCAACCACTCCTTACCAGCTGAATTGTGCCGTCGCTTGTTGCAGACACATTCGCTATACCTCTTCTGTTCCGCTCTTTTCACGCTCGACTCGGTCGAGATCCCAAATCTCCATCGCAGCAAGTCGCCACTTCTCCAGAGCTTTGGTGCCGCCAGACCACTTCCATCTGAAAATTCTTTGCCATCTGTTGACACAGACCAGACCTGCGTTTCAAAGGGCTAGATGATAACTAGTAGCACTTTGTCTCGCCCACCTCATTCCTGCAGATATTGCCAGTCGTTTGCAACGATCACCCCTGATGTCGCGGGAACCGAGGATAGAGTGCGAGAATTCCTGGGCCTGGATCCAAAAGCGCCCTCTGCTCCATACATGAGCCATTTCGAGCCTCTGTCTCCCTTTTATATTTCAACGGCAGAACTGCAGAAAGCATCAGATGATGGCTGTTCGTTCGCCGCATTTCTGATTTCTCACGCCGCTCAAGACGCGGAGTTAGCGAACAAGAAGTTCATGATTGCGGCCAAAGTTACAAAGTACTATTTGTGCCCGGTTCGTATCGAGTTTGGTGCACTCTACGAGTGTTCTCCTGACGCAAAATGCCTGCCAGCAACTGCAATGTTATGGGAACGAACGAGGAACGAGCAGTGGCTGCCTCGACCGTACCCGACCTTTGTGAAGTTCGAGAATTCATCCTGTTCTCCAATGACAAAGAAAGGTAATGCCATCACTAAACAGATACCTACCTCAAGGCTGACCGTCTGAAGGGAATCCTGCCCTTGGCAAGATTGCCAACCTGGGAATCAACCATTACCCGGCATCGGACACAGCATCTGACTCGTACAAAAGCTGGATGTCGACTTGTCTTGATAGGCATCAGGCTTGCCGTCGTCCTGACCCGCACTTTATGCCCACAAGGCTGCTCGAGATTGGCACAATCAACGGGAAATTCAGACTCAAGCTCTGTAACTCAAATAAAATCTCTCCGGGTGCGTATGCAGCTCTCTCATATTGCTGGGGACCGGACAAGAACCTCAAGACCTCGTCAACGAACCTGGCTAGGCACGCCGCTGGTATTGACGCGGAGGACTTGCCACAAACTCTGCAAGATGCGGTGGGAGTCGTGGACAGCTTAGGCTTGACACTGCTGTGGATTGACGCTTTGTGCATTCTGCAAGACGACGAACACGACAAGGCGACGGAAATTGCTACCATGGACAAGGTCTACGCCAACGCCACCGTCACAGTTGCAGCCTCTCGGGCTGTGACCGCGCAAGCCGGGTTTCTTGCGGATCGGCCAGATCCGTGGCCTACGGGATCCAGAGAGCTCTTTGAGCTACCGTATCGTCTCGCAGATGGCCAGACTGGATCCATCGTTCTCGGACCCGACTTCAATAGGCCCGATGAGCCGTTGGATTTCAGAGCATGGGCATACCAGGAGCGTTTACTGTCTCCTCGGATTCTCGACTTTGGAGCGATCAACACTCGCTGGATTTGCTGCCAATCTGTCGAGAGTGACCGATATGCCTTCACCGATGGCTGGGATGGCCTAAATACTCTGAATACGGTACGCGATGACTTGAAGTCGAAACATATTTCGGAGCTGTACGAGAAATCAAAAGGTGGGAAACTGACGAAGCCGCCAATGACGGCCTTTCGCGACCTCTGGAGCGGCATTGTCCAGCAGTACACTGCACGTACCATCGGCGTTGCTGAAGACCGACTCCTCGCCCTTGGCGGTATCGCGCAGCAGTTTGGCACGATCCTCGACGACGACTATAAAGCTGGATTTTGGAGCAGCACTCTCGCGCACTCGCTGATGTGGACCAGGATCGAACACTGGAAACATGAACCCGAGACTCCTCACAGCAAGTACATTGCGCCGTCATGGTCATGGGCGTCGTTGAATGCGTGGGTGGACACTGTATACACGCGAACCCTCGATGAAAACTTCCGAGTCCTGCACTGTCACCTCGAACCTCTGTACAAACACGCCCCATATGGCGCGTTGTCCTCGGGCTTCCTTCGCGTAGCGGGCACGGCCATCGAGACTGTTTGGGGTAGCAACCAAGACAACTCGCGATTTGCTTCCCGGGTTTCCATTCGCGATACCACAGCCAACAGGAAATATGTCGCCAGAATGGAGCATGATCGAGCGCCCACCGACCTCAGCCTCGAGGTCAAAGCCACCTTGCCGGTTCTGTTTCTGATAGTGGCTTCCGGAGATAGGAGAACGGGCAAAGCCAACTCTAAATGTCGGTGCAGGAATCAAGGCTCGATTAAAGGCCTGGTGCTTGAGAGTCTTCCCGGCGGAACATACCGCCGGGTTGGATGTTTCTACCTTGGTGGAATGGAGATGGAAAGCTACCAAGAGTGTCTTCGCCTGTTTCGCGATGGTGGTGTCAGAGAATTCAAAATCGTTTGAGAACAGATTCGATCGTTTCCTCGATTAATAACAACGGCTGGACAACCCGAAGGCGACCTGATAGAATGGGGCAGTACCAAGGTGCTGTGAGGCTGCTGCTCAACTGCGATCGAGCTCGAGCACGAGCAGGGGATATGAAAGACGAGAAGACATCCGTTAACCACACTATATGGGTATACTCTCGATTATCGACTGCGATATCCTTATGTTAGTATACAACGCCCCCTGCAACCGATTAAGAGGGACGGGACCGAGATGTGAATCTCAATTGGAGCCATTCGAAGCGACCTCAATCACAATCTTCCCCTTTGCGCGCCCTGTCTTCAACTTCTCAATCGCCTGCGGTGCCCGCTCAAAAGGGAACTTCTCATCGACCACGGCCTTCACTTTGCCTTCTTTCATCCAGGTCGCAATCTGTTCCAGATCCGATGGTTTCGGCTCGGGAAAAAACCCGACCGACTGTCGCTTCCCGCCTCCCAGGAAGCCGGGCCACACCTTTCTCAGCAGCATATCCAGAATGAAGGCGCGATTGATTTGTGCTCCGACGATCATGAATAGGGCTCCGGGACGGGTGTATTCGTGGCATTTCCAGTACAGCTGAGAGTTTGCGCCGATGTTGTCGACGACATGGTCAAATTTGTGCCCACTCGCTTTCAGAGCGTCCACCACGTTCTGCGTCTTGTAATCGATGACGGCGTCGGCGCCGAGGCTTTTGCAGAGGTCGACGTTGACATTGGAGCAGGTCGTCGTGACGTGACACCCGACGGCTTTTGCGATCTGGATACCAAAAACGCCGGTCCCGCCGGAGCCGCCGTTGATGAAGATCTTATCCCCCGCCTTGACGTAGGGGACGATCGATTGGTGGGCTGTCAGTCCTGCGACGCAGACTGTCGATGCAGATATTGGGTCCAAGCCCTCTGGAATCGCCACGACTTGGTCTTCCTTGGCGACGGCGTATTCAGCCAGGCTCCCACCGGCCAAGTGTGATGTCCCTGATGCCCCGAAGACTAGTTGGCCGGGTTTCAGAGACGAGCCAGACGCTGGGGCGATTAATTTGCCTGCGAACTGTGTAGTCGTTAGCATTTCCCAGCGATCGGTGCAGCGAATAAATAGGTGCTGCGTCTTCGGCGGCAAAGCAGGCTGCGGGAGCAAATCCTTACATCAATGCCGGGAGTTGCTGGCTTTGGAATAGCAAAGTGACTGAGAAGTCGAATCTCAGCAGGTTTGAAGTCGACGGGGTTGAGTGCCGTCGCCAATATTTGCACGAGGTGCTGGTTAGGCGAGGGCTGGGGTACCGGGGCAGACTCGTTGAGGCGGAGGTTCTTCTCGAGTCCACCTTTGGTGCTGGAATATTGCCATGCTCTCATTACGGATGGTAGTGACCCTGACATATTGTCGACGATTCTTTTGCGTATAGTAATTATATGCTGCTATGGGTGTCTTGTCGTCCCTCAGTGACCTGGATATATACTTGATATACCCCTCCATCCCTCCGCGGAGACGAGGTCGGACGGTCGGACGGTCGGCATGTCGGTCCAATCCTCGACGCCGCCAAGTCGTCGTTTGTCGCTGGTGCCTCTGGGTACGTGCTCAAGCACGGAGATGGATGGTCCTGTCTAACCTCTTCACGTGGTCCGTGGTTGTTGACCTGTCTGCAGTGCCTCGACACAAAACCGTCCTTGGGGAATGTCGGGATGGGCATGGCTTGGGTCTCGAGTAGTTTTTGTTTCGGGTGACCTCATGACTTTTGACTGTTTCCACGGGCGGCTGAGCCAGTGGCAGGAACATTCCGGGTCCCATGTTAATCGGCGTGTTGTTAGCCCATTTGCCCATCAGTGCCTACGACAGTGTTGGTGGCCTGACGCAGGAGAAAAGTCATGACATTCCAGGTGTATTAGGTTCCAGGATTTCTTTATCAACCATCCCCGCAGAGTTGACTTGCCAGGCCATGCATGACGATGACTGCACCACAGACTGCTGCCACGACGGCTACTTGTACGCTTTTACGGGAGCCGACAAGCAGTCAGCATACGCCGAGGGCGTTGACTCTCCAGCTCCTGCGATCTCCTGTCAGCGACCTCCGCGGCTCATCCGCCCAAGTTTCATGACGTGTTATTTCGCTTAAGTAGGGGGCGGTGACTGGCGCTTTTCCGTTTCCTGGATTCAACTTGCGATGTGCCTTTTGGGCCCTCAGGCCCTTAAGACGAAGCGGGGAGGCGGAGCCTTACGGACGTTTGGGTGGAGCTCCATCTGGCATTTCCCATTCGTATCAAGACATGGCCTCTATTCCACTTGTTCCCATTCAAAACTCTGCGGGATCTTCATGGAATGCGCGAGCTTGGTTGTTCTCTCTCTATCCGTACGACCCGTACAATATACACGCGTTACTGGTTCCAGAAATAAACGAGATCTGCGAAACACGGGCTTCCCATGTGCTGCGACTAAAAAAGGGGGCGCATACAACAACCGTTCATGATTCGCTCGCCGTCACCCACAGCTGCGGCATGGTTTGGCTCTCATCTAGGCATCATCCAAAAGGAATAGATGGAAAAGGTATGGAACACGAGTAAGTCGTGGTAAGTCACTGGTCACTGGCTTGCCCTGCCCCCACCTTCAACCCAAGACCAGGAACCCAATCCAGCCCGGCCTGTTTCTGTGTCTCCTTGAGAGAAGGTTGAGCTTGTTCGACGTATTCGCGAACTCGATTGGGCGTATTCCTGTCCTTTTGGGTCGTTGGGTTTCTTGTTCTACGATCCCAACCCCTACGGCCTTATCGCAAGCACCGCAGGCTTTGGGATGGTTGTTCATCCTATGGTGACACGGATACTGGGCGCACGACAAGGTATCATGATGCCAGCCATCGATCGGTAGGTCCCATGCTGGGTATATATGTCGATAACCACATTGCCCTCCAAACACTGGACATATATACCCCAGTGTTTATATATTCGCCTCGAGGAACCTCAGGAAGAAACATTTCAAAGGTGACCCAACACATCAATCAGGCACTCTTCATTCCATACCATCCCTCTCCTTCGCTCTCTCTGCTCTCTTTTGATCGAGTCAAACCACCGTCGGAGCGACATAGATACAGAAGAACCAACACACTCTTTCTATTCCATATCAACTCCTCACGATGGTAAACTCGACCGAGCCAATCTTCATTACGCCAGACGGCACCATCTACATCGGCGGCGGCGATGACGCCAACTGCACCGTGTCCGTGTGCCCGATCGACATGAGCGTCTACGGCTACCGACCGTCGCTTGGTGCCAGCGGTGCCCTCATCGCGCTGTACAGTCTCTGCATCATCGCTCAGGTGCTCCTGGGATGGCGGTACCGGGCATGGGGATTCATGAGTCTCATGGTGCTGGGCTGCGTCGACGAGATCATCGGATACGTGGGGCGGATCTTGTACTGGCAGAACCCGTGGGCGCAGCCTGGGTTTATTATCCAGATTGGTAAAGCCTCACTACTGTGTCGTGGTCATGTTTGTGTCTAACGAAAAGAAAAACAGTCTTGATCACCATCGGGCCCGTTTTCTTCTGTGCCGCCATCTACGTGTTGCTCGCTCAGATGTAAGGATTCCCACTACTACTACCCAGCGTTTAGTTCCCAACTTGTTGCTGACCTGCCTCAACACAGCGTCAAGTACATCTCCCTCTCATCCTCACGCTTCGCCCCCAAATACATCTACTGGATCTTCATCCCCTGCGACATCATCAGCCTGGCCCTCCAGGCCGCGGGCGGGGGCCTGTCATCCTCATCGGACGGCGGATCCCAGTCGGGCGTCGACATCGCCCTCGCGGGATTGGGATTCCAGGTCTTCACGCTCGCAGCATTCGTGGTGCTGGCCATCGACTACGCCATCCGCAGCCGCGCCGTGTGGATGTCCGTCCCCCGCCTGCCCCGGCGCTTCGTCGTCTTCTGCGGGTTCCTGTCCGCGGCGACGATCCTGATCCTCATCCGTTGCTGCTACCGCGTCTACGAGCTGAGCGGGGGTTATTCGCGCGACAGCGACGCGTTGAGGGATCAGACGCTGTTTATCGTCTTTGAGTCTGTGTGAGTACCCACTAACTACCTCCTCAAGCCCAAGAGATCTCTGGGATGTCAGCCCTAGCTGGATTGTCTCCAGGACTAACACTCACTATCTGATTTACTCTCTGAGCTATTCTGTCCTTCTGTCCCCTGTCTCCCTGACTGACTTTATATGAATATAGAATGATCATCGTCGCCTCCTTCTGCCTCATCCCCGCCCACCCGGGCTTCGTCTTCAAGACCGGCCACGAACAACTCATCCCGGACGACGAGGCCATGGCCGAAAAGCGCATCTCTCCCACCATCAGATCAGCCAGTGACTCGCCAGAATAGGTTGAGAGGCTTTGGAGGAGATATTGACGAGGCGTTGCCGGAAAATGCGAGCTCTGGAGTTCATACAGGTGGGGTACTTGGATGACACCAGGGCCGTTGGGTATGTGACGCTAGACGGTGTTTTGACTGCGTGCGAATGTGCACCACTCAAGGAAAAGGGTAATAGATCTTGGTCAAAGGGGACATGGACTCGCAGTCCCTTTACTCGCAATATTGCCGTCCTTTGGGTTCCATCATTTCTCTGGGTGAAACGACCATAAACTCCGAAGAAAAGGGCATCATATTCAGTCGGTTTCTTGTCCATACAGCCAACAGATCTGATCAAACCTCTACTGAGACAAATCGAATCCTGGAAATACAACGTTAGACATTTCATGTTTTCGTTCACTATCGTATTCCCACTCCTACGCCAGGGATTGAGTAGCACGGACTACCCGAAAGCATTGTTGAAATCGACCGTCGCGAGGGGCCAAGAGCTCAGAGTATTGAAAAGAAAAACTGGAGCCTAGAATCCACGGGAGACGATGTAGATATATTTAACCCTTTGATGGTGCCTTGGGTGCCTTGGGTGCCTGAGGTACTCGTAAAAGTCCCATATGGCATTCATTGGGTCGGAGGAAACTTAACGTCAGCTGAGCTACACCACCCTGCCAAAGTTAGAGGCGACTCGATCAGTGTACCGCGTACAGCTGACATATGCCCGCAAGACATCGCAACAGCCAGGTGTAAGTAGAAGGACGAATTGCCCGAGAGAGAGAAATGGTTGGCGTACCAGGAAAGTCGCAAGGCTGTAACACATGCAGAAGGAGAAAGGTCAGGGTACGTATACGTGGGCCGTCACTGTTACCGTCCACGCCATCTAACGAGGTCAGTGTGACGGGACAAAACCTCAATGTCGGAGATGTATCGCCTCACAAAGACAATGCGAAGGCTATGACCGATACCCAGTCTTCATCATTCGGGACCAAACGGGGCTCCAGAGACGACGGCCCCTCGAAGAAGCACGATCAGCCACCACCTCTACCACACCACAACCTACGGTGCAGAATGCCGACACGATACTCCTTTCCAAGCCTTCTTCTACCCAACTCAACGACGCTCAGCTGGTATCCTCCTTCTGGGACCGCTACTCTGCAGACCCGACACGGTCTTCGAGAGTGAGGGAACCGGCCTGGCTGTACCATTCGCTCTGCATCACGACACCAACGACGACCTTGAGACTCGCTCTTCTCTCTCTCGCAGCCACGAGGACGGGCAGACTTCAGAATAACCAAGTTCTACTGACCAAGGGCCAGGAGCTATACTGCCAGGCTCTCCGATCGATGCAAACCGCTTTGTACAACCCACAGCTCATGCGGAGCGACGACACCCTCGCGGCAGCCCGCTGCATGGTCTTGTATGAATCCTTCGAGTCCACCTCGGGGGACATGGGCGCCTGGCAGAACCACATCAAGGGCATCGCGCGGATCATCCAGCTCCGAGGCCCCGAATGTCATCGTGACCCGCTCCCCAAATCTATCCTCGAGTCGATGCGGTACAACGCCATGGTCGTCTGTCTGACCACGAAGGAATCGTCCTTTCTCGGCGGCTCGGATTGGCTGATGCAGCCGTGGACCGGGACGCCCAAGGATTTCGAACAGCAGCTCTACGACTATGGGTTTACGCTGGCCAATCTCTTCCATCGGGGCGAGGAGGCTTGTCGGCATTTCGACCAAGGTGTCATCCTCCAGATCCTCGAACAGATCAGGGGCTGCTATTCCGGCATGAGAACCCTCAGAGAAGAACTCATGGCCTTTCAACGAGAACACGACCACTTCAACGGACGTGGCTTACGTGACCCATCGTCCAGCAAGCCCATCGAGACAGGCTCTGCCTTTGATTGGGCCCTCCTCCTCGCCCTGGAGCTCTCATTCTCCATATTCGCCGTCGCCCTAATCGACCACTGTCCTGCCGACCTCTTGGACCAGCGTCCAGATCTTCGAGCAGAGATTTCCGCGTACACGGACACATCACGCCGACGGGACGTATCGAGGCTCGTTATTCGACTTGTCCACCGCTGTCTCGGCGCGGGGTTCGAGCATGCGCGACAGCGATTCATTTTCCCGCTGAACGTGGTGAGGTGGGAGGTGAGGAAGACGGCCGAGGACAGCGCGCGGGTGAAGGCGCTCTTCGAGACGATCGCGTCGGGAAATCAGTTTCGGATCGCGCGCAGCGTACACGATGCGGGCTGTTCGACCTTGCCGAGCGTGGTATTACGCGCGCGTTGAGCGAGCGGTGAATGGGATGAGGTAGCGGCTGGACAGTGAGTGGGAGGTCATGAGGCACACAACGCCCCGACTGACTGGCTCAAAGCCTCAAACCAGCGAGCTTGGCATTGACCAGCCCCCAACAACAGGACTCAGCAATAGAATCAAAAGTGTGGTGGTGATGACAAGAGTTCTCTGCAAGGGCATCGCGTCCTCTACTTGAATGAGAATTCCCTGTACTTCCTCTCCACCCTCTTCGCTTCCCTAAAAGCAGCAGTATTAAACCCCCGAAATGGACTGCTACGCCGTAGATCGACGGATCAGGCTCCAGCCGAGCATTATTAGCCACATGGAAACTAGATATCTCGACGTCACCGCCATCCATCGTCTCATCGTAGTTCTTACGCCTTCTCCTGTAACGAATGGCCACCTACCTCCCAAGCCGACATCCTTCTGAACCCCCTCCATGTCCACTGTCCGTTTCTTCGACTCTATCCCCCACATCGTGCGTTATGGCATGCACGATGACAAGGAGCCCAAGTCGCAGACGCTATTCTACCGCAACGGCGTCTGTTTCAGGGTCCATGTCTCGGGGGAAGATGTCGCGGGAACACCTTTCGCAGAGAAATGGCTCGAACTGATCAAGCGGAAGAATGTGGGCGATGACGAACCGAATGGTTGGATCCGCCGGTGGGAGTCGCTGTGCGATTGTGTCATCACCCCGTGCTTGCCTTTGCTGGAAACCCTGGCTCCCAGCTCGCATAAATGGACAACCTTGCACGATTACCTGCACACGCCGACGTACAAGTTGAAGCTGGTCGCTGACGAGCAAGCTGCGCATGTTGTGCCCAAAGTCGCCGAAGGGCCGAAGGACCGACCCTCGTACGAACATAACCTTATGAAATTCTCGGAATTCACATCCTTGCCCAAAGATGCCCCTCGATACCCAGCCGAGGATCTTGTGGTCCTCGGCCAAGAAAAGAACTGGCGCCGCCCGCCGCACAAGGTACGTGTGCCAGGTGGGGATGTGGTTTACTTCCGGCCCTGCAATCAACCCGTACGACATGGCAGGACCGGACAGATCACGAACAGTTCCGTTGACATCATCAACGCGTACTCACGGCTTCATAACGCAGAGTTGACCCAGTCGAGCGAGGGGGGGTCCCAGGGTGCAGCTAAGAGAATTAACATTCCAAGACTGCAGGGAATCGTTGTTAGCCATGCAGGCTCAAGCCCCGATGAAATCACTACACCTCCACCGCAAGAAGAGGAACTAGCCAAGTCATCAGAAGAAAAGGAGCCACTTTGTGCCGGGATCCTGTTAAACTATGTGCCAGGGGCGAAGACCTTGGCCGAGGTAATGAAGATGTTCAGCAACCAAGATCACCCATTCAACATTTCGAGTCATGCCGAAAAGTGGCGGGGACAGATCGCCACAGCGGTCGAACACCTCCATGCGCATCGTATCACGAAGGGGGGTCGATCCGACGGTCCCAATCCGTGGTTCCTGATCAATCAACACACGGTCTACCTTGCCAGCATGGACTGGGACAATATCTCTTTTGGGCACACGGAGGGAGCCGGCCTCGAAGACGCCGACGCCTGGTTGATGCTCGAAGGTGGCTGCACGGTACACCCGACCACCGAGCTCGACGGGGAGACCGAGGTTGAGAAATTCAAGCAACAACAAGCCATGGATTGGGAGGCTGTGGGGAAAGTGTTCCAGGGCTGACGGGACGGGGGGCGGCGGAATCGTAGTCGCTTACGCGGGAGAGTTCCGAGGTCAGGCAAGACGGGAACTGTACTGCACATTACTTTCCCATCGCTTACGAAGGGGCACGTTGCCAGTTGTGAGATTATATCTCTATCCATCCATCCACGTGAAGTCTAGTGGAGAAGGGCCAAAAAGGGGCAGGCATCCCTGGACGTTCTCGATTCCTGATCGCCATAACCATAGCCCGCAATGAGGAAGCCGTATATATGACGCCTCGCAGTCGCCGGTATAAATGCTGGATAGTGCTGGATGAAACCTGGACAAATACTGGACCATTGAGTTTATACTGAGGCACTCCCGTGAACTGGTTTCGCGAGTCTGGTATGAATCCTCTTGCCCGGTGAACAGGAGAAATCCTACAAGGACTGTGAGGGCCGGTATGTCCCTACATTTGTCTGCCGTCTGCCGTCTGCGTACAGCGTATCCGAGGTGGTGGCTCTATCCTCTATTAGAAGAAACGGTATCACTCTGTACAAGGCGAGATTCGATCCACCAGGTCAAGGTCTCTGTCGCCATGGGTGATCATCACCAGTGATTAAATTTTTCCTGCTAACGTCTGGGAAGAATGGCGAGAATGTGTTTATAAGAGAGGTCGGTCTAGATGCGGGGACGATACGTGGTGGTCAGTCAATCAGCCAGGCAGAAGAATAGGATGATTATTCTATATAGTCAGGCAGGCAGACAGACAGTCAGACAGACAGACACAGAACTGAAATGACACAAAAGTTCTTGTATAGTGTATAGAGTCAGGCAGTCCGGCTGCCTCAGACCGCCTCGCTCTTCTGCGTCTGACATACAGCATTGACAAAGTACGGCCGTATGGTGGGTGGGTGGGTGTGTGAGCGGGTAAAGTACCACCCGTCCAGACCTCTCCAAGGATTTGCTGCCATAAGCAATTCCTTCATTCCTTCGCAGCCTGAGCTTGACTCTTTTCCGGTCTTTACTCCTCGTCCCCGATTCGACGAGTTGTTCGAACCAATAGATTTTCGTATTATAGAGACGGGCAAAGACTGATTATTACGACTCCTTGTCCCTGTCGGCGGCCTCACTCTGAGTGCGTTGGTCGTGGCGGTGTCGTGGTCTAGGTCCGGGTTTAGCCACCGTAGTATCAACATGGCTTCGCTCACCAGGATGACACTGACTCCAACACCGTTCGGAGACGAGGTCGCTCTTGTGGCTCTGGCGCCAACATCGAGGCAATCACGTCCCTTGTGTTGGGCGGCAGTCTTTGCAGCAGATGAAACGCTCCGATGGAACAGGTGGGAAACCGCATCGTGCATGCGTCCCAATTGGGGCAATGGTCTTTGAGCCTGTCATCTGACCTCTGTCGTGTCACATAGGCCTGGTAGCCCGGGTCGTCGATTGAGGCCGACGACCACGGAACCGATCCCGTAATCATGGCGTGGAATAGAATGCCGAGGGCCCACACGTCGGCTTTTGCCTTGTCGAACTCGAGCTGGGTGAAGACGTCGGGAGGCATGTAAGCCGTGGTGCCATAGTCTCCGGGGACGACGTTGACCCAGTCTGCTGCGCCGGAAGATTCCGTGGGACAGTGGGAGAAAGTGGCGGCGCCAAAGTCGATCAGTTTGGGCCTCCCGTCCGCCGTCAAGAGGACATTCTCCAGCTTGAGGTCCCCGTGCGCTATATCCAGAGCATGGACATGCTCGACGGCCTGAACGATGTCCCGGAACAAGTCTGTCAAAGACCTCGGACTGGTTGAACGACGCTCCTTCGCCAGACTCCGTGGGCACAACTCGGTCACCAGAAACCATGTCGACGAACGTGTTTCCCACAGCAGCTCAATACTCTCGGAGATGCCAGGATGGCCATTGACGAGGGATCCCAGGTGATACTCGAGCTTTACTCTTTGTGTCAAAAGGTCAGGTCGATCTGCGGCCGCGTTGTGGAATCGCTTGACCGCCACCGTAGCATTGTCCGCATGACGTAGAAGCAAAAGAACAGAACCCGACGAGCCAGTACCCAGTTCGTTCACAGATGCTCCATAGTCAGACTCCAGGCCCTGTGGGAGTATTGTGTAAGGAACCTGGGAGTAGTCGAGCCAGCACCGAGGAGACGTGGGCCCTGCCGAACAGCAGCAAATCAAGTCCAGGAAGACAAGACCAAGGAGGTAGAGCACAATCCTCCCCTGTCTGTTCATCGTCGATCCAAGCTGGAGATGACCATGTCTCCAAGGTAATGGCGGCAGACTGATATTGGGTGAGGAGTCCATATGTACGAGTCAAACCTCATGGGCCGGGTCCATGCGTCGTTGCTTTATGGCGTCCAACTCCACCGAGGAGCATGCCCTATGTCGTATGTCGTATCTTGTCGGCATGTTGTCGATGTGTATGTGGCAGGTCAGCTGTGTACATCCTCGCCATACTAGGATCATATCAGCCCCAAAACATCGGTTATATCAAAGTATGGGTCAGGCCCTCCATGCACATTCATGCGTGGTCAATTCTTCAGAGGCGATCTGCAAGCATCAAGCTGAGAACCAGACGAGGTTTGAGGTGCGAGATAGCAAGGTGGTACGAGATGGAGATGGATCCTGACGTCTGTGTCTCGATAAGTCGAAGGATGATGGTCGGTCCAAAGAACCTTTAAATAGTGGATCCTTGAACCCACTTGGTTTCGTCAGCTGCTCGCGTGCCCTTTTCCCCCTTTGGGGCTGCAACCGCCGTATCATATCGCTCTCCTCCGTTCGTACCTGGTGGACATGGGCTTCGGGAGATGTCACCGGGACGTTCCTCATCTATTCCATCTCACCTTCCTATAAGAGTTTAACGCCTCGCATAAAGAGCTGTGACTCGTTTGCCTGCAAGTACAAGTACACAGATACACAGAACCAGCCAATGGTTTAGGAGACATGGCTGACTCCTGACAGTAAGCGACGACACTTTCCCTCCAATCCATGCCCTTTACTCGCCGCTCATTCCTCTGATTTGGCATTGCTGTCTGGATCCGCAAGCTCTTCTCTCAATGAGGGCCAATAGCTTTGGTCTCAAATGGAGTTCCCCACAATCCTTCCTGTGGAGATGCACAACTGTGCATCGTACAACAGAAGACTTGATGATGAAGAAACATTACAAGGCCCCCTCAATATCCATGGTACGGTAAGGCAGTCCATCGGCCCTCAACAAGACAAGCTGCAATCTCACCGCCAGCTCAAGACTCCTCAGCTGTGTCCTTGAGGCTCTTCCCGCGGACATGGAGCCGAAGGTAGCACTGCATCGGCGGTTGAGCAACGATAGCGGTGTCTTCGAGAGTACACGTCTTTTGCGTTGCATCAGCTAATGCAAAGCATACACCCAGAGTGCCTGGATATGTGCTGCTAGCCTGGCTCAGCTAAGCCGGTGTCACCATTACTCGGTGATCGACTGAAGATTTGTGGTCCTTTTGTGCAATCCACCGGGATCTGCACCACCTGTGGCCCTCACAGAGTGTGGAGAGGCAAGGCTTGTGTGAGCTTAACAGTGTTTGGTCGCTGAGCTTACCTGCTAGATTGCCGAGCTGGGCCAATACCGTTCCATGCCGTGCACTCGATCAGTGAGTCTAGCCCTGATATGTTCAGTACGTTCCATATTCTGACTCTCTATTTAGGCAAGAGCGTGACATAGAGTGGTTCATTGGCGCAGAGCTCCGTTTGACCTCGGTGAGACACATTTAGAGCCAGGCTCTGTCGACATGGGTTCATGTATACGACGTGGATGAACCTGGTAATTCTGCACGCCTGCCCGAACCAGGAGATGCGAATCTGTTCCATCACAAAGGCATATGCGTGGCCACTCGTTCTCAGCTCATGGTCAGCTTCTGTACATAACGCATGCGACCCTCCTTGATACCGGTATCACAAGCACCGCAGCTCCGTCGATCCACCAAGATGACCAGGGACGGCCAATGCCCTTTACCAGGACTGGAGTGTAATAATACCTTGCCACGGACACGATAATCTTCCAGAGGACAAGAACAGATAATGCTCGTCAATCAACTATGGGTCCTACACAGTGGCGGGGCCACCCGTATGACGAACAATCTCCCATGGTCCGAGAGGTCAGGCTTTGCAAAGAATCGACATTGCACTCGCCGAAGGGGTATATAAACGAGGACCTCCTCCCCGTGCCTCTTGAGATTTTTGACCTTCTCCAAGTCTCTACCAGTCTCGTTGAATTCTCGATCAGGCAACCATGAAGTTCTTGCAAGTCACCTCCCTCCTGACGCTGCTTGCAGCATCGGCCTCGGCGTTGCCAACAGCCCCGGCTCCGGATCCCTTGAGTAAGTGTTTTGAGCGTTGATTGTGGATGGGGTGCTGACAGAGGGCGTTAGAGGCTCGCACTGCGGCGCTCATGGGAGCTGCGAAGCGGTCTCCCGAGATGGACATCTACCATGCTACTGCGAAGAGATCCCCGGAGATGGACATCTATCATGCTACTGCAAAGAGATCTCCTGAAATGGATATCTACCACGCAACAGCCAAGCGGTCTCCCGAGATGGATATTTACCACGCTACCGCTAAACGCTCCAAACGCTCACCAGAGATGGATATCTACCATGCCACTGCTAAGCGATCCCCAGAGATGGATATCTATCACGCTACCGCTAAACGCTCACCGGAGATGGACATTTACCACGCAACCGCAAAGCGCTCCCCAGAAACGGACATCTATCATGCTACTGCTAAGCGCTCACCAAAGCCGGAAATGGATATCTACCATGCCACCGCTAAGCGGTCCCCAACACCAGAGATGGACATCTACCACGCGACAGCTAAACGATCCCCGGAGATGGATATTTACCACGCTACCGCCAAACGGTCTCCGGAAATGGACATCTACCACGCAACTGCAAAACGTCGCTAGAGGGAGAGCTAGGCCTTCATACAGAGCTCTGGCTCCGGTTCTGCTCGCATAATTGAGAAGTGAGAGACGAGGAGGAGACGAAGTATTCGGGGAAGAGAACGACGGACGACAGCGAACGCGAAGGGGATTCTAGCTCTCAGACAGGAACAGCAACAGGACAATCATTCAACCACAGATGTCAACGAATCACCTCTGTCTCCCTCTCTGTGTGTGTCTGCGTGTGTGTTTGCGGACTTGGTGGGGAAAAAAAGGGTCCATGCGATTGGCAAGCGAATACCTACTGGGTGCCTACCTACCTACCTGCCTACCTACCTACCTAGGTACTTTAGGTAGACATGTAGATCGATAGGTAGATATATCCATACCATTCCAATGACCCAGACCCCCCCTTGCCAGTAAGCCAGCCCCCGGGAGGCCTTTTATAAAATAGAACAAACCATAGGGAAAGGGGGGTTAATAACTTAAAGTACAACTCAATAACGTAGTAACGTACTATTAGGAAAGATGTAACAGTAGCGAGCCGTAGGGATTTACTGGCTCTAACCCGAGATGGTGGAAGGGAGGAGAGGTACTCTCTCACACTCATATAGATGAATGGATGCTCCATAAAAGCCTGTATCGGCTCGAGTCAGGTCTCATGATGATTCCTTCCACGCAATCATTTCCCTCACACTCCATGCTCTATTATTGCCGGCCATGTCAGACAACTGGACGGTCAGTATAGAATAGCTCTGTAATCCCCCACTTGCTTCCTCCCTTCCTGTCTGCCACGTCCCACGTCGTGTCCGCACATATACCCTCCTCTACCCGAGCCTTTTTCTCTCCTTCTCTTTCTCTCTTCCTCTCTCTCCTCTCCCCATATTTCTGTCGTGTCTTCCCGCTCCTCCTACTTCGTAGCTGACGGACCGGACTTGCTTCGACTATCACCCCCTTCCTCGGTTTCGGGAGTTATTATTCACCTCCAATGCCACTGTCAGAGTACTCACCCCGATCCTCCGACGACACGCTCGTCAAGCAGCAACACTCTCCCTCCTCACCGTCATCGCTGGATTCCTCTTCTCTCATAACCGAGAAGCTGCACCGGCACCACACCCTCCACCCTGCGTCCTCGGCCCTGGCGAACCTCCTGCGGCGCAAGCACGCGGGCGGAGATGACGACGAGGAAGACGACGCCAGTGGGGGCTACCTGATGCGCGACCACCGAGCACACAGGACCCAGAGACTGCTGCTGGGGTGTATCGGCGTGCTCTCGATCCTGTGTGCCGCGCTGACCATCGCCGTGGTCAAGCTCAGCGTCACGCCCAAGGACGTCTTTCGCCATGTCCCCGAGGCCAAGGCCGAAGTCATCCACTCACCGGGCGTGATGCCTCCGATCCTGGGACCTGAATGTATGTTTGTTTTCGTTTCTGTTCTTGTCGAGATTCCAACATCCGCTTTCCTCTTTCCTCTTTGATACATCCAGTAACTTGCAGAGTGCTCGTTATATGGGTGTTGGCCCCGCTAACCTTTTTGATTCTTTCCAGTCACGAAAAAGACGGTCCTCTTCCAGCGCAACGAGTCGTTCATGGGATCCAAGGAAAAAGCCTACCCTGCGTGGCACGAGATCCTGCATCGAGCACGACACGGGCGTGTGGCATTCGACAGTATGCCCGGAGAGTTCTACGGCGTTGCCGGGTACCATCAACTGCACTGCGTGGTATGTCTGTCCCGTTAATCCGCCAATGCTTCGTAGCACACCTTTTCTGGAGGCTCCATCATGTTTGCTGACCTTGACTGCTTGACAGTGGCTCCTCCAGTGGGCTGTTGACTACTCGGTCCGCGGCATCGTGCCCGACGAGTTGACCGCCGACCACATGTTCCACTGCACCGAGTACCTGCGACAGTCGGTCATGTGCTACGCCGACCCGACGCTGGAGCGGCGCTTCGAGGGAATCCTGGGCCCCTTCAGCGCGAACAACACCCACGTCTGTGGCGATTGGGACAAGTTGATGGACTGGGCCGACGACCATATCTACCTCGGGCCGTACCTGAATCCCACCACGAAGCTACCGCCCTAAGTAGGTGTCTTCAGATCAGAGTGAGAGAACAAGGGCGAGGTGTTGCAATAATCAGCTGAGCGTCAATAAATTTCATTGATTCGAGGACAGAATCCCCATTGGTGGTCCGAGCATGCTGTATCTTCTCTATAAAACTGTAATCGGCCCATCTTCAATCTCGCTCTGGCCGTGAGACTTCTTCCAATTTCCGAGAAGACTTCATTCGCTTTGTGGCCTGGATAAATAGTTCTGTAAAGAGAAGTAGATCGAGAGGAAGAGTGGCGGCTTGACAGACGCTGCTTGTGCTTGAAGTATGCCCGCTGTCGGAGCGTGTGAACCAGGACTCGGGCTCAGAGCTGGCCCGAGACTCAGGGTCACTGGAGACATTGAGAGACTGTCAGCTGCATTACGTGCCTTTGTTGTCACCGAAGCCCTGGTATTTGTCGCTTCAGGTCCCGTCGACGCACATGATGAATGCCATCACGAGGCTTCTTCGTGCAGGGAGTTGTTCACTGCGGACGTTCTTTTCCCCCCTTAGAAGCCTGAGTGACAACGTCAGTCTCAGGGAACTGATGAGCCACACACCACCTCGCTGGTGGGAAATACTGGCTGGGATGAAATGCGAGGTCAGCCGAGGGAGCATCTTCTGAGCTCTCTGATCAATCTAGACAACGGCTTCCACGTAACTCTGAAGCGAGATCACCCCCTCTCTTCCCAGGATATCCCACCAGCATCGAAGCACAACATGCGTGCCAAGTGCCGGCTTATTGATGTCGTCGGGAGGAGCGCACCATGGCAGGATCACCAGAAGCCATGGATAGATAATTCAACTGGCCTATCAGCTCCCCAGATCTGCCAGGACAAAAATGGCTGATGCAACCAATTGACCACGTTTCGATTTTCCGTACTCTTCGTACCAGGTGGAGACGGCGTGCGTGCCAAGGTCGAACGGCGTCATTGATCAACATCTTGAAGATTCCTTCAAGAACCAGGAAAATACTGCGGCGGTTGCCCCTGTTGTATCGGTGCGACCGGACCAGCGACCACCCCGCCGACACCAACGTTCGGGACACTCTTGCTCCGTCCGTGAAAGGCCATCATGATATCGTCCTTGTCTGCCTCGACATCTGGATCTCGCTGACTAGGTCGTTGTCTCCGCTTCATCCTGACCCGCTCCCTCGCGAACTTCAGCTGGTCTAGAGTCTGCTTCACGGCCTGTCTATCTGCGCCATCTTCGTCCGTGTTGGTCAACTTCACCTCCGACTCGGATATCAGGCCGTCGAGCTCCTTCTCCTCGCCGTCCAACTTGCGCAGACGCTGGCACTCTTCCTCCCACCAGAACAGCATCCCGACGAGTTCCTTCTGTCTATAGATATTCAACAGGGCCAGCTGATGGGGGAACTTGGGCCCGATCCTGTGCGTGTCCACCAGTCCGTCCTCCATCAAGATCTCGTTCTTTTTCAGCTTGGCGTAGACTTTCTTGCTCACGCTTTCTGAGTCGACAACGCCGGCGACGTAGAAGGATCGCTCATCAAGTACGTAGGGGTTCGCAGAGGCGATCTGGTGCATGTAGCACATGTCCCGACGGTAGCCCGTCAGGTCACCTATGCGGGAGGGGGTCTCATCGGCGAAGAAATTGGGGACGGCGGCATGGGCGAAGCGCGTGAAGGAGAAGCCAAGAGATCCGTTGCGCTTGCGATACATTGTTGCCGCTGGCTGGACGGGAATACAGGCTATGACTCTAAGATTTAGTCGGAAATCGTAGCGTACTGTCTTTTGCAAACGAAGGGGTGGTTTCAGTGCGGGAGGAACAGAACTAAAAAAACAGAGGAAACGCGGGGCAAGTTTAAAATCTGGTGAGAGACGCGGAACATTGGAACATTGGAACATTGATCAAGGGCCGGCTGAACCGGAAGGAAGAATGACATTGTGGACAAGTAAGTACCAGTACATGTCCACAACTAGCAAAGGCTGCAGAGGGGGATTGCTGAGCAGTTACTCATACTATATAATTCTACCACGTGTTTGTACATGAGTGTGTCATTGGCCATAATCTGAGTATGTCACCACAACGAGATCATCGTGGCCCCGTCGATCGCCATTCGACTCGGATGTATCAGGTCCCAGCAGGCTTGACCGCGCCGTGTATCGAGAAGCCTACCAATGCTCACAGGCCTCTTGTCCGCTCTATCTCTTTCTCTTAATCTCTTGTCTTCTCTAGATCTTGGTCTTCTTTCTCCTGTGCTCTCTATTCTTGCTCTTGTTCTCTCAGAGGGACTTGCAAAGCCCAATGTATTTGCCTCCACCTACCATCCGGTTGGCGAAATGAGGAAATTGTTGCATTCTGTCTCAGAACGTGAAAGTTGAATGAGTGGGGAGATGATAAAGGGAAAATCGAAAGGCACGTCCGTAACGCCCGCCCATCCCCAGAACATCGACTCGTCCATCAGGTGGAGAGGTGTCGTGGTAGCTGCGGCTCGTCATCTTTGTATGGCTCTCCAGCTGCTTCCCGGGCCAAATCGTTGATCCATCTCTCGTTTGGTTGGAATGACTTTCCGCCCGCAACGCTTGAAGCGAGGTACATCCAGCTGAGGGCATTCCCAACCGTGTGCACTTCGTCACTGACATGTGTCCGCGCGTATTCGCTCATGCGACCGTACAGTTCCCTGTCATTTACCAGATTGTATAGATGCTTCGCAACAGCTTCGTGATCGCCACGTTGGACAAGGTAACCGCTCTTGCCGTCTTCGACTTGAAGTGGGATGCCTCCAGCGAGGGTCGCAATGATTGGTTTTCCCTGCCGGCATGTTAGTAACATATCAGACTAGAATACCACATATGATTTACCTTGTGCAAGGCCTCCGACACCTTGACCTCGAATCCTTCGCGGGTTGATAGCTGGAGAGCGACAGTGCAAAGTGACATGATGGCGTTCAAGATCTGATCACTGGGCCCCAGGCGCACGACAATGATATCTTCGACCAAGTCGGGAAACTCGGTGAGAATCAAGTCCATGGTCTGCTCGTAGATCAGCGTCGCGTCGGGGTCGTCCACAGAACCATGTCCACAGAGCACCAACTGGTGGATTTGCTCCAGAGGTCTGTCTTGCACCATATTGCGGAATTTGGCGTAGCTCCTGATAACGTCGGGAATTCCCTTGGAAGGGTCAAACCGCGCAACTTGTGTGAAGTATCCCCGTGCTGGGTATGCAAGCTGCGGAAGGCTTTGAGCCTGACAGACCTGCCGGAGAACGTGCAAGTAATATTGCAAATCCCAGTCGTCCATGTGCTTGTTGAGACCGTCGAGCCTAGATTATATCAGTCAGATCTGTCGAAAAATTCAGTACTCGAAAATATACTCACCAGTCTGTGGTTGCCGGCAGCCAACCCAAGGTCTCTTTGCGAACATCAGGGGGAACAAATGACCGAACCGGATGGCTCAGAAAGACGTCGGCGTGTTGAATGCTTGACCACATATTGCGCCAAACATGCTGTGCGGCACTTCCGTTCTCAAGTACTAGATCGTCTCTGACTTCGATATGGCACCGGAAGATGATCGGTCGGTCTGGCGCCATCTTTTTGGCAATGGGGATGAGCTCAGGCATTTGGGGGTCGTCGATGATGATGACATCTGCACCCCCATCCTTGGGCGCAAGAAGTGGTCCTCCTTCGCCGAGCCAATATCGTTCCGCATTGTCAACGATCCACTCTTTGATCTTGATCAACTGCTCGTCCGTTGCTCGGATTTCGGGAGGCACGGCGCCCTGCAGGATATTGTGGTTTGTTTTGGTGATTCGGAAAACGTCGGGTCTGGGTTTGGGCACAAACCTGGATAAAACCCATGGTAAGAACGGTGCCTGTCAAAAGAAGAGGTAGTCAGGACGTACCACTCGACATTCACATTGTAGAGTCTCAGGAATCGGAGCAAAGCGTGCCGCATCAAGGCAACTCCGCCTCCCTGAGGTGTCGCGCTGAAGAAAACAACTCTGAGTTTGCGGTCGACCACATCTTTGATGTGTTTCTGCACAGCGCGCCAGGTTGGCTCCCGGACGGATGCTTTGTAGTCGTCGATGGTGGTGAGCTGAATAGTTCCACCTAGATCGACTTCGACCTGGTTCTGGAAGCTAATCGACAAACGCGGTTGCTTCGTTGGAGCATATAGCCTGACCAAAGTTATTGCTGAGTCGCCAACGGTGAGAGGACTATAACTTACGCAAGACACTTCCTTGCTGCCGAGTCGGCAACCTCGTCCACTCGTTGAGCTCTTGCCCGCGGGTTGCCAGCTTGGACAAGTGGGTTGGACGTGACCAACATGGGTACAATGTCCAACTCGGACCACAGCCTCGAGCACAAATTTGGGCTCTTCGCGTGAATGTCGCCAATGACGCCGACACCAAGAATTTTGCACTCGTGTTGCCTCCTGTAGTTGGATAGCTCCTCAACGACATGGTCTGCAATCCAATCTCCATCTCCGCTCCCCTCTCGCTCTTCCTCGGGGTCCAGGGATATACGGTGGACAGCGAAGTCGATGCCATACGTTCCGTCATGGATTGCAATCCCAACCTTGAGTGCTCCATCACTTTCTTCTTCAATGGCCAGGCCAGCCCAGTACTCCTGTACGGGAGAGGTTAGAAATGGCCTGAAGTCTTGAGGCAGCAATGGACCAGCGGCACTTACACTCAGAGTAGTCCCGATGTCGAAGCGATCGGGGAGTCTGAAGCTCAGTGCTCGACTGCGGCGGCGCTTGATGCCCCATTTGCCTTGGAAGTCGTGGTGAATTTGGGTGCTGAAGCTTCTGCCCGGGTCACCCATAGTAAGACAGCCTTGATATATTTGCCAAGGTGTATGTTCAAGTTTGATTTTCGAAAATGTTTTGGTAGAGGTACAATCTGCCGCAGGGAGGGAGGATGTCCTGGTTTATATTCAGTCACGGCGATCGATTTCACCAGTGAATCGTCGATATCACAGTGAGGCAGTGAGCACAAATGAGAAAATTGGACAACGAAGCGATACGGCTGGCGGTGACGTCGCCCCAGAGTCAGGAGCCACAAAGAGCTACGAACCAAGCCTTTGAGCTGCAAGATGCAAAGTACCTGGTACACGCAGGATCCATGTCACCCTCCTTCGGTAATGCATGATGAGACTTTCCGGGCGGGACGAGCTTATGCGAGAAGAACAATGGCGATCGGTAAACATCACCTGATGTTTCAACAGCTCAGGCACAACTCATTTCCGTTTTGGTTATTGGGGGGCGCAGGCAGGGAGCTTCACCTCACAGTCTCGGGACCTCGTGTCGCCGACGTGGTGAGCTCGTGTTTGCTCAGATAATGCCTCTGCTGCCTCAGCTTTGTGCGCCTCGTGCAATACCAACAGACCAACCGAGGCGAGGGAGCCCGGTCGACAAAGAGTCCACGAGATGCGCGGTCGACGTTTCATTAGCATTCGGCACCTGTGCTCCACTCGACTTCGTTGCGCCCCCCGGATCTAGCTCCCGCCACTTTGTACCTGTCGCTTCTTGATCTCATCTAGATATGGGCATGCAACCAGCGCTGAAGCGTGGATTCCTTTGGTACTTCCAGAGCCAACGATGGTGGCAGGTGATCATCGTCTTGACTGCAATGAAGAGAGTGACGGTCCAGAAGACAATCTCATTTGGGCTGTTTGAAGACAAGTCGTGTGTGTCGTGGGTGTTGCTAACACACAGGTTACTCCCATCTACAAGCACAAAGTACTGGGCATCCCTAGTTGCTAACATGAAGACCCTTTCCTCGCTTCGAAGGGTGGCACATGACCTGCCAGCGCCTCACCTGCGCCTGGCACCTGGACAGACCCGACAGAAGAAATTCAGTGAGCGCCGCCACCCGAAGATACGGCTCTGTCCATTGAGACATTCGACTCACTCTATACCCTATACAGCCCCTTACAATCACTCGATCGCGGCCACCACCACGGAAGGTGATGCACCCAACGCCTCAAACGTGGCAAAGACCAACCCCCAATCTGGGCTTCTCAAGATAAGAACATGTACGAGTCAAGAGCCACGGGTCATGTCTCCCAAGACACTACTAGTGTAGCAGGGCCGACTGAGCAGGGCGGTGCAGAGGGTGGTCAAGACGAAGTTCAAGGCTCCTACCCTGTGAAGCGGGATCCCAACAAGGCTGCGGAGCAAAAGAGGTATGAGGTTGAACAAGGGCAGAAACCCCTGGATGCCACACAGGTGGGAAGTATGTGGAAGGGATGCTGGACATACAGAGATTGGGGTGAGTAGAAGAGAACAGCTGCCTCGTTCCTTGATTGCCATAGGGGTAATGGAATCTACTTGCAGCCCATTGGAAAACCTGGTACTATTGTTTGTGAAAGTCAAGCCATCATCATTAGCCCAATACTCCGTATCAAACTTCGAACCCTTCGAGTATCTCATTCTAGTGAAGCATCACCAGCCAGCCAGGTTCCAGCGCCGGTATGGACTTGTGGGTTCTATGCACACTTCCTCTACTGCACTCTCTTCGCCTAGTGCCCATCAAGCAATCTCAATATCACTATCGGCAGCCTCTTCCTCCGCAGCCTTTCGTCGTTCTTGCTCCTTTCTCCCCTGCTCCAACACCTTTCTCCTCTCTTCCCGCAACTTTCTCTGTGAGACAACGAATGCCCCGAGAGGAGTGTCCTGCCATTGCACGTCTTTCAAAAACGCTTCCACCTCCGTCCGATCCTTGGGCGAGAAGTTGACGTTGGTCCTCCTTTCCTCGATCCATTTAGCGTTGGCCTCCGACTTTTGGACTAGCACAAGAAGTGCCTGATTGAGCTTGCCATTCTTGTTTCCGGTGGGCTTTGAAGCTGTTTTGAGCCACCGCTTCAACATAATGACGACTGGCAACTGAAGCTCGGGATATGCAATGCTCTTCGTCCACAACACAAGGAATTCGGATAGTAACTCTACAGCCTGTTCGCCGACACCGTCTTGGTACACTTTCGTTTTCAGAAGGGATGTTGGCGCCCTGATGTTCGATGCAAAATCCAAAGGACGCAGTGTGGAAGCTTTTGCAGGTTTCTTCATCTCTGCCGAATTCAAGACCTCCAAAAGAGCCGCCGACAAAGGTATGTATGTTTCGGTAGCTTGTGAGATACGAAGCAATGACCGCATCAGTTGGAATCGAAGAGGAAAGTATGTGGAGGTCGGTATCAACCTCAGTGCGCCAAGAGTGACTTGCACCACGGGGTAGATGAGAGGACGTAGCTGGGAGGGTTTGCCATTCTGTGCTTCCAGAAGCGAGTTACAGTGGCCGGACAGTACCCGAGACCAGAAGTCAAGAGAGTGAACAAATTGCCAGTTGTATATCGTCTTGTATGAATCCTTGGTCGGTTTGGTGATATTGCCCCGAAGGTGAATGGCAAGTTGGCGGATGAACGTGAAGCCTGTAGTGTAGCTGACCTTTTGGTCGATGCCCCAAATTTCTGCTGCCGAGTTTTTCATCAAGTTGATTCCTGCAAGGGTGTGAACTGTTGTGTTTCGGCTGCCCTTGACAACGCCCTCATACGTCGCCTTCAAGACAGCCTCGCGTATCCCAGCGTCACCAATGACCATTAATCGGCGAATAACGAGGAAAGCGGTAATTCTTGTTGCTTCGTCAGAGGAATTGTCGGACCAGACAGATGCGACAGCTTTCGTAAGAACCTTCAAAAATTTGCGAAATTGGAGGAGATACGGGAGGAGCGGCTCGAAGGACTCGAGGGTCAACCTCAATGTCTTTGTATCTGATAAATTCTTGAGCAAGTAATGTAGAGAGGAGGCGTGTGATTTGATCAATGGTGCAAGCGTCTTGAACTTGGGCGAATCTGTCGGTATGCGCAGCTTGCCGCCAGCGGACTCCTTGACTGGAAGATGGTGTGACAACACTTGGGGGACCTGCTTGAGTGCCGTTATGAGAACCTCGTGGTACACCTCTGGACTCGAAATATTGTATCTGAAGACTTTGTCGTCTTCATCGTCCGCGTGCGCCGCAGCGCGGCAAGCCAGCACCACTTGTCTGAGAGCTCTTATGGAGAATTGTTCGGCCAAGGAGGTTTTCCACTTCTTTACCATTGCCAGAGTAACATCACCCGCTGTCTCGGGGTCGTCTTTCTGCGACCCCTTTGTCTTTTGCTTTTTTGTTGGAGGCTCCTCTTCACTCAGGTCATCAACTCCTGCAAGATCGTCGTCTTCGTCGAATTCTAGCAACTCTGCATCGTTTTCCTGCAGGTATTTGTAGAATTCGGGGTCTTTCTCGGCCAACGCAGCCAGTTGAGTTTTATGGTCCCCAGACTCATCTCCTGAGAAGTCGTCGTCAAGATCCGAGGGCTCGTCAGTGGTCTTCTCTCTTTTCCGCTTTCCGCCCTTGCTCTTTAGAGACTGAGTCTCGTGCTCTGGTATATCAACGGTGTCCTGGAAGAAGTCATCCTCATTCATAGTCTCGGCTCCATTATCGCCGACTTCAAGATCCGACTCCGCTCTCTCATCCTCCTCCTTTGACCTCAGCGCAGCTTTTTGTTTCCTTTTCTCTTTCTGCTGGTGCCGCTGTTTGACTTTGGCAAACTCTTTGCGTCGTTCGATCGTGTCCTTGAGGCGGTTCTTCTCGAACTTTTTCGTAGCCTTTGTCTGCTTGCCCATGATGAAGGCTACGAGTGTTAGGTTTTCCTTGTGACACCAGATCTAGTGTCGTCTGGCAAGAGAGTCAATTTGGCGAAATCAATTGCAGGACTGAGGAAAAATTATGCCAAGCCGAAGTTTTGCCGGTGTTTCCCCGCATGCGCAATCTTTCCCCTCACAGCCTCTTGGTTGTTCAGGTGCATCTCGAGGTCAGCCTCGTCGTCTTCGTCCGTTTCTACCATACCTGTTGCCTGCACAACTACTTTGTTGCCGGTGCGACATCACACAATGTACAGTAACCCTCCAGGCCGCAGTTTAGCCTACGCTCCCACTCCTTATGCTTATCCAGCAAACACTCTGTCCGCGCGGATCAACCTCGACGAAGAAGTCAAACTCGCCGACTCCTCCGCCGAACGTGATCTGATCGACTCCCTAGCCGAGATCTACAGCATCATCCGCACTATCGACGGACTGGAAAAGGCATATATAAAAGATGCGCTACCAGAGACGGAATACTCGGACATGTGTTCGAAACTACTCAAGCAGTATCGATCAATATTGAGCGACGAAGGTGTCGCACGAGAGTTTGGAGACCTGGATACATTCACACAAAAGTGGGACATCGAGTGTCCCCGAGCCAAAGAACGTCTAAAAATCGGTCTGTCCAGTGTGGAAACGATAACTGTGGCCAAGGCCGCTCCTGGATCTACAGCGCCGCAAGGCAATCTTTCGGGCAGCTTGATCTTGGTCGCGACCGAGAATTTCATCACGTTCCTTGACGCGCTACGGTTGAACATGGTTTCGAAGACTGCCTTGCACCCGCTTCTATCAGACGTTATCCAGTCGGTGAACAAAGTCACAGAGCAAGACTTTGACCATCGTGGCAAGATCATCCAGTGGCTGATCACACTCAACCAGATGAAGACCTCAGAGGAGCTCAGCGAGGAGCAGGCGCGGGATTTGGCATTCGACATGGAGCAAGCATACAATGGATTCAAGTCGATCATTCAATGAACGTGTCGCCTTCAAAGGCGCCAGAAAGTCTCTTTCTTTCGGCTTCTTGGAACAAGCGAAGGTATTGGAGGCGCAGTCACACTACGATCTACTGCCGTGGAGTTGCTTTATCCACAACCATGAGCATGTCCAGATAACTTTGTTGGCGTTCAATGCTCTAGGTCTTCGCCAAATGCCTCCATCCAATGCTACAGCCTTGGTAGAGGTCCCCACCAGCGGTGATCGGCGGAGTACCTCAACCATCAGAGACAGTACTTGGATTTGTAAGAAATACTTGAACTGTTGTCCACATATCTCGCCACGTTCCATGGCGGCTTGAACTGCCTGAAGTGCCAGCTTGAGAGTCTTTTCTGGTACACAGATCTCGCCCAGCTTCACAAGTCAGCCAGATCACGCCACACTGAGCTATTTTGTGGTAGAACCAGCCACGTGCGCGAGAGAAGCCAAAAACAAGCGGTCAGGCAAGCATGCGGCGGCTCCCGAGAGTGGATGAGTAGGTGGACAACATCAGACGAACAGATGGACAGATGGGAAAGCCACTAGTTCAGGAGATTGTTCTGTGTGATAGCAGCGTTGCGCTCACCTTGCGCTCTGTCTGAGTGAGGCAGGGCAGCCTTGCTGAGCCTTGTCCGGGCTATGCAGGGGTACGGAGGTGGCCGTCGAGGACTGAGATGGATCCAAGACTCGTTCACGATACCAGCGCGATTTTCACCAATCCTACCCAGGCTCCTCTTAGCGAGCATGCCATGTGGGCTTCTATCAGTTTCCCTTCATTGACGCACGTGGAATGCAGATGCCAATTATCTGCGCCTAGCAAGCCCTGTTAGCGACGAATAAGAACGGGCGAAGGAACGAAGAGGGCTGTGAAGAAACGAGAGCTCTAGAAATAAGGGCCCGCCCCGGGACGCTCCGCCCTGGTAGACAAGGCTGAGCAGATGTATACGAGTACGAGGCAGCAGTATACGAGCTGTACAAGTACGAGGTACTGTGCACAGCCATATCTACTTGTAGTCCGGTGACTGTCACTGGCATTGACGTTATCACCTTTCGTCTGCTTCCTGCCAATACCCTGTGGCTGTGGCTGAACTCTTCTTCGTGTTTGTTAATGATCGTGACTGATAGGGTGACGAACCCAGCCGGACACCGGAAAACCCGCTGCAGTCTCACCGTCTCCTACCTGCACCAGGTACTCGGTACTTGTAACTTGTAGGCTAATTTGCTGTGCCCTCGCTTGTGAGAGACACTGCAACCGTACTTTTTGTCTTTGCAAGGGGGTTTTTTCTGGCGCTGTTGCCTCGCATGACGGATGCATCTCGTTGAGGGTTCGGTGATCTGCTCGACTGGCAGCAGCATACGGGGAAGCGGGTATGCAGCCGATTGAAGCTGTCTTCGGAATGGAATCAGCCGTCAGTCTCCCTGGTCCTCGTGTAACTTGCCACGGAAGAACCGCAGGTTCACCAGATGCGTGACCACGTGACAGGATAGATGCTACGGTGAAGTATGTATCCCTTCGCTCTGTAGTCGCTGCCTGTCACAACACGTCAATACCCCTTTCCGCGTTCCTCGCACCTCCAAACTTGTTTACCCTCCGACTAAAAACGACTAGCAATGCAGGAAGCGGTCTACAAACGAAAACTTCCTCCTATCCCTCCTTCACCTCGGGAACAACCTCAAAAAAAGTTTGTGCTCGATGGCTCTCTCTCGTGGGAAGAGGAATTCTTCGCCGATTGCCAGAGCATCTCCGACAGAACTTGGACGGCCGATGTTGACACAGAGCCTCTGCAGTTCGATGATAGCTCGTTGGAAATGGTTCGCCCTTTGAATTACCCCCCGCCAGGAGCGCCCGCGCAAGTATGGCTTGCAAGAAGAGAAAACAGGCTCTATGCTGTAAAACTGGTTAGTACCATTCTCGTCGACTTTGAGTAGCACCATTGGCTGAAAATGCGAAAGTTTAGGCCATACACAGATGAGGAGGCAAGAGGACAAGCATTACGCCTCCGGAAACGAAAGCCGAGCCTGCAGAAAGTACGACACGATGTCAGCCCCTTTGCCCTAGAAACAAGGGCATATGAAAGGATCCGAAAATTCCTCCCTGCACATCAGCAATCTTTCTTCCGGCGATATCATGGAACCTTTGAAGTCTCTCCCTCCCGTCTCGATCGGAGGTTTTCCGGGACTTCCTTTCGCCACGGCATTGTGTTTGACGTTCTTACGACCAAACTTAGAGGTCGGCATCTGTATTCAGGACGTGACGTCGGTGACTTTGCACCGCACGTTGAAGCATTACAGGCTGATCTTGCGAAACTGGACTTATCTCCGCTTGAGGAGAGGTGGTATTTGAGTGTACTGAATGAGCGCCTGACAAAGGTTACGGCTGCTCATACACTTGGGATCCTTCATGGCGACATCAAATTTGATTGTTTTGGCCTGCCACAATCGCCACATGACATCGTCCTACACGACTTTAGTCGAGCGTATACCTTCACGCGGGAGCGACCCTGCGCGATGACCGGTATGGTCCGGTTGCGATCGCTCAAACATGCAGCAGACGTCGAACGTGACCACATTCGAATCTGTGTTCTTGACATGTGAGAAGGCATGTAGTGCGATATTTCAATTTGATGCTGATACCCTCTCAGGGCAAAGTCTGCTCATTTATTCGATCATTTCAAACAACTGCTAGGGATGACGGAGGGGGACGCCCGCAAAGTACTATCTTCTAGTATTCCTCGCAGTCTATTAGCGACCGAGCTTGCACTGATCATTCTGTCTGTGAGGATGATAGACGACGGTTTGTTCTCGCTCAAAGTTGTTCTTTAGGTGTATGGCTAACGCGCTGTAGGACCATTCTTCCCCTCGCTTTCTTCAATACTCCCATTTTTGGAACCAGCATCAACTGAGCGGCCAGCCGCATGGACAATAACCATAGCGAATCATCTTGACCAGTTTGTCTCAGCATCTTGTTCCGAAGCGAAGGGCAACAGTATTACATCAATGGGCAGCAAGATCGCGTCGCTTGTCGATTCCACGGGTGTTGTCATCGAACAACTTAGCCTTGTTTACCCTAAGCAGCCAACAACACGCTCAACCAAAAGGTCCACCCTCGCGCTTTTACCCAGTGCCTGGCTTGAAAATTTAGACACGCGACGATTTTTCTGGACCCTTTTCTGCTCGCCTTCGATCTCAGGGGATGCGAGGCAGGTGAGAGTAATGGGCCGGGAACAACTCTATGCTGAGATGAAACGATGTCATTGATCGATGATATTGTCAACGCCGACTTCTCCTTGCTGGGTGCTTCTGCCCTTGCTGCTTCGAACAGCAGGCTGCATTGTATCTGGACAGTTTACAACGCTCACGGCTTCCTCGAACCCTGCCCAGACGATTGCTCAGTGCTGTCGTCTTGCCTCTTGCGTTTCTCTTTTCCCGGAACTTCGACATCGATATTGAGTGGATCATAGTGGTGGGATAGCTCTCGGCTTTCACTTGCCAGGCGAGCCAAGAAGTAAAGATTGATGTTAATCGTCTCCCGCGAGCTACCATGATCCCACGGGACTATCTTCACCTCTAATCCACCCACGTCCTCATCTTGTGGCTTTGGTTGGAAAGACATTGTACTGAATGTTTCCGAAACATCCGATACATTGGTACCAGTGGATGTGTCCGACAGTACTCGTCGATGGCTTTCTGCCACGGTCTGCCTCCGTGGCCGAAAAAGCCTCTGCTTGGACGCTGATGGTGAAAGTTTCAGCCGAATAAGGACAAGAAACTCGTTGGTCAGGATAAACCCATATCGCGTACGGTATACAGTACAATAGTGCTGCAATTGTTCAAAAGGTCGGACCAAGTGAGTGCTGGGGTGATCTTCATACCCACCATTACCTACTACGCGTATCGCACGCTCAACGTCCCAGCCCACCTTGGTGTCTCCGCAGACGAGCGCTGGACAAATACCCCTTGGATGTGTATAATGGATGTTGGCATCCCCAACTCCCCAATCAGGCCGTACAGTAGGGTCTTGCATGATTCGCGATCCAGTAGAGAGGAACAATGACCCAGGGAGAGCGCGAGATACCATGCTGATATTTGTGCTCCCAAGGACTATGTTGAGTGCTGCTTCGTCGCAAATCACCGTGTGGCCAGCTTCTTCGGTGGCTTCCACAGTACTGGTTAGACTTGTGTCTGCGTCTAGAGACTGACGATATCGCCGGGTGAGGCTTGCGAGGTCGAAGTCCTCCCACGGTTCGATTGCCTCGACGGGATCCCACATGTCACTGTTGGTATATGTAGGTGGTGAAAGGTGGACCACCAATTGCGCGTTACGCTGGGTCAGGTAATCGAAAAGAGTCTGAACCATCTTTGTTGACTGTTGACCAGAAGAAGCAATACAAGATGCCAATTATGGTTTTTCTGCGCAATTATGGATATTCTACCCAGTACACGAAGTTGTAGTCCCTATGTGCGAGCGATGCGTCCATCTATATCGACGTCCAGAGCGTGCGTGTGATGCTTCAGTTGAGTATTGCCAACACATGGCTGCCTGCATTCTGTGTAACACTCCTCGTATTGTCCTGCAACATCGATATTGGGCGTAGGTAGAAAAGCAGCCCAACACCGCACACTGACTGGTCAAGCCCTTTCAGAGCGACGACAGGCATGGCATGGTCCGCTCCTTCGAACGGGTGGCTGGCCAGCACTGGGTAACACACACACACACACACACACAC